GAATTCATTGACAATATCTTCTTTTCTAAATCTACAATTATTCCTAATAATTGAAACGTTTTCATTGGTTTTAGATAACTCTTTTTCTTCTCTATCATTATACCTAATGATCGGCAATCCATCTCTAATTATCAGTCGATATGAATCCCTCTTTGGAACCAATCTGTATCTTGAAATAATCACCAGATCTGTACATTCTTCGATTGCTCCAATTCTTTGAAGAGTTCTTTCACAAGCCAAGTTCTTGGCCTTTGAATAGAATTAAATCTTGAGATGGATTGGAAGGACCTTCACTCCATCTCTTAACATGTCTACGATATGTAGAGATGTTCACGAAAAAAAGATTCGTCTGAGTAGAAAGATGCATCTTGTTTATTGATTTGGGCCTTACTATTTGGACAGTCACTACAGGATTATCAGCGTGTTGAAGAGCTATTATATTTCGCTCACAATAAACAACAAGTTCCTTCTTCTAGCAACTTACTAGCCAAAATAAGGGCTGATCTAACCACCCTCTTGATATTCTCATATTCTGACAATATCTTTGGGTTAGTAGAAGTGATATTATTGAATCTTTTAGCAATGTACTTATTAACCTCTTGGTTAATAAGTAATTTTTCAACCATTTGTTGTTGTTGTAATGTTGAAAAATTGACCATGACTTGATTAAGCTTGTTAACTCAATACTAGTATTAATAATATTAGAACCCACTACACAAACCTCGATAAGAACATCTTGTGTCAACTAACAAATTTCTCAAAAACAATTTTAAAAATTTGCAAAAATGGGATCATCATTAAAAGATTTGCTTGTCCCTTTCATCAAGTGGCTAAAGAATTGTATGTACCTGCCTTGAAAATTATCTTCAACCAGCTCATAATTTCTCCCCAAACTGACACAGAGGATGCAAAATATTATATATCCATTCTCCATTTGATCTTTTTAGTGTATTTGTTTAGATTTTGAAAGTAGCCTTGGATTTTTCTATTTACCAAATCTGTTACTTTTGGTCTTAATAAACATCTCATGCATGTGTATGATATAATAGATCTTTCTTTCAACTACAATACCAATTCTTCTCCAAATTCGAAGAAGTAATATAATACTTATTTAGTACTCTCATAATAGCAATTCTTATAAAAAAACCTAAACTTATATTTTTTCTTTTGAGAAAATTAAAATACTTTCTTTTTGTTATTGTTGACGTTTTGGGCAAAATATTTGTAGTGATTTTAAAAATTAACAACAAATCACATTTAAAAGAATTAATTTGATTTTCTTGATGAGACAAAATGTGATAGATTTGACATGACATTTTTTTGGATTTTTTTAATATTTTTACCTATTCTTATTTATCCAAAAAAAATAATTCCTAAGAATAAAAAGAAAGAAAATCCAGATGAAGATAAAGTTGGAAAATTGGAAGTGAAAGTTTCGAAATTGAACAAAACTAAACTTTAACAAAGGAAGTTGAGAAAGTCAATAAGTTTGGTCCGAAAATGCATTCTTTTATTCTGTCTAATTCTGAGCGAAGTGAAGAATGGATTTGTTTTTATTGTAAACTTATGGTCTCTCAGGTCGTTATTGATACAAGAGACATTAATAAACCTACACCTTTTATTTTATTGTAAACTTAATAAAATATAAGTTCGTTTAATTATTATTTCCCTTCCTTTACTCAAACCCGTCGTCGGACGGGTCTTATCATGTTCATATTATCAAATCCGGCCAAACTCTTTCACACCAAAATAGAGATTGATATAACTGAACCATTATCCTCATAAATGATACATGATTAACATTGTAAAGGTTGTTGCAGGCTGTGGCGATAAATTTGTGGAAAAACTGAAACTTATTATTAACACTTTACACTAGATAGATACAGATCGTGTATTATATGTTTCGTGGCTTAGTTGTAGAATAATGAGTAGACTTAACGTAGGAAGGGGTACCAAACCTGCTAAACGCACAATTTTTTATTTCACGATTATTTTCCCGCCCATTTTTTTACCGCCATTTTTTTTAAAGATCAAACATTAAACAAGTTTCGAAATTAAAAAATATGGCACGATATTTGAATGATTTTGCCAAAGATATCAACAAAGTTAATTCTATTCAAGAAATTGAAAATGTTAATTTTGTTAATAGAAAACCAGACCCCAACAGCTATTATTTGATAAAAACAAAGAAAGCTGATAACAAAGGAAAGCCAAGTATTATTAAAGATTTATCGATGCAATCACCACTACAATCCTTACTTGCTCTTGATAGTGGTTGCGTCTTTCATGTGGACGCGATGTTGATTGACAAGGTAATACCAACATTTCTCTTGATAATCACCTCTCTCGTTTTCACAACTTGATAACAAGAATTCGATGTTTCCAACATGATTCACCACATTAAATTCAAAACGGAATTCCAATAGATTCAGATTGAGGGGATGGAAAATCTGTCATCCAAATCCCCCTCTGCCACACAAAATCCACAACACCACACAGTATTTTAATAACAAACCTACTACCAACGAAACCTTTAATTAAAGCTGAAAAGAGAATAGAGATGAAGATTTAATTATGGAAGAATTATAAGAATTAATAGAAAATGATGAAGACAATATTGTCTGACAAGTCTTAATAAACATCCTATGTATGATACAATGTATTCTTTTTGCTATTAAAATATTTGTAGTGGTTTTAATAATTATTAACAAATCACATTTAAAAGAATTAATTTGATTTTCTTGATGAAATAAAATGTGATAGATTTGACGTGTCATTTTTTTGATTTAAATAAATTCTTTCATCTTTTTCTTTTAAAAGTTTGTTGTTAACATAAATTTTATTGTAAAAGCTTACAACAATTTATTAAGGTGGCGAAGGAGTAAACTTAAACAAGGAATTCTTTTGTTTATCATTTATTATGTTATTAACCAACAATTTGTTGACCTTTTAGAATTACAAGAATCCCACATAACCCCTCCGCCGAACAGAATTTACAACATCACACAGGATTTTGATTTTGTGGATGGATCCAACTACCCATCTGATTTTTCATCCCCTCTTGTAAATAAAAACATTTTCCATCCATTCTCATATTTGATTTAAAAAATGACACATCAAACCTATCACATTTTATCTCATCAAGAAAATCAAATTAATTCTTTTAAATGTGATTTGTTGTTAATTTGTAAAACCAGTACAAATATTTTGCCTGAACCTTTAACAATAACAAAAAGAAAAAGATTGTATTTTAATTTCTATTGGAATCCGTTTTCTTTTTTGTTTTTACATACTTGGGAATACGGATTGATATTGTGTTCAAAACGTAAGTAAATTTAAAATATAAACATAACAACCCTTAGTTTACCTAAAAGAGTATCAGATAACCCCAATTCGTCCTTTGTTTTCAATTGCTTTTCTATAAATGGTGTTCTTTTAGATACACTTTGCCTGTAATGGGATCCATCTTTCTGCAAAAGGAGTTTTTGGTATAAACTTTATCATCTTCAGCACTTTTGTTACATGTTGTACAATAAAGGAGTAACCTTTGACAACTCTTGATGGATCCAGTGAATACAAGATACCTTCTATAAGCAAATTCTTAGCCTTGGCATTTACAAAGAGCTTGTATTCTTTCATCAACGGATTAGAGGATTGCTTACTGGTCATTTTTTAGTTGGGTTAAGCAAATCAATAGTGTAGTGAAATTAATATTATTTGATTTATTTAATATTTCTTTTCATCTTGTTTTGATTTTTGGGAATTGAATATTTATTATTTGGAACAAACTTGAATTTATCTTAGTCAATTTTAATTATAGAGAAAAACTTGTTCTCTCTTTTCGTATTTTCTTCCAATAATTTGAAAACATTAGGATCATCATGTTTGTATACTTCCACAATCGAATTATTTAGATGTCGAACATCCTTTTGAAAAGTTAATTAATTAATTGAAATACAACCTCTTGAAAAACATTTGTGTCAGTTCCGATACAGGTTACAAAAGTAAGTTTAAAGAGTGTGAAAGTATTAATATGTTGAAGGTTGGTTCTAAGAAGAAGTCTTCTCCAATTAAAAAGAAGAAAGGAAAGGTTCATTTTTGAGGGAGCCTCAATTATTGTTTTTCGTCTATGTGTGTTAAAGGTAAGGTCAGTAATTATACTTAGTTTTCCTTTATCATCCTTTTGATTAATAGCAACCAGAAATATTGAATCTGGTTTTGGCATTCTGTTACATAAATTCAACATTCTTTATTTCTTAAATCAAGTAATGGTCTAATATTTTCAAATACGGCCATTTTTTTAGTTTTAGATTTAACAAAATATTACGAACTCTCTTTCTTACACCTATGGGATTTGGCTGAAAATGTCTTAATCCTACGAATTCTGATTGTAGATTGAATGAAGCCAGAATATATTAGCTACTTGTTTTATTTCTTGATTTTGGATGTTGCTTTTGATTTGGTGGGAAGTTCAAAGGCACCCGTCGCCTCATTTAAGTGGCCTTTTACTGTATGATGTAACTTGAACCAAGAGAGAATTAAGTATATTTATTGTGTCATATTTTTCCTAAAAGTTTCCTCTTAATGTTAATCTAGATAACAATAAAGGAAGTAATTTTAAGCTAAACCCATTTATGACTTTTTTGGTTTCTTTTGTTAAATGGAATTTGATTTATGAAATCCTCTTTTTTCCTTTATATGAGAGTATATTAATATCCACATACTATTCTGATACACTTAAAATCTCACTTTTACAATCAAAACCCTTTAAACTCCATTTATTTTTCAAAACAGTATTCTTGATGCCAAAGGCAAAAAGATCATCAATAATACCAAGCTTTTCATGGTTGTTTTTGTTGGTTTTGTAATAAATTATTAAAAACTTCAACTTTATAATATTAAGCTAACAAGATAATGACTTTATTGGAAAAAAGAACTTTACACAAGTAATTCCATGAGAAAGAAATGGACTATCATTTGAATTTAGTTTAAAAAAATAATTATTTCTTTTTATTAACAATACTATGATCATTTAAAAGTTTAGCAACTGAACAGATAATTTTCTTTGTATAATTTAAATTCAAATGTTCATTTGGACCGTGTGCATTTGAACCAGGACCTGCAACACCAGTAATTAACATTTGAGCTTGTGGATAACAATCATTTAAAACTTTCATAAATGGAATTGTGCCACCTTCACCTAAACATCCAATTTCATCAACATTAAAGAATTCTCTAGATGATTCATTTAGTGAATTTGTTAACCATTCATCAAATTCACTACAACACCATCCACTTCCAGTATGAATATTCTTAATTTGTACTTGTGCATTATAGGGTGGATTTCTAATGAGCTCATTTAAAACTAATTGTTCAAGTTGTTCATTTGGTGTAACATGTGGTGGTAATCTAATTGAACATTTTAATGCTGTTAATGGTCTTAATACATTACCAGCTGTTTCAATTGGTGGTAAACCATTTGCACCTGTTATTGTTAAAGTTGGTCTCCATGTTTTGTTTAATAATAATTCTAATAAATCTTGATTCATTAATTCAACTGAAGAATTTAATAATGGAACTGATTCACATACTCCACTATATCCTAATAATTCTACTGTTTTTTTAAATTTTTCAACTACCCATTTAGGTAAATTAGAATGAATTGGATCTTTTTCTTCTTTTGGTGTTCCATATAATTCTGGAATTTTAATTGATCCATCTTGTTCATTTTCAATTCTAGATAATAACATTCTAATTACTCTAAATGAATCAGATACTAATCCACTATATCCACCTGAATGTACTCCTATTTAAATATTTAATATATTTAATAAAACAAAATTAATATTAAATTAATATTAAATAAATAGTTAAAAAAACAAACCTTCTCTAATTAAAGAAACGTGCAATTCAAAAACAAATATTCCTCTCAAACTAATAGTAGTCCAAATACGTTCATAATTACCAACACCAGAATCTAAACAAATAACCAAATCAACACAACTTTGAATCATTCCTTTATAATCATCAGATAAACAATGTGATGGAATGAGTGATAAATCCTCTGCTGTCATTTTACTTCTAATATGTTCAGTTCTATTATATGGTAATATTTGACAGAGGTAATATGGTAAATCACATGATCCACTCTCTTCACTAAATTCACATACTATAATAATACGTCCATGTTCAATAGATTGTTCTTGAAGTGATTTAATTGATAATATTGATGAAAATACTGCATATCCATCATCATTACTACCACGTCCATATAAATATAAATCTTCATCTTTTTTATCTTCGGTATTACTATCAGTATTACTGTCAGTATTATTACTAACAGTATTATTATTACTATCATCAGTTGTAGAAGTATTAAAAGTAGAAGGTAAACGTGTTCTAATGACAGGATCGTATGGTCCTAATCCTTCAGCCCATCCAGTATTTGGTGGTTGTTTATCGGCATGACCATACATGAATACTGTTGGTACATTTTCTTTCCATCCTTCCTTTCCTATTAATTATCATCATCATCATATAAATATTAAATATTAAAATTTAAATATTATGATAACTATATACTAACCAATAATAGTAGAATCAATATCAATGAAAATTAAAGGAGTTTTTCCCTCAATTCTCATAACATTTAAATTTAAACCTTTGATATTTTGATTTTTAATCCAATGTACAATTAAACTCAAGGCTTGTTCCATATGTCCATTACTTAATACTTCTTTATCAAAATTAGGTGATAAATTAGGAATACGAATAAAATCTTCTAATACTGGTAATAAATTATGATTAAATTGTTCAGTAACATATTCTTTTAATTTTACTAAATTTAATTTATTACTAGTGGTAGTGGTTTGTACTTGTTGGAGGTCCACGTTTGACATTTTTTTTTGATTGATATTTTAAATGTAAATTGACTATTATTGGATTAAAGATTTTTTCAATTATTATAATTAAGCTTGTTGTATCAATTTTTAATTGAGAGTTTGTTTCTTTGTTTTCTTTTTGATTTTAATCATCCAATTATTCTTGGTCTTGTCAAATTGTAATATTTGTGAAGTATCATTCATTTGGAGAAAATCTTTCAATTTCATATTACCTTCAACACGCCATCCTAATTGTTTTACAATTGTACCAACAAGAGAAAGATCTGCCTCATATGGATAGCTGGAAGATAAATCTTCAATAATTTTCAAAATATCATGGAATGTTGCAACCTTATGTTCCTTCTTTGAATAAACTTGTAAATTATTCGATAGATTGGAAGGTACAGTGGTTGTTTTTTGACTGTCGTATTCAATTACCATTTCATTTCCTCTTTGAACAACATTCAAGTGAGGAGATAATTGTACAATTTTTCTTTGCAAGTGTTTAGTGTTGAATCCCAACTTGGTGTAATGATTTTTCACTGTCAAGTAGCTCATCTTTTGATCCTTGAAATCCTTGACTGTATCCTCCAATTCCATCAGGATATCATTGGTGATACTCTTCTTTCCTTCAATGTTTTCATTGCCAGAAGAAACAGACGATTCCTCCTCCTCTCCATCCTTGTTTGCAGGACTATCATTGCTTTCATTTCCAACACTTTGAGAAGAGGATGCACCACTGGATGAAACACTTGCTCTTCCCACAGATAAATTATCATCATTATCTGAACTACTTGCTAATTTGCTTGGTGACGATGGCACGGCAGTAGGGCTAGCATCTACAATATTATTCTCAGATAGTACCTTTTTCGGTAATTTGGCTAATTGAGTTTGTTTTGGTATTAACTGGCTTACATTTGGAGATATTAATTGGTTGTTATCACCAAAAATACTATTATTCAGTATTAAGGATAGTGGAGTTTTAGGAGGTGGAGTAAACTCTACATTCTTTGGTAATAAATTCATGACAACATTTCTGTCTGTCAATGCAATAAACAACATGTTTCCTCTCTGTTCTAATTTGAAAATGCCAACCAATTGACCGTTCTTATCTCCCAAAGTGTTAAATTCAATCAGATTCTTTTTCAATGATCTTGGTTTCACTCTGTATTGATATAATCTGCTGCTCAAAGCTCCCAACTCCATATTATCTTCCAACAATAGAATGAAACAAATCAAGTACATATCCGTACTATTTAAATCTCGTTTGTTTGGTGCTGAAAGATATTTCATAATGTATTCTTCCAAAGACATTTTGAATGCAGGCTCTACTAATTTTCCATTACTATTCTCTTCATGATTATTTTCATCATCAAACTTTTGGAATTTTGGATATTCTTTTGATTCTCCAACTTCATCAATTACAGTATGATCAACAGTTATAGCTGATTGGATATTTAACAGGCTCTTCTTTTTGGTAATTGTAACTTTAACATAATTTGGCAATAACTTTAAGATTTTCTTCCTATCTGTAAGTAAAATATTGGTTGAGTTTTTACTCTTGATTAACTCAATAAATTGGCTATTATCATAACCTTCAATGAATTTTTTCAATTTTTTAGGAGTAATATTCAAGTTGACAAGTTGTGAACTCAAATTTCCCAATTCTAATGGCTCCACATATTTCAATAAAATAAAACTAATAAGTTTGATATCTTTTGGAAGTAGTTCTCTAGGAGTTTGTGGAGAAATACTTTCAATATATTCATCAAGGGAAACTTCCTTCTTTTCATCCCCACTTTTATCTTCATCAGAAATGTTATTATTATAACACATTATTAACAGTATTGTTGTTGGTATTACCATTGGTAATGTAATTACTAGTGGTGACAGGTTGTGTCGTCAAAATGTTATTATTTGGTAATGAAACACTATTGTTTGTTGGAATGGTGTTCGATGCTAAAACTCCTCCACCATTCAATAAACGAGTCTTTTCAAATTTCATAAAATTCAATGAATCATTATAGACATTTTCAAAAGGAATCCAAAAAGTTGAAGCTTGTAATAAAGTGTTAATAGATTGATCACTATCAGAATCATACATAGAACCTCCGTGTTGAGTTTGATCCTTTTTAATGATTACAACAGATGGAATTGATTGATATTTCAATCTTGATAGTAAATGGCAAAAATCTTGATCTCCTGTTAACAAAATTATAGCTGTACTAGGTAAGACATTGGATTGAGTGTTCATAAATTGATTGAAAATAGGTCTATTATAAATATTCAAATCCATTAACACATCTGTTAACATCATTTTATCAACCACTTCTTTCCTAGTAGTTCCCAAGTGAGGAACATCAATCAAATGACATCCATTTTGATAAAATTCAGTTCTTCTGTACTTGGGTATTTGATACATATCTCCATATACTTTAATAAATGGTGTATTGACTTTAATTTGAACATTATTTACAACATTATTATTGTTCATATTTAAATAATTATTATAGTATTGTTGTAACTCCGCCTCCAATCTATTAATTAAACTTGATAAAAATACACTTGTAGTCACAGTATTACTTTTAAATTGATTAATATTTGATGATAACGAAATATTTTCGTAATCCCAATAAATTAAACATTGAATAGAATGATATAATACATTATTACTATTAACAATAACATTCGGACTTTTTTGATGTTCTTCCAATTGATTTAATAACTTGTTATTGTACTCTAGAATATGAAATGATTGTTCACTATTTATTACACTAGTGGCTACTTCCTGTTGTTGCTGATTATTTATTGTGCCATTATTATTCAAGCTTGAAGAATTGTCTTCCTCCGATGATAATAACAATGAGGAAGATAATTGATCATCCAAAACTTCCATTTTTTTTTATCAAGTTTTTTTGAAAAAATTTAAACGAAAATTTGTTTAGTTCAAAATTGATGAGAGCTAGAATCTATTTAAATTCTGTTGAAATGAAGAGAGTGGACCGAGACACTAAGGTCAATACTGGAATGTACCACTTAACTATCAATCATAATGAAAAAGTTCATGGTCACTCTCAAAGATTACAATTTATTTAAATCATGTTGTGAGTTGGCAAATTCTTCTTACTAATATTACATGGCAAAGTATCAGGAGTAATGAAAGCATTTGATGTGAAAACCAATGGTTCAGTGCTGACAGAATTAGCAAAAGTCAATTCAATCATAGCAGTAGTCCAACCAGTTGTTGGATTTCTAACAAAAGCTTGCCATTCAGATTCTCTAACTTCAACCAAGGTTGAGTTCTTCCAGACATCAGCACCAATAGTTGAGGTTCTGAAATCACGAGTGCTTGGATTGGTGGCACTCCACAATTTGACAGAGGTTGGCTTGGCACCATTAGTAACTGAAACATAGATAATAACACCGTTATCGACAAATTCGTGAGAGAAGGTATACTTTGGAAGGACAGTGTTGGCCAATCTGGAGGCGTAGAAGGAACCGAGAACTGGTAAGACGTCAGAGTTCAACATCAAGTGACCAGTGTTTGGAATGAAACGGACATACTTTTCACCCTTAATCTTTGAGTAGGCAAGGTTATTGAGATCACTGAATATATATATATAATATTAGAAACTAATGGAAAGTATGTAGAAACTTACGGAGCAAAGAATTCATCACCCAATGAGAGAATTTGATACTTTGGAATATTCTTCAATCTATTGTAATTCAATGGATCAACAATGTCGGTCAAACTTTCAAAAACATTATTGAAAAGCTTATCAGTAACTCCATTACTGACATAATCATAGAAAGCCCAAGGCCAAGCACACAAGTTATTGTATGTTCTGACAATGAAATCCTTAGTTCCGAATACTGGAATGACCATTGGAGCAATGGCAGCAACACGGCTATCAACAGCAGCCAAAAGAATGGTTGTCCAACTAATAAAATGTTAAATGACTCAATTGACTAAAATATACTTACCCTCTCTTTGAAGCACCACTGACAGTGAATTGGTCAATGACATGATTAGCTTGTTTCTTAACAAATGAAACAACAGCATCCATGGCCATCTTACTTCCCTTAACTTGAGGCAATTGAGTAACATATAAAAGATTACTATTTGTAGTATTGCTCATGAAACGATTCCATCCATAACCAATAATAGCATCTTCAACACGACTAGCCAAAGTTGGATCAGAATTATAAGTAATTGGTTGATTTGGAATCATATAAACAATAGCAGTAACACTCTTTGTAGCTACAGCAGTACTATACATGAAGGAAGGAACATAAATTGGAGAGGCAGAGGCATCAGTGGCACCAGGAACAGCAACATTGTTATCACCATTAGTAATGAAGAATAAACTTTCATGATTATTCTTATTCAAATTGTTTGGAATGGTAATTTCAACATAGTGGAACCAAGTGTTGGCAGCACCAACTTCTGAGGTTGGCAACCAAGTTAATGAAGTAACATTCAAGGTGTAAATTGTTGCTCCAGTAATGGTTCTAGAACCAATTAACTTGTAAGAGTAGGCACTTTCTGGTTGACTGACGTAATCTCCCAAAGCTTGTTTGAAGGAGGTACAACTAGCCAATGCACTCATGCATACCAAAAGAATGGCAAAGACAGCAACAAGTTGAAGCTTGACCATTGTGAATATTAGTATTTTTTTATGTATGAGAATTAAATATTCAATCGCGCATGTTTAATATTTAAACGTACGTTCTAGTTAATTTAAAATAGTAAGTATATCACTGTTATGGAAAAGTGCTTTTTTTTTTAACACAGCTCCACAATCAAAGGGAGTGACACTCTCATAATTGTAAATTGAACATTGTGAACACAATACGCACTATCTTGTTAAAAATCATGATTGAGGACAGAAAGTAATGAAATTGAACACCTTAACAAACATTGGAAGTAAACTGATTAAATTGGTTTCAGTCAAGGTAAACCGATCCTCTAATTTGATTCTAACCGGCACAAGGATGATAACAATCAACTATTACGCATGGTGTTGATATGCTAATAAGGAATAGAGACACCAAAAAATAGGGTTGGGAAAATCGCACGATTCCCTCTTTCGTATAGAAAATAATTTCAAGGATAGCAGATGGGTTTGTTACAGAGTAACAATGAGTTGCGGCATCAATGTTCAAACACTGTAGTGAACTGTAGTGAGTTATCTTATTACGAAATTGAAACAACAAGCCTACCTGTTAAAATATGAGATCTAATCCAACCTTGGAGTGAATGAGCTCACTTTACACTTGACTCGTCTAAAAACAAGCTCAATAACCTCCTTTGTCTGTTCACCTACGAGAAAACTTTTCATAATTTCCATACATGATGTTCCATTATGCATGTTTTTAGAAATGAACAAATCAAATTCTTCCTTGACAACCAAAGGCAATTACAAGCATTATTTTGCTTAATCCATATGTTAATTCTTCAATTTTAATTGGAATATCCGATGAAAGCTAATAACAAATCCCAACTACTAAAGTCGAAATGCACACATATAACAAATACAGAATTCTTTAAGAGATTTTAAAAATTGTTTATTAAGGTAAGGGGATATCATTAGGGAGGTTTTGTACAAAATTTCACACTCTTTGCAATCTCCCTCAGAGTAGTGAGGAAAATGCACAAAGTGTAGGGTTTAAATTGATGTAGGTTGAGTGCCCTTCTATTTACGAATTTACTTCTTCAAGTAGAATGGGTTTGAGTCAACTTCATCTCTACGATCGAAACGACCCATCATGTGTGGAATGTTGATAGAGTGATCCTTCATGACAATATCTTGATTTTCACCTTGTCTAGCACAGTGCTTATCATACCAAGCCCACATTTCATCAGTTGGAACGTGGTTTTCAAAAGTCTTGCCTTGCATTGATTTTTGAGCTCTGTTAATGAAGAAAGAGAGACCCAAAGTACCACCAATGACAGCAAATTGGAAAGCTGGCTTTCTCATAAAGTAAGAGAATGTATTAGTGTTAATGCTCATCTTGTTGTTATTATTCTTGTTTTGTTGTTGTTTTTTTGTAATTCACCACAATGTAGGGCCAACTATTTAAACAATTCAACCAGCTTTCAAAGATACCTAACAACAATAGCAGTAGTATTATTGGCTGCCAATTAAAATCCCTCTCGCCGACTCGTGCTGTTTAAAATTTACTTATTCAGGAGAATGATCGCCGTTTCTCTGTCCCTTACAAGTTATGATTCTCCTACTAATCGGTAAAACTCATCAGCAAACACCTTGTGCATTGGCTCGTTCTCAGACATCATTTTTTTGATTCTTTTTTTCGGGTATTCGGGAGGCGGTTTAGAAATGTTGTGCCGCCCTTAAAAGAAAATGATTGTTTTGCCGCCATTTGAGTGGGAATTACAGAAAAGGAAAAAAAGCAAGGTTGTTTTCAGAGTTGTTGGTGCAATATGGAATGATATATTGTATTAATGCTCATCTGTTATTGTTGTGTATTGAAAGTTGTTTTGTTGTTGGTAAAGAAGTTTGTTTGAGTGGTGCGCATGTTTTGCATGTTTACTGTTTTTACAATGAAAATCGAAAGATAATAGCATATGTATTTAATTATTGCCTTTATTGTCAATTCGACATGTTGATTGATTCAATCAGAATGTAGTAGATGCTCATGATGTTCGTTCTCAATTCAATTCAAATTGTTGTTGAAGATTCTTCGGTAGGAATTGAAAAGAGGAGAATCATTGAAAAAGAGGCGAAACTATTCTGCCGTAACACTGTTGTCGTTGAAAAATGGAGAGAACAATTGTAAAGAAAAGTACTCTATTAGGTCTAATAATCAGACTAGTTGTCCATTGGATCAACAAATCACAATGATGTATTCAAATTCAAAACTTTCATCCTTAATGTTATTTCTATGAGAGATGTAAAAAATCTTTTCACTTGAAGAAATATTCATGCACATCATCACCATCTTTCTCTAACATAACTCCTTCAAACTTTGATGTTTTGTTGTTCTTCACCTTCATAGTGGATAAACGATGATCAGCTACACCATTTTAATTTCAAACAATGGAGCTTTATTACCTTCTCCTTACTCGCTTCTTCATGTCTTTTTTGTTGTATTTGCAGCCAGCTCAAACTCATGTTTTCTTCCTTCTAGAAGCTTTTGATTGAATTCAATACTTTAAAAGTAAAACTATTTCAAATTTGAACAATGATAATTAGTGACATGGAAGCAGATTTGAACTGGGTTGAATTATATAATCAATTACTTAGAAAAGATCAGAACCTTTAGTCGATTAATTGGAGGTCAGTTACAAAAGTAAAATTGATTAAAATAATCTTAAAGTTAGTGAATTAATTTACATTTACTTAATAAGATTCTTAATGATATTACCAGGAGAAAAGATGTTTTGTAATAAGCCCATACCAGTAAAACTCTTGGCGACCTTAATATTTTCCACACCTTGTTCTACATATTCGTTAGCTAGTTGTACATTTTGTTGGATAACTTCAATTCCTTCTCCTTGTTCCTTTACCATTTCATTCAAATCAACAAAGCATTGATGCAATTCGTAATAGTTAGTTTCCAAGTCTTTCAATTCTCTATTAGTTTCGAGGGCGATTTGTTTCTCAACGTCCAATGTTCCTTGATCGGCACTACTAAGGACGAATTTGTTTTGTTCGAGGGCTTGAGCTTGCTGTCCAAGATCATCATCTTCTTCTTCGTCACCATTATTACGGGAAGCACTGGAAGATTTAGTTCTGTTGGAAGAACCATTCTTGGCTGATGATTTATCTCCATTCTTATTGGAAAACATGGCATCTAAATCATCATCACCATATTTAAACAATTGAGATCTCTTCATACTCTTTTCACTATCACGATAGTCTTGAATACATTTTTCATATTGTTTACATAATTCCTTAAACTGAGATTGTAACTTGTTAAATTGTACTTTTTGTGCTGATGAAACGCCTCCAATTGAGGAATCCAAACCACCAGCAACAGAATCAGTATCACTACCTAAATCATAACCGGATGATGATTCCATCTTCTTTTTAGAGAAACGAAGTAAGCCCTTTTGAATGGCATCTCTACTCTTTTGAATTTTATCCTTTGAAACTTTAATTTTGGATCTCAACCTCTCGGAATCCTTATTATTATTCAGAGTATCAAGAGCGGATTTACCATTCTTACCATTAGATGATTCGTAATTTCTCAACAAGTGCTTTACATTTCTTTCCATATTATGAATACTAGCAGCAAATTGTTGAATAAATGTACTCAAATCTTCAATGGAATTAATTTTTAATTCATTAATTTCTACATCACCAGATTGCAAGTTAGATTTAGATCCACGAATGCCGTTCGGAGAGGTGATATTTTGTTTCTTTTGTTGATTAGACAAAGAAACGGCTGAATCAATTGAAGACTGAGCTCCTACGCCCCACCATCCACTCATTTTTTTAATAAATTGATGATGATGAAGATTCTATAAAAAGTTTGTTTACAGTTTACAATTACGGAAAGATAAAATTGGTGTGAAATTGAAATATCTTTTCAGATGTTCTACTACCACTACTCAAGGTGGATTTATTGCAAAATTAGTGTTCTCAATAAATTGTTCAATTAATTGAATAATAAATTATTGATTTTATTATTAATAATTAAAAAAATGAATCCACAAAGAATTAAACAAACGGTTGATAAATTAAGATCAATTCCTCTCCGACAACATTGGGATAAGATTAAATTTGAAGTTAAATGGAGATGGGAAGATATTAAACATGAACATTCTGCTGGTATTCCGAATGATCCAGGTGAACCAGAACCTAAGAAAATACCACTCTCTGCTCAACCTAAAATAATTCGTGATACTCTTGTGGATACCTTTACGGAAATTAAAGATGGAGTCATGTACTATGTTAATATGTTTAAAAAGAATAATGAAAGTTGGGATAGTCAATATAGGGAAGAAGTTGGAGAATCAATGGTCATTCCAAGAAATGATAAAAAAGAAAATCAACAAGAACCCGAAAAACAATTTACAAATTCATTACATGATTGGGAAAAATTCCAAACAAAATTTCAACATATTGTTAGATCTAGATTTATGCTCGTTCAAACATGTATAAGGCAATTTATGATTGGATATAATGAAGGAATGGGAAGAGATATTGAATCATTTAAAAAGAGGAAGGAATTATCTGATTTATTAGGAACAAATCAAATGTTTAATAAGGATCAATGGATGGATCAAGTTAAAAATGTTGCGAGTGGAATTAAAAAGTTTAGAGAAGAAATGCATGATATTGCAGTGATTAAAGATGATGATCAATTACTGAAAGAGGATTTACAAAAGGCTGAGCTCATTTCTCAGCAGGATTCAAAAGTACTATTGAATAATGAAATCAATGAAAAATCACCATCAAATCATGATGAAACAAATAATAATAATAATACTATCCAAAATAAATCATCTTAGAGACTTATCCAATAAACACTGGTTATACAATACAAATTCTGTCCTTCAAACTTGTCAATATAACTGTCGTCAGTTGTTTCCCAATAACAAGATGATGCCGTATGGAAACCAGCTCCGTTATTTTGTACAATCACACAAGTAACAATATATTTGAATGGCTTTGAAAGACCTGTTGTTGCCTTCATTGTTTTATCAATAATATTATTAACCCAGTGAGTCACTTTAGAATGATCATAGGGCGTATCATGTTGTATAACACTTTCAACAGCATCCTTCACTATTCTTTGAATCTTTTCCTTATCCAAGGCTAAATCCTTCTCGTTGTGCATTGACATTTTTTTGTAGTTAATACTGGCGCCAAAATACTTTAAAATAATTAAAAATACAAGTCACTTTTATTAAAATGTTATTTTTGTTGTTGAAAACTTCTAACGAATTCCATTCTTCTTTCAAATCACGTTTTTTTAATAATAAATTTAAATTGTTGTTGTGAGTGGATAATTTATTATCAAAAAAAAATGCAAAACCCGATACCTACAAAAACCTTTCAACATTTTGAAAAGAATTTGAAAGTGTTGGAGGAGAGTTTAAATAAAAGCTCTCAAATCAAGGATCAGATTGTATCTATTCTAGATCGATTTGAAAATCGATTTTCAAAATTGGAGCAGGAAATGACGAGCATGAATGATAGAATTGATGTTTTAAAGATGGCTCATGATAATATTGATTCTACAATTAAAAGTGTGGATCTTACTCTGGAAAAGTATAATAGACCACAAATGTTCGAAAAGAGGATTGAAAAAGGAATTGCTAATGATTTGGAAGGCTTTCTCGGAGTTGTCAAACAAAATGATGAAACTATTACCTTCTTCTCAAAACATAGTAATTATAAAGGTGCTGATAAATTAAAAGACAAATGTCTTTCGTTGAGACAAAAATCAGTTCAAATATTGGAAGCCGAATTTTCTAACATTCTTCAAACTGTTAGTGCCAAAGCACCAGCTAATGACCCTTTCAGATATAGAAAGGAAGATTTGGAAAGGGATGATTTTGATTTAACTTATGATTTAATTCCTTCGGAGAAGATTGATCAATTATCTACAATTGCTCAAAAATTGGAATTTTACAGTAAAATTGATTATAGAAGAACATACATTCAATACAGATCCAAGTGCATTACAACAGCTCTTAATGTACTTATACCAGAAAAGAAGGATAAAGCATTGCAAGTTCCAACAAATTTGAATGCTATCAAACAATTGAAAAAGAAGGATGATGATATGATTCTTAGTCAGAAATACTACAAGAAGGGTTCTCATCCATTCATATTTTACATGAACTTTTACTTGAAACTGTTGGAATCTGAAAGAAAGATTGCACTGAAAGTTGTCAGTGTTGACTACCAAAAGAATCAAATTTATGGTGACGTTGTTTCTCCAAGTTTAAAGATATTCAAAGAACAAGCAGAAGATTTGGCAGATAAGAATAGAACTAGTGAAAAGGTGTTTGTCATGCTAGATATTTTGGAAAACTTTGAGAATAAGCTTTTGAAAAATTTCGAAGAAGTTTTGGCTCACACTCAACATTTGCAAGCATTCAAGACCTTATCTGAAACATTCAAGAATAATATTAATGATTTACTGACAGATTTTCATAAGAATATTCATACCAATCAAATCAAAGCATTTGAGGATGGTGTTGTCCATCAAGCTACAAGTAATGCATTCTCCTTCATGAAGAGACTACTTGAATACCCATCCATTGAGAATATCCTCAAACAGAAGAGATTCGACACTGATAGAATGTTTGGTTATAGTGACATTAAGACCTACTTTGCCAAATATTTATTACAATTGATAGAGGCTGTTGAGCATAATATTGATGAAAAGAAAAAGCAATACAGCACAAAACAAAAGAGTCTTGCTTCTCTTTTCGTGCTGAACAATCACTATTATATTTTCAAGAATTTACAAGATGCCAAAATCAAGAAGCATGTTCCTGAAGCCAAACAAAGAGAATACAAGAAGTTAAAGGAAGATGATACCAACTCATACATAAGAGCTACCTGGGATGATGTTCTTTCACATTTCAGAGACCAAGAAAAGTTAAAACCTGATAAGAATGGAAAGTATCCAAAGAAAGAGATTAAGAAGAGATTTTCCAAATTCAACGAACTATTCCAAGCTATTTACATGATTCAGAGAACATACTGCATCAGGGATATAGAACTAAAGGAAGAGCTCAGAGACAAAACTCGTGAAGAAGTTATACCTGTATATACACAATTTGTTGAAAAGTACAAAAATACCGAATTCAGTAAGAATGTTACAAAGTACGTTTCATATGATTCCAAAACTCTTGGTTCAATGATAGATCAATTCTTTGATGAAGAACGAAACTTGGATGAAGAAGAAGAAATGACAAATTTCGACGATTAAGCTGTATAGAACAATGTAAATAATAATTCTGGTGTCCACTGGATGAAAGAGTATTTATTAAATTAATTCCTCTAGACATTAATTGTTCATTGTTAGTACGTAATTAATGCAGTCAGCTTACACTTTATTTACCTCAAAACAATAGGTTTGAATTTATTGGACGGTGAGCAAATAATATCCCTCTTGTCTCTGGACATTTTACGCTTTTGTGAAATTTCAAGAGACATGAGTCTTAACTTACAATGAGATACACCCAAATGGCTCAAATCTGGCAGGCTTGGTGGTGGAGTTACAATGATTTGAACTTGCTCATTTCCAAGATTTTCATTGAGTGGTGGTAATGATTGATATGATGAGGAAAGAGATTGGTCGATAACAACCAAGTCGTCATCTTCTGATTTTCCTCTTGATTTGTCAAATGCATTTGTTATAAAAGATACAATTAAGCCACTTGCATCCGATACAACAATCGACTTTCTTGCTTGCTTTCCAAAAGTCAGTTGAGGAAGCTTTGATGGAGAATCTGACATTTGAGGTCTTAAATCTATGACATTGAGAATTAGTATATGTTGGAATTAGAATTTTTGATACTGGAGGAATGGTAGCAGTACTTGGATTCGGTGAGTGATGAATAATGAAATTTGATTCACTTTCAACCTTTGGAAGTGGCGAGAAGTCAACAACTGGAGTAAAACCTGCAATCTTTCCAAATGAGCCATTGGATTGGTTAGAGGAATTTTCTTGACTTCTATGAAGAGTAGCACCAACCCTCTTTGAAAAGATCAAGTCATCATTACTTCGATGTACATATCGTTTCTTATCCTGTGCGGTAGAATTATTAAGGGAGTGCCTCTTCTTCCTTTGCTGTAGAGTAATCATGACTGTGCGAAGATGAACCATTCAATGAACGTGAGGCTCGACCTTCTCTTCTCCTACCATCATTAGAATGATCAGAATGGTGGTATGGTGTTGCTCTTGGTTTGTAATGATGTCTCCTCTCAATCATCAGGGTAGGAGTTGTGTGTGTAATGGACGTGTTCGATCCCATCACTACGCGCCACTGAATCAGTTTGTTTTTTTTTCAATTGTGTCTCTAACAAAGAGTGCAGTTCCTGAAACATTCAAAAATATTAAGGGTGACCAAATTGGGAACAAGTCTTTGTTTGGGCAAGGTGCCATCCAACAAATTAGCATTCCGTATCATTTAGAATCTGCTTGTCCTATATCTAGACTTTTGGACTTTAAGTCTATTTAGAATGGTTTTCTTAATAAACTTCTTGGTGAATTTTACCAAAATAGCTGCAATTTAAATTTGTTTCAAGTTTCAATGGGGGAACATACTTTACAAACATACTTTACAAGAGAATTACAAAATTTATTTAGTTTTTAAACTCAAATAGTTTGGTTGAAAAGAATTATTCTGACTTAGGCTTGGCAACAACTGGCTTGCTTGATCCAAAGTACTTTCTAACGAAGAAGTCAACGAACAAATACAAGTATGAACCGTACATAAGAACGCAGCTGAGCATAATTTCATAAGGAGCATAACAAGTACAATTTTCATCGATTGAGAGTCCCTTTTCCTTATTTTCGAACCACTTCATGGCAAAGATGACGTTACAGACAATACCCAAAATCATTTGAGAAATTTGTCCAATAGTCAAGAGGAAATTCCAGCTTGGTCTGAAACCCAATTCAGTCAAAGCATAGTAATAGTACATGAAAGTGTGAATGAGAGAGTTCATGATAATGAAACAATATCCGACAGCATATTGAGTATAAACAGCATACCAAGTGAAACACAAAACGGTCAAGTGGTGGAACCAGTGCAAGAATGGAACTTTACGGTCTGGATGCTTGATAACCAACAAGACAGTGTCGAAGAGTTCTAAATACTTAGAGAGAGCAAAGATGTAGGCCCAAACAATGTGTGGATAACCTTCAGCAGCACCAACAGCCTTCTTTTGTTCACAAATCAAACCTGGCATAGAATAATTGTATTCATTCTTCAAGAGGTTGAAGTATGGGATAGCAGTACCTAACAACATGGCAAGTGACAAAATACACAAGAAAATATTCCACAAGAACATGACAGTCTTCAAAATTGGTCTGGAAGCATTCTTATCTGGTTTTGGAAGCATCTTTGGCAAAACAAAGACAATGAACAAGTAGATAATTACTGAAGAAATTGGGAGAACGTTTGTCCATTCCTTCATGAAGTAAGTTTGGTCCAATGTAAGTCTAAACTTTTCATGATATGAAGTGGAAAGGAAGTTAACATCCATGAGTTTGGATGGTTCAGCAACAACCTCACGATAGAAGGCGAGCAATGGTTCTTTGAGAAGGAGAGGCATAGTACTATTTACCAAAATACACGTGGCAATTTTAACAATTGTTAAAATAATTTACAACGTAGCAATATTGTTATCATCAAATAAAGATAACGTGTATCCATCCAGCAAGTGTCAATTAAAATCACACATGGAAGTTCCACATGTTATACCATGAAACAAAAGGAGAAAAAAATTGAAAATGGAGTGCATGTGGATATTTCACGTCATCCAAGTTGTTGGAAAATAATATGAATAATTTGTATGTAGAACCAGCCGAAGAGCAATTTAACAAAGCGCAGCGCATAATTTGTTGTTAGCACCAACAACAACACTCATAACATACCTCGTAAAACACTAGGAAATTTTTTTTCAAAATTTTTTAATTTTTTAAAATTTTATGGGCGAGAATGATGCGATTTTGGCGCCAATTCACAAATCAGAACCGAGATTATGTTTCTAACCGTTGAGATTGTTTGAAGGAAATCACAAAAAGTCATTGGGTAACATCCTTCGGAAGCCGGTTTTTTTGATTACGAAGATAACAAGTGAGGGAGAATTAACTTTTTATTGAGGGCACCAGTAACAGAGAGCAACAGTTCTTATTAATATTCTTTTTCTTGAAAGAATGAAGAGCATTAAGGAAAATAGTGTTATCTAAAATTACTAAATGACAACTACAGCGTTGTAATAATATTTAAAAATAATATTAACAAAAAATGGCTCAACACATTCATTCACCACAAGAATTCAATCAAGTTCTCTCCTCCAGCAGTACTGCCGCCAAAGTGGTGATGGCAGATTTCTATGCAAATTGGTGCAGTCCTTGCCGACAAATCGCTCCGACTGTTGAACAATTGGCAACCCAATATCAACACTGTATCAATGTTGTTAAAGTTAATGTGGATCATCATGATGAACTTGCTGATAAATATCATGTGAATCAAATGCCAAGTTTTATCTTTCTCAAGGATGGTAAAGTTGTGGACCGTTTTATTGGTAATAATCCAACCATGTTGAGAGAGGCAATGCAAAAGAATTGTTTCACCAATTAATTATTAATTTTGAAATTATTGATACGATTTAAATATTAGAGAGGAATCACAAAGATGATAATAATATCTGTTATTTGTTGTGCATTGTATGGTGGAAGAGAGAATCAAATAATGGAAGAGATTTTGGCTTTCGGAATACTTTATAAATCATAATTTGATATAATTTAGGAGCTTTTTTGTGAATGACTGAAATGAATTTGATAGAAGTTTATTTTTGTGATAATGCTGCTAGTTGATAACAACATCTTCGGCTTCCAACTCTTCATCAACCATTTCTTGTTGGTCTTCTTCGTCTTCACTTATTAATCTTTGATATTCTTCTTTAGCATAGATGGCCCAAACATTGTTGGTGCCAAAAGTTCCTCTTTGTTCAAATACAAAGAATTTTGTAAGATTGAACAAAATATTGAAGAATATTGGTGACATTTTTGATTTCTTAATGTCAGCTAATGTAATCACATCTCTATTCTTTGGTTTTAACATATCTATTATTTGGCAATGGATGTCGCTGAAAGAAATTTCTGGATCATATTGTTTGATACGTTCTTTTTGTTCTGAAAATACTTGCTCCAACTCGTAGAGGCTCAATACTCCATCTCCATCAATATCTACACATCTAAACCAGTATTCTTGAGCAACTGGTGTAGTTTTATCTTCTTCAGAGAGGCAAAACCACACAAAATCTTCGTATGACATCATGTTTGGGTTTTTACCAGTTAGCTTTTTACCAAATCCACTCATAATTCTATCAATAATAAACTCTGTTAAACAGCTATCTCCATAAATTAATAAGTCATCTTTAGAGAGCATACCATCTCTGTCTGTATCCAATTCCCAGAACTTGCAGAAAAGAACATAAAAATGCTCGTATGCAAAGTAATTAATCTCATTATTGGTATCTTGCTCCTTGTCTAATAATTTAAAGGTTTCTACAAGATTACTATTTTTGAACTCTCTCAGATATATTTTCCCAATCGATGAAGATTTGGAAAGTCCATAGAAAATTCTAATAATCACTGTCTCTGCATATTTCTCTTGAAATTGAGGAGCTTGTTCTAAAAATCTTAATCCAGGATGATTGGCCAATATTTCTCTCAAAAGTAACTTGAAATCAGATGGAACAATAAAGTCATTATTTTTCTGTTTGATTACATTAAAATATCTATAGCTCTCGTTATCAAATTGCATATTTTGTTTCCAATAATCTTCAAACATTTCACATGTTACAACTCCCATCCCAAATTCATCTATTCTAGAAAATAAATGAAATCTAAAAAATGATGGAAAGTCACAAATATCGGTTATCAATTTTCCAAATTGCTCCAAAGTAACACCGGTTGGATATCCTAGGAAGAATTGCTTAATCTTGATGAAATCCTCCTTAATTTTGGAGGTGGTTGTAATCTTTTCGTTAGGAAAGTAAAACCTTGGAATTTTTGAGAATGAAGCATCATCTACACTCATTTTCATCTTCTTCTTTTGGCTTTCATAGTTAATTGCTACGTTTTGAAGCTCTTGAAGTTTTCTTTGTAAAATTCCTGTTTTGATTTGAGTATTATCTTCCAAGTCATCTGAAAAGTTCAACTTTTTTCTGATACTGTTAATAGAAGGGTGATGTGCAATTTCCACATCAAGATTGGTTGGTTTAGAGGACCGTGTTGGGGAGTGGATTGGAGATTTAGGAGGAGTAGATGAACCTGTAGATAAATTAGAAAAGTAATGAGGAGTGATGTTTTGAAGGGAGTTTGAAATAGACACTATACTTCCGGGTTGATCTGTCAGAACAGTAGTAAACATGGTTTCATTTTGTGGATTGATAGGAGGTGGATGGGAATGATGATGAGAATGATGGCTAGGTTCGTTATGTGAGAGTTTGTGTTGCATTGAAAAATCTACTTCATCTACTATTACTTGTGATTTTGAAGATCTGTTTGGGGAGGAAAACATTTTAGGGGAGGACATCTTTGAATTGTTGGAAAGTTTGGAGGGAGATGTTTTAAGAGTTGGTTGTTGTTGGATCATTGGATCCGATGATGAAAATCTATTATTTTCACTTCCTAAATATTGTACGTCGGATTTCATTTGAGTTAAAGGCATTGAAGATGAGGAGCTTGCTTCACTAAGTTTAAAATCCATTGTAGAATTCTGGGATCTTGAAGATAGTTGGCTTGACGATGACAAATCCATCATGCTAACATTTGGGGAGTTACTCGGAGATTGCATTAATGGTGATGAAATGGATTCATTAAAAGACTCCATGTATTCAAACATGAGGTGTTGTGATTCCTTCTTACCAATCCAATATAGATACAATTCGTTTAGCTTTTGTTTAGCGTACTGATTAAGTTCAGAAGGAGAATCACTATCCTTTGTTTTGGGAGAGGATATAAGAGATGAAGAGGGCACGACTGATGGATTCTGTGTCGAATAGGAAGATGTTGTTGTTTGATGATCAAAATCCATCGTCTATCGGCTACTTTGTAGGATATCTACTTTAAAAGTTGCTTTAATTCTTCTAGATATTGCAAGTTCCGGAACGAGGCCGTTGGATGAAAACAATATTTTCAATGGGGAGAAAAGGATATTTCGACCGTTAAGATGAACACAATTAAATATTTTTTTGTTTAATTAAACGTTTGTGTTGGCGCCTTTTTTTTAAATTTATTTTTAAAATGTGCAAATATTATCACAGTTTTATTGTCCAATGAAGTGAGTGATAATTGGTGTTTGCTAAAGAATTGACCTTAATAAAAACTCAAAAAGTAAATAAAAATAAACTTTAATTACTCTTTCTAGCAATGTTCTTATAACCACTACCAACACAACTCAAAACAATTGTTCGTGAATCATGCTCAGGAGTAATCTTGAAAACAACACCCAAAAAGTCCTTTAAATGTCTCAGATAAGCAATTGAATAAGAGTTAAGTTTTCCAATTCTAATCTTTGAAACATCTTCACTAGTTAAAGCCATTAAATAAAGCATATACCACTGATTAATTGAATCAACACAACCACCTTTGTGAATTTCTTCAAATAATAATTTAGCACAATGTTTACCAACATCTTCAGGTATTTTCATCCATTCAGAATCTCCACTTAAATCCTTACTAGTTGGAATAACTTCGTGTGTTTGATCTGGAACATATTCAGTTGTGATTCTACAACCAGTGTCAGTTTCAGCTTGTAAATAAATAGCCCAACCAGGAGATGAACCACTTGTTTTACCACCATAGTGATCTGTGTGAATCCAAATATCAGGAATGTATAAATTTAACATTTGTCTGGCACCATCAACAAGTCTATTACTAACAGTTGGTGCAACACGTGTACTATATGCAATACCTCTAACTCTCTTAATCATACCTTCATCAAGAACTTGAATTGGATTTAATTGATCCTTAACCATTGGGCATTCAAATCTGACTTCACCTCCACCTAATGGTAAAGCACCTCTCTTCAAAATTTGTAAACTAATTGGGGCAACTGGTTGATTTTGTTTTTTCGTAAAATGATCGAACAAGTGAAGTGTACAATTACGATACATATCAACTGAAACATCTAATGGATGATTTGTAATACCTTTTAATAAGATATCAGATGATGTTTTTCCAAATGGACAAAGACAAATTAAAGCTTCAATATAATATCCAATACCACGTTCTAATCCACAATCAAAAGCCAATGAACCAATTCCACTTCCAACAATAACACCTGGTTTATAGCTAACTCTTGTACCTGTTGAATCAATTTCTATTTTACTTCCTTTAGTAATTTTATCAATCAAAAGAAGGAAATTACGTTCAAATTCTCTAATACCACCATGATTTGGTCTGATATTACTAATTTGAATTGGTCTATTAGAAATGGTTGATAATATTATTCTCATACGGAATGATTTGGCTCCATTTAAAAAGAGAGTATTACTACTTGAGGTTGTTGTGGTTGTTGAAGCTTGTGAGGTCGATGATATCAATGATTTACCGGGTGTTGTTGTTGTTGTTGGTGTCTTTTTACTACGTTGTCTCCATTCTTCTCTATCTTTCCGGTTTTCTTGTTCCTTTTGTTGGTCACGTTGTTTTTGTTTAGCAAGAAATTGTTGCATTTTTTTCCAATTTTTTTTAAAATCAATTAAATATTTGAACAAGAATTGATGATAGTGAGAGAAAAACTGGGAAAATATCAACTCACTAGTTTAATGATTCTTATTTGCTCCTTAATCATAATCTATAATGAACCAAGAGTTAATCCATCATTCATTAGTAACCAATTTGAAAAGCCTTTTTAATAATTGGAAGGAATCAAAAAAAAACCGTAGTTTGGAACATCAAGGGACTTGATCTAGTTTAGCCTAATACTAGAACTCGTCAGCACTTACTGTTTGATTTTCAATAAAAAACCACAAATTCATCATCATGGGTGTTACCTTCTTCAAAATTCCTTCATCATGGTTTAAAAAACTCATTCCTATTGAAAACCATCAATTCCCCATAATTTTTTACAACCAATCTGTTCGATCATCAAATCTTTCATTATCAGAACTTTTTTACACACGATTTCACAAATGTTTTTAATTATCTAAAAATAACTTTTTAATATCCTTGGAAGAAGGAACTCGATACAAGCCTTGGTAAACCATTCAATCCTGATTTTCTCACAACATCCACTTCTCATCATTATCTCTTCAAATGATTGGATGAAAGTCTCTTCATAAAAAAGTCGAAAAGACATTATCGAAAAGAGAGAAAAAAAACGATAATCAAAGAAATTTACCCACCACCACAATTCAATTAAAAGAGAGTAAAATTTAATTTGATCATCATCATGGGAAGTAAAAATTCAAAAAGAGACGGAAGGGACGATATCAACAATATCGAAACTAAACATAATATTGCTACACAGCCAACTAATTCCAATACAACTTCTACAACTACTACTACTTCTAATACAAATAACAACACTACTCAACAACAATGGGAAGAAATTCTCAAGTTTCCTCTTCCTTCATTAGGAGACATGAAGAAAATTGTTGAAGAAAAATTACTTACCAATGATATTTACAGTGCCAAATTAAAACATAATAGACCATTGTTGGAGAAATTTAGAGATGCTCTCTGTGTTAAAGATGAATTAATTAAAACTTATTTGACAACTGACTGGGCAGAAACTAAGAAATTAACAATGGAAATGATGAGTCAATGTGAAAGATCGACTAGTGCACTTCAAAGTACTGTCAGTCAATCAACAGCTGTTGCTGATGTCGGCGTGGTGACAAACAATGAAGTTGATGACGAAGATGAATTGGGAGTCGTTGAACAAGAAGAAAATCCTGACATTATTAATATGGGACAAGCTAAAATCAAGATTAAGTTTATTGTTTCGGAGGTTTCTCATACTGCTTCAAAGAGAGCTATTAGACGTTTAATTTCACCAGTTGTCTCTGCCTTTGATGATACATTCCCAGAGTAAGTTTCTAATAATATATCTGTGGAAGAAATTTTTAACACTTATCATTTTACTAATTGAATAATTCAAACCTGTTTATAGACTCGGCATGTTTCACAGCGCCTTACTGATAGGTCCATGGAAATTGGAATACAACAATAGTGCATTGTGTGTGGTAAGTGGTTTACTTTCATTTAATACGAATAATTATGTGAAATATTGAAATAGCCAAGAAAATGTGTCAGTACTGCTTCTCTCATTACTGCTGATTTGGGATCAATAACACTTGATGAAAGTTTGGATGTTCTAGTTTCAAAATTGGCTGATGTTATTATCAGATGGAATACACTCATGTTTTACAAAGATCATGGTGGAACTGGTAAATTTGGTAATTGTCAAGATTTTGTTGATAGTGTTCTCCATGCAATTGGAGTCTCCAAGGATAAATTATATCAAGGTCCAATGGCTGAATTTTTGAAAGATATGAGAACGAGAGGCAAATGTGATCTTGTTTTCAAAATGGATTCTGCTTTTAAAAAGAAATTTAACAGAGCAGAATCTGAAAAGGTTTTTAAAACCCATCTTGAATTGGATACATTTGTTTCAGAGCTTTTCGACATTGATCATCAATTTGATAGAAATCATCCATTAGAATATAATTTCCTGAAGAGCTTTGATAGATCTTTCTGGTTGAAGCATTTGAGATTCCCTGAGGAACATAAACCATTACAAAAAGAAGAGACCGATGACGAAGGTGTTGTCGTTCAGGTTTGCAATTGTCCATTCAAGGATCCAAGAGAGACCTACAGCATTGTTTTCAACTAGAATAAATACCAACAACAACAACTAGATTTTAACCTAATCCTTCTCCTATTAATTTTATTTGCAATTTGCCTCAAACATTTCTTCAAGCTCTCTAAAACTTTGAAATCGTTTCAAAATTGACCACATAATCATCACATGTTCAAATTATCAAGAAAACTTCAAAATTTTTTTGTGGTGAAAAACTTCAAAAACACAAAGTAGAAAAAAATGGGCAGAAATATGCAGAGAGGTTTGCTTCGTAGAGGCAAAAACAGAAAAGAATTGGAAAAGTCACGAAAAGCGGCATCAACCAAAAAGGCCCAACGATTGGAAAATATCGGAATTATGGCTTCAAAGGATGTGGATGAATCTGCTAGGGTTTATGAAGAACAATTCGAGAAGGGATTAAATAAACCAATCAAAGGAAGAGAGGATCGTTATGTGTCGAATAAGAATAAGGCTATTATGGATTTTATTGCACAATCAAAGAATGCTCCTCCAGCATCTACTACTACTACGAATAATGCTTCAACAACAAAAAAGAGAAGATTGAATATTGATAATGGAAATGGACCGATTGTGGAAAAATCAGCCAAACAAAGAAAAGTTGAAAAGAATACATCTGCTGTTTTTGCATCAAATGTGGAAGTGGTGACATCGACTGATGGCAGTACTGTCACTAATAGATCTACCACTGCTACTGCTAATAGTGTAAATAATGGATCATCTGATGATGGAACTGTAAGAAGACAAAATGCAGGAAAATCAATGAATGTGTTCACAAATACTCGAGGTGCTCTAGTTACTGCCATTAAGACTGGTAATTTGGATCTTGTTCCAGAATCACTTAAAGGACTTTCAACTTTACCAAATGAAACAACCAAGGCCAAACTTAAAAAGAAGGTCTATTTCAAGATGAAGAAGGAAAAGGAAGCTTTGAAGAAATTAAAGAAGAAATTAGCTCAAGAAACAGCTCTTGATAAATCAAAGGTCAAGAAACACAAGATGAAGAATGCTAAATTTGAAGATCTTGACGAATTTTTGGATGAAAAGGAATACGGAAAGAATGAAAGAAAACGTAACGAAACTCTTCTGTCTCTTGGAAAGGACGAAGTTGCAGATGAAGTTGGCTATGATTCTGAAGATTTGATGGAAGAAAAGAGAGATGAAGTTGCATTTGGTGAAGTTGCTCAAGAACCACCTCGTCTCAGTAAATTGAGAGGAAACTTGGAAAAGAAGATTAAGGAAAAGAAGGAAGAGGATATTGCCTTGGAAAAGCAAAGAGAAGCTGAAAGACAACGTGTTGTTGAAAATTATAATAGAAACAAATTAATAAGACAGCAACAAAAGGAATCTGGTGTTGCTCCAACTGAACAAAAGCAAATGCTTGAAAAATTAAAAATGTTGGCCACTCTCAGAGGGATGGAAAATGAGTAAACTTACTACTTCATTAAATTACTTTATTTTTACATTTCATACTTTAAGGTTAATTTTCCACGATCTTCAATAACCTCAAATACTTCATATTTCTATTAGCATCTAGAACTCTTGCTTTACTTTTTTATTGAAACCTCCTGCATCTCCATCTGATTTTCTCTTGTGCGAAGAGGAAAGGCAATTCTGGTGAACGTAGAGGTTGCATGATTCATCATACACAGCACCTTTCAGCATCCATTCTGCTGTCTCTGAATTGTAGAACTTTTCTAATTCCTCATGACAAACTGGACATGTGTCTTGTTCAGTGTCGGCAACAATTTCGCCACTACCTTCATTCACATCTTTAGGTTTGGACTTGTTGGTATTGAAAGTAGCAAAGAAATCGACTGCTGAGAGGGCGGTTGTTGAGGCTGTTTTGGTGAGAGATTGAGGATTAAATGATTCTGAATCACCAAATATAATTGCTCCAGGGCATTGAATTGCTTCGGTTTCGTCATTATCCCTTAGCTTTATCCATTCATCTTCCCCAGAGTACCACTTTCTCGATAAATCCTTATTATTTCTAAAGAATTGATTCTTTCTTTGGTGAACATCTAAATGTTCTCCAAGTTGTTTCTGGGATGAGAATCTCACTCCACAGTTCATGCACTGTTTAGTGAGTGCCTCATACAGTCGATGCACTGGATTAGATGATGGTTTATTGGATTGTTGCTGAGAGGAGCTTTGCATCATGGAATGGGTTGAGGGAATATTTGAAAATTGATTTGTTTGTTGTGTGTTTTTTGAGGAATTTCCCGAATATGGGTTATTATTAATGTTGACACTGGTTGTTTGATTTGGAGGAGCATATGGATTAGGTCTCCCAATTTGTTGAGGAAGATTAATGCTCATTTTAGATGTCAATTGTTTAAACAAAGATGCTGTTTGAGGATCATTGATTAATTCAGGATTTCTTTGTAATTTTTCAAGAAGTGTTCCTAAAAGAGCTTGTTCGGATTGCTATTCAGTTTTTAAAGAATTGAAATATGAAATATTAATAAATAGTAGTACAATTAATAAACCTACATCAGATGAAGATCCAACTCGTTTCATTCCACTATTTGATGATTGTGGCTGTTGTTTTGGTGGTTGTTGGACAACTCTTTGTCCTCCTCCTTCTGCAACATCAATTCTATTCTTAATTTCCTTTGCTTTTTCTTCTCCAAATACTTCTCCCCAGGTTGAGAGGAGTTTTAAATATGATTTCTTAGAGTTTGGAATGTCTTTGTTTTGTTTATATGCATAGAAAAATACGTCTGAAATACTTTTCGAAAATTCTTGTATGTATGGTCCTCCAATCTTTTTTGCTATAGAATCCAAAAGGTAGAGAGCATAGAGTTTCTCTCCAGTTGGAGCCTAATAATTATTATAAAACAAGATCCAAATAAATTCCGAATATTAATTAATTCACAACAACAACAACTGTACGTACAGTATTAATTCTAGTACAAATTACTTTAGATATTTCCTTAGCATATTCAATGTTATCTTGTGCAATTTCTGTTAACACATAAATTTGCATGCTATCAGCTGTTTTAAGATCAGTCTGAAGAGCTTCACTAAAATCTTGCACAACTTCTGGTAAGTTTGACATTTTTATAATTTACTTTGTATTATTATAACAACAATATATACACTATTTTAAATGTTTATACAATTTAGTAGATTTGTATTGCAGAATATCCGAATATGTCCAATAATTGATTCCGCCTTCTTTAATCCAAATCTTCAAATATCTTTTTCTCAACAAATACACTCCAAAAAAAACAGTGATGGTTCAATGATGTTGGTGATTTTTCGCTTCCGGCAGGCAGGAACGTATGTCGTGATGATATTTTTTTTAAAATTAAAATTAAAAAAACAATTTGTTGCTGGCGCCATTATTCAAATCCTAGACATTTCAGTGACAATAAGCTCATCTCAATATTATTGGTGAAGATAAAACATCGATCAAATAGAAAAGAGATAATGTGAATATTAGTTTTTTTTATACAATTTTAAGGGAATGATCTTTGGCTTGTTCATAAAGCTCTTTGAGCCTTATCTCTAGCTCCTTCTTCTCGTTTTCATCTTTACAGACATTGAGTTCTTCCTTTACACTTTCAATTAGTGCTCTGAAAAGCATTTCATCCTCGTCGCTTGTTCCCACCCCTTCATATTTATCATTTAGTGAACTTGGTACAATCATTTGTGGATAGGAAGGTGATTGGAGGAAGGAATCATGATTGGCATGGGATGGATCTCTTGGAATTGCAATCTTGTTTGCTGTTTTCTTGTTTGGATCAGATTCAAAATATTCCTCGAAAAATTCAGCTTCTCCATTTTCAATGGCAACTATTATTGGTCAATTAGATCATGATTGAAAAGTATACTTACTCTGTCTTCCCTTATCTGTGACAACTCCAACATCATTCTTGTGGGCCATTGAACCCTTTGGTATGTCCTTATTTTCTAATTCCTTATCATTACTAACTAGGACATTGTAGAAAAATATACAGACTGAATCATACATGAAATCTGGTCTTGCACTATTGTGATCACCCTCGAATCTAATCATATTCTTGTCTCCAGCATAGGTTTCATAGAGCTTTTCAGAGTGATGAATTTTGATAAAATCATCATTCTCAGCATGAGCAAATAAACCTGGAACAAAACATGAACCTGCACACTCCAATGGACCACAAGCTCTAATGTCAAATCCTGCTTTTCCTATAATTGACTTTCTTATTAAATTAATTCCCATTTTAATCATTTTCTTTGGTATCCAAGATTGGTATGAGTGAACAAGTTCCATTGACAAATCTTCCAAAGATGTGAATGGACTGTCAACAACAATACCAGCAATACTTTGATCAGTAGATGCATACATGATACTTGTTGCTGCTCCCATAGATCTTCCCCACAATCCAATTCTGCTTACTCTCTTTGTTGACCAAAGATATTCCACCACTGTTCCAACATCTTGCTTTTCATAAAAACCCAGTGACACATAGTCACCTTCAGAAAGTCCAGATCCAGTAAAATCAAAAGCAAATACTGTAATATTGTATGGCAGTAAAATACTGAAAAGTTGACAGTTGGTGATGATGATTCTCATGATTGAAACTTACCTGACAGCATCAAGAGCATCACATCTAGATCCACAGTTACCATGACAATAAATAACACATGGTAATCGTTCTTTAGTTCTTTGTGATTCTATTGGTTGATAATGAGAGCATTCTATTGTCTTTCCTCTAGAATTTGTCAATGTAAAATCCTTTCTTTCAAATATACGATTGTCGAGAGTAAATAATTTAGGACCAAGAGCAATCGATGGTTCATATATACATCTTTGTGGACGAATTATTAAATTACAAATTTCATCCCACAAATTTCCAATATTCTTAATATTAAAATTCATAATGATGATGATAGAGATAGGTAGTAGTAATATTTGTAGAGTGATGATCTAACACAAATAGAACAAAAATTGAATAGTAAACTACTATTATAATAAATATATAAGAGATGATGATAACGATATTTTCGTTTCTTCTCTCAAAAGGCTAAATGTTTTAACTGTTTGATGGGAGGGAAGTATACTGGGTGGGTGGTGATGAATAATATTATACAACAAAAAATCGGCCAAAACAACTCTATATCAATATAACAACTCTATGGTAATACAACCCGTATTATTTCTTCAAAGTTGTTGTTGTTGTTTGTCAGACAATTGATGATGTTTGGAGATGTGTGAGTGTGCGAATATTTTTCTCTTGATAATTTTGCTTCTGAAATTCTTTGCTTCATGAAAACGTAACATTTCCAATCCTTAAATAGATAATACTTCCAATTATTATAAAGTAGCTAAATATGATTGGAATGGTACATGAAGCATTATTGAAGTATTGTGATAAATTGAATTGAAAATATGCTATTAGAGAAGATAAATATTGTAAAGAAAATGACAACTTGAAAGGATTCGAATACTTTGAAGTTTGAACTTGTAAATGAAATTGGTGGAACATTGTTCCGCATTCATTAATAAGCTTTGTTAATTTTAAGAGTACAAAGTTCACTCACATCCAAACTAAAAACCAAAAAAAAACGAAACAATGAGTGATTACAAGTTAGTTATTTTAGGTAGTGGTGGTGTCGGCAAAACAGCCTGCACAATCCAGTTCATTCAAGGAAGCTTTATTGAAAGATACGATCCAACAATTGTAAGTAGTCCAGTTAGTTCTTTTAGAACTCATTCATTTCAGGAGGATTCATATAGAAAACATTTTGAAGTCGATGGTGTCGTCAAGGTGTTGGACATTCTTGATACTGCTGGACAGGAGGAGTATTCTGCTTTGAGAGATTCATATATGAGAACTGGAGATGGTTTTGTTCTTGTCTTTGCCTTGAATGATCCAAGTTCATTGACTGATATCATGGATATTCATGAACAATTGTTAAGAAGCAAGGAATCTGATGAGGTACCAATTGTTTTGGTTGGTAATAAGTGTGATTTGGTTTCTGAGAGAGCCATTTCCAAGGAGGAATGTGAAGCAGCTGTCAAACAAATGGGTCCATACTGTAGATATGTTGAAGCCTCTGCCAGAACTAGAACTGGAATTGATGAGATTTTCAAATCTCTGGTCAAACTCATTGCAGGATACAGCCAAGATGTAGAAAATGGTGAAGTTGAGGATGAACCTACCGAAGATAAGACATCCAAACAAACCAATAAGAAGAAGAGAAAGGTTAAGGTTTGTTCCCTCATGTAAAATTGTTCTATTTCTTGCTTAGAAAAGGAACACAACAACTATATAGTCTGCGAGTTTAAATTGTAAAATAATAAAACCATGATTTCAAAACAACATTTTATCAAAGACTAAATCAAAAATCTTAATATAAATATTTTAATATTTGGTTAATTCACATCTTTATTTAGTCACACAACAACGCTTAACAATTTCGCCACAATATTTTTTCAATGCCTTAACAGGACGTAAGGATTGAATTTGTCAATTCTGCGGAGAGGTCATTCTATTAAGAGGAGGTTCTTGATGAGTGTGCCAATTTTCTCTTCCCTATCGATTGGCTCTTCGGTTGAACCTCTAAGAGCTTTTTGAGAAAAACAGCCTCAAAATCGGTTCATCAAATATTCAGGCCAAGTGTTGTTGTTTGCTGCCTTGTTTATTCAATTCCATCATCATAACAACAACCAATAATAACGCACCGTCAGGAAATACATTATTCTAACGATATTGTTGCATGTTAAAGATATCTTTCTGAATTTGTAATTCCATTTGTAAAATATTAATATAAATATTATTATTGGACAAAATGATGGCAGAAAAAGTGAGGAGTCTCGCTATATCAACAAGTGTTTCAAGTAATAATAGTGGAGGAAACACTCCTCATACACTCTCAGGAGGAAACAGTTCACCACTCTTAGCCCCAGTCCTTAAAGAATATGAAACTGGGCAAAGGAATTCGCTCGATGACTCACGTTCTGCTCTCAATGTAGCTTCCGATATATCAAAGGGGTCTGCAGCTAATCCAATGGATAAGATAAGTTATGTGAATGCCAAAATTGAACAATTTTCAATGATGATTTTATCCTTGTTAGTGAAATCGCCTATTCCTCAATGGTCACTTTTGATGTTCCATTGTTATTCGATAATTTATGGGACTTTGAGTATTAGTTTTGAGTCTGGTAGGTTGGATTTCCTGTATTTTGCATTTATTTATTTGTTTTTTTGTTAGAATTTAACTTTTCCAAAATTGGAGATATTGTAATTTTTTCACAATCAGCTCTCCGAACTTTTGGATCTGATTGGTACAGTTATGAATCTTTACAAATTATAGTCATTATTTTGTTTTCTTTCGAGTTATTAACTTTATTAAGTTTATATTTTTCATATTTAGCATTTAAAAACGGAAGTTCCTATTTAGGGAAATTCAAGTATTTCGTCAGAATATTTTTATGTATTTTTGCAATATTTAATTTGGTATTTACGTATTGGGCAACAACATTTATTGCATGTGATTATAATGAAAATTCATATCGACTCAGAAGATTTCCAAACGTAGAGTGTTGGTCCTTGTTTAATGGAATATTAGCTGGATTTTCAATTGTTTACATAATTGTACAAATTCCACTCACAATATTAGGTATTATAATAATCATTGAATCTAGTAGTTTGGGAATGAGAAGAAGACCATCCTTTCTTTCATTGGAATCATTTGAATTTATTGCAATATTTTCAATTCTCAACCAATTATATGTATTTATTTCTCAATTTATTCCTCCTCAAGTATTTATCATTAGACCATTGCTAAACGTCATCATTTCAATTTTACTATTTGTATATTTAATATTGAACATGCCTTTTTTAAATCATCGATTTGGCTCAATATATGGAGGAGTTATTTTAGCCAAACTTAGTGGTAGTGAAAGTGAAATTGTATCTCTCTACGTGAATACTACTAATGACATGCCAATAGGATTGTCTATTTTATTAGGAGGTGGAATATCAGGTTTGATAATTCTCTTTTTTATTGGTTTTGGAATTGTTGAAATTTACAATCTAATAATGAAGAGAGCTGCTCTCGAATACAGAAATCAAATGGACGGAGTTAGTTTTTTCAATCACAACTTTCCAGAGAAGTATCTAAAGAATTGTCTAAAATTGAAAATGCATGCTACTGAATTGGATGAGGAATTGATTAAATTTTGCATGAGTAAAAAGTCACAACTCAACATTTCAACTTTGATTGTGAGTGCAGTTTACACATCCATATTTCATGATAATCCTCTGTTTTCACTCAATACTTTGAGATATGCTAACAGACAATCAAATATCCTTCAACGATTAATAATCCAAACTAAAATACAGGAAATTGAGTTGAATTCAGGACAGCAGACAACTTCAGAGATTAGAACACTATTGGAGAGGCAACTAAATCTTCAGGAAAAGTTGAGATTTTTAAGAAAGTTCTTTTGGCAATACTTTGTTTCGAATGAAGATGATTTGGAAAAAATTGACTCACTAATTCATGAAATGTTCAATGTACAGGAGTCAATATTATCTATTTTCAATCACTTAATGTTGAACTACCCAGAAAATCAACAAATATTGAAGAGAAAGCAACAATTTTTTGCTGAGTTTTTATTTGAAAATAATGACTATATGGATGCTTTTCAAAATTCAGAAATTGATACAAAATCTTCAAGTATTGATTTAGATCGATCAAAGAGTTTCAAAAGATCAAGTTCTAAAATAATACCAATCAATGAATCTTTTACTAAAAAACAGTCATTCAGGTTGACTGAAAAAGTTTTCAGAGATTCTATTAACACTCATTTGAATTTGAAAAAGCAGAATATTTACTTGTTGATTATTCAATTTATTTCCATACTATTCATAACTGGGGCTATTATCACAAGTTTTATTGTTACTTCCAATGGAAGCGACATCATTACAATTAAGAATAGTTGCCAGCTATCGTTTATTCCTCATTCATTACTAAGAGAAGTAAAACTAGCCAGCCATTACCATTCCCTTGATTATTTCAATTACTTCAAGAGTAGAATATCCACTTTGGAAACTTTTCTAAATAAGGGGAAAATGAATCAGTATGGAGTATTGAAAAATACTGAACTAAACTATTATTCACAAAACAATTTCCCTGTCATTATTCCAACAATTTCAAAGAATGGAGTGGTGATCAATTATCAAAATGTATCCATCTCCACAATGATAACTGATTTGAATGTTATTGGAGATTCTATCAAGAATTGGAAATTTACAACTCTAGAAACACTCAATAGTAATTATGAATATTTGTACTTAGAATTGAACCACAACAGTACAAGTGAATATTTAACACGTTTCTGCCAATCTATGGTTAATGAAATGATTTCAAAACCATCAGATCAATTAATTATTGTATTCAGCACATTAATTGGCTCCTTCAGTATTGTGTTTATACTGTACTTAATATTTTCAAAGCTGTTTTTCAATACCAAAGAAAAGATCATTTCACTCTTCACTAAAATACCTAAAGATGTTGTTGGTATGATATTTCACTCATTGGAAAAGAAATTGTCAAGACAAAAATCGAATGAGAATCACAATATTTCTCCATCTTTTCTCAATTTCTCAAAGAAATTACTATTGATCGTGGTAATGACCTATTGTGTTTCAATTATATCATTATCTATATCATTTTGGGAGTCGATGGTTACTGATTCATATTCACACAGTGTAACATTTAAAATAAGTCATATGGGAAAATTTTTGAATTCAATTAGCAGTGAGCAGTTGATGCTTACTAATACTTACTTGGAAAGTAATACGTATAAATATAGTCTTCAATCAGGTCTAGAAGAATCATGGATTCTATTTAGGTATGGATCTGAACAATATCCAGAAAATGTCAAGCAATTTGCCTTAATGATGAATGAGGTTCTTGAAGATAGTTATACAAATGAAACAAGTTACAGCAACTCTATTCACATCACAGCTATTTCCGACATTTACTCCAATACCTCAAATAATTGTCATATTAAGTATGCGTGTGACGGTTTAGATTCATTAATTGAAAATTATGCCGTAATTATGGATAGCTTATATTCATCCAACATGGGATTGGAAAATGAAAATTTATTTATCAAATTAATTCAAATCAATAAGCTGATTAGCGATAAGATTGATTTGTTATCAACCTATTTAGTGAGCTCAATGATTGGGGTGAGAATTCCAATTTCTCTGGCCATCTACATCATAGCCTTATTCTTGATATTCATTAATTGCTTCTTTCACTATTCTCAATTAAACAAATACACTGAGGAATGCAATCACTTGAGAAGATTATTGAACATGCTACCAACTGACACAATTTCACATATTGAAGAAATTAAACAATTCGTATTGTTTTACAATTTGGGAGAGCGTAAGGAAAAGAGTAAAACAAGCAAATCACAAGCTATTTTAGATGGAGCAGTTGATGGAGTGATTGTCTTGAAAACCAACACGACTCTCGTTGAAATTATTAATCAATCTGCTTGTAAAATGTTAGGATACGCCATGAATGAAATAACAGATGTAATGGCACTCTTTGGTGAAGGTGAACAAGCTAGTAAATTGAAATTGCTCCTCGATGTCATGTTCTCAGCCAAGCAATCCATTGGCGAATATGTTGAACTAGAAGCATTGAGAAAGAATGGTTCGACTGTAGCTGTTGGAGTTTCTCTGTCTGTTTACATGTACGAAAATAAGAATCTAGTCACCATCTTGTTGCGAGACATTACATTTGAGAAGAAGTTTAAAATTCTACTCGAAGAGGAACGCAGGAAATCTGATTCTCTTTTGTTAAATATTTTGCCTGAACGTATTGCTGTGAGATTGAAAGCTGGTGAAACATGTATTTCAGAAAAGTTTGATGATGTTACTTGTCTGTATAGTGACATGGTTGGATTTACCAAAATGTCATCAACTTTGACAGCTACTGAGCTCATTCAATTATTGAATCACATTGTGAATGGATTTGATAATTTAACACACATGTTCGGATTGGAAAAGATAAAGACAATTGGAGATGCCTACTTCTGTGTAGGAGGCATGTCAAACCAATCGTCAGATCACCCCGAAAAGGTTATTCTATTCGCCACTCACATGTTATCAGTCATTACAAAATATAATGCGCAACAAAATAAGAATTTGAACATTAGAATTGGAATTCACTCAGGACCAGTTATTGCTGGATGTATTGGTAATCTCAAATTTGCATATGATTTGTGGGGAGAAACATTAACTATAGCTAATTGTAAGTTTTGTAATTTGAAAATTGATAATGACAATTTGCCAAGTGATGGAATCGAAGGGAATACCTGGAAGAATTCAAGTCAGCAGAAAGACTTATGAAAGAGTGTACGATATTTTCGAATTTGATGAAGTGAAAGGTTTGGAAATTAAACCATCAGTTGTGGTTTCAACTTATTTATTGAAAGAGAAACACCATGATATTTCTTTAATGACAGTTTCAGACCAATCATTCGAAGCCATGTTCTCAAATGTGAATTTACACTCACACGAAACTTATCAATTCCTTAAAATTGTTCAAGATACAGCATTTATCAATTTGTTTAAGGAATTCGTAAATGGAACTCCAAACTGTAAGTGTAGTTATGAAGGTTGAATCATTACAATACATTTCAATATTCATACAATTAGCTGATATTTTGGCTTTCTATTTACACGCCATTGAGTACAAGGATAATGCAAGCTCTCCAGTTAGATTTGGAATTGCTAAGCATTTAGTGAAGGAATATTTGGCAGAAAATGCTCCAAAGAGATTGAAATTTAAATACATGAAGAATGCATTTGGACCATTTCAAATTAAATTCAATGAATGTAATGAAGATAATTGTCCAGTTGACCTATTTGAAAACTTTTACAATTTGTCTGTTAGGGCACTCAAACACGAATTTCCAAGCTTTGTCAAATCAAAAATTTTCAGCAAATTCTTGGAACAAAAGAAGAGAAATCCAGAACAGTTGAGATCCTACATGAAAGGAGAAGGAGAATCATCAAGTGCAGATGAAGATGATGAGAAGGAATTTATTCTGTTTTGTGAAAAGTGTGGAACTGAAATTATTAATTTGGAAAATCACAGATTTAATGATTGGGAATTTGATAATAGAAAGGAATTATTACAAGATTTGAATCAGTGGAGAGTTATATTCGAAACTTCTGGTGGTAAAACTTATTTCGCACCAGAGGTTTCTCACAATCACCTTTCTAATTCAAGACGTCACGTGCAAATCAAGTACATTTATGATATGAATTGTACACATCACGAATTATTCAATGCCTGGATTGACCACGACTCGTATGGTACCAGGATTGACCATTTGATTCAATCTCAACAAATTGATTTCGTTAAAGTTGGAAAGTATGCGCATACTGTTTGTCATGAAATATTCAAAATGCCATTCCCACACAAGAATAGAGAGCTAGTTCATGCCTACAGTTGTCAATACGATAGAAAGGAAGAAGTTTACTTGTGCATATCTCGTTCCATCAACAATCCTAAAATGCCAATCAACAAATATAGAGCTGAGATTAAAACTGCATTCATGGTTAAGAGACTGACAGATACTTCGTGTCGTTATTACTATTCTATAATATTTGATCCGATGGGAAGTTGGTTGAAACCAGAATGGTATCATAAGAATTCATATAGAGAAACTCAACAAGAGTGTTTCCATGTTAAACTTGTTAAATTTGTTGATAAGAAACAGAAAGAAGGAAGAATTAGTAATCCATCTGGTCCAATAGTTGAATCTCTCAATTATTATTTGCAACAAGAGGAGGCGAGGTTGAAAAAGAAGTCTTTGAAGAAACAAGAAACACCTCAAAAACAACCAAACAACACTAGAATGCCATCAACGAAGAATCTCAACAGAAAGAATTCTAAAGCCACTCTTCCTACTACTGATTCACAGCTTCAGCAACAACAGCAACCAGCAACTAGTGGCTCACCACAATTGACTACTGTTCTGCAACCACCTGATGTTGTTGGAACAACATTGGATTTGAATAATACTGAAGAATATTTCGACAAGCAACCAAGTGTTATTAGTAATACCCCATCATTGAGGAATAGTTTGAATGCCATGAATTTGATAGATGAACATGTTCACCATGTCGAAAATTCTAATCGCACCCAACATATTACAAATCAAGAAAATGATCATGACAATAGTGAAACAGACCTAATTGATCAAACAGGTGGTGATTCTCAATAAATTTATTATTGGAAGCAACAACATTCCTTTACAGGATTTCTAAACTTTTTCTTTTGAGAAGCTCTAGGAGTAAATTCGTCCCGAATAATGTCGTTTTCCTTTTTAAAGTTATTATCAAATAATGGCTGTTTCTTAACATGCTTTCTTGTTCCTAAAGTTGATGGTGCTGATCTCTGTTTTCTAGCAGGAACAACATTAATAAACGTAGTGTCCAATTTAGTTTCAAACAATTTTGGACCATCATCTTGTGATGAGAATGACAATTGTCTTTCCAGTGGTTGCTCATTTTCAATATAGAACAAATCATCAAACATGACCATTTGAGATTCACTCTTTGTCTTTCTGAGTGGAATAATTCTGTTACTTCTTATTGAGAGAGGAGAGGAGCATCGTTGAGCTTCAACTTTAGCATCTTCTGTGGAAATAAGGAGTTTCATGTGTTTTCAAACTATTCGAGTTGTTAGATATTATCGTATTATTCAATTTGGAAGAGGGAGAAGGTTTTGGCATCTCATCCGAATAGCTTCTTACTTGTTCTCGTTTATCAACTGGTTTAAACCTTACTTGTTCCTTTAAACAATAGGGACAACTCAGTGAGGAACATTTAGCTGTTTTACCATGATCCAGTATATCTTCCATACAGTATTTACATATATATTGTGAACAACAGTCGACTTTGAAAATTTCTACAATTTATCATCACATGATAAACCGAACTAACTTCGGAACGCAATTACTTACTCTTAAAATACATCATACATATAGGACAATAGTACTTGAAGGCGTCCTTTTCCTTTCCATTGGGTGTATGTTCCAATCCATTCTTCATTCTGCAAACATGAATGTTCTGTGTGTTGGAAACTTTAGAACCATTGGCATAGTAGAAGGTTTGGGAGGGAGAGGTTACTTGAGGTGATGAAGGAGGTACTTCTTGAACTAATTGTTGCTGCTGTTGTTGAATTGGTGAAGAATTGCGATGAGCAATCGCTATCCTTAATGCTGTTGACATTTTTTTAAATTGAGGAAATTGAAACGTTTGCATTTTCAAAGTGGCGGTAACAATTTTGGCGCCAATAATTCAGTTACATTTATCAATGAATTCTAACACTAACTTGCAAGTTTTAACAACTTGGCTGGAAACTGTAAATTCCAATTATGTACCATACCATGCCATTCACATCTTGCAAAAAGTATCTCATTTTAGAAAAATGTAATTTATTTCACACATATTATCTTCTCTTATAGATACATGGCTTCAAGACATCAAGATTGGTAAAGTTTGGATCTTTGAGGGATTTTACCTCAGAGTAAGGCTTAACCTTATCAAATTCAAAAATTACAAAGTATCCATTTGGTGTGGATTGTTTTTGTAATTTAAATCCAAAATGTTCAACACATGAAACGAATTTTACGAATGGGTTAATCTTCTTCTTTGGTGATTTTGATGGAACTTCATCTTCCATAGTATTTGACTTTGTTTCCTCTGTTAAAAATCTTGATTCCAATTCTGCAATTCTCAAACAACCTCCTTGTTTACAAATCCTCGATGATTCTCTCAAATAATCATAAAAATTGGTGCCCATCAATGAAAGACAAAAGATGACACAATCAACACATTCCTCTGAGAGAGGTGTCTTTCTCATATCACAAGCTACAACTTTATCATTTGCAGCAACTAAATCAAAAGAGTGAATTGTCTTTTGCTTTGCATTCTTGGCAATTTCAGCTTCTCCACAACCCATATCAGCAACAACCCAGTTCAATGGTTTTCCATTTAAATATTTAATCATGTTTTTAACAGGTTGGAATGGCCACTTTTCCATTGATTGTCTATATCCATCATGATAAAGAGTGAACAGAGAAGGATCCTTTTCAAAGAGCAATTTTGCTTGATGACCTGTTGTGGTGTAAAGTTTTTCATTCAAGAAACGGAATTTAGATGATTTTAATTTCTCTTGGAATTCTTGTTGGAGGGATGTTAATTGAGAGGAAGAAGAACCCTGTTGTGTTGATGATGATGTTTTGTTTTGTTTCTTACTTGTTGTTGTTGGTGCCTGTTGTTGTTGTTTGATTGGAGTTTGTTGTTTTGTTGGTTTGCTATCAACCTTTCTTTTCTTTGCATCCGGAGAGGCAATAGAAATATCTTCTACTTTCTTGATGACAATTTCATCATCTTCCTCTTCAAATATTTCGGTTTCTTCCTTTCTCTTCTCAGCTTGTTTTCTCTTCTTGCTGTTATTGTTGAATATCTTTTGGTGTGGTGGCATTATTTTTGTTTGAATTTGAAATAATTTGTTGGTTTAAAAAATTGGCGCCAAATTCTCAACAAACTTTATGAAGTACTGCGAATATTTAAATATCATATTGAGCTCTTTATTACACCAACTATTTCACAATTTCACAAATTATTTTTGTTGCTTTAAGGAGTGTGATTGTATGACCAAATGTGATGACATAGTTTCAAGAACTTGTTCTACTAAAAGTCTATTTCTTGCCTCGGTTGCCCAATCTTCAATGACTTGTGTGACATTCTTTGGAGCAACACAGTAAGCCTTATTGATTTCATTGACAGCATCTGTTAATCTCTTTTGCTTTAAATAAAATTCAGCTCTGGATAAAATAGCTGGTAAAGAATCACCATCCACAAATCCTTCTTCAGCAACAACTCCTACAGATAAGGTCTTGGCCAAGAGGAGACCCATAAGACCAGTTTCTTCTGGTATAAGTGATGCCTCGATAGCCTTCTTTTTAACAATCTTGAATCTAGATGTCAAATCATCAAGTTTCAATACACCAGATTCTGTTATCGATTTTGGAATAGATTCTAAAGCAGCCTTCAAAAATTCATCATTATCTGATAATCTCTTAAGAGTATCAACTTCTGGCTTGAATGGAGCATTTGTTTGAAGAGTATCTTGCAAAGCCAAAACAGCAGCTGTCAAGTTTTGTAAATCAATATTATTTGAGAAATTAGCAGATGCAACCTTGAATGTTTCTTCCATAGCATAGACTTTGTTTGTCAATTCTTGGACATGTTTAGATCTATCAAGTACACTATCATAATATCCAATTAATAAACTATGGGCTTGTTCTTGCATCTTCTTTTCAAATTCATCAAGAATAGTTTCTCTTTCCTTGGCAATTAAAGCACTATATTCATTTTTAACAGATTCCATTTCAGATTCCAATTTCTTAATACTTTCTTCAGATTCAGATTGAACAGCACGTAATTTTTCTTGACTAATAGTCTTAATTCTTTGAATATTTTCTTCAGTTTCTTGTTTGATTTGTTCAATCATTTTATCCTTTCTCTTAACTTGAGATTCCAAACGTTGAATACGTGAGAGGAACTTGTCTCTATCTTCTTCAGTGAGGACTTCACCTTCTTCAACTTGTCTTCCCAAAATATCAGAGAGAACGGCATCAGTACTTCTGACCTTCAAACTACTAAAGCTATTTAATTGATCTTCCAAAGTTTTCTTTTCAGAGATTAAATTTTCCTTTTCGGAGAGCAATTCAAGTTGTTTCTTTCTATTTTTTTCAAGAGTTACAGAAAGATCATTCTTTTCCTTTTCTAATGATGTAATCTTTTCATTGATAGCATTCAATTGATGTTGTAATTCATTCATCTTGTTGGTATAAGTTTCCTTCAAGGCTGACAATTTAGCAGAGTGAGCCTTTTCCAATCCTTCCAATTCAGAGTTAATAGAATTAATCTTATCATTATCTTGTTCAAGTTTTTCAGCTTGAATTTTCTTTTTTTGTGATTCAATAGATGAAGCTTGTTCTTGGTTTTTCTTTTCAAGTGATTGCAAATAATTATTAAAATAAAGAACAAAACCAACACCGAGAGCACCAGTCAAGAGTGTTGAAATGACAACAGTTTTACCCATAGATCCTCCACTTGTTTGTTGTCCGCTTCCACTGTTATTATTACCCTTTTGTTGTTGTTGTTGTGCAATAGGGGCAGCAGCAGGTTTTGTTGTATCGAACTTTTGCGAAGCGGTATGGAAGGAAGAAGATGAAGTAGTGATGTTATTGTTGTTGAACAGAGCCAATTTATTGCTATTGGCAAACATCAACTTTTTTCCGCCTTGTGATGATACAGTGGTGAGTGATTTTCTCAACATTTTTTTTGTGTTAATAAATTTGGAATTATTTTTGTGATCTAAATTTGATTAAAATATTTAAAATTAAAACAATGAAATTATAATACAGGGTAGTAATATTGCTTGTTATCATCCTTATTTTTTTAATTAATAATTGAAATCTATTTTAATTTTTTCTCCTTTCTCTTGTTCTCATAGAAATATTTCATATATTTACAGGAACATAACATTGGGAGAAGGTCATCTTGGTATTCATTGCCATGGTAATCTGAACTGGTTCTCTTAATTTCAAAATAAAAAACCAGAGCATGATCACCCCAATCATCACCTCCTTCAAGTCCATTAACATATTTCAACCAGTTCAGTACACGATTTGTGTAAGGACCCTCTCCTATCATGTCATTATCAATGTTTCTTGTTGCTCTATTTACTTGATTCAATTCTTCATTCTCAAGCTCTTTTAATTTGTCTTTACTTTTGAATACTCCAGTTTTGAATAAAGAATTGAAAGCTGTTTTCATCTCCTCTGGTTGTTCACCATAGAAATCGGTGGCTCTACAATTCTTCCAAAGTCCCTCTTGCAATGAATCATCTTCTATGAAACCATCATAGTCACGTACCAAGCGTAAATAAATATCGAATAGTTTTTTACAGGAGAGGAATAATCCTGAAGGTCCCATTCTTGGTTCTTCAATTTTTTCCTCCTCATACACAGTCCATGAATTAGTTGTTAAAGTTGCAAAGGATGCACATAATATTTGATAAGAAATTGGATATCTAACTGGGGGTAGAGATTGAAACTTGTCTGTCAGTAACTTTTGTTCCGAACCAACAAACCAAAAGTCATGCAATATTACCGTTACAGCCATTTTTTGTTTTCTAATTTGATAGATTTGATCATTTTGATGTCAAATCATATTTAATAGGAGAATTCAATACATATCATTATGATTGAATTTTTTGAGTTTTTATTAAAAGGAGAATTGGTGGGAAAATTAGAGAGGGAAATTGGAAAAGTGAAAAAGAGGAGAGCTTAATTTTCGGAAGAGTGTTGATCCACAATATTCTTTGTCCTTTCTTCAAATGTGAGTCTTTGTTCTTCAGTTAATTTGTTTTCCTTTATCAGTTCATATTCAATAAATTGTTTAGCTCTTATTATTTTAGATTGAATATAAAAACTTCCTCCGGTCTTTGGGTTATTATTCTTGAACATTTTATCGAATTTTTCTTGAACGAGATTATAATCCACAGTTTCACCTTCAGCAACCTTTGGTAATCCTAAAATCTTTTGTGCTTCCATCATGGTCATTGGTTGTGATTTGGTAACGTCTAATTTTTGTCCAAAAGCTCCAGTATTGGCACCAGCAGCGCCTGCAGCAGCACCTCTAGCAGCTGCTTGTTTGTAGGCATCTCTGAAGGCACCGACTGCGATAGAACCCACTGCAACAGCTGCTCTCACTAACACTCCGAGAAATTGAATTGCCATTTTTTTAAAAAAGAGTTATTGTGTGATGAAGGAAATTGATTGAATGTTTTTTTCAAATGATTAATTTCGATTGCCTTGTGACAAAAAGTAAGTAATGCATTGAAGATAACAAGGATGACAAAGTTTAATTTTCATGGTCTAGAAGCAGCCCACAATTCGAATAAGTAATATTATCAGGAAATGTTTATAGTGAATGTGAAGGGGATGTAGCTCACATGGTAGAGCGCTTCTTTAGCATGGAAGAGGTACGGGGATCGATACCCCGCATCTCCACTCATTCTTTTTAATTATTAAATATTATGCATTTCTTAACAAAAAAATTTAAAAACATGAAACATGATTCCTCTGGGCAACAATTATTCAATCATCTAGTACACAATGAATTAGTAGAGTGGCTTATTTCTCTCTACTCGGAAAACAACAATATAACAACAAGAAATCAAGTCTCCGATTGGAACAAATCATTTGCTAAATTCAATTTGTTATTTCCCTCCTCTCAACAAGCCTTGTCAGAGCAAGAGTGTATTCTCGATATAATATTAAATTATAATTTAATTAATAATGATAGAGTTTCAATTGAATCATCATCATTACAAGCGAATAATTGTCTATCATTTCATTTGAATTTATTATTCAATCCATTGATGGCTATGAAAATTAATGATGGAATGTGTTTACATGATTTTAGAGCAACTTTTTCATATCCCAATATTAGACAGTATAACTTTCCGAAAATTATCAGTTTGTTGGTGGATGATGTTGATTTGTTGAGTGGTTCAACAAGCGATTCAGTTTTAAATTTATTCACCACTCAACAGTCACTTCCTGAATGTATTGAAACTGTATTCAATATTTGGAATGAACAGAGAGAAAATAGGAAAACGACCTACTCTTCATATAGTTGGGCACCATTGGAGAGGAAGATTAATATTCTAATGAGTAATGGAGATGAAGATGAGAGAACATTGTCTATTCCTGAACCTCCAATGATAATGGAGGATAATACTGATTCATTGAGGGAGAAAAGTTGGAGAATACGTAAATTGGAGAATGGTGACATTGATTGCTTTCTTTCTAGTGACGAGTCAATAATGCAAGTTGATTATTTCTGTAAACTGCTAGAAAAACATATTCCAAATTTGGATAGTAATGCTATTCAACAGTCATTATTAACTGATTCAGTTTATAAGAATTCAAAATTTGAGGAATGGATGGTACAAATACGCGATAACATTCCATACACTAACAATGATTCTGATTGGTTTTCTCTAATGACTTGTTTGGTGAGCTATTGTTTTGGGGAGTGTACTGATTTGTTTAAGGATTTACTCAGGCAATTGGATTATTTTAGAGATAGAATATTTCGTTCTAGTGAGGATGAAATATCAATTAGAGAGATTACTCCTGAAATAGTTGACTCGGTTTTTACGCCTGAAGAGAAAGAAAATCTAGAGTCACTGTTGGTGAAGATGGATAATATTTTGAAATCAAATAGTATTGGAAAATGCCCTATCAACTTGACAAATTGGATGACAATAGCCCTCCTTTATGATCTTTACAGAGCTGAGCAAACTAGTTTTATGAAAGTTGGATTGTTGGATCGTGTTTTCGAATCTCTTCAGACTAAGGTACCATCTATTACCGACCAGGTGCCTTTTACATTTTCTCCAACGTTTATTATTATTCTACTAGCAACCAGATCCCATTCCAATCATTGTAATATTACCGCACCAACAATAGTATCAGAAATATCAAGGAATATTTCACTATCACCAGAATATTATTCTATTTTGAAAGAATGTAAAAGTGGTAGTGGTGATTTATTCATTAGAGGAGCAAAGTTGGATTACTTACTTTGTCATATTATTGATAACTGTTCTGGAGATTCACATTTGGAGCTCAATAGGAAAGGAATTCAAGCTATCATTCAAAATATGTATCATAAGAGTGTTGAGGAAATTTTACGTGAAAATGTTGGTAGAGATGAGAATTTTGACTTTTTATGCAGTCTTTCAATACTTATCGTGAGGATAGGTTACACATGAAAACTATCAACTCAATTCCTAAATTTAAAACAAAGGTACCTTTTATTTATTCACAATTTCTGAGACAGCCTTTTCAAACAACTCTGGCTCATCCAATTTTACTCAATAGAAACGCAGTCAAATCATCCTTTTGGTATCCTCTCTTAATTAATTCTACACCTAATTCGAAATTGATGGTTACTGTAAATAATCAACTAGAGAAGAAAAAGGTTAAATCTACCTTTAATCTCACCACCTTGTTCTATGATAGATTGACCTCTATACGGGTAACTTTGGAAGAAAAGATTCATCTCCTTAATTTTCTTTTGAAGAATGGATGCAACAAGCACAATTCCAGTCAAGACATTATTGAGGAAATGAAAAAATTGATATTAGAAATACAAGATTTTGATAAGCTTTAATTGAATAAACAACAATTATATTTATTTAGTATTCCTTACCGGCTCTGGAGAATGAAGCTGGCTTTTGATTGTACTTTTCTTGGAGATATTCATCAAGAACAGACTTCATAATACCTTGCTTGGCCTTATCAGCAAAGATAGTGTGAATTGGTTGCAATTCATAGTTGACTGGGTATGGGTCATACTTGATAGAGTTAGCATAATCTTCCCAACTCATGTAACCTTCTGGAGAATCAATAATGTTAAGAGCATTTGGACCAGTTGGTCTAACACCGTTAATTTCTGGAGTCCAAGAACCACCTTGAGTGTTGAATTCAACAGACGAGTGTTGAATGAACTGTTGAGACAACTTCTTAAGATAGAAATCGTGAGTTGACTTTTCACCGAAAATGTGGAGGAATGACCATCCAGATTGTTCGTGGATTTCATGAATGCTCAAAGTCTTGGTCAAATCCTTCTTAAAGTTAACCTTGAAGAAGATACCACCACCCATAGTTGTCTTGGTGACAACAGCAGTACCATAGTAATCGATAAACTTCTTGTACTTATCTCTGACTTCTTTTTGATCACCACCAGTAGCTGGGAGAGAATCAATCATTCTCTTAGCAAATGGTTCAAGACGGTTATTAAGATCGAACAAACAGAGAGGATCCAATGACAAATCATACCAAGAAATTCTTCTGAAAGTATTCAATTGGTAAGAATCTTCAAATTCATAACGATAGTTATAAATGAAAACATCTCTAGAATGGTGACTCAAACCGAACATGCCAGATTTAGAGGAGTGTTCTCTATATTGATATTCGTATTCTTGCTTGGTCAAAGCAACAAAAGTGCTGTTAGCATAGTATGATTCAGCATTATTTCTGACGAGGACGTTTCCTGGAACAGCGAATTGAATATCCTTATAGATTGGATTAGTCCAAGTAGTAGCCTTGGAATCTGGAGCTTGCTTGAAAAGACTCAATCTTGGAGTGAGACTATTTAACGTTAATTAGTTGAGATTTAAACAAAAAACAACTTACGTAAAGGTATCGAAACCAGAACCAATCAAGGCAGCACCTGGAATACGAGAAAGATCAAGGAGGACATTTCTCTTGAGTGGATGAGGAACAGCAATCTTCTTGATGGAAGCAGGAATTTCAACTCTACCAGTGGCAACATAGTTCTTCAAGATGGCTTCCAAATTCTTCTTCTTTACAGCATTGTTATCAACCAAATCAGAAATCAAATTGAATTCACCTCCGATAAGGGATGGTTGGCCTGGAATTGATTGGTACCATTCCTTAAGAGTTTCGTTACTTTGCAAAGTAAAGTCACCACCAACGAAGAACATGTCAGTCTTGGCGTTATTGGCAAAATCATTATTGACATGGATATCAGTCTTATTTTTGAATCCAGACATACCAAATGAATAAGCGCCATAACTGAAGGTCAAGGACAATTGAGTAATACACCAAGACTTGTCATAGGACTTGAGGATCTTATCAGAAACCTTAGTGATCAAATTGAATTTACCACCGAAAACACCCTTTGAAACATATGAAACACCAAAGTATTTGATCAAGGTATTAATCTTGTCCAAATCGGCAGCAGTTGGAGTGTTTGGAATGGCAGCCAAAGCTCTCTTAAAGTATGGATTTTGTTCCAAGAATGTTGGTGGTTCAAGGGTAGCTTGATAAATAGTACCTCTAATAGAACCAGTGGCCATAAAGAGATTGCTTTGAGCAAAGGTTTGGTGAATGTGGCCAAAAGATGTGTTCAAACCAGCACTAACACCGACAACACCAACGTTGACAGAGAATGAGAATGAATAGCTTGAAGCTTCATACTTCAATGATTCAGACATTGATTCCATAGTGTCTGATGTTTTAGTAACGTTTGTAGTAACATAATCATAAACTTCAATGGCATCTGGTACCTTAAACTTTTCCTTAGAAACTGGCATACGGTACAAAGTTCCAAACTCAGTGGTTGGTCTGAAAATTAAATTTACAACATTCTTAGCAGGATCCATGCTGTTAGAAGAACTTTGCATACTTCTAACGTCGAAACCGCTCAACATGTAATTGTAGCCTTAATATAAAAAATTACAGAATAAATATCCGCAACAAGAACAACAATAAAACCTACCCGGAATCCAGTCATCTTCACTTCTCTTGTGGGCAGAATTCTTAAGAGACAAGGCACTTTGGATCAAAACCATCATAACAACCACTAAGGTTGAAACAATAGCTGTCTTGGATGCAGACATTTTTTTTTGAATGGTAACTCAATGCGCTCATGGGGCGAGTGTTTAAATAAATATCATCGCAAACAACTCTTAGTGTGTTTTTCTGTTCTGCTGATTGAGGGTTAAACCCCACTATTGAAAACTCTGAACAGTTAGTTTGAATGCAACAAGTTATGTGTGTACAGTAGTGGTGTGGGCGCATGATAATAGGGCTGTATTTGTCCAAAAAGGCACTGTTGGAAAATATCTAGTTCGTAAACATATGAGAATTTTACAACATGAAGATTACATTTTGAATTGGTAGAATCTATTGTCAGAAAAGTCCACATAAAAAAACAATGTATTTTATGCATCTCTACATCCGTTGTGAGTACAAACTTCGAGAGGATTGCAAGAACGATGATAACAATGTCCACATGGGAATACCAATACATCACCACCAACTCGTTCTGTGAGAGGTAATCTGCAACAGAAGCATCTGGCTGTTTTGCCAACTCTTATCTGAGATCCCCAGTTTGATCCACAGTCTTCTGTGAATCTTGGAAGCTCTGTTTGGAATTCATTGAGTGAGGACTTGGAATTGTCTAATTTGAAGAATGAAGCCATGTAAGGGAACGACTCTTCAGGTGTATTAATGGAACTGAAGAGGGAAGGTGGAATGTCAGTTTGGAAGGATAAAATTGACCTTATTTGTGGAGCAATGCACTCATCCTTTTCTGACCACATGTAGCTGTCCATGATTTCTATCATGTTATGTCTTAGCTTGCTTTGTTCTGTTTCTGCTCTGGCTAATTGACAAATCTTGGTGTAAATTATTGGATCAACATCGTGTAGACAACTTTCTACAGAGGCATCTTGCAAAATATTTAGAGTTTGCAAAGATCCCAGACATTTACACATTAAAAATACAGCTTGCTCTTTTGTACATATTGATTTTGGACTATTTTCAATGCAATTCATTAGTGTAATCCAATTTTGTTGATTTTCGTAATGTTTTTCCATAAAGGTTGCAAGATTATTCAAGCTATCACCTCTGACAATCAAATCTATTAACTCTGATATCTTATCAAACTTTTCATAAAAATAGTGGAGGCAGTGTTGAGTTGAGGGAGTCTTTTTCAATTCCTTCTCTAAAAAGTGAGTGTCACTAAAGCAATTAAGCTTACTTTGAGCCTCATCAATAATGTTGATAATCAGTGATTCGTGGACATTTCTCTCAAAATTGGTAACCAATTTGATAACAAAGTGTTCCATAAATTGATGACTAATATGGCTAGAATGGTTAAGCTTGTAAACACTCATTAGATATTGGATATACTTTGAATGATTGCTTTCAGTACCAATTGCATTATTGTAATTCCACACTTGGATATAAGGATAAAGTAGAGCACAAAGCTCATGTCCTCCAGGAAGTTTAGATAGTGCTAGTGTATATCTCAATGGAATAGAGGGGTAATCATTCTTTAAAGAGTCGATATCTTTGAATATTTGGTCTCTAATTTCCATAGAGTTCTTTACCTTGAATTGTTCGAAAAGTCTATCAATATTCTTTCTTTCTTCTGAGAGGTAGTTATGTTGGTCTTCAATTTCAAAAATAGTGTTAATGCACTCAGCACAGTTATGAGAATTACAGAGTGTACAGCATTGAGACATGAATAAAAATTCATGTAATATGGAGAGTACGCGAGAAATGTAAGGTTTTTCAATAGTTTCCTCAGCAAATAATCTCTCAAATCTAAAGTTGAGCAGTTTGGAAAGTTGGCTTTGTTGTTCTTCATTCAATTCTTGAGAAATCATTTCAGATATTATGCAATAGTCATGTTTTTCTTTTTGCTCTGTCTCTACTAACTTTACAAAATCGTCAAACCATGTCTTGAGTGTGGAAGTAAATTTAGGACACCAAATTCCATCTCCCACACTTAAAAAGTTTGCCAATTGTTCAAACAGGCTATCCATAGGTTCCACAATAAGTTCAAAGAAGGAAGCATGTTTCTTTTTGATTAATTCTTCTCTCTTTCTTTTTTCTTCTTCAATTCTTTCCTGTTCCTTTCTCTTTCTTTCTTCCTCAAGCCTTTCTTGTTCCTTTCTTTTTTCCTCTTCGAGCCTTTGTTTTTCCTCTTGCTCTTTTCTCTTCCTCTCTTCTTCGAGCCTTTCAAGTTCCTTCTTTCTTCTCTCTTCTGCAATTCTCTTTTCTTCTTCCTCTTCCTTTTTTCTCTTTTCTTCTGCTGTACGTTCTTGCTCTTTTCTTCTCTCTTCCGCAAGTCGTTCTTCTTCTTTTCTTTTTTCCTCTGCAATCCTTTCTTGTTCTTTAAGTTTTTCTTCCTCAATTCTAATTCTCTCTTGTTCAGCTTTTTTGTTTTCATCTTCGATACGTTGCAATTCTCTTCTCTCCTCCTCTTGTTTCTTTTCCAAATCTTGTTTTTCTTGTTCAGAAATAGTTTCAATTTCTTCTGTAGTTTCTGGTGAGACTTGTTTTGTTGTTGATTCATCTCCACTTACTACAGACTCAACTGGAATTTCTTGTTCATTTTCCGCAGGCTCAATTACTTGAATTGAGTCAGTAACAGAAGGTTGAATATGATCTATTGTTTCTTCTTCTATTGTTGTTACGGTATCAATTATTTCAAGAATTGCTACTGAAGTATCCTTACTGTTGTCATCATAAGGAATTTCTTCGTTAGATTTGATTTCCTCAATAATTGGTGCAACGTTAGTAACTTCAGTACTTTCTGTAAGTTCAGTTTTTTGCTCAGGAACAGGTTCTTCCTTCTCTAAAGGTGTACCAGGTGATTTGTCACCTTCAGTAACCATGGCTGGTAAATTTTCAGTAATTGGTGAAGGATCAACTAAGCTGGAAGAACTTGTAATAGTATCTTCTGTGTTATCACTATCCTCATTATCTGATCCAAGGGAGCCAGTTTTACTGGTATCATCTGAAACTTGTGAGAGTTGATCAAAGTCCTTAGATTTTGTTCTTCTTTTAGAGCTGGTCTTTTTTGGTTTCTTCTCTTCAATTAAGAGTGTTGGTTCAGCGGTACTTCCATCAAAACTAATGAGTCGCTCAGGCTTCTTTTTCTTCTTTTTAATCTTCTTTGGTTGGACTACCATTGGGGCAGACCAACTTTCATCTTTTTGGGGTTGTTTTGGCTCTTCTACAGTTGGCTTAATATCTTCTTGTGGTTTGGCTGTTGGTTGTTCCTTATCTTGTTTAGGTAGAACAGCTGCAGCTTTTTTCATCATTTCACTTGTCAAATCAGAAAATTTGTCTTTGAGCTGAACAGAAGGTAATGAAAAAGAGAATGCGGAAGAAGATTTTGGTGGTGGTGTGGAAACAATCTTTACATTCTCAAAATCTAATAACTTTTCTTCTTTTGGAGTGTTGTTACTTGTAGCAATAACTTTAGGTATAGAAGAGGTAGAAATGGAGGCAGGGGTTGTTGGCGTACTATTACCACTAGAAGAGGCTGTTTCTTTTTGAGAGTTGATTAAAATTGGATTACTTGGAGTTTTAACAAGAGGCACTGGAGGGGTATCATTTCTTTTTAACAAACCAGTAATGAGCTGAAGTGGATTTTCGTCCTTTTTCTGTGCTGGTTGTTGGACTGGTTGTGAAGTTTGTTGAGGCTGTTGTGGAGGTTGCACAGGTTGTTGTGGATTGGTTGTAATTGGTCTACTAACTTTTGGTAGGATTTGGTTGATAAAGAATTGTTTCTCATTTTCTGGAAGTTGTAAGTCTATTCTACTGACAATATGATTGGAATTTTCATCAACATGTACAATAAACATGGAAAATCCAAAGCTAGATGCATGTTTGATTGTTCCTATTCCATATTTCACATCCAAAATTTTCAATTTGACAATATCCAAAATAGTAACTGTTTCTTCATTGTATGAGGCAAGATATGGACCTACACTGAGAAGATGAGTAAATTTGAGATCTTTGACTTGTGACACAGATGGAAATTTGAGGGTTGACAATACCTTACAAGTAGTGATATCTGAACACCAAATTCTTCTTCCAGGTCTGGCTGAAAATGCGTAAATGGTGTACTGATCTTGAGTGGAAACTGAGTTTTCTTCTTTCTTTTTGAGAGCATATTGGAAGCATGCGCCAAAAACACCATCTCTTGGTTTTGTTCCAATACCCTTATACTGCTGTGCTGAAAGATTAACATCTATGGAACGCTTTGTTGAAGAGACGAGTAAATGATCACCAGAAACAGATAGCTGTACAATTCCTGCACCATCCTCTTTCAAAATTTGTGTAGAATTTCCAATAGAAAGGAGTGATTTTTTCTGATTTTTAAACTCGAAAACAAATCCTGAAGTGTCACCAGTAAAAAGTTTGAGAAAATCATTAGCCCATGCAATACAAGTGACTTCGAATTTGTGTTGTGAATGAGAGTTTAGCAATCTGGCCACTTTAGGAAAACAAACATTAGCATTTCCAATTTGTTGGACTGTCAATTCAATTTCAAATATATATACAATAAATGCTGAATCTACAGCTCCAATAAAAGCTCTCCTTTTATCATTGGTGATCAAGTTAGGTGTTAAAGAAACTCTTGTTATTGGTAAAGTAAAATTTCTCTTCTGACCCAACTCTTGATGTGTAATTGTTAATTTTAATTCTAGTGTATATCTATCATGAAAGTAAATATGCCCCTGTTCCGTACCGAATGCAATTGTAGTATCATTGAAAGAACAACATGTACGTTTCAATGTGGGATCATGATTCGGAAGATTAGCAAATAAATTACTTTCAAATGATATATTTGGTGTTGATGTTATTGAGTTGATTTGTTGTTCCGATGTTGTTGTTGATGCTCCAGCCTCTGTTGTTGTTGTGTTCGGAAGAGATGAAGTTTGTGGAGCATCTTGTTGTTGACTCATTTTTCTAATAGATTTTTATTTAAATTTTCCATCTATTAACACCAGTATTACAATCAATAATTATAGATTTAAATTAATATAAGAATTCTTTAATGACATTCATCACCAGCAGAGTTGCTTGATTTGGCTGTATCTGAAGTGGTTTGTTTGACCAAGATGGTTTGTGTTTGGAGTGGGATTTGACCATAGACATGCTTTCTCTTTACCAATTGACTTGCAACCCACATTCTATAAGCATAGACTGGTGGTGAGTTCTTAATGACACTGAATTGAGTTCCTTCATATTGTTTCATGAGATAAGGGAAGGCAATAAAGTAAGTATCAGCGAAGGCCTTCAATTGTAAAGTATAGGTCAATGCTCTATTACACAATGATCCAAGGAATACTGCATCAGGTGATTTCATCATGACATTTCTAGAAAAATCGCTCTTAGATGGATCAAATAAGAAGGAAGCAGTTGGAGCAAGTATGAAATCTGTGACAAAGAAGAGCTTGGCAGCATGGAACATTGTCCAACGAATGAACGGAACTGGAGCTCCATTACCCATCCAACGATATCTCAACCATCCCATCATGAAAGGAATCATGAAAAGATAGAGAACGTTACCAATAGCTTCCTTTGGTCCCATTTCATATTTTCTGTACATTGTCTCTTTGAAACCAGCATTGTGGAGAGGAGAGACATCCATTGGATTGATTACTTTAGTCTTGTTAAAGTAGGCTTCGTGGGATTTTTGAAGTGATTCCAAAACAAGTGTGAGCTCAGTACGAACTTCTTCGACTGGAGCATTTTGGGAAAGGAATTGCAAGTTTTGCATAAATTCAACATCTCCAGAGATTAGAGACTTTTCCAAAGATGTTCTCTTTTGTTCATCTGAGTAATCTTGTTCAGTAGCAGTATTGATACGATTCATTTGGTTAGTAGCCAAATTTTGAACAATCTCGAGTGCCATTTTGTGGAAATATTTTGGTTGAGCAATTTGTAATCCCAATGTGAGGAATTGTCTGTCTTTTTCAGTAATCCATTCATTATTTTCACTGTACAATTTGATAAGCAATTTTACAATAGGGTTCAAGAGTTTGTTGAGTGGAATTCTCTTTTCTTGCATCATTTCATAACCCAATTTTAACAATTTATCGTTCAACATTTCAATAGCACCCTTTTCCTTTACGAGATATTCAGTACATTTTGGATCATATTTAACACACTTTTCTAGTGTGGTCAATGAGTGAAGTAAAATGAATGGGTGCTCTGATTTTTGTAAAAGGTCTAACAACTTGTCGATAACTCCAGTTTGTAAATAGTATTTTGTTAAAGTTTCATCAGCTTCCAAACTCTTGTCTAAGAATGACAAGATTTCATCCATTTCAGAAACATATTGATGATGAAGTTGTACTTTTTCTTGACTACGATCATGGGTGGCAAATACTGATTCAATATCTGGTCTAGCATTTAACAATTCTTTGACAATTTCATCCAATAAGAAAATAGTACCATAGTGATTAATAATCTGCAAGGAGACGAGTAAAATTGCAATTGCAATGGCCAATTTCAAAAATTGTGGCCTTTTACCAGCAATTCTCAAAAAAGCTCTTGGTTGTCCAACACCATATTCCTTTGGTACAGGAGCAACCTTATTAAAGATTTGTTCTACTCTTTGTGGAAGAGGATAATTACTTTCATTAGCAAATTGATTAACAGTTTCCTTTTCACTCTCAGTCAATGGTTTTTCATAAAAGTGTCCCTTTTTGTTTGGATTAACAATTCTTTCTGTATTTTCTGGAGTTGGTGTATTTCCTGCACGTTCTTTTTGCATCTTTTCAGCAGCTTTCTTTGGCCAAAAAGCATAACCCATATTACGTTGTTGCACTATCGAGAATAAATTCTTATGTTGCAACAAGTTTGTATGAACCATCCTAACCAAGTGATTGAATTGTCTGTGATTCATCATTTTCCGATATATTTATAAATAATAGTAGTGTTGACGATGAAGATTTTAATCGACTCCGATTTTAGTGGTTTAAAAATTCCTTCGTCACTATGGTGGTTGAATTTTTTTAAATGGAAAAATTTTAGCCTACAAGTCGGCGAATTGAAATGCTTTCAATAATAAATCGCCACCTTTTCATAATATTTTAAATATTTTTGTAATATTAGTTAAATATTTTTAATGTTTAATGACAATATTTTCATGCATTTGCCGCCATTTTTTGAAACCACACCTCTACAAATATTTTTAAACAAAATGAATCAAAAACTAACCGATGAAAGAGAGAGAATTATCAAGGTTTTGAATGAGCACTTGACTCAAACGCGTTACCTTCAATTCTTGCCACAACATCATCAGTTATTTTCGGGTGAGCTTCCTCTCTTAATTAATGAGGCTGCTCTTTCGTCAGTTTATGAGCTGTATGAACTAGAACAGGCTCTAGATGCCAAAATTAAGGAATATGTACAAAATCCGGATTCGTCTTCTGTAAAGAAAACCTATATGAAGCTTTGTAAATTATTAAATCAGTACAATTTTAATGTGGATCAAGTAAATCCATTAAAACCTGATGAAGGATTGGAACGATTTGTATATATCATGAAGGAGATGGTTAATATTTATGCAGATAAATTACATACAACCAAGGAAGAAGAGCAAGTAATGAATGACCAAAAGAATGAAAAGGCTGCAAGGGAAAAGAAGTCAAATGCTGACCTTAAAGCTCTTCAAAGAGAACTTGCCTCAGTGAGAAGTACCAGAGAAAAGGAAGTGTCTGCCAGAGAAGAAACATTAAAGAAACTTGAGGAAGAATTAGTAGCTCTCAAAATGAGTACAAATAACCAAAGAGAGGAATTTAGTGGATCAATGAAAACACAAGAGGATGTTGCACATAGCAAATTCTTGAAATTTGAGGAAATGCTTAAGGATCAAATCAAGCAATGTGAATTAATGATTGCAGAGCTAAAGATGGATCACCACAAGGATGAAGGTGACATGAAACTTGACAGATTGACCTCTGAACAACAAGTTTTTGATTTTGTTACAAAATATGACAATTTCATGAGTGAACACACTCAAAAATACAACCAACTTGTTCAAGATTACAATAGAGACCAAAAGAGAGTAGTATTCTTGGAGAATGCTATTGCAGTAATGGAGGAAGAAAAGAGAAAGAGAAACGAGGAAAGAGATAAAAGAAAGAATGAGAAGGAAAAAATTGAGAGACTCAAGGTACACAGTAGATATCAACGTCTTTGGAAGAGAGCTTATCGTTTGGTGTTTTTAACAAATTATGAAGGAATCCAAGAAAAGGTTTTGAAAGCAAAGGAGGCAAAGAATCCACAACCATTGGATACAACTCAACAATCAACCAAACTTGATACCAAACCAACAAATAACAGAACAAGATCTACACCATCTACAAATAGACCTGTAAAGAGATAAAATTAGTTCTTCAATATTTGTTCTTTTTGACAACAATTTCAGAAATTCATTACATCCCAAGTAACTCATTATTTTGTTGAGATCTTTCTATCAAATATCATATTTTTGAAAGTTGCCAGTTTATTATAAGGTCCAAGAAGTAATTTTCTCAATATTTGAAATATACTGGAGTGTGCCTTCACTTAAATTAGAAGGATTACTATTGTTGGGAAGTATTTGTTGGTGATGGAACATTCTGGTTGCTTGTGGTTTCAATTTTTGCACTTTGGCTTTTTCATTTTTTAAGAAAAAGTTAAAGACACAAATTGGACAAGCTTGGTTGGTGTGCATGCACCTTTCTTCGAGTAAGTTTTGGTAATCTTTCAAAATGTAATCCGTTGCCAAGTTGAAAACCTTCTTGTTGAGATCAGAGCTCATTACAGAAATTAGTTGACTTGTTCGGTTCTTGAATTCTGGAATAATATTGTTTGTAAAATTAGTTCTAGTATAATGATCGCCACAAGTGAACACTACCAATTTCTCATCTTGTTGGTGAAGTCTTGATATTTCAGATTGAGTGATTGATATGTAATTTCTCTTGTACAAGTCCTTTTCCATATTTCTAAATATTTGTTGGAGAAGATTTTTGGAGGCCTTTTCCTCTTCCTTCTCGTGCCTCTTGACATTTCTAACATAGCTTTGAGTAATCTTAAGATAGAATTGATGAGAAAATTTGAGATTCTTTTTGAGTATACTTCCACTTGCATTATTTTGAGATGGGAGCAGTAAGAGAAGGGATAAAGTATCTCCAATAATGTGTATATTCCTCAGACAATGATCTTCGAGTTTTGAAACCGGTAGTGAAAGACTACAGTAGAAGTTGAAAAGCTTTTCCAACATTTTTAGTTTGGTTTCTTCATCCAGTTCATTTGATTTGTTGGTGAGATAGCGATCAAATATGGTGTAGAATTGTTTGAGTAAATTTTCCATCATTGTAGGCTCCTGCAGTACAATCTTAAAGTTTTCTTTCAGTTGTACTAATTTACAACAAAGTGCATCGATCCACATTTCGTCCTTCTCATAGATAAGTGCAAGCACTGACTTGTTATGTAATTTCAAGCAGTATGATACAACGAATTGCTTTCTGTACATGTTATAGCACTTGATACATTGTTCCAACTTTTCTTGTGTATGGGTATAAAGATTGTTAGACGAAATATTGAGAGAATTAGTAGAATCTGGGAGATTGAATGCCAATTTCTTCTTCAAATTAACAAGACACAACATTGCCACTATAAAAATTTCCAAGTGTTGCTCCAAGTGAATATAAGGGTAATGGAAATATCTTGTGTAGGATGGATCTTTCATTAGTGCAGAAGAAGTTTGTCTTGTTTCCTTGGTGATGAAAGAGTTTTCCTCTGGATTAAACTTGGTGCATACATTCAACAGTAAGCAAAGATCATCCACTCTCGGTAACAAGCATAGAATCAATCCAAAGAGCTTGGAATTATATTGAATTGTTTCAAAAGTGTCTTCAAAAAAGAGTTGTTGTTTGATAGGAGATTCTTTTTGTGTGTTGGTTGGCTTTTTTCCAAAATTCATTGCTCCAAAATATTCGTCCTTTTCTGCCTCGTTTTCTTCCTCCTCAGAAGAGGAGAAAACCCTAGCCCTGGTTGCTCTCATTGTCTCTAGATAATCCAACAAAAATTTGAGTTTGGTATTGGTTGAACAATGTTGTAACAATACGCCGTATCCAACAGATTGAGTGGTGTAGGCATATTCGTTATCATGTAAAAATCTAATACCACCCTCCTCAGTCAAAATATTGATATATCCTCTAGAAACCAAAAATTGCAAAGTATACTTTACAAGATTGTGCTTGTGGGCAATCTCAAGAACTAATTCCATATTAATTATTGTTTGCTCCTGTGATTTAAACTCATCACAACAACAATATTGCACTAATTGAGAAATGACAACTTGTGGATTAATATCAGTATTGGCCAGTAAAAAATTTTTGAATTGTTTGCAAAGCTCAACATCACATTCTTTTGATGAGATTAGCTTTTGCATAAAACAATCAAAAAGAAGATTGGACAGCTGCTTGCGTTTTGATAGGGATATACTTCCTGAATTTTCTAAAACTGATAACAAGTAATTAAATGCCTCTTCTGATCTTTTTGCTTGAGAAAGTCTTTGTACATATTTTACCTCGTTTACATTCGAAAGGTTGTACAGTGTAAATGCAAAATCAATGTCTCCACTCTCGAATTTCTCGTCTGCATATTGCTCATATAATTTAAGAATGTCCATCTCAAAAGTTTGCCCAAATTGATCGACTTGAGCGCTGTCTTTCACAACATTTTGCTTGTTAGAAATAATATACTCAAATATTTTGAGTGGTGCATACTTTTGACGGAGTTCATAAATACCAGTCTGTGTCCACAAAATAACACCTTCCAACTCGAATTGTGTAGCTTCTTCTTTGAATTTGTATTGTGAAATCGAGTCCTCTCTGTACATAAAGCCACTAAGGAAACCTTTTACCATTTCATTGGCTGGCAAGAGGAATTCCTGGAGGATTGAATTATTTTTGGTAGAATTTGAATTCACAAGTAGAGACGATCTACTCATTACAAATAATCTCTCTTGATATTCATTGTCATCTCTTTCAAAAGAAGGGGAGCTCAATATTCCTCTCCTGTTTGTACTATCTCCTCTATGTACTGAAAACAAGAGTCTATTAGTTGGGTGTAACAAACTTGTGTTCTCATTGATATGATATTGGAAGAGAGGATAGATTTCGTCCCGTCTCTTCCTTGTGGTTGGATCATTTGCTCTTGAGACTGTTTCTACGTCATACAGTGAAAAACTATGTTTTTCCTTATCCAAACATGATATCATATTTACACCTCTCTCATCGAACCATTTTACATTCATATAGCAGGTTGAGTCACTGAATTGATCAATTTTTCTGAGTTTAAATGTTTCGATATCGTTTTGTAAATCCTTCTTGGCATCCTTGGTTGTTCCATAACTCATTCCAGATGTTTGATTAAAATCACAAATACTTCTAAAGCTTTGGAAATTTAAATCCATTTGTTCCAGAATTTGTTTGTAGTGAACTCCTTTTCCACATGTAACTAATGCAAACTTTACACTCGTATCATCAGAAATAACTCTGATATTCTTAATACCATACTTGAAACCACCAATAATAGAATCTTCTTTCAGAGTATGCAAATTTAAAAAACTAAAAATCCTCTGTCAGTACCAAATATCACATAATACTTTTTGAGGGGATGATTAGAAAAGGAGACCCACCATGCAGAACAGGTAACTTGACCATGCTTCAACGGTGTATATTGTCTCTTTGTTCTGGTGTTGGAAGTCATGACAATTCTCTCAATTGGTTCCAAAAGTGATTGGGTCTGTAACAAGTGTTGTTGATAGTATTTTTGTACTTGTTGATGTTTTTTCAATGAACTGGAAGAGTTGGCAACTACAAGTTCCATGTTTTTCATCAGATTTAGTGAAAGAGCCTCGGTGAACTGATTATTCTGAGAGTTGTTTTCAGATGGTGTATCGACTTGATAAAGCGTATAATCCATTAATGATGGATGTAAGTTAATACCACCATTGGAATCGTCTTGATTTTTCTTAAATGGATAACTATTATCCAAATTATAAGGGAAAAATAATCTACAAATTGGTACAATATATACATCTCCTTCTGCTGTAATGCAGCTCAACCATCTAGCACTCTCTTCCATTGAAATTGTTTCTATATCAATTTCATTTTCTTGAAAATAACTCAAACATCGTACAATAGGAGAACATAATCTATTGTTGGAATAATCTTCATCCTCCATACGAAGATTAGCACCTCCCATATTATTAACAGAGCCTACAGAGGCGACACTCTCAGTTTCAGACATTTCATCCTCATCATTATATTTTCCATGTTTATGTTTTTCATCATCTCTCTCGATATATTTAACAGTACCAAAAAATCTCAGCACAATCACATTATTCGAACACAAACAAGCAATAACATTATATAGTGTACTCGATCCACCAGAAATTACATTTTTAAATGTAACTGGTTTAGAAACATTGCTAATATCTTTTGAATAGTTTTCCGATGTTGGTCTTTTTCTTGGTGATGCAGAAGTTGCATTTTGCTTGATGGCATTTGTGAAAAAATCATCTCCGACATTTTGTGATGATCCATTAGTACTAGAACTAATCGAGCTTGTATCTAGATTAGACGGATTTCCCAAACTATCATTTGATGATGCTTTATCATAATCCAAAAAATCAGCAGATTTTTTCTCTTTCATAATATACTTGTTCCAATAAGATTGACTCATTGAAATTTCCTCCCATTGTGCTGTATCAATTAAATAATCATTAGAATTATGTGTAGATTGACTAACTGGATAGGTACCAGTTGATAAAGACATGATTCTCTTCAGAGAAAATAATTCATAATTAATTGATGTCTCTGGTACGATAGAATGTACGGAACCATTCGTATTACTTCTTCCTCTTGTTGGTGTAGAGAATAAATCCAATCTAGCTGGCAATAATCCACTATTCATAATATTACCAGAATCTAAAAACTCACCAATTGATCCTCCTCCGAAGGTTTGTAAGTGTGGACGAACATTACCAAGATGAAGTGATCGTATGAGTGAGTTGCCTCTTTCCTTGTTGAGAGACATTTTTTAATAAAATCTAAAAAATCGCTTTTAAAAAGAAATTAATATTTTATTATTTTTTATATTTTAATATTTATTAGACCTGACAAACATCAGTCACGAAAGCACTTTTAGACAATATAATGAATCAATGTGAAGTAATCCAGATATAAAAACAAAAATGGAAGAAGGATGTTAAAACCCATTGTCTTATTAATACATTAAGAGACCTCTAAAATTAATATCTGAATAGAGGCGTATTGTTTATAGTATTTGAAGTCAATATTTCCATAATAATGCACTAGTCTTTAAGAATGGTGAAGCGTGTTTCCTTATTACTTCTTTCCCTCCTCATCTGCCTTATAGATGCCAAGCGCCCTTTTCAGTTAAACCTTAACATGTGACCGTTGTTGTTCCCTTTTCATTCAGTTCATGTTGTGTGCAAATTCACTTTAAAAAAAGCAGTTTAAGTTGCGATCTGATCAGTCTTATTAATCACCCAACACATCTATTATTTATTATTATTGGATAACACACTAGTAATAATGGAAGGCAAACCAAATAAAGTTTCACGTGCTTTGCACTTGTTGGATGGTCGTCCGGAAGGGTTTGAATTCTCAGCTATTCGTCCAATTGTATTGAATGGTGGACTTGGTCAGAAAGGAGCCACTGTGTACTATCAAATTAAGAAGAGAAGAGCAATTATTTCAATTGTTTTGGGAGCCTTATGTCTTATTATTGGTATCCTGGCTGGTTTGGCATCAATTGGTATTGGAAGTTACTATTCAAGTAAGTATTGTTTGATTACCAACCATTTAACAATTTCACTAGTTTGTGTGGGTTCTGAAGTCGACGATCCAACTACATGTTTTCATATGGCTATTCCGATCGTTCTTGCTTTGGTCTCTGTGTTTTTCCTCTTGATTGGTATGATACTCTTAATTGTTGGTATTAGATGGTTCTTTATATTGAGAAGTAATGTGGCACCTTTGGCAAACGCCACCATTGTACAACCTCACAGTAAGGTTATAGAAACAAGAAAGACCACAAAGGTCACCACTGTTCAACCAACTACTACAACCTATTCCACTTCACAAACAACAGAGGCATCCTCTGTGGTTCAATATAATTCAACACCTGAAGTTCTTAATCATGTCTAAAGATGCTATTTCTCCAGTCTGCAACGACAGCATTTTGAAACTCTCTTCTTCGACGAACAATTTAAAATCGAAAAGTTGATGGAAACCTGAAAGACAAAATCTTGAATCATGAATCAATTCACTTATCTTGACCATCAATAAAGAATAATAACAATATGTGCCAAAACAATACAGTCCAATCCCCTTAACCCTTATCATATATTGGTCATCAGAGATAAACAGGTCTTTTCAACGCTTGTGAACACCAGAAGCGTCAATTGCTGGGAAAAAAGCTTGTTGAATTGTGGTGATATCTTTTGAACCAGTGTTCTGGTAATGAACTTTATAAGCAATGTATAAACAATTTACAAAAGTAGAGATATTCGTTACATATTAAGGCCCTGAAAGCGAGAGGAGCGCTTGTTAGGGATTATAATGAAATACTACTGGATGAACTTACTATATGTTGTGTCTCTTAGATTTGTAATCAGATTCACAGGTTGACCCTTGACGAAATAAAAGGCAGCCTTAGTTTATCAATTTATAAAACAATCAAAAACAAAATAACACAACAATGAAATCATTTATTATTGCTCTCTTCTTGGGATTAGTCTCCCTCCAATATGTTTTGGCCTTAGGTACTGGTCATGAACGCTTTGCTATTTACAAGACCTCTGATTGTTCAAGTGATGTTATTGGAAACGTTACCCTTAATACTAAGGTTCCTCTCTTAGATCCAGTCTGTACTGATCTTTCTTGTACTTCTCTTGGTAGCTTGTCCGTCAAGCCTCTCTGTGCTGAAAAGACTATGCCTGCTGAAGCACCAGCTGGTACTGTCATGATTAGCTATTATGGTCCAACTGATGCTACTTGTTCTTCATCTGATGGTGCTAAGATATCTGCCTCATTCAGTGTTAGTGCTAACCTCGATTCTTCTGTCTGTATCCAAATGCCAACTCTTCCAGATGCTTTGAGGTCTGTTGCTGACAAAGTTTCCTTCTTTGATTTCAAGGCTCTCAAGGTCTCTGGATGTGGAAACCTTAAGGCTTATACTGATACTGCTTGTACCACTGGTGAAAAGGCTTTGCCTGGTGCTAATGGACTCTGTGTTAGTGGCTACAAGGTTCATTGTACTGCTGCTAACAATGCTACTGCTATGAAGGTCTCCTTCTTTGTTCTTACTTTGGTTGCCTTGTTGTTCTTTGCTTTCTAAATACAATAAATGTATATAATTCTAATTAAGCTTGATGCACTTATCACACAAGAAAGTTTGGTGGCAATCTTTACCGCCAAAATTATTTTAAAATAAATCACAAAAAAAATGTCTGACGACGAACATTCTATCATTGAAGATGACGAAATGTCTTCATCATCCGAAGCTGAAAACAACGATCAAGAACAATCAACAAGCGAACTATTAGTTTCTGGTGATGGTAAAATTTTAACAAAAAGATTGATAATTCAAAAGATGGTGATGACTAATTTTAAATCGTATGCAGGAGAAAGAGAGATTGGACCTTTCCACAAGGTTTGTTGATGTTAAATTTATTATTTACAATTTATTTTAGAGTTTCACTTGTATTGTTGGTCCGAATGGATCTGGAAAGTCAAACGTTATTGATGCAATTCAATTCGTATTTGGTAAGAAGGGAAAGAAGTTGAGACTGAAGAAACTTTCTGAATTGATTCACTCTTCCAAAAATTATCCAGATCTTTCTCATGCCTCTGTTTCTGTTCATTTTGCAGAAATTTACATCAAAAACGAAACAACAGATGAAGAAGATTACCAATTAGTACCAAAATCCGAGTTTGTGGTAACAAGAACTGTAACTAGAAATAGTAACTCTGTGTACAAATTAAATGAAAAGAAGAGCTCATTTGCAGAGGTGACAAAATTACTCATGTCTAAAGGAATTGATTTGGACAATAACAGATTTTTAATCCTCCAAGGAGAAGTGGAACAAATTTCACTAATGAAACCAAAGGCTCCTTCTGAGAATGAAGAGGGTCTTCTCGAATATATTGAAGATATTATAGGAACAAACAAATATGTAGAAAAAATTGAAAAATCACTTGTATTAGTAGAAGAGCTAAACGACCAAAGACAAGAAAAGATGAATAGAGCAAACCGTGCTAGAAAAGAGAAAGAATCATTGGAGGGTCCAATGAAAGAAGCTGTCAATTTTTTAAAAAAGAAAAGGCACTTAGTGGAGAAGAAACACACACTTATTCAGAAACACTTAGTGGACGCCTCATTAAGACTTGACAATAAGAAAAAAGAACACGAGACAAAGGAAAAACAATATAATGAAGAGAAGGAAAAACTTCAAACGGTCCAACAACAAATAGGCTCCAAAGAGGAAGAATTTAAGAATGCTAAAAAAGAAGCAGAGACCGTTTCAAAACAATTACAAAAAGTCAATAAGAAATTTTCAGACCTCGAGAATCAAGATCAACAACTCAAAGAAGAAGTTAAACTTGAGAAAACCAGAAAACAAAATCTAGAAAAGTCCATCAAAACAGCTTCAACAAAAAAGGAAGAAATACTGTCACAAATACAAGAATTGGAAAATGATGAGAATAATACCAACGAAGAAATAGTCTCGTTAGCTCCAGAGTTGGAAAAGGCAACTCAAGTCTGTGAAGAATTGTATTCTGAATGTAAAAAAGAAATTGCAGATCTCTCCAAACAAAAGGAAACAAAGCAAAAGGAGTTAGCCCCTTTCAAACAAAAAGAAAATAAGATTAATGAAGATATTAGTGTTAAACAATCTACAATAGAGTTACTAACTTCTAAGAGAAATAGTTCAAAAACAGATTTGGAAAGAAAAAAGCAAGAAATTGAAAAGGTCAAAGCTGAACTAACTACTAAAAAACAACAAAGAGAGGGAGAGGAAAGAGTTCAAAAGTCAATTTTCGATAAGATAAAAGAAAAGGAAGAACAGTTGGCTCAAACCAATTCTGGTCTCCAAGAATCAGAACAACAAGTAAGAACGCTTAGACAACGCTTCCATACGTTGAAAACAGATCAACAAAACAGTGCCTCTCAGAACAAAGTTGTAAAAGCACTTGTCAACAACTCAAACATTCCAGGTGTATGTGGAAGATTAGGTGATTTAGGAACTATAGATCAAAAGTATGATCTTGCTGCTTCTGCCAATGGTTTGTTAAATGGTATCGTGGTAGAAACAACTGAAAGTGCCACCAAATGTGTTGACTATCTCAAAAAAAGCAATATTGGTATCGCTACATTCATTATTATGGATGTGATTAAAAAACCCCAAAATCCAGGTCCACTTCCGGAAGGAACCCAACTTTTAGTTGACTTGATTACTACAGATGAAAAATTCAAACTTGCATTCCACTTTGCATTCCAAAATACCATTGTAGCCCAAGATTTGGACAAGGCAACAGTTGCCTCCAAATACAATCAAAAAAGATGGAGAGTGGTTACTCTTAATGGTGAGGTAATAGAAGACAGTGGTACTTTGAGTGGTGGTGGAGGTGCAAAATCAACTGCAAGAGGATTAATGACCTTCACTGGAGGATTAAAGAAAATGGTACGTATAACCGAAGAAGAGGTAGAAGAAGCAGAACAATCTCTTCAAAAAGCTGAAACTGAACTGGGAGCCACCTTACAAAACAGATCTTCATTAACTCAACAAATAAGTAATCTTAGAATAGCGAGTAAAAAGTCTGATACTAGTATTAGGGAAATAGATTTGGATACAAAATCTCTTTCAAATACTATTTCTGATCTAGAGAAGCAAGTTAAGGATATCCAGGATCAAATGAAAACCGAGGACCTTAGCAAGTATGAACAGGAAATTGAATCTCTAAATGAAGAATTAGAAGAGCTAGAGAAAAGGCTTGAAAAACACAAAAAGCAATACGAAGATATAGACAAGGAAATTAAGGAAATAACAAAACAAATTGACAATGCTGGTGGAGGAAAACTAAAAAAACAAAACGAAACAGTTAGGCAATTGACTAAGCAATTGGATGAAGCCCAAGACAAGGTAAGCAAGATTCAGGTGCAGAAAGAGAGTAAACAAAAACAATTAGCAAAATTGGAAAAGCAAACCACATCCGATATTAAAGAAGCTGAAATGATTGTCAAGAAGATAGAAACCCTTGAGGAACAGAGAAAGCAACTAGAAGACCAGGGTGTTACATTAAACGACGAAATATCACGCTTGAAAGAAGAACTAAAGGGAAAAGAAGATGTTCTCAAACATAAAGAAAGTGAGTTTGAAGCTGTAAAGCTGGAAATCAAAACCGTTAGAGAAAAAGAACTAGAGTTGAAAAATACTCTTGAAGATATTAGCAAAGAATTAAGAGATACTGAAAGACTCTTCACTAGGAAGAAGGAAGAAATTGAAAAGATTGAAAAATCATTCGATGAAGATTTTGCTGTGTTAATTGAAATGGAAGATTTAATAGAAAGAGAAAAGAGAGGTAATGAGGACAATATGGACACTAGTGAGGATGAGATTACAAATGCTGAAGAAGTATCTTTTAATCCAATAGGAAAGAGTCTTTCAAAGAAATTGAAAAGAAAAACTGATTTAGAACTTTCCGAAATTGGTTTTGATACACTCAATTATGATATTACAGTTATTGAATCCGAACTGGAAAAGATGAAGCCAAATATGTCAGCTATTGATGAATTTAAAAAGAAGGAAGATGATTATCAAATGAAAAACAAGGAATTTGAAACGGTAACCCAATCAAGAAATAAGGCACAAAAGGAATACGAAGATCTCAGAAAGAGAAGACTTGATGAGTTCATGAAAGGATTTACTAATATTACAATGAAACTGAAAGAAATTTACCAAACCATTACCCTTGGTGGTGATGCTGAATTAGAATTAGTAGACAGTTTAGATCCTTTTTCTGAGGGTATTGTTTTCTCAGTAAGACCACCAAAGAAGAGTTGGAAGAATATTTCTAATCTATCTGGTGGTGAGAAGACTCTTTCTTCTCTTGCTTTAGTTTTTGCCTTGCATTACTATAAGCCAACACCAATATATGTTATGGATGAAATTGATGCTGCCTTGGATTTTAGAAATGTTTCGATAGTAGCAAATTATGTAAAGGAGAGAACAAGAAATGATGCTCAATTTATCATTATTAGTTTAAGAAACAATATGTTTGAATTAGCAAATACTCTTGTTGGAATCTACAAGACAAATGATGTGACCAAGAGTATTACTATTAATCCAACTTTAATGTCGATTCCTGCCAACAATAATAACAACAACAATTAACTTCTTTGAACTCAATGAGCTGTTATAGTATTTTCTTACATTTTCAGCAACCCACTCCCAAACCAACAAATTACAATGAATGGTTTGTGTGGTATCGAACCAGAGTTCATTATTGGCACATCTGGTGGGAACAGTTACTGATGTTTATTGTTCAATAAGTGAAAGCAAAATTGGGGGACTCTATATACAGACTTGATATTAACAATGCAATAAGGGTAAAATCATCGGACAACATGTCCTATTACAAAAGGTTACTAATCTTGACTCTATCAAAACGTTTGGCAATAAGAGAAATATCATCATTGGAATATTTGGTAATTAAGTTTGGATAATTCAAAACAAAATCAACAGCCAAGTCAATCAACCTTGAATTTTCCTTGTTGGAACTTGACTTTTGGTTTAACAGAGATTGGATTCTTCTGTATGGCCAACGTTCAATATTGAGTCTTGTCTTGATTCTTTTGAGCTTACTCTTGGAGCACCCCAAACGTTTTGCAGCTTCTCCTTCTGGAAGAAAGAAATGCTTCTTAATATCATCATAGCAAATGTAACTCTTTTGATTGGCACTTGTTCTATTGCACCGAATGATTTGAGATTGGTGTGAGGTGGTAAACGTGTTTTTCAAGTCTACTGATCTCATTCTTGACTTGCCTTCGTCTTCATTGGAACTTGAAGTGGAATCTTCATCAAGAATGAGAGATTTACGAGTACGGTTGTTACTTCTTTTCAGAATTGAAACATACTCATCAGAGTTTTGACTAGTGGTTGATGAGGACGTATAGTCAGGAACACATAATATATGAGTGGAAGTTTTTACATTGGTTAAGTTAACCAAGTGTGAGATCGTTCCATTACTAGTTGGTATTGGTGATGAAGTTAAGGCAAACATGTTCAAAATGTCAGTGTATTGTTAAGAATTGAGGAAAATGAAAAATGAGTTAGGGAAGATTAGTGATGGTGGTGTTGATAAATAGGGATTGGTAATGGAGTGATGGATTGAATGTACACAACCAGTCTACAGACACGTAGCCAAGCTTTGGGAGGGGATTAAAGTTGTTTTTTTGAATAATGCTCTCTCCATTTCTCTAACACCACTATATATGTTTTGGCTGAGATTGGGGTGTTGTGTTGGTTGTGTGTGGAAGGGATACCACATTGAGTTGTTGTGAAAATGGATGGTTACTTCTCTCTATAATATGAGGGGCACATTCAAACTGTACCTTTCGGATCAGGGCGAAGGTTTACTAAGAAGTTTCACATCGCGCTCACTAGTGTAATTTCAGCTAAAGATAACAATGCATTCCTTGTTATAGAGGAGATTTTCTATCAAGGTTCCTAAGGTATGGACCACCAGAGATTTTTACGAGCGATTATAGGGATTAAACAGAGCGTGTAATTTTAATACAAATCTCGCGCTTACTGGAGTTTACTGTCAACATTTGTACTCTTAATTTTGGTCTTTATCGAATGAATCGATTATGCCACAGTATTTCAATGGTTCATGTGGTGTGTTGATTGTTTCAAACAATGGTATGCATATTGCAGCATTGGTTTAGTAGGTTGAAAATAAGGGAGATACTGCTGTTTAGTGTATTGTACCGATCCTTAACAACAATAGAAATCAAGCATGAATGATTGCCAACATTAAACGCCAACAAATATTGAGGTTGAAGAATGTGGGGATCATAACATTTTATAATAAGATCAGAGTGAACCATTTACCAACATTCTAAACTGTTCTAATTCTATAGGTAATTATTGCAGTGTGTTAGTTTGTGATCAATGTAATTGTTTTGATATTTATTTGAAGAGACAGTGTTATATCAGCATTTGAACCATAATACGCAAAATTGAATTGAATCTGCTCAAATACAATTTGGCGCCAAATCTACATCACACAATAATATTTATTATTAAAAAAAAATGAATATTTTAATGATGGGTTCCTCGCTGGATAAGCTAATTGATGCCTATCCGGAAGACTTGGGAGAGGGTTTTAGTCTTAGCGAGGCAGAAAAGATGGGAACTGCTGTAAAATTTAATCATAGAGGAAATTTAATTGCCATCGGATGTGTTGATGGAGCCTTGCGAGTGTATGACTATGATACTCTCTCGCTAATTTCACATATAACAATGATTGAATCTTATCCCATTTCTGCAATAGAATGGTTTAAAGATTATAGATATATTCTGGTGGCTTGTTCTACAAAGGTTTTTATTTGTGATATAATTGAACGTAGATGTATAAAGAAAATTGAAATGCCAACTCCACTGATAAGAACCTACCTTTGTCCATCTAATGAGTAGGTATTATTTAGTACTACAATAATTTTTAATGTGTTTTAATAGGAGTTTAGTACTTTGTTGCACAGTTGATAATCCACCTTTTCTTGTAAATTGGCAAACTGATGAGAGGAGACAACTTCCAATCAAACTTCATGAATACAAGGTAAAGAGAAAGGATTGTGTCGGAGGACTTTTCACACCTTGTGGAAAATATATATTCATCGGAAACACTGTTGGACAAATAGTAGTTGTAAATACAGAAACATTAAGAGTTGTTCCATTTCAATCACATCCAGTTGATACACCATTTCACATTTCCGAAGATGTCAATATTGATTTGAAATCAAAGCAAGTAGTAACTAATAAGTTTTACTTTATTGTACAGTTAGAATTTTCAAAGAATGGTGGGTATATTGCAGTGAATACTAGAATGGCCATTCATGTTTTTAAAGTCGAGTTTGAAAAGACAAGAAATGGAGAGTTTGTGAACTTTACAAAAATTAAGGAGTTTAAGAATGCAATTATGCATGAAAATTATACACTCTGCTCCTTCTTGAATTCTACAACAGTACACAATGATTCAAGTTATTTATTAGCAACTAATGGAAGCAAAGTACTAATTTATGAATATATTATTTATGGTGAGCTTGTAAAAATTCTAGAATGTCCATATAATGAAAATATAACTGCATTAACGTGTCATCCTCAAAATTTCAAATATATAAGACCTGTTGTTGTAACGGCAACCATTGGAGCTAATATTTTATTTTGGACTAAACACGTTGTGGAAAATTGGAGTGCATTCTCTCCAGATTTTGATGAAATAGATTGTAATGAAATGTATATTGAAAGAGAAAATGAATACGATAACGATTGTGAAAATGAATTCAAAACAGCTCTGTATCCTTCGAATTTAGAAGACGAATCCCAAATAATAGACATTTTTGCCAAACCTAGTGATATGAACACGTTTCAAGACGAAAATTTTTACATACCAACAGTCCCTTCACTTCCTGAAGATGATGAAAAAGTTGTTTTTGAAAAGAAACAAGTTACACCCAACCAAAAGAAGAAGAGACCTACAAAACCACCAACCAAAAAGAAGAAAACCAGTGCTATTGAGGATAGTGATAGTGATTATGAAGATGATTAAATTCATTCTTGTCATGTGTAATTGTGTCCTGAATTTGTTCTTTGCACGATGTTTGGATCTCATAGAATCTGCCTGAACAATAAGAATCCTAGGCTATTTTGCATCACCTCTCCTAAACTGTTGGAAACTTTGAGAAATCGTTCATGTGAAGTTCTCTCTTAATCATTGTTCTCCAGGTATTTCAATAAATGTTGTAATGCTGAAAACCTATTTATTTTTCTTCTTACTGGAAGACAATGAGTCGATGGCCTTTTTAGCAATGATAGAAGAAAGTTGATCTCTCTTCCTCTTTTTGGTTGTGCTCTTTGATTTTTCTGCAACTTGCTCTCTAGGATTTTGTGAAGGGTTAGGTGTTTTGTAATTCTTCACCTTTGATAATATTGAGATAGGAGTTTTTGGTGTTAATTGTTTGACTGGCTTGTTGGTTGAGTTATTTTCATTTGTTGCTGGTTTCTTCTCTTGTGAGGATTTTGGTGTTATTGCCTTTTCTTGTGAAGATGCTTTTGGGGTTGTAATTTGTTTCTTCTCTTGTGAGGCTTTTTGTTCTTGAGAGGCTTTTGGAGTTGTTACCTTTTCTTGTGAAGATTTTGGTGTTGTAATTACTTTCTTCTCTTGTGTTGAGGATTTTGGAGTAGCTTTTTGTTCCTGTTTCCTCTCTTGTGAGGATTTTGGAGTAAAAACTGGTGCCACCTTCTTCTCTTGTGAAGATTTTGGTTGAGATGATGATTTTTGAGGTGTTGATAGAGGTTGACTTTGCTTTGATTGTTCTGGTTGGTCAACCTTCTTGGTAACCTCTTCTTTTTGAGATGATTCATCACGAGTGAGGAGTGTATCTACAGCTTGTGTACAGAGTGCTTCATTAAGCTCATCAGTCATTTTTACAGGTTCTTCATTTGATTGGCTCAATATGTCATCCATAAGAGGAGATAGGTCGTCAATAACCATAGAGTCAGATTCTTGACTCTTTTGTGCAGATTCCTCAGGGAAGAGTTGTTTTTCCACATGTTGTTCCTCATTGTCTGAAAAGATAATATCTTCATCAAAATCAATTTCTGGAGAATCTTGACTTGGTTGAGAATTTTGGTTTGATGTAATTGTAGTGGTGGTGGCTGGTGTTTCATTCTCTTTTTTATCGACAACTGCTGATGATTGTGGAATTTCTGGGGAAATAGTTTGTTTCTTTTCCAATTCTTTAGTTTCAATAAACTTATCAAAAATTGAATCGTCATCCTCTTCAAATATTACAACTTTTTCATCATCATTACTTGTTGCACTACTTGTAGAGAATTCAAGTGAAGTTGCTACATTGCTGATAGTAGAACGTTCTACTTGCTTTTTTCTAGATGATGCTGGTATTGGTGAAACAATTTCGTATTGAATGTTTTGCTTTGGTTGATTGTCCAATTCCACAAAAATCATTGGATTTTTGCCAAATATTATTTCTACAATATTAGACCTAGCTGGAGACTTTGAAATGATATCATCCCAATTTGTTGGCAATTCAAACTTGATCGGAGTATTGTTCTTATCTACATAAAGATATTGTACATTTTTTATAGCAACACTATCGGTAGGATAGAATTTTTCATACTCTCTTTCCAAGAACAATTCAAACTCTTCTCTTGTTTGTAGTGATGTGGTTGGGAAAAAGCAAATTGCCTTTCCATTGCTGAACAACACATTTAATTGAAGTTGAGGCATTTTTTTTATATTTAACTTTTTAAAATGGCGGGAAAACAATTCTACCAACTGCTCGTAGTTATCAAAAAAGATTTGCATGTTTACAATTGAGTTGAACCCTGAAATTTATTCTTGCTTGACACCTGTAATGAAATAATTAACATCAATTTCAGTATTCTTTTCAATGAATGCCTTATTCAAGAGTGGATTATATTCCATTCCTTGAACATCATATAGTTTGACATTGGCTTGATTCATGAAAATGACCATTTCTTGTGGAGTAACATATTTTCTCCATTCGTGTGTTCCTCTAGGTACCAAATTTAAAACATATTCTGCCATCACAATGGTATACAAGTATGATTTTGGAGTTCTGTTCATTGTACTGAGAATGAGAAATCCATTAGGTTTTAACAATTTTGATAAATTATGAACAAATGATTGAGCATGAGCTACGTGTTCAATAACTTCCACTGATACAATACAATCGAATTTTGTACTTTCATTATTATAAAGTAAATTTTCAACTGTAGAGTGAATATAATTTAAATTATTCAATGAAGTATTATGTGTTCTGGCAATATTAATATTATCCAGAGAAGCATCCAATCCAGTTACATTAGCACCTAATCTTGCCAAACATTCAGAAACAAGACCGCCTCCACAACCAACATCCAATATATTCAGTCCCTTCAATGGTTCATGTGTATTATCACTGATATTAAAATGTTTAACAATTTGTGATCGGATATATTCCATACGTGTTGGATTAATGTGATGAAGAGTTTTTAAAGCTCCATTAGGATTCCACCATTCATTAGTTCTTGCAAGTAATGAAAACTTGTTCACTTCATGAATATCAACGGATGATGGTGATGATGAATTTGTTGCAACAGAAGTGTTGGTAGAAGCAACGTGCAATGATTTTGATTGTCTAGTTTGAAAAAAACGAGCAGAGTAATTCTTTTTAATTATTAAATTCCATGATGATCTCTTGCTCACCGATGTGAGTGATGGTAGAATTTTGCTTGATGATTGTTTGAACATTTTTTTATAATAGGAAATTTTGTGACTTGAGGAATATAAAAAAGGATAAATTTTAATAATCTCGAATGATCATCTTGTCAGAAATTATGGTTCTTGGCTTGGGTCGATGGACAGTTTGTTTCTTTTTTCTCTTGTGTTGATTATCAAAATAAATTTTAATTTGTTTCTTTTCAATTGAAAAAATTAAATTATTTAAATTCAAATATTAATACGTACACTATAATCAAATACATATTCCACTGTTTTTACTGGTTCATTATTTAAATAAATATATTTTACATGAATTCCTTTAATATACATTTGATTAAATTGTAATGTTTTTGAATTATCAATCACTTGTTTGTTTGTAAATATTTTAGGTTTATATTTTACATAATTTACATTATTTAATTCCATATTCAATGATTTATCAATATTTACTAAATTTCCACTAATGGTATCTCGATTAAAAGTTTCAACATTTATATAAACTTGTTTGGATATTTGCAATTTGAAATATTCAAATAATAAATAATGATTGGCATCCATAATAAAATCTAGCAATCGTATCTGTATAATATATGGTTAAATACTTTGTATATATTATTCTTCAGTACTGCACATTGCACATTCCCATAATTCAATAAAAGATTTTAGCAGAAATTGATGCCCGTTAATTATTATGGTATTTTTTTCTTTATGAAAAAGTTCAAGATTTCAATTTTAATTTAAAATTAAAAAATGTCTTCATCAGATACCAACAAGACAATTACTTCTTCAACACCATCAACAACAACAACAATTCACAATGCTAGTACTAATACCAATTCTTCGAGTGGATTAGCAACAATGGTCATGTTCGGAATAATATTAATGACAATAGTGTTAATTGAATATTTTATTATTACTACCAAATTGAATAATCAAATTCCAATAGAATTTAATTTAATGAATACATCAAATGATATTTATGAATTTATTTCAAAACAATTAACTTCGGAACAGATATTTTACCATATTATCATAACAATTTTTAATGTATTATTCACTGTGCCGTTTATTACCATGTTATTGACAATTTTTTGGACCAAATTCAATATTAATAGACCCTATATTGGATTTACTTGTATTGCATTACATATATCAATTTCAATTTTGGAAAAATTAATTGTTCTTATTATTTTATTTGAAATTAATATTAAATTAATTTCAATTCTTCCATACGTGATTAAATTAAATCTCCTTACGACTCTTATTGTGATATTATTTACGATTATCCTTTCTACTTTGGATAATAATTTTAAAGTAAAAAAAGATTAATCATTTGATTATTCATTTTGTTATTTAGTTCTCCTTTAAATATCTTTCATTTAAAAATCAAAAAGAAACAAAAAATGAATCAACAACACAACCCGATGGCATCATCAATTAATTCCTTTCAGCCATCACTATCATCCTATCAACAATCTTTAAACACTACACAAACAACAATAAATCGGCAATCATTGGCCAATATTGTCGATCAAGATAATGACTCTAATGATTCCGACAATGAAGATTTTCTCTATTTTGCTCATAATAATACACAACAACAACAACAGGTTGTTAGTGGAGGTGGATCATCTTTAGGAGGAGTGATGAATCAAAATAATATTGCATCATCATCAGCGAGTATGTTGTCCAATATGATGAGATCTAAATCTCCACAGCAACAACAAAATTCCTCATCAACACATTCAAGTGAACCAAATACTAGACCTCTATCACCTAATAACAATGATCAGGAGCAAGAATATTATTATCAAATTCCGAATAATTATGGCAATATTGATTTTGATAATCAAGCCTTGTTGCAACGTATTACTAATAGACATATTACGACACTGGCTGATGAATATGAAGGAAAACAATACGAATCACATTCTACAAATACACTTTTAAAACAAGTTTCACAAATACGAAAGTGGAAATGGTCTTTTTGTTTGACAAGCACCAGTGTTATTATTTTAATATTACTATTCATTACAACATTACTGTATAATTTATTATTTTTACAACCTTATATTTATATTGAAGAGATTCAAATTTATCAATTACCATTCATAGATAGAACTGTTGGATTTAACATTGTACTATCAGGATTTAACCCTAGTTTGATTCCAACCCAAATTAGTTCAATATTGTTAAACATCAAGCTATTCGACAGTATTAAACATTTAAAATATGATATAGAAACACCCATATCCTACACATTTGAAAATCAAACAATGATAAGTGGATTGATTTGTAAGCAAGACCTATGTGGATTCGATTCATTCTCATTCCAAACACAAATCTACATTGGAAATAATCCAAATTTTATTCAATTATTGGACTTGTTAGCAAGAAATATCTATATTGGAATAGATGTGCAAGGTAAAATTAACATGTATATGGGAGGAGGGTTCTATCATTCCCAAAACCTACAAAAAACCCAACAAGCCTATTTATCTTCAACCACCACTGCGTCATAAATTTTAGGAGGTCCATTCTTCATAATATTATAAATTAAAATAATTGGTCACACCAACATCTACAAAATCTATCTTCCAAAAAGATTCTGTTTTGTGCATAGGGGGTACCTTCAGAATCGAAGAATTGAAATTTTCAATTCAGCGATTGAAGTTTCAGTTCAAATCTATAGGAAATAAGCACCATATTAAGGTCATCCTTTTTGAAATCAACTCTTTCACTAACTTAAACCATTCATACCAAACCACTCAACTTGAATACTATCAATCCTTACACTGCTCCATTTCTCCAAAGTTATTACTGTTATGCACAATAAGGTAGTGAAGGTGTGGATAACGAGTTGGTAGTAAAAAAGGAACCCTCATTTTTCATCATCTTAAAAAAATCTTAAGATTCTTTGAGGCAAATTGAGGGAAGAAACCTCAAAATTCAACCTTCATCAAACCCTCTCAAATTGATACAATTCCAATCATTATCTTGTGTATACTCTCATCAAATCAACCGTTGTATATATTATAATTATATTATTATTTAAATTATTGTTATTGTTAGAATGATTAAGGCTACTACAACACGATATAGTCAGCAACAGCTGCAGTACATGATAATAGTCATGGTATGGATGATGTTGAATGTAGCCAGTCGAATATCGGCATTGCAGAAAATAACATTTTCTTATAATTTGGATTCAAACTACAATCAATGCTCAGATGGGTTAAATTCGTTATATTTATGCCCAAGCATTCCTTCTGCTATGGATCATTTGTATCAAAGTCTTAATGCGACATATTTCAATGAAACTACAACACTTACGATAATATTAAGAGTACAAAGTGTTTCTCAATGTGCACCTCCCAATTTATTTGAAAATGACAATCTGTCGTATATAATTGTTTTGGAAAATTCTCTAAACCCTAATGGACTGATTGGTTGTGAGGATTATACGACCTCCATACTGCCTGATTCTCCAAGTATTGCATCATTTGAGGCAAGGAATATAATCTTTACAAATGCAAAAATTCAACTATCTCACTCACCAAATGTTATTATGGAAAATTGTATATTCAACAGTGCTTCCTCTTTAATATTTGGTGAATTTACTGATGAAAAAAGGACAGATCCAGTGAAACCTCGTAAATCAACTTCTTTTTACATGAAAAATATATCTCATATGATTCCTAATCTAATTATGATTTCACAATACGATACCATTTTCCTTACTGGTTTTAAATTTGATAGAATTTATTACCCTTATAATGAATGCCTTTTTACCAATTCTAGAAGTCTTGTTTGGGAAGATTCCGATATTCGATTCATTTTATATATTGAATTGATAGATGAAATTGTATTTCATAATACGGTTACTCTTGATAATTCATTTATTTCCATTACTCAAGCAAGAAATATAGCTATGGATAATGTGGGATCTGATAGAGAAAATTCCTTAATCCCTTATCCACTTTTTCATATTTCATTTTCAGTTTATGTTAGCATCAAAAATTGCAGTCTAAAGATTGATTCACCTTTTTTATACACATCTTCATTGATGGGTATTTCACTTGATAGTCTTACCTTCCATGAATCAATTTCAGATACTCTTATTATGGCTATTTCTGTAAAATCTCTACAGGTTAAAAATTGTTATTTTTACAATATTTCTGCAAACTGCTTAAAAATTGGAGATATTTTCGATTTTGAGATATCAAATTCGATATTTTCAAATATTGTTTCAAATCTTGGAGCCATTAATTATAACGATGCTTCCTCAAGTTCATTAAAGCCATTTAGTGGATCACAATACCATGCCATTTTAAACACTACTTTTGAAAATTGTAAAGGTGGTGCGCTGAATTTCCTCACCAATAACAAGGTTAGCATAAGAAATTGTAACTTTTACTATAATAATGCACCTGAAGGAAGTGCAATATTGTTTAAACAAGATCAAACAAAGAGCTTCTTGGATGTGAAAAATAGCAAATTCATAGGTAATGGTAGCCCAACCACTTATGGAGGTGTTGCTTTTATTGTTGGTGGTGCAAGTTTTACTGCTAGTATATTCGAGAACAATGTGGCAGAAAGAGGAGGTGTGGTATATGTGGGTGAAGGTGCAAAATTTGCTATTGTTGCATTTCTGGATTCTTGTGAGTTTATCAATAACAGTGCATTATTGGGAAATATTGGATACACTGAGTCTCCCAATCCCAAGTCAATATTCAAAAATTCCAACAGGTCTGACACATTATTTGAGAATGAGGATGTTTCTTCTCCTTGTTTCAAATTTGATTTTCAAGTCTTTGACGCCATATCAGGTGAGAAAATGGATGAAAAAAAGATGATATCTCCATATTTGGGTCAAACTTTGGTCATAGTCATAGATCCACTCGACGTGTATGGTAAGAAAATTAAAGGACCAAATGGATTACTCTCCATTTCAACAGATAATTCTAAATACTTGCTACGAACTGGAAAAGCAAGTGAATCTGGAATAAGAATGGAGTTTACAATATTTTCTCATGAAAAGTTAGAATCTTTTGAAAAATTCACCCTTTCCTTAAAATTTCAGAGAGCTAATTCTAAAATTCAAGTCATTGTTACTGATTGCCCTTCTTTGTATATATTTGATGCAGCAGGGTGCGTCAATATTTGGTATTGGATACCGATTGCTTCAGTTCTTTCCTCTTTTATTGCTGGAATTTCATTAATAGCAGTTATTTTTATATGCTTTGCAAGGTATAAATCTCAATTGCTTAAAAGAAGAAAACAAGCTGATAAGGAAATGGAACAAGTTCTTCTTGATAAGAGAATCATATTTGAAAATGATGAGTCCCCAAGAACTCCAAAAACTTTCATTATTTCAACAGATGATATAAAGATTATTAAAAAGATTGGTGAAGGAGGCCAGGGAACGGTCTATCAAGCCAAATGGAATAATAAGGAAGTAGCTATTAAAAGTATTAAGAAGGATGGAATAGATGATGATGACGAATTTGAAAAGGAAGCAACATTGTTAATGAGTTTATCTCATCCAAATATTGGTAAGTGAATCACATTTTAAATAGTATCCTCATTCTGCATAGTTACATTATTTGGGTTTTGTGTGCCAAATCCAAACCAAAAGTATATGGTAATTGAATATATGAAAGGTGGAAGTTTGGATAAACTTATTTCTGAGTGTAAACTTGGAAAGAATACACTTACCTTGAAGGAAAAGCTGAATATTCTAGTTGAAGTGAGTAGAGGAATGAATTATCTGCATACATTGAAACCAAATATTATTGCTCACAGAGATTTAAAACCACAAAATATTCTCCTGGATGAGCACAGATCTGTAAAAATATGCGACTTTGGATTATCCAAGTTGGTTGGATATAATACTTTACAAACAAGTATGACCCTTAATATTGGTAGGTTTCAATTATTGACAATTCAAACAATTAATTTATTACAACAAAGGTACGCTTCTTTATTGTCCGCCTGAGAACTTTGTTGATAACAGACCTAGTTTTGATTTTGTTGGTAACATGTCTGGTTTTTCATATGAGTCATTTGCAGGTTCGATCCAATCAGAAGTTTCCATGTCGTCATCTCTTGCAAGGGAGGATAGATTTAAAAATGCATCCAAGTTTGATGTTTACTCTTTCGGCATTATAATGTGGTCACTCTTCTTTGAGGAAGACCCATATACAGTTTACAATCACAAAAAGATGAACTTTTTCAGGGAAACTGAGGAAGGAAGCGCTTTCAACGTCATTACTCAAATTGTGAAAGGCAAAAGACCAACTATTCCATTTATAAATGATGCTCAATTGGAACATTGGTCAAGAGAGTTTATACAGCCAAACGAAAAGCGAATCTTGGACGAGTATTCCCTTCAAGGAATTATCAATTATATGAATTTAATGCAAAAATGTTGGCATCAAATTCCTCAAGAAAGACCAAACTTTGAGTCAGTCCTTTGCGATCTATATGAAATTATGCATTTATGTGGAGGTTCAATGTTAGTCTGATTAAACAACAAATTTAGTTTATTCGTTTTGAGTCTTTTTTCCTCTTACCAACACTTTTTCGATGTCATTACTGAGTTTGATATCTAGTGAAGACTCTCCTCTCTGGTGCATTACTTTCAAATATCTCAAGGCCACAAACATTTCTCTTCCCAATCTTTGATTTAGTGTTTCCACTGGCCCTGTTGGTTCAGGTTGTGCTGGTTCTGGAGGTGGAATTGTTGTATTCAGTTGGTCTTTCTTGTTATTAGAAGGTTTTTGCTTGGATTGACCAGGTTTCTCTGGTACTTTATCTGGTATCTTGTAAACTGGTTCAATTAGAGGTTCTGCTTCGAGGGCCTCCTTGTTTACAATTACAAATATTTGGGTTTCCCTTGCATCAAGTTGTTTTAGTACATTGTTTTGATTTTTGTGCAAACTCTTGAATAGTGCCATCATGGCAGTGTTACCCAACGTATTATAACCAATTTCAAACTTGATAAGAGAAGTATTGATTTCCATAGCCTTGCAAATAGCTAAAAATCCCTCCTCACTTATTCTGTTATGTGAAATATTGAAACGAGCAATAATATCACTCTCTGCTATATATTGAGCTAACATTTTACAGTGATCGTTGCTCAATCCAATCCATTCCAAGTTCAAATCAACAATTGAACTGTTTTGTCTCAAACTGGAAGCCACATGAGTCAATCCTTGTCGTCTAAGCGAAGTCCATGAAAGATTGAACATTTGAACTCTTGTACCAATGATGAGACTTGCCAGAGTTGGACCAGCACTATCAGTAAAATCGTTAGAGGAAATATCCAATCCTTTCAATGTGATGTTGTCACATACGCCTTCAGTCAGTAATTTTAGATGGCTATCATTCAAGTGACAGTTATTCAAATTAATTGTGTCTAAATGTTCATTCTTTCTAATTAAATGTAATAGTAATTGTCCACAATCTTTTAATTCGTATGGATTGACATAGGCGTTCTGCTCGAGTGGTTGAGGTTCATCCAAATCAATAGATGAAGTATTTACAAATCCTAGCTTATTGTCAGACAAGTCAAGATGTTTGATTGTAGAGTTTCTCTTTAAAGAGTTTACCAAATCATAAAGACCTTGAGATGTGATATTGTTATCTGAAATGTTGAGGGACTGAATGACGTTATTAAGTCTCAACATGGAGGATATAGCCTGAGCACCCTTGTCTCCAAGAGTTAAATGGCTCAAATCTAGTGAAGGATTATTGAACTTTTCAATAATTGAAAGAACTGGAAAATTGAAGAATGAAAAATTATCACACTTTTCTAAAAATGCCTCAATACCATTAATTGTCTGAAATTTGTCTCTTTGCTTTCTTCTGGAATTCATATGAGAAGATCCAATCTTTCTTTTGACCTCATATTCTTCTTCCGCTTTTTCTTCTGCCTGTTGATCAAATGGAGTCTCCACTCCATTCGTTGAAGATCTGACGCTTGAAACAGGAGAATTTTCCTCAAAAACTTTATCAGTTTTCCCAAGAAGGGTCTCATAATTGAAAGCTTCTTGCTCAGTAATTGATTCTGCAAACAAACGTGTATTTGACAATTCATTGGAAAGATCATTTAAGGCAGCTAATTCTTCCTCTAATTCCCTATCAATTAAATCATCAATATTTGCAGTATCTTCCAATAGTAAATTTTGTTTCCTTCTTCTCCTTTGTCGTTCCTCCTCTTCTTGTTTAATTTGTTGAAGTAGAGAAACAGATTTTGAATTACTTGCAAATTCTAATCTCTTTTCCAACTCAGCAGAAAAGCTCTGATTTGATGATAAGCGAGCGTTAATAAGACCAGCTAATTCGGAAAGAACCTCACTCCTCACTTCATCCAATTCCCTGAGAGAGCTTCTTCCACTTGGTGGGTCCATCAAGTCCGAATCCTCAGTTCCTGCCTCGGAAGGTGGTGATTTATTGTATTCATCCTCATCGTACTCAGCAATTGGAGTTTTTAGAAGAGGGCTAATGTTTGATTTATGTTCCTCTTCAAATACTGTATGACCTTCCTCCATATCTTCATAAACATTGTCTGTTCCTCCAGTCATATTGAGGCTCCTCTCGTTTCTATTTTGACTCATTTTATTTGATGGGCTTTAAATTTGTAAATTTAGTTACCGCCAAAAATTCTAGTTGATAATTTCAAAAAGTTATTCTCAAATTTATTACCTTCTGTGATAGTCTCTGCCATCCCTGTCTCTTCTGTACTCTCTACTGTCTCTTCTATCATCACGATAGCTCTCTCTATCTCTACTGTCTCTTCTATCATCACGGTCTCTGTAGTCTCTGTTTTCTCTATGGTGAGATGGAGAATATTTGTGATCTGCTGGAGAGGAACCCATCTTTCTCTTCTTATCATTTGGCTCATACTCACCTCTTCTTGGGGTATGATGATCCTCATCTTCGTGATGATCTTCTTTCTTTCTTTTAAGTGGTGTACCATTTCCACTGCTAGAACTGCTGGAGGCTTCTGGTTGTGATTCTTCCTTCTTTGGGATCTTCTTTGGAATCTTCTTCTTCAAAACATCCTCAACAATGGTTGGCACGTCAGATTGTGATGAAGATGGTTCTGAGGATTCAGATTTAGATAGCTTAACATCATCATCTTGCATCTTGTCCTCATCTCTGTCACTTGAATCTTCAATTGGATCGCTTGTATCTTCAGTATTCTTGAAATCAAGAGTTGTTTGACGCTTGACTTTTCTTTTTGGAGCAGACTTTTCCTTGAGTGGTGGTGATTTAAGAAGTACATGTTTCTTCTTTGGAGTAAAGTTCCAAGCCGATTTAGCTTTTGAAGGTGATCCTTGAACATCAATCTTTCTTAATAAAGAAATAATTTCTTCAATACGTGAAAGGAGTAGACCCTCTCTTGGTGAATCCTTTGATCCAAACTTGAACTCCTTATCTTCAAACAACTTCTTAAAATCAAACCCGTGTTTCTTGATACCTCTGATAAGTTCCTTGTCGTGTGCTTCTGACTTCCACCATTTAGGTAAACCTGAACCTGTTGGTTTCAAGTATTTCATCTTGCTCTTATATTCATCCCAGTTTGGATAAACAAGTGTATAAAGACTATTCATTATATCAATTCTTTGAATTAATTTCTTTGCAGTACCTGGAGCCAAATCATCAGTTGTTGGCTTGTTTGAATCTTTCTTCTTGGATTCTTTAGTATCCTTCTCTTCTTCTTCATTGTTAAGTATTTTTGCTGCTTTTACCAAGTGAGTAACGTAGGTCTTTACAGCACTTTCAGTTTTTCTCAAATTGGCCAATGAAATAATTTTGGCATAGTTAGGCTCACCAGATGATTCAGCTGGACATAAACCAAAGTTGATAAGTGTCCTTTGGATATCTGCCTTTTCTCTCTTACTCCAAGAGTCAACAATTGTTTTTGGTTCAGAAATTTCAGTTTCTTCAAAAGCCAAATCATCATTATCATTTTCATTAGATTTAAGTTCTGCAAGAATAGAAATATCCTTTTCCTTAACTAATAATTCCATGAGTTTGTTAGCACGTTTGTTAACCACAGCAATAGTTGGCCAAGAGCCAGCATCCTTCTTTTCCTTTCTACTCTTTGCCTTTTTCATGTGCTCTTCATGTTTTTCCTTAAAGCAAAGAGAGGTGTCTTCTTTCATTTCATCAAAGCGACCATAGCCATATAAATCAAAACCAACTAATAAGTCCCTATCGCATTCCCTATCCCACCAGTCTGTAGGAGCCTTAATGCCCACCTTTGGAATATTATCAGTGGTCAACTTTGTAAAAGCTTCAAGAATCTTTGTGAGACGCAAATTAAACTTGAGCTTTTTGACCCAAGTCTTTACAGCTCTTTTGGCTTGTTCAATCCACTCCTTATCTTCTAATACTGGATGAACACCTTGGACTTCGAATGATTTACTTGCCTTGGAAAGTCCGTTATAATTCAACCTTACAAAATATTCACCACCAACACCAGGAGCATATAATTCACAAACATCACCTTCCTTATCCTTTTCCTTCAATTCGTAGAATCTAACGCAAAGGTTCTTACCGGAACTCTTGGAACTGCTTGCTTGAGATTTGGCTTTCTTCTTCTTGGAGACTCTTGCTTCTTGTTGAGCAATCTTAATAATTTCAATACTTGAAGTGGAAAGATCAGCATCTTTAGGTAAATGAACCTTCAAGATATCACCAGCTCTTGCTGGTGTGTTTTTGAGCTCAATCTTTAAGGAAGAACTTGGTAAATCGTCATTATCTTCAGGCACTGTTGAGGATTGCAACAAAATCTTGAGGAAGTCGACATCATTTTCGCCATCACACATAGTAATAAGTTGACTGACAAAACTTTCAGCAAGAGAATGAATATCTTCAATAGTATGAGCATGAAGTTTGTTCTCTCTAATAGTTCCCCATTTACCCCAACCAACTTCCAATAAAGACTTTTGGAATCTTTGTCTTTCAGCCTTATACCAACCTCCAGCCTTTTTCTTTGAGACAGTCTCTTTAGAGTCGTCATCTGATTGATCAGACTCTTCATTACGAGTTGAACCATTTCTCAACCTTGGTTGTTCAAGAATTGATAACCATGCCTTTGCTTGTTGTTTGTGATCTTCATCTAACAATCTGGCATACATCATTTGAGTAAGAAGAGTTGCCAATTCATCATCTGGCTTATATTTGAACTTTTCAATTTCATGAATCTTGATATCTACAAGTGCCTTTACGTCATTGAGATATTCCTTTTTTTGTTCTTCAGTATCCAAAGAAGAATCTTCACTCAATAATTTCATCAAACCTGAAGCTGTCTTTTCACGTGGAAGTAAATTTTCCCATTCCATGTCTTCAGAGAAGCAGAATGTAGCTTTAGAAAAGTTAGAAAATCCATTAGATTCTGATGGTTTAGCTTGATCATATCTGACAATAGTTGCTGTTCTTTCCATGATGGTATCAATATCTTCGTCCATCAACAATTTTTGTTCTTCTGTATCATCAATCTTGAAAGCAGAATAAGCACCATGTCTTAGTAAAAGTTCAATTTCTTCTTTTTCAAGTGCTGGTTTGTTTTGCGTACTAGACTTGGAAGTGGATTGGACAAATTCATTATTTGATGACAAAACAGCTCTATCTAAACCTAACTTCATTGAAGCCCTTTCAAAGATTTCCTTTTCCTTTGTATTCTTGGTAAGAAGACGATAAATCTTGACTTCCTTGGTTTGACCAATTCTGTGACATCTAGCTTGGGCTTGCAAGTCATTTTGAGGATTCCAATCACTGTCATAAATAATGACAGTGTCAGCAGAAGTCAAGTTAATACCTACGCCTCCTGCTTTGGTGGAAACTAAAAATACAAATGTATCAATGTTAGGATCATTAAATCTATCAATAGCTTGTTGTCTGATTGATCCCTTAATGGTACCATCGAGTCTTACATAGGTAAAGTTTCTATACCTCATGTAATCTTCAAGAATGTTCAATACGAGAACCATTTGACTGAAAATAAGAACCTTATGGCCACCTTCTCTCAATTTTCTCAAGAGCTTGTCTACAAGAATCATCTTACTACTTGATTTAATAAGAGCCTCATTAACTTCCACGTCACTCATACCTCTGGTAATGTTTTCTTCAGCACCACTAATCAAGAATGGATGGTTACAAACTTTTCTCAATTCCATAAGAACATTGTTTAACTTTGGAACATTTTGTGATTTGGAGACACCCTTCATTAAAAATTCTCTATTTCTCTTGAAAATAGCCTGTTCGTATGCTTTTTGAATTGAGGTTGGGACAACTTCAACGACAATTTCTTCCTTTGGAGGAATACTCTTTTCTACATCTTCCTTCAATCTTCTAAGAATGTATGGAGAAATTAACTTATGTAGTCCTTCCAATTTCTCAGAACCAGACTCACCCAAATTTCCATATTCCTCTGAGAAAACATCAAGATCATAAAAAGTCTCAGGATCTAAGAATTGTAGCAATGAGAACAATTCTGTTAGATTGTTTTGAATAGGAGTACCAGTCAGCAAAAGTTTGTGTACAGCGTTAAAATTCTTAAGAATTTGTGCCAATTTTGAGTTGTGATTTTTCAATCTATGACCTTCATCAACAACCAAATATTGCCAAGGTATCTTTGAAAGGTAAGATGATTCAGCCATGACAATTTCATAAGTTGTAATGAGTACATTAAACTTGTATGTCTTTTGATGATAAATTAAGTTACCAGTCTTTGGATGTTTGAAGAAGAATTCATGATTCTTCATTACCTCTCTTGATTGAGTATTACCATGGAATACAAGAACATTCATATCTGTCCAATTTTCAAACTCTCTCTTCCAGTGTTCAACAGTGGAAAGAGGTGCAATAACTATGAATGGACCTCTAATATGTTCAAAAGCTCTCAAATATTCAAGTGTTGCAACTGTTTGAACAGTTTTACCGAGACCCATTTCGTCGGCAAGAATTGAATTTCTTCTCTGATACCAACAAAATACCAACCAATTCAAACCTTCTAATTGGTATTCTCTCAATTGATTACCATCTCTAAATGATGGTGATTCTTCTAACTTTTTGAATTTGTGAGGAGCTGGTCTTGCAGGTATTCTTCTATCTTCTGGTGTTGGCAATTTATTAATCCTCTTGTATTGCTCAATCTTTTCCTTGTCTTCAATCTTATTTTCAAATTCCCAAGTTGATTCACTATATGTAAGACCTTTCCATTTTACACAATAAACTTCAGAGTCATCCCAAACACCACGATCAATGATACGCTCTACTTCTGTAAATTCAGGATTGAAATATTCTTCCAATCCTTCAAAATACTTGACATCATATTGCTTGTTGAATCTATTGATTTTGTTTCTGGTTTGAATATCATCATCCAGCTCGTACCTAGGTATCCACTCGCAGTGCAAGTAAGATTTGTTCTTATATTTACACAAATATTCTATTGTTTCCTCGCCACTATTAGTTTTCTTTTCTTCGGAACCTTCTTCTTCGTCATCTTGTATTTCTTCTTCTTCTTTCTTTACTCGACAAGCTAAAATTAATTCTATTACATCGTCTTTATCTTGATCCATAAAAACGGTAGGTCCTTCATCAGCACCGAGTTCTTCTGTTGTTTCACCTTCCTCTTCGGATGAAGAGCTCTCTTCTTCATCAGAATCATCATCCATAACAACAACATCATCATCATCCGAATCAACCTTTTTGGATTTTGCACCACGACGTCCACCACGTGTAGTTCTTGCTTTAGGTTTTGTTGTTGTTGTTGCTCTTCTTCTGACTGTACGTTTTGGTTTAACTTCTTCTTCCTCTTCAGAAGGTTCCTCCTCTTCTTGAGGTTCTTCTGGAACAACTTCATCTTCTTGTTCTTCAACGGTTTGTGTTTCCTCAGAGTAGTCAATCTTCTTGGATCTTGTTCTGAGGTCTCTCTTTGGGATTTCATAGTCTCCTGCACCAATTGTGCTTGATTGTTTTGTTCTTGAGCCCCGATCAACATTTCTTCTGATTTTACGTTGTCTTTTTGGTGCTTCTACTTCTGCTTCTTCGTCATCGTCGTTATTGACAACTACTTCGTTAGAATCGTCCATATCATCATCATCCAATGCTTTGTAAGCTTCGTCTTCATTATAATTCTAATGTTGTGTTGACAAGAGGTCAAAGATCCAATGTTATAAACCCATAATCAACAATACATACCTTTCTTGCACTGCCTCTTCGTGAACGAACAGGTGCTCGTATTACTTCTTCTTCCTCACTTTCAGAACTTGGCTCCTTATAGTTCTATTTAATTATGGAATTTTGTGAATAAGCGAAACCATCATCACGATGAAATATTAATTTAAATTATTTGAATATTACTAACGTACATTTCGTGATGCCCTAGTTTTACGAGTGGTAATAACCTCTTCTTCTGATTCTTCCATGACATCGTCTTGATTTTGAACTTCTTCCTCTTCTGATGCTGCCTCAGAGGATGATTCGTTTTTCAAAACTTCTTCCTCGCTATCAGACATTGTATTTAGTAGTAGTAGACTATTATACGAGTGTTAGATCCTTTAAGGATTATACTTTAGTTGTTGTAAAGTTTTCAAATTGGCTGTGCCGATGATGGTTGTGGTGATAGATAAAAATACTCGCAAAACTTTTGCTATGAATTTTTTCTTCAAAAAATACTATGGCAAGTTAAAGAGTTATTTTTTTTAGAATCGTTACAAAAGTAATTGGCGCAATTTCCCTCTCCAATGGTATGGATCCAATAGTTTGTATGCTTCAACAAGAACCCACGACTTGTCAAGAGGTGGTAGATATCAATCACATCAGAATAAAAAGATTCACACACTGGTGAATAAACCTTTACTGATTCGAAAAATAATTTCGAATTTTAAAATTTTAAAATTATTTCGATACTTCGTTTCTGATATGATTTGAAAATTCCAATAAATTAATACCTTAATTGTTGTGATCTATCTTAGAGGCAATTTACTAGTGATTTCCAAATTATCTTGATGGATAACAAAGGCATGTTGCGTTGTGTGGCTAAATGTTACTTGATTTGATATTCCAACATTCAAACATGCCTTGTCAAGAATCTTACAAAATTCTTGTTCGTCCACAACTGTTGAGTTTTCCAATTCAAGGATGGTTTTTCCTTCATATGAGTTTACATCAAATACATGATCTAAGAATGAGAGAACGTGTTTTCTTGGAACCCAAAGATCAGCCGTAGAGAAGATAACCCTCAACTTATCTTTGTGATCTCTCATAGCATCTTTGAAAGTATTTTGAGATGAATCATTTCCAAAAGAATCCAAAATTTCTTCAAACTCATGACTAGCTAAGGTTGTAACATTCTTAATAATTCTCATACTATCAACATAGTAAGGAATCCATGGAACAAGAATTGGTGACGATCTTCTTGACAATCTAATCACAAATGTTGGAAGAATTGGTGAAGCTAAATTGTAGAGTAAATTGGCAAGATAAACTCTAAGAGGAGCTTTGATTGCATACTGAAGCAAAGATTGTCCATTAGGAGTTTCACTGTGCATGTTTTGAACAGTCGGATAAAAGAATATTAATTTGTCAACTGCATTATCTACAATTGTTTGTGTAAGAGGCTGAACTATTGGGTGGTGAGATTTCTTTTTGCAAACATTCAATCGCTCCATAACTTTGGAAATCAAAAAACACCCAACGGAGTGGCCCTGTAAGATAAGTTTGGCATTTGGAAATTGTCTATGCAACTTTTGCACAATTAATGTAAAATAATCGACCTGATCATTTAAATTGTATGCCTCTAACGAATGGTATAATGAGGAGGAGGAAGAGTTGGATTTAAACAAGGTCAAACCTTGCCAAAATTGGGAAGGATAGTAATAGGAATGACCTCTCAAACTAACAGCAATTACCAATCTGTTTTTTTCTTCTTCCTGATTGTCTAATCTTTCACATAAACGTTCCAAGAACTCGTGATAGATGAGGCAATTTCCAGGGTTTCCAGGCACAAAGACATAAATTTCCTCCACACTACTCAATTTTTCGTCTTTTTCAATTGATTGCGAATTGAAAATGTTACATGATGGAGTGTAATTGTGAAAGTTTCTTGCGTCATCACTCTTGAAATTTGGTGCGCTCATCTTGCACATGTACTCAACTTCAATACCATCAACAATTTTAGATTGATCACTAATAACAATCTTTTTCAAAGGGAATTTATAGAGAGGAGCATCTTCATCATCATCTCTAATATTCTCATCAGTGGTAATAAATTCAAATTTTGACAAGGTTGGTAGCACGCCACTTGCATATTCCTTCATCATTCTCTTCTGAACAGAAGAGTCGTGATTTAACTTTTTATCAACGCCACTCATGATGTAACTCTTCAATAACCAACGTAAGACTCGGAACACGATATATATCACACCTACAACTGCCAAAATATCAAAAAACGACAGCGAAATATTATTCAGGGGTTGATGTGATGAGGGCTGTGGTTGCCTTGTCGCCATTTTTTTCTATCCACTTTGTTTACAATTAACTCTTTTAGTAACTTGGATTTTTTACAAACTAATTGGATGAAAATATTAATATATTGAATCATTGCAATAGATAATGAATACATATAATGTGCTTTTGTAAATGATTTATTTGGTTTTATATTATCTTAATATAATTTATAATCGGGTGGATAATGCTAGGGATAATGTGTTGTTTTTGTATACTAGTTAAAGCACAAGAATTATTTAATATACTATTAGAATTTAAGATGTTAAAATCAAAATGTGAAATATTTAATTCAATTAATGATTTTAATCCATTTAAATTATCAATAAATAATTTGATAATTAATAATAAAATTAATTTATAATCATTTAATGGATAAATAAATTTGAAATGACTATCGATACCACTTTAGAGATATCTGAGAGTGTTATCGATCAGTATTTAAAGTTTCTCACAATTGATGGTCACAAAATTTGATGAGTGTGGGATTTGAACCCACGCCCTTGCGGAACACGGTATTAATCATACCTTAACGTGTCGTCTTAGACCACTCGACCAACTCACCATCTATTGATGACCTCTAAGCATGTTATTATAAAGAAAGGAGAGATGATTTTTAACGCGGGAAAGAAGTAAAATGTGACATGGAAGAAAAGGGAAATGAAAATCTCTGAAACGTTTATTTAATAACAAACCAAGTTTCAACAACCACGATTGAATTCTAGCGAATTAATTAACTCTCCCCAATCCGAAAGGTCATTTCCACTCCTTGTAATGGTCATTTCTTTCAATTGAGGGTTGCTCCAAATTGTTTTAACAAACTTCAATGATAAATTTCTTGATAAATCCAAATCCACAAATGAATACCTTGGAAGCAATTTGAAATAATTCACTGAATAAATTGGCAAGTGAAACAATTTAAATTTTGGATACTTGTTATGAAGTTTTTGTAGCATTTGCAAAACTGATTCTAAACTCTTGTCTTCACCAAACAGAAAATTCGGTTGTACATTACACAGATAAATGAAATATTCAATGTCAATCCTATATCTACTCAATATGTAATCGAATACTATTTGAAAGTTTGTTTCAATAGCACTCAATAAGTACGCCTCTATATTCAAAATATAGCCTGGAGAGAAGATTCTATCTAAATCGTCCACATTAATTCTTGTACTATTGAAATTAGAGTGTATTTTAGGTCCAACAAATGATTTGTTCAATCTTTGACATTCTATAACTCTAAAATGCAAAGTTTTACTGTAATTTCCGCTAAAGTTAACATTTACAACTTTTACATTGTAAAAATTACTCAAAATCAATTTGCTTAAATCGCAATTTGAAAAGAATTTCAATTCACTGCTCCAAAATTCTACATGTTCAACATTTTCAAAGGTAAAAGATGAATTTGTGAATTTTTCAATATTCTGAATAAATTCATATATCATCTCTGAATAATCACCTCTATTAGTCTTCTTAGGTTTCTTATCATCATGACTTGAAAACAAAGATATCAAAAACGATTTATAAAAATCAAATTCATGTTTTGGACTCTGACTTCTTCCTAAAATTTTAAAATGTAAAGAGAGTGGTTTAAAACTCTGTACGGAATGGTAGAATGCCTTACAAGTTAAAAAGAGTGGTTTCTTATCAAAGTTAACATCGAGTTGATCGGTGCAAATTTCATCATTAGAATCCATAATTTTACTCTCAAATTCCTCTCTTGTCCACTCCGAGAGATTAAATCGAGGAATCATGAGTTTCTTATATCGACACAATTCACCCACATAGTCTAGATAGGTGAAAATTTCGTGATGAATTTCTTGAGGGAGATTTGTAAGCATTTTTTTTTTAAAAAACTCCAACCTTAGAGAACATTAAGAACATTTGGACATTCCCCTAAATCATTATCAATATTTAAATTAGGTTTTCTTAAATTTATATTGGCCATTGCAACATGAATGTAGTTGAAATTGCTGCCTATAACACTTGAACTCATGTTTGGCGCCAATACAAATCGTTGAGTTTTAAAAAATATTTAGAATGAAATAAATCAAATTCAAAAAAATGAAAAGACTAACAACTGGAAGCAACAATTTAATTATTAAATACAACATCTTACATGGATCATCATCGTCATCCATAATATTTCATGGTCGTCATAACTCAACAAGAAATTTTTCACTCTTCCGATCACGATATGTAGATCAACTTCTCACTCAAATAAAGGATGAATATAAAACGCTGCCACGGGATGAGCTTTTACTCGATGGAAGAAAGACCAAGATATATGGATTCATCAAGACATCAAGTTTAGATAATGATATCATACTGGAAAAGCCACAATTCTGTGCTCCCAATTTGAAAGAAATGAAGCAACCAACAAGTAGTAGGAGTGATAGAGACATTGTTGCTCTTCATTATCGTGTTGAGAAGGAATCCATGTTTTCCAATCAAGTATTGGTGGAATATTTACTTTTCAAAAAGCCATTGGATTTCATTTTCCAAAGAGATTTGAGAGATAATTCCACTCGAGAACTGATACAAATTGATCTATCGGATCGTCTACTCAATGGTGGAGAACTGAAAGCACTCCAAAAGGACGAATTACTGACCATCTTGCAAAGAGAACGAACTCTTTATCTACATTCGAGAGAGTTAAGTCCTCTCCTTGATTCACTTCAAGATTTTGCTCGAGTCAATCATATGAAAGTACTGTGTAATGATTCAAATCTTAAGTATGACTATGATGGAAAAACCATCATTAAGGAGAGTGTTATAAGGAATGGCGACTTGCTCATGTTAATGGGCCAAACAAATAGAGTTATTAATTATGATGAATTCAACTGTTCTCTCATCTCATCCTTCTCGGAAGACAATTTACACAAAAACATTTCAAAACTTGTATAAATTAGTAAGATTATCTCAATCAACTGTATTAGGTTTAAATTTTCACTAGATCTCATTGTTATTACAATAAAGATCCTCAACATCACAATGATTCAAAATCCATCATTGGAACATTAAGAGTTGCAGAGATGAACTTCCAAAAAGTTGTTCCGCCAAAAGTTTTACGAATTTTTTGAATCATAGCCATTTTTAAACAGAAAAAAATGAATGAACAAAGTAGGGGGAATCTCTCCACTCTCTCATCATCAACAATAAACGGAAGACAAAATAGTAGGGAATTTTCAACAGCTAGTAGTGTAAATAGTGAGTCACCATTGATTAAGCAACAGAGCTTATCGGAATATGAGACGAAAACACAAATACCACTCTCTATTTCAATAGTTTCTGGATTGCAATTAGCTGATTCGAGTGGTGAATTTAAAGAGAATGCTTCTCCTATTCACATACCTTTACAGAATGATAAGAAACCAGTAGAGATGGAAAAGGATGAAGATCTGGTGGTTGTAAAGGCAAAAAAAGGAAGATTAAGATTCAATTTTACAATAGGAGAAGCCATTACATTTGTGGCATGGATTATGGTCATTGTGTTTGTAGCTTGGTATATCAGTAATTCCATTAGTAATTATGTCACTTCTTTGGGTAATCCAACAACCTCATTGGCGTATGTGGAGTCTTTACCTCTCTACTATCCTGCTATTACGGTTTGTAATTGGAATGCTGCTTTGGATTGTGATTATTGTAATCTTACACTAATGTATTCAACAACAGTCAATCAAGAGTATGGAACTATTGAGCAGTTTGAACTTCCTCACACCATAACAGAGATTGAACAAAATGGCCAATATTTTACTTGTTACGGTAGGTTTGGTTGAATCAATGAAAAGCTAACCATTATTTTCATTTTGGAAATTGTAGTATTTAATAATGATACTCAGAACCTATTGGCAGCCAATGCAACTGGTTATGGAGGCACCATTAGTTTATTCTTTAGAGTACCACTAGCTCCAGTGGAACGAGATGCTAGATTCGGGTTGCAAGTTTCTTTCCACGAACCTGGTACAGTCCCACCAGTGTTTGCAGAAACAAATTTTGCAATCTCCAAGGTTGATAATTATTTCGTCCTTACAAAATATGTCACTACTCGATTGAAGCCAACAATTGAAGATCCGTCTCTTGTTTCAGTTCGGTGGGAATCAAAACTCTCTATCGTCAAATTGACTGAGGTTGAAAAAGATGTAGTTGTCATTTCGTTTGCTTACTCCTCTCTCAATGAGAACAGAATTACAGAAGTGTTAACCTCTAGCATTGAAGGTCTTTTGGGAGAAATTTCAGGAATGGTGGGTATGATGATGGGAATTGATGTACTCAAATTATTGAGAGGAGGATTAGAAATACCCTATGCTGTTCATCACAAGACTTTAAGAGGTATTTGGGAAATATTCAATTGAGCTAGAAAAGTGGGTGAAAATCAACCGTGTTTAGAATATCAGATTGGCAAACTTTTCAGTTAATAATCTGCACAAATTAAATACTAACAACAGCTAAAGGAAGGTAAAAAAGTTTAGATAACTTTATATTTTAATAAATTAAGTTAATTTGTACATTAGTGTTTTAATTGAGTAGAAAGTGAGACAATGAATCTCAAGAAAAGAGCTTTAACTGTGTCTCCATTTGTTCCTAACGCCTGTTGACACATTTCTATTAATTGGTAATAATCTGGACTCTTTGTCTGGTCAAGATTTAGTAAAGTATCGAAAATGGTTTGCCAAACATCTCTAAATTTCCAGAATCTCCTTATGGATTCCTTAATTAGATACTTGTCTTGAGCGTTCGTTGTTACCTCCATGTCCTTCTTAAAAAGCATTTGGTGGATGATGTTACAAACACTCCAAGTATCTGATGCATATTTCCACTTGTTTGGATATTGTATTGATGATTTGAAAACTTCTGGTAATGTTTTGGGTTCACTTTGGAAAACAACACGGTTTGGAAATAGTTCTAAATCAATAGACCTGGAAAAGTTGGTGAGCAGTAGACCCTTATTACTCCAACCCTTTCCATCTATACTCCAATCAGATAGATCAGTATCTTCATTTAAAAGCAATAAATTAGATGGAGAAATATTATTGTGTGTAATGTTTGCCTTATTATGCAGAGTTTGCAAAATATTGAGAAGTTCTAAAGTATAGTACAAAGCAATTGTTTCCTCAATTTTTGCTTGTGATATTGCCTGTGTGAGAGTAATGTTATTTACAAGGTTTTCCATCAATAGAATATCATTATCCATAACATAAACTCTTTGAATATTTGGGAATCTATGATTTTCCTTCTCTGGTATTCTTCTATACAGCTGATCGATCACATAGTACTCATAGAAATCATTTGGTGGCTTAAATTTCAAGGCAAATGATTTGGTATTAATTCCATTGTTACTTCTTACATCCTGTATTTTGATCACATGTTCAGATAGTGCTTCTTCGGCAAGGTATGTCTTTGTACTCAACTTCAAGCTTAATGTTTGAGTATTATAGTCGATACCTTTCTTCTTTTTACTTAGCTCCAGCAGAATAGTTTTTAAATCTATAGATTCAACTCCTTTACAGTCAGTAATACGACTGTCTTTAAAGCAATTAGTTATGTTAACAATATTAGTATACACTTTTCGTATATCTTCCATGTACGGATTGATTACTCCATTATTTGTGTATTTTGAAATAAGGGCTGATATTCCTTCCAATGATATCGCACTTTCTTGCTGTCTATCAACAATGAAAGTTTTTGAAATGTTAGATTCATCTCCAAAATAGAGACCTGATTCATCTCCTGTATCATTAAACTGATGGAATGCACTTAGGGATCTATTTCTTTGAGAGAATGAACGTTCTTGTTGAAGACTTGTATTTTGAAAGCCAGAAGATGTCTGAGATGGTATTTTAAAGGTACTACTGGATGGTTGAGCTGTCAGCCTAGATTTCTTAATTTCAGCTGTTGTATCTTCATGTATGGCAAAATTATTATTTGTTGATTGTGAAATTTCATCAAGTTTTCTCTTTTTCTCTTGTTCTTGCACTTTACGGAACTTTCGTTGTTCAAAGTAATTGTTTTCAATTTCAGTATCAATGGTTCCCTCAAAAAAGCTGGCAATAGTATGTTGAGCGTAAGAAGTAGGAGTTGCAGCCATTGATTTTCTTGCATGTACTGTGGTAATATCACTTGAAAAATCAAATTCAAAGTCGTCGTCTTTTTGTTGAGGTTTGCTTGATGGTTTTTCAAAATTCTTATTCATAAGAATAGAGGAATCATGATGCTTAGGTTGTTCAATTAAAGATTGGTTGTGTGAAATTGATGATGAACTAGGTATTGTTTGTTTGTGATTAATCATTAAATCAGTGGTATTTAAATAGTGCATTGCTCTCAATTCCTCAAAAGTAAACTCTGCACCTGGAGTAAAGATTAGATTCTTGTCATATCCAATCAAATAATTTTGTGGGGTTGGTGAAGGTGGTCTTGGATTGTTAACCAATGTTTCCACAGATTGATGTGCAACAGGTTGTTTGATTACAGTATTAGTTACGGTGGTGGTGGTTTTAATCTTAGGTTCAGGAATTGTTTGTTGTTGTGATGGTGGAGGTTGGAAATATTCGGATCTGTCTTGTTTCATGCTCGATAACAATTCGGATACAACACCTCTCGTTTCAGCCTCCTCATATGCTGTTAATTCATCATCAATACGTCCTGTTCTTCTCGACCAAGTGGCCCAGACCTCAAATAACTTTGGATATTTAGGAGCAAATTCAAGTAGAGTTTGAATGTGTGGAATAGGATCATTGGTATGAGCCTCTGCATATAAAAGCCACAAATCCCAAATTGTTTTATCGGAATATAATTCAGGTGGATAATTACCACCATTCATAAAACTGTTATAATACTTTTCGAAAAATCTCTCAATGACATCACCTCTTGTTTCAAAGGCCAAATCACTCTCTTGAAATCCGGAAAGATATCCAACAAGACCAGATAATAATTGTGTATCCTTTTTTATATCCATAGCATTGTCATTAGATATTCCAGAGTAGTATTTATCGATTGCATCTTGAATTTGTTTTTGTTGACGTTTCAAGTGCAGTTGAGAACTCATTTTTTTTATTTTAAATTTTCATTTTAACAACTTTTTTGGCGCCAAAATTTTTATGGTCAAGTTTAGGGTAATCGATATTAGATTTCAATAAATTCAAATCAAAACGAAATTTGAATATGTTTGAATACTGCAAATGTGAGCTTTTTGAAAGCAAATATTAATAAATTTATTAATATTATAATATATAAAGAGTAATAATAAATTAAGTTAAAGTACTAGGGATTGAATCAAGGATGAGGAAGGCATAAACGAAATATTTTGACAAGGGTTTTTAAACCCAATTCTGATAACAAGAAACTCTTGTTTTCTTTTTGCTTGAGAAAGTCTTTGTACATATTTTACCTCGTTTACATTGATGATAAATATAGTGGTGATGATTATCACTTCTTAAATGATGGAACAAAACTTATTGATCCGTCGAGTCTTGTTCTTCTTCATTGAGATTCATCTCTTCCATCTCCTCTAAGACCTCATCAACCACATCATGACCTGGTTTTCTTGGAGGAAATGTGAATGAGGTAAACATAGCTTCACCTAATTGTGGATCTTGTGGAAGAGCATGTACTGTGGAGCATCTTCTTCTTGAGAGTGAGAGGTAAACCTCAGGAGTCATTTGTTGAGTTTCCATATTTTGTATTATTTGATGAGCTTTTGCTTAATTAATTGATGATGATATTTTGATAAGTAATTTGATTCCTTTTGTGTTTTTGAGAGTAACTATTTCTATATTGCCAATGCCTGTTGAAACTATTCCTTCTTGTGTTGATTTAATATACTATTAAAGATTACTTTCTGTTGTTGTTTTATTGTGTTATTGAGGTTAATCGGATTGTAGAAGAAATTGAGAGGTCTTTTTGAAACGAACAGTTTTTTTAAGATGATTTATTTTGCAAACTGTTACAGTGTTGGTGACACCCTGCATCTCCATGTCCTTAAAAGAATCCAACATTTTCATATTTGTTTTAGTATGATTTTGGTAAAAAGGATGTTATAAAAAGGTGACTAATTGAAAAAAAGCAATTAACATTCTATCTGAATCATTAAAGTTATTCTTATATTAATTTCTAGTACTATTTATTCCTCCTTAGCAACAAAATAAACATTATGATGACAAGTATGAAATAATATTTTCAATGTGTGGGAGAGTGATGGAGGAATGAGAAAGGATTGAAAGAAGGTAAATAATAAGGGCCTCTCTGTTCATGACTTTTTGATTTTGTTTGATACAATCTTTCAAGAGGTGAAGGTAAGGAAGGTTGTAGAATAAGCAATAGGCTCCCAATCCTAGTTCCTTGTTTGACAATTTTGTCCAATCTATTGAAAGTGAAGAGAAATAATTATCCAAATACGATTTTACGCATTCTATAAAGTGAATAGAAATAAGGGGCTTGATTGGTTCAATTGTAGAATTTCTCGATTGTAATAAATGATCCCTCGAACTATAGTACGAGAACAGTTGTTTAAAACATGAGGTATAAATTGATTTGGAAAGAGTGCAATTCTTAGAGTCTGTGATGATCTTTAGAGAATTAAGGATACACTCAAATAGGTACAAAACATCTGGGCAATCATTTGTCAGCGACTCAGTTAGAGCGTGATAGAGCATGAGGGCAACATTTCCATAGGTATGCTCATTAAGTGAGAGGGAATTGATGGCGTTGGCAATATTTCTATCATCCGATGAGATGTTATTCTGAGTAAAGATTCTATATTTCACATATGGTCCAATATGAGTGTGATAGGACATTTTTTCGAATAATTTAACAAGAGATTCAGGATCTTGATCAACCAGGTTTGATATAAAGTTAGAATGTACAGTTGATCTTATTCCTTTAGGATCATCCTTGTAAGTCAAATATCCTGATTTCTTCTTTACATTAATAATATGGCTCTTAAGTGGGAATTCACTAATAGTTAGAGGATAGTACCTCTCATTCATGGTTGTAATCTTTTTAAGAAGATGAGCCTCTGGAATCAAACAAGGAGAAAGTTTGTGTAGAACATCGCCATGAGTAGTTTCTATTTGAATTGGTACGTGACATCTTTCTTTGGTGTCAATATCGACAGTTTCTATAAGTCTATTTTCTGTGGAAAGAATATACATGTGTCTAAGGGCTTGTGAATGGTATCTATTGTCAGTTGTAGTTTGAGGGAAAATTGGGTAAATAGAACAAAGAAGAGCAGCAATAGATCTATCATTTGTACTCAGTGAACAACGTCCACCTCCCAAGAAGAGTAAACCCAAAGACATAGACAAAGCCATATGTATGCCATATCCTCCCTGTTGAGTAGCTGGTGATGCTACATATTTCTGTCTTAATGATTTGATGATACGTATAACTTCAATGTTACCACTGCCAGCCATCACACAACAAATACTCAATAGAATAACAGTTGTAGCTCTATCAGTTGTGTATTTGTCTAGATTGACAGAGTATGGTATTTGCATTTGTTCATTATTCAAGAATATTTTGAGTTTTGATTTGATGACTTGTTGTAACAGTCCAAGTAAGAGATTGTATGCTTTCGTGTCGTGGGATCCAGCATATTTCAATCCAATTGCCATACAACATCCACTAACAGAATAGGCATATATCTTTGAGAGTTCACTGCTCTCAACAATAGATATTGGTGCAGTATTATTCAGTACACCTGGAAGTTTGGATTTGATCCATTCATCAGTATTCTTAATATGATCCCACATAATTAGAGACGATCCAACGATTCTCAAAATGATCATATCTGGTCTGACATAGTCCAACATGTATTTGGTGTCTGGAACTTTCATTTCAGAGGCAATTGTAAGGTCGTGTGTTTTCAAGTATTTCAAAGTTAAAGCAATACAAGCACCTTGTCCAGTCACATCCACATTGACAAACTTTTCATTTTCCTTAATTCTTGAACAAGAGGTGTTAACAAACTCACTAGTATTTTGACCTTTTCCTCCTTTTTGTATCATTTGAGACTTTGATTTGGATGCCATCATTGCAAATGTGTCAAACTCTGGTCGTTTACTTCCTCCAGTCATGTAGGAAAGAAGTCTTTGATCCATTTTGAGTTCATGACTGCTTCCATTGGCACCCTTGGCCAAGTGGACATATCCAAGTGCAAAACCTGCTGAAAGTGAATAACTTTCTCTTGAATTGGTGGAATTATCGTTTGGTGGTCTTGCCAATTCGCCCAATAGTACTTCAGTCATAAATCTATGACCACTTCCCATATATAATAAACCAATGCCAACAAGTGCAGCACCACTTACTTCCATTGGCATTTCCATATCGCTCATTCCAACAACAAGGGAAGGAACATAGAGTGAAAGTGATCTTGTAATATATTGGTCTTGTGTTCCAATATATGAGCATGATAATCCTAGTAAAATTCCAATAGTGGTTGCTTCGTGTCTCTGTTGAAGATAGCCATAAATATCAGTTGGTCCAAGACATGTCAAATGACCTTGTAGACCTAAGGCTAATAAGAGGCCAGCATGAGAGACACTATCGTTTGAAGTCTTGTTCATAAACTGTCCAGCCCTCTTGTTTGGCTTGTGGAACATTATCCACTCTTTCGTTATTTTAGAGTCTCTTCCAATTGTTAATCCAGAGGCCACCCCATTATGGAATTCAGCCCATTGAGTGCTGCACGAGGCAGAAATTTCATTTTCTGGTACTATTTTTGATACATCTATGGTCATAATAGCTCTATTTCTTTTAAGTTTGGATGATAAAACTATTGGAGGTATTGTCAAAATATTACTCGTGGTATCATTAGAAACAGATCCTGAATTATTATTCTTCTTGCTGGCAATGGAAAGCATTCCTCTTCCAATACAGAATGAAAGAACTTGTTGCTTCATGTTGAGTAGGATTTTACGTTGTAATTCTGGTGCATCGTTAGGATCAAAACCATCCAAATCATCCTCGCTAAGTTGAAGTGTATGCTTTTGAATCTGAGTAGGTATACTACTATCTAGCATTTTACTCACTTGCTCAAGTCTCCTATCTTCACTCCAAATCATATGACCTATATCATCCTCAGAATCTTGATTACTGGCAATAGAAGGGACTCCTGTTCCCAGCGTTTTTGTAAATTCTGAAACGATTTGATTTCCATCCAGTAGAACTTCGGATTCAGATTGGGCTTGATTATTGACAGCCAAATCCTCTCTTTCTATGAGCTTACAGTATTCAGGGGTTCTGGTTACAGGTTGAATGCTGTTTCTACATTGTACTAAAGCCTCTCTTATTGGAAGTGAGACACTAAATGGTAAAAAACTCAATCCATCAACACTAGAGAAGCCCTCTTGTAATAAAGCTATTGCTACACGTTCGTGTGGAGGTAAATCAAGTAGCCCTGTTTGTAAACCGTTGATATCCATTGAAACACTGTTATTATTGCTCTCAACATTGTAAAGATCTTCCTTATTGGTAACAAGTAAAGAGAAAAACCTGCAAATCTTTCTTGAAAGACTTGTTGCCGAGCAATTAGTGATTGAAGGATACATTAGATCAACATTTAAACTCTTATTGATAAATATTTCTTCAATCCATCCTAAAATGGTTGGTGCAATTATACCAGTTGTGTAGTAATTGTTGAGGAATTTAATCTTTTCAACAACCGGGAACTCAATGTCAACTGGATTAGATGGCACTGTCAAAGTCAAGGTGTAATTAAAGTCCCTTTGGTAAACTTCACTAAATGCTTTCCATTTCAATTTGTTTGAAAGATTGAAAAGGTATCTGACAAGAGTTTCTACATTGTTCCACTCTGAGGTGTGTAATTTGTAATTTTCGTAGAGTAAGTGTATTGAAATCAGAATCAAAGGCAAGTTTTGGATAAGTACCTGTTTGTTTGTTCTCAGTTTGGATGTATTGAATATTTGACTTGATGTGGCACTATTTTTTGTATGGATAAGTTCCATTAATTTCCATGGATCAGATTCCTGAGTGGTGGGACTATTTGGTTCAACTCCAAATGTTAAATAATTTAACAGGTTAATGAAAATATCCCAGTCATTAGCATTTCCAATCCTAGATGTTTGAAAGTCGTAGAAAATACTCGAAAATAAGTCCTTTGTTAGGACTGATTGAAAGACTGAGAGACAATCTTGTACTAGTTTCGAATTAGGGCAAATATCAAGTCTATATCTTAGAGAGTAGTCGGCTGTTTTAAGGGAGAGTCTATTGTCCACAAGATGTTCAATCTTTGAATATTGACTGTCAAGGGCTTGTTCCCACATGATGAACTCACCATCCAAAACTAATATTAAAGAGTAATTGGAATTTTCTGCCAAGATCATCAAATGTAAGAATCCCTCTATATTTCCATTAAAAAGTGTTTCATTTGCTAGAGGGTAGTTAAATTCAGAAATGGATACAACACCTTCTTTGAAAAATTTTGGTTTAAGAATGAATGCCTCTTCTAGATCATTTCTGAAGATGGTGAAAGCAAATAGGCTATTGTTATTAATCAAAAAGAGGGTATACTCAGTACCAAAATTATTTTGTGGAAAGATTGAAATTTGAACTGTTTCCAAATTGCATTTCAAATAGTCTGAGAAATCATTATTATCAGCATATGGTATTCTTTGAACAAAACCTTCTTCCATTATTGAATATATTGACAATATTTTGGTGTTAGTATTGAAGGTAATCATGAACAAGTTCAAAAATATGTAAGCAATGACTTCCTCTTCACTTTTCAAGTAATCATATATTGGCTCAGTCATTAATATATCATCTTCCATATCATTTGATTGATTATCAACAACAGATGCAAGAGCTTTTAAATCTTCCAATGGATGTGTTAAATAATAAATAATAGGAATAGTGCTAGATGGATCTGGGTTGACTATTTTCCGTTCCACTAATAAATATTCATCATTTAAGCTCCAAATTTTGCTCATTTTACATGGCAAAGAAACAATAAAAGATCTTCCAGACTCGCCATAAATTTCAATCCTTGAATTATCCAATAATATACACAACATTTTTTCATTTGATGAGAAAGTACACAAGCAAACATCATTTGGAATAATAGGAATATTCGGATGATGTTGATGACTGCTAAATTTATATTTTCTGTGTACTCGGAGAGCATCCGAACTTCCATAATACCAAATAACTTGTGGAGGCTCTAATTCCTTGTTATTTAATTCCGTAGGTATTTGAATTACGATCCTCTCCTCTCTTCCCTTGTTTATAAATGTGAATATCTTCGTTAGTGTGTATTTACTATTCGAAAGTGATAGAGGTTCCTTGTTGATGAGCGTGAGAACAGGATTGTGATGATGATTTTTCATTTTTTTTTGGCGCTGAAATGATTTTAAAATGTTTGGCGCCAAATAAATTTACAACATCTATTCAAAAAAAATGCCAAGAGACGTAGATGACGATGATGAAAACAACTCTGAACAAGAGGAAGAAGAAGTAAAAGCCCCAACATACAATTATGATGAGGTTGATGAAGAGACTGGATTTAAAAAAGTTGATAAAATGATTTGGGATTTGTATATTAGTGCTAGGGAGGCCCATCAAAAAGAAAAGGATAAGGAAGATGGTGAAAAAGAAGATGAGCCAGCTGAGGATGATTTTGATAAGGAAGGATTTATTGCATCTACTGTTGAATCAAAACAATTAGATGAGAACAGAATTAAAATGGTTTTGAGACTTGGATTATATTCGGGTGGAGTAAATGAATTTAATGAAAGAGAAGGATTGGGTTGTTCAATCTATTCCAACTTTGATGAATACAAGGGAGGTTACGAACAAAACTTGAAACATGGAAAGGATTGTCTCTATATTTACTACTCTCAACACAACTCCCAAAAATCGATACCACCAGTTGATTTGGAAATTGTCAAAATGAAGGAAGATGAAAAAGTTAAAGAAATACTTGCTAAGGAATTAAATGATGACTTGAAGTTACAAGAAGCTTCAGATTACATTTCAACATTGGAACCATTCAAGAAACTTGGACCAAATAGAGTTTTTTATGTTCTTAAATATGGGCCTTATCCATTCTATGAAGGATCCTATTGTAAGGACAAGAAACAAACTGTACTTGAACCAAAACATGTGCCTGAAAATACAGAACATCCATCAATTGAACTCAATGATAAATCAATCATGAGGTATAAGGATTGTTCTCTGTATATTGGCCAATTCTTTGATGGTAAAAAGCACGGAAAGGGTATTATGTACTATGCAAATGGTGACATTTACAATGGAGAATGGAAGAATAACCAAAAACATGGAGTGGGTGACTATTACTTTGCTTCAAATAATAGTACATATAAGGCAGCACATTGGGAGAATGGTCAAATCAAGACTGGTACTTGGGTGATGCCTGGTGGGACTACCTATGAATCTAAGAACTTTAACCAAACACCAGCAAACAGTTCTGGATCTTTCCTCTTTGCATCAAAGAATGGAAAAGGAGAAAAAAAGCAAATTAAGGTTGAAGGAAGTTTTGTGGAGGATGAGTGGCAACCAAAGGCAATTAGTGCTCAAAATGCTTTTGATCCTGAAAAGTCATTTATTTGTTATTAAGTGTACAAAATGTATAAATTACAATTGATTTCCAAGTAATTCGAATAGCTTATTCTGAGCAGTTGCGAGTGATGATTGTAAGGACTTGCATAATTTGATATATTCACTAATTTCTTCCTGTTTGCTCAAAGAGCCCGATGGGTTAAACACTGTACCATTCTTATAGGAATAGAGTTGCATTTTGAGAGTAGAAATATCGTCCTGCAAAGATTTTGAATAGGTTGTTTGCTTTTCATGTTCAACCTGTTGATTATGTAATCTGATTTCCAGTTCTCTTATTGAATTATTTTTCTCAATATTTTCCAATTCCAATTCAATTAATTTTTGAGCTAGTTGATTATTTGGAGGTAGGCTGTTGGTTGAGCTTTGAGATTGATCTGATGAATAAGTCCACTCCCGAGGACTATGCAAACTATGATGATTATTGCTCATCTGATTTGTGGCATTGGAATTTGTGTTGCTATTCGTACCTGTTGATGTTGCAGTAATCAATCCAATTGGCAAATCATTAGTTTCAATTTGTAACTTGATTGGCTGAGAAACATCGCCTCCATTCTGATGATAGGAAGAAATAACTCTTGCCAAATCCTCGTCCCTATTAATTATAATAAAATCACCGTCTCTCGTCTTGTAAAGTATTGTTGGTTTGACACATTGATATCTCTCAATAATTTCCAATTTGAGTGAGGTGAATGAGAGTTGAGAACGTTTTTGAGTTATCAGATAAATATCACTACCTCTGTAAACTTTGAATTTTACATTTCCTACATCCTTATAGAGAGTTTCTAATAATACTTCCAATTTTTGAGAAGCAATAGTTGATCTGTCAAGAAATATTCCTCCAACACTTGTCAAATCATCACAATCTGAAAATTCATCCAATTCTAATGAACTTTTTGTATTGGGAAATATAGGTTTTTGATTCAAAACTTGATATTTCACTGCTTGTGGACTCATGTTAATGGGTGAAATTGGTTTCGGATATTCTTCCAAAGAATCCAAACTATCATTTGAAAGTTTTTTACTTCCTCGTTTCATCCAAACTTCCCTATTATCAATTAATTCTTTAATTAACTTTCGTTCATATTCGTCCCTAACTTTCAAATCATTAATTATTTCAGCATCCGTTAATTCCAATAATTCATCTCCACTTATCTGATTTTGAATAAATATCGGTTTCAAGTGTGATAGTTTCATCCAATCTAACCAAATACCAACATCTTGACAAGACCATTTACTAATTTCTTTATCAATTGCTTTAGGAGCTGTCATTCTATTTTTTAAAAGGAGAGGCGTCATGTTATCATGAGACGAATTAGGACTATTGGATTTTAGTTGATTATTATTCGAAAGGCCATTATTATTATTGGGATATATATATTGGTGATGATTATCCTGTTGTTGAAACGTTCCTACACTATTAGAATGGGTAGAGTGTTTGCCAAGTAATAATGGACGCATTTTCTGAGAGATGTTTTGATAGTTTTTTATCCTTCTTATATTGCTGTATTCGAAACTGATTCTCACATCACAATCGTAAAAGCCACATTAGGACAATACCAAGGCGAGAGGGGACATTTACAAATTACATAAAAAATCCTCTAATTAGTACTCTTTCTTAACATGTTTCAAAATATTTTCCTGTGTTCTTTAATTTTTGATTGAATTTACATTTTTAAATCATCAAAAATTTTGATTTTAATTTTTTTGAAAAAAAGCAAAAACAATGAGAAAACATTTGATAAATTATTCAACAACAGCCACAACAACAACAACATCACGAGGAGGTGGCTTTTTGATAGGAGGAAGAACAATATTTAATAATAATACTGGTCATAATTTATTATCAAGGATTATCGGAGGAGGAATATTAACAACTAATAACAACACTGCCAATTATTCAATTTTATCTAAACGTAAGAAAATTGAACAAAAGATTAATCAAGTAAAACAACAAATTCCAAAGGATCAATTTAAAAGTAAAATTAATCAATTATTTACTAGTGAAAAAGTGGACCAATTCATTGAAAAACAATTTCCGAATGATTATAAAGATTTGAAAAAACGTGAGGAATTATTGAATATTGTTGATGAGCCTATTGAACAAGAGGAACAACAAACTTCCAATGAGCTGTCGAAAATAGATACAAATAACAAGAAGGCTAAAAACACTGTTCAGGAAAGAGTTTCATTCAAGGATATGTTAACTAAGGAGGAAAAGATTGAACTCACTTTGGAGAATTTACATAAAATCTTTAAACGTACAGCTGAACATTCACCAAAGAATTCTAAAGTAGTGAAGGTAACAATTGTTGGTAATCCTAATGCTGGTAAATCGACAATTTTGAATCGATTTGTTTCAAGAAAGGTTTCGGCAGTTTCACCAAAAACTCAAACAACACGTTCTAGATCATTGGCTGTGTTAAATAATGAGGAGAATCAAATTGTATTTTTTGATACACCAGGTATATTGAATATGGAATATTCTAGATTGAAAACAGATAAAACTGCCAGAGAAACCATTGAAGGATTACAAGAGGAATCATGCTTAACATTGGATTTGGCAGATGTTGTTTTACTTTTAATTGATGTTACTAAACCATTGAGAGAAATTGATCATATTTTGGATTTAATTGCCAATTATGCAAAGAAAGATAAGCAATTCCACTTGTGTGCCCTCATTAACAAATCTGATATGGTTGAAATGGATAGATGTGAAGAATATAGATTTGAATTGGTTCGTTCAGGGGTTTTCAATCAGGCCTTTATTATCAGTGCCAAGACTGGGTATGGTATGGAAAGTGTTATCAAATACTTGTGTGAAAAGACCCGTGACAGAAAATGGTTTTTCGATAAGGATCAAGTTACTCCTGGAATCACAACCATGGACACTATTAAGGAAATTATTAGAGAGAAGCTCTATAGAAGATGTAATAAGGAAATTCCATATCAAACTGTAATTAATATTACCAAATTGGAATTGTCAAAATCTGGTGAACATTTAATCATTGATGCTGACTTAATTGCGAGAACAAACAGTCAACTCAAAATCATTCAACAATCCTTAAAATATATTCACACCTATGCCTTGGCCGATTTACATAGAATTTACAAAGTTAATATTCACTTGAATTTTGGTTTAAAGGTCAAAGAGGTCAAATAAATATATGTTCCAAATATTCTCTCAGTTAAACTTCTTGTTTCGCTTGTGAATAACAACGAAAATTGATAGGTTAAATAAAATAATTATTTAAATTTATTTTAAAAAATGTTTCATCATCATAAAAGCCTTCCTTCATCACTTTTACGCTCGTGCGCATCATCAGCACGGGCTAGTTGTAGATCATGGTTAATTCGTATGACTAGTAATAATAACACTGCTAGAACATTCCATACCAATAATGTAGCAGCAAGCCAACAACAAGAACACAAGGCCAAGAATTTACCATACAATTATAATTTTGAAAAGATGATTGAAAAACAAGATGAAATGAAGGAAAATATTAAATTGAGAGAATTAAATATTGATTTAGACCAAGTGTTGAAAAATTATGAACAATATATTCAAATTGATCAAGAATATGAACAAGTGCAATATCTTAGAAAGGAAATTGCTGAATACTTGGCAGGTAAAAGAACATCGGAACAAGTTCCTATTGAAATTAAAAATTTAATCAAAGAAGATTTGGAAAACAAAAAAGCAGATAGTTGGAAAGTTATCGGAAAGGAATTTAAAACTAAAATTCAAAATTTAGAAAAGATTAAAAACGAAGTGTATCAAGAATTGTGTGAAAAGACAGTTAAATTACCAAACTTTACCGAAGAAGGTGTCATGAAGTTCTCTAAAGAAAATTCCAATCAACCAAATCTTGTCAAGTATGTTGGAGAAAAGAAGGAAACAATTCCAAAATTATCACATTATGAAATTTGTGAAAAGTTGGACTTGTTTGAACCTGCCAATGAATGTTCCGGTTCCAAATTTTTCTTCTTGAAGAATGAAGGTGTCTTATTGGAAGTTGCCTTGCAAAATTTTGCCATCTCCAAATTGTTAAAACGTGGCTTTAAAATCATCATGCCACCAGAATTGATGAAGCAATCAATTGTTGAAGGATGTGGTTTCCAACCAAGAGGTGAACACTCTCAAATCTATAGAATTGAAAATTCAAATCAAGAACCAACCACCACTAAGAATGGTGAAACTTGTAATGATTCTTTATGCTTGATTGGTACAAGTGAAATAGGTTTGGCTGCTCTCCATTGTAATGAATTCATGCCTAATTTCAAGGGACCATTGAAGTATGCTGGTCTTTCTCATTGCTTCAGAACTGAAGCAGGAGCTGCAGGAAGCAAGGATCGAGGACTCTATCGTGTACATCAATTTACCAAAGTTGAAATGTTTGTCTATTGTGAACCTGAACAAAGTGAAGCTCTCTTAGATGAAATTGTTTCCATTCAAGAAGAAATATTTAGTGAATTGGGATTCCATTTCCAAATTCTTGACATGCCTTGTAATGATTTGGGAAATCCTGCTTTCAGAAAGATTGATATGGAAGCATTTATTCCAAGCCGTTTAGGTTATGGTGAAGTTTCTTCTGCTTCCAACTGTACTGATTACCAATCTCGTAAATTGAATATCAGATACAGATCTAACAATACTACTGTTTATCCACATACGTTAAATGGTACTGCAATGGCTGTTCCTAGAGCCATCATTACTATTTTAGAGAATAATCAATTTTATGATGAAAACGGTAAATTAGGTGTTAAAATTCCAAAGCCACTTGTTCCTTTCATGTTGAGTGGTCAAGATGTTATCATGGAAAAGTAATTTATAAATTTAACATTACAGAAATTTCATTTTGAGAATACACTGAGTTGATCATAAACTAGAATATTCCATTTAATTATTTTTATTTTAAAAAAAATGCAAAAATCATATTCTTTACTGTTATGGATTAGCTTGATTTTGCGATTATTCTTCATCTTTCCGATGGGATATATATTTCCAGATGAATTCTTTCAATCACCATCATTTTCATCATCTATTATTTTGAAAGATATTCATCCAAATAGTAATCATCATCTTGTAAAAACATTGAACGGAACAGTGTTGGATGAAAGTTTCCTGAGGTGGGAATTTACTTTTGATTTTCCACAGAGAAATACTCTGATTCCTCTCACAATGACTGGCCTTCCAATTTATATTATAAAATTATTAATGCAATATGGACAAGAATTTGATACAAATATTAGAGCAAGTTTGTTAAATCTCTCTCCTTACTTTTTACTCTATGCTCCGAAAATATTATTATTTATTTTTTCCTTCTTTACAGATAGAATTGTTTGGAATATTTTAAAATCTAGAGAATGTAGACAGGCTCATAATTTTGAAAATTCAACCAAGAGCACTCTCTTATCCAAGTCTAATTTCCTATTCTTGATTTATTCCTTCTTTTTCACTTCTCTAGTGTTTCATACTAGAACATTTTCGAATACTATTTCAAGTGCCCTATTGGCTTTGCTATTCATGTTGGAAATTAAAAGGAGAGAAAGTGGAAGAAATAATTACTATTTGATAATTTATGGATTTATTTTTACATTGGGATTTTTCAGCAACTTTATTTATGCCTTTTATTCAGTTACTGTTATTCTTATGGTTATAACACTTCCACTTTTTGAATCACCTTCATTTTCTTCTGGATTGTCACAATTATTTAAGAATTTGTTGGTATTTGGATTTTCAACACTCTTCTTCTTTAGTTTAATGATTGGATTGGATACTTTATTTTATAGCAATGTACTTTCAAGCAACTATCAAAACTCTTTTAGATACATTTTCTACAAGTTGGAATTGATTGATGATTGGAACTCGAAATCCCTCCCAAGTTTTTTCAATTTTCCAATTTACATTACACCAATCAATAATATCATTTACAATTCATATGTGGAAAATTTGGCACTTCACACACTCCATTTCAGAGGACTTCACTTCTTTGTAAATATGCCTCTTTTATTTGGATGTACCTTCTTTGTAATTATTTTCAAAATGATAATGTGGATTTTCAAGTTGATAACCAGAAACTTTGGTACCAATAATTGGAATTCTAATGCTGTTCCAATTACACAAGTACCATATATTATTTGGCTTTCATTCTTCTCTTGGTTGGCTGGTATTGCTATTTTGAGTATAGCTCCTCACCAAGAACCAAGATTTATTCTTCCTTCCTATTGTCCATGGATTATCATGTTGGGATATGATTTTGAAACTCAGAGTCAAGGTAAAAAGAATGACAATGCAAGTGCTAATCACCAAAACGAATCAAAATGGAAATATCAATCCAAAACCTTCTTGTCCCTGTGCATTTTACATGGAATTTTGGTTTCATTATTCTATCTGTTTGTTCACCAAGCAGGTGTTGTTAAGAGCTTGATTTCCATCCCTCAATTAATCAACAAATCACAATCCAGCAGCAGCAGCAATACCAGAGTAATTTATCACAATACTTACAGTCCTCCTGGTTACTTACTTTCATACTATCATCCAAATATTACAGTTTTAGGATTAGAAGGTATTGACAATTCCACTCTCTTCAATGAACATTTACAAAGAGAGCTTGAAAACCATGATCAGGTTGTTTTGGTTGGCCCAACCTATTTTAATGAGGCACTTCTCAACAAATCCTCCTATCCATCCATCAAGCTTCTCTCAGAATATCTTCACTACAGCACTGAAACAACAAGATGGTCTGAAATTTCCAATCACCTCTCTCCAAACAATCGTTTGAAAGAGTTTATTGATTCTGACCTCACCCTCCAAGTTCTCTTACTTTCAAAGACGAAGAATTGAAGTTAACGCGCTATTTTTATAAATTCAAACTACAAAAAAAACTGTAAATAATTCAAATAGGTGCACACCACTAGCACATTGATTGCCAATATCGAAAAGAGTAAAATAGAATGGAATTTATTAATGCTAAATATTCGGGAGATGAAAATAATGGAAGAATGGAGGGAGAAAATTGTAGATTTTCCTACATTACCGAAGGAATGAGATATGAAGGAGAGATGAAGGATGGTCAATTTCATGGAAGAGGAACTATATATTTCAGCTCAGGAGCCAAAGTGGAGGGATTATGGCATTTAGGGAAACTAGTTGATAGGACTTATATCTATAAGGATGGTCTCACTTTGAATGAAAATGTTAAGGAATGGGATTACTGCAGATTGAATCCAAATGGTGATTCCGAAAATCAAGACAGACGTTTCTACCATGAAGTATTGCAACAGAATGGATTTGAAGGACAAAATGTCATGCCTAGAGCTGAGCACGCCTGTTTCTCAAAGGATGGTGTTAATCCCTCAATGAAATAACAACATTCTTTAAATTATGATAATTACTGCTCGTAGTTTCTTTATTCTTCTCAATTACTACAAATCGGAGAGCTATGATTCTTCTCAAGGAGGAATAAAAAGGAAGAAGAATATTATTTAAATGGAAGAGGAGCAATCTTCACATAAACAACATTGCAATTATATATTGGAACTTCGATATTACTCACACTGATATTCGAGACATCAAACCACTTAATATGGGAATAGGTAAAAATAAAATCATCTAATTGTTCTTATCACCAGGTTGACTATAGCTTGCAAATTTAATTTTATTCTTTAAATCAAATGACAAATAAACAAATAAATTGAAATCACAAGTGCCACGACAAACTTTAAATCAACAAGACGAATACTCTCGGCGCTACTCCAACAATTTGATTCTGGTGCGTCATCACATCTGAAAGTAAGCACACCCGAACAAACTTTTTGCATGGTCAAACATTTAGACTTGCACAAGACAATACCATTGATGTCGGTAGGAAGGCCTTGATTTTTAGGGTCACATCTAGCACATGTAAACTCTTTAGCTTGGTCGATGCAATCTTGTGAGGCCTTTCTTAATTTCACCAAGTCCATAAAGGCACCCGAAGCGGCATCTTTGACAACATCACAACAAGTTGATGAAGGACCTGTACAAGTCTTACAAGTAGGACAAGAAAAAGGGGCTGTCTTAGTGTCAGCACAAGTTTGCGCATGAGAAAAGGAAGAAATGCATAGGATAACCAACAATAGAGACAAGACGAGAATAATTTTCATTTTTTTGACTTTTGGAATGGTGACATAGACAGGTCATTGGGGCAATAAGATGTCACAACATTACACAACTTGACATTTCAGAAAAAAGGATGATTTCTAGTTGAAATATGATAACTTAACAAACGATGAATTTTACCTCAATAAAACACTAGATACGTCGGAACGTTTGATGACTTTTATTAAGGACATGCAAATTGATGAAACTCTATTTGTTCGAAACTGATACATATTTCAAAGAACCAAAAACTCACTTAAAGTGTAGTAGTTATAAGTATCTTTTGTAAAAGCATTGACAGTATTTTTGGTTGAATGGTACATTTATATTGGAAAATACTATGAACATTTTTGGAAAAACTCTAAACTCTTCTTTAAGACCCATCATACAACAAGACATGATGATGTATTGTAACAATCTCGGTTTCTTCCTTCCGTATCAATCCTTCTTAGTCAACCAACAAATCATGAAGTTGGCATTTGATTGTGCAATCAGAGCATTGCATTGCTCCATCATGAGCAAAATATTAATAGTTCAAATCCTGTGCCATCAAGCCACATCAAAATATTTTTAGAGCTTAGTATATAAAGGGTTTTTAAAAACGCGGGAGATGACGCTCCTCAACGCAAAAAAACAATCCACTCAATCGACAGTTCAAAATAACTGTTCATCATCACATTAGAAATTCTATTTCACTTCATCTTCTTTGGTTGTTGAGAGTTTAGAATACTCAAGTATAAAAACTCTAAGCGCTGATCATCACACACTTATTGGATTCCTACAAAAATATTGGAATTCACTATTGATCACATTCACATCATTGAACTACTACTACTATCACTACTGCTAGGATAATAGACGTCAAAAATTGTCGGTTGATATCGAGAGAATAATAATATCAAGTTGTTACAATAAGAAAAAGAGTGTCTACAATCTCATTTACACATCACATCACTTTTATTAGTTTACTATTTATTTAACGGTTTTTTTTATGCTTTACTTATTGAATAGTCATCAAAGTTATTTAATTATTAATAATTATTGTCATCATCAAATTAATCAACCACTACTATCATTGTTATTATATAATCAGTATACTACTCTGTCATCATGTTTTATCAAAGCACTACAAATATGAGATTGGACACTCCAACCAGTCCATCATCATCATCATCAACTCTTGATCAAAATTCCAATGCTATTCAGAATAGTGATTATGAAGATGCTTGTATATTTCCTATAGAAGTCAATGAAGAAGTACAATCGTCACCATTCAAACGATCACCTAATCATCAATATAGAAATAACCGTAATCAAAACAAGTCACCAAAGAATAATAATACTACTAACTTTAATCAATCAACATACACTCCTAACCGATTCCCTTCTCGTCATCAAAAGAACAAGTCATATTATTCTTCCTCTCCTCCAAATAATGCTAGAAAACACAAGTCAAAATCCTATATTGATTTTGATCAATTCCAACAACAAAATCAATTCTATGAAATTCATAATGGACGTCATAGATATGATTATTTAGTTATTATTGATTTTGAAGCTACTTGTGATAATGGAGTAAATCCAGTTATTACTCGTGACAATCAGGAAATGATTGAATTTCCATTTGTTGTTTTTGACCTTGCATCAATGGAGGTAATTCATAAGGAACGATACTATGTAAAACCAACTTGGAGTGATAAATTGACACCATTCTGCACTCAACTAACAGGTATTACTGATGAGATTTTAGAAAAGGAAGGAATTTCTCTCAGTAATGCCATTCAAAACTTCCATAACTATGTCAAGAAAACTTTTACAGATGGTAAAACTTTTTGCATTCTAACTGATAGTGAATGGGATATCAAGGGATTACTCATCAAGGAAGCAACAACAAAGGGTATTTCATTCGACTCATATTTCAGAACTTTTTATGATTTGAGAAAGGAATATTCCAAATGCTATCCATATGCCTTTGTTCGTGGTTTGAAATCTATGGTTGATCAAAGTGGTTTGTCTTTTGTTGGCCAACACCACAGTGGATTGTGTGATTGTTTGACAATCTCTGAAATTGTAAAGAGAATGATTTATGATGGTCATATTTTTGAAGAACCAATTGTCGTTTCTGACTATTATGACCCTTTCAGAGATAATTCATTCACAGAATTTATCCAAAAACCAGTATATAATACCACCAAATCTTCTGGTCTTTATGAAAAGGGTTTTTCGAGCGTGTAAACAATCACCAAAAGTCTAAACAGACTTGTTTAGCACATTTCGAAATTCTCAACACAAGATTGGATTCTAGGATTAAACAGCATCGCACTAAGAAAAATACATCTAAGCCAACCCTAGATTATCCAACCAATATAATCTGATTCGAATTACACTCGAGTGTAATGTATGAATGCAGTAAACTTCACACATTAATTTATTACCTCTTCATTATTGTTATTGAAAAGATAAGGAAGACTTGATTTCTTCTTCCTCATAACCTTTTCATGAAGTTGAGGATCTTCTAAAAGTAAGGATGTAATAAGTGGGAGAGCATGTACTTCATCTGTTGTAATACCGTATTCATTTGGAGCTACAACAATTTGTTCGTCCTCAAGTTCTTTCCTTCTGGAATTAGTTCTCCTAGTCTTTCTCATTGTTGGTGATACTGATTCTGATCTAGAAACTGGTGAGCTAGATCTGTTATAGGTAACAATATTAATTTCCTCTGGTCTTCTTCTGCCTGATGCTGTGCCTAGTGGACCAATTGACTGGGCAGTGAGACACTCCTTAACAGCATCAGGGTTTTGAGAAATGTCTCTTCGATAGTCCATTTCATTTTCACTGTCATAGTAATTGTATTGTGGTTGCTGTTGTTGTAACATATCAATACCAACATAATTATTAGCAGTGTTGCTAGTAGATATGCCACTACCATAGGCATATTTCTGAGGATATCCTCCATAGGATGAAATTTGAAGAACTAGAGGATTATTTTCTGTGTGGAAAGATGTTGGACTGGAAACTTCTCCATTATAGGTCTCATTTGAAGAGATGACAACTTGAGTTAGAGGAGAAGGTATTATGATAGTTTCTGTTTCATTTCTAGTGTTGGTATTAATGTTAGGAGTAACTAGATTGTCAGTATTATGGTCATATGATTTCGATGGTGTTGTGTTTTGAGAGTTGGAATTAGGGAATTTGACTCTGCTATCTGTGACAGAAATACTAAGATTTCCAACTTTAGAATCAACACTCTGCCTTACGTCAACAGAATTCTGAATTGTTTGATTATTTGGATTGATACTTCCATTGGCTGGAAGTTGGAAGGTCACACTTTTTGAAGGTGTGTCAACAAAAGATTGTTGTTGCTGCTGCAGTTGTTGTTGTTGCACATTCGTTTTTGAGCCATGGCTCTTGAGTATTCCAGAATTACTGTTAGTATTTTGGAATGACTTGTCCACAGCTTTAGGCTGTGGACTATTTGAAAATGATCTTTGATCATCTAAGGTAGAAGCCGATTTGGGTGTTGCAAATAGATTTTGAAGATTATTAGGAGTTGGAGATGGTGAAAGGATTGGATTTGTAGAAAAGTCAGTACTGAGTAGATTGGACGACGATTCCTCAGCTGCACTCTTCATTCTATTTACAGCAGTTACAGCATTTGTCACCTTGTTGATTGGAGATTTTCCTTGTGGTTTTGTATTCTTTTTAACTAACTCTTCTTGTAGAATGAGAACTTGTCGTTCGAGGTCCTTAATTTTAGAAACATACTTCTTCTCCGTTTCTTGCAGTTTCTTCTGATAGACTTGGAACGATTTGTTATCTTCTTGAATGTTGGTTGTAATTTTTTCGATGTGTTTCAACATTTGATCCACCTTAAATGGTTGTTGAACGTTAATTGAGGATGGTTCTTCCTTTTCCTCAGTGTTACTATTGTTTACACTAGTACAGTGACTATTATTGTTGGCAGCGTCCTCTTCAGTTGGCGTTTGGGGAGCTTGCTCGTCAAATATTGAAGCAGACATTTTCTTTACGGGAGCACTTCTTCCAGCATCTTTTTGCTCAACTGCCAATGCAACAGTAGATGTGAACTTTTTAAGGTATGACTGCTTTGCAGCTTTCTCTGCATTCTTTTCGTACCTAATCTCATTGAGAGTTTGTTGGAGTAATTTGATAGGTCTCTTTGTGTCTGTATTGTTACCTCTCAATTGGTTCTCCTCTGGCACTCTCGAAAACTCGTTTGGAGCAACTTGAAGGATAAGTGATTTGAGAGATTCATCAACTTGCAATATCTTTTCAGCCATTTTTTCATCCCTACTCTCTTCCTTTGCATCATTATCATCCTTTATGGAGAGTAAATCCTCCCTCGCCTTCATTAACAATTCCTTCATTTGACTCTTTGAGACTACATCCTTGTTGAACAATCTCCACTGGACCATATCTCTCTTGGAAGCTTTGAGTTTCTTCTCGAGAGCTTTATCAATTTCTTTGGAAATGTTTTGAACAGAATCTTGAAGCTTGCCATCAAACTTTTTGGAGAGTGTTATCAATTGAACTGAGACTGATTGCAATTGTTGGAAAACTTTGGCCTCTGTTGACTTGAGAGTGTTGGATTGAGTGAGTGAATTGTCTAAAACTTCTTTGAGTGCATTGATTTTTTGGAAAGCTCCTCTCAATTCAGAATCCAACTTGTATCCCAACTCTCTCAATTCTTCATTATATTTGCTATTCTTGATATTTTCTCCTTCATCTGAAGAACTTCTATCTGTTTCAATTTCTGAAACAGCCGATTCTTGATTTCTTAAAAAAGCATCTGTCAACTCGTTATACAATTTCAAAGTTTGTTTTTCCACGTTGGCTGTATTTTCTTTCAGAAATTTATTTTCTCCTCTCAAAAATTCAACCTCCTTTTCCATTTGCAGATATCTCTTTGAAATAACTTGATGAATGTTACAATTGAAATCTTAATAGTCATGACTTACTTGTTTCTGCATGTTTTTTCAAGTCTTCCAGCTGAGATGATGATTTTTTTAATAACTTTTCTTGTTGGTGGTATTGAAACATGAGCTGCCTCATTGAGAAAAAATCATAATTAATATCTGAATCCGTAATATCTGCTGCTTGTTTGGGATTTCCATTTTCAAAATAAAATATATATGTCATAAACTCGCTAAGATTCCAAAATAAATCACTTTGTTTTCTATAAAACTTTGATGAAATCAGTACAATATCTTGTAACAATTTGTATGGTAATACTGTATAATATTCCAGAATAATATCCTTAAAAGCCATTAGATCATAGACAAGAGTACTTAAATCTGTCATGTTATCCTTTGCATCACTTCCAAGTTGATTAAGCTTTTTATAATGAAATAAATTCAATTGTTTCCATTCTTGAATGTATTCAGTTGTATACTTTTCATTGATTGAACTAGCAATTCGATTAACCACTTTTGCTTGTAATATTGATTCCTCCGATTGTTCTCCCTTAATTATATCTCGGAGTTTCTGAAACAGTTCATCATCATTCATCTCTCCCAATTTTTCTTCCTCAAATTCTTTAGTATAACTAAAACTACTCGTATTATTTATATCATCCTTTATACCACTCGTATTACTTTCATCCTTTGATTGATTTAATCGTTGAACAGGAATTTTCAAGTTAGTACTTGTATTACTGGTAATGCTACTATTGGCACTCGTATTATTTGCCACCAAGCCCACAATTCCCGCCACTCCTGCCTTCTTTGAAAGAACAGAACGTGATCTTCCAATCCGATTCGTTGGTGTAGTTAAATTCAAAGAGCTGCTATTGTTATTCACCGAGAGTGAGACCGTCGACTGATTCGATGTATTATTGTTGTTGTTGCTCATTTTTTTTATCTAAGGTATTGAGAGAGATGGTGCGGAATGAGAGTTTTCGGTTTTGAGGGTTGATGAGTTTTTGGGAACTTGTTGTAGAAATATCGGTTTGTCAAATTCAAGAAAGTTATTAGTATGAAAAAACATTGTGCATTTTGCTCTTTATCAAAATTTATTCTTGATGAAAATAAGATTTAGAATAGGATTTCATGTACGAGAGTAAATGCATTTAATGCCTCTTAAATTGGAACAGTATATTTTAGAATTCAGGTATCCTTTTAGAGTTGTTTGACTTAGGATTGCCAGCCCTGTTGTTTTTGAAATCTCTTTCCAGTTCCTTCTCTTTACTCCTGACTGCTGTTTTGTAAATGTTAGAACATTTTTGTTTAAATTCTTCTTTGAGTTCTAGAACTTTGATTTGTCCTTTTTGAATATTTTCCAATTTGTAAGGTCCATATTGAATTCTCATAATTCGGCTCACTGGAAGATTCAATTGTTGGAATATTTTTCTGATTTCTCTGTTCTTTCCTTCATGGAGAATTACTTTAATCCAACTAGTTTTTTCTCCTTCTCTATGAAGAGTGGCCTTCATACCTGCATAGTGAACTCCTTCAATGGTAGAACCTTTTTGAAGAGAATCCAATAGAGGTTGTGAAACTTGGCCATGAACTCTGACAAGATACTGTCTTTCAAGTCCTGTTTGTGGCAATTCCAAATGTCTCGATAAATTTCCATCATTTGTTAAAAGAATTAATCCTTCAGAGTTATAATCCAATCTTCCAACAGAAATCAAATGACCAAAACCCATTCTTTCCAATCGCTGATAAATTGTTTCTCTATTTCCTCCATTATCCACACGACTACACAAAACCCCTCTTGGTTTGTGATAGGCATATAATTTAACATTTTCCAAATTACTTTCTACATCCTTCTTTGTAATCTATTTGAATAAATTAAAGCATATTTCATAATAATTGAAAAAGAAGACCTTACATTTACACCTTTAACAGTCACCACATCATAGAATGGATTCATTTTCTGTCCACTCTCTGTAATAAGAATACCATTCACTTTCACTTGACCTGCCTTTATCAAATCAACTCCTTGCTGTTTAGAACAAACTCCAACACGAGCCAAAAATTTAGAAACTCTTTCCACTTGTTCTCTCTTTACTAAATCTTCCTCTCCGAGAGTTGGTGGTAATTTTTCCAATTCCTTTAATATGTGATTTCTCTTTGAATTTGGTCTATTAATTATTTATAATTTAATTGTTGTTGAAGAAGAATATACATACAAGGAAAGATTAAAACTTGTTTCTTCCAAATCTTCCTCTGAAATAACTTCCTTTGGAATTATTTTCCTCTTCTCCGAGAGAGTAGAGGCTTCCGATGGTATTTCCATTTTCTTTGAAGTCACCAATCTTGCATAAAAGGCACATTGATTATTCATTCCTATTATTGCATTATTATTAAATGATGATGATGAGGAGTGGAATTTATTCGATAATGAAAGAGTAGACAAATTACTACTGCTGCTGCTGTATAAAGAAAATATTCCTCGACTAGTATTCCCCGAACAAATTGTTTTTAATGAACGCAATGATGACATTTTTTTCAAGTTGAAAATATTCAGAATTTGTAAAATCAAAATTCAATACAAATAGGTTGATGTACTCTTTATCTAGAACTCAAGTATAAATATTTAAAAAGTGAAATAATTTAGTATTGTTACAATAATTAATCTTCTTCTTCAGAGTCCTCTTCCTCCTCTTCAATTCTTTCTTGGAGCATATCCTTGAGAGCAACATTAGTTTGCTTCTCTAAATATTCCAATTCGGTTTTTATCTGTCTCTTTAAATCCTCATTGAGCTTTTTAGGTTTCAGCAGAGCTATTTCTGCACTATCATCTTCACCAACCAAAAGTTTATCCAATCCTGCCAAGCTTTGTTGTTTTGCAGCAATTTCCAACAGTGGAGCAAGTGTATCACGTAAAATGACTTCAGTCGATTCTATTGGAGTAGCGAAATACTTGGATGTTTTCTCACTAGTATTGAGAGTGGCATAATTTCTCTTTTTGTATCTTTTTAATTTATAATCTGTTGGTTCGTAATTTCTAAATACATATCGTGAAGGAATTGCAGAATCACCATTTACTTCTTGCTCATCCTCCATTTGATCGTCGTCATCATCTATAATTTCAACAATTTCATCATCATCATCTTCAATCATCATTTTACTTCCTAGTTTATATTCTAAATCTCCTACAATTTCATCTCCGTATTGACTTTTTAATGTATTAATTAATCGTTTATCAAGAGAACTAAACGCATCCTCCAAATTAGTTTGTTGTTGTTGTTCTTCGTGTTGATCATCATCCGAATTTAATTCTTCATCCCGATCATCTTCCTCAACATTCTTTTCCATCATCACTTTACTCATTTTTTTATTAATAATAATTTTTACTATTTTTTAATATTATTGTAAATAGTTTTTAAATTATTGAACCTGTTACAGGTTCATTTCTGAACCATTATTCCTTTGATCGACTCCAGTTTAGAGTAAAAAAATGAAACATTTATCACTGGATGATTTATTTTGTGTGTTGGAATTTCTTCCAATTCGTAATTTGGCCAATGCAATGCTGGTTTGTTCCGAGTGGACGAAACACTTGAATCGATTTGAACCATTCTGGCGAACTATTCTGCAACACTTTCTTTCGTCTAATATTAAATTGCAATTTCATAAATTAATGAATGTTCATTCAGCTGCAGCAATAGGGAGAGGAATTAAATTTCATAATATTGCAAAGATTAATAATAACGTAATTAATAATGGTGATAGAAATACTTGGAATGATGAGGTGGTTAGGATGATAGGAAGTATACTTTCCAGTTCAGATCTCTATACTGAAGAAAATATTAAGGAGAAACAAGTATTAATTTCATCATTGAAAAGAATCAAATGGAAAGGTGAATCGAAATATTGCATGTTGAATAGAGCATTGATGAATACATTTATCAATTCGTATTCTGCTCACATATTGAAGGATTCAACAGCAAAGAGAAAATCCTTTCAGAAATTTGTGGAAAAACCTCAAGTGAATGATGATTCAATTAGTGAGATATCAAATGAGAATAATTCGTTTGTGAATGGGAAAAGATACAAATACTTGATGGAAAAACAATTATTATCTATAGGATCTATTGCAATTTCTACATTCTTTTATTGGTATAATTACAGTGAACATAGTGAGGCCTTCCTTTATCCAATGTTGACAGTTTTTACAGGAAGGGAACACCATCCAAGTAGTTCATGTCCAAAAGAGGATTTTCAATTTGGAATGAAAGCATTTTCATTCTTTTACAAGCATCATTTAGAGTTGGACTATTCTGAAAGGTGTTGGCTCTCAATATTTCGTGCATGTATCAATTATTTACATTCACATGTTCCAGTAGAGGATTGTGGAACCGTTCTACAACACTTTGTTGGACTTAAATTTAAAACTCCACTCAGCAGTACATGGTTTGAAAGTATCTTGTTACAGAACATTGAATATTTTGAAGATATTTTACCATTGGTAATTGGAATATTCGAAAGAAATGGAATGGAGAAAGGGCTTCCAGAAAGTGGTCTGTATCAATGTTTGAGAAATGTTGACTCTGAGGAGGAAGAATTGTCTCTCGCTCATACAGTGGTGCGATTTTTCAAGCACTTGGAGAAATTTACAAGTCGTGAATCGATTATTTCCAGATACTTGCATAGTTTTCTCCTAGATTCGATTTGCAAACTATCTGATGTCTATATTGATGAGCTCTTGAAATTGTATCCAATAGATCTTGAGGCAGTTTCCTTTCTAGATTGTGCCAAATTGAAAATTACTGACAAGTTTCTAAAAATTGCAAATAAGAGAGGAATTAATTTTCCTCTAGAGCGTATTGAGGAAGCACTTTTTTGGCGACACTACTCACAGAGCAGCTCTTTCACTATCAGATATATAATGGACACTTTCAATTTAGATATTTTTGAGATTCAGGAACGTACTGGATTTTTATCCAACTTATTGACTTCATTTAAATATATTGTTGATATGAAATCACATATTGACATAATATTTCCAAGCTTAATTGTGGAATGGAAGAAATTGAGTGAAATTAAGGGAGATGAGGATATAATCAAGGAAAATATTCTCTCCATAGTGCATCACTGCATTGGTTGGACTGATTGTGAAACTAATTTGCATTGGCTCAGAAATTGTTTCAAGCCAAATATTTTTGATTTGGACTTGTTGGAAAACACGATTCACACTGTATTTAATACAGAGGAACGACTCACTCTCTACCATTTGACAATGATCAATGAGAATTTGCTACTTTCTGAACATACCGAGAAAATACTATCAGGGGAGGATTATTCTGATTTTATGGATCAAAATTTTGAGAATTATAGTAGAATGGATCCAAGATATCTGGTAGCTCTTTATAGGTTTGTTCATCGTCCTTCCAATGATGATGATCATATGGAATTTTTGTAAATGATGTATTAATAACAAGACAGTTTACAATAGAATTGCAAAAAAAAATGAACCAACAAGAAACCGAAGAAAGCATCCTTGTTAATCATCACGACATCACCGATCAACAAGTGAAATTATCGCCAGGCTATGAATGGATTAAAAAACAAAACTATCGGAATGTAATTGAAGCAAAATCACGATCTAAACTTGGCAATTTTTATTCGAAACGAAAGGATGCTCCACTCTCGGATGATACTTTCAAGATTTTTCACTATTATCTTGATATGGAATATAACAGTTTTAAAAAAGTGTTGGAAACTGTTGTGAAAATACGAAAGATCATTACTGCCTCTAGTAGAAGACTTTCTCGTGTCACTGAATTAGTTGAGCGAATGGCATTATTTATCAATGAAGATTTTATTTCAATCTATTACAATATTGAAAATGGAAGACACAACAATACAAAGAAAATTGAAACAATTTCAAGAGAAAAGTTGGAAATTCTTTATTATGAAGTAATGTCTACTATTGAAAGAGTTTTCAGTTTTGGAAGTTCAGCATCCAATATGGTTTCACTAGGATGCATTCCACACATTGTACATTTATTGAAAACTTGCGATTGTTTGGATTTGAAAGAACAATGTAATTACGTACTTGGGGATATTGCTGAAGAATTGGTTTCGTTTAGAGACTTGATTTTGGATGAGGACGTGCTACCAACAATACTGAAACAGTTAGAACAGAATTCCAATTCTATTACTTTTATGAGATCTGGTAAGTTGCAGTGAGCTGATAATAATTCTGAGACCAGCTTTCAGTCTCCTCATGTCTTTTGAATTTAACAAAAGGTAAACCATGTGTTTCATTGAATCATGCTAAAATGGTCATGTCAGCACTTCACATATTGCTGTTTGCTGATGATGATCAAATTCTTTGTGATGCTTGTTGGGCTCTTGAAAAAATTATGTTTTTTCAAGATGAGGGCATTTCATTATTTATTGAAAGTGGTTTTATAACAAGAATAATCCCTTTTCTCAGATCAAAAAGCAATTCCATTGTAACGTAAGTTGAATATTGATTTAAATCAATTGAGCTGGAATATTCCAATAACAATAGCCCTGTACTTCGTATTTTTGCAATCATATCTAGTGGGAATGATATGGAGACAGAGTATATGTTGAATGCTGGATTACTACGAGAAATGCCAACACTGATCAATAGCCCAAGAATATCAATAAGAAAAGATGCTCTTTTAACTATTGCTAATATACTGGGAGGCGATACTCAAATTAAACATGTGATAGACGCTGGTTTGGTTCCTCTCATCATTGATTCTGCCAAAAGTAACGAAATTCAAATCAAATCAGAAGCTTTTATATCCATTATGAACATTTGCTACTGCAATGACGAAGAATCCGTCAAATATTTAATAGGACAAGGTGCAATAACAGTTCTTAATGAAGGAGTGGGTCTTGAGCCATGTAGATGGCACTGTTTGAAAAGTCTGTTAGAGCTTGTAAAAACTGATAAGGATATTGTAAGTCCACAAATTGAAGATTGGAAACTATGTGAAATTTTAGAATCTGAAAAATGTTCAAACGAAGAGAGAAAAGTAATTAAGGAAATATTGCAAAATTTGGAAATTCAAAGTGATGACAATGAGAAAGAATGAAAGGAAAAAGTACTTTCAATGTTACAATGGAAACTCGATTATTTATTCATCATCAGATATCAGAAATTGATCAATAATACCCATACATGGAATCATAATCATCTTCATCAAAGTAATTTCTATAGCTCCTTCTTACTTTTCTATTTTTTTGATTTCTCTCAATTCGTTTCTTATTAATTTCATCCATAATTTTTTTACCGCTTTCCAAAGAATATTCATCCTCACTGCTGCTACAATCACTTTCGCTATCACATTCAGTTGAATAATCCTTGTGTTTCAAAATTGATGCTTCAATCTCTTTGGAATGGAGATTTTTGGCCTCTCTCAATACCTTATCATTGAACCTACGAATTTTCATATCTGGGAATTTGTGGAACATGTTTTCAATCAAGTAGATCAGCTCTACTTTGTGTCTAGTTATTCTTGAAGACGTTTCAGTACTCCTAAGCCCAATGTAATTGGAATTTGATCCAAGCGGATTAGCACTTCTCAATACCATTACAAGGAAAGATCTTGGAGAGGGAGCTAATTGCTCAATGAATTTCAATGAAAAAGTTGAGACTAGACCAGAAATGATTGCAAATTGACGATTCACAATAAGATCATACCCAAATGTTCTCAAATCAAAATCCTTGGCCAACTCTGGATTTGTTCTCAAGCAGAGAGCTATCAAATTGTGGCTTTTTTTGTCTTGAGAGTTTGCTTTTTCGAGAATGGATTTACCAAATACTTTGCAGACCTCATAACTTTTCATGTGTTCCATGTTTAAATCATCTTCATCATTCAGCTTACTCTCCACAGTTTCTCTTTCTTTCTTTGACAGTTGCAAAACTATCTTACTCAATTGTTCAGTATTACAATCCGTTACTGATTCAAAATGCTTAATTACCAATTGTTTGAGTTTTGGGATTTGTCTCATCTTGACATCCAAATCCTTAATTTCTCTCAGTACTTGGCTATTCTTCTCAATCCAAGGTAATGAATTTTCTATCAAGCAGTTAAATAATTCAGAATTGAAGAAGAATTTGTATACCATTCTAAACTCTCTATCAGTTGATTCTAAATGAGCAATAAAAGAATCTTGAAATTCTTCCACTCTTTCAATGAGCTTGGGATGTCTAAAGAACATATCGAATAAGTTTTGATCTCTAAAATACAATTCCAAGATTGATTCAAACCTAATAGAATCCATCAAATCTATTGCTGAATACATTAATCTGTCCAATCCACTGGTACAGCTCTGTTGTAAAATCTGTAATAATTGACTTTCTGAAATGACGTGCCCAAACCTATCCATCATGAACAATAAACTTTTTTCATATTTTCTAAATCGATCTGCTGAAAACTTAAAATAAACTGCTAGACATGAAGAAACTCCAATTGGAACATGTTTTTCTAAATTATATTTGACAACCCATTCATAATACTGTGAACAAGTCAACATTATTTTGAATAAATCTTTTGGTCTCAAGTAGGAATTTATCTTGACACATATTTCCCACAAGTGATTAATAGGTGAGAGAATGAGTGGTTCGAGAGGTTTTTCCTTAACTTTCTGAGCATTATTGGTTCTGAGTGTTGAGGTACGCAAACATGTTGCTAAATCCATCACATTGGATTTTCTGAAAACTGTGTGTCTGGTATTCATTTGTTTTATGATTGTAAAGAGCAACACCATTGTAATTTTATTGTGTTTTAATTCAATTTTGCAATTCCCAAGTCCAAATTAAGAAAAATGCAGAATTTAGAATGAATTTTCCATAAAAAACTGCTTGGTATTTTCCAATGCCTTCACAATGAATGATTCTGCCTCTGTTTCATCATTTCTAAACCAATTCTTGTAACTTGATAATCGAATGGCCCAATCCAGTGCTAGAAATAATTTTCTTCTCCCTTCAAATTCCTCCCAAAAATTCGAGTTTTTACCAATTTGGGGAATGTGCTGGTGGAGACATTCTTTGAGGAAGGATATTTCTTGATCATTTCTTGTCCATGTCATTAATTCATTAATGTCCATATCTAAGAGAGTCATTACTCCCCATTCCCAGTCAATTATGCCAGTAATGTGATTGGTGGAAGGATTGACAATAACATTATTTGGGGTCAAATCAATGTGACATAATTGATATAAATCTGAAGAAATAGAAAGAGGTTTCTCTTTCAGATACTTCACTAATTGTTGAAAATTGTAAACTAGAGACGAAACTCTTTCATCTTTGAGCATTTCTTCAATCCTTTTTTCAAAATTAGCAATTAAAAAGTCTGAAAATGATTCAAATGGTCCATCTCCATCACTATTTCTTCCAACAGTGACATGAGCAACCTTATCATTAACTACCTTAATATCTAGCACTGATCCAAATAGAGTTTCCTTTAAGTTTCCATGAGAATCCTCTGGAATGAATGCAAATTCACATAATTTACCTCTCATCTCACTTATATGTGAAATGAGCAATCTTCTCTCCTCATCACTCAATTCATCATAAATCAAATTCAAGGCCATTCCTTCACATTTCTCCATCAGAATGTAATCCATTTCACTTTCTCCCTTCCCATTCCCATCTGTATGATCATAAATTGTTGGAGATTTAAATTGATGAGCAAGATTGGCATGTAGGAATTTCATAATACATGCCTCATTCAGTGTCTTGTTAAATAATGAAGGAATATTTGTGGACTTGTCAGAAGTAATTTTAAGGATCACTTCCATGCAGCTCCAGATCGAATTTTTCTCGATTGCTGTTTCTACTAATGAGGGAGAAGATGAGGATAATTCAATTGTGAAAATCTTGTTACTAATGCCATTATCGATGGCAGAACTTTTAATACACAAATTTTCCAGAGTTGTTTGATGGAATTTCTCAGCGAAACGCTGTCTGAATATCTCACTTTTTTCGAGAGCTCTACAAATAATACTTTTTAAATTTGTCTGATCAGTAGTTAATTGTAATGAAGTTGAGTGATCTTGGGACATTTTTTATTTGTTAAAATTTGATATTGAGCTTCAAAGTGAAATTGAAATTTGGAGAGTGAAATTGAAATATTTATTAATAACAACAATTTGTAATGTTACATAATCTAATGAAGCTCCTTTGGAAGAATACCTTGTTTGAGAGCTTGTTTGTAATATTCAACTTCCTGAAGCGTTTTGGCTTGTATGATTGCTTTTTTGATTTTCATAATTTCCTCGGGAGAGAGGGCTGGCTTTTCTGTTAAAGCAGATGCTTGTTTGTTACTAGTTTCTGTACTAATGACAGCTGCTGTCTTTGTAATTCCTAGAATTTTTTGAGCTTCCTCTGTTGGCTTGGCAAGTGTTCCATAGATGTGTTTAGATCTATCTCTTTCAATTTTCTTTACCTTGATGAAATCCAAGTACTTTAAAGTTGGTAAGAGGAATATCAAATATAACCTATAGTTTTCCTTCTTATTTACCAAATTGTCCAGCAATGATATCGATTTCAACTTTTTAAATGTCTTTAATCCGTTCAACTCGTAAAGTTCCTTGAAATAATTATTAGTCAATATTAAAGTTTCCAAGTTTTGTAAATTCTTTTCTCCTAGCTTTTCATCAATATAATTTAGTCTATTATTGTTAAAAAAGAGTGTATGTAATCTTCTTAGCAATGGAAAGTTCTCCATTCTAGCAATTTCATTATCCGAAAAATCAATCACATCAAAACTATCCCTCGTAGTACCAAGATTTTCAATAGTTACAATTTTATTTCCTCTCAAATCTAATTCTCTCTCCTTGATTGGATTGAAAAATTGTGCTGATGATGCTACTAATTCCGGTGAAAGTTTTACCATTTGTACAAGTTGTTTTTTCCAATAAATATTATTCTTTGCGATGATGGCCAATAATGATGATGAAAAATATTCGTGATGAAGATTGATCGGATCACAAAATATTTGTTTTTGTATTTTTTTTAAATGTAAAAAATATTCTTTGAAGGTGAAGAAGAATTCTTGTTGATTTTCTAACAAAACCAATCGAATGTTAATAGCAGATTATCTTCTTCATTACTGATACACCTTGAATGGGAGGCTTATTAATCAGATTCATAATTGTAAGAGGTTAAATTATTTATTGACATTGTTTGTGCTTTAAAACTCAGTGGCAGATTCTGAATTTCCTTTCATTATCGAGTCCTGAGTGTCTTGTAATGTTGAGGAGGAAGGATTTTCTGTTGTGCTTGGTTGTTCTTGAACATTGCTTGAACTACTAGCTGATCCACTTGTGTTGTTGTCAATAACCTCAAATGGTAATTTCTTCTTTGGTTGTTGAGGGTAGAGAGCTGAAATTATTTTTGAAATCTTTTCATTTTCGGCGTGTGTAGTTTTAAAGACATCTGATTGTTCCCATCCATCAGGTAATTGTATATTGATATATTGATTTGTTGATAAGTAAATACAGGCAGCAGCAATCTTTCTTGGAGGATATTGCAAACACAAGAGAGTTTGGAAACTATCGTTCACAAAATTCCAAGCATATTGTGCCAACTCTTTAACCTTATCTTTATACTTGTCATCTTTCTTTAAATTGTAAATATAATGCATGACTGATTTATATGGATGTTCAATTTTAAAATCAAAATTCAATAATTTCAATAATAATTTTTCCTTTTCAATAACATCCTCAATTAATTTTTCCATTTCCTTAGTTGATTGTTTACTCTTTCGTACAGCATCACTAGAATCGATAATATTCTTTAATTTCTTTGGTGTTTCTTCCACTTTACCTGCTAAAAACAGACAAGCAATAGCAACCGTCTGCAATCATTTCCAATAATTATTATTATAATTATGAATAAATTATTATAAATACAACAACATCCAATAATCCACAAACAAATTAATTTCCAAAATATTAATTCTATCCGAAAAAACTACCAACTACTACATACAAATCTATCATGTTTTTGAAATTCATATTTAGCATAAAATCTATGAAAGAATACTAGACTAGTTGCGATGGTTAATTGTGGACTTCGGAAATTTAAAATTACTATTCTACTATTTTCAACCTACACTTTCAAATGAATACCAGCTTGTTGAATAAACGATGCTGTTGATCTTCTATATTCAGCTTCACTCTCCCTCGTTATTTTATTCTCTCCCTGAAGTGATGGAAGCAAAGCCAATTCTTGATCAGTAAAATACCAATTCATTTTTTTCAATTTTTATTATCTATTATTAGATGTGGTCAGGTAATTCTCTTGTTCATCAAATTTTGTGAATCACGTTTTATCTGTCTATTAAGCAGCAAAACATGAATTCCGAAATCTAGTAATATTAATATTTATGTGTGTGATGAAATTAATTTGGCTTGCAAGTTTGCCTTGATGATGTAATCAAATAAAATATTTAAAAATAAAAAAAATTGAGACGAGGAAATTGCACCAAAGCACAATAAGAATAATAATACTTTTTTGATCGGAACAAATGGTTTATATTAATAACAAACACGAATTTATTACAAAAGTTTCGCAATTGTATAGTGAAAATAAGGATAAACATTCTGTATGGATGACTTTTAAAAAGTGTACGTCTTTTTATTTAAAATTTACATGATGGATGGAAATTATTTATGCATAACAATGGACAATTACTTGGATTATTATATTATATTGGAATTCAACATGATACAATTATTAAACCAATAATTTTGATCGAATTGATGAAATTTATAAATGCACATATTAAACAGTCACACCAAAGGAACAAAAGCCAAAATCTGAAAAACAACAACATTTTGATAGTTTAAAAAAGAGTTCAAGTGGAATCAAAAAGAAATCTTCAGCAAACAAATTAAATGAAGGATGTTTAATTAGAGTAACAAATGGTAAAGATAAGAAATTTTCCACAATTGTATTAAATAAGGATTTGGCCACATTCCAATCCACTTTATTTAACATTTTGAGAGATCACATGACCTCCACATTGAAACAACCATCAATAACAGCTGCTGCTGCCACTCCAGTTCCAGTAACAAGCAGTGCAACCAAGAAGGATAATACTGATAAAAAGAAGAAGAAGAAAAAGACTGATCTTTAAAATAAATTCTCCATTTTGATACTTTTTTAATACTCAACTCTAATAATTTTATAAAACAGCTTACTGAACTATGTCTATTTTATAAAATAAGAAACTGTTTGAAACCTTAAAGTTTATTTTTTCTTTTCAGTGGAAGAAGGTGGTGCCATAACATCTGATGGTTTCTTAAATTTAGTATCCATAGAAAAGTATCCCTTCTTTTGTTCTGTCTTTCGTTTCTGATCTTCTGCAATAAGATTAGGGTTAAGAATTTCCATTTCATTGTTATTGCTAATTGCCATGGAAGTGGCAGTACCAGTTCTGATGATTTGAGTAGCAGTACCACTCTTGAAAATTGAGGTGTTTGAAATTGTGCTGATACCATCAAAGTAAGCCGAGGAAGATGAAAGTGCAGTATTGACCCCAGTTGATGAGCCAGATGTATGTTTTTTCTCCTTCTTTTTGTGCTTGTTTTCGTATCGTTTGCCAGAAGCAAGAATTGCATTGTGTACACTTAGAGATCGGCCCAATCCCTTCTTGCCTTCATCGCCCAACATGGTTCCTGATCCATCTCCAGTATAGGAATCATCTGAACCTGATTCTCCAAATGGTAATCTGGCATATTTCTTTCTCAATTCTGAAGTTCTGGCCAATTGCTTTTCAGCTGCTGATTTTGAACCACCTCGAGATCCAGACTTTTTAATAGAATCTGGGGCTGGGAGTGGTTTGTCCTCCTTTCTTTTTGGTGGTTCTAACATTTTCTTGATGGCCATTTGAATATCCTCACGAAGATGTAATCCTTCTGAGCCATTCTTGGCCGAATTACAACTGTCAATACGGGCAGCAAGAGCACATTTAGTGGCAACAAGACGAGCAACCTTCTTTCTCAGTTTTTCTCTTGGTGGAGTATGTTCCATCACCAAATCACACAATCCAACAAATCCAGTATATCTCATATGAGAAAAATCATTGGCCGTATAGGAGAGGAGATAGTTTCCATCCTTTGAGTCAGTCGAAGTTTGTTTCCTCTTTGGGAGCATACCCATGTAAGTCTTAGTAGAAAATCCTTCAAGTTTCTTCTTTTCTCTTCCCAGACATTGAATTACATCTGCTGAAGTTTGAGAAAGTAATAAAATTCCACCTGCTGCACCTATTAATTGGGCAGCAATTCTTGTTCCAACCAATAAGCTCAAATTAGGAGCAACATAGGACATTCTCATAGATAGATATTGTAAAATATGTTCCTTATGTTCATCCAAAAGTATGACATCTCTACAAATTTGTTCAATTTTCTTCCACTTATCTTCAGATAGATTTACTTTAAAGGTACCATCATTGGCTGCTGTTACTTTAAGAATCATAATTGTTGAAGGAGGTAAAATATCACTCAGATCAATATCTGTGAAATTTTGTGAACCTCTAGGAGCCACAAGTGGAATACCGTTACCAATTCGCAATACTGTATTTACAAAAGTCATTGGATCAATAATATTGCTCTCCAAATCTTTAAACTTTTCCGAATATAATAATTTTAACTGAATAAACAGTTGGTCAATATCCTGGTCAATTGACAAGGTGTATGAATTACTGGCTAAAATATAAGGATATTCTTCATCGGTTTGAAACGATTCTCCAGTTTTGATGACTTTTCCGCTGTTGGTCAATTTTACAAATTCCTTGATTTTCTCCATATGAATGTTGAAATTTTCATCACGAAGTAAAAGTGAAATTGTGGTTGGAGTATTAATAATTGGCTTGATGACAGGTTGCTGTGGTTGTTGTTGCACAATAGTAGCTACTCCATTACTGGTTGATTGATTATTAATATCTGGGACGAAATGACTATACGATCCCGAAGAAAAAGTACTCATGGATGAAGTTGTAGAAAGTGTGTCATGATCTTGGTGGAATCTTTGGGCATGGCTCGACAAGTTTATAGAAGAGAGTGATGGTGCTCCGGAAGAACTTGCTTCATCAGTGGTAGTAGATCCATCGTCATCCATAACCATTGACGAATTCAAAGAAGAAGGAAAGAGGGTCTGTGGATTTAGATTAATGGGCGTTAAATTTGTAATAGATTGGGAAGCAATACCAGCAACAGTCGAAGGTAGAAATGGATTAATAAATACATGATGATGGTGATGATTTAAAAGTAGATTACTACTTGTTGTTGTTGTTGGTTTGTATTATTCAATGATTGCGGAGGAGGCACACCATGTGGTGGCACAGAGAGTGATAATAATGATGATGATGGTGGTGGAGGTGTCGACGTTGTAGTTGTCGTATCATCAGCAGCATCGGCAAAGAATTCATCCAGCAGGGACATTTTGATTATTTCCTAGAGTTGTTTGAAAAAAAACTTTTTTTAATGAAATGTTTTGTGTTATTTTTTCGGGTTATTTGAGGTTTAATTTTAGAATTTCTTAATTATTGAAGGTGTTGTGTCTTTTAAATTATTATTAAGAATACTAAATATACTTTACAATAATATTATTGAAAAAGATTAGATCAGAAATATGAGTTTTTGAGAGAGATTTAAAATAATCCTTTATCAATTTTCAGTCTTCTTCTCTTGTACTCACCAAGAGATTGAAATTGAGTTTGAGTCATGCCAAATATTGTGAAAAATTCATCATCTGATAGGTATTTCTCTTTTTCAGATTCCTTTACACCTTTGGGAAATTTGTTTTTCAGTTCCAAGTATGAAAATTTGTGCAAATTTGGATCCAAATATTGATTCAATTGTTTTTCAATTGAAATATGTTCTGAAATATTATCTACTTTAGAGTCCACAAAATCATCATTATCACTATCTGCATTATAATATTGTTGACAAATCAATTCTCGTTTTGTTTCGTATTCCTGACGAGACATTAAACTATTCATTCGGACATGTAAATTTGGAATTACAGCCGATTCTGAGGAGCTGTTATCAAATTGAATAACTGGTGATGATGATATTGTACAATCATCAATCGACATATTTTCAAAATATAATTCATCCAATTGTTCTAATTGTTCGTAAACATCTTCGAAAATTTCCATTTTCGATTTTGTTCTACTCCTTCGTGGTAGAGATGAAGTGGAGGTTGGTGTGTTTACTGATGAAGTAATTGTTGATTGCTTCAACCTTGAATGAGAAGTACTTGTTGTGGAAATTGGTCTGGTTATTGGAATTGGTTTTGATTGAATTGTATTATTAATATCGATGGTGACATTGTTTTCTAATTGTTCTATACGTTGTTGCACCCTTCCGGAGGTTCTTCTTGTCTGATGACTACTTTTTGATGTTGTTGAAAGAACAGACATACTAGCAGGTGCCAGTGTAGAGAGCAATTTCTTTTTGTTGAGAAATATTCCCCTGTGAAAAGTGACAGATTTTAGTGATGGGACTTTTAGATATGTATTTAAATTGGCCTAGACTATGTATTGGTTTTATTTCAAAAACACTTGTCGACATTACACAATTCCACCTCTATACACATTGACATAGTTTTTCATCATTTAAACTCTAGCAACACAAACTAAGGTTCGACCAGTTTTTGTAATGTTTCACACCATTCTCTCAATGATTTTAGAGAGGGAAATCGCGAATGTATTGAGCAACCTTTGTGTGTCCGTACATTTCAGCAATCATATCGGCAGTGTGACCTTCCTTTCCTCTTGTTGATTGATTCTTGTTAGCACCCTTTTCAAGCAAAATCTTTACTGCAAGAATATCACCATTTGATGCAGCAATGTGAAGAGCGTTCATCTATTTAATTCCGATAAATAACAGTTAGAAAATTGGCTTGAATTGAAAAAACACATACTCCATTTTCATCCATATGGTCAATAGTTGATCCCTTTTCAATGAGGAATCTCATAACATCATATTGCTTGGAGTTGGTAGCCAAAATCAGTGGAGTATCACCTTCAAACTATTTTCATTATTCATAAAAAGATAGAAAAAGGTCAAACTTACATCAGGAAGATTAACAATCGGTCTACCCAATTCAAAGAATAATTTTAAGGAATCAATGTGTCCTTTAACGGCAGCATACATGAATGGGGTCATCTACATAATGATGAATAATATCAAAAATTCGGACGATATTAGAATACACATTTAAAAAACAATAGCGACACATACTTCTCCCATTTGTTCATCATAGTTCAAAAATTCATTAACATAATATCTATTATCTCTATTAGAGAGAACTTCTCTAATGGAATCCAAATCGCCGTGGTAAGCAGCATCACAGAGAGTAACGTGTGGTGAAGATTCGTCAGTCATTTTTTATTTCTTTTTTTCAAATTTTAAAAAGATTCGAAAAAAGATTCTGCCTACAATTCAAATTTTCCAAACAAATCAATTTACTTTTTACTTTGAGTCAACATATTACATAGTATTATTATTAATGTTTTATATGAAAAGTCCACATTACTAAAACTTTAAAAACATTGAAATTAATAAATTGGATAAGAAATTTGATGAAAGAAAACGAGACAGTCATCGACTTTAAAAAAAATGACGGTTCTCCCTCACGATTTTACTGCACCACAAACGAAGAAGGTAAACTTGGAAAAGTTGCAGATAATTTCTTCGGGTGCTTCGAAGGAATCGATAAATATGACAAAGGAGAATTTGAAGGAGGCTACAAAGGCTAGAGATCACATGATTATTGCCCTGTCAAAATCGAAACCTTTTCAAGTGTTGGTGGCGGTATGTGTTCTTGTTGTTTTTGTACAGTTGTTATTGATGATGTATATTTGTGCAAATAATGGAATTGTTGTATTTATTGTGATCATAATTGTATACAATTTAATAATAATAATTAAATGGATAATATTTGGAAAATTGATGAAACAAATTGATGATAAAAATACAAATAGGCAATCGAAAAGTACTTGCCATATTTAACTGGAATTTTACATGCAACAGAAAATGAACAATTAAAATCACAAAAGGATGCAAAGGATAGAGATGGTATTGTTTTTGAATGGACCAGTGCATTACTTGGAGAGGAAACTAAAACATTTTCAAAATCAAGAAAGTACTTTTCATCAAAACTCATCAGCTTTGAAGTACTTATGGTAGTATATACTTATGGATATGCATTGTGTAATTTGGCATCAGAAAAAATCAAAATGACAGCAAATCTAGCTGATAATAATTCCATAATTGAAGTTTATCAAGATGCTGCTCTTTGTTTGAGAAGAGCTTCTGGTGTATTTAATTATTTGGCAAATATTGGTATTCCACATTATATTACTGGACAGGATTTTAATACCCTCCAAGAAATTTCTCCAGTTTCCTCCTCCCCACTATCAAATCCATACCCAACCACTTTCCCAACCATCAGTTCTAAGTTATCCTTCCCAAAATCTGCCTTTTCACTCCTTCCAGAGATGGATGTACTTTGTGCTCGAGGACTTGTTGAATACACTCAAGGTATTGGACAAGTTATTGCCATTCACACTGCAATTGCTACAGGAAAGACAGCAGCAACTATTGCACGTCTCAGTGTTTCAGTATTCAAGATTTTTGATCAAGCTCAACAAACTCTAATCATGCTGGATACAAAACTTAAAAACAATAACGAAAAGAGCACAATTTCCCTATTCGAAAGTATGGGATGTTTATTAGATCCTGAATTGAGATTGATTTGTGCTCAATATAGAATTTTATATAGAGGAATTACATTGTACTATTTAGCCTTGGATGCCAATCAAAATGGGTAAGTTAGATGATATATAATCACAGATTATTAATTTTATTATAGAAAGAGTGGAATCTCAGTTTCGTTTATCATTAATGCCAACAGACAGTTGGAAGAAATGGATGTTTTTGTAAGTAGTTCCACTTTCGGCAGATATCGTTTAACATTTGCAGGATGAGATATCAAAGAGTAATCCTTTTATGAATGAGACGAGGAGAATTTTTGCTGAATCAAAAAAGCTCGAAGCTCGATATGAAAAGGAAAACAGACTTGTCTATAGAGAAGAAGTTCCTGATATTTCAAATTTAGAGATTCCTCAAGGAGTCAATGTACTAAAGATGGTTGAATTTAAACTTTCAACAGCCTTCATTGTAATATAATACTCTCAATGTTAAATATTTATGCTAGAATCAATAAAGTAATTTATTTCCTGTTATCCAAAAGATTAAATGTTCTCGAGAAAAAGTATCAGCCTCTATCAATTACTTTTGACTTGATGTGAGATGGTGTTTGTAAATATCTATATGTTGAGAAAGGCCACATTCATGGAGAGAATATCTCTGAATGAACCTTAAATGGCCATCAATGCTTGTTTTTTAGGAAGACATCTATGAACATTGTATATTATGTCACTTTATTTCAACTAGTTACTGTAGATGTTTTGTATTTTACAATTGTAAAGATGAATTGTAAATATTTACTGTAAACAAGACGACATCACCATGTATCAGGATTCCTCCTACATAATCATAATGTTTAATATATTGAGTCTACTTGATAAAATCATCTCACTTTGACAAAATGACAATTATGATAACCTGTCCCCAATTTCGATCAATCATGATTTTCACACGTGGTGAACAAGATTCTGAAACTAGCATCACAACAGCTCATCTGATTGCTACCTTATCGTTCCTTCATATCTTCTTCTGATTGCATCAACTTTATAAAATTAATTTCAACACCATCCATTAACATCTACATTGGTAGAGAAGTTTGAGTTCTTCTGAACAGAAACCTGCCTCATAGCCGTAAAACCTGCCTAGTTGGCTCAAATTCATTCTTTCCGGAAGTTGTTTTCCAAATTGTCACCTTTTTATCGCGTCTCAACACTTTCAAAAAAAACGTGCCGAGAGCGTTGTTGCTATTCATCATATTCTCTCTCAGTAATTATTATTATTGTGGTAGTGGTGAAGAAGTCATTCATAATCATCATTATTCTTTTGAGAGGTTTAATATCTGCGTTGTTCCACGTGTTGTTCGGTGAAGATCTACATATAATCATCAACAATCCATCATCTATTTAAACCTCTCTCCTAAGCTTTGTTTAAACAACATCATCTACTAGATATTTAATTTATTCCATAAATCCCATACAACTTTAACCATGTCCAATAACTCGAATTCGACCATTCTGCAATATTTTCCTGCATCCCCATATATTAACTCGGACAACAATGGTTACTATGATCTAGTATTGCAACAACTAGCAAGTTTAGCTGTCAATTCATCATCAACTCCCTACCTAAAATCATCTCTCTCCTCTGTATATTCTGGAATTGTTACAACTCGGCATGAAATATTGGACTTGAGTTATGTGTCGCCAGTTTCATGGGCATTACTTGGAGCATTTACACTGTGGTTTGTTTTCCTTCTCTCTCTTGCAATTTGGAGAAGAAATTATCAACCTGTAAAAGCAAGAGACATCTTTTTAATGATTGTAAGCATTGTTGCCACCTATTTTGTCAGTCTCATGGTAACTTTGAGATTTGCTTTTGGAAGATATGAATTTCCTTGTTTCTTCTTTACCTTCCTGCTTTTGTTGGCTTATCCAGGATTGTTTTTGCCTGCCATTTTGAGGTAAGTTTTCTCACCGAGAGTCACATCCATATTAACACTAATTAACCAAAATAGATGTTGGCGATTAATTTTCGTGTATTTAATAAGTAAGAAGAAACAGCTCATTACCACCTATAATGAAAGAAGACAATCTTTGGTCATGAAAAGGCAAAGTCCTCCTCAACCAATATTTACAAAACCTTCTCCTTCTAGTGCTGTACAAACATCATCACAGCCAACATCACCTCTCTCTACTACTGAATTATTAGATGCAAATATTAATGCAAACCAACCTGTTTCTGAAACGAACACTCCAACACTACCTGTTATAACTTCTCAATCAGCTAATAACAGCAATAGTATAATGACTGAGGATGAAACTACTACAACAGACAATGATGAAGCAAGAAATGTTGCGGAATTGGATGATGATGATCTTGATATTGAAGCTATTGAAATCCCGAACTTGGACCATGACAGACCAACAGATAGCCCACCACAATCAGGTAAGACAGTAACAAAGAAACTCGACCTCTTTGCCAAGCTGAGCTCCAAAGCAGCCCTGTCTACCATCATTGCTGTTGTTTACATGATTCACTTTGCTGTCTTTGTAATTTTAATCCTCACAGATATTGGATATTATTCAACAAAACCATTCCTTCAAGGTTGTTTCGTAGGAACCAAAGTCTATGCTGTTTTAGTGCTTACACTTATTTATTATGTAACCAGTTTTGTCATGTTAATTATTATTTGGAGAAAGGTTAAGGAAAATTGGTTCATCAGAAGGGAAGTTTTCGTTGTCATGCTTTTTTGGATTATTGATGTTTTACTATTCTTCGTTGCTGGTATTTGGGGAAGTTATAACTTGATATATGAACATTATTTCCCAGCTGGTTGGATTATCTTGTTTGGTTGTTTGTTTGACAATGTTGTCTCTTGCTTAATTCCAATCATCTTGTCATTCCAAACCTCCAAATATCAATGGAATGATAGTACTGAAGCTGGTAATTCTATTGAGGTGAGAGAAATTTTGAGAGACAAGAAGGCAAGAGCCTTCTTTAAGGAATTCGCCACTGAATCCTTCGTTCCAGAAGGTATCTTGTTTTGGGAAGATGCTCATGCCTTTCTCAAAATTAAATCAAAGGAAAAGAAGAAGAAATTCGCCACTACCATTATTTCAAAATACGTCCAGTATGGATCCAATTTAGAACTCAATTTACCAAACCGTTCCATATGGGAAAAGGAGATTTTAGACAATTTGGAAAAGAAGAAGATTCCAGATTCTATCTTTTACAAATTGGTAGAGCATGTGGAAAGAGACTTGATGGACATCTTTGTCAGATATAAGAGAACCACCGAGTACAAACGATCCAAACAAGAGATTGAGGAAAAGAAGAAGGAATTGGAAGCACAAAAGCAAGTGGGTATGAGATAAAACCAAATCATCCAACTCACATTTGGGATGTGATAGAAGCTCAAACATCTATTTTGCACCTTAAAAAAACAAGACCTTAACAATATTGTTAAATGAAACAAAGAATTGGTAATAAATCTAATAACACCCATTAGTATGGATATCTATGGATTCTTTTAATGTTAAGTCAGATGGAAGTATCTATGAAGGTATTTGATTTCTTGTAATATTTATTTATTTGTTTACATGTCATGAAATAATATTGCACATTCAATGAATTTAATAGTTTAACTTCAAAAAAAATGGCCAAGAAGAAAAAGCAAAACACACAAGAGAAAGCCAACACAAATGAAGTGAACAACACTCCAAATAGTAACAATAATAACAACAAACAGAATAATACTCCGAATAATAATAACAAGCAAAAGCCAAACAATAATAACAATAACAACAACAAAAAGCAAAAGAAGGCTCAACCTACTAATAATAACAACAAGAATGCAAATAATTCAACAAGTAACAATGTAAAATTGGACAATTCAAATAGTAATAAGGAAGTAGTCAACAAGCCAAATAATAATTCAAATAAGTCTGCCAATAACAACACTCCGAATACTAATAACAAACAAACCAAGAAAAAGAATAATGAACCAACAAATAACAACAAACCTCAAAATAATTCAAACAATGCAGCCAATAACAATAAGAAGCCTGATGATTCAAATAAGAAGAGTCAACCAACAAAGTCTGCCAATAACAACACTCCGAACACTAATAATAATAACAAACAAACCAAGAAGAAGAATAATGAAGCCTCAAACAACAAACAACCACAGAACAATGTAAATAATACTGTGACTCTTAATGATTTAACTTCTGAAGCCAACAAGGCAAATCGTAGTACTTCTGAAAAGGCTGCTGCTATCATTCATGAGCAAATGGAAATTCCAAAAGTCTTCTCCTACAAGAGAATTTCACCAAGAACCACCATGGACGCAAAGACTGAAGCTCTTGTTAAGAAATTAGGAAGAGTTGCTTTTAATTACAAGAAGAAAGACTTTTTTGAGCAGCAGAAACCTAGAATTACTCATGGAATCAAAAATTTGAAGAGAGCACTCGAGTCAGATTCTTCTTCTTCTTCTGAAGATTTGGAGGATTATGAGGTGGATCCAAAATTCTTTAAGGATGAAGAAGATTTTATTCCATCAGAGGAGGAAAGCTATTCAGAAAATAGTAGTGATGGTTATGATGAAGATGAGGATATGGAAAAATATGTAATGAACTATGACACTTATATGACAAAAAAACGAAGAATGCTGAAATCAATGGAATAAGGGTACTGATTTATAAAACACTTCAAAAAAGGGTTTTGATCAAAAATGATTCAATATCAACTTACAGTTTATATTACTCAGTTTACAATATTAACAAAAATCTGAGCTACATATTTATTAATAAATATTTCTGTAAGTTGACAAGAGTTGTTACACAATTTAAAATTTTTGTAATTTTAAAAAATCCTTTATTTGGTTGATTAGTTATTTAAATGTTTTTTTGGAGTGGAATTTAGGCTTGTTGTTTTTGTTCGGCAACAGGTTCAACTTTTTCAACAACAGTGGAAACAGCTTGAGCAGCTTGTGTCAATGCTTTTTGAACATTTGGATTTTGGAGGAATGCTTCACCATCTTGTTGGAGAGTTTGAATCCATTCTTGTTTACCAGCTTCATCCAAGAGATTTTGTTGAACAGCACTTTCAACACACTTGGCCATGTAGGAAATGGTGAACGACGTAATCTTACGTTCCTTGATTTCATTATATATTTTAACAGCAGTGTTGAATGAATTTGTTGTTTCATCATGATCCCGAATATATGTATTCATTTCAACTGGATACTTTGAACAAGCGTGGAGCATAACATTGTATGATTTAACATCCTTTTGGCATTTTTTCATGTAATTAAAAACTTCAAAAGCTTCTTTCATTTGACCTCCTCTATATCCGATTGTGTACAACAACATTTGAAAAACTTCAGCCTTTGGTCTGGCCTTGGTTTCTGAGATTCTCTTAAAGATAGTGTATGCTCTCTTCCAATTACGATTCTTCTTCAGAACAGACAATTGTTGAAGAATAAAAGTATTGTTAACTTCAGGTTGTTGTCTAGCATATTTAATTCTACCCTTTCCGTCCACTTTTTCCTTTTCCTGTTGTTCATACCAGAGTTTAGTTCTAACTTTTCTAGGGATGGCATAACATCTAGTTTGTTGAACATTGAGTGATGATGTAAATTGAAGAAGAGATGATTGGGAGGAATTTAAAGCAACAACACCAGATAATTGCTTGGAAAAGCCTCGAGCGAACAAATTTGAAGAACCCGAGACGGTTTTTAATGATGAGGAGAGTGAGAGCAAACCTTGTCTGAACATTTTTTTAAAATAACAATAAAAAATTAAATTTCTTTACAATTTTTAAAAAATAATTATTGTTGTTGCAAGTAATTACATGTGATTATTAGTGAAGACACAGTGCATACATGTTGATGGATACTCAAGGCCTTCTTCTTTGCTATACTAATTAAAAATGAATTGTTAACCTTTCATCATTACATATTCCGAATGGGTAAATTTAAATTAATTACTTTAGAATCAAAAAAACTACTATTTGATATCATTGTTGCAATTAATTACTTGTGAATATTATTGAATGAATTAGGTGAATTTATTTACAATTAATTAGTGATTGAAAAAGAGCAAAATTTTCCGATAGAGTAGGCAAATGAGTCCAATATGCTTGAAAAGGAGGATTTCTTCATGGAATTTTCAATATCATCAAGATAGGTGAGCATATCATTATCAGACCAAGGTTTGAGGAATGGCATTAACACAGTTTCAATCATTGCCTTGAGTACTGATTTTTTGGAATGGTATTCAGGAAGGAGGTGGTTAGAATGTTGGAATCTCTTTGAAATGATGCACCAAGTACAATATCCTTTCATCACTTCATCGATGGATTCAAATTGTTTGGAGTTGTCTGGGTTGGAGGATTTGATTGTTTCCATTTGTTGCAATTTCTCTTTGATTAATTCCAATACTTCATTGAGGGATGAATCAAAGGCTTCAACTGGGAGTTGTTTAAGTTGGCTGTATGACATGCCCTCTTTCAAGCCCTTATTCAAAATGATATAATTGTTAACAACCTTCTTGGCATCTTTAGCGATTGAGGCAACATCATTGAACAAACTGATAATGTCACATGCCAAGTGGTTATATTCAATGACGTGATCGCATGTATCGATCTCTGGAATGTCATTAAAGAAATTATTAATAGTAAAGAAAAGAGAGGACATTGAGTCGACTCTTCTTTCTTTCAAAAAGGCAAGCAAGGTTTCTTCAGAGACAAGTCCATTATTTTCGCATTCATTCTTTGCCTTCTCTATGAGATTGGTTCCAACGGTCAAGAATTCTAAAATCTTTCCTCTAATTCCATCGAATCTACTGTCTTTGATCAAATTATAGACGAGTTTTCCCATCTTGTGAGCTGGGTTTGTTGCTTGTACAGATTCACCTCTAAATATCATGCAATGTGATTTCATCTCTTCAATAGAGATGTCTGTAATCTTCTCATCACATGCATCGTCAACAATCGAAATATATGCTACCAATGGGATAACAATATCTGCAAATAACTTCTCATCTTGTTTGACCATAGTATTAAAGCAGAGAACCAACCACTGTGAAAGATCATATGATCCACAGTATGTGTACTTGTTGTCTCTGAATTGTAAAGCAGTACCAATTAGATTGCTGAAAAGGAGAGAACAATGTTGATCAGATTTCTTCTTATCCAAAGGAACAAAGATTGATGACTTGATTTGATTAAAATTGACTTGAGCTTGCATTTTCGTTGTGTTTTCTTGTTGTGTGAAATATATTATTGTTTGGTTGTGTTGTTTTTTTTTGTTGTGAAATATAGTTATCTGTTCGCGTGTTAAAATAGCTTAATGCAAATATTTTTACACACTGTTTGCAGAAGCAAGTTTTTTTGTGACGGATTTGCACACAAAAAAACTTGCTTCTTTCAAACCTTCCCGCCTACTTTCTAATACGGTAATATTTAATTTCATTTTTGACCAACGTAAAAATATCTCCTCAAAAATCAACATAATAGTAATATTTATAAAATTTACAGATGGTGAGTTGGTCGAGTGGTCTAAGACGACACGTTAAGGTATGATTAATACCGTGTTCCGCAAGGGCGTGGGTTCAAATCCCACACTCATCAAATTTTATCAGTCCCACACTCATGAAATTTTTTTTCATTATTGTCATTATTGTCACCACATATCATAATCCAAATACAAGGAATCAAATTTTCATTAATTAAGGAGACATTTGAAGAGACATTGAAGTTATTAAGCCTTTAAACAACTGATTCATCAGCCACAACATTAGAGCATCAGTTCTTGTTAATTTCAAAGTTGCTGCACGGCAAGATTCATTGTAAATTTGAAAGTACCAAACTCAACCATAACTTACCAATAGAAACAATAACCCCAATGACATTTGAAATATGAGAATGTAATTTACAATGATTTCGGAACTAAAATGATTGGATATTGATTGTTGTTGAAAGACGCACAGAATTCACAACTCAGGCAAACTCAATAAAAGCTGCTGAAAACCTTGGCCACCTGGAGAAAGTATTAAAAAAACAACAATGAAAGTTTCTAATATAATTTTACTCATTTGTCTATTCCTCTTCACTTTTGCTTACGAGTTGACTGTTGCCACAAGTGATACTTCCAACATTCCCCAACCAGTCAATTTATTTCAAAAGAGAGCATCCCAAGCCACATGTTCCTGTCCTAGATGTGGAGGAAGTGTAACCTTATCCTTCCTCTTCTCAATTGAAGTTAAATGTCCTACCAAATGTCCAACTGGTTATTATGTCAGTGCAATGGATCTCTTGGTTTCACCAAAAGGTGACTACCACACCTACATTATTGAAACAACATCCACTGATACCTCTGTCAAGGTGGCTGAATTTTCTAAAGAACAAACCAGGTACAATGTTGGAGAATGTTTCAGTGCCTCTAATTCCTTAATTCTTGATACCACTGATTACACTACCAAACTCTCATGTAAGAATAGCATTACCTCCTGTTCAGTTGATGTACAAAATTATTGCGCTTGTTCCAAATCTGCTTCAAAATTGCTTATTATTGCTCCTTCACTTGTTGTGGCTGGATCCAAATTCACACCTGAAGTTAGAATTGTCGATAGTGATGGAAATGTTGTTCCAAGAAATTATTTAATTGATCTAACCTACCCTGGTTCTTTACACTCTTCCATGGCTTCTAATGGTATTATGAAAGGTCCAGAAATCACTGCACCAAGCTCTGGTACTGTTAAATTATTCGCTTCTATCAATACCCAATTTATGTCTGCTCCTTCATTGACATCTGCTGAGTTTACAGTGACTGCCACTCAATCTCAATTCACTTGTTATGGCATTGCACCTTCCAGTACTACTGTCAGTAAAGGAACATGTAGTGGTCAAGATTTGTGTACATGCTTCTCAGGATACACTGGTAGTAAATGTGAAACCTCCACCACAGTCACCCAACCCAACCTTCCAGTATCAAACTCTCACTTCCATCCTCTGTGAATAGTGGTGCAGCATTCACTGCAACTGTCTCAATGTTGGATTCGAGTGGAAATACTCTCAAATCAGGTTCAGGAACTATCACTTTGGAAATGGTAGGATCATCTGGTATTACAATAACTGGTGATAAATCTAAAGTGGCAAGTGAAGGTGTTGCTTCCTTCTCAGTTCAGTTGTCAGCAACAGCTGCATCTTCAGCCTCTCTTAAGGCAACTTATCAAACACTTTCAGATACCAAATCAATTAATGTTGATATTTCAAGAACATCACAAGCAGCTACCATTTGGAGCTATTTATTCACAATTACCTTTGTTGTAATTTTATTGGTAATCAATTAATAAACACCATTTTACAAACAAGTGATAACTTCCATATGAGCACTTCAATTGAGTTGAACAGCGCACTAATTACAATCAAAATAAGGGATGTCGATTTGTACATCACGTTGCTAGTCCATACAAGTTAACTGTGAAGGATCCACAGCTAGAGTTGGTGGATCCAGCTGTGAAAGGAACGTTGAATATTCTGAATGAATGTATCAAGCTCAGATTAGAACAATCATCTCAAGATCACAATAGACTGCAAAGGATCATTATTACTTCATCCATTGTTGCTATATGTGATACAGCAGAGAAGGATAAGATTTATACTGAGGATGATTGGAATGAATTGTCAACTGTGGATAGAAATCCTTATTTTTATTCGAAAGTCACTTCAGAGAGCCTTGGAAGTTGATGAAAGAAATGCAAACTAAACATGGAGAAGATTTCATTGAAATGGCAACTATTTGTCCAAGTGGTGTAATTGGTAAGCCAATTCTTCCACAACAAGTCAACCAATCCCATGACATTTTAGCTAAAATTCTCAATGGCGAAATGCCAGCCAGCACTAATTGACATGCACATGACATTTGTAGATGTTAAAGACGTTGCTCTTTCACATGTGAAATGCATGGAACTGGACATGGACAATCAACTTAGATTTTTACCATCCAAAGGAGAACGTTTCATTTCATGTGGAGATGAAACTATTTCAATAAGACAAGTATGTGAAATAATCAAGAAGGAATTCCCAGAAAGAAACTTTCTCAAAAAATTACCAACATTATCTTTGGAAGGAGCACTTGGAAGTCTATTAGTGAAGGGAATAGCTCTATTTCAACCAAAAGGAATTAGACAAGGTATTAATAGTAATCTTGGAAAGCCATCTTATTATTCGAATAAGAAGATTAAACGAGAATTGGGTTTAACTGAATTCATTGGTAATAATGTAATGATTAGAGAAACAGTTGAACACTTGTTAAGGATTAATATTGTAAAGGATTAGTTTAGCAAAAAATCCTATTCTTAATGAGAAATCAATTAAATTTATAAATTTGTTTAGTAGTGCGTCTTTAATCAGTATGTATTTTGTAAACATGTAAAATCTTGTTATTGGCACTCAAAACAAATAGTTCACTTGTTTCCTTATTGACAGCTATTTGTGTGCAAACAAAATCAATTGGGTAAGAATACTTTTCAATGAGATTAGTATCCAATACAGAAATATAATCCTTTCCAATCACAAATAACAGTCCAGTCAACTCGTTATCATAATACAATCTATACACTCCTTCTTTCTTCAAAGATCTGAAACCAATATCCTTATCAGAATACTCTCCATCTTTCAATATTAATTTCTCAATAGTATTTCCGTCATGAATCAATACAGAGTTATCTGGTCCAAATACTGGAAATGTGAATGTTTCTCTATTGATCTTGAAGTTATCACTCAATTTTACTCCAGTTTCCAGATCAAAGGATGTATTTTCAGGAAATACAACTGGAACATAGGCAGACAAGAACTCATACTTTGGAAACACATGAATTGCACCCCTCGTTTTATCAATGATCATGCAACCAAATGACACATTCAACTTCCAAATAGCTTTTGATGAATTCCACTCATTTAACACATCCCTCATGTCATGTTTTTGAACACCTTGAGTGAAACAATAGAATATCAATGCAGATCCATAACTTTGCTTTCCATCCTTTTTATATCCATTCTCGATATAAATCTGGAAAGGGTGGAATGGAGAATCGTTAAATTCAATAACTTTCTTTTCACCTTCAATCATGTCAATCGTCACCAAATTGTTATTGTAAGTATCACCAATAATGATCTTTCCATTGTAAATCACAATTGTTTCTGGAGTATTCATCTCTGCCAATGAATAACTTTTGATCTTCTCGAATGACTTGAATGGGATAAATTTGTGGATGGATTTTCCTTGCAGTAATTTGCTTTCAATAGTTTCGTCCAAGACAACCGAAACTGAGTCGTTTAACATTTTTTTTGAAAATTGTAATGTCTCAGCCCATTTCATTATAATTGACGAATTGAATTGCGCACTTCAGAGAGAAAATTGATAATGTAACACTGAATCTTCATTTAGAAAATATTGACCATGATAACAAGATTTCAGAATAGGAAATAACAAATCCAATTCATAGGCAAATCAAAGTATTCTGTCAATTTACTACATTAATAATTCAATTCATACTCAACGAAAAGATAACTATCTTAAACTTGTGATGATGTTATTAGTAATCAATGTACTACTTCTATTATGAGTCTAGATTCAGCCAGTTTATAAGCAAAGTTTCTAACATATAAATATTAAAGTCACCAATATGTGAATTCACATCAAAATAAGTGTGTGGGGTGGAGTTTGTATACTTTACACTTCGATTGTTTTATTGTTCAATAATTTGATATCGGGCTGAAAATCAACACTGGTATCAGATTTGCCAATGGTAAATTGACATGATGACAAATATTTGATGAATAATATGATGTTTATTAGTGGTTTAAATAGTAGTACTAGAAGAGTGTATTCCAATTGACGAAGCACTTGTTGGGTAGTGTAGAAAAATCAGCACGGGATCAAAGACCCATTTCTTGAATTTTTATTGTTGTTGTAAAATCTAAAATCGGGTAAAAACAGGAAATTCAGAAAAGCCTTTAAAAAAAATGATCAACATTCACCTCTCGGATATTCCCAATGAAGTCTTGTTTGATCATCTCCTTCCCTTCATTCCACAACATCATTTAATCGCTCTCAAGTCTACCAATCATAATTTTAACAAATTAATTTGGAATTATTGGATTACCCACAAAACTTCGTATATTCTTCCCTACCGAGTTAAAGCTGGTCAATTGGAAAATATTAACAAGTATTATCTATCAAAATTAGTAAATTTACAAGAAATTAATAGTAGAGAAAGTATTGATAATGATGAAATTCAGGCTAGAGAAGAAATTGATGATTTATCATTCTTTAAAATTCTCCGATCTTTAAATTGTAAAATTAGAAAGCTTGATTTGTTGGCGTGTGATGCCTTTTCTGGATTCTTTTTACAAGATGCCATTGATGAAAAGCTTCAAATGGTGAATAGTCTTGAAGAGTTGTTGATGTGTGGTTTTGATTTTCATATTGAAAACCTTTCACTTTCATCATTTTCCAATTTGAAACAATTAACTTTAATAGGAAATGGTATTTCAGTGGATATCAAGGTAACATTTCCTTCAAAATTGGAGAAGTTAGTAGTTGATTACATATTACCAACAGCAGTTTTAAAAAACATTCCAAACCAATGCCCAAATTTAATGGAATTACGTTTGAGAGGTGTTTCAGAAAAGAATGCACAATTTTTAATGAAAAATTTACCTAAACTTTCTTCGTTCCATTTCATGTATCCAGAGATACCTGATGTTCAGTTAACTAATTCAATTTTCACTACTTTTAAGGAACCTCTCAAGTTGAAATCACTTTCTTTATTTGTTAGAGCAGATATAACTGTTCCAAATAATGCTTTTGGAAAAATTGTTGAACATTTGACAGATTTGAGTTTATTTATTGTTGGAATAGAATCTACCAAAAATAATAATTCATTATTAGAGGCAATTTGTTCTTTACCAAATTTAAACAAACTAAAGCTATTATTCATGACAAGAGTTTCATTTTCAAAAGATTTAATTAAGAAACTTTCCGACACCTCAAGTTTTAATCGTTTAGAAAGTGTATCCTGTGATTTAGTGGAAGGAGCAGGCATTTTACTTCCAGTACTTGTTGGAAGGTCCCTCAAAGAACTTTCAGTGACTGGATTTGAAAATCAAATGAATTTTGAATTCCTTTCCAAATGTCAAAATGTTAAATCACTTCACTTGGATGCATCGATAGAAAATCACAATTTAGAAAAGGTGATTGTTCCTTTACCTCATCTTGAATCAATCACTGGTAATTTGATCACATCTGAAATTGTAAAGAAACTAACCAATAAGAAGAAACTTAGAAATTTATCAATGGTATATGATCATGCCATCAGTCTATTAGAGTTTACAACTCTAGAGACACTGAATATTTTAGACATGTCAGTTCCATTTCCAAATCATTTGATACTTCCACTTAGAATATATACCTTGTCAATTTCATCTTTTGAAAATCCTTCAGGATCTGAAATGGGATTTGTTAAGAATATTCAATCATTAACTCAATTAAGAGTTTTAAAATTGAAACAATCATCCATTCAAGATGAAATTGTGAATGAATTATGTACTAATGATTCTCCTATTGAATCCATCTATTTTAACGGTTGTTCTCAACTCACCAATCAATTACTCTCTACATTTAAATCCATGAAACAATTAACATTATTACTTTTAGTGGATTGTCCTCAATTCAGGGATATCAATGAAATCTCATTGTTGGAACATGAAAGAGATTTTCACTTTTTCTGTACCAAGATTAAGGAAAGAAAATTCAATATGGAACGTGCTCTCAAAACTATTACTGAAAATTTACAGAGTATCAAAGTAGAGAGTGCCAATCATCTCTTTGAAGAATTGAATGCAACTCTTATTCCAAATCTATTGAAGGAGAGAAAATTAGTGGAATTGAATTTATATATGAGTCGCTTGTTGGATTTACCCATCAAAGATGAATATAGATTCACTATATTATGCTATACTTTACAATCAGTATTTAGCTTTGACTATATGAACGGATCGTCCTTTACAAAATTGTTAAAATATTTCGCCAACAAGATTGAGAATGGTAATTTCGCATTTGATAGAGAAGCATTAATCTATTCTCTATCTAAGGCACTTCCAGTATTCATTGCATTGAATTCAACAGTGGATACCTTTTTAGCATTGAGTATTTTATTGGATTTTAATGTTCCACACATTATTGCTAAGCATTTTGCAAGAATTGCTGAGGATTTATTAGATTTATCTGGTGTTAAAAAATATGTTGATAAATTTATGAAGAAATGTCTAGAAAATAAGATTAATCTACATCAATCATTTTCACATGACAGTATCTCTCAGTTTACAAGTAATACAAGGTTCTCTACTTTGAGTAGACCTTTTGGGTTGATGGTTGCTAAGGCATATAACAATAATTTTCTATACACTGGCGAGGGTGGTACTGGTATAAATAATGTCATTCCACAATATACTCCAATACCTGATTGTTGGAAAGGAGAGAATACATTCACAACATGTATTGAAATTTCAAAACCAATCAAATGGGAAATGTACAAAAAGGTTCATTCTGAAACTTTCAAAGCATTTGGATTTAATTGGTTTATGACTATTCATAGTGGAGAAGATAATACATTGGCAACATGTTCATTATATTTACAATCGACACAACATGAAGATGATTCTTCCTCAGTATTGGAATATTTGAGAGTTGATGTTGCTTTTTTCCCTTATTACTATTCAAATCATTACTCTGTACACTCCCACAAATTTCAGCATGCCTTGGATAATATTTCACAAAATCATTTTTCCATTCTCTCCACAGAATTCAAAAATGATGCTTATGACTACAAGATTGTTGTATGTATGAAGTTATTGGAGAAATCACCATCTTTAAATAATACTCTCTCAATGAGTTCAGCATCACCACTCTATGGAGTACATCCATGGATTGATAGACAATTATCCAAGAATATACCAATGAGTCATCATAATATTTCTATTCTCACTCCACTTGAAGTATTGGAGGATTACAATTTCTCCTCCAATCTCTTTAACGTATTTGGAAATAATATTAATATCTACCTGACACCTATATCAAGAAAAAGTGGATTATTTTCTATTGATCTATTAGAAGTGTTTAAATCCACTGACATTTTTAAAATTAAATATTTAATTGCAAATGAATCATTTGATAGAGAAAGTATTCAAATTAGAAAGTATAATAGAATTGAATTGAAGAATTATCAAGAACGTAAAAGTGGAACGTCGCTTTATTTTGATTCAGAGGAATTTTGTGATTTGCTGAATCCATCATTTTACAAACCAACAATAATAGAACAAAGTGGAAAATACTTTAACAAGTATGCATTTCAAATTGTATTCTTTTTAGGAAATACAACAAGTGGTCTTGAAATTGCAGATGAATTTGAAGATGATGAAATAATGGGCGAATGGGAAGATGTTTAAACATTAAAAATTGGAATGGATATTTATTTTGGACAATATTTTGGAACAGTATATAAAGATAAATCAGATTGACCAATAACAAAATCAACATAATCAGTTGCACCTGGATCATTAGCTTGATTAGTGGAACGTAATGGAATTCTATCTTCCATTTTATCTGCAACACGATGATAATATTTCATTCCATCCAATTCATCAACATTTGGAAATTCCCAACAATCAGAATATAATCCCCTGAATAAACTTCTTCCAATATAATGAGTCATTTGTAACCAATGAGGTGAAATTAAAGGTAAAGTTTTGGATCTAATCCAACATTCATTAGATTTTGGATAGATATACCAAACAGTTGAATTCCACCATAAAATAGTAAAGTTTGTACTTCCCCATTCATTATTCATACTATAATAGGAATCAAAGAAATCAAATCGACCTAATTGATTCTTATAATCATAGTATAGTTTGGTCCATTGAATATCTGTGTTGAATGGTGTGATTTTTAGTAGTGTAGCATTGAATTGTAGTGGCCATATTGGATAGGTTAAATCTTTGGATTGAATGTTAATGTTACGTTGTAAAGTGGATGGTTGACTAGATGATAATTCTTGTATTTTCAATAATTGAAAAGGAAGTGTGTTTTCATAGGGTTTGGTACGTGGAGTTGAATAGGATGATGAACAAGTAATTACAAAGCTAATAATTATTGTTGCAATGACAAGTTGAATGGTGACTTGATTAAATTGTTTCATTTTTTTTAACAGTTAATATTAAAGTTGAAGAGATGAGCACTATTTATATGGATTCATGTTTGTGGGGATTATGATAAGAATCGTCAATAGTCGTCCAATCATCTGCCACGGAGTTGTCAATAAATTACAAAGTTAAATATGGAAGGTAATCTATATTGGTAGGTTGGCGCCAAAATATTTACCTTTATTTTGGAGATCAAAAAAGGAAGAAATTTGACGATCATGGTTGAAATTAGTTATCGGAATATCCCTAACTTCTATCACATCCAAAAACAAGCAAAGATAGCAAAATTTAAAGCAATTTATTATCATTCAAAATAAAGGAAAATATTAATTTTCCTCTTGATAAAAAATTCCGAAATGGTTGTTAAAACGACAAGATTTTTGGGAGAAGGGTTTCACCGATAAGAAGAGTAAAAGTAGAAAAGATTTTGATGGATATTTTATTGAAACAATTGAAAAACTGGATCAATTGGATTGAACCATGGGAAAATGATGAAGATGTTGTTTTGAAAGCAGTGGAAATGGATGATTATGTGATTAATGAATTACCTGATAAATTTCGAACGGATAATCAATTCCTGATGAAGGCAGTCTTAGTGAATGGAATGAATTACAAATATTACAGTTATGGTTTAAAAACTCTTATTCAAAATTTGGATGAATTTGAGATTGGATTGGTGGCGAAGAGAGCATGTTGCATTAAAATTATTGAGAAAAAGGTTAACTCTGAAGAAGAATTAGAGAAAATTGTTAAAATTAATCCATTTGTATTAAATTTCATTCCAAACTTTGAGATGACCTTATTGAAAAAGGCAGCAAAAGTATTGGTGGAACAATTCAAGAATATTGAAAGAAATGGTGGGCAAATTGAATGCAGAGATTGGAAAGACTTATTGGAAAAACTTGAAAAGAGACCAAATATGTCTGTAATGGCAAATAAGATATTCATTTATGAAAACTAAATTCAAATTAAAATCTCACAAAGCACAAAAATAAAAAGATCTGAATTTTCTTTCAATACATCTGTATCTGATTCTTGGGGTTGAATCGTAGAGGTAGAATTAAGTTTTGCAATACAATGTCAAAAATATTTATCTTAAATAAATATCTGCTTTTGATAGTTCAGGAGAATCATTCCAAAAATAGCTTTTGAACTTCCACTCTTTCCAAATCAAAGTTGGTGCTGTGTATGTTGCCTCACATGATGCACAAGGAGTCATACCGAATCTAGTATCACCAAGCAAGCAATAATCACTTCCTGACATTGTACAGCCAGTGTTCTCCTTATGAGCAAGCAACAGATCAGTTAGTTTTGTTGTTAATACTTTACAATTTGCTCCATTTTTCCATCCCAAAATATTTGTTACACTATACTCATCACGATCTGAATCTTTCCACATTAAGTCAGGATTGGCATTTCTGAAAATGGCCCATTTATCATCTGCCATTGACGAACCATCATTGAGTGGCTTTACAACATCAGAATATTTTGGAGGAATTGATTTGTTTCTTGATGAAATTAAAATCCAACCTCCACCATTGAATTTCTGCTCACAATGAACTACAAAACTTGGATAGTTATTATCTGGTTTGATCCAATAGAGTCCACTCTCATTAAATGTTGAGAGATATTCTTTACAACTTCTTGCAACAGTTCCATTCGCATACATTCTAATGGTGTCAACAACAAGGTTGTTTGATGGAGTTGGATAGAGACATGTATTATTGGAGATGCATGTACCAGAGCCTGAGCACACAGAGCTGTTTGTTGCAGGAATGGAATAACATATTGGAACAGAACAGTTTAACCCAGTCCAATCTTGATCACATACACATTTAGCTGTTTGATTATTACTTATATATTTTCCATGATATGAACATGTAGGAACGGTGCAGTCATCTCCTCCAAACATATTACATTGATTGCTCAATACAGACATTTCAAGAGCGAGCATGCTTCTAGCAGTTGTTAATTTTTTCAATTGAGCTGCTCTTGTTTGAACAATTTGAGGAATTAAGGTCGAGTTGATGTTTGCAAAATTTAACATATCAATCGCCTTTGTGAGACGTTGCCCAAGAGTGTCTATCTTTTCATATTCTGATTGAATATCGAGGATGTAAGCTCTTACAGTCGTATTACTGGCGCAAGTAACACAACCAACCAAACAGAAAAGCAAAAGAATAGCTAAAGTAGAAGATTGCATCTTTTTTCTTGTTTGGTTTTTCACAGATAAGCCGTGCGTCTGTGCATCGACAGATATGTGGAACATGTTGCTTGGTTACTTGGTTGTGAAAGGGCGAAAGCTACTGGTCTTTACCTATGGTCCATTTTTATCTGTTTACAGTATTTGGATATTTGAAAAGGAAGGAATGTTACTGTTTTTGAAAGTTATTTTCTCAGCTGTAGAATGATACTGAGCCTACTGGAATCTGCTTTGATGGACACCAAATTTTAAAATGAAATAAGGAACGGTAATGGTTTTACCATAAACACAGTAAATGGATTTGTTATCCTCACAGTCTGCCTAATAGCCCAGTTGTTTTCGTGATGCACAGCAGTTGTTGATGAAGAAACTACAACCTGCTATCAAAGATTGTTTTGTGTGGGTGCAGTTCCTGTCAAGATTATTAACTCTTACACAATTACTTTGCTTTCAACAAAAGCAATAAGAATAACAGATACTGTATTGCTTTTGTGTAAATTTCAATCAAACATATTGTAATCATGAAGACTAGTCTGGTGCGCAACTGTTATTGTAAAGTTTATTATACCAAGTTTATCGACAATAGGTTCCTATGGAGGATTCTTTTTCAATCCAACTAAATACTTGGTATATACTTGGTACCTCACCTGTATTACTTGATACCCTGTACCATCTTCTATTGGTGGAAGATGAGATATAAAATTACCTATCTAACCACAATTATCCTATGGTAATCATCTAAAGGTAAGCAATAAATATTTCATGTAGAATATTTAATATTGGACTTGGCAAGAAGAGATCTGTAACAGTGTTGCTGTCAACTCTCATATCAAATTATATTTATGTTTAAAATGCCTTTTTGTAATTCCAATTAAGTTTTCTCACATGACATGTTGAGCTTTCAGTATCAACTAATGGTAGATCAGGACAAACTAAGAAGACGGCCGTCTTGCCAACAGACAAAAAAAAACATTGGTGGTGTGGTACATTTCAACTCATTCAAAAAATGTTTCGAACGGTGCTGGTAGTTTTGTTGGTTCTAATTTCAATTCTTGTACACACAACACTTTCCGCTAGAATACTTTATAGAAATGAACTTGTTGTAGGTACAAATTTGTTGGGTGATAATGTACCTGCTGAGAAGTCTGTGTTGAATTTCCCAACTGGATTTGCCATGTGGGACAGCGGCAAGAATAGGAAACCTTTCTTCATGGCAATAGCAGATTCTTCTAATACCAAGATTAGAATAATTGATAACGATGGTATTATTACTTCACTTGATAATCCTTCTATTGTCAATCCTACAAGAATTTTACTGGATAAGAATATGGATATTTACTTTACAGAATTGGGTACTCACACGATTAAGAAATATATATTCGAAACTAAACAAGTTATTAATATTGCAGGTAATGGACAGGTAGGAGGTTATGGAAATGGTCAAATTGCCACTAATTCCACCCTTTCTGCTCCACTAGATATTATTATGAACAAAAGAGGTGACATTTTCTTTACCGACTTTGACAGGCATGTCATCAGAGTAATTAATTCAAGCACTGGAATTATTGATAACTATGCTGGTGTAGATGGTGTGAGTGGTTTTGACAATAATCAAACAAGATTGAGTGCTCTATTCAATAGACCTTCAGGGCTTTCATTTAGTTTAGACGAAAGTGAGCTCTATGTTGCAGATAGTGGAAATAATTGTATTCGAAAGATTTTTCAAAACGGAAGTGTCGTTACTATGGCAGGAAATGGGACTTCTGGATTTATTGGTGATGGAGGTTTGGCGATTAATGCCTTACTCACTGCACCAATGTGTGTTTTCATGAATTATAAGAATGAATTAGTTATTTGTGATGCGGGGAATAATAAGATTCGTCTGATTTCGAACACTAGTATTATCACAACAATTGCAGGCAATGAAAATAGCTCTCTTTCCTTGAAAAATCCATACTATGCAACAATCAACCAAAATGATGAGCTATACATTGCAGATTCGTCCAATAATGCAATTGTAAAAGTTTCACTTTCGAAAGGTAATTATTCTAAAGTTGTTGGTGCTCCTGATGGAAGTACATCCTATTATGGAGATGGTGTGAAACCTAGCAAAGCCAATTTAGATTCACCACTCGATGTTGTGTATAATCCAAAAACAAGAGAACTTTTTTTCTCTGATTCAAAATCTATTAGAAAGATAGCAACCGATGGAAATGTTTACTTATTATCCTCTCCTTACTCAAGTAAGATTGTTTCAGAAGGATCTAAACTTTCAGATTGTAAATTCGGCACATATTCCTTCGATTATCCTAAACGAATTGCTGCTTATGGAGATCTCTTATATTTTCACTATAGTAGATACATTTACAAAGTTCACAAGAATGGAACTTTAGAAATTGTTGCTGGTGATGCCATTTATTCAACGCCTTCGTTTGCACTTTATCCTAATGGTGATTTCTTAGTTTCTGATACCATGAACCAAGTTATTCGAAAGTTTGTTTGGAGTGAACAAAGATATTACACAATTGCAGGAAACTATGTTTCAGGAAATAATGGAGATGGTATTTTGGCTACTGAGGCATCAATTTATTCGAAAGGAATTGCATTATCCTCAAATAATGAAATTTATATAGCAGACAGTATGAATTACAGAATTAGAAAAATTTTGACTAATGGCACAATAATCACAATCGCTGGTAATGGTCAAAATGAATATAGTGGTGAATTTGTCCCAGCTTTGAGTTCTATCAATGAGCCATCAGCTATTGGAGTACTTTCGAATGGAAGTATCGTGTTTATTGAAGGTGGAAGGTTAAGGCACCTAGTTTCGAACACTTTGGTAACGGTTTTGAGCGGAATTTCATCAAAAGCTGGTTTATATGTGCATGCCAATGATACCATTTATGTTGCAAATTGTCAAGCAAATTCTATTCAACAAACTGTGATTGGAGGTGCAACCACAACTTTGCCAATAAGTGGTTTATCTTGCCCTAATAAGGCAATCGTCATTAATGATGCTATTTATATAACTGAAAATAACTTTAATGGATTCGTTAAGAAATTTGAGAATAATCAGATAACCATTGTTGCTGGAAACTCTGATTTGTATGGAAAGAAGCCAATTCCTGGCTTACTCTCAACAGAAGCAAAGATGATTTATCCAATGGATCTGGCTCTATTACCAGATGGTAATTTGCTTGTTATGGAAAACGAAGGAATTTCATTTCACAATCTCACAGATGGAAGAAGAAGAACACTTATAGGATATGGTGAAGATGTACCATCTCGTCATACACATATTGATTATACCCTTGAGTATTTGAAAGTTTCATCTGATGACAGGCTTATCCATAGTTTTTGGGCCTATTCTACTGTAGAAACAATTTACAAAGGAAGAGCCAGTTCATTAATTGGTACTCAATATACTGTAAAAGGTCCAGATCTACCAATAGTACAACCGCTTAATGAAACATACATGTTTTATTGTGTTGGTGCTGCCTTTGCAAATGGGACTGATCAAATTTACTATATAGACAATGGCAACAATCTCATAAGAACTCTCAGAAGTGATAATTATGTTGAGACTGTCTATAAAACAGAGTCTTCGACAAAGGATTTAGCAATTATGCCAAACGGTGATACAATAGTTTATATATCAAGCACTGAAAATAATATTTGGAGATATCCAAAGAATGGTGAACGATATTCCATTGCTAGTACTTCAATTGTAAAATTGACAGCTGACTTTGAAACTAATAAGATTTATTATATAGTAGATAATTCAATAAGATCACTGACGCCCTATTGTGAGGATGGATATGATTTCAATCAAGAAAGAACTGAATGTATCCCAATTTGTTTTGGAGTTAAAGCAAACTCAACTGGTGTATGTGCAGGAAAAGGATATTGTGATCTTCCAAACTCTTGTGTTTGTACAGCAAATTCCTGGACTGGAAGTAATTGCAATATCACATATTGTTATGGTATAATGAGTAATAATAGAAGTGTCTGTAGTGGTAATGGAGTTTGTGGAATTCCCAATAACTGCACGTGTATTGAAGGTTACTATGGAAATCAATGTGAATTATTCGATTGTTATGGAAAAAAGGCATGTTCCAATAATGGTACTTGTAATGGTCCTGGAAATTGTATCTGTACTGATGGATACGGAGGTTTGAGATGTGATTATCCATATTGCTATGGAATAACCTCTGATAAGACTGCTGTTTGTAATGGAAAGGGAACATGTGTAGGCATTAATGATTGTAGATGTCAGTCTGGATGGTTTGGGAATAATTGTAACTTGACTTCTTGTTATGGAATCGATAGTAATAATGCAAGTGTTTGTTCAAATTTGAAAGGTCAATGTGTAGATAAGGACGTCTGCCAATGTTCAAATGGATATGCTGGTTCTAAATGCGAATATTTCAAGTGTTATCAAAAGGTTGAAATTGATCCAGGTGTTTGTTCTGGAAATGGTAATTGTTCAGGTCCACATACATGTACTTGTAAGAATGGATATATTGGAAAGGAATGTGAAAATTACGTTTTCAGTATGAATTATCAATCCATTACTCTAGCGCCACTAGTTCAAACCATTATTGCAAGGGATGAATCCTTTGAGATGTTTAATGGAAAATGTGAAAGTTTATTTGATTCTACTTCTCTATTGAAATTGGGCGAACAACCTATCTGTGTGTGGAACACTAATTTAACAATCTATTTAGGTTATAACTTTATTTTAGAAACTGGAGATATTCTCAAGTTGAAAAATTCGAATATTTCAGTTTATGTTAGTATGGAAGAAGCAAAATCCAATTCGAAAACTTACGCTTCCACAAGTATCAAGGTAACCAAACTATATTCCACTATTCCCTCTTCTTCTGATCTGATTGTTAGACCAAGTATTGATTCCAATTACAGGTTTGCCAAATCAATTGACTATAAATGGACATGTCCAACTTGTGGGTCAACTGGAGAATTTATTGGATTGAATAGAGATATTTTGATCATACCAAAAACCTATTTGTCATCGACATCATCTATTAGTTTAGTTTTAAATACCAACAACTGGATGAACAATTCAAAATCAAGTTCAAAACTAGATTTGAAAATCACCTCCACAGGTCCAAACATTGAATTTTTCAATGATATTTTGGATACTAGAATAATTTCATGTTCTGGATTTGAATGTATTCTAGAAATTGAAACTTTTGCTCCATCCCAATCTATTTCTTTATATGGAAATGTCTTTACCAATGTTCTCAAGAATAAGCATATGATAAGAGTCTTTTCAGATGCCAATTTGGAAGAGAGTGAAGCTTCTTTGTTGTGTTCTGCCAAAGACTCCACCACTTCCAGAGATATCACTGTCACTCTCCAGTACAAACCATTCACAAGCGTGGATCTTAAATTGTCATTCGTTGGGGTTGACACAAAGAATTCGCAAAATGACAGTTTCACCATTGAGGTTACAGCTGAAAACGAATCCTCCTTCAGACTTTCAAAACTTTCTTTCTATTGGAGTCTTTTCAGGGTTGAAAATGACACAAAATTAACAACAATTCCTCAATCGGTATTCAGTGTAAATTCCAATATTGCTAAATTGTCTGCAGGTTCTCTTACTCCTGGAGTTTATCAAATTCAAGCTAGTACTTCAGATGATAATTTGGGAAGTGGATCAGTTGTTGGTCGCTTCGAAATAACCAAATCAAAACCAATCACTGTGAAGATTACAAAAGCTTGGAATTCATTGAGCTATTCTGGATGTTACATAGAGGCAGAAATAACTGGAAACTTTTCAAACTATAACTGGAAGGTTAGTCAAGGAAGATTACAATCGAGTGATTCTCTTAAATCAAATATTTTAGCTCAAAGTGATAATTATTTGAGAACTTCCATCTGGATGAGTGGTGATTTGTTCTATCAAGAGGAGAATTATATTTTCGAGATTCAAGCTCTGAATGGAGTTGATGTAGTTGCTTCAAACTCTTACTCGTTTACCTCTGAACGCTCACCAAGAGTTTCTTGTGATATTAATTTACTTTCCAATAGTTATTTAACAATTTCTTGTGATCACATGATTGAGAATCGATTAATGATTCTTATGGAATTTAATATGGATTTGAAACGTAAATTCATCATTTCAAATACATTGAAAAAGAAAGTAGCCATGAAATTCTCTACCATTCTTCCAAATTCTTCCATTAAGGTGAAAGTTTTAAGCAGAAATGGAAACGTTGGAGAATTCATGAGAAATTTAACAAGTGTTTCCAATCCAACATCTGATCCGTTGAATTACTTCAAAGACGAATATTCTTATATGAAAGGAAATAGAACTTCAGGTCTTGAAATGTTACAAGAATTGAATTTCTTGTTGACCTATTTGGAATCCCAATCATCCCAACTGACATCACTTTCAAGTGTTAGAGCAACCTTGATTGATATTTTATCAGTTCTATCTGACATTAGATCTGTTGGTTACAATGTGGATGATAAACTAATTTCACTCATCATTCCTCCACTCCACAAAACTTACAAACTTTTATACCTTTCTGATAAGAAAATAGATAAATTAGATGAGTTGAAAGAATGGATCTCATGGTCAGTCAATAGTATTACAAGTAATTTACCTTATTATAGTGAGAAGACGCTTCCTTATATGATAGATTTAGTTCATTTGAGTGAGTTGAATGAATTAGTTGAAATTGGTCAATCACAGAATTTGATATTATTTGATCAATTCAAAACATCTCTTCAAATGACTGAAATTCTTTTATCAGGCCCAGGTTCAATAACTCAAAATGTTGTGGAGTCAACTGATGGAGAAACCACAGTAAGAAAACAATTCCTGTTCTCCTCTCAAGAACTTAACTCAAAACAAAATCAAATTTCAGATGTTACTGTGAAATTCCCATCAAATTTTGCTTCTCAAGTGGATTTGTCTTCCAAGAGATCATGTTTTATTTTCAAATCAACGACTAAGAAGACAGATTCGAATATTGTAAGCAAAATAATAAGTCTTTCAATCCAAAAAATAGATAACTTGGCACAAGTCTCAGTTGCAAATCTAAATCAAACAGTAGACATTGTTTTTGATAATATTGAAACAAAATCTTCTAATCTATCATGTAATTACTATGATACGAACTCCAATACTTGGTCAACCTTGGGTATTCAAACAATTATCAAGTCAAAATCAGCAAATATCTATGAAATTACTTGTGCCACCAAACATTTTACAACCTTTTCAGTTATTGATAATAACGTTGTAATAACTCCAACAATTTCCGTTACTGCATCACCAAAATCAAGTCAAGGCAATAAGAATATTCCTGTGGATGATGGAGCAACTATTGGACTAATTGTTGGCATACTAGTCGCTTTATTTATTGTGGTGGTAATTGTTATTGTGGTCATTGTAGTGGTTGCTGTTGTGGTGGTGTTACAAAAGAAGAAACAAACCCTACACCAACAAGAACAACCAGAGGAAACTGAACTAATTGAGGAAGTAACAATACCCTCTCATAGTGATTTCCCATCACAAGAAAGTGCACATTTCACACCACTCATGAGTTTTTCCTCTATCAAGAGTTCAGACTCACAAAATGCATTTAATCCACTTTCTCGTTATAAGGATTTAGTTAAAATTGGAGAAGGTGCCTTTGGGTCAGTATTTAAAGCATTTGATACCAAGCAAAACAAAACAAAAGCTCTTAAAATCATCAAATACTCTTCTGCTGAGGAATTGAATGGAATGATGAAAGAAGGTTCTCAATTGATGAACATTGATCATGAAAATATTATCAAAGTTAATGACTTTTTTGTGGATAATTCTCAATTATTGTGTATTGATATGGATTTCTATTCGAATGGTGATTTACTCAAGCTAATGAACGATACGGAATGGTGTAGTGAAAGAAAGGTAAAGCAGATTATTTATCAGATTTGTGATGCTTTGAATTTTGTTCACACAAAACTGAAAGTTATTCACAGAGATGTCAAACCATCTAATATTTTTATTAGAGACCTTGATTCCGATAATATTCATGTTGTATTAGCCGATTTTGGTCTAGCCAAAGCAAGTATGGGTTCAGTTGACAGATCTTATGCTGGCACTCCTTTATACATGTCTTTAGAACTCGCAACTGGAGGAAAGTACAGTTTCAACACCGATATCTATTCATTGGGAGTGGCTATCTATCAAATCATGACCAAAGACACAACCACAGCTGTCAGTCACATGTTTATTTCGAATAGAGAGGAAGAAGCCATTGATAAATTAACAAAGGAAATGGAAAAATCAGGAAATTATTCATCAACATTGATTAATATTTGTTTATCTTTGCTGGAGAAGGATGCCAGTAAGAGACCAAGTGCCAAGCAAATCCTTTCCAATTCTTTCTTTGAAGGTATTCTCATCAAACCAGCAGAATAAACAATTTCTTGCAAGGGGGCGGAATGTCCTGTTAACGCAAAGCGTAACTATTGTCTCAAGCTAATCTCCAAATAAATATAATATCTAGGATGAATTGTTATTTGGTTTTCATATAGATCGAGGCTGATCTACACGAATACGTTCTCAGATTTGTTTCTTCTGCTCTAGTTATTTTGAAAATCATGTATGCATGGTTGGTTTGATATAATGAAGAGGTTCTAGGATCAAGATAATAACATTTTTGTAATATAGACCCTGTTTAATGTATAAGGGCGTTGAAATCCTTTTCCTAGGTGCTATGGTTCTCTCAAGTCACTTTCAGGAAGAATACAGTGGAAAACCTTGATTTTTTGTAAAAAGTTCTTCTTATTTTTGAATGAAAGGTTCTAGGACAAAGATTTGAATATATTCTGAAAGCCAACATCAAATAACATATTCTTATGGTGAGATTTCGTTCCTAGTGATCTACCTTTTCTAATAATTAACCACAGCTCGATTTTTTGAAAATTGGTTGAAGAAGTTCGGAGCGTCCAAAAATGAAAGCAAAAAGGATCATTCTTGTGTTTTACCGCTGAAATTAACCGTTAGAATTATTATAACAATTTAATTTTCCAACAAAAAAAAACAAGCCAACAACCTACAATGTGCTACACCACAACATGATGTTAACAATACCTTCTGGAAATGATCAGAAGATTATCTTCATCCTCGCTTACACATCCAGAGATCCGATTAATGACAGTCTTGAACTTTGTGGTTTAACCAATATTTATGTCATTTTAGATGCACCATACAATCAAGGTTGGAAGAGAAATCAACAAACAGCATTGATTTCCTATTCTTCTAATAAAAAATTGTATAAATTCCTCCATCAGTGGTCCTGTGTTGCTGTGTTGGTATCGATATTATGCAGTTTGTCTTTTCACTTGTGTAGAACGATGGACTTTAAAAGCTGCTGAAAAGGGTGATACAACTGCTCAATTTAATGTTGGAGCATTTTTTGAGGAGGGGAAAGGCGTTCAACAAGACTATGTTAAAGCATTTGAATGGTATTTAAAAGCTGCTGAAAAGGGTGATACAGATGCACAGTTTGTGATTGGATGTATTTATAGAAAAGGTGCAGGAGTTGAGCAAGACGATGTTAAAGCATTTGAATGGTATTTAAGAGCTGCTGAAAAGGGTTATGCAAGAGCTCAATTAAATATTGGCGTTTGCTTTGATGATGGTATAGGAGTAGAACAAGACGATGTTAAAGCATTTGAGTGGTATTTCAAAGCTGCTGAAAAAGGGTGCAAGGATGGTCAATTTAATCTTGGTTGTTGTTACAAAAAAGGAGAGGGTGTTGAAATGGATTTGAAATTAGCACTATATTGGCTGTCAAAAGTAGTGAATGATTTTGAATTTATTGAACCATATGATGAATTTGGAATTGAACCATTCAAGACTTGCGATGTCAATAATTTGACAACAAATGAAAATGAAATACCACTAATAGAGCAAGTTATCATTCGATTTGAAGAGAAAGACTTTACCATTTCAAATAATTTTTCGAGTTCCAAATATTTATCAACAATGATGAATTCTCATTGGAGAAATTTCAATCAAAAGTATGAAAATCAAACCATTCTTGATTTGAGATCAATTGAAAACGATATATTTCAAGAAGAAACAAATCATATTCAATAATACCTCAATGGAAAAACCCGTAGTTTACTATAGAAATACCGATAGCTCTGTTTGGAAACTAGAATAACATGTTAATGGCACTCTTAAACGCGAAAGGTCATTAGGTGAAAAGATTTCAGTACGAAAAGAAGAAGAAACTCTAATCCAACCAACATGATAATCGTGAACCATTATCAAATGATTCCAAGAAAATTTACTCAAGGAATTGTGTTAATAACTAATAAATTGTATCTTTTACTAAATTTCCTTCTCTCACTTTACAAATTTCAATTAATGCTTAATTTAAAATTTCTTCAAAAATCAACATAATGGTAATATTAAAAAATTTACAGATGGTGAGTTGGTCGAGTGGTCTAAGACGACACGTTAAGGTATGATTAATACCGTGTTCCGCAAGGGCGTGGGTTCAAATCCCACACTCATCAAATTTTGTTGCTTACCTTATCATGTTAGAAGTGGTGTGGAAACAATTAATCTATTCAAGTACATGGTATGACTTAGATTTCGTATTTTCTAATTAACCTCACAAGAAAGTTGCAAAATTCTCATCAATTTAACATTTTTCATTTTTAAATTGAAATTCAAAAAAAATGAGTAACAACGAAACCGCTACCACCACTGCCACTGGCATAACAGCAACTAAATCTTCCGACATTCATTTCTATGCTTCAAAAATGTTTTGCCACGAATGTGGTACATTATTGTCTTTTCCAACAGCTCCGACAGTAACAACATGGGCTTGTTCATGTTGTGGTGCTAGATTTAATATTACTGACTATAATGATGTTCAATTTTCTTTCAAAATGTCCATCCCGAGAAAATCAAAGATTGCAGAATTAGAAGAAAGATTAAAGGAAGAAAAGTCTTCGGGTAATGAATTTTCTATCATCAACGAACCATGTCCAAAATGTCATCATCCTCAAAGAAAATTCTTTACAATGCAGTTACGTTCGGCTGACGAAGGTCAAACTGTATTTTATGAATGTCTAAAGTGTGGATTTAAGGAAAGAGTGAACAATTAATTTGTAAATATTTCAGTACTACTACTTACGTAAATAATATTTAATATACAGAGTTTCTTGGAAGTTAGTAACATTAAAACTCAATAAAGCAATGTTGAATCAGAACTGATTTTCAGGAATGCGAAATTACATAAAACAATATATTAAACTTACAGACTTCCCTTTTATCGAGTGTCAGTAATTTGTTAAATTTACCTTTCTCATTTCCAAACTAATCTAAATTATTAAACCATCTTCATAGAAACACTACTTTTCAAATCTCCGTTTTAATATTCAAGATTTTCACGAAGTTCGAATTTTCAAGAATAATTCAACAAAAGAAGTTTCAATTTTGAAAATGTGTCTTGAATCAGCAGATGAGAAAGTGTCCTCTGAGGACATTTTTGAAAATCTATTTCTATTGCCCGCTTGAACTGTTATCCACTCAAATTCAAAACATTAAAAAAATATGAAAACAACAACTCGTGCCATCAAGTATTTTCTCATCGTTGCTAGTAAAGATCATGTTCGGAAAGGGATTGAGCTCTCTATTGCTCAAGCTTGTCACGGAAAGGTTGCTCCCTTGAAGAGGATGAAGGCAGGCGACCGTGTTGTTTACTATTCATCAAAAATTAAAATGGAAGAAAGTGGAAAGGCAAATTCATGCCAAATGTTTACAGCAATTGGAACTGTAAAGAGTGATGATAAACCCTATCAGGTGGTGATGAGTGAAGATTTTAAACCGTGGAGAGTGAACGTAGAATTTGAAAAGAATGTGAAGGAACTTTCTGTTCATTCAGTATTGGATCAATTGGAATTTATTACAAATAAGAAGAATTGGGGCATGGCTTTTAGATTTGGATTTAAGGAAATATCAGAATCTGATTTTCTAGTTATTGAAAATGGAATGTTGAATTAATTGTTTAAGATGATTATGTAAATAGCACAATATTGAAAATCCATAGTTTAGAATCCAACCTTTCTTTATAGAGGAGGATAAATGAAAGAAAATAATTTATGCGGTAAATTTAAGGTTATTCTCTCAGCCTAAAAGCAATATAACCTTCATCCTAATTGCCAACAAATTGGAAAATTAAATCTCAATTGAATCAAGTAAACTCAATCCTATTGATACTAATTCGTGTTGTTATTTCTCCTCTTCTTTTTTCTAATTTTTGGAATTCTAACGAACCAAACAATTACTGAAGAGAATAAACTTGCTATAGATCCACCTACTAGTGTAGCTACAGTATTACCATCAAATACATAGACTATCACTGGATTAAATACTGACATGATTAACTGAGGAACAACTATAAAAACATTGAGAATACCCATATAGGTACCCTTATTAAAGTCATCAGCCGAAGTGGAGCAAAGAGTGAAAGGAAGAGTATTGGAAATAGAGTACGGAACACCAAAACAACTAATCAATACAATTGCCCAGTATTTGTTCTTGACGAAAAAGGTCATTAATAATAACAAGCTCAGTATCACTTGAGCAATAAATAAAAGTACCTTGCTGCCATATCGTTTGGAAATTCTTGGAATGAAAGGAGAGAAAATCATTGATACAATACTGAACCCAGCCAATCCAAAAGAGCCAAATCTGACTCCAGTCTCGTAGAGTTGGTAAGCAGGATGTTGCGGATCAGGATTTCCTCTAAAAACTGATTCTCCCACCCAATCTGTAATATACACCAAGAAGGAGAACCAACCAATCCAAGAGAAAAACTGATAAATACACAAAACTTTCATAGTTCTTGGAAGTTTGTAAATGTACTTTGCAAGTCTCACAATTGGATTTGGATTGCAGAACCACTTCTTCAATCTATTCCTCAAATTCATGTCATCCTCTTGTAATCGGTCTGGTTTCTTTCCTTGGTCGAAGAGAGTATTTTTCAAAACATCCAAACTCTGCTCCTTTGCAAATATCAAAGTACCAATACATGAAATAATAATTACAATGGAGGAAAAGTAGAAGGAGACTTTCATATTGACACATGTCTTGTTACACAGTGGAGTGGCATACATTGGAATGTATTCTGAAAAATCTATAAAGCTACTACCATACCCAATTACATTACCAAGTCCAACCCAGAATGTGAAAAAGGCATTGGCACTATCCTGCTTTCTCTGCACAGCAATATCAGCTACAAGAGCTCTGGCTGGTCCTTGTAGTGTGTTGAGAGAAATGTCAAGAATCCAAAATCCAATAATTGTAAATGTGAGAGACCAGGTTGTGTTATCTATAGTGTCTCCTAATAAATACCCCAAATCCAAACAGTTGACAATGAAACAAAGAGATAGCACCATAAATATTGACCCAACAAGAATGAATGGTCTTCTTCTACCTAGTGAACTCTTACACCTATCTGACCAAACTCCAACAATTGGCTGGACAATAATTCCAGACAATGGTCCACACAACCAAACTAGGGTGATCCAAATTTTTGGAAAATTCATTTCCAAAATGTGAGGTGTAAGCTGAGAAATTTGCAAACTCCAACACAATTGCATGGCACAAAAACACATGGTAGCAAAGAATAATCTCCATGTTGGTGTATCCTTTCTATAGGTTTCATTTTCGTGGTGACGAGATGTTGATGATGAACAACAACAAGAACATAATCTACTGATCCAATTTTTCATCGTCGAAGATTCATATTGTGTTTCTTTAGATTCTCTTTCATTCAATAATGTTTGTTCTGGGTTTTCCTCTCTTTCATTGTCAGTATAATAAACATCATTATTTTGATTATTGACATCAGCATAAAAATCCCCTCCATCTCCTGTAACAATGTGATAATTATCTTCTCCATTTGTGAAATCAGAATCTTCCTCTTCCACATCCTCATAATAATCCTCTCCTACACTAGTTCTACCATAATTATCCTCAAAAGAGCTGGTATACAATGATCCCATTGGCATATCCTGTATTCTACTGCTTTTAGGAACGCCATAAACTTGTAAATAATTAGAATTAAAACTATTTGGTACATTTGAAGTAGCTCTCGGTGAAAATGCTGAAGGTTGTTGAAACGATGATGTACCTCCTCTTACGTAATAATCATTATTTGATGGTATTGAAATTCTAGGGGATGAAACCGATCGGGATGTGTAGGCTAATGATGGTGGAGTGAATGGATAGTTGGTACTTCCTCTCTGATAATTTTGTCTACGAGGATCAAAACTCATATAATCTTCTGTATTATTAATACTATAATAACCTTCTTGTTGTTGTTGTTGTTGTTGATTTTGTAGAATGGGTGTATAGGAAGTCGATGATGATGATCGTGTCTTTTCTCCTGTTGAATTATTCATATGAAAATTAGAGTTTCTAGAATTTGATGTTTTCTTTCATCCAAAAATCACTAAATTATTAATCTATCTAATTAAATAATATCCTGATGATGAAGATGATCAATTAGAAGGAAGGCAAGCTATTCGGAAGTGTAATATTGTTGCAATTTTTTTAATCACTAAACTTTTTTGATTTTTTGTAAATACCAAATTAAACTCCATTGATTGCTTTTGGTATTTCAATCTAAAATTCCAATAGTGTTGTAATGACTGATTCAGTCAACCAATATCAGGATTTTCATATACTCAAAATATTATTGATTCATTTGGAAATTGTTTCAAGTAATTTTCATTATCCACTTGTAGTCGGTCTTTGTTGACAATGTCTCATACAAGTTGTTATCCAAAAGTTCTCTCTTCTCTTTGCCGCGTAATCATGTGTCGTCATCGTTTTTGCCATGATGAGAATCGATAAACGTTGACCGTTGTGACCAATCCTCCTCTATGAAATTTGATAATTAAAATTCAAATTAATTTTATTTTTTAAAAAAAAAGTACCGTTTGTTGTTCATCATCACTCATCAAACTCTAGTCATTTTATCATCTTCAGTTTATATAAAGAGAGGAAAATGTCCAGCAAACAAGAACAAAATTCAAGGAATAAGAAACTTGTCAATGATCTTTTAAAGATACCATCAAACAAGGTTTGTGCTGATTGTAACGCAAGAGGACCACAATGGGCAAGTACTACTCAAGGTGTATTCTTTTGTATAAGATGTGCTGGTTTGCATAGAAAATTAGGTACACATATTTCCAAGGTGAGAAGTGTTGGTCTTGATTCATGGAATGACGAACAAAGAAGAATGGTTGAATTATTTGGTAATGAGAAGGCTAATACCATTTTCGAAGCCAAATTGGACAGAGAAAAACCAACAGCAGATACCGATACTGCAACAGTGGAAAAGTTTATCAGAGCAAAATATGAGAGAAAACTTTGGATTGATAATGATGCATATGCTAGAGAATACGGAAATTTGGATTTGAATAGTGAGGATTCATCACCTGCCACTACACCAACCACTCCACTCAAACAATCAATCTCTACACAAAATTTCCAACAAAACAGACAACAAAATTTACGTTCAGTATCATCTCAAGATGACATTGCTAATCCTCCTCCACAAAAGCAAACAAGACCAGTTCAACAAGTCAAGCAACCACCAGTTCAACAATCTAATACTCCATCATTGATTACTTTTGAAGATACTCCAAAACAAAATGATTTATCCGAATTCATTATTATGGATAACACTCAAACAGGACAAAGAACACAAGTATCTAGCAAGGATAGCGTTTTGAATTTATTTGATTCTCCTCTCCAACCTACTGCCAGAAGTAATCAACCTCCACAACAACAACAACAACAACAACCATTCACAATTCCAGGTGGTCCTCCTCCACTCAACAACAACGGAATGGGAAGAGGAATGAATTATCCTCCACCACTTAATAATGGAATGGGAATGAATGGTCCACCACCACTTAACAATGGAATGGGAAGAGGTATGGGATATCCTCCACCACTCAACAATGGAATGGGAATGGGTATGAACGGACCTCCACCACTTAATAATGGAATGGGAATGAATGGGCCTCCACCAATGATGGGTAGAGGATATCCACCACAAGGATTTAATAATGGAATGGGAATGATGAATGGTCCACCACCACTTAATAATGGAATGGGAATGGGTATGAATGGACCTCCACCACTCAACAATGGTATGGGAATGAATGGACCACCAATGATGGGTAGAGGATATCCACAACCAGGATACAACCCTGCAATGAGATTCTAATTTTTTGTGTAAAGTTGAGTGATAATATAGTATATTTGCGGATTTGCTATCGAAATATCAATTATTGTAGCATAATAATGACCTTGGTCAAAAAAGAATAAATTTTGTAAACTAAAAGTGTCATGCTCCAATTTGTTCTTTTTCATTAATTGAAGTAATGTTTTGGTACAAAAGTTAACTTAGTAATTGACACCTAGTGGGATAGCAAATTTATTCATCTGCATCTCTCGTACTTTGATTGTCTGTACTTGCATCTTGAGTTTGCTGAGTGCTTTCGAGTTGAGGTTTTTTTGGTTTAGGAGAGGCAAAGAACGCGAAAGAGTTCGCACTTGATGGTTTTAAAATATCCACTTTCTTCTCACAATAAAGTAGGAACACTCTGTCTTCAGAATCTGGCAGCAATCCAATCCCTTGTTTGATGAGCTGTGCGTCTGCACTTTTAGGCAACTTTTGTTTCAAAGTGTAAACTGAAGTAGATATGTCAGTCTTTTCTTCTAACTTTTCAATATTAACGTTGTTTGAATCAAAAATTGATTGAATATCACTTGCTTTTAAAGAAGTAGAAACACTCACATCAATCAAAATTTCCTTTTCTTTACGACTTACACCTTTAAATTCGAACAGAAAATGATTTGGATATCTTACAGCAAAAACATGATGTGTTCTACTCTCAAAATGATGAAAAGTAAACATCTGATTCATTCTTGTGATTCAACGCTTTTGTAATATGTGTTTTTGAAGGAGTGCAAAATAAAGAATCTTCAGATGAATCGGATTGATACTCAATTTCAGCATCAATTTCTTTAGCACGTTCAACTTGTTGTTCAATTTTTTGTTTCTTCTTTTCTTTCTCATCAAAAATCCGTTCCATTTCAACGTCGTCATCATTGGCTGCTCGTTTTTTAAATTTTTCTTTCAAATCATCTTTATCAGTAAGTAAGTAATGGCCGAATTTTTTCAGTGTAGTTACGTTTAACTTGACTTTCGGAATAGCCGTACTTTTTCCCAAATGCTTTGTAACATTCTCTTTCTGTCTTGTAGATTTTCAACGCAGATTCCATGAAGGTCTTAAGTATTGGTAAATCCTCCTTGCTGAAACGTGCAACAGGCTTGTTCCTCTGTTCTTCTCCATCAGATGATGATGTGGTCTTATTTGTGGACATGGTTATTTTTTTAAAAATGAATTCGAAAGTGCGAAGCACGAATAATTAAAATGAGTGTGGTCTGTTTCAAGTATGTTTGGCTTTAAACTAGAAGAGCTTCAACACGTTTAAATACGACAGATATTTTAAAGGTATTTCTGATAGCAATGGAATGGATTAAATGTTAATCAAAAACGTCATGACACAAGGGATTAAATAATTTGGAAGTATTTCCTCAAAAATCAACATAATAGTAATATTAAAAAATTTAAGAGATGGTGAGTTGGTCGAGTGGTCTAAGACGACACGTTAAGGTATGATTAATACCGTGTTCCGCAAGGGCGTGGGTTCAAATCCCACACTCATCAAATTTTATTCGTGGTTTCAAATCATATGGCTGCAATAAGGAAGATTGAGTTTTTAATTTTGAGAGTGGTGTGTTGGAGTTTTCTTAGTATAATATTGTATTAAAGTACTTCGGTTTCATTAAATGTGTTGTTATGGTTGGATCAGTGGTTCTTGTTAGTGTGTTTTGATTTATAAAATACTGGTTGATTTTTTTGGGTTTCTGTGATCGTTAATCTTTATTATTTGAATTTTTGGAAGAAAAAGTCTAAAACATTTCATGATGTTTTTACAGAAAATTTTATAATGTTCTTCGAAGAAATTGGAGAAATTGTATTTGGAGAATTCTAAAAAACACAAAAGATTAATTGATTACAAAAATAAGAAGTTTATTATGTTAAACAAAACATTAGAGTTGAATGAAGTATACAAAGGAAAATACATTCACGGCTATGATGAATTATATATCAATTCAACAGAAGTTTGAGACAATTTTACCAGCCCTTAGAGGTTATTATTATGCATTGAGAGTTGGAAATTGGAATGAATTTTCGTTATCTAGAGAACACACCTATTTATTTGGGAAAACATAACTTGTATAGGAATGCAGAAATATTCTAATCTTTGTTATTTGAATTTTGGAAGAAGAAGTCCAAAACATTTCATGACTTTTTTACAAGGATAAGATTTTAGATTACAAAAATAAGAAATTTGTAATGCTAAACAAGACGTTAGAATTGAATGAAGTTTACAAGGGCAAATGCATTCATGGTTATGATGGATTATCTGTCAATTCATCAGAAGTTGTTGTTTGTAGAAATGAATTGAAATTGATTATCGATGAATTGAACAACGATATTCAAAGTACAATATATAACAATTACTAGAAAACAATACAACTTAGAATCTTCAATTAGGTTCCGAATAAAGTATTGATGAATTAATTTAACAAAGGAGTTAACTATATTTCCTTTTTTTCCTAATAATGTTGTTTTGTTTAGTGGTAAATTAATATTTGTATTGTTATAAAATAATTTAGTAAAATAATGGACTTGTATTTCTGTGCCATCTATTAAATTATTTCTTTCATTATTATTATAAATCCTATTGAATATTTTGTGTGGTTGTGAGGGTAGTTTCATTTTTTTTACTTTATGGTGCCAGATAATTTATTTGATCTTAGTAACTTTCAAACCTTAATAAAAAGCACTTTATTAAATTCAATGCGGACCATTTATACCATTAAGATGTTTCAATGATAGCTACAACTTATCAGATTGTTTTGAATATTCCAACCATTAATGATGGATTGGATTTTTCTTTCTTAAATCATTTTTTCAAGATGTTTTCTTGATGAAAAATAATGTAAAATTTGAAGGTGTTTATTAGGTCTGTCATTATTGAAAAATTTACTTATCACCTTAACACAAAATAACAATACAAAACAAGACTTCTATAGAAATTTCAGATCTAGTAAAATGTTATTTTTATTTGGATATCCAATTATCTAAAGAAATTGTTGGGTGGTGGATATCAAGAACAAGACGAAAACTCTATAATTTATTCTCTGCATTAAATTTAAAAATTAACTAAACACACAAATCATATAATAAATTGTTAGAATAGATATTTCAGATTTGGTTTTATGGTTTATTGAATTGATCAGATGGTTTTTTAAGCTAATAGCAATTAATGTACACGCGTATAGTAGAATAAACTTAGTATTTCAGAATTTTTTTGGAAGAATATTGATTTTTAATTGATCATAATGACATTACATTCAATATCAAGGAGATATTATAAACTCCAAAATACATCAAGTGTTCAAATTATGTACCAATAATCCAAACAAAAACCTAAAATGAAAGTCCTGTAGGATACAATAAATTTCCTTTTTTTGCTAATAAAATTATGAATATTGTAATTAATGTTTTTTTGTGTTCTGTTTGACTTTTTTTAACAATTTGGTGAGTTTGTTTTTCCCAATACAACAAACTTCAACAAAAAAGGTTTCAAAAGTCTCCCAAAATAGCTTGGTGTATATAATAATATTATAAGGGATTCACTTTCCATTTACAAAAAATGAATATTTCATATCAATCTCGATATGAATTATGAATCTCTAAGGTAGACCTAATTGATATTAAAAAAGAATGGTGGAATAGTATGACCCAATAACAATGTTTTTGTTATATTTTTACAAAGTTTGTTCTTTCTTTAAATTCATTTTCTTTAGATTCTTAAAAATGATAAACCAACTTAAGAAGATTTTTAAAAATTAATGGTCTTTGTATTTTATATTACTTTGTTAAGCTTTTCTAAATTTCAAATATATAACCTTTTGAAAATTTATTTAGCTTCTTAATTTTCAATTAATTTCATTATCGACTAAGGTATTGATAAAACTTGGTTTTAAGTTGGTTCTTTAATTAATCTACTGAGATCTAGTTTTAGCAAAATCTCTATCAAAAATCTTCACTATATTTATAATCTTTTTTTCTCTGTAGTTGCAATATACTTTTAATTCTTTTAAATTTTTAAACTTCCATCCTATAATATGTTATAGTAAAACAGTTATCATTAAAAGAATAGGCATTCGAAGGAATCATTTTCAACTTTTCAATAACACTGCTTGTGTATTTCCTATCCAAATACTTAATAAGTTTCTCCCTATCAATTGAGGTATTTTGAAAATCTTTTTAAGGATTGATAAAACATCTGTATCACATAGCTGTATTTCGTTAAATATAATGTAGTGCATGGTTGAAGGGTTTTTGTTTAAAAATTCAACTATTGGCTTAGTATTACCATTGTAAATCCAATTAATTATCGTTAATTTATATATATTTTATAGGAGGTATATTTAGTTTCTCTAGTGTAGAAAAAAGGAAATATTTCTCTGGCTATTGTGGTTTTTCCACTTCTTACCATGCCTGTGATGGAAATATGGGCCTGACAATTGGACATGAGTTGTGTTCTGATTCTAGAGTATGTTCGTTTGCAAAATTGTTCGAACTTTGGAAGATCATTTAATTGATAGAGATTTGTCTCATCATTACTAATTCTAGAATAAAGTGCAGACTCTGTTCCTTTAAATTGGAATTGAATTTCACCACCTTCGAATCTAGTAGGTGACCATGGTTCGAAATGATTATTAAAATCTTCCTCCCAAGTAGGTTTATCATTCTCAGGTGTTAATTGATTGGTATTAGGATTGTTTAAAGGGAGCCCGGATGCGTTTTGACAACGACATAAATTGTCGTTTCTGAAATACTGAGTTTATTCTACTACATGCGTAGATTAATTAGCAAGAATAATAATAATAAATAATGATTGAGGATATCATTAATCAACCTTTGTATAATATATAAACTCTATACTAAGTCAGAGAACTTTAATGATTTTAAGATTAATACTAAATTTTCTGAATTGAGAGGACTAGTAGAAGATGTCAAAATTAGTATCAGGAATATACTTGTTGAATTGTAGTGTCGATGCCTTGTAATAACTTTTGAAACATCATATTTACAAGTCAGAGTAAATAGAGGTTTTCATGTCATATTCAACAAGAATTATATTCTTTTATTCTTTAGAAAAAAAATGAAAAGAGCAAAACAAATCAACGAGTTGAATCAGAAGGAACTTTCTCTGGGCTATACAAACACTCCATCTTCATGGCATCATCAGGAAAAAAATCGAACAGCCTACATCTACATTGGAGGCTTGGATTTCCGATTGACGGAAGGTGATTTACTCTCAGTTTTCTCTCAATATGGAGAAATTGTTGATATTGATTTGGTTCGTGAGGAACAGGAATTGACCAGTAAGGGATTTTGTTTTATTGCCTATGAAGATGTTCGCTCGACAATATTGGCCATTGATAATTTGAATGGCATTGAATTGGGTGGAAGAATAATATGTGTCGATCATGCTCCTAATTATTATAAGAAGATTGTCGAAGATCCGGAAGAACAACAAAATTCTGGCAGGAATGGAGGAAGAAATTCATCATCTACTACTGGTCGGTTCAATAACAGATATCAACAAGATAAGAAGGAAAATGTTCCGAAATATGAAACTATGGAAAAGGATGGAATGATTTATAAGAAAGTAAAGAAGGCTAATGATGATTTTGAGTGGACTTTGTATCATGATGCCATGAAAAAGAGAGATCCTAATTGGCTTCACAAGTATCTAATGATGACCATGTTTGAGGGATCACCATCAAATGGAAGACACGATTCTAGTGATGAAGAAGAGGATGGAGAGGATGAAGGCTCAGCTGTTGTGAAATCACCAACTCAACTTGAAAAGAAGGAAAATGAAGAACCAAAGAAGAAACTTTCAAAAGAGGAAAAGAAAAGAAAGAAGGAAGAAAAGAAGGAAAGAAAGGAATTGAAAAAGTTGAAAAAGATGGAAGAGAAAATGTTTGGAGGACTCAATGCTGATATTTAATTGGGAAACTCGGCCATATTTGTCAAATTAACAAATTAGTATTGATAAATTTGTTAACTGTACAGAAGTAGATTCTATTGGTTTCAAGCTAAACTAAAAAGGATAAGTGATTAATAGAAAGAAACCAAATTAGATTTAAAAAGATAATCATGATTTGAATATATTTATTATACAGTCAGAAAGAAAATGAAAAGAATAGTTTTACAAAACACCAAGTATTTGGCTCGTTACAATAGATGCTCCTTTTCCACATGTCTCATCAATAAGAACACCAACATTGATTCAACATTGGAGAAGAATGAATCTAAATTGAATACCTCCAAGAAACCTCAGGTAACTATCAAGCCAGTTTCCATCGATGAAGAGGAAATGTCCAGAGAATCCTATTTTAACAAACCAAACTCTGGCTTGAACACTAGTGAAAAAGTTGGATCTGCAAACCCTGGAATTTATGATGCAGGTGGGATTTTAAAGGACAAGTCGGAAAATGTTACTCCTAGAAGTCCAGGAGCCAACATGTTCAATGCCTCTCAAGAAACTGGTGATGCAATGAGAAAGGCACAAGAAGGAGTTGCTGATTTGAAAAAGACGGGTAGAAATGTCAAGGAGAATATCAAGGAAAATGTTAAAGAAAAGGCATCTGACATGAATAAGAATGTCAAACAAACCATGAATAAGGCCAAGGAAATGAAAGATGAGGCAATGGACAAGACACAAGATATGACCACTAAAGTCAGAGACAAGACTATTCAATATAAGGAAGAAGCCAAAGACAAGATGGAAGATGTAAAAGATACCATGTCAGATGCCATGGAAAGAGGCAAAGAGAAGGCAACAACTATGGGTGAGGCTGTTACAGAGACAGTTAAGGAAGCTGCAAGTATTGCTGGACAAAAAGCAAAAGAAATGAAAGATAAGGTTGTGGAAAAGGTTAATGAATGGACATCTGACACTCCAAATCGTACAGGTACTTCAGCAAGACCTTAAGAAAACATCAGCTGTGTTCTTTTCTTGTGATTTATTGGTTGATTGAAAATAAATATGAAGTTTAGTAAAAGTTGGGCAAATAAGCAATTCTTGGAAAACAACAAAACCCATAAGCAACTAATTCCCAATAGTGTACAATAGCACCATAATCTGAAGTTCCAAGCAATTGGTGCCACCCGTTAAATAAAAGTTGGCAAGAGTGAAATTAGGTTTGAAAAATGCAAAGCACAAACGAAATTAAATTAAGCACATGATCACTAGCTCTGAACTGTAATGCGCTCGTAATTCAAGTGTAGTTGAGTGAAAAACTTGAACAATTTATGATCACAACAAATTGTTTATTTACCAGTTTCAATATCCAAGAATTTAATAAGGTTTTTTCTCAGTGTTTCTTTGAATCCAGTCCATATCCAAATCAAATATATTGAGACGTATTTCTGCTAAAGAGAGGACAAGAAGGCATATTTATATTTATGGCCATGTTGATCGACTTGAAATTCTCCATGAACTGAATCATCATTTGGAAACAATTTCAGAATATATTTCTCTAATTTTTGAAGATCCCAATCCTCATAAATTCTCGATGGAATGCCCTCGCTGATTATGCGTAAAAGCGTTTCTTTGCTTAATAAATGAAAATTGTTCGGTACGTAATTTGCCAAACATTGTTATTATTAATATAGTCAATATATTTAAACCCTTACCACCTTCGGTAAAAATTGCACTGAAAACAATATCATCACATTCATCAGCCCCAGTCGGAACATAATCACTACTATATAATGTCATCATCTGATTCAAATATTGTGCTTGCAAAACAACAACCATCATCTGCAAGCCCACAACCCTCAATCCATCATTCCTCAATATCACACCTTTTGGAAGATGAGCAAACATACAAGGAACAATTCATTTCAATTATAAAGCAGGGCTCTCCAGCTCTTTTGGAGAGTGAGAAGGAATGTTTGGCAATTCTCGGAACCTGCCCAAAATCAAACACCAAAGTTGCCTTTTGGTATGGAAAATATGGTGGTCCTTTTACTTGGAAATTTAATGGAGTACCTGTTGATGATTTGGATCTGGTGTGCAGGATGCATGATCAGAGACTTCATTTGAAGTATGTTAAAAAGTTGGTAAATCTTATTAGACAACATTATGGTGATGATAAATTAAGTAAGGATGCCCTGAGTTATATTAAAAAGATGGATGGTCGAGGATTTGAAATAATTGAACCTATTTACATGACATTTTTTGGTAGTTTTTAATAAATACCATGTTCCACTTTTCCAAAACTTTCAACTTTAATGAAATTAAGGTTTGACAAAATAGCCCTCGTCAACATTATTTTCAAGTTACATTAAGCACTGTTAGTGGATTCAGTTGAGTTGCTGTTTTCAATTTTGAAAAATACTTTCAATTTTTCGTAGAGTGTGAAAGTGAGAGCAGATGCAGGCATAATGTAGATTAATCTTGGACCCAAACCTTTAGAAAATGCCTTCAGACCCTCTTGTTTGTAAATCTTTCGGAATGCGTCAACTACTCCATCATATTCCCTAAGGCCAGTCTTGCTTTGAGTTTGTAATCTGGTCTTGACAACATCAACTGGAATTGTACATGTTGTGCCAATAGCTCCTGCCAATGCTCCAGCAAACAAGTGATGAATGGATTTTCCTGGTCTCTTCTTGGCCAATTCATCTGTTGAAATTTCATGCTTTTGTTGCTTAATACTAAGCATTCTCTTAATAGTTTCATAAGATGTAAAATAGATGGCGGCAAACGGAGCATCTCTCAATAAAGTTACATAATATCCAGAGAAGAATCCAGAAAAACCATCTTGTTTTACAATATTCTTTGCTGTTCCAATAATTCCATTTCTTAAATTTCTTTCAGTCTTATTCAATTTCAATTGTCCCTCAACTTGTAATTGTTGTTTCACAATATCGAAAGGTGTTCTGCAGGCAGTACCAAAAATTCTGGCCAAAAGACCAGCAGAGAGTGTTAAAAGAGGAGTAGTCCATGAAAATTGGCTTGACTTTTCCTCGGAGGAATTATCTTTTGATGAAATAGTGGAGAGTCTGCCTTGGATAGATTGCATAAATTGTTCATATACTGTGAAACTAACAGCTGCGGCTGGTGTAATGTAAATAAGACGAACTGAAAGACCCTTGTACAGACCTCTGAAACCTTCTTCTTTTAAAATTGTAGTAAAGGCATCAATTCCGTGCTTGTAGTGATGACGTAATTTTCCTTGCATGAAGGCATCTTCTCTTTGAAATTGTAACCTTGTTTTCACAACATCAATAGGAAACATAATCATAGCTGCACCACATCTTGCCAAGCCTCCAGCAAGTAAATTCTTTGAAAGTTTCATGTAGAGAAGTTGAGAACTCGTTGGTTTATCTGATTGTGGATCAGATTGTAAAATTGCTTGTTGTTGACTCTCCGAAATATTAGAATTTTCAATATTATTAGTAGAATTAATTTGTGGTTGTTGAATATTCTTTGGAGGAAGAGGAGAACAAACTAGCACTCCCTCATCATGTCGATGCTGAATATCAGATGAACAAGTATTATTATTATCATTATTACTGAGCAAGGCTCCTCCACCAATATTCCGAAGAAACATTTTAGTATGTGTCTTGTTATTCATTCCCAAAATTGTCGTCGAATTTTCTCCTTGATAATAACACGAAGATGATTGATTCGATCCATTGTCATCCATCTCTCTCCTATTATTATTATTATTATTAATATTATTACAGATGGTATTCATCATGGAAGGTGCCATAGAGGAAAAGGTCACCGAGGATTGAAATGGATTCCATGAATTATTTGTCGTCATTTTTTTGCGTTTTTAAAAGTTTTGAAGCTGTATTGCAAGATTTTGAATTATTTTCTCCAATGTAGAGCGAAATTAGGATTCTCAAAAACAAGTCAATTGGTTCAGTCAAAATCCAGTGCTATTGTTGCACTATGTTCAACATAGTGTACGTAAAGAATCAAATACTGTATAAATAGAAATAATCAATATTGATTTGAAATAAGAAATGGTTGAAGGAGGATGTATCCTTACACATTCGATTGAAGGATTGAAATATTTGGTCCTGTTCTGCTTGACATTTAGCACGCTGAACATCCCTGATCTGATTGATATTGATTTTAGAAGCTTAACACCTCAATGACACAGTGAGCACATTAGAACAACATCGTGTAAAGAGACTTGCCCGAAGATTAAATAAACTGTCTCATTGCACCTGTGCGATAATTATCAAATCTAAAACCAAACACAAAAATAGACCTGACTATAAACAAAAGCGAAAAAAAATATCTCTCTGATCACAACACTTCTCTTGTATTTCGTTGTCTGCATAATCGCTGCCAAGAGTATTGTTATTAATAACCAAAAAGAATGACAGAAGAAGTGACATCATCATCTGCTCAAGGAAGTAAAATTCCGAAGAGAAAACCAATGAAAATGATTGTAGTTAAATACTTTGAAGATACTGATAAATATGCCAAGATTATTCCAAGGCCAGCATTTCATATTTTAAGAAGAAGATTGGAAAATGAATCCGCTCAAACAGGAAAGGCATTCAAAGCACCATCAAAAGAGGATGCTGAAAATATGACTAAAGTTTATGGACACGATTTAATGGGATCAATATCAAGAGATCAATCCGATTGGTTTGCTACCTACGATCCAATCACTTCTATCATGAGTTATAATGATAAACTGAACAAGTATGTATTATTATTATTATTAGAAGAAGAATATACAATTATAACTTTTGTTGATGAATGTAGATTTGAAATTGTTACGGAGAATGCAGAACTTGATTGTAATGAACAAGAGAATGTCTATACATTCCACGTAAAGAGAAAAGTTCAACAATGTTTAGCTCAGAGGTTTGTGTTTTCTCTCATCTTCAACCCTAATTCTATTTTCATCAAATCATTATCAAACTTTAACTCATCATCAAATATAATAACAACAATTCCTCATCAAATGTACAACAATAACAACAACATGAACGAACATACAGTACAATGACATTCTCGTCTATTGGTGGTGCTGAGACTTGGTTAGAAACAGCCTTTTTAAGACTGAATAGAAATGTAACCATTAGATACTATGATGTTTTCCATAACGGATATACAAGATTATACAAGGGTGAGAAAATTCCACCTGGAAGAACAGGTAAATCTATGGTTAAACTTTTAATTGAAAACATTTTACCAAGTGCCATTGAAAAACAAGACTCAATTTTAAATTCTGTGGAAAGTAAAAAGGAGACTGGTGGATTTATTGATGATGATGACTCTGCTGTTGGAAGTGGGTTTAATTGGGATGAAGTGGATGAAAAAGGACCATACATTGATCTTGATGATGAAAGAAAGGACAATTCTGATGATTTTGTTTTTATTGAAAAAACTGATGGATTGGAGGATTTACATCTTTCACGTTATGTAGATATTCAAAAGATACCAATTGATTCATTACTCACTGACGATAAAAGACAAAGGGAAGGTGCTTGGAAGGATGTTCAAAAATTCCCTCTCAGCCACTCTGAAGTTTCCAAATCCACAAAAGGGTTGATAAGATCTGGAATTCCTCAGTCAAAGAGATGTTTATTATGGACTGGAATTTCTGGCTCAAAATCTCTTTTGAAACAGAGTCCATATTTCTATGAAAATCACTTCGAAAAGACATACGGTCACTATACCACTAACGAGGTTCACAAGAACAAGAAGGAATTTATTGAATCTGTAGATCCAAGAATTGTTGCTGAATTTGGTTCAAAGTTACCAGGTTATAATGTAGATAATCCAACTGGAGCTGTTAAAGAAGAACCAAAGAAGGAAGAGGAAGAATTTGATGAAGAGACTGGTGAGCCAAAGGTTGTAACTAAGAAGAAGGAAGTTGATAGAGATTTTTGTTTACTCAATGTTGATGGTATCAAATCAGCAAAGAGAATTCTGTGTGTTCTTGCTGATCATCACTTGGACATTGATTATTGCCCACCATTACCAGATCTTGTTCAATTATTATTGATCATTATGAATGAAAAACAAGCTTATGCAACTGCCCACTGTATGCTTGAAAAGTCCAGAGAATCCAAATGGTACTTTAGAACTAACAAGATGCAACATGCTTTATTTATTGAATCATTTAGTGATATCATTAAGAAGAATATTCCAAACTTGGGAAGTCATTTTGAAAAGATTGGTTTTGATATCAGTACTGTTACCTATAAGTGGTTCTCTAGACTCTTTGTTCCATATTTACCATTCAACTTTGTTTTGAGAACTATGGATTCATTCATTAATGAAGGTGCCAAGATTTTATACAGAGTAGCATTTGCAGTATTGAAAACTATGGAACCAAAATTATTGAAGATTCTCTCACCAAACTTTATGGAAGAAATTCTCACAACAAATACCTCTCTGAGTATTGATGAAGATGAATTTTTCAAGACAGCCTTCAAATTTGGTATTTCAAGAAAATATCTTACACAGCTGGATGAAAAGAATAGAGCAGAAATTAATCCTGCCAAATTAACTGGTAAAATGTCCACCTTTGTCAAGCCAAAGATTTCCTCACAATCAGAAATCATTAAGGATATCTCTCAATGGGAGTTACTCTTTTCTTGGCTTTCATATAAGCAAAAGTTGAGAACTCTTGCACTGAGATTCACCACCTCTAGAGATGGTTATAGTTTGTCACAATTGTATAGTATTTGTAATGATATTGGCCCTAATATCCTTCTGATATCAGCCGTTCCTATCTCATTAGATGGTGACATTGACGATATCAAGAAGCAACAAAAGGAAGAAAAAAATCAACCTCACACACAAGAATTACAAATTTCTGAAAATGAAGAAGATGCCATGAAAGTCATTGAAATGATTAGAAAACATAAGGAGCAAGGTACATCATTAAGAAAGTCTTTAAAGAAGGACCCTAATGCTAAAAAGGAAGCACCAGTAGAAAAGAAGAAAAAGACAGCAGATGTTTGTGTTTTTGGAGCTTACTGTGGTGAGTCCTATGATAAGACCTATCGTTTTGAAGGTACGACAGATACCTTCTTATTCTCAATGTATCCCGTGGAAGCCAGATACAAATGGTCAAGGAAGAATGACTTTTTCGTAATGGGTAGAAAGGACAGATTGGTATTTGGTGCTGGTGGTGATGGTCCTGCCTTACAAATCGATGATCAGCTCTGTATTGGTACAAGTAATAGATGCACAACATTTGACAATGAGCCACTAGTTGGTTCAAAAACAACCTTCTCTGTTTTGAAGGTTGAAGTTTGGTATTTCAAATAAAACATTTGGAACAGGACTTTGAAAATTAATTCTTCCATTTGTTCAATGTTCCTAGAGTTACAAAAAAGTGAAGATTCCACTTTGAGGAGTTTCTTATTGTTGCTTCTCCTTCTTGTCTTCTCATTGTGCACTTTCAAGACTTGATAACAATTAAATCTGTACAAAGTTAGCTCATTTGGCACCACCTTCATAGGTCGATAGGCAATAGAAATTGTCAACTAACCAAAATAATAGTGTAGGGCACCATAGCTCTGTCGTCCACTAAAAATATTTGGTTTACAGGATTGCTTATTGTTTGTTCAACAATCCTTAACAAAAGACGCGCCCCTAAATCAACACACAGCGCAAGAAAGAAAATATCAGCCTTAAAAAAAATGAGAGTACCTTTAGCTATCATTGCAATTACCACATTTTTACTTTGCTCTCTGGTTTTTGGTCAAAACGTCGTTGTTAATTATGACGTTGCCGGCAAGAATCTTCCAAAGACTCTTTCAAAGGGAGAAATTCAATATTATCTCGTTAATACTACTACCTGGGGTATGACTGAAGGAGATTTTGTGTCCCTTAGTTTGAACTCACTCTCGGGTGATTGTGATATGTGGATCAGTACCGTTGACTATCCAAAAACTGCTTGTGCTGATTGCCTTGATCGTGATGCCAATGGTTTTGGTGATGTTAGAATTGTTTACTACAATACCACTGAATTTGCTCAAGGTGTATTCTATGTTGGTATTATTGCTCAAGAAAGATCTGCTGATTTTTCTTTTATTGCTTGGGGATCTAATGGTATGTAATATCAATTCTTTTATGAAATTCTTAAAGTTGCACTTTGATCACAGAAATTATTAATATTAACAAGAATGAAGTCATCTTTGCTGAATCTCCAAGAGGAAAGAAGAATACCTTCTATTTTAATTTGCCAAGCGAAGCTACTTTGGTAACAATCTCTGTCAACGGTCTTTTTGGTGATCCAGATCTTTATGTTACTGGTTCTAATGGTGTTTCATGGACTTCTGAAGATTATGGATTCGATGCTTTGAAAATTAAGGTTGTTCCAGGATTGACCCAATTGAACATTACCGTTGTTGCATTCTCTGAATCAGTCTACAGTGTTATTGTTAATGTTAATGATGAATCTATGCGTTTGCCAGAAGGTGTCTTTATCAGAGATATTGTCAATGAAAATGAATTGGACACATTTGTATTCAGAAGTCTTGAATCAGTTCAAGACATTGTCATTGAAGCCATCGAAGTTAGAAATGGTGAAGGTGAAACCAAGGTTTATATCCGTAAGGGTTCTAAACCAACTTCATCTGAATTTGATGTTGTTGTTTCATTGTCAGGAGACGATTCCTATACTCTTAAAAGTGCTGAAGCTGGTGATTATTACATTGGTGTTTATGGCTTGATGAATGGTACCAACTATAAGGTTTGGGCATTCGGTGAAAACCCAAATCAAGTTGTTCTTTCATCCAGCCAACCTGTCCAAAAGGCATTCACTGCAACAACAAAGTCTTATACTTTCAAGTATGCTAATAACGATCTCACCAAGACCATTGTTGCCACTGTGAAGCTTGTTTCTGGATCCTCAATTAATGTTTATGAAGCTCAATTCTCTAGACCTAGTGCCACAAAGTACCATTCTAAGGCTGTTGCAGTTACTGGTACCAATGGCGTCTTAAAGTTCGATGCTCCATCTCCACATCCTTTCATTTACTTTACTGTTACTGCTGATTCTGGTGAGTTCTCCATTGAAGTCACCACTTCCCAACCAATCATGGCCCTCAATGATGGTGAAGAAGTTTATTTGAATTGGGTTCCAAAGGGATCATACAGATATTTCTCCTTTGTTGCTGATAAATATCCATCCAATGCCATCTCCATTACTACCAAGCCATCCAGCGGTGACGTTGATATCTATGTTTCAACTACTCTCCAATATCCATCAGTTGAAAGCAATCAGTGGTATGCTGATATTGTTGGTGTTGACACTGTTTACATCCCAGCTAATGATGCTAAAGCTTCTGGAAAGACATTCTACATTGGTGTCTATGCCTATGATTCTGATTCATACTTTTCTATTTCAGCATCTCAAGTTGGAGCTATTTCTACTCTGTCTGAAGGAATGCGTACATCAAGCTCGGTTTTGGAAAGTGCTTATACCTACTATACTCTTAATATCAAGACTTCAGGAAAGGTCTATATTAACCTTCACTTGCTGAAGGACGGTGATGAAGCTGATATATTCTACAGTACTTCCGTCAAGACACCAAACAGATATGATTATGAAGGAAGATCCATTAACATTGGTAATGATGTTTTGACCATTGAAGATGCCATTCCAGGAGAAATTTATATTTCTGTTTATGGTGTTGTTTCAACTGATACAAGCACCAGAGCTATTCCATTCACTCTCTCAGTTGCCACTGATTATTTGAACTTGTTCCCTAATGGTGACTCTATTCTCATCAACGCCACAAAGAATAGCACTACTCATTTCAGAGTTGACATTTCTAATGCTTTGAGAATCATCACTGCTTCTGCCTCACTTGTTTCTGGAAAGACTGTTATGTACATTTCAACAAATGGACAAAAGGCCAACTCTACTAACTATGTTTGGTCTGACCAAAACACTTATGGTAACAGTATTTTGCTTAAGCAAACTGATCTTGGATTTAAACGTGGAGTTTGGTATATTGCTGTTCATGCTATTGAAGACTCTGTTTATCACATGTCATTGGCTAGTAACATTGGTGCAACTGTTTTGGAAAATGTCCCAACTCTTGGTAGAACTGCCCCAGACGGAAATATGGATTCATTGGTTTATAGCTTCTGGCTTCCATTTACTGAATCTGCTAAGGCTAAGGATGTTTACCTCCACATTAAGGAATTGGAAGGAAAGGTTGATGTTTTTATCAATCAAGATATGTTCAATGATCCATCACCAAAGAATTACACGTGGAAATCTACAACTAACGGCGAAGTTGACAGAGTTATAACCCTCAAAAAGGAAAGGCTTGTTGTTGACAAAGCTGTGTTTGTATCAGTTTTGGGTAAGGAGGCTGGAAAGAGCTCTTTGTTCTCCATTGAATTCAGATACACTGCTCCTCCAGTCACTAACAACAACAACAATCTAGGTATCATTATTGGAAGCTCTGTTGGTGGTGCAGTAGTTTTGATCATTGTAGTGTTGGTTATTGTCGGTGCTATCTTTATGGTTAGAAAGAAGAAGAAGGATGCTGCTGGATTTAAGAGATTTGATCATGAAGCCCAACAAGACGGTGCTAACTCCATGTATTATAAGGTAGAAAACCAATAAATATAACTTACTTTATTAGACTCTGTTCTCAAAGAGAAACCAATAGGTTTTTCTCTTGGCTTTGTCACCCATTAAGGCAACGTAACAATAACTTATGTAATTTTTTTTCTTTATCATTAAAAAATTAACCAATCATCACATTCAGGAATTTTAGCCAATGCCACTTAGTGACAACGTACTCGGAGGATCGTCAGATGAAGGATCTGAATATGATAATCCACCACCAGTTGTGATTGATTTTGGAAGTGGTGTGTTTAAGGCTGGTATTGCTGGTGAAGAAATTCCATCATGTTGTTTTCAGAATGTTGTCGGTTTGCCACATCTGGACGATGAAAGTGCTATTCGGGAACGATATAGAAAACTTCATTTAAAGAGATTAAGAAGATTAGGAAAGAGTAGAATCACTGTTGATGAAAATGGTGATGAAAAGACAGCTACAGAAACCAGTGAGGAAGATGAATATTTGAATGAGGAATTTCTAGTTGGTGATAAGGCTTTAGATCAACGACACTCTCATCAATTGTTCTATCCGATGGATAAAGGACAAGTTGAAGATTGGGAACAAATTGAATTTCTTATTGAGTATGCCTTGTTGGATGTTTTGGATGTTGAACCAGAGGACACATTATTACTCATCACTGATAATCCAATGAGTACAAAGAAGGAAAAGGAAAAGATGGCTGAATGTTTGTTTGAATTGTTTTTAATTCCTGGTTTGTGTTACATGCCACAACCATTATTATCCCTCTACAGTGTTGGTAAAACAACTGGTTTGGTAATTGATTCTGGTGATTGTGTTTCACACACTGTTCCTGTATTTGAAGGATTTATCATTGATCATGCTATGAATCACTTGGATTTTGGAGGAAGAGATGTAACACATTACTTGCAAAGAATGCTCTACTCAAAGGGTTATAGATTTGCTAGCTCTTCAGAACATCACTTTGTAAGAGAAATTAAGGAATCATTTGCCTACGTTTCTCAAAACTTTGAAAAGGAAAAGAAGAAACCCTATTCAGAGATTAAGAAGGATTATGAATTACCAGACGGGCAAATTATTACTCTTGATGAGGAATTATTTGCTTGTACAGAATTATTATTCAATCCATCTTTGATGGGAAAGGATGCTCCTGGATTAGCAGAGCTTGTTTTTGATACATTCAAAGCAAGTCCTATTGATGTCAGAAAAGATTTTTATAATTCAATTGTCTTGTCAGGTGGTAATACTCTCTTCAATGGTTTTAAGGAAAGAATTAAATTGGAATTGGAAAATAATGAAAAGAGTTTCAAACCTTTCAAAGTTTTGGCTGATCCAATGAGACAATTCAGTGCTTGGATGGGTGGATCTGTTATTGCTAGTTTACCAACCTTTGAAGACGCTGTTGTGACATACGAAGATTGGGAAGATTATGGCCCAAGAAGTTTGTATCAAAAGAAATCAAATTTCAACTTGTAAATTAAACTTTAAAATGTGTAAAGACAATCTTTTTCATATCTTCAATCACCTTATTAGCTTCATCAAGTCTCTTCTTTAAAATGTTAACTTCATCCTTCAGAGAGGATTGTGCCTTTTTGCTAAGCTCGTGTTGTTGTCTCTCTGTTTGTAATTGATATTGTACAGTTTGAATGGTAATTTTGAGAATCTTGTTATCAATACTTTGTGTTTCAGAGTCGTCCAACATGTCATGTCCAAACTTGGATTTGTTCCTGGCAATACGAGAAGAGTCAAGATTACTTCTAGATAATTGTTCATACTTTTCGACATGTTCCTGAATGCGGGAACGTTGAGTGGTGAGTGCTCCTTGTGACATTCCTGAAGATTTAACTTTAGTGCTATTGGTTGATGAAGTGTCCAATCTTGGAATTGAATTGGATCTCTCAGATGATAGAGAAGAGCTTGGTGAGTGAGCTGATTCCTCATCAGTTTCAAAATCAGAATCAACATATGGAATATAACCATTATTAGTCATATTCTCAATGGTTGCCCTCAAGTTTTGAATTTGTTGTGTGAAAGTTAGCTTTTCTTCTGTGGCTTCATTCTTGAGTTGCTCCAAAAGATACTTGGTTTGATCGATTTCTTCAATGAGTTTGTCATTTTCAGTCTTGATTTCTAAAATTTGCTTTTCATACTGTTCAACAATTTGATTAACAGTTGGAACGACAGCAAGATCAATCTTTTGAGTCTCAGAGGAGGTACTTGAACGAGGTGAAGTCAACTTGTCGTGGGAGTGATTAGTTTCATTTTCATCCTCTTCGTCATCAAGGGAGAGAGAATCACCCAAGTACTTGATAGGTACACTATTGGATCTTCTCTTATTGATGTCAAAGTCTTGCTTTCTGGTTTGTGCTCTCAATTGTTCCATCTCATCATTTAGAGTTTCAATCTTGGATGAAAGCATTGCATTGGCCTCCTTCAAATCGGTATTTTCCTCACTCAATGAGGTTACACTTTGTTTTTGAGTGTCGAATTCCTGCGAGAGTGATTCAAACTTGTTCTTCCACTCATCTCTATCTTCAGTGATTGTCTTGATGAGTAATTCAAGTTCTTCAATCTTTTTCAACTGTTGCAGAGAATCTTGTGGAGAGTTGACTGGTGGTTCAGCAGAAATTTGAAGTTTTGGAACGTTGGCAGGTCTTAGTGTGCTATTTGATTTACTTGGTGTATTCATCAAATCTTCTTCATCTTCAATAGTTTGAGCATTGCTCATTGTTGAACCAGTTTCACTGGTTGTATCATCATCCATTGATGATTCAGCACTACTTGGAATCATCTTGTGGAAACTAGAATTGATAATAATATTGTTACTCGATACAGATAATGGTTGAGTGGATGGCTTTGGGAATTTGTGTTCAATTTCCAAATAGAAAACATCATTATCAATGGATTGCATCTTCATTACAATGTCTCTCAGATCAACAATTTCAGGTTGATCTAAAATTTGAGAATCTCCAAAGAATGCAGTCAATGACTCGATATCATTTCTCAAACACATGAGAATAACTTCATCGCATTCTTTGGTTCTTTCAATCATTTGATTAAAGACACCTTCACCCTTCTGGAGACGTTCACTTGCATCCTTCAATCTGGTTCTTGTTTTAACCATTTCATTTTCATATTCAATGACTTGTTTTTGTTTTTTTTCGTACAGATCTGGAGTGTCTTTCAATCTACTTAGGATCATCTTGAGAGTTTGATACTTTTCAAAGTCCTTATCAAAGGTTTTCTTAATCTTATCAAAGTCCATTCTCATCTTGATAAATCTGTTTTGAATACTAATCTTTTCTTGAATAAACTCAGAAATTTTGCTAAACTTTTCAATGGACAAGTTTCTTGCGTGCAGTTCAGTCTCCTCAACATCTCTGGCTCTAGCTGTTTCACTTCCATGATATTCAGGTAAATTACTAAACTTGGCCTTGGTATGTTTTTCAGTCATTTGCTTGATGAGTTTTTGAATTTCTTGCCTCTTCTTATCAGTAATATTATTGTACCACTCATTTCTGATGTCTTCTGTTTCAAAGAAAACTCTAAATTCAGCTCCACTGATATAATCCTTGCATCTCATTGCCAATGGATCCTTATCAACGATGGAGAAATCACTAATTGACAAGTAGAACGGTTGAACAATGAATGGTGCAGTCAATTCTTTTTGACCAAGTATTTCATCCATTTGATTAATATCTACAACTGTATCCCTAGGAGTTCTTGCAAAAATAGTATAATTAGAACGATCAGTTGCCATTGTTTGTAAGGAAGCACTTGGAAGAGTCATCACGGCTGAATCCTCTGATCTGTCTTCATTCTTGATTCCCTTAATGATTAACAAGTAATAGTCATTGAATAGGTAACTTTCGAATGGAATTGGTTCAGATTGTGGCATGTCTGTATTGATTGCTTTATCGATCCATTGTAATTTGAGAGGGGAGACTTTATCTCTTATTACATTGACCAATACTTCATTCACAAAGTGTCTGTGCGGTTTGATAATTGAATTCTTAACTTGTTCAATAGAATTGAAATTATGTTTCACAATTGGACTTTCAACGAGAGCATTTTTCATGGCTGTAACCAATTGGAAACTCAATTCAGTTAATCTCTGTTTGATATCCATCACTCTGGTAAAGGCAAGTTTCTGTCTTCTCATTTCATTCAAATGATTAGCAACTTGAATCATGGTGTCATGAGCTGTGGAAAGGTACATGTAATCAGAGTGTCCTTTTGGTGTGTATTTCAGTAATTCTCTCAATAAGAGTTGATACTTTGGAATTCTTTGAACTGGTAAGATTAAGAATGAAGAAACATCCAATCCTCTACATTCTTCTCTTGTTTCCTTACATTTCTATTTAAAATAATGACTTGGTTAGAATTCGAAACATAAAATAAAAACTTACGTTTAAATAGATTTGTAACTGTTGATTCTTCTTTCTTCTATCCTTCAAAATACTTGATGCTTGTGAAAAGTTATTGATATAATCAGTGTACAATCTCATAAAAGGGGCCATTTCAGCAAAAGCTCCACCAAACGATTTCATTTGACCTGTTGGAGTCAAACTTCCATTCGTTGTTGATCTCGAACTATTTGGAGCCTCTCCATTTGGAATATCCAAATTGGTAAGTTTACCACGTGTAATTTTGTTTTTAAAATCTTTCAAAGATTTGATTGTTCCACCTGACTTTTTCTTATCCTTCTTATTCTTGCTATTTTTTGATTTTTGATTGGAATTTGTTGATGCTGTCTCATTGAATATATTGTTAGTAGTTGTTACATTGTTTTTTAAACTTTGTGCACTTGCAGAATGTTCAGTTGGTGATGTAATTGTAGCTCTTCTTGAGCTGTCAAGTGAAGAACCAATTGGAACTGCTGACATTCTAAATTCTGCAGCATCTGTATGATTACTAGCAATATTACCAACACTTCCAATACTTTGCAAATTACCAGAAGAAGCAGATAATCTAATAACAGAAACTAATTGTTTGATCATTTCGTTTTGTTTCTGTTCACATTTTTCTTGATGATCTTGAGCAATGACCAATCGTTGATACAATTTTTCATTCAAATTGTAAATCATTTCTACATTTACAAAAATACTAGCCATATTTTCACTTGCTTCAATTCCTTTTTTAACAATTGGAGTATAGAAAACATCCATAATTGTTTTCAAATCAGTGACATATGATTTTTCAGTTGAAATTATTTCATTAATTACGTGTTTACGTTTTTTACACATTGTGGACAATTCTATTTTAGTGAATTTCAAGGAAATTGTTATTTAAATTGATTGAAATTAGTTTAAAATTAGTTTGTAAATACAAAAAACTTACTTTTCAAGTTTTTTCTGACCACCTTGTTAAGAAAACAGCGTTGTATTGTTTTCAGAGCTTGTTGTGCGTGTGTACTTTCACCCACAAACTTATCTAATTCTTGTAAAAGTGTTTCTTCCTTGTTTCGAATATCTAGAGTGTCATTTGAAACATAGGGAGAAACTAAACTACTAGGAATGTTATTTGTATCTACAGAGGAAAAAGAAGGACTTGTCAGTCCTCCATTTTCGCTACCTTCATTATTAGAAACTAAACTATCGAATGAACAAGATTCTTTATCCACTCCTCCATCAACACTTTCTTCAAGAAAAATGTCATCAGCAGAAAGTGTGTGATGGTTGTGAGGTGTTGTTGTTGTACAATTACTAGTTTCCAATAAAGTTTCCACTTTCGTATTTTGTTCTTGTTGATCAACACCATTAGATGATGGATTTTGTTGTTTCTTTTGTTTTTTAGGAGGTGTTGAATAATCGTGAGGTGAACTGTGATTGGGAGAAAGTTCTGGGAATAGATCGTTGAGTGGCGTTCGTTTTTGTGTCATTTTTTTATGAAGTGTTATCAATCAAACATCAATGAAAATGTCAAGAATATTTGGCGCCATATTAATTTCACATTATTGGGTTTCATTCTTCATTCTTTCCAAATATTCAAATAAAAATTCAAATAATAAAAAATTTTGAAAATATTTGGGAAAATTCAATTTTAAAAAAAATGCAATTTAATTCATCATCAGGAGGTTCCAATGTAACGACCATTGAAAATAATATTCAATCATGTCTATCATTGAGTAGGGAAATTATTGAACATACACTTGGTCCGATGGGAATGGATATTTCAATTTTTGAAAGTAATAATAATCACAAGGTTATGGATTCATCATCACAGTATTTACCTTACATGGAGAATCAAAGCCTTCAGGAGAGGGATTCAATGTCGATATCGGAGGAAGGAAATAATGAAATGATGAAGAGTAATAATTTTATAATTACAAATGATGGAAGTACGATAATTAAATATTTAAATATTGAACATCCGAGTTGTCAGTTATTGTCAAGGGCTAGTTTGTTGCAGGATAGATTAATTGGTGATGGCACTTCATCAGTTGTGATATTGACTTGTGAATTGTTGAATCAGGCTTTAAATTTAATTAAGAATAGGAATTTACATCCTTCATTGATTGTGAGAGGATTTCAATTGGCTGTTTTAAAATCTAAATTATATTTGAATAGCTATGCTGTGAATAGTAATGAGAAGGACATTGAGAGTTTGATTAGGACTTGTATGCAATCAAAGATAATTTCACAATATGAAGAATATTTTGTAAATTTGATAAGGAATGTGCATAATCACAAATTGAATTTGCGAGTTATATATCCTAATAAGAATTTTAAATTATTCTACTTTAATGAGATTGGAAATGACATGTCTACAACATGCCAATACAGTGGATATAAATTTACAAACTTGAAGCATTTTAATGTGAACCAATTCAACATGAAAAATGTAAAAATATTAATGTGCAAAGCAGAGGAATTGAATGGCAACTTTGTTTCTAAAATATTTAGAGTTAGTCAATCAAATTTAGAAAACGAGTACAAAAAACTGACAGAACTTTGTGACTATTTAATTAATGAATTGAATATCAACGTGATATTCAATGTTGGTATTGGAATTCACAAAATTGTTCAAGAATATTTAAAACACAAGAATGTTCTCTGTGTTGGATTTGTTGATTTCAAATCGGCAGAGGTTCTTTCAATCATTGGTAATAGTATCATTTCGAGTGGATACAATAATTGTGGCTATTTGGATGAAATTAACCTAACCAGTGTCGACAATGGAAACTACCATTTGGAGATTTTATCGAATTCTCAGAATCATGCCAAGTATATTTGGAATACTATCAAAATTTCAAGCCCTAATTCTGAAATATCCAATGAAATCCAACGAAGTATTCAGGACTGTATGGGAATATTAAATCATACAGAACAAGTGTGTCCTGGTGGAGGTGCTACATTTATGGATATTTCCAAGTATATTAGAACATTGAATTATCCTAATCAATTACAATTTATTCTGGAAGCATTCTCTAATGCTCTCGAAGTTATTCCAAAAGTATTATCAACAAATATGGGTTACGATGCCTCAATTGTCCTTTCAAAATTGAGAAGTATCAAAAATGAACAATATTTTGGAGTCTCAATGGATGAACAAGTCTCCAATCAACTAAAGAGTGGTGTTATTGAGCCATGTCATCTCATTGTTTCAATAATGGATAGAGCTTTGGAATTTAGTGAAATGATTTTGAGAATTGATGAAAATATTTACATCAAACCATTTCATTCCAATGTAAAGATGTAAACACATATGACATCCAATTAATTATTTGTTATTGATAATAATGAAGATACCTGTACTTTCGGTTTGGCGCCAAAATTTACGGTTCTAGACGTTAAGGAGGTTTTTCAAACGCTTTCAAAGGGATTGAAACAAAATTTAAAAAAAAATAGCAAGACACCTTCTCTCAAATCTTAAATAGAGAAGTATCATTATCGGAATAATAATTATTAGAACAATCAGAGTGTATTGAGTAAATCTCTCTTTCTTGTTTTAAAATAGTACGAACAAACAACACCCCAATATTTTGTAAATTTACCTCCCAATAACAATACAACACTGAATCATCAGCATCAATATAGAAAATGGAACAAACAAGACAACATCAACAAACTGGTACTTTAAAGTCTGTTACAGAATATCTTCCACCTAAGGAAAGAGTCTTAAGATCGGAACAAATTGGTTTAAGCAGTCATAAAAACCTCTACAATAATGGAACATTAATTGAAAATTGGATTGAAGAAAGAAATGCTTCCGACTATCAAGATAAATTGAGAAATGATACTGGTTATGAAAATCTCTTAAAAACTCCAGCCACACTTAATCAAATAATGTACCAACACCCAACAAATCTCAAGAAGGATGCCTACAGAGTAGAAGAACCAATTCTTCCTAAAGAGACTGAGAAGGAAATACTCTTTGTTCATGGTGATGATAGATATGAACAAAGTCACGTTTCCATGACAAATCTCACCTATGCACCTCCACAACAAGCATTAAAAACTGATTCAGCAATTCAGGCCATTAGAACAATCAAACCAGGACTCCAAGAAAATCATGCTCCATCTCGTCTCGTGGAACAAAAGAAACAACAGTGGATGATTGAGAAGGAAAATGAAAAGAATTTAATGAGCACTTTCAAGACAACCTATGCTGCTGAGATTGCAGAAAAGCAAAAACTTTCGGAAACTTCTACCACCAGTACACACATTCCTTCAGAAATGTTCACAACATCTAAGGCTATCATTCCAGATAAGCAATCAGCAGTTCGTACAATGACACAATCAGGAGGTTGGTCAGACGCTCTCAAAGCTGCAAGCCCAGTTCCACAAGAAACTCAACCAAAGAACAACAAAATGTGGGGTGATTTTACCCATTCTCTAACCCAAGATCATTTAAAGTCTGGATTAAGGCAACCAGTTGAGTATAAGAATACACCTTTAGCAACTCTTGGGAAGAGAAGATAAATCATGATTTCTTTGTAATTTGTGTTAATTTTTCGCTAATTAAATTCAATGAAAGGAATAATAACAGAAAAATAAAGATAATGTTTAGTTAAAATAAGAAAGTGTCGTGAGAAGCCGAAACAGAACCTGGTGCAAACAATGAAACCTTTGATTCAAATGTTTTGAAATGAAGAGAAGCTTTCTTTGAGCTTGCCAATGTACCGTCATTAATATATGAAATGCATTCAACTTTTCCGTGAACATCCTTTGAATAGCCTGTTGGAAGTGGACCCACTCTATAAACAATATCACTCATGTGTTCAAACATGTTAGTCAATTGAGTATTTTCATCATCTGCTGGATGATTATGCATCAAGACAATAATTGAAATATTATTCGAATAGAATTTCTTCAATTTGGTAATAAATTTCAACAATTTCCTATTGACATCTTGATCAAAATAATATTGTAATAGAGGATTAACATGATCCAAAATGATGCATGATGATTGTTGTTTCTCACAAGTTAAAATTTCAAATAAATTAGCCAAATATTCATCCAAACTATTATTATGCTTTAAATTGACAATACAAGTTGGTCTTGTGGCAGGTGTAGTCTTTGTAATTAACAATGGTGATGAAAATAAAAGTAAGTCATCTCCAGTCTCCACCGATGAATCTACAAAAGATTGTTGAGCATCAATAAATGTAAATTTTCCTTCCTGTGATTCCTTTTCCAAATTAATATTTAATTTTAATTCAACTGTATTGTAGTGAAAGAAGGATTGATTAAAAGAACACAGCGTTACTTTCTTTCCATGATTAATAAAAGAATTCAAAAAGTGATGAACAAGAAAGCCTCCATCACAACTTGTAGTTCCATCCCGAACGTAAATTAATTGATTTTCAGGAATATATTTATCATTCCACTTCATACAAGTGTTTAATTCTGTAAAAATTACGCCATTAGATGCCATTGTTAATAAATATTACTAGTCTGATGATAATAGGCAAACTTTAACGTTTTTCGTTTTTTTTAAAATTTACATGGAATACTAGAATTGCACTTTTGTTTTTGCAGCAAATTTGCTTTTGATTTTATTTAAATGTCTGAAACTCTATAATATGGTGATTGTTCTTCTCCTCCTAATAGATTCTCGTTACTTAGGTTAACAGGTGTTGAAGGTGAGGAGTCAACAAGAAATTCCTTTGGTTTTCTGTTTGCCTTCTTTTGAGCAATCCAATTCTTGATAATAACTCTTCTATTAATGAGCCATCTGAATCCTCTCTTTATGAAAACAGTATCTGGAACATATAATAAAGCCAAATAGGCGAGAATTCTCAAAGCAATTGCATAACAAATCAATGCTACACCTGACCACCAATTTCCAAACTGGTATCCAAAAATGTCTAAACTTGTTTGAACATTGAAAATTTGAGTAAACTTTTCAAGTTCAATTAGATAAACAATTTCTTGTGAATATCTCAAGAAGGAAATCCAGTGGAGAATATTCATTGGGAAGAACATGTCATTCATTTGAGGAATTGTTGGTCTAAGGCCTGCTAACATGGTCATGATAATTACAACAACTACACCTGCCAATTTACTGACAGATGGTCGCAATAGAATGGAAAGCAAATAACCAAAACCAACAGCAACATTATAAACTAAAATTAAATATCCATAACTATCATTTTCAATATTAATTACAAGATCACTAATTGTACTACTTACTATTCCCAGAAAGATCCTAATGGATTGGCAAGAATATAAAAGATGGACGTATAAATGGCTGGATAAATCAAAATATAAGGAATGTGAACAATATTCTTTGCAATAAAGTACATTAAGGTTGACAATCCACTTGCATATTCTCTCTTGAAAACAACCAATTCATCACCGAAAATACTCAAAGAACTCATCACACCACACAATGCCATACCCAATGGAATGATTTGTGCCATAGAAATGATTGGATCATCGAGGGGCATTGAACATTTCAATCTTAATGGTTCTGGACATAATTTGATAATTTCTTCGTGTGGAGGTCCTCTGTAATGCAAACCATCTACAAAGATTATACCACATGCAAGACCACCAATATACACCAAAGAGACACCCAATAAGAAATCAAAAACACTTCTTGTGAATTGAATCAAAGTTCTTCTCAAACATAACCATAATTGACTTGTGATAAGAGTTGTTCTTCTTGAATTTTCCCTCTTAATTTCTTCATAATCAGAACATTCCAAGAGTTCTTTCTGATTGACTTTGAAATAACTTGTAGAACTATGTTTCTCCCAAACTTGAGATAAACTTGAGGCAATATATTTGTTATCATTATGAACTTGACCAGAGGTAACATCGAGAATGAAATCAGCTGGATTAACTTTTGCATCTGCTTTGTAACCTAACTTTTCAAAATATGGCAATGCATTTGCGCTTGGTCCATTATAAACTAATCTACCACCAGTTTCCAATAAAATTACATTATGGAACATTTCGAATATTTCAGTTCTAGGCTGGTGAATAACTGCTGCAACGGTAACATTTTGTTCAGTAGCAATTCTATTAAGGGCAAACATAACTTCCTTACTTGAGACTGAATCTAAACCAGAAGTAGGTTCATCCAAAAACAAAACTTTTGGATCAGCTGCCAATTCAATACCAATGTTAACACGTTTCTTTTGACCTCCTGAAATACCTCTCTGCTTTTCATCACCAATAATTGAGTGTTTAATATGACCAAGACCAAGAGTTTCAATAACATTACTAATAATTGAAGTTACTTGTTTAGCGGCCAATCTAAAGTCCAATTTAGTCTTGGCTGCAAAATGAATAGTTTCCTTAACTGTTAAATTTGGATGCATGATATCATTTTGTGGAACAAATCCTGTAATCTTTTTCAAATTTGCGAATGAATCAATAGTATTATTAATCTTAATGGTACCATTGATTGAACCTTCATAAACTCTTCCTGCCAAAATGGAAAGTAATGTTGTCTTACCACAACCACTAGGTCCCATGATTGCAGTCAATCTAGATGGAGGAATTACACCTGTCACATCATTAAGGATTGATTTGCCATTCACATGATAACAAAGCTTATCAAAGACAATGGAAACACCTGCAGGCTTTTTGTCACCTGGTTCCATCAATTCTCTTTGAGAAGTTGGTGTTTGAATAATTGATCTCTTCTTATCAATATAATTATTCCATAACTTTCTTCCAAGTCTGATAGCATAAAAGATTACAATGACAATTAAAGAACAAATAAAAACAAAGAGGAATCCCAAAATGTTGAAAGCCTCATGTTCTTGATTGGTTGAACAAATTGAAAGGAAACTACATGCTCTTGGAATAATGCTTCCTGTTGGACAATAATGTCCAGAAGGACAAGTTGACAAAGAAGAAGGATTTGCACAATAATATCCAGCAGGACACACTTGAGGAATGACACTTCCTTCAGGGCAATATTGACCACTTGTACATGCTTTCTTTGTTGCTGGAGAGGTGCAGTAAAAACCTGCTGGACAGGCAATTTCCTGACTTGCTCCATCAACACAATAACTACAATAACTAAAATTGCATTTACAAATAGTTGGAGTAATGATGCGGGAATCTGTACAAAAAGTATTATCAGGACAATTCAAACTCTTTCTGGTAGTGTTAAAATCCTCAGTTGAGTTAAATTGAAGTTCTCTTGCTAATGGACAGTATTCACCTTTCTTACATTCTGCAACTGAATAATGGATGGCATCCCTTCTCATAATGAATAAACCATCTGAAATTGGAATGGTTGGATAGTAAGGAGTCAATGTTAAAGTTCCCTTGTCTGGCACGTTATTTTCTTGTTGTAAACCACTCTTGAAACAATTGTAATTATTATCAGTACAACGTTTTGGAGCTTCCAACCCCTCTTCATCACAATAGAATCCTGGTGGACAAAGCATCTTGACACCGTTTGTACCTATTAACATCAAAAGAGTAAAACAAAAGCTATTAGAAGAAACTTACAAAAATTGCCTTTTGGACAAAGCATGGCATAATTAGGTCTTTCAGTATAGTAACCATTATCTAGTTTTGTAATGACTGTTTCCTTAACATTAGGACAGTATAAACCAGGCATACAATAACTAAGTGAGAAACCAAATAAACCAATATTTGGTTCAGTTGGTGGATTTTCCTTACATGTATCAGCAAATGAACTAAAGAATATATTTTTCTCATCCTTTTTCAGAGTTTCACAAATGGCATGATAACGAATTAAGGCGTCAATTTCCCACTTCTTTCTTGTTAAGGTAAGGAAGATGTGTTGACCATTTGGTGAAATACCCAACTCCAAAGGTCTTCCAACAAGTTTGAATTGATTGTACTCACGGACAACTAGACTTCTTTCAACAGATGATTGACATGCACGAGCTTGAGCACCAAAAATAATGAGAGAATTATCTTCCATGGTGATGAAAATGTTGTGAACCCAGTGGTAAAGCATCATTTCTCTCACAGTATCTGGTGGAATAATATCCAGAAGGGTTGAACATTGTCCAGCTCCTTCAATTACTGCTTGGAAAGTTGCTAAACAAGCCTTGTAATTGGTCATGTAATCAGATCCCTTATTTAGGAGAGTTGAAACACCAGCCATTTGTTCACACATGGGGCCAACTGATTGAATAGCTGCTTGGGTATTGGTAACATATTGAGCTGTAATTCCCATAATTTGATCCCTTACTTCAACTGGAAGATCAACAAATGTTGATTTGATATGAGTGACCTTGTATGGAAGTGTTTGCACATGTTCAAATGCTTTGACACACTTTCCATCGATTGGATATTCACCAATGGTCACGTCACATACAGTATTATCACTTCTTTCATAACCCCAACTGTTCAAATTTCTCAAAGTCATCTTGGAAGATCCAGTTTGAGAGTTAAAAGTAGCAACTCCAATATAGAGAGCTTGATAATATTCTGGAGCCGATGAAGAACATTCTCCACCAGTTGCCTTAATAATTTCCTCCTTGAATAAAGTATATCCACTTATGGTAGTTTTTTCATCCAAAGATCCAACTCTATAAATTAGATTGTATCCAGCAGAATTACCACTTATAACCTTATCACCTCTCTCGAAAGGAATCAAATAGAGAGACTTGCTAGTTTGAATACTAATTAAATTTCTGTATGGATGATCATCCTTAATATAGATGGATGCTGTCGGTTTAGAAATGTTATAATATTGAGTATGAACTTGAACATTAACAATCTTTTCACTAGTGAATTGATAAGTATAAATCTTTTCTACAATATTGCACAATGCTCCAAGTTTTGAAAAGAAGATTGTTTCCTCACCAATTAAAAGTAAGAATATTTCTCCCTGATCTTCCATATATAAAATTTCACTATAAACAATATCTGCATTGGTTAGTAAATTAAAATTGGTGCATGGACGAAAAGTTACATCCAATTGCGAATAATAATACATGATAGAGTGTTGTTTTGCTTTACCAATGACGTAAACACCCTTTCCTTCCTTGAAAGGAACGCTCACAACCTTTGTAATTGGTTCAAAGTGATTGTTATCTCCCATGAGAGGAAGCAACACGTTTCCATCATTGAAATTGGATCCAAATAATTGGCCTCTATTAGTAGCAAATAGAATGTAACGAGAGGATTGATTACCTGTGGAGAAACCCTCCAACTCTATGATATTTAAAGAATTGAGGAAGTAGCATTCATCAGACCATTCATCTTGTGGATTTCCATTCTTATCTAAACATGTTTGCAAATCAATAGTGGAATCATTGAATAATTTGTAACCTAGAGGATAGGGAACAATGTACGGATTTTGATAATGACAATAACTAGGATAGGTCATTGTAATATTGGTACTACAGATGTCTTGCTTCCATGTAGATGTTTGATTGATACAGACTTTGAGTTGTGGTTGTTGTTGTCCCTCTACAAAGCTAAAGCTAGATGAGATCATCATGATTGAACTAAAGCATACCACTGCAACAATCATACAGAGTGATGCGGCTAGTGTGGAGGAGATCCTCTTTGAGGTGGAACAACCAAGTAATCTTGATGATGCATTACCAACCTGCATAATGTGATTCATTGCACTTTCAGGAGTGTTATCTCTTGGTAGTGTTTGCATTTTTTTGTTTTAAAAAGAATGGATGGTACCTTACTACCTTAATATATTTCTTGATATACAGTTTCAACGTAGAAGTGAGTTGGACTTGAAAAAAGGTTCTTTTATCCAAAAGGAACAATATCTAGGCATTCCAATTGTTTGGGTCAAAAGGAAGAACCTGTGCAACATTTACGTGGAACTGAAATATGTTTGGAAGGTGATTTGCCTTATTGATGATGGTAGGATTAATAGGTGGGAAGAGGAGAGCGCAAAAAATTCAGCGATACAGTCAATTACGGTTGTTAACAGAATATCCGCAACAACACTCAGGAGATATGAGGCAAAGTTGCAAAGCAAGAATAATTGGTGGAGTTTATAAAAGAAAATTGATCTAGTGGAAATCAGGGATTTTCTCTTTAAACATGGTCTTATTCTTGCTATAGTCACTTCTCATTCTGATGAATGCAATAACATCTTCATGTTTCACGGATGGATTCTTTTCTAATTGAGAGACAACTTCTGGAAGATTCTGTGGTAAGACAAGTAAAACGTTGGAAACTTCTCTGAGAGTATCGAATTGATCTTCAATAACTGTTACTTGGAATTGTCTCATACATTTCTGATACTCTGACAAATCTCTCATCAATTTAATGGCTCCCAAATTGCTTACTGACATATCTTTAAGGGTATTGGTCAATAATTGGAAAAAATGCATACCCAATTTCGTCAAAAAGTATTCTCTATTCTTACCAAATAGACAGGTTTGAATCTGTTCGCAGTGTGTTGTCAGGAAGGAACAACATTTTGTGCAGCCCTGGGTTGGTTGATGTTCTACAAAGACAAACCTTGAATCATTTTCTTTTGGTTTATAGTCTGCTGCAATATTCTTTTGTTCCTTCTCCAAAATGAATTTACAATACTCTACAATAGATTTTAACATAATTTCCAATCCTTTCACAACATATGACTCGAGGGTAGAAAATAAATCATCTTTCAGCTTGATACATTGTAATTGCATTGGCAAGGATACAGACACAATGCTTGGCAGTACGTTTTGTTCCAAGTGTCTCTGTACTTTTTGGAGTACAGAATTTGTCAAGTGAATTGCCAAGTAGAGATCTGTGGATGGTTCCTTCTTGGCTCCATATGAAATAGTTGCCACAGAAAATTCGAGTCCCTTCTTTACATAATTACAAACAGCATTTTTCAGCAATTCAAAAATAGTGTACATATTCTTTGGGATTTCATTCTTTAGAGACAGTTTCTTGCATCTCAACAATGATTCAGTGTTAGTGTGAATAAAGTTTACAATAACATCCAATTGTAATCGAGGATAATCTTTGAGCATTTCAACTTGTTCAGGTACTTGCATAGCGTTGCTGAAAATTTGTAGCAAGTTGGAGCCAGAAAGAAGAGTTTTTTGAGAGGTAGCTAAGAGTTGTAATATTGGTGATTCCATTTCTTCAATTGGTTGAACAATCTCCTCATACTTTCCATCGACATATTTTTGTTCTACACTTCCATAACCCTTCTTTTTGACAAAGAAGATATTCTCAATGCTTCTTGTCAAGTTGGATTTCAAAGTTGGAATGTTAGAGTGTTCTGTCACCAGTCTATCCACAAAATTAATGGTGGTATTATAAATCTTTTCGAAATTTTTGAGGTATGATTCCAATCTATCTTCTTCTGGTTCTTTGAGGAGTGAACTCACAATTTCTTCCAGAATTTCATCAACAATCTTTTGAAGGAAGAGTAAAAGTACATCTCTAGAAGAGTTGGAAAATACTTCAGAAATGATAGAATATTCTGATGAGGTTGCCTTTTCAACTCTTGTTAAAAAGTTTGTGTATGCTTCAACATCATTTACACTCTTAATGACAGCATTGATACATTCCTGATATACAATTTCTCGAGTGTTAGACCGAGCTTCATCAAGTTGTTGTCTATATGTATCGAGAGTATTTTCTAGAGATTCGATATCCTCTTTTTCTGCATTACTATCCGTAGACTTATCTGTACCAGTATTATTCGTATTATTTTGAGAGACTTCTGTAGATGTGCCTCTTTCTTCGTCTTGATCTTCATCATCCTCATTTTCTTCTTCAACAACTGATTTGGTAGGTTTTTTAGATTCCAATTTAGTCTCTAATTCTTTTATATCTTTTAGGAGTGTTCCAAAATTTTCCTTCAATTGTTTTTCAACAGCCTCCGTTGTAAAGGTAATGAATTTTTCAAATCTCATCTTTACATAGAGATCAATGCATTTTGATTCATTCTTAATATCAAGCAAAATTCTGGCCTTTTTCTTCATTTCGCTAATACCTTGTTTTCTTTGATCCTCACTCAACTTGACAGATTGAGCAAAATCTTCCAATAAATTTTGTAAAAGGTCGTCATTATATAATTTGATATTGGCAATAGCATTTTTACATGAATCTACCTTTGTCAAATCAGCAGCAATGAGGGACAATTCTTGCACAATTTTGGCAGCGCGATGTTGTGATCCCTTCTTCTTAAAGATGGCATGGTTGAACTTTTTCTTTGGTAAAATTTCGTGTTTGAATTGTTCTGGGGTATAGCTGTTGAATTCATTAAAGAATTTCATCAATTGTTTAGCTTCAATAGCTCTACTCTTTTGTTTATCTACAGTGTCGAGAGTATTACCAATTTGTACAGTAGTATTACCAACTTGATTAATGACATCTTCGATATTTTTGAATTTTTCTGATATTGTCTTGATGGCTAATTAGTAATTAATTTAAAAAGATTACCTACCTCTAACTCTTGATGAAATGTTTGTAATTTGGACTGATGTTTCTGAGATGCAGCTTCAGTTTCTTTTACCAACTTTTCCACAGTAATATTTACATCTTTCATTAATCTTTCCATATCAACAATACTTCTGTGAAATAATTGTTGAAAAACTTCCAAATAATCAGCTTGTTTGTCCTCTAATTCTTGATTCGCACTGTTTGATCCAAATCCATTTGACGAATTATTGGAATTAATTCTATTAACTTCATTTAATAATTTATAAGTGAGTGTTTCGATAAATTCTCCTTCATTATAGTTTGCTCCGAATGCTGATTTTTCTTGGAACATGGTAATAGGATAGAAAGGAGTACATTTTTCTGTATTAGGTGGTGGAGGCATAAGAGGTGTGCTTGATCCTCTTTCCGATTTTGATTCGGATTTTGGTTCCTTTTCTTTTGAATTTTCTTTTGACTTGGTATTTTCCTTTGATGATGTAGTAGTTGGTGTTGGAGTATCCTTTTCATTGTTGCCTCTTACAGTTGATGAACGAGATGATTTGGTTTTATCGGATGATGATGTTGTGGATGATGATCCTTGATTAGTACTTCCTGCTCTTCTTCTGATAGGTTTTGTAGGTGTACCTTCTCCAGAAGTTAATGATGACGAGGCTCCAGATTTCCCCAACTCATTTCTACTGGTTGAAGATTTCATTTTTTAATATTTAAATTCTTTTGCATTACAAATTTATGAACGGTTGAGTACAATTTATTCAATGTTAAATTAAAAGATCGACATTTAATGGTAACAAAACCCTTTTAATTATTTATTAACAATTAATTGCATTGTTTAAACTTTAACTTGAAAATTCCCGCCTAAAAAATGTCCAATTTAACGATAGGAAATAAACAACCCTCATCATCAAATCTTCCTTCACAAGGACAATCAAACCAAAACAATATGACAACAACACAGAGTAAATTAATTAATTCCTCATCATCAGCAGCCAATGTGAAGGCATCATTAGAAAACACAACTGATAAATATCGGAATGAAAATCTCATCATTGATCAACAAGAGGAAACAACACATTCAAATGGTGGATTTATGCGAGTTTTTCAAGAATTAAAGGACAAGGCTACCAACATGTTATTCCAACATCAATATTGGAATTTATTTTCTTCGGCAGCATCGAATTCAGTTCCAGTCGAAGCCTCTAACAAATTTGATTATTTGGGAGACAATAACCACCAAATAAGACCACCTTTTATTATTGAAAGATTTGATAGACCAATTATGAGCGGCGGAAAGAAGGGTGTGCAGAGAAAGACTGTTCCACTCTTACAGTTGGAAAATTATTTAAATAAGTGTTTGGTGAATCAGGAAATTGCCATCAAGACAGTTTGTTTCTGCTTACTTCGTCAGTCTACAATATGGTCCTACTCTTATCATCAACTCACGAATGAAAATCAATTCATTTCAAATATGGAAGATAATCATCAGATAAGGAAGCAAACAAAGATACCACTCTCTTTGTTCTTAATTGGACCTGTTGGATGTGGAAAAATTTATCTGTCAAAACTCATTGCCCAATCACAAAGCAGACCATTTGTACTCTTAGATATGAGCTATTTTACCGAGGAGGAAGATTTATCAAATCTTGTACAATTTTCTGATGAGTATAGATATTCTGAACCTTTCAATTACATGCTAGGTCAATTAAATGTCATTCTAGAGACCACTCCAAATGCTGTAATTGTATTCAATAATATGGAGAGTGCCCATCCATCTGTATTCAGATTTTTACATCAACTCTTCAGATCTGGCATTATTCTAGAGCAAAAAACGAGAAAGCAATCATCCTCACTAGAACCTGGGAAAAAAGAAAAGAAGAAAGATAACGAGGATGATTTGGTGAAAATAATAGATGCCAGCCAGGCCATATTTATTTGCATTTCTGTAATAAGTGACCAAGTTGTGAAAAAGAATATTCTGGAGAGTGGACCAAATAATTTAATAGAGAAATACGAAAAGGAGAAAAAGACAATAGGTAATTGGGATAATGGATTTGAAGGTTACGAGAATGAGGATGCCTATGATTATGATTTTAAACGAAGAATGAATCGTACAAAGGTTGCACCTCCTCCACCTTCTTCAAAGTTTGTTGACCAAGTTACTTCTTCATACTCAACCATTGATGCCTTAGATAGAGTGATTGAATTTAGACATCAAATCACACCAATACTGGTCGATCATTTGAATAATTCTAACAAATCGACAGAAGAAAGCAAACAACCAAAATGCTTTGATGCATTCCTCCATCAATTTAATGCTATTATACCATTCTTTGCCTTCTCAGATATTGAGCTTTGTAATCAAATTGTGACACAATTGAATGTCTTTTCAACATTTGCCTTTACTCAAAAAAGATTCAAAATGACATGGAGTGAGGATGTTGTGATATGGCTCATGAAGAGATATAGACCTTCCCTTACTGTTACAGGTGTGTTAGAAAATCATATTCTTACGCCACTGGCAGCTTCTGATCACTTGTTTGCGGAGAATGATCATATCCATTTGGAGGTGTCTCCTGAGCTGGATAGGGTTAGTGTTGTTGTTTTGAATAGAAGAGATGATATTCAACTAAGAAGAAGTTTGAATGTAATTCAATCTAAATTATAAACATTCCATGAATTCAAAATAATTTAAAATCAATTTAGAAAAAAATGAAATTCTTCTCCTCACTCAAATCGTCAAAATTCCTTCATCACCTCAGCCAACAATCATCCAATAGTAATATTAAACAAATCACTATTAATTTTATTCGGATTAAATACCATCAAATAATTAAAAATTCACTACCATTCCGAATACTTTTACCGATTTCTATTCTCAGTATGCTGACATCATATCTGAGTGTCATTAGAGATTATAATAAGACTGTAGAATTAAACATTCCGTATGATGTATATAAATTTAGTATGAAAGTATCAAAATCAATAATAGATGAATTAATACAATTAAAAAATCAAAATTATCCTCTCGATAATGTTGAACAAATTACTGATTTATTGAATACTAAAATATTTGATAATGAATATTCAAAATTAATGTGTGAATATATCTTACAAAATTATGGAAAGGATATTTTGAAATTGTTGAATAGTAATCTCAACTCGGAATTGATATTTTCTGAACTCTTCACTATTATTGATTATTCTAAAATTTCTGAAAGGTTTTACAATGAACACATTGAGCTTGCATCTCTTTCTTCGTTCTACTTGAAATCTGAATGGAAGTGGAGGTTTTACAATATTCTAAATAGATAATAAACCAAAATCCCTCCACAGGAGTAATGTAAATCTTAAATAAGGTTAAAATGTCATAAATGAAATTGAGACGACCGTTACAACATGATTTAAAAGGAGAGTAATACGGCCAAACACAAATGTAAAGTATTCTAAAAACAAACAATTATAATTTTACGGAGTTATTTGCAAGGGGGGACATAGTGAAGAATTTGTTGAAGTCATACATTTTTTAAAAAATATTATGGTACAAGAAACTCATTATTTTCAATTAAAATAAATAAAAAAATTTATTTTTGAGCTTCAATGAATGCATAAGATGACAATTTTTTGAAAAGAAAATCAGTTTCCATCAAAATTGAATAAACAACTGGATTTTCACTATTCTATTATCCTGTGCTAATTTAATAAATAAATTTATGCTTGTTTGTTCTCATATTTTTCCAGTCGTTTATAGACATTAGCAGAAACGGTTATAGAAATAATAGTTGATTGAAATCAATTATTTACTCCAAAAATAAGTATAGTTTACCAACTAATTTTTTTCCTTATTATAAAATAATGATAAAATGACGAACAACTTTCATCAAGTTTACATTACTCTAATAAGTCATATTGACAGACAAATATTTTACCACTGATAATATATATCTATTATAACGAATCCATGAATTTTTATTGGCTGAGGTTGTTTATATATAGACATAATACTCATCTCTTTACAACAAAATTTCGCTAGTCATTTTTTGACGAAGTATTTCCTACTACTTACCTCCTGTGGGATACACCAAGATCAATACTGATTCTGACGACTCGGCTCTTTAGAGTATAATTATATAGATACTATTCACCTATCTCTCAAATGGTGGCGAGAAAATATCAATGGTATGGTACTTTAAATGTTATGGGAACTTTACACTAATATTACACAATAACTACAATAATACCAAAAAAACAGAAAAAAGTTTTAGATATACCATTGAGTTGACTGTCTATTCTGAAATCTTCATTTCACCATTTATTGTATATATCAAGAAAGAAAGCAAAGCCTTTCTCCCTATGGTTGCTTCAAAACTTTACCGTGCAAGTAGCTTGTCTAAAAATAACTATGTCCCCCCTTGGTTATTTGAAGTGTGTTGTAAATTTGAGGTCACATAAATGTTGTTACTCCTCATTTCTCCCATCCTTCCTCTGTGCCTTCATTCATTGAATACTATGAAATACATGTATTTTCAATAATTTTAAAACAACTTTTAAACTTCTATAAATTTCTCCTCAACAAACACATCATCACCATTGTAAATTGTAGTGCAACACAGTGGAAAATTTAAACATATTCGCTGAATTTTAATTGAAATGACCCAAAATCCCTAGAGGAAAAATCGCCAAATAAATTCAAATGGCTTGATATTTAAAATGTGGATTCACCTCTCGCGTTTTACTTTTGGTCTCTGTGGAGATGCACCACGAAAAAGAGCGAAAAAAACAACTCTACAACAAGACTGTGTTGTTTCTATTCATTCAATTGTTCTCTCTGTTGCTGCTGCTGCTCTGCTACTTGCACACATATTCCCCTTCCCCTACTACTAGTTAACTAGTGTGTTACTACTTTCGAGTATCATTGTAAATTTACATTTTTCAAATCATCATCACTTTAATTGCATCATGGCCTCATTGTTGAAGGAAAAACAATTGTCGTTTTGGTCACAATTGTTGAGTCAAAATCAAAGTTTGAAATTGCCAACTGATTATCCTAGAGTTATGTTAAATGATGAAGCAGCTTCATCAACTTCTACTACCTCTACTACCCAAGTTGAGTATAAACCATTAGAATATACCATTTCAATGGAACAAGTGTTGAATAGTAGCAAATTTAGAGAACTGTTTATCAAGAATGGAGATTCAGAGGCACAACAATTATTTACTAAGAATTCATTCATTCTCTCCTTATTTGTTGTATTATTATGTAGATATACATATGAAGAAACCTTTTTAATTGGTGTATTGCAAGATTGTAATGAAGAAAAGGATTCATTCATCTTGTCAGCCAATATTCCAATGCCTTCCAATGAAGAAGATACATTTGAAGGTATTTCACAAAGTGATGCTACTGAAAAGTATAGTTTTAAAAAGTTACTTTCCAATATTCAACAATCATACAATGATTCATTGAATCATTTATCATATTTCAATAATGTAAAGAATATTCTCGAACAATTTTTGTCTAACAATGCTAATGCTGGTAATATTGATACAAATTTACTCGTTCAAGTTTCTTATAGTTCCTATGCCGGTCCATTCACTAAGGTGGACAAACCATTCCCTATTTCTAATGTTGATTTAAATTTACACTACAATACTCAATCTAACGAACTCAGTATCATTTATCAAAATAACTTGTTCACAGAATTGAGAATGGCTGAATTATTGAATCAATTGAAATTAGTTTCTGAACAAGTATTGTCGAGTAATTGCAATGTCTCTATTTATGATATCAGTTTGGTGACTGAATATGCCAAGAAGGTTTTACCACACCCTGATAAAGCTTTGAATAACGATTTCATTGGTCCAATTCATGAAATTTTCCAAGAACAGGCTAAACAAACACCAGATAGAATTACCATGGTTGATAATCATGAAAGTGTTACCTTTGAACAATTGAATCGAGTTTCCAATCAGTTATCAAGACACTTACTTCATAAGGGATTGAAGAGACAGGAGGTTGTGACAATCTTTGGTCACAGATCTTGTCCAGTTGTGTTGGCCATCTTGTCTACATTGAAATGTGGTGCAATTTTTAACATGTTAGATCCTGCTTATCCAGCCGACAGAATTATCACTTGTTTGGAAGTTTCAACACCATCTGCAGTTATTTTAATTGAAGCTGCTGGTCAATTACCAAAGTCTGTCATTGATTTTATCAATGAAAAGACCAAGTTTGTAACAGTATTGAAATCCATGACTGATATTCTTAATGAGAATGTCTACTCTGATTATAACGATTCCAATTTGAGTGAAGATCCAACTTTGAATGTTAAAATTACACAAGATGACTTTGCTGTTTGCACCTATACATCAGGAAGTACTGGTATTCCAAAGGGTGTTTTGGGAAGACACGGTCCTCTCACTCACTATTATCCATGGATGAAACAATATTTTGGCTTTAGTGAAAATGACAGATTCTCAATGCAATCTGGTATTTCTCACGATCCTTTGCAACGTGACATTTTTACTCCATGGTTCTTGGGATGTACCATGTATATTCCATCTAATGAAGATATTGTCAATCCAGGTCGTCTTGCTGAATGGTTCGAAGAAAAGAAGATTACAGTTTGTTGTTTGACTCCACCAATGGGTCAATTGTTGGCTACTGCTGCATCTGTCATTAACACATCATCTCAATTGTTCCAATTGAATCATTTGAGATATGCATTCTTTGTTGGTGATGTCTTGTCTAAGAAATTCGTTAAGAGATTGTGTGACATTGCACCAATCGTTAAGGTTATCAACTTGTATGGATCAACTGAAACTCAACGTTCTGTTACCTACTATATGGTCCCACGTCCAGGTGAAAAGTGTATTGAAACTGGTATTCCTTTCGAACAATTGAAGGATATTTTACCAATCGGTAGAGGTATGCAAGATGTTCAAGCATTGACATTGAGCAGATTCACTTCTCGTGATAACAAATTCATGTTGTCAGGTATTGGTGAAATGGGTGAAATTTACATGAGATCTCCTCATCTTTCTCAAGGTTATAAGGGTAAGGAAAAGGATACTCGTGAAAAGTTCATTCCAAATCCATTCATGACCAGTGGTTATGTGGATAGAATGTACAGAACTGGTGACTTGGGTAGATATTTAATTAGTGGTGATGCTGAATGCAGTGGTAGAGCTGATGACCAAATTAAGATTAGAGGTTTCAGAATTGAATTGGGTGAAATTAACACCTGTCTGAACTCTCACGAATTTGTTAAGGAAAGTGTTACCATTGTCAGAGAAGATTGCATTCAAAATGAAAAGCGTATTGTTACATACTTTGTTTTGGATAAGGTTGAATTAGAAAAGAATTCTACCCTCAACGCCAAGAATGGAAATTATATGGAATCTAGTATAATCAAGACCATCATTAAGGATTTGAGACAACACATCAGAACCAGATTACCAGATTATATGATTCCTTCATACTTTGTTCCATTGGAAAAGATTCCATTGACTCCAAACGGTAAAATCAAAAAACAAGATTTACCAAATCCAATTCACATGCCATCTTTGGATTCTGGTGATGAAGAAGGATATGTTGCTCCAAGAAATGATTTGGAAAAGCAATTACAACAAATTTGGGCTGATGTTTTATCACGTGGTAACACTGATAACATTGGTATCCATGATAACTTCTTTGATTTGGGTGGTCACTCTATCAATGCTACAACATTGACCTTGTTGATCAGAAATCAAGTTGAAGGTGCTCAAAAACTCCCAGTTGAATTATTGTTCAGAGCTCCAACCATCTCTGCTCTCGCTGTTGCTATTGAACAATTGAGAAGTGGTCAAACCAAAAATCAACACTTGATTCAAGATGTTTCTATGGATACTCACTTGGAAGCATTTATCAGACCTCAACATCAATTGAACTTTAACGATTTCATTTCCTATTCCAAGGTTTGGCAAAATCCAAAGAACATTTTGATTACTGGATGTACTGGTTTCTTGGGTACATTCTTGTTGGCTGACTTTTTGAAGAAGTCAACTGCCAAGATTTACTGTTTGGTTAGAGCTGAAAATGAAGAAAAGGCCAGAAAACGTATTTTGGAATCCCTCTTGTCATATCACTTCTTGTGGACTTCTAAGGAAATGGATCAAGAAGAAGAAATGGACTCTGTCAACTCTATTAACAGAAATAACTTGGCTCAAGTTGTTGAAATGAGAATTATTCCAGTTTTGGGAGATTTGACTAAACCATTGTTGGGTTTGAATGAAAACAAGTTTGAAGAAATGACCAACATTATTGATATCATTGTTCACAATGGTGCCGCTGTCCATTGGCTCTACAGTTATGACAAGTTGAAGGCCTCCAACGTTAATGGTACTCGTGAAATTTTAAAGATGGCTTGTGCTGGTCAAAAGTTGACTCCAGTTCACTATGTTTCCACAACATCTGTTTTTGACTCTGAACAATATAAGGAATTCACTGATGTCTATGAAGATTCCACACTTCCATATCACGAAGATTTGACTGGTTATCCACAATCCAAGTATGTTGCTGAAAAGTTGTGCATGAATGCTCGTATGAGAGGTTTACCAGTTTGTATCTACAGACCAGGTTATATTACAGGTCACGCCAAGACTGGTGTCTGGAATCCAGATGACTTCTTGTGTCGTATGATTAAGGGTTGTATCCAAATGGGTTACTATCCAGATATGCCACTCTCCAAGTTGGATATGTCTCCTGTTGATTTCATTTCTGGTGCCATTGTTCACTTGTCAAGAACTATGGACTCTGTTGTTAAACATCAAGCTTATCACTTGGTCAATCCTCACGAATTCTTCTTCAATTCATTATTCGAATGTGGTAACAAGCTTGGTTACAGTATCAAGCCATTGCCATTCAAGGAATGGAAGGAAAAGTTATATCAAGCTACTGTTAATAGAGATAAAAGTGCTGAAACTGAAACTGGAAAGGTTGTTGAAGAAAATGTATTGTATCCATTGGTAACCTATTTCACTGATGATTATGACTTGAAGATGACTGCCAAGCGTCCATGGTATGATAACACTCACACTTTGGAAGGTTTGGAAAATTCCAATGTTACTTGTCCAAAGGTTATTGAATTGATGACCACTTACTATTGCTTCTTGTGCAAGTGTGGTTTCTTAAATCCTCCTCAACACCCAACTGATTTGGCTAAAAAGTTTGGTTTCCACAAAATTCCACAAAACTTGGAAAGAGATCCAAAAGCTGCTCTTCCATTGGATTTATCTTTGGTTTCCTTACACTCTGATGTCAATAATACTGAATCTCCATCCCCAACCTCTTTCAATTACCAATCCCTCATGAGAAATAACAGAATTTAAACAATTTGCTGATAGATCTCTAAAACTCAACTACTACCCAAAATAACAAACCCAAATAAATTATACTATTAACCATCAATTATTCCATGAGTTTTAAATGAGTTTTAAGGTAAAAAGCAAAATGACCACTGCTTGATTTAGCCATTTTTCTGAGCTTGTTGGATCTTGTGTTGAATAATTTGATTTCATCACTCAATAATTTATAAAGAGAGTATGTTGAACTACTAATTATGGATTCTCTCACTTGGTTGCCTGAATCAGAAGTTGGCTCAGATGTTACAATATTTAGATTGTAAGTGGTGTTACTCAAGTACAATTAAATAATTTATTCAAATTATTACAATTTACCATCCAAAACATCTTGGAATTCGTGATTCTTATGATAATTCAAAACAATATCACTTCCACCAATAAATTTACCATTAACATATAATTGAGGAATTGTTGGCCAATCGGAATATTCCTTCAAAGCTTCCTTCATCATGGTATCCTTATTCATATTTTCGGAATGATATTCAACATCGTAGAGTTTCAAAACTTGAACAACAGCACCAGAAAATCCGCATTCAGGTCTTTGTGGTGTTCCTTTCATAAATAAAACAATATTGTTAGATTCGATAATCTTTTGTATTTCTTCCTTCTTCTTTTCCATCAATTCATTAATATTAACTTGTGGTGGTTTACGGACAGTTTTAAAGTCATCATGGAATCCACTTTCATCTCCAAATACTCTTTGGGAGGTGGAGAAATTACGAACCAAACAAGAAGCAGCAACCTTGTTGGTACGAATGGCTGATGAGAGAATAAGACGTTGACGAGCAAGCATTTTTTTTTGATTGACTTTTCCGCTTCTTTCTGTTTTATTGAAAATAATATTTGGATTACTAATCGAAAGACTATTGATCTAGATTGAAGATTATTTTAATGTAGGTTAAAGGTGTTGTGAGTTTGTTGCCACTCATTGAATTTTCCTCTACCTTTGTGATATGGATAGAGGAAGATGATTTCCAGATCTACATTGTTGTAAATTACACCATTTCTCATATCCTTGTCCTGAATTGGTGTCTTGTTCTTATCCCATAATCTGTAAATGGAGTAAATAGATCCCAGTGTTGCTTCTTCTTTGGCATAGAGTGTTTGTATCTTTTTTTTGAGCTGTCTTAGACTCATTTCATTTGGTAATAATTCGATCTGTCTCATGTAGAATTCTCCTCTTGGTCTAACATTCACCACTATACTACCTTCTTTGAGGTCTTCCTTAGGAATGAGCTGGTGACCGATTTGGTTGTTGTAAATCTTTCTGTGATAGTCAGCCACCTTTATGCACAATCTGCATGAAGAGTGCAAAATTGACAGATCCATCATGGCAATAAAATCATGTGATGGTCCTTCTTCCTTCCATTTCAAATATTCATTGTATTTTTCATCATCCTTATCTAACATTTTCAAATATTCTGCTAATTCCTTAATGGTTGCAAAATCAGAAACTGAAATAATTGACTTCTCGTGTGGTAAGAATTTTTTAACATTTGGAGCTCCCAAATAAACTGGAACACTTCCAGAGTCAAATGTTCCGAACAATTTTTCAGTGACATAATCGTCAGTTTCTGAATTTTCAGCTGCAAATACGAATTTGTATGTCGAAGTTAATCTTGTCTTGATGCCCAAATAGTCACCATCTCTTGTATCTGGCATTTGTGTGTTGTGCAAACATTTACCATATGAATGGATTGTAACTCCATGTTCCTCCAATTCCTTGATGATATTCAATCGTTTTGGTGGTCCACAATTTGAAATGAAAACCGCCATCATTGCAGTTGCTGTCTTATTCTTTGGTGGGTCCATATAACTATATTCAGCCCAGCTAAAATATTGAACTGGAACATCTGAAGATAAATCAGTTGTACCTATTAAACTATGGGTGGATGCCTTTCTCAATTTAATATTTTCCATGGTAAATTGATACGAAAATGCGTGTGGACAACCACCACTAGGTGAATCTCTCCCAGAAAACACATCTGGTGGGTTTGCCTCTCCAACACATCTTATTGGACAATTGGTCAACTCGCCTGTAAATTTACCTCTGACCTTAATTGGATTTTCGTTATAATCTCTATTCTCGTTATCTGGGCAATTGGCTAATTCCCTTCCACCGTTAAGAGGTATCTGATATACCTGCTTGTCTTGATTTTCAATGGATGTCACTTCAGTGTTGTGACTGACCGATTTGTTTGATCCATTTTGCTTATCCCTCAATAGTTTTTCCCTCCTACTGAGGTTCAAAGTCGTAAGTTTGGTTCGAGTCTTGTCTATTGGATCCTCCTTATCATTAACTTTTGTTGTAGGTGTGAGTACAGGTGACGATGGTGCAATGGGCGATTGCTCTCTAATCGGAGGTTGTTGTGATGAGGTTTTTTGTGGTTTTATCACAATGGAAGATGTTATTGTTGTCTCGGGTGGTGATGTAAGCTTAATCAAATTTAGATTTAGGGAAGAATATTGATGTAATTTTGAACTATTAATTTCCTTTACAAGGAGAGAATATTTGTTAATTAGGATGGTTATAACAACAAAGCAGCACAATAACAGGGCCGTCTGTACTATTGTTATAATTTGTAGAGTTTTCATAGGAGCAGAATAATTTTTAGAGGAAAATGCAGGGATGAATTTTTGGTGTTGTTGCACTTTTTAAAATTATTACACTGAGCTGAACCTACATCTATATCAAGTGTGGTTTTCCAAACTTTACCACAAGTTAATGAAGGTAGAATTTGTGAGTTTGTTGCCACTCATTGAATTTTCCTCTTCCTGGATGATAAGGATAAAGGAATATAACCTCCAACTCAATACTATTGTGAATAATACCATTTCTAAAGTCTTCATCCTTGATTGGTATCTTGTTATTGTCCCATAATCTGTAAATGGAGTGAATAGATCCGACAGGAAGAGGATTATCAGCATACAATTTCTGTATCTTTCTCTTGAGATGTTTGAGACTCATTTCATTTGGTAATAGTTCAACTTGTTTCATGTAGAATTCTCCTCTTGGTCTAACGCTCACAATAATGCTGTCCTTTCCAAGTTTATCTTTTGGAATTATTTGATTTCCAACCTGGTTGTTGTAAATCTTTCTGTAGTGATCTGCAACTTTGATGCACAATCTGCATGAAGAGTGTATAATAGCCATATCCATCATGGCAATAAAATCATGTGATGGTCCTTCTTCCTTCCATTTCAAATATTCATTGTATTTTACATCATCCTTATCTAACATTTTCAAATATTCTGCTAATTCCTTAATGGTCGCAAAATCAGAAACTGAAATGACGGATTTTTCACTTGGGGCAAACTTTTTAACATTTGGAGCTCCCAAATAAACTGGAACACTTCCAGAATCAAATGTTCCAAAAAGTTTCTCAGTGACATAATCGTCAGTTTCTGAATTTTCAGCTGCAAATACGAATTTGTAAGTGGAGGTAATCCGAGTTTTAATTCCCAAATAGTCACCATCTCTTGTATCTGGCATTTGTGTGTTGTGCAAACATTTACCATATGAATGGATTGTAACTCCGTGTTCCTCCAATTCCTTGATGATTTCCAATCGTTTTGGTGGTCCACAATTTGAAATGAAAACCGCCATCATTGCAGTTGCTGTTTTTGGTTTTGGTTTGCTCATGTAACTATATTCAGCCCAACTAAAATATTGAACTGGAACGTCAGTTTTTAAATTAGTCGTACCTACTAAACTGTGGATATTGGTCTTGAACATTGGTTGATTTTCCATTGTAGAAATGAAGGAAAAAGAGTTTGGACAGCCATCAGGAGGAGCATCTCGTCCCACATACACATCAGGTAAACTTGGTTGATTTGGATAGCCATCTCCAACACACCTAATGCTACAATCTCTAAATTCCCCATTAAAAAGTCCTGATACTCTGATTGGTACCTGTTTGTAATCTCTCTTTCGTTTATCTACACATAATGGATTACTGGTTTCGTTGGGATTACCTTGCAATGTTGGTTCGTCTGGTAATGGTTTGGGTGGAAACTTATTTGGATTTGCAACAATGATATTTTCCGAATCATCCATTGTTTTTTCCTCTTGTTCAATTTCGAGTTCCTTTGTCATTTTTGTGGGAGGTATAGAAAGAACTGGTTGGAGCTGTTGATGCAAATTTCTGGGGAGAATAACAGCTGAAGGAGGTACCTTCTTGTTGATGAGAGGAATTTCTCTCACCCTATCGGAATCAATCAGTGCCAACTTGTGCACATCATGATTAATTATGCCTGTCTGGTGATTCAAACATTTCGAATATCCATTTATCAAGAAACAAATAAACACAAAACAACACAACAACAATGTTGTCAACACAATGATCGCAAAATTTTGAATTTTCATCTCTATTTTGTGATCAGATAAATTAACAAACAGGTTTAACAGCTGCAGTAACTTCTGACCCCAATCTTCAAGTTATTTTTTTTAAAAAGTGCGCGCCAACCCTGTACTGTGTCACTATTCTCTTCAGCCACCTTCCTTATTGGATGCCACACACAAGTAGACCAATCCTTGTTGGGCACACGTTTCAAATGGTGTCTATTTTGATGTTCATGTTGGTGGAACTTGTTCAAAGTACAGATTTATACCGTTTTAAAAATTACAATGGTTAACTTGATAACTTTATTCTTCTTGGGATTTCTTTTCAATTAAATCCAAAATAACCTTTCTCAATTGGGTAGCTTTTGAAGGTGTAATTTCTGATTCGATTTGAGCATCTGAAAGACCATGCTCTGCAATATATTCACTCATTGCCAATACATAAATTCCACAATCATATCCACTGGTAGAATATTTATCCAATATAACTCAATTGTTGCACTTACTTTTTTTGTTGAGGAGCTTTAGCAATATGTAAATTGGAAGCTTTCACACCAAAATATGGAGCCACCTTTGAGGCAAGATATTTGGCAGCTGACTTGTTCATGGATCCCATTGAATCAAAATAATAGAATTTTCCAGAATTACTTTCAAAAACTAATAAGCTCCAATGTGTTCCTCCTGAAGATGAAATGTCTGTATTGTCAGTCACTGGGAAAAATACAAGTTTTTTATCCTTTGCATTTAGTGAATGTAATGTATTTTTAATTTCATCATCATCAACCATGGAAATAATGAAAGAAACAGATGGTGCAACAAAACAATATTCTCTGAATTTTTCATTCTCCAAAAACAAGTAATAAAAATTGATAATATTATCATTCAGCCAATAATTTCCGAGTAATAGTGAGACATCCTCTTCAATCAATCCTTGTGAATCATAAAATGTTTTTGAAAAATCTTTTGTGAGCCAAGATGGCTTTGCAAGTCGTGACATTTTTTCTATTTTTTTAATTCTCCTCTTTGTTGTAAACTATGCACTTGGAATACAGCAACAAATTAATAAATTGAAAATAAAGGATAATATTATTCGAAACATTAATAATGATTATATTTACAAAAATTTACAAATAATTACAAATCCCTAGCTTTCTTAATTTCTTGATATTTTCTCAATAATTCGTCCACTCTGAGATATTTCTTAGAATCGTGTCTAATCAGGAAGACTAAATCTTCTGGATTTAATCTACCCTTCTTTGAGATTTTAAGAGCTTCCGAAACAATTTCATGAACATATTCGCGCACTAATTCTTCCATGAGTGTCACTGTCTCTGGGAGAGGATTCCTCACATCACCAAATCCATACATCATTTGTCTAATATGTGGAGCCAATTCAGTCTTTTTTCTTCCTGAGCCTTCTTTTGGCTCTCCTTTTGATTTCCTCTTTGATTTCTTTTTTGGTGTATCATCATCCTCATCGTCATTATCATCGTCCTCATCATTGTCATCATCATTATCGTCCTCTCCAGAAAATTCATCACCATTCGGATTTGATTCCGGCATATCATCATCATCGTCAACATCTTGTTTTTTCTTTGTATTTACTTCTGGCATATCGTCGTCATCGTCGTCATCGTCCACATCGGCAGCTGCTTGCTTCTTTTTTGATTTTGTAGTTGTCTTTTTTTTCTTTTTAGGCTGTGATGAAGAAGAGCCTCCTTTAGATGTCCTCTTCCTTGTAGTTCCTTTCTTTGTTGTTGGTGGTCCCATAGATTCTGCTCCTTCCGAACCAACACTCGTTCCATCTTGGCTCGGATCATAATTAACGAATTTTGTAAAGGTTTGTTGTGATGATGGAAGATTATTAATACTCGACAATAATCCAGTCAAATTACTTGTATCAACATTTTGTTGTTGGGGTGGTCCAGCATAAAAGTTATATTGACTCATTTTTTTTGATAATTATTATTGTTTTAGAGCCATGATAACAATGTCGAAACATATTCAGGATATAAGTTCTGATTCCTTCATAAGTAGATATGCATTGATATGGCCATCTATATTGTTAACGATCAAGCTACAGAATTGTATTGGATTGTGAAATATATTTCAGAAACAATTGTTAGTTTTTATAACATGTCGGTTATGTAGTAAACACAACTAAAAAAGTCTTTCAGACCAAACACCATCTGCAAATGAGAAAGTCTTTCTATCATGAGAGTACGTATGCCTCTCAGCCTCTTCATTAAACTGTTCACAATTTCTGTTGTGATAATTAGCACACTCATTTAACATGGCAATGGACATTAAAGCATTTTCATCCAAATAGAGAGCATCAACACTGTTATAGATTCCAATTTTCCATTTACCAGTGGTTTTTCTGTCTCTTGTTCTTGGATACCCAGCATCGTAATCTTCAGAGATATCTTGATTGAATAAAAGGTATGAATAATCAGCATTCAAAACTAAATCAAAAATCATGAGATCGTGATTGTATTGGGAATGTTCACCGACCTTGAATTGGAATCTCCATGTTCCAATCAATCTTTCTTCTTCAGTTAGTTTTGAAAGGATGTATGATACTCCATAAGGGTCATTCTTCAAAGCTGCTTCAATCACTTTTTTATCTTGTCTCAGTTCCTTCGATGCATATCTAATAGACTGGCCTGAATTTGAAACAGCTTCCATCACAACATCCTTATCATTCTTGAGCGCTTCACTTGCCAAGCATAAGTTTTTACCATATTTCATTGCTTTTAAGGCAACTTCCTTAATGCATCGCTTGCTCAAAGGGAAAAACTTGTAAATGGAAGGAATAATAGTCAAAATCTTAGCCAAGAATTTTTCATTATTCTTCAATGACTCATCAATGTATTTCCATTGTTCAACATCTCTGGAAAGAACAAGTGTAACCATCTCTTCATCAGCAGTGAAACACCTATCAACATTAGTAAAATAGGAATAATTAGTAAAGTAAGTTAAATGAGCCTTTACAATATCTCTATCCATCTTTAAATAAGGTGGAATATCTCTATTTGCCTTACCTTGTCTGTGAATAATTTCCAAACAAAGTTCCTTTGATAATTCTCTAGGTTTTGTATAATCAAAGATTGAAGAATTTGATGAAGCCAACAAAATCAATTCATCATCATTCTTCAATCGATCGGAAGCAAATTCAATTTTTCTTCCATTCTTTGAAATAAGTTTCGTGACAACGTCCTTGTCATCCCTTAATGATTCGGGGAAATATTCAAGGGAGGGTAATATGTATCCGTGTTATCCAGCCAACGCTGGATTGAAAGGATTTTGTCAGATGTGAGTGGATTCCGTCGACTGCCAGTGGATTTTTATCTGGATAAATCATTCAAGGCTCGGATTTAAAACAAGTAATTGATCAAGAAAATCCTTATCATTCCAAAGGTCCATGTTAGCATGAATTGGACCATAATATCTTTTCTTATAATCCATCAAGACCATTTCCTTATCACTTTTATAGATGGCTGGTAATTTATCAAGAGAAAAACCTTTTGAGAGGGCAAGGAAGGCCAATGAGCGATCATTTTCAAACACTACCATTGGTATTTGACCAATACAATAACTGCCAGTCTTTTGCAAGGTAATTCTGACAACATCAACGTCCAACTTTAATTCAGCAGAGAGTTTGGAATAGGTTGAATAATCGCGAGGGATTTTTTCTAAGGCTGTTGCCTTATCTATTGTTTGTGACATTTTGAACTTTTTGCGCTGTGGAGTGATGCTATTTTTTTAAAGTTGCGAGTTGACTGGTAGTGAACTTTGTTGTTACAATGGAATATTTTTCTACTAATTGGGTTTGTTAAACTAGTGTTGTGAACGTTCAAATGCGTAATAAAGGCCAACTGTTATTTCATTGGCATCGTTAAATTTTTCAAAGACTTTGAGTTAGATACTACATTATTTCACATAATTATCAAAAATATTGTCACTTATTGTTGACTGAGATAGAAGATTTAAATATTCAACTAATTTCATCAGATATGCACATGTAAATTGAAAATAGTCTTGCACCAATCTTAATAAAGATTCAAAAGACAAAATTCATTCCATTAAACAAATTTCCGAATGATAAAGTTGGTAAGGATAGCCAAAAATAATAAATGGGATTTGCAAATCGAATTTTTCCCGCCTGAATATTTTTTAAAAATAACAAAAAAAAATTAACAAAATGGCTGGCCGTAAACGTTCAAACTCTGGATCAGGCAAAGTGTATGTTGCATTTTGTTTATTGTACTCACGAATTTAGTAAATTTTCTGATGCCATAGTAAAAGAGAAAGTGAAACAAGCACTAAATGGTGTCCAGGATAGAAATATTGAATTCAAAATTCCATCAAATTGGTCTACAAACCAAAACTACGTTAGTCAGTTCAGAGATTGTTTTTATCACTTGAACATTAAATTGGCAGAGTCTTCCGAACATGAAATTGTGAAGAGTAATTTATATACAAATTGTTTGATGGCCATCAACAAGTTTGTCTACTCACCAAACAATGAAACAGCAAATGAAGTGTTTAAAGTTTTTGATTTTGCAAAAGAAGAGGACTTGGGTCGAAATTATTGCTTGTTATTCAAAGCCTTGTTTCCGAGCAGATTCGAATTACCTGGTTGGAAAGACACATCAGAGCTTACCAAAACTGGCTCTCACTTTTCTCCTCTTTTTGATTTGGCTGTTTGTTTCCAAAATTATTTCAGGTGTGGGTATGTATCATAACAATTTAATTTTACTAAAGAGTAAAGAAATCAAGTGGTTAAAGACTTGTTTCATGACAATGAAGTATTTGAGGATATAAATTTAGGTGTTAAACCAGACGATGTTTTGATTAGAAAATACAGAGATAGTATTGATGTTATCAAATTGATAAGAGAAGATAAACCAGACATAGTTACACATCATTATATGCATAAAGACTTTTTGAAGTTAATAATACAAATGAGATTGAGCTTGGCCTATGCAATAAGAAACCTTATTACCAGTGATTCAACAATCATTGATAGCCATTCCAAACTTTTCACAATAGGAGTGAACACAAGCAGTAAGAAATCTTTTGTTTATGTTATGAACGTGTTAGTAACTAAAAATGAAAATGATGCAAAAAATGATTTTGATTTGAGTTATGTGCTGCACTATGTTGGTTCATTTTCAAATGATTGCACGAAAATAGATATAACGAAAGCAGACGAAGGCGAATTTTTGACAAGTACTTCGGGCTCTAATGAATTATTTTCAGATATTGATTCGTCCGTTACTCTCGAACACGAGCCCATTCAAGAAAAATCAGCAGATGAAAAATATTATGGAAGAGTAGAACTTGTTGCATTTCTATTATGTATTTTTTATGACGTTGAATTCAACAAAATGCAAGAATACCTAAAATCCCATACTAGTTCATCCGTTTGTGACTCTTCCAAAAAGCAAAAGCAATACCGGTATGCAGACAACTCCATTATTTCCATCGAACCGTTTGGAAATGTTTGCTTCAATAAGGACTCTTCTTTTACATACTTCTCAAAACGAAATAATTTAGTGAAAGGTGACATTTTCTTTAAGGAAACACCAAAACATTCTGTTACAGTATTCTCAAAAGACACAGTTATTGAGGAAGGGAACATGGTTTTAAGATTGCGCAACACTATGTTAACGCCCTATTTGAATGACGATCACCGTGGTTTATTCAGTTTGGCAGGTGATTGTCTTGCTGATGTTATTGGAATGAAAACAAACTTCGAGTTGAGTGATATTATCCATTTTTTATCCGATATTTTGATTCAAATGACAATTCTGTTCACGAAGAAGATTGTTCACAATGATATCAAACCTCAAAATATTATAAGAATTGAAAATCGTTGGTTTTTAATTGATTATGAATTGTCAATTTTGTTTCATAAAGTTAATGAAGATAGACTATGTTGTTTTCAAAGCGACGATGTGATAGTGAATAAGAGTGGCACAAAGGGATATTTGGCTCCTGAAAAACAAAAGGAAAAATTAATTTCCATAACAGGAGATGTATATTCTTTGGGTATGACTGTTTTAGAAATGATGTCAAAACAACCAGTTACTGCTGAAGATCCATTAAATGCTGTATCTATCCAAAATGAAAATCTCAAACAAATCATGACTGGTATGCTTCAGGAAGATCACTGCAAGAGATATTCTCCAGATCAATGCTTGACACAATTGAAGGAGTTGTTTGCAGACGAATTAGAGCTTGCACGTAATGACAATTCATTATTCAGAGACACTGAACACTTTGTTAAAGTAGTTGGTGCAAAACTAAAGGTAACAAAAGTTTATTAGAGTGAGACAACTCCCAATTTCTGGTAAATTTCCAGATTCTTCATCTACCTCACAAAAAACTTGAAGTAATTATTTACAAAATTCCCCAAAGATGGTCACTAGTTCTTTCTTAAATTAAAGATGAATCAATGGAATCATATCTAACTAACACTGTGATGGTTAACGCTCTTCATCCTATTCCACCTACAGATTTTCCAAATCTTGCAAAAACATACAGGCAAACACTCTTTCTCTTGGGAATATGGGTTTATATAAATAAATTGAAACGAATTTATTTTTAAATTAAGATTCGGTAAATAAAAAACTGTGGAGTAAACGTATTGTCAGACTTCCAAGTGTAAAAATTAACACCAACCAAGGACATTATCAACACTAATATCATCACATTATCTTCCAAGCCTTGAAACAGTTATTAAACACTTCTCAATTCAACCAAGTTAGTATCCTTATTTGAGTTCTTCTTCTTCTTCATTAACCAAACAGTTAATCCAATAATACCAACTACAACAAGTACCACTGGAATAATTAATAATATAAGAGCAATATAATCAAGATTTGGTCCACTTGTTGTTGGAACCTTGGTACTGCCTTTAGAAGTTTGTGGAGTTGTGGTGGTGGTTGAGGTTTGCGGAGTTGTAGTTGAATGAGCTGGAGATACAACTGATACAGAAGGTGTTGGCTGAACTGAACTACTGGTTGGAGCTGGTTGTTCTACAACTACATATGATCCAGTGCTTTGGACTGAAATGACAATATTCGAATTGGTTTCTGAAGAAATACTACAAGTACTATCTTGTACATAATCATTATTTTGCAATGAGAAGCATTTTCGTACAGAAGCCATAACAGATCTTCTTCCATTGGGTACTCTTTCGATGGTCAAAGTTGCAATAGACTGGCTATTTTGTACAATGATATTATTACCACTATCAGATATTCCCAATTCAAACACTTTGGTGGCTGCTTTGAGAGAAGAAGTATCTAATAGACGAATCTTTGCTGAAACTTTAACACTATCTAAACTCTTAATCTTGGAATTATCACCAAATGTTGATGAAAGTTTGAATGAAGAGACACCCTGATCCTTAACCAATTCTGACAATCCATTCAAAGTTGGAATACTGACAAGTCTTGCATAAGTGTTTGAGTCCACACCCTCTCCTCTAGTGGCTGGCATATCAGCGACAGAAGATTTAACTTGAATGCTAACAAGACTGGCATAAACATCGTCAATCGTCTTCAAATCATTCTTGGTGAAGGAAGAAATAAATCTCTTAGCCATGTTTTGAGTAACGTGTTCTCTGAGAGAGTTTGCTGACTTGGTTGATGAGGAAATATCGTCACTACCCATACTAATTGAGGAACTAGTAGAAGCAGAACCCATAGTTTTAGAGAATTTTTGAATAACCATTGAAACAGTCTCATCAGGGAGATTTTTTACAAAATTACTGATAGAAGAAATAACTGAAAGTTTAGATGAGGCAGAGGAAGATGATTCTTCAAGCAAACTGTCTTTTTGAGATTGTTGTTCAAAGTACTTGTTAACAAAAGTCTTACTGGCCTCTTGCATTGCTGCTTTTTGATCTGTAGTCAATCCCGTAACTGATCCAACAACACTGAGAGCAGAAGCAAGTGTTGAAACAGTGACTGTCCCTTGTTGTGAGGTTAAAATGCTCAGGACTGCTCCAGCATCTGGAAGTATAGTGGTTACTGTAGTGATTGCTTCAGTCGATGCTCCCAATGAGTCGTAAACAATGGCTTTGATTTGCAACACACCAAATGGTAAGGATGTTGCCAAGGATCTCTTCTCTGATTGTTCTGATAGAGTTTTCCAATTTGTTTGATTTTCTTCCTTGTACATGAATTTGAAAGATAAAGGAAGTTGAACATCGTACCAACCATTTCCACACTTAATTTGGAATTCATCAGATAAAGCAATACCTGTGGATGGTGTGACTTCTAAAATACCTTGTGTTGGAGGAGAGTTAACAGAGAAAGAAATTTCAGCCTCTCCAGATCTAGTGCCATCTACAATCTTAACTTTAACAGTATTGGAAGTTCCTGGAACGAGAGAGCTCTTTGGAATTACAATATACTTGTTGGAAGTGGTAATTGAGGTAAGGTCAATATCAGGAGAGCTCCAAGTAAAGACTCTATCTGAACTCAATGTATCCATTGTTGTAGCTTGAAGAACTAGTTCAGTAGAAGGATCAACTGCTGTCAAATCAGCACTCCTAGGAGGGGAAACTAACACTCTAATAATTGTTGATTTTGGTTTGTCCAAAAGTGTGACTTTTACAGAAGATTGAGACTTTCTAGATCCCTTAGTATAGGTTGCTGTGAACATATAAGTTCCTGGTTGCATTCCTTGTTTGAAACTGCGAGTAGTTTGATTAATATTACTTGCAGAATTTGAAAATCCATCACAAGTTGTGGCAGTGTCAAGATTGGTGCATGACAAGACAACATCTCCTCCAGGATTACTTGGATTGCTTGGGTCACGAGTGATGATTGTGAAAGTTACATCATTTTCAAAAGATTGAACCATGTCACGAACACTGAAAGAAACAACAAGTGGAAGTGCTTTGGCTGTAACTTTGAATGGTACCTTAACATCAGCAGCTCCTTTTTGAGTTGTGGTCAAAATAAAGTAATAATCACCCTCTTCAGTTATTTTAGTATAATCATCATTAAATATCAATAATTCACCCTTTTGTTTTACATCAACATTTATGGATTTTGTGGTATCCAAAGTATAGACATAACTAATTGGTCCCTCTCCCTTATAACAAGAAGGGAAAGTTACAGTTGGTGTAATGACGGAACTTTTACCAATGATTATACTACTCTCAAGACCTTCCTTAATAGCCACAGTTGGGGATGTCAAATCAGATACATCAAAAGAAACGGTAGAAGTTGATTTTTCAAGAGAGAATGAGCTTGTTACAGTTACTTGGACTGAGTAAGAACCTACGCTCAAATCAGCACCTCCAATATAAACACCAGAAGATGTAACTGAAGAAAGGAATGCATTCAAAGTATCTGCATCATGTGTTGTTGGAGCTAAAATATTTGACCACGAGAAGAGCAAAGTTCTACGATCTATTGAAACAGATGATGAAGCATCCAAGTATACTTTTCCACAAGCTTTGGATACGCTTGGCTTATCTGAAATCAAGTTTGCGAGTGGTGAAACTGCCACATAATCCTTAGTTGAAATTGTGACTTGAGTTGTTTCAAGTGAATCGAAATATTTCTTGAATTGTAAAGTACTACCAATTTTAACGGATGCAGAGAGACCTAAAATAATTTCCATGGAACTCTTTTCAGGATTCAAAACACATACAGCACCAATTCCAAGAATATCAGTTGTTGTTACAAGGTCAGAACAAGCAAATTTCTTTTTAAGGTTGGAATAAACAGTTCCATATAAAGAATCTCCCTTACTAGAGAATCCAAAGCTTGTGGAATCAATGGAAAAGTCACATTTTGCTCCAAACCATCCTGTTGCACATTGTTCACAATTTTTTCCAATACTATTTCCAGTACATTGACAAGTTCCATCCATGTTGCATGATCCTCTACCACTACACTTTGTTGATGGTGAGCATTCAAATTGACAATTAGTTCCAACGAATCCATCTTTACATTGGTTACAGAAATCACCAACCCAGTTTCCTTGACAGTCACACTTGAAATTGGAATTACATTTACCATGGGCACTACAAGTCAACTCATCTGAACAAATTCTCTCTGTACAATCAGTTCCATTGAAAGCAGGTGTACAAGTGGAACAATATCTCAGCGGATCGAAATTACCAGCACAAACACAGGTGTTTTGTGCTATACATTTACCATGTTTGGAGCAAGCATCTGAACTAGATCTGTCAATATCATTACATTTAAAGTTTTGGCAACTGGTTCCACTATATCCTGAGGAGCAAGAACATTTTGGCTCACCACCATCAACAATACATGATCCTCTTGAGCTACACACTGTCTTATCATTAGCTTTGATACCATTACAAATTGGAATATCACAATTTACTCCAGTGAATCCTGTTGCACATTCTGAACATGAAGCACCAACAAAGTTACCAGAACAAACACACTTGTGCTCAGCAGAACATTGTCCATGGAATGAGCATCCTCCTTCAGCTTCACTCTTTCCATTACAATTAATGATAGAACAGTCTTTACCAGTGAAACCAGATTTACAATTACACTTGTTAACTCCAACACACTCACCATTGGATGAGCAAACCAAACGGTCAGAGCTATCTATGTTAAAACAGAATGGGAGTTGGCAGTTTCTACCTGTAAACCCTTGATTACATGAACAAGAGTCAGTATCGACACAACGTCCTTTTCCAGAACAAACTGAAGAATTCAAGTAAGGAACTCCAAAACAGCTGGTGGCTGGAGGCAAATAAGTACCATAAAAACAATTTGTCTCTGGTAATCTATTACAACTATTAGCATAAACATCAGGATAAGTCACAACTTCATTATTCAAAATGTAATTGCAAACACTTTTACAGAGCTTCTTTTCAACTGCAACATTGGAATTATCAACAGAACATGAACTAATGTATTGGTAACAAATGGATTTGGTTGATACAGCAATACAATTGGAATCACAAGACATGTTTTGTTTTGCAAATTCATTCAATACTTGAGAGAGGATATTACTAGCAGCCTCATCTACTGATTTCATGTTGGTAAAGAACATTTCCTTGGCTTGGGATGGGCTTTGAGCTCCTTGGATATATAAGGTATTTTTCACCTGATAAGAGACAACAGATTTACAGAAAGAAAGAGAGTTTGATGGTGGATTCACACAAGCAGATGTTGGAGTATACGTAGAACAGTCATCTCCAGAATATTCTTCAGGACAAATGAGTTTACAAACACCATTTGAAAGTGAGTATCCTGTTGCACATTCGGAACACATCTTTCCAGAGCCACGAACAGTCATATAACCTACATTACATTTACATTCTGCCAAATCAGTTGTGGAATCAACGAATTGACATTCACCATTACCACATTTGTCAGCACAAATTGGTGTGGAAATTTTACATTTCCCATCTATTGTTGATAATCTGAAACCAAGTCTAACATTGCATACACACAAACCATTGGAGAGAATCAAGCCTTGATTGCTATCACAATCATTACAATTGGATTGATTGGTAGAAATGAAACCAGCTGAACACACACACTCAGTGTCTGAAGTAACATTATTCACAAATCTACACAATCCATTACCACATCCATATCTACAATTTGGTTCAGAACGAACGCACTCTGTACCAACTTGTTTAAACGAGGCTACAGAGTTACAGATACAATTCTCACCCACCAAAGCACGACCTGAAGAATCATCACATACACATCGGTCATTAATCAATGAAAAACCACTCTTGCAGGTGGAACATGCCATTCCTTCAAAGAAATCAGTACAGTTACAAGTTGCACTGCCTGTGGTATTTTGACAAATTCCATGAATACCACAATCTAAAGAACAAACATGAACGCACTCACCACCAATCATTTCCAAATTGTCTTTACAAATACAAGCTCCATCCAGACAGGAACTAGTTGTTGGATTACATATTGGATCACAGCCACCAGAAGTAGAACTATTACCTGCAGTAGTATTCCCTGTGCTATTGTCATGGACAACTGAAGAACAATCACCTCTAGCATCTACTTGATAACCCAAATCACAAACGCATTCAGAGTGATAGCAAGAAGAGTGAGCTCCACAGACTTTACAATCGGCATAGCACTTATCATCATCTTCGGCTCTCGAGTAACCTACTTGGCAAGATTCAACACACACCTCTTTCACGTCATCAAAGCCAATCTTGCATGAACACTCTTCTGGAGCACTACATTGCTTATTAATACCACATGGAGTGGAGCAAACAGGTTCACACCAAATACTTGTTGAATTACTATGTTGTTGATATCCAGAAGGACAATAACAAATAGCGTCACTACACCAACTCAAACCAATACAAGCTGATGTGCAGGTTTTCACGCAACCATATTCATTTCCATAATCAGTATAACCAGTATCACATTCACAATGATCACCATTAACACAGTGTGAATATCCCATACAAGCAGGATTACATGGTTTTTCACAGGAAATGACAACACCATTGGAATCATAAATTGGTAAATAACCTCTAACTCTGTCACAGAAACAATTTGCATCATCTGGATTGTTACATGTTTGATGTTCCAATTTGCATTTAGTACAATTTGGATAACACTTTCTGGTTGCATTATCGAATGAGTATTTAGCTTGATCGAGATTTGATTTACATTGACAAATTGAATTCTCATTACATTCAGCATTTTCACCACAAGCAGGATTGCAAGGTGTTCTGCAAACTCCATTAAACTCTTCTTTACCAGATTCTGAACACGAACAAGAGAAGAATGGACCATTAGCTTTACAAATACCACCAGCAGCACAAGGAGCACCAACTGTTCCAGTAAATCCTGAACATGGCTTGTAACAGTAAGCTCCCTTCTTTTCAAAACCATCATTACATGTACAAACTCCATTGGAGCAAACTCCATTGGTACATTCTGGAGAACATTCTTTTTCACATACACCATTATTTAAAGAATATCCTGCAACACAAACACAATCAGTTCCAGATCTAACACTATTAGAAGGACATAATTTGATACATTCACTTCCAATCACTTCATATCCAGCTTTACAAGTACAATTGTCTGGAGCACTACATTCCATGTTAGCACCACATGGAGTTGAACAAACAGGTTCACACCAAATACTTGTTGAATTACTATGTTGTTGATATCCAGAAGGACAATAACAAATAGCGTCACTACACCAACTCAAACCAATACAAGCTGATGTGCAGGTTTTCACACAACCATATTCATTTCCATAATTGGTATAACCAGTATCACATTCACAATGATCACCATTAACACAGTGTGAATATCCCATACAAGCAGGATTGCATGGTTTTTCACAGGAAATGACAACTCCATTGGAATCATAAATTGGTAAATAACCTCTCACTCTGTCACAGAAACAATTTGCATCATCTGGATTGTTACATGTTTGATGTTCCAATTTGCATTTGGTACAATTTGGATAACACTTTCTGGTTGCATTATCGAATGAATATTTATCTTGATCGAGTGTTGATTTGCATTGACAAATTGAATTCTCATTACATTCAGTATTTTCACCACAAGCAGGATTGCAAGGTGTTCTGCAAACTCCATTAAACTCTTCTTTACCAGATTCTGAACACGAACAGGAGAAGAATGGACCATTAGCTTTACAAATACCACCAATAGCACAAGTAGCACCAACTGTTCCAGTAAATACTGAACATGGCTTGTAACAATACTCTCCCTTCTTTTCAAAACCATCATTACATGTACAAACTCCATTGGAGCAAACTCCATTGGTACAGTCTTTACATTCTTTTTCACATACACCATTATTTAAGGAATATCCTGCAACACAAACACAATCAGTTCCAGATCTAACACTATTAGAAGGACATGTTTTGTAACAAGCACCATTGATACTATCATAACCTTGTTCACATGCACAAAGTAATGAAGAGTTACATTTCATATGATCTCCACATGGTACAGGACAATTATAAACATTTGGCACACAACCAGCTGCAGTTTGGTTATAACCTTCAACACATGAGCATTCGAAAGCGGATGAACAATATGAGTTATTACCACAGGCATAGTTTCCATAACATTGAGGGATATTACAAACAGCCCCTTCCCAACCATAATCACACTTACAAGTACTTGGAGGAACATCACATTTTCCATGATAACCACATCCAGGAACACAGGTTTTTACGTCGCATAAAAGATTGCCAAAAGCATCTGTACCACTATATCCTTTAGCACAAACATTGCATGTGGCTCCATCCCAACCTGTATTGCATTCACAAAGATTAGTGCCAACACAATCACCTCTATAACAAGCTGGATTACAATTGGCCAAGCATGTTGACCCATCTTGTGGGTCTTTTGTAAAACCAGCGGCACAATCTTCACAATTGGCACCAACGTAACCTCTAATGCATACATCACAATAATCACCTGTCTTATGGTTATTCCAACACTCACATTTTCCATTGATACAAGAACCTGAAGAATCAGCACAATCTTCTTCTTTTGAGCATGACAAACCTCGCACCAAAATCACCCCTGAACAAAGTAGCAGTAAGGCAATTACAATGAAGCAATAATTTCTTATCCTCATGTTGTTGTTTTTTTGTTTCGAATCTTTGCAACTTTCACATGGATAGCAGCCTCTTAAAGCGCACACCACAACAGAATATTGTAAAAACACTGTGGTATCATTCCTCATTTGGAAATTTTTCAGTAAAAAGTTCATTTTGTACCTACGAAATTTGTAGTTCGCGGTGGAAACAACGTTTTTCATCTCCCTTAAATAGAATGTAAGGGTTAAATTTGGCCGAGCACAAGAACGTGTTTTTTTCTCACTCCCATGTACTTACAGTAATAAAAGTTTAAAATAATGGTATGATTGGTGAGAACATTCCCTTGATTGATATGCTTTTGTTGTGAGAAAATGTCAAAAAGAAAAGGATCAACTTGGTGGTTAGCTTCTATTAGAATCATGTGTCCAAGTTTTGAACAAAGTCAAACAGCATACAGCAAGAGCTAGTGGAGGAGCATGGAGCAAAATTGATCTTTGTGCACACACAATTCCTCAATTATTTGTACTAATTTGTAGTGAAGAGATTACCCCGTACAAATCCATTATGGTTCTGTTCGCTACCACATGCAGCCATATTTTCCCTCACAACAAGTTGAGGTTGCTTTTTGAACTCTCGGATACAAACACTAATGTAGGAATATTAATAAGATCAACAGTAATAGGAATGATGAATACGGATGTGGTTACCACACGCTAAAGGTAATGACTGTGGCGCTTTGCTAAGGCAGATCTAACTAATCAACAACCGAGCATTTGCCTTATCAACATGTTAATCTCACGAGTTGGAACATGTCTCACATGTCTACATTCACAATTCATTGCCATATAGTTTTAGCACTGCATGCATTTACTTCTCACTAAGTTTCAACAAATTTGGTTGTGTAACGAGCATGTGAACACATCCATCATTATTTCTGATATTGCATATCAACATGTATCGCCAATAATTACCATCAGTGCAACTAGCATGCATGTGCACACTTCCATGTTGGAAGTGGTACTTAAATTGAGGAATCTGAAGTTATTGAAGTTGTTAAAATTCAAACCTATATATCGAACATGTTAATTATAACGTCACATGTTTAATATCATCTTTACTCTAATAACTAATTTTAACTAGTAATAAGAGATTATAATGTCTATTATTTATGCTATTGATGAAATTTAAGGATTTAAGGAAGAGGCCAGTAATTTTGAATTTGTTGATACTTAGCTTGGTCTTTCTTTTTCAAAACGGAAATTCTTCTAGAAAATATTCTATAGCCTAGCAATCCCATAAGAATCATACCAAACACTAATCCTACAATAGCCACTGCAAGAACAATGATAACAAGAACAATCAATACACCTTCTCCTTTACAATCACCACATTTTCCACAATTTCCAGAAAAACCAGTTCCACAATTAAAGCAACCGAATGGGAAACAATGTGGAGAACTACCATATATTGGACGACCATACAAGGATGGCCAAAAACAGTACCAATGGTACAAAGCTGAACGTCTGGAGTGCCTTCTGCCATAGTATGGGTATGTATTATGAGAGTAATAGTGGTCATTAGTTAAACAATTCCCACAGAAGGTGTCATTCATCATCTTGTTCAAGATAACAATTCCAGTACAGCACAATCCTAACATGCCCATAATGAAGAAGAACATTACCAATCCACAACTATTATTGAACTATTAATCCATTTCCTCAAATTTCTAATATACTTACATATAGGTAACCAGATATATATTCATATCCAGACCAAACAATTTAGCTCTCAATCCATAATCATAATCACACAAAGCAAAGAAACCAGCACATAATAATACCAATACTTGCCAAACAATTAGAATGATTGAAAAGTCAAGAGTTACTAATGTGCCAAACTTGAGTATTGATTTAGGTTTATAACCACAACCTTGTTCTTTCACTTCTGTTTCATCTAAAACCCTACCATTCTCATCCACATCTTTGATATCATAAGGATGTGAGCAAATATCACACTGATAGAAAGATGTTGCTTTTGGACTCACTGTTCTCCATTGATCCTAAGCCTAGTTAACATATGAGATAATTGAAAAACATACCAAACAATAACGATGAACAAACTTCATGGAACCTGTACATTTGCACGGAGAAATATAATCATCATTACTTGTTAAAACTCCATGACAACAACGACATATCTTTTCCTCATCATTGCTATTGTGTTGTTTAACCTATTATAATAGTCAGAGAAAGATATTAATCAACTCTTTCAACTTACATTTTCCAAGCTCCCTTGCTGATGTAAATATGGGTCCGAAGGGTTGGAATAATAACTATTAGGAGAAGGATTATAACTAGTTGGTGATTCCTGATTCAATAGCTTGTTCTTGTCAGTTAAATCACCATGTTCATGAGTTTGATTCAAAACCATCCTTCACTATTTACTTGCTAATTTCTGGTTTAAGAAGAACAATGCTAATCGAACTTGTTGAGTTTTTTTTGTTCCATTATTCCCTTAATTGAGCTTTTTCCTTCAACAAAATATTTTCAATAAAAAATGCAACCAAACCACTTTGTTTCCTCACAAATTCTTTCTTCCATTGAAAATGTTGGTCTCGAATTATCTACCTTCACGAAGAGCCAACAAACTCCAAAATTATTATTCAGAGCAAGTGAAGATGGATTCAGTTCTGAAATCTTCCATGAAAAATGTGATAATCAAGGAGCAACCTTAACAATTATCAAGTCCGAATTTGGAAAAATATTTGGAGGTTTTTCATCTCAAAATTGGAAATCAAATTATGAGTTTGCTTGTGACGATGCAGCATTTCTTTTCAAGCTTGAAAAATTGAATGGAAGTTATCATATTACAAAATTCAATGTCAAACAAGACCAAAAACAACAAGCCATTTACAATCATCCACACTATCTTCCAACCTTTGGAAATCATGACATATATATTGCTGATGATTGTAATAGGAACTCAAAGTCTTTTTCCAATTTTGGTACAACCTATGAATTACCTTGTGGAATGGAACCTCAAAGCTTTAAAGCTAACACCTACTTGGCAGGCACTAATACTTTCAAAGTTACTGAAATTGAAGTTTTTACGATCATCCAATAAAAATGTAATAATATTAATACACAAAAGCTAACTTCGTGCGTGTTGACGGTTGTTCAGCTTGAGTGTTGGTTCGGATCATAATTAACGAATTTTGTAAAGTTGTTGATGATGGAAGAATACTCGACAATAATCCAGTCAAATTAATTGTAGCAACATTTGTTGTTGGGGAGGCACATTGACAAAAGTATTACCATAGTTAAAAACTAAACTGCTCATTTTTTTTAAACAATTTCCAGTTAAATAATATTAATTGTTTCTTATTGAAAGAAAGAATTAAGGTGGCGGTTCGCCTATTTTAATTGGAAGTGCAAATGTTGGTTTACAAATATTCGAATATCTATTATTGGCAAAATGGCAAATTTAGTAATTTTAATAAAAAATCATTTATGAACACAATTCAAACTTTCTTGTTATTAGTACACTTGTTGGTCGAAGGTACCAGAGTTGTAATAGCTTTTTCGGAATGTACATGGAATGATAACATTGATTTGGAGTAGAGGTATTTTGTTGTACTGTTTGAATTGTTCCTAAGTTTGAGTTTGTGAATTTTTTCTCCATTTCATAATATTTGTCAATAAATTGCTTGTAATGTAGACAACAAATAGTGCCATTCAGTTCCTTGTGGTGAATAGGAACTTTACCAACAAATCCATTCTTTACATTATAGAATCTTGGTGACAAAACAACTTATTTTACTCCCACACCAAAACACAACCCTCTTTTCATTTTTTTTGTGATTATTTTGTTGTTTGCTTATTTCAAAACAGCCAAAACTTTGCTCAAAATCACAATCAAAGCATTAGCAAACATCTCGGAACCAATTCATTAGATAGACAACTTGTAGTTGGATCGTGTGTATTCTCTGATGAGTGAAACTAGGTGAAACTGGCACAGTAACCCTGCATTCAAATTATAAATAACAAAAATTAAATATTTGTGATGATGATAGAAAATTGATGTATAAAAACTTGAAGAGTATTAGACATCAAACAGGCAAGTAGAATAAAAGATGAATCGAAGATGGCTTATAATTGCTTGTTCAATGAGAATGTAAAGGAGCAAAATTGTATTTCATTGCAAACATTTTTTTTTTCATTGAAGGAATATTTTTGGAAGACCCTACCGCCACCTTAAGAAGAAAAGTTTAAAATTTCGAATAATTTGGCCAGTCATGATTGATTCTTATCTGGTAAAATATTGTTGGTCATTTAAGATTCCTTGTTTTTCTGGATTTTTCAAACACATGTTTTCCAGCCCCAAGTTGAAAAATTTTCATCATTAAAAAAAAATCAACAACCACAGAGATCATACATTTACTTCATCACACAAAATTAAATATTTTTGATCATCAAATAATATAAATTCAACTTTTTAGGCTACTTTTTGCCTTCTATTATCATCAAATAAATCCTAGGAAAATGTGGAAAGTTAGAAATAACGCACCATTGAATACTAACAAGGTTTCCATTAGGACACCACTCTCTGGAGGACAAAATGCAGAGCAAAAACAGCTTGCACTCCTTTCAAAACAAATACCTAGAGGAAATAATGTTGTTGGAAGAGGTGGAGGAATACAATTTCGTGGAGAATCATCTTCGGATTCTGATGAAGAAATTACTTACAAACCAACAAAATTTTCCAAAATTTATGGAAAGCAACAACAAGATTCACAATCATTCTATGAGGATTCACAAAATGAAGATAATGCAAACAAGACTGGAATTGATGTGAGTCCAGAGGAAAGCAATGCTGTCTTGTCTGCTGTTTTTGATAAGAAGAAATCTTCCTCATCTTCTATGAGAGAAAGTCAAGATGATGAAGTTAATATGAGTTTACCGATTGGAAAGAAGAAACAACCAACACCTAAGAAAAATTCCAAAGTAGTAGAGGATGAAGTGATTAGTGACGATGATTTTGATAAATATTTCGATGAACCAAGTGTTTCACTTAGTCTAAACAAATCATCCAACAAATCTAACAAGAAAAAGAAGGGATCAACCTCACCAAAAAAGAGAAAAATTACAAAGAAATCAATTCCAGAAAAAATTTCAGGAATTTATTATTCTTCATCAGATGAGGATAATGATATGAATTACGATGAGGAATCTCAAACCAAATCTACAACATCTTCTCAAATGTCACAACCATTGAACAAAGGAATAATTCCATCTCTAGAGAAGACTATTGTTCCTCCTTCTTTCTCGTATAATTCATCTGCCAGTACAAGAAAATCTTCATCACACTATTATAGTTCTACACCTCACAAAACACCAACTCAAAAAAGAAAATCTCAAAATAATTCAATATCCTATCATATACCAAAGGAAATTGAAAAAGATGACGATATTGACGATTTTTCAGATGAAGAAACAAATCCAACTATTCCAGTACCAACAATGGCTGTATTGAGTGGAGTGAATGCAGCACTATTTGCAAGTGCACCTCAAGCTACACTTAATAATTCTGCACTCATTTCAACTTATTTAACACAACAAAAACAAGTGATGAATAATAGGACATCTTCAAAACCAACAATTGATATTGATGATTTAATTGTTACTGATAGTGAAGAGGAAGATACTACAACAATGAATAATAGAGACAAACAATTCAGTCAAATGGTTTCTGCCATTAATTATTCAACCCCTCAACAAATTCAAAAAAGTGCTCCTCCACCACAACAACCTAAACAAATATCCCCACCAAAGAATAATAATATCGTTATATCAGGAGAAGATGGATTTGATTTGGAAACTAGACTAAAGGGAATTAAGAAAAAAGTTGGAAATCCAAGAGAAAGTGAGGTTGAAAATTTACTCTTCTCCAACAGAAAATCCAAAGTAGTAGCTGACGAGGATATTGAAGATGATGTCATGACTGAAAATAACACTGTAAATGATAATAATGTTGTTGGAGAAAGTTGGTTAGATAAACTCAGAAAATCAAAGGCACCACCAGTGGCTGAACGTACAGTTTCTCTTTCTCAACAGTCATCATCAGGAAATAGTACTGATCAATTCTTTTCACAATGGGAACATTTAAAGAAGATTCTAACTGTAAAATCATCAGGTAGATTTGTTTCTAAACTTATTAGAGCAGTTAATGGATGCTTGAATGAAAAAGTATTTGCCAATATTGGTTCTGGTATGACTTTATCACAACCTAACTCCCCAAAAGACAGTATGGTTTTGAAAATTCTAGTTTTCAGTTCTTCACCACAAATTTATCCGAATCTGTCTCTATGTATTTGTAAAATGTTAAAAAGACCTACCCAACCTCACGATAATGAAATACTTCAAAAAAATTTGGAAGAAAATGATTTCTTTGATGTATTCCTCTTAAGAGAAATGAGAGACAAGTGGAATTTAGAACCTGGAAGTATTATTGAAATTGCAACAAATTTATTCCACATTACACCATCTAGCGATCCCCATGATTCAAATAGTGATTGGATTTTCAGACCAAGACCTGTAATATCCTACGTTTTTGAAATGAAATGTAATTCTCAATCTTCAGATGTTAACGAGTTGAAACAAGATATTGAACAACTAGAGTCAAAATTTACATTCCCAATGCTTTCTAAAGATTCCAATGAGGATAATATGGACTTGACAGGTGATGATAATGCAACACCTTCAACTCCTCCAAGAACTTCCCAAGGTATTAGATCAACTCCAACCCATGTCAGACATAAGAATATTATCAACACTCCAAGAAGAAGAATTGACTTTTCATCCCAAAGTGAACAGGATTATGAAAGAAATTATCATTTAATTTCCAGAATTTCAAATGGTCCTTTCACAAAGAAGTTTGAAATCATTTACAAACAACTTCATTCAGCCTTCTTCCCATCTTATTATGTTAACATTCAGGGAGTAATACAACGTGTTTGGAGTTATGATTATATTAGACAAACATTGGAAAGCTCTTTTAATGAGATTTACAATAGAATTCCTCAACTTGCAAATGAATCAAACATGTCCAACAGTGTTCTCATTCAATGTTCCAAATCAAGAAGTCTTTGTGTAATTTTACTCCCTTCAGGTAGTCATGAATATGATTATTGGAAATCAATATTTGACCCTAACATTTCTCAAGGCAAAATTTTCCAATTTGATGTTTGTTCATTTAAGGATAGAATTTATATTGGACCAAATGATGAATTATATTCCATTGTTTCACCAATGTATCACACTGAACATAATCTTACAACTGATTCCCAATTGAGTAATTATTCTAATTCAAGCGAATTTACCAATCCTCTCATTCCTGTATATTTCTTTACCACAAACAAACAACACACCTCTTGTAAATTTATTCCTCCAGAAGATAATTTCAGTATGGGCTCCGTCATTGGTGTAGATCCAATTCCTGAAAATATTGCTCCTCATTCTTCCTACAAACATAGCTTGTATTATAATTTCGATCAACCAATTTCTGGAGATACTCAACAATCTCATGGAGGTGTTGAAGACGTAGTGAATGATGAAAATAGCTCGAGAGTACACAGATGTGACATTGAGGGAAAGATTATTTATATAGCCGAAAATAATCATGATAATACCACTAAGTTTTCCGTTTATGTATTACAGAAACATTCTAATATCATTTTACGATTGGATAGTCTATTGTTAGAAACATCCATGCTATTGGCTGTCGCATATGGTTTTAGTAGCAATAGAACAAATGTAACTATTCACAATATATTGGTAAAAAGAACTGAGGATATGCACGAGTCTACTCAATTAATAGCAGACAAATTTTCAATGATTTATCCTTCCACTAGTAGTGGATTGGAACAAGCAAGTGATGTGAAATTCCCATACAGCGTCAGATTGAGAGTAGAAGAAGGATTTTTAAAGAAAAATGGAAGAAAGATTCAATCACAATCCATTCTCAATTCTATTAATTATGAGTTTACTTGCTTTGAGAAAAGTGTTGGAAATGTGGAAGGATATATTTCAGACATTTTAGAAATTGGAGATCGTCCAACAGTTCCTGTTTGTCCACATTGTCAAAAACAACTTACTTCAGATTCAACCTGGTTTGTGGATACAGATCAAATATGTGGCCATTGCAATCATAAATTTACCAAACCAGATCATGACCTCCTATTCCAAGTAAAGGTTGGAAAGCATGTAACATTGACTCTGGATACAAGAGCTATTCAGCAAATATTTGCCTACAAGAAAGGAGCAACAACAAATAAGAAACTTCCAGTCACTGGCTCAGAAACTTTCAAACAAGCAAGGGAATTAGTACTGGGTCACCACTTGAAATTCTTGTGCTATTGTGAAAAGGTGAACCATGATGAATCGAGCATCAATTACAAATTCAAAATTATTCACAACTAACTAACAACAAGCAGTAAGAAGAAATAATGAGATTAAAATCTTTCATTTGAGAATTCTAGTAAATCTTCACCATTTGTTCTTGACTGTAATTCCGTGGCCCACTAATAATTATTTCCCGCCCAAATATTAGTCTTATATATCCACTGATTGGGAGAATTTTAAATATTAAAATATTCAAATAATAATAAAAAAAATGCCTCTACTATCCGAACATAAGAATAACATTCCTCGATCACTGTACATTTTGATGTGTGGGAGTGGGATTGAGAGTGTGGAAGATGTTGTTTTCAATTCAGCCGGAAATTTGACGAACAGAATGCAGAGGTGGTACAATTCGGAATTGCAGAATAATGAGAGTGTTGTTGCTCTACAAAATCAGGATGAAAGGGTTGTATCTGTGCAGGAAGAGGAGACTGATAATAATGGAAAATATTCTATCAAATCGCTTCCATCAAATTTTAATTTTAATATGAATATTGTAAAAAAACAAGTTTATATTTTACAAGAATACTTGTTGGGAAGATATGCTCCAAAGAGTGTCAGTGTAGAACAAATGGCACTCAATGATGGTAAAATTAGAGTTTCTGGACTGAATACAGGAAGTGGTCAATTGGATAGCTTGTTGGATGGAGGAATTCAATGTGGAGAATTGACAGAAATTGTTGGATTTCAATCAAGTGGAAAAACTTGTCTCTGTAAAACTGTGTCACTCAATACCATTATTGAAAAGAATTCAGATACAGTTTTGTGGATTTCAACAAATTCATCTTTCAATGCAAGAGAATTTGCCATGATGTATGAATCAAAGAGCAATCTATATAATGAACAAATTAGACAATCTCAAGCTACACAACAGTCACAAGTGGAAGCTGATGAAATTTGCTCACTCGTAGAGACATTTACAAAAATCAGAGTGTTGGATGTTTCAACACCGGAAGAATTGAAGACTCTGTTAATAGAATTGGTTAAACTCATAGAAAGTGAACAAGATAATTTCTACAACTCTCTTCGATTGGTAGTAATTGATAGTTTGGCTGTTATTTTGACCTCTCTTGTACAGTCAAAGGTCAATAGCAAGATATCAGAAAAGGAGGATTTAAGTTTGGACGAAATAATTCGACTAATGAAGAAAATTGCCAGAAAATATCAAATTGCCTTCTTGTACACTAATTATACTCTACATGAACTAGATGATAGAACAGTTCTAGGTGAAACCTGTAAATATTTTTCACATGTAAGATTACTCTCAAAGAAACTTGAAAAGCAACCACCAAAAGAAGAGGGAACATTCTTTGAGGCTCACCTTTTGAAATCACCAAGACGATCTCTCATTCATCCTTCAGTTTACTTCCAGGTTATGAGTCTAGGTGTTGTTGATACAGGCAATACACAAATACCAAACCAAAATTAATTAGTTGATTTTAACTATCACAAAAGGCCCATTCCATTTATTGAATTTTTTTTATTAATGCTACATATAACTAGAGTTTTTTCTTTCAAACACTTCTTCAATGTTGAAGAGAGAAAAAATATTCAGCTGATTGAATTATTCCTTCAAATAAAATTTGGTCTTACTATCGCCATCTCTCTTTTCCTTGACAACAATGTCCTTAATCTTCTTATTGACTCTGTTCTTTGAGAGAGATGGGAATTTTTGAAGCATGGCAGCGACAATTTCTGGTTTAGTTGCACATGTAGTGAGAATGATCTTCAAATGTTCCATTTGACCAGATTCCCAAACATCAGACTTGGAAGGAGAGGTGAAAGAGTCTGTTTGATTGACAAACTTGATTTCTCCTGGAACAGAAGCACCTTGTTGCTTTTTAGGCTTGCTTTTCTTTTCACCTGTTTCTGTTGTGGTTGTTCCATCAGAAGTAGTATCCATCTTGTCTGAATTGGTGGCATCAGTTGAACTGGTTGCATTCTTAGCTTCAGTTTCAGTGGCAGTGACATTCTTCTTTGGAGCTGATTGATTTTGCCACCAAAACACTTGATTGCAATTCAATTCAGAAATGTCAAAGATGAAATCTTCATCAACAGTGAAAGTAACTTCTTGTAATTGATTTGAACATTCAAAGATTGGATCCAAATCAGATAATTGTTGTCTCTTCTTCTTCTTTTGTTGATCCTTGGAGATTTCACTTGTTTCAACATGTTCAATCTTACCATCCTCATATTCAATAATGTCATCAGCACAAATATTATCTTCCTCCATATTTACATCGTCTTCTGAATCAAATTCAAGTTCTTCACCATCATCATCTTCAGAATCGAGGCATTCACCTTCAACAGCAAGATCAGCTTCACCCAAAACCAATTCTTCCATCTCTTCCTCATCCTCTTCTGGATAGGTCATGTTTGGATCCTTAGCAAGTGGTTTTCTTCCGTTAACAACAGTGGATTGGCACTCTTCTTCGTCCTTATGGAAAGTATGAACCTTACCAAAGAGTGAAATGAATTTGAAGGCAACTTTTGGCTTTTTGAGTGGATTCTTCTTCATGGAGGCAATTGTTTCCTTGAGAGAGACTGGATAGTTTTGAGCAGCAATTGCCAAATCAATTTCTTCAATGGTCTTTCCACTTTGAACTCTACAAACAGGAGCAGAAACAACCTTATCCTCTTTAAGAATGTTACATTTTTGTGTGAAAAGTGTGATACTCTTACACTTGACTTGAGTTTGCTTATTCTTCTTTGGAGAGGTGAGAGTGGCAGCATTCGAGGCAACTTCCTTCTTTGCCTCCTTCTTTGCTTCCTTCTTAGTTTCCTTAGCAGCTTGCTTCTCCAATTTGACTTTGAGCTTTTGTAACTTGTTAATTTCCTTTCCTTTAGTTTCAGCAATCTTTTTAAAGTTACTTCTCATTTGCTTAGCCAGGGTGGCACAATCTCTAGCTGTGGAACCAACCTTGGTGGTGAGAGAGGAAAGTTTTCTTGCTTCCCAAACACTAATTTCACACAAATCCTTAACACCATAAACCTTTCTCTCCAAGTGCAAATTGATGGCATTCTTCATGGCATCAATTGTTGGCAGTAAATTGTCAATGGTATTTTCATCAATTGTTCCAGTAACGAGTTGCTTCTTTTGGGCAATCTTAATCCATGACTTTCTCACATCCTGAATCAACTCATCAACATCTAGAGAGGCAACACCTTGACAGTAAGCAATCAATAAATTAATAAATGCAGGTTTGAATGGATAGGTATTCTTATTGGCTTGGAATTCCTTATTGGATTGACAAAATTCAAATAATTTCTTCAAGTACTTTTTAATCTTTTCATCCTTTCTCAACTTTGAAGAGTCATCTAATGATGGTTTGAGATTTTTCACTTCATTAACAAGTTGTTGAATTAGTTCTTCACATTCTTCGACACTTGTTGGTGTTTTATCACTAATTGTTGTTGAGGAAGGAGTTGTAGCAGTAGTAGCAGCAGTAGTATTAGCAATACTATCAGAAGCAGTAACAATAGTTTCTTTTAGTTTCTTCTTCTTTGGTGAAACAATTGGTGAAGATGGAATTGCATTCATTTGTTTAGGATCAATATTTTCCTTCTTTTCTTCATCGGTAGATGGTGATAATTCATACTTTCTCTTCTTGTCATTCTTTGGAGTGGTATTAACACCAGTCATCATGGATGTTATCATGTTATTATTAGTATTATTATTATTATTAACAATATGACTATCATTAATCATTTCCATAACCACAACTTGAGGTAATCTATTAGTAATAATTAAACTTTCTTGTGATGATTCAATCATGATAACATCATCCTCCTCGGAGGTTATCGAAAGGGCATCATTATTTCTTGTGGTGGTGCTAGCATTTGTAGTAGGAGGAAGAGGAGTGGTGGTTGTAGCAGTGTGTGATGCCACTGTAAGACAACAGCTGTTGTTTGTAGATTGTGTTGTAATTGACAATGAGGGTGTTTGTTTCTTGGTGGAGAAGAAATTCATGATTGTGTTTTTGGTGGGAGACTTGATGGGTGTGGTAGAACGTTGTTTGGTGGTCTTTTTAGTTGGTGTGGATGGTGTTGCGTCGATAAAGACCACATTGTTGGCTTTGGAGGTGATATTGGGTGCCATATTGTTGTTGTTGCTTTTTTTTTAAATTTGAAATGTAACGGTTGTGTTTTTGAAAAACCGTTTCACATTTTATTTATTCTTAGCATGGCTTTGGTAATTAATAACACCTGGGTGAATGAAGAAAACAGAAAAAAAGAAGAAAACAATTATTTTAAACACAGTCCTTTACTCGCAAAATTGGATTGTGTAGTATGTAACTTACTCTTCCAATCTCTTCTTTTGTAAAAATTGGAACCACTTGTCAGTAGAGGTCTTTTCTTTGATAGATTTCATTAAATCCTCGCCAAAGGTAATGATTTTCTGGGCTCGGTCAGTTTCAACCAAAATCGAGTCACTCAGTTGCATTACCTTTTTCATGTAATTATTCCAATCAACTTTGGAAACAATTTTCATTTCCACCAAAATTGAAAGCTGTCTATAAATATCGAGATTCAACCACCAGAAAGGTGAGTTAATCTTGGACTTGGGTGTAATTTCCTTCTTCTTGAGCATGTCTTGTTGGTATGGGCCAATGTTGGCCTCCTTTGAAACACTATCGAGCATTTTGTTAAGCATATCTTGAGATACTTCCTTGTTCTTGAATGATCCTTCTCTGATTTTTTGGAGGGTTTTTCCAAGAAATTCCTTAGCATGCATTACTGGACTAATATAGTCCACATATTGTGTGTAATGTTGTTTCTTGTCAGAGGTTTTATATTGATCTTTCAATTCAAAGTGTCGCCTCCAAATGAGAGCATCTCTTGCCACGAAATCTTCCCATTCATGATATTTAATTGTTTTCATTCTTCTCAAAAGATGTAACTTGTCATAAATTGCATTATTCCAAATAACCCAGCAATCTTTATCTACAGAACCGTGATGCTTAGGTTGATGTAAGAGGTGTGATGATGGTGGTGGTGGTACTTGTGAAGGTTGTTGCTTAGAGAAATGATGAGGAGGAGTAGGAGTAGTGGAAGTAGATGATTGTGGAGTGGTAATAACACTAGTGGTATTATTTGAAGTTTCGGATTTGGCTATTATAGAGAGGAGTGTTTCCTGTTGCTCCTTGAGAGAAGATATTTCCTCTTGCATTGTCTTCATAGCTTGTAGGACTGTTCCTTCGAGTAAAGATGACAGCACATTCTTCAAGTCATCTTTGGAAATTGCATTACCACAGTTAGTTGTTGCATTATTTTCTTCAACTTCCTCTTCTACACAAGCTCGCATATTATTCACTTCCTTCCATTTCCTTTTAATTTGATGTATCTTGTTCCTTCTCCTTTCCAGCATCCGTTTCCTCTTTTCAATTTTGCCATTACTTTTCACCGCTCTACTCACATCAATATTTTCATTACCGTTAACAACAATATCGGTCACCATACTAGTATTATCGGTTTGTTGTTCCTCCTCTATGTCATCTATTATTATCATCTCAGGTTGTTGTTGTTGTCGATAGTGAGCATCCAATGATATCGTTGATTGTTGATGAATTGTCTGCATTGTGCTCATTTTTTTTGTAGTTTTGTTTGTGGCTTATTATAAATTTTCCACTGATATCACGTACATCAAGAATCAAGAAGAATAAAAACAACAGTTACATTTAAAAAAGAAGAGAATAACATTTTCAATTTTGATGATTAAAAGCACTTTCTATGAATTAGTGAGGATCCATATTCTTTGTATTCACTTGAGAGACCAAGAAGAAGAACTGTTTTGTGAATCAATTCTTTCAGAGGTTGGACCAACTATTTGAGACGATAACAACCTTCCCAAAATTGTTCCACCAATAAATGTTGAATATTTTCGGTGAGGTGGAGCAGAAATATTCGAATGAACCATTGTTGGAATAATTTCATTCAATTCCTTACTTAATCTCTCATGAAATCCTTTAAATAATGTACTTCCACCTGCAAGAACAATGTTATTGTACATTTCCTTTTTCAGATCCAAATCACATTTGGAAATGGATTGAAAAATCATTTCTTGTAAACTATACGATTCCATATTCAATAAAGTTGGAGTAAAAAATGGTTCTGTAATTTTAAAACTTTCCTTTCCAATTTTGAAAATGTTGCCATCAGGCATTTCATATTCTTCCTCTTTCGTGGTTGGTGAATTTACTTCTTCTGAGAAATTTAAAACAACTCTTCCCAATTTCTCTTTTATATCCCTTACTATTTCCTTTTCTGCTGTTGTATTATACAAAGAATATCCTTTATCCATCAAAAAACTCATTAACCATGCAGACACATCTCTTCCAGCAAAATCCAATTCCATAGTGGCATGTGGCAGTGCCATTCCTTCATAAATTGGAACTGATTGACATACACCCTCTCCACAATCCAATACTATTCCACTACTCTTTCCAGAATCAATTAATCCCAACACTCCCTGATTTGCCATATAAAAAGCAGGCACTTCAAATGTTTCAAACATAATCTGAGTCATCTTTTCCTTATTTGATTTTGGATTGAATGGACTTTCAGACATTAGAGTTGGATGTTCCTGAGGATCTACCCTCAACTCATTATAAAATGTATGATATAAAATCTTTTCCATATCATCCCATGATCCTGTAACAATCCTCTTCTCGATTGGACATTTCCAAATCAAAATTCCTCTCCTCCTAGTTGATGCTTCATCACCAATGTAGGCATCCTTCTGGCTCATTCCAATAATAAGAGACTGATGTTTCGGTCGACCAACAATCGGAGGAAAAACAGCTCTAGGAGAATCTCCACTTGCAAAACCAGCTCTACAAAAAGCTGATCCACAATCAATCACAACACAATCAACTTCAGTGTCTGATGCCATTTTTTTAATATAAATTTAAAAGAACTTGGTACTTTACAATTAGAAGATTTCAATTTGATTTTATTTACTGTTGTTGTAAATATTTATGAATTCTCATTTCAATTATGAAACAAAACAAGCTGGAATAATATTATGTTGTTCCTATGAAATCTTCCAATTCCTCATTGGAAATAAAACTTAATTCTTAAAGAAAGAAAAAAAGGCGCGAAAGTAGTTTGGAAAATAAAATTTGATAAGAAAAAAATGACTGAAAAACATTATTCAACATCTATTATCGCCAGCGCAGTGGCCTTCTACTTTGTTATTTCGTTATCAACAGTATTCGCAAACAAGTATATTTTAAGTTCTAAGGAATATACATTCCCAGCCATGACAATGACTTTGGTACAATTAGTGTTTGCGATCATTTTACAAGCAGCCTCTCATCCAATTCTTCCAAATTTCATTCCGGCACCAGAATTTAATATGGATCGTGCCAAACAAATTGCTCCACTTTCTATTCTCTTCATTGGTATGCTTGTTTTTAATAATTTGTGTTTGCAAGTTGCCGATGTTTTATTATATCAAATTGCTAGATCCCTCTCTATTTGTTTTACTGCCTTGTTCATCTATGTTTTACACAAGCAAACAACAAGTTTAAATATCTTGTATTGTTGTGGAGTTGTATTAATTGGTTATATTATTGGAGTTTTAGGAAAGGCTGGTTTGGATGGTATGGATTTCACTTGGTTGGGTGTTATTTATGGATTGTTATCTAGTGCCTTTGTCGCTCTCTATGGTATCTTTGTCAAGTCAAAGATGCAATTGGTTAGTAACCAATGGGTTTTGATGCTCTACAACAATATTATCAGTTCCGTCTTGTTGTTCATTATTTGTTTGGTTACTGGTGATTTAAGTGAAGCCTTATCTAGTCCACATATTACTGATACTCGTTTCATTTTCATTTTGATTGTTAGTAGCGTTTTGGGCTATTTGATCAATGTTGCCACTTTCCTCCAAATTAATGTCACTTCCTCTCTCACTCACACCATCTCTGGTACTTGTAAGGCTTGTGTTCAAAGCTTGCTTGGTGCTGTTGTCTTTGGTGACAAATTGGATTCTGTCAGTGTTGTGGGTACTTTCATTTCCATCTTTGGTAGTATGGCTTATACTATTGTAAAGGGTAGAGAAACTGCTCCAAAGGTTGAATCAACACCTCAACAAAGTCCTGAAAATAAGGTTTAAGCTAACTATTTGTAAATTTGAATTCTTTTTAAATTTTCATAATGTTTTTTGTTAATTTTGCTTCCACACTTACATTAAATTGAATTCTTTAATTTAATCCTAAATGGCTTGTTTTTTGTGATGCATATGGTGAGTTGGTCGAGTGGTCTAAGACGACACGTTAAGGTATGATTAATACCGTGTTCCGCAAGGGCGTGGGTTCAAATCCCACACTCATCAATTTTGTCCTTAGAACATAAATTCAATTTATTGATAGTATTAGCCAGCCTTACTTTTTAAAAATAAAGTTTTCACCATGTTTGACCAAAAATGTAAATCCATTGTCAAACAATTCACCCATAACACAAGCCAATGCTTCATTGGCCTTCTCAATCTCAACATCAGATCTATAGTTCCCAGGCACAAATTGTGCTGTTGGTTGATAATCGCAATTGCTACTGACAGCACCATAACCATCGACAATGACTACTTGGGTTTGTTGACTCATTTTTTTTAATTAATGTGTACTAATACATTACGATCGGAGAGATTTACGTCTCATTAATTTTTAGATTACAATGAAAATAATTTACGCTTAGTGCTTATGACCCTTAATGCCACTTAGATAGACCGTTGTTCTCTCTTACGAGCTAGATGGCTTAAATAATTTGGAAAATATATTTAGTGTTGAATTTTATTTACATATGTTGAGCTAGTAGTAGTCTGCACACTCTCTATTGTACTATTGTTTTCAATAATAAATGGTCACAATATAATCTATTATTACTAATAATTGTGTGTAAATAGGGAGATGATTTAATAATTCTATATTCTCCATTTTCAATAAATTGCATTAAATTATATAAATGTACCAAGTATTTTCTATCAATGGCATTGATTGCCAATTTATTCTTTTTCGAATAATACAGCACCTGAACATTCATAAAATTAATGCAAGTTTTACCAAATAATGATGCTATCTGTTCATTCAATAATTGAACAAATTGATTTTTACTTTTATCCTGTTGTCTTTTCCGAATAAATATTAAATTAAATTAAACAATTCAACAATAAATATATTCCATCATGCCAAAAAACATATTAACATTATCAAAAAATTCCATATTTTCAATTATTATTATCATGGTTCACCAAAATTAAAAATCATCACATTTTCCACAATCATCGTCACAATCCCTAAAAACCTACACTTGAATTTCAACAAAATAAAAATCCGACTCTATCGTACACTGTTTCATTTTTTAAAATTCAATTTTATTGATTTTTTCTTCTTCGGAAAGACAAAGATAATTAATTCTCATTAATTCTCAGTATCTTGGACTCTCTCCTATTTTCCTCAATCAATGTCATCTTTACAATTGTAATAATTGCACTTGAAGCAGCATACCAGTAGTAGACTAGAAGAATAATTTGTTATGAATGCGCTCAAAGAGAATCATTATAAAAAAATGTCCTCATCACAAACTGCATCATCATCGTCTTCAGTTGCACCAACAACCATTGATTATTCTAGCATACCATCATGTTTGAACGGAAAGGTTTTGAGTGTTCAGAGTCATGTGGTTCATGGATATGTTGGAAATAGAGCTGCTGTTTTTCCTCTTCAATTATTAGGCTTTGAAGTTGATTTTATTAATTCGGTACAATTTTCTAATCATACTGGCTACTCGAAAGGATGGAAGGGACAAACACTTAGTGGAGATGAACTTGCACAATTATTTCAAGGTTTACAAATGAATAATTTGGAAGGATCTTATACTCATTTACTTACAGGATATATCGGAAGTGAAACATTCTTGTCTAATATTTTGCATATCCATGATTCATTAGTTGAGAAAAATCCAAAATTAATTTATGGTATGTTGAGAAATTAGAAAAATTATATTTATACAATCAATAATTGATGATATTGTATAAATTTAGTTTGTGATCCAGTTATGGGTGACGCTGGAAAATTATATGTGCCAGAATCATTGATTCAAATTTATAGAGATCAAGTTTTGAAACGTGCCTCTGTCATTACACCAAATCAATTCGAAGCAGAAACATTGAGTGGAAAGAAAATTGAAACTGAACAAGATGCTCTCGATGTCATTAATTTATTCCACAGTGAACCATATAATATTCCTGTCGTTGTTTTGACCAGTGTGGAATTTAATAATGATAAGGAAACTCTTGTCTTGTATGCCAGTAATAGACATTCTCAGAAAAAGTATAGAATCAAGTTTAAACGTTTACCAGGTTCTTTTACTGGAACTGGTGATGTTGTGAGTGCTTTATTTTTGGCTTTTTATACAATTCATGGAGATAATGATTTTGGTTTGGCACTTGAGAGAACTTTGGGTGGAATTCAAGCAATTATTGAAAGAACTAAACCAAGTGAAGAATTGGCATTGATAGCTTCAAGATTTGTTATTCTTGATCCACCTATCAAGTATAAATCTGAGGAAATTTAAATCATGGAATTTTGTAATAAATTTTTGTAAATTTTATGGAATAAGTTAGTTAGATTCACAAAGTAATGTAGTGGTAGAATTCAGAAACTCATGAATCAAAAATGCACTATTTTACATGTAATTACTTAGGATTGTATTAAATGTATGGATTTTTATTATAAAGATAATATCTTTATCATAACTTGTATTTCCATCATCTCTTATTATCAATAAGGCTAATGAAAATTGTGGCGCCATTTTTGTACGCATTTAAAGCTGTAGAGAACTTGACCATCAAAAAACCTCATCAAAAAAACTCAGTCGACTGTGTTGCTCGGGCACCTTGTATTTTGCTATTATAATTAATACAACCTATATTATTAAAAAGAAAATGGGAGCTTTTAATTCTAAAAAGAAGGAAAGTGTAAAGATTGTTTGTTGCGGATTGGATAACAGCGGAAAATCAACAATTATTAATCATTTAAAGCCAAAGAAGGAACGTGAAACAAATGTTGTTCCAACTGTTGGTTACAGTCAAGAGAATTTTGATTATGAGAAACTTAATTTTACAGTGTTTGATATGTCTGGACAGGGAAAGTATAGAAATTTGTGGGAGAGTTTTTACGGGGAAGTGGATGGAGTTATCTTTGTTGTTGATAGTGCTGATCGTGTAAGAGTTGCAGTCGCAGAAGATGAGCTGACAATTCTGTTGAAAGAAATTAAAGAAAGACCAATACCAATACTGTTCTTTGCCAACAAACAAGACTTGGCAAATTCCCTTAGTTCCTCCGAAGTGTCTGAATCTTTGAAATTACACAACATTTCAAATAAGAGCTGGACCATAGTTTCCTCAAATGCTTTGAGTGGGGAAGGTATTGGAGATGGTGTGAAATGGTTGAGTGAGGAAATTCGAAAGAAGTTGGCTAAATAACTTCTTCATTGTAAATAAAATTACTTTAAAAGATTTATAATATTGGTGAAGAAGTTGCAAAGAATAATTGAAATCATATTAGAATTTGGAAATTAAAATTTAAACATTGAAGATTGGACAAACATTTATGATTCTTCATAATTATCAAACATTCTGCCCATGACTTCCTTGTATTCTTTCATTTCATCTTTGGAAATTTTGTATCTGAAAGTTGTGGCACCAGTCAATCCACCAGAAAATAGAGCAGAAGTACCTCCGTTGAGCATGTCAAAGTATTCATTGAGTTCCTTGATGTGTTGGACAAAGTTTCTACTATTCGACAAGTAAGCTCCAAGTGGACAACTTTCAACACGTTCTGCTGCATTTGCGCCTGCCTCTCTCAAAAAGCCCTTATCTGAAAGTGTTTCATTATTGAGGATTCTTGGGAAGGTATATGGTGTTTGGAATGCTTGATTTACATGGAAGGCATGTTTGGAGTAACTTCTTGTTTGTCCCATATAATTTTCAATCATTTCACTATGAGAATTGCATCCAATGAGGTGTCTGTACTTTTCCAATTCTTCACCTCCGTATTTCTTCATACGTAATTGATCCAATTCCTTGAGATCGGAATCGTGATAGAGTGGAACACTAACTGGATTCAAACCTCTGAGAATGAGAGAGTGAGCAAATGGAGATTCACTGTCATATCCAGAGGCAATATTAGAGAGGAGTGGTGTGAAGAGATTATTTTGATGAATTGGATTGAGACCTCTCAAATTTTGATATAGAGATGATCCCATTGTGTAAGCATATGGGAATGCCAAATTAATATTGGCAATTTTAAGTGAGGAAAGAGGAGTCATTTCTTGTGCGAATGTGTGCATGCCAATTTGCTTATTACCTTGGCCATTGAGACGATAGGAAAGAGAGACGGAATCAAAAGCAGCAGCCATAACTGAAGCAGAGTGATACATTTTTCTTGGCTATTAACATTTCGAATATTTCAAATTAAATTGATGGAATTATTGTGAATCTAAAAGTATTAAAACTTATACTTACATCAAATCCAGAGAAGAATGGACTAGAAGCCATAGATTCTAATTGTTGAGCATTGTTTGGAATAAACAAGCTTGCATTTTCATAGAGGTCACAATAAGTGAGACAAGTATTCAAAATAAACTTGGATCTATCAGTGTCACTAGCAAAAGATGGAATATATGGAGATGATGCATAGGCAATAATTGGCACTTTGGTTCCAACTTCATCTTTGATCATTTCAATAAATTCAGTACAGGTCAATCCCCAAGCATTGAAAGAATCTGTGAAAATTTGGAAACCATCCAAGCTATCACATTCCTCAACAAAGTACATTAATTGAGAAGAAAAATCATCGTATTGATCCAAACTAAAATTACCATGTAAAACTTCTCTTCCTGTAGAATAAACATCAAAGGCACTATTCATGGAAAATCCTTCAGAGGATTCATAATTAAGAGCGTTGAAACTTTCTGCTTCAAATTGGAACTGGAGAGGTTCACAAATAGTCTTGTCATGAAAATCCACTTGAAGATAATCACTCCATAACGAGACATTTTCCTCCAAATCCTGTTCAATATCTATTCTACTATATTCCTTCTTTTGTTTCTTTTGTTGTGGTTCTTGTGATTGACTGACTTCACTTTCATCGTCACTCAATACCAATTCACGTGTATTTTCATTCTTGCTTAATTGTTGTTTTGTAAATTTAGTTTGTTTAGTATTTTCAAAAGTCTTCATCACTTCCAATTTATCCCAACGAGTAATATTCTTATGTTGATTGATAAATTCTTGATCAACTGATTGATAAGGATCAGCATTATTCTTTCTCAAAGATCCTCTTGATCCCTTCAAATCAAAAACTAACAATCTAGGAAAATATTCTAGTGCTTCATCTTCTGAATGAATCGAATAACCACCTCTAGTCTCTCGGAATAAGACACTTGTTTCCACTTCAGGACGAAAATTTGGAATGTGATAATTATTCATCAATGGCTTGTATCCTTCCAATACATTCTTTTGTGTGTTCCAATAGTGTGAGCCAATAAAGTTTGAATAATGACCAAATTGCAGCGTTACAACTTCTCTCATTTTTTTTAGTATTTATAATTTGATGAAAATATTAAATTATTAAAAACCTCTTCAACCTTCCGAACTTCCGAAGGATTTCGGTCATCACCATATGATTACTCGAATATATTGTATTTTATATAATAGAAATAAAGATGATGATGAAAATTTGAAAAACTTATTTGAACAAGAACGAATAAATTTTTTCTGCTTTAAAAAATGACCACTCCTTCATTGGCTACTCATCAATTATCTATGAGGCTTCCCTATGAATTGTGTTTGGGAAGGGAAATTCCGGGAGTGAAGAATGCTCAACAAGGAAGAATAACATCAGATGGTTTTGTTTCCTTTGTGATCACTGAAGGGAGACAAGTAAAGATTGTTGATAACGAGACCAAATTGGTTGTTGCAACATTTTATTCACCATCCGATATTAATACTTGTTGTTATTATTCACCTAGTGATAGTGCTGGAGAGATTCTTTGTTGTTTTACAAAGGAAAAGGAATTATTTACTATTGATTTATCTAGTGGTAGAAAATTAAGACATTTTAATCTTGATTATGAAATTAATAATTGTTTGGCTGTTGAAAATCACCTTGTAGTATTAACAAATAATGGTATAGGTCTTATGGATCATGATTTTAATTTTAAATATTTACCTCTTGATAATCCAACTAGTATTTATTATAGCAAAGAAAAGGATTTAATCATTGTAGGATTTGAAAGTGGAAAGATTATATTTTACAAGATATTGAATAATTTATTAGAGAAAGTATTTACTCAACAATTGTGCAATGATAGTATTACAAGTATTTCAATTAATAATATTGGCAAACAACATGATTTTACTCTTCTTGTTGGAACAGAGGCAAACGAACTTGTAATGTTTTATTTTGTTGATTACTTTAAATCATATCAATCTAAGCAATATATTGACTTGAGAGATTATGCTGAACAATTGGTTCAAGTTAAATTAGTTAATATTGACAAGTATTCTTCTCTGATTTTACTACAAGATGGAGGTAGTGTCAAATTACTCATATTCAATTTGAATATTTGGATTTTAACTGATCAACTAGAGTCTAGTTTAGCATGTATAGACATTGAAAATTTGTATTGTAATATCTTGGATGTTCATGTTCATGATTACGTTCAATATAAGTCAAATAACTTGACAAGACTGGAGATTAGTGTATTGACAAATCAATCTATTCATACTATCACAATGAAAAATGACAATACCTTGATAGCCAATCCTTCCTTACAAAAATTATTACATCAATACAGATCTAACATGAACAACTTGTTCGAAGATTTGTACAATAATAATTTAATATCAACATTGGTAGAATATATCGAAGGAACTGTATTAAATCAAGAGGATTTGATATTACCATTCAATAACGATGCTCCAATGAGTACAAGTCAAAGTATTAAACAAAGATTTATCGTCCACGATATTAAGGATATTACTATTTGGATCAAGAATACACAAGAATACGAATTTTCTGAATTGGAAAAAAATTTACAACAATTACTTGAAAATACAAATCGTACAACTCCTCCACTTGTGTTACAGGAATGCAAAAAGGTGTTACAAAAATCAATTCGCAAACTTGAAACCTTATGTTTGCTTATTCAATCAATAATTCATAGAGCTAAGTTAATTGAAAATGTTGGTGATGACTATACTCCTAGCCTAGTAAAATATAAGGAGACTATCACCTTCAAGGTGGAATATGCTAAAACCATGATATGGTTAATTCAAAATGGTTTATTACCAATGACATCTAATATTTACAATTATACCCAATTACAAACCGAGTGGGATCAAAGAAAAGAACAACCATTCCCTATCAACAAGATCAATGTTAGTGAAGATGAATTCAATTCTATTTTGAATATTATGAATCTTACTAGTGTTGACAGCGATATGGTACCTACTCATAATGTTACTAACACTAAAAACTTTTTAATAGAACATATGGCAGAGAAATGCCAAGTAGAATATCCACCAAAAGATTTGAAAAATTTCATTTTACAAATCTATAATAGTAATATTTCACTCCAACTCAAACATTTAATTATATTCTATTTAATTATTGATAATAACCATTCACATTCAAATGGTAATGACGTTTCAATTTTAAATAAGTATGCTAAGGAATTCAACATTCCAGCTCCATATCAACACTTTGCTGTTGGATTATGGCTGTTGGACACTAAACGTACCCAAGACTCAATTCTTAATCAAGCTATTCATTACCTTTCGAACTTATTTATTAACAATAGCGAAAGTTCTTTCAGTGAATTGGATGAATGGGTTTCAAGTATACTCAGTATTTTAATCAAATCTTGCTCATTTAATTCAGCACAGCGTTTGTTAAACATTTTGTCTGATTCAACTACTTCGAACACTTCCGACATGGATATAACCACTTCATCGAAGTATTCAATTGATTCCAATATTCAAGTCTTAATATATTTAACTAATGATATGTATCACTTGGCTTTTGATTATTGCAGAAGTATGGAGGATGAAAGTGAGAAGAGAAGAACATTCTACTGTATGCTTTACTACTCCTTGATTGGAAATTGTTTCATTGATTTGCTTTCTATATTCCCATTTGATGAAATGGAAAGTTTGTGGATTGAACAATATTTGAAGAAAGAGAAGAAGAATGAATTATTGTTAAGCTATTACATTATGAATAGTAATTATATTGATGCCTATCATTTGTCATTGCAATTCAACAATAATAACTTGTTGGCAATTATTGGAAATATTTTACCACCAATTCAAAAGGTTAAATTAGATCAAAATACGGCAGATGTAAAGAAGAATCCACTTTTGAAAATGGGTGGTAGACGTATCAACCAACCAATTTTCTCAAAGAATGGAAATCAATTGAAGGTAATTAACCAATTGACATCATTTAAATCGTGGTTGGATCAAAATGACAAGGCTTCAACGTTTACTATTCCTTCTCTGTTTGATGCAGCCTCTCCTAAATGGATTGGTAAACACAGAAAACACTTGCTACCAAGTGTTGAAAAACAAGATTTACTCTATTTACCTCCAAACAAAATGCAAATACCTGAAAAGATGGTTGATGAAGACGATGAATCCACAACCAGTAGTGAAAGTGAAATGGGTGTGAAACAAACAGTTACCAATGATTACGTTCCTCCTCGTTCACAATATGGCCAAAAGACTGTGAGAGTTTCAAGACCAGCAGAAGAAGATGCTTCGAGTGCCTCCCCTAGTGAAGAAGAGGAAGAACAATCCCTCATGGTCAATCGATTGGATTACAACAAGTTCAAACAGGTAGAAAATCAAGAATTCGATAATAACAAGAAGGACGTGTTTGAATCGTCTGAAGATGAAGAGTTTGATAGTGAAGAATCCTATGACGAGGAAGAGCCAGAGGAATATGTCATTAGTGATTAAGCTTTGCTTATTTTATTTTAGATAAAACTAAATTCAAAAATATATTAAAATCTCTTTGACCTCCATTTAAAATAGTCATTGTATGTGTTTTCTCGTATTGAAGTCCCTTCCATTGTGCAATATTGTTAAATGATTCTTGATAGGAAGTTTGTGAATCTGTATCAACTAGTTCAATTACATAATTGCCATGTTTCATAAATAAAGAATAAATTAATTTGTCACCTCTGCCAATCAACAAATTGGCCTTTGAGGATAGAATTATTTGTTGTGGTATACTCAATGTTGAAAAGGTTGAATAGTCAATTAGTTGGTAATTAACTTGTGTATCAGTATTGGTCCAATACTGTTTCAATCTATCATCTTGGTACATGCAGACAACCAAGAGTGACTTTTGAGCTATTTTAAATGGTAATGTAGTAACGGTACTCAATTTACGTAGGATAATTTTCGCAAAATTGTTGAGCAAATCAACTGATTGGCAATCATGGTTAACATTTTTGGAATAATTAATAATTGGAGAATTGTAAACTGAAGGTTGAAATAGAACATGTTGGAATTTGACCAATTGATTCATTTCTGGATATATTTGATTTAGTTGCCTAGTTTGCTTGAACATTAATTTCCATATAGAGTCGAATTTTGAATTTTCGTGCTCATCCATAAAAACTATATGAATCAAATCCCACTCTACTCCCAAATCAAAAAGTTCAATTACCATATATGTATTATATAACTCATTAATAAAGTAATAAATATTGTTAATTTCATTTCTAATTCCATTTTCTCTAAAAACTAATATGGTAACTAGATTTTCATTCTCAATAACTTTTAAATTCTTAAATGTATCATAATTGAATGAGTTGAAATAGTCCTTTTGGAAATCAATGGAAAATTTGGAATTTCTAAAATTTATATTACAATTCAATTTGAAAGCATTCTTTTCATAGACATACATAGATTTAACATTATTATTTACACAATTATATTGACTTCTATATTTCAAACAATTTGATTTTGAAATTTTTTGCAAATCCATTACTAGATTATTAGTTTGACAAATTAGTGAATTATATAAATTTGTACATTTCATCAAAGATTCATCACTATCTTTAGGTTTACAATATAATTCCAATTCCTTTTTCATTTCATTAATCTTGTTACAATTATTATAACAAGAATCCGATCGTTGAATATTTAAATTACAAACCAATTCAATTTGTGCCTCTTCATCCATTATACTTGTACTGAATGTATTCTTATTCACACTATTACTATTGGAATTTACATTTTTCGTATTGACAGAATCAATATTCGTCGTATCAATTATATTACCATCCAATTGTTGTTTGTTACCCTTCTTACTAGTAGCGTTATCTAGAATATTATCTAGAATATTATCAGCATCGGATTTATCCTCTATTTGCTGCTGCTGTTCTTGTTCAATTTGTTCCTTGATAATGTTTTTAATTGTGGACGGATCATCCTCACTGATAAACTCGCTTTTAATTCGATTATTGGTTGTACTTTCATTACTCTTCACTGTACTATGAAACTTGAGCATGACATAAATTAAATAAATAAATAGCAACAAGGCTCCGAATAGAATTAATCTATTCATTATAAAGGAAAGTTTTTGTTTGTTATTATTACTATTAGTATAGTCTAATGTTCTCGGTGAGGATGTTGATTTTCGTTCAAAATTATTTCCTCCTCCTCCTCCTACAATACTATGTATTGTCCCATTTGTTGTTATTATTGTTGTTGTTGTATTCTTTACATTATTTCGCATGGATGATGTTGAAGATTTTACTTCATTTTCCGACTCGAAATGATGATTCAGCTGCTGATGATTCAGCATTTTTTTTGTAGAGAACTTTCATCACACTCATCATGAACCATTCGAAACTTTACTAAACAATTTGAATTCGAATGGATAATAAAAAGAACGAATTGGCCAGGGAATGAAGGTGCTACCTTTGAGTTTATTAAAACAAGTTTGCAGTTGGAGCACCAATGTTTTCTGGATAGTAAGTTCCCTCCCTTAGTGTGATATTAATTCTCCCACTCAATCCGTCCATATCCAGTTTGTGGTGATTGGTTGATGGAATAATTCTTTTAACACAGTGATAGAACATTCGTTGAGTGGCTCCAAAGATGAGAATATCTCCAGATTTCAATTGAAGATCGATGGCTTCCGTTCCATATTCTAATTTTCCAGTGGTTTCATTGATAGTATTGAGTTTGTAACTGAATATAGAATCATTGCCTAAAGACATGGATACCACAGGACTTACTATTAAATGTTGCTCCTCTGGGGTTAATCCACTAATTCTATCTCTGTGCCATCCTAGCTTTCCCTTATTGGTATAGTAGCATAGTTGAGCTATACGGAAATCATCTTGATAGTCTTGTAATATTTTGCAATGTTCTTTGGCTACTTTCATGGCTGCTCCACAAATAATGTCGGCAAATTTAGAGTTGAATTGTTCGAATGGAATGTCGAGGAAACACTTTTGAAAGGTTGTTTCATCGGTAGGAAATTCAGTTCCAGTTATGCCCTCCTCATTTCCTCTCAATGCACTGAGGCAGTAATTAATTAAATCTTGTTGGAGGTTTGGATGATTTCTAAAAGTCTTGATGAGAACAATGCCACTGTTCGATATCACTTCGACATCTTCCTTTTTGAAAGTTATTGGCATGTCCTTATATGTAATAGTGGTGGTTGTTGAATTATTTTCAGTTGGCTTGGTCGATTTAAACATAGAACTTGTCTTGGTAACATCCTTCTTGTTGCCACTGCTACTACCACTGGTGGAAGCAGTACTGGATGACGACACTTTCTCAGATCTAAAGTTGAAGTTCTTGCTCATTGTTTTTTTTTTCTTACTTGTTGATAGAGATTTCAAAGTGCACTCAATGACTTTATTTCAACTACAAAGGTGAACCTTGAGGTAAAAATAAAGTTGTTTTCTGTATGAAGGTTGTTGTAGGTTATAATTGTCGTGGATATTAAATGGTCTTGATGGTTTTAATTTAGAATTGAAGTTCAAGTTAACAAAATACTAGGGTGTTTATTTAAGTGAGATAATGTCAGATTCAGAAAGTTTTCTATATCCTGAAGGTTGATTAAATTGATAATCTTGAACTAGTGAGGTGTCATCTCCAATCTTTTCAAAAACAAAAGCTCTGTACAAATAGATGGCAGTCCATTGATCTTCTGTCATACCTTCCAATTTGAGTTCTGGTTTAACATTTACCTTAGTTTCTTGATTACTGCCATACTTTTGATAAAAATCATGGAAATTCAAATGTTCAACAAGGGACAAATTATGTTCCTTGGCCAAATCAATGAAATGTTTTGGAGGAACAAGATATTCAGCACATCTATCAACAGCATCTACTAATTGGAAATCATAACGATTACCAAATGTTTGAGGGAATGATTTTTCACTAGTGCAATGGAAAGTTGCTTCGAACACCTCATTCTTAAGAGTAAGGCCTTGAGCTGCCCTTAACATTTTTACAAGAACATAGGCATCTGACGTTGTGACAATAAATTTACCACCAATTTTCAATCTCTCAGAAACGTTTCTCAAGAGAGTTCTAGCATGCTCTTCAGCATCAAACATGTAGTGAACAGCAAATTGACAACTGACAGCATCGAAGAGCAGTCCTCTAGGTAAAGCTGATTCAATTGATCTCTAAAAAGTTCAAAATAATAAATAAATCAAAATACATACCCTTCCTACATCAGCATGAACTAGAGACATTGGAAATTTAAATTGTGTTGAATTTTCATTATATCTGTTAATACAATCTACAAGAGATGAAAGAGCAATATCTACACCAACATAATTCTTGATATTACGAAAGTGATATTTAAATAAATCACCTCCCTTTCCGCAACTAATATCCAAAACTGTTGATTGTGTTGGTACGTATTTATGGATCAATACTCCTTTAACCCAATTGTTGAAATTTCTTAACGGTTTAATAGGTGATTTGTTTCTAGTGTCTCTATCTTGATTAGTTCTACTATTATACATTTCTTCTGCTGATGGAAGTGGTGCATTGCTTGGTGCAGCAAGTTGTGGTCGATAAATATTTTCACTTCCTGATGATGATTTAGTCTTTTCTTGATTTTGACTCAGACGTTTTGGATATTTGTGTTGTTTCTTAGAGGAGGATGATGATGATGATCCACCATAACTACCTCCGCCACCATTATTTGATGATGAAGGCCGAAAATTAATGTAATTTCCTTGTTGGTTGTTGCTCATTTTTTCTTATTAATTTTATTAATATCAAAATTGAAACAATTCTTCATCATCAATTAATTGAAGATGTTGTTTCTCTACTAGTATTTTTGAAATGTTTCATTTGGCCATGCTCATATAGTTTCAATATTTCCTTCTATGTGTGGTGTATTGAAAATCAATTGATAAAACTTGTCCATTAAAGCTTTTTTGGTCCAATTAATACTCTGTTCAATTTTAATATAGTTCTTGTGGAAATAACAGTCGGTTTATGATGGTGATGGTCGTCCGATTGATATTGTTCAACACAAATAGCAGTATCCGATAGTAAATTTTCAAATTTTCCTTCAAATATAAAATTGTCGATTTTCACCATTGGTCTATCAGTGTCCATCCCAATAATTGAATACTTTTCAAATTTTAAATTTTCAATTAAATTAAAATCCGGAATGTCGAACACCAAGTGAATGTCATCATATTCATCCGATGAATTATCATCAACTTGTTGCATTTTTTAATAAATTCTTTTTTTTAGAATAATAATTAACATGGAAAATTAATAATTTATAAATTCGAATGTTCAACTCCATCAATATCGTCTTCAATGGAAGTGGATGTTAGAGAGAATGAATGCTCATCAATATCTCCAATATTAGGTATTCCAGAGTTTTGATGAGCGTGACGAGAATTAATTCTTGCACTTTTCATATCAAAACTTTCGGGGGAGAGATTTGTAATGTACGTATCCATTAGACCAATACCTTTAACCTTGTTATCCCTTCTTATTGTAAAATATTGTTTCAATTCATTTTTCAATAAGCTATATGTTTTTGGAGTGATTTGGACTTGTGATTCAATTCCTGAACTTTCCATTCTTGAGGCAAGATTGACATTATCTCCAAAAACATCATAAACTGGTTTTCTGTTACCAACAATACCTGCTACTAAATCTCCCGAATTAACACCAACTCTTACAGAAATAACTTGTCCAAAATTGTTGCAATGATCTGGAAATCTAAGTCTCAATTCGGCATGTCTCTCATTAAATTCATGCATTAATTTTTGCATTTCAATAGCAGCCTCAACAATATTATTCGCATGGTCAGTACTGTCATCCAGTCCAGTTGCACACATATAATTGTCACCCATTGTTTTAATCTTTTCAATTCTGTATTTGCTTAACAGATGATTGTCGAACATTGAAATAATTTCATCCAAAATCATCACCAATTCATTACTTTCCATTTGTCTAGATATTTCTGTAAAACCAACAATATCACAAAACAAAACACTGGCACAAGTGTGGTGATGGTGAATAGTTCTTTCTCCTGACTCTAACATATTTACAACTTTTTCTGGGTAAAGAGTCAACTGAAACTCTCTTGCAGTCATGACAGCTGTTAAATCTCTTAAAAATGCAACGAATGATCTCTTGTTGTTGAGTTCGTGCTTAACCTCAGCCACCTTAATTTCTAGTGGGAATTCTTTGCCATTTCCAACTCTTCTTCCAATGACTTGCTTAACTTTGTCAATGACTGATTTTTCTCTTTTACCAATAATATACTCAGTCACAAATTTGTCATGCACCTTTCCTGTTGCCTCTGGCATTAGAATTTTAACATTATTTTCGAGTACCTCTGTTTTACTAATCATCCAAGTCTCTTCGGCTGCATGATTAAATAATGTAATTCTACAATCTTGGTCTATACCAATGATAGGAATAGAAGAAAGTCCTGTAACATTTTGATACATGACGTCTAGGGTGTTAAGTTTGAATTCACTTGTAAGATCCTTGATAAAACAAATATAGACAGGTTTTCCAGAACTTTGAAGCTCAGAAGAGGTGACTGATATGGATATTGGAATTTTGTCACCATATTGTGTTAATCCCAACGTTACTCTCTTAATCTTTGGTCTGTTCTTTTTCTTATATTTTCTAAGAATCTTTTCATGAAATTTTCTGTATTCTTTAGGAATGAATATTGAAATGCTTGTAATGGTTTCTGGATCATCCACTCTGAATAGTTGCTTAAAGGGTTCGTTCATCACAATAATATTCCCGTCCAAATCTGTGATTACTGTTGCTATTGGATTATAAAGAAGCATTTGAATGAGAATATCGCTATTGTCACCAATTTCCAATCTAGTTAAATCCTCTGGACTAATGGTGCTTTTAACCTGTTTTTTAAGTTCCTTATTGTATTCATTCATTTTCTGTGTTTCAGGAAGAATAATTTCCTCATTAATTCCGCCCCATTGTGAAAGAGACGAAAAAGAATTGGTCACTTCAATTGAATGTGAGGTCCCTGAATTGTTATTTTCAACAATAGCAACAGGTACAATAGGATTAGTGACTGATCCTCTTCTGTTTGAATTAAAAGCTGCAAAAGCATTCGGTGGAATATGCCTATATCTATTAGGAGTAGATACTCTGTCAATACTCGGTAAAGAATTGCTCTCCGTTTGAATGGGATAAAGAGTTGGAGTGTGTGAAGGAAATGTGAAATGAGTTGGAGAGGCAGTATTGGAGGCAGAATTGACATTATTTGGACTTGAAACACTATTAAACCCAGAAATTGTTTGAGGGTGAATTGGAGGCAATGAAGTAGAGGTGACAGTAGGTGGGGTGGAAACAGAAGGAACAGGAGGAGTGGAACAACTTCCACTATTAAAAGGACTTATCGTGGTTCCTGTTGGAGTGTTGGAATAGCTTAATGTAGGAGGGGAAGGAGACTGATTATTTCCAATAGAACTTACGATACTTGGATTACTTGTTGTAAAAATGTGGGTATTATCGACTAATTGTTCAATAGATTTTGGTGAGCTTAGAGCATCTGATGTATTGTCGGGCGATGGAGTTCTTGCTACACCTGGACTGAACCTTAGTAATGATATTGCAGATTCATGAGCTTGAAGTTTTATATTACTTGTTGTGATAACTGATGGCTGAATAGATGCCATTGATGTTGTATCAAAATTATTATTGTTTGAATAAGGGATGTTATTGCATGAACCAGAGTTGGCATTCTGTACAGCAGAAGTTGCTGTTGATATTGTACCTCCATGAATGCTTCTCGTGAATGAAGATGACCGAGAACCATTCGCTCCATGTCTTGGAAATTTAAATTGATTCATTGAAGGTGATATATTATTATTCATTGAAGATGTTGGAGAGGTATTAACAGTGGTGGCACTATTGGCCACATTGTTTGATGAGGAAAAATTTGTAGGTGAAGCATTCAAGTCGCTTTTAAGGTTTGGAGTTGAATTGGCTCTCTTGGCAACAACCACCACTCTACTCTCTCGAGGGGTGTGGTTTACCGAAGATGATGATGTTTCAGAGCCTGATGAGGGGTACCGAGTTGAGAGTGCTGAACCCATTATTGTATTTGTAATTCATTAATTTACTCTACTACTATATTACTGTTACTCTATCAATGTTCTTTAATAGTATATAATATAAAAGCCAGCAAACTAGCTTGTTTGTCTGTTGTTTTTTATACTATTATAATGTCGTCAACTGCAGCCTAATTGTGTAATGATAAAATAAATGGCGCACTAAAAGTTCCCTCCACTTGTGAATTAAATACTATCACAACAATTAAGCGTTTTTATTTTGATATTTTAATGAAAGAAATCGAAGAATTTTGAACCGATGTTTGTACAGAAAATGGCTAACTTATTTGGTACTTTTAAGACCCAGATAAGTTAATTCTGAAACATCTGTAACATTTAGTATTCATTGTAACGCTCACAGACGTTTTTTGTCTTTTAATAAGATCGTCCCTTCAACAAAGAAATAACAGGATTACAAGGACGATTTTAATGTGGTAGAAAGGTCTTCATCATTTGTCCTATTCATTGATGATGAAATATCTGAAGATGTTTCATTCATTCCAAATTCTTGAGCGGCTGTGTTTTTAACAATATCTGACATGGCATCAGAGAATTCGTCACAAACATCAGCAATAACCTCCTTCAAAATATCCTCTCCAATTCTTTTAATTTTTTAAACTGGAAAAAGTATTAAGAATTACTTACACTTGCATTAAAGTATCAATAGATAAATCGTGAGGTCTACAAAACGCTTCAAAATATTTCTTGTTTCTTCTTTTGAATTTTTGAATAGTTTTGATAGTTTCTACACCAAGCCCATCATATGTCCCCTCCTCGCCCACCTCCTCTGTTGTACTTGTACTTGTCTCACTATTCATTGTGCTGTCCAATAAATAATTCTTATTCGTAAATCTCTTTCGTATCGACTGTTCGTCCTGTTCTAATTGAGTTAATAGCTTTAGAATTTCGTCATACTTGTCGTTTTGTTGATTCTTTTTTTCAATCAGTTTGATTTCTTGATGAGCTCGTTTCTTGTTTGCCAAGTGTTCTTCTCTTACAAGCTCGTTGAGGAGGTCATTAAGAACCATCTCTTCCAATTGATCGTATTGAGGATTATTCGAATGATTTGAAATTGAAGAAATTGATGGCTGTTCAGAATTGTTATTTGTGGTGTTGCTTTTTGTTGGACTTGTCCTGTTGATGGGTTGAGTTTGATTGGAAATAAGGGATTTTTCGGAAGGTTTGGATTGTACACTGTTTGATTGATTCACAATTACTGGCTGAGAAACTTCTCTCTTAGGTGATATTTTTGGTGATGGAGGTTGTTGGATGGAATTCGTGGAAGAATTCTGATTTTTAGGTGAAGAACTTGCTGAAGCAGGTTGAGATTTCTTAGGTGTTGTTGATTGAGATTCATTTGAATGATATGATTCTGAAGGATCATTCGAAATATTACTAATATCCAAATTGGTTTCAATAATTTCTTCATGATATTCCTCTTCTTGAGAATTGTCAATGTTTGATTCGTCTTCAGAATTTTCCTGTTCCCTTTCTGCTGTGCTGATATTACTTTCGTTAGAGACAGTTTTTGAAATATTTTGTTTTGGGCTCGATTTTTTAGCATCCTTCTTTGGAGTAATAGGTTTCTTCTTTAATAATAAGGAAGTTGACTTGTTTTGCTCCTTTCTTAGGTCCTTAAATTGTTTTTCAGAAGTTGGCTTTTTAACTTGACCTTTTTCAAACTTTTTCTGCATTGATATGGTTGGCTTTAGTAGTCTCTCGGAGATTGTCACCTGTTTTCCTTCTGTTGGTGATTTCTTCACCTTTTCATTAGGCGAGGGCGACTTGTCTTTCAATGCAGATTTATTTGTTGCAGCTACTGGTGGTTGAACTCGCTTACTATTGGGTGACACTGTTTTTGGAGTTGTTGTGCTGGATCTGTTGGGAGTATTTACATGTTGTTGATGATTAGAGTTTGGTGTTGGATTATTCTTAGTTTGAGAAGGAGCTGTATTTTGATTCGTTGAGACATTTCTAGAAAGATGTGATGTATATTCCTGATTACTAGTTGCTGGTGTGGTTGAATAAGAGGAGAATTTTGGAGGAGGAGATGAAGATGGTTGATTATTAGATATTACAGGTTGCTGTTGTATGAAAGGAGGTTGTTGATAAAGTGTCGGAGAGGGTTGTTGCTTTGGTGAAACACTCACAAATTGTTGCACCAACTCGGGATGAGTGGTTGTGATACCAGCCAGACACTTCTTTACATCCTCCCTCGCCACCTGCTGAACAAAGAGCATGAAATCTTCTCTGCTCTGAGGGAATTGAAACATTTTTTTGTACATGTTTTGGCGCCATTTGCAAATCATTTTTCTTTCCCGCCACAGTTTAAAATAATAACTATTCTATATGACAATGATTGAATTGGAAAGATTATTGGTAGCAATGAAGTTATCTTTCTAAATATGTTAAATAACAAATAGCATGCTAACAGCGCACACCTAACAAAAACAACTTGCCAGTGCAGTTGGTTGTTAACAACTTTGTCAAATCTCAGTTCGTCAATCATTGTTCCTCAATAACAGAATAACCGACGAATTCATACTTGTAAAAAAACACCAAACCTGTTCATGTTAACAACAGGTTCATCAACACCCCCAAAACCACCACACTCTAAATTATCATCCTTCACATCATTCATAAAAAACAATGACCACAACAACCACAACTGCCACGGATGCAGGTTCTTCGAAATCTAACTTTTCACTCTTTGTGCCCTCACTCAGCCATGCATCCTTATTAGTACCCAATCAGAGTTTTATAAAACATCCCATTCTTCGTTCCGATTCGGCTGTATCAAGTTCTCGATTTTTAAACAACTCTACTAACATTAAGCAATATCCATTTGGTGGACCTCAGATGGAAATTGTCTATGAGGGTACAAGGAAATTTTGTGGATCACCATTAACGATACGGCCATCAAGAATACTGATTGAGGAATTGAGTGGAGAAGGAATTCCAAATGCAGAGGATTTCTTTTCAACTGCCAATGAAAGTATTATTTCACCTCTCAATTTTATTTTGAAACATTATGAAACTAGAATGGAACAATATGATCGATTCTATTATATCATGTTGATACTATTTATTTTCTTATTCATTTTCACTTTTTTCATTGGAGGTTTCATATTTGTCTTTTTAATTTACATTGCACCACTACTAAAGATGAGATATATGAGGCGATATGATAAGAATGTAAAAACGAGGATAAGGAAAATGTTGGAGAAGGAAAATGAAAAATTATTGAAATATGGATTGGAGTGGGTGGTTTATTATAAATTCAAACAAACTGTTTCAAATTCGATCATGGTGGGGCATTGGATGGAGGTAACGATCGTCCAAGATGTCACTCTGAGGCTCATTAGACTTGGTTCTCAAGTAACATCGGAGGATTATCAAGACTTTCTTCATGTTCCACCAACACCAACAACCTTAACACCAACCAATTTGGATTCTTTTTACACTTATTCACCTCACGGCGCATCTGCTGCAAGGATTTTAACTGTGGATGCTTTTACAAATGTTCCTGCAACGGCATATAGATTGGGCACTGCAACCATGACTAAATCAGCTCAAGATCTTCATAAATCCCCTCCAAAAACCAATGTTGTCACACCAGCGAACGGTGATGAAGATGTTGAAGATAGACCTAAAAGTTCTACACTCTTTACAAGAAGTACTTCTCCTTTTTCAGGAACAGAGCAGAGTAATGATGTTGTTACACCATTTGTGGCAACTGTTGTTGATGAGGAAGAGCAAGAGGAGGAAGAAAAATCACAAAACCATTATTCGAGTAGTGATGCTGTAACTCCTGTAACTCCCTTTAGTACTGAAGACGTTTCAAATGTTGACTTGATTGACTAGTGATTGAGATTAGAAATATTCACATTTACACAGGTGAATTATGGAATTTTCAAAAATATTGGTTAACACATTAAGAACTAACAATCGTTCACTCGGCGAGGCAAGGTTTCTGACCTCCATTAAAGATATTAGATACGAAATCATCCCACTAAAGTGGCAAAACTAAACGTATGCAATAGAATGAATCACCTTAATAATAAGTGTCAACCAGCAAACTATTATCATTGTGCACAACAATAAAATAAGTAAAATAAGTGGCAACTAGGTTCATAACTTTAGCAGAATAGATAGAAAAAAATCCGCTACCATATCAGATTTTACTGATTCTCAATGTTCTGTCATTTCCTTAATTAAGGGATTTCCTATTTTGAATTAATTTTTTGAAAATATTTAACAGTTAAAAAAATATACACTCAGATAATGCACTCAACGAATACTAGTACCAACTACTCATTTGCATTTCCATCGAATAGTGTTACCTTCTCTTCCCTAAGTTCTCATAAACCTCCAACTACAACATCAAACTCGTCATCAGTTTCATCCTCTGAAGATGTCATCTCTGTGGAGCTTACAGAGAATGTCATTAGTCTGAGGCCAGTTCCAAAACCTCCGTCATCTTCTTCATCATCAAGTATTCCACAATCTTCCTCTAATGAACACCATGTAAATAACAACACTGATGGTATACCTGGCTCCTATTCAGCTCTCAGAGTGAATGAGTCATCAAACAGAAGCAGTAGCTCTTCCCTGCCTCGAGTGAGAAGACCCGATTCAATCATGTTGGAACTGATGGACATGGTAATGACTGATGAAATTGAAGAAATTCCACTCCACAACGATCTTGAATCCAACTCTGCAAATTCCACTCCCAAAAAGAAAACCAGAGAACTCGCTCCACAACAACAATCGAAACATTCTGGTGGTGGACTCTCAGGGTTCTTTAGGAGAAAATTGTTAAAGGAACAAAGTGCTGGTCCACTCAATATTTCCAACTCTTCGATTTTATCACAATCTCCAAGTGCAGTGGATTATTCATCACCTGTATCGAATGCATCCTCAACGAGGAATCTCATTCCCTCCTCACCAATGCCATCCCCACTCAATCTTCACGATTCTCCTAGGAATCAAGGAAGTTCATCTCCAACAAGCAACCCAAAGAGACAAAGTCCACAACAAGTTAAGCAACTCAAAAGAAAGCAGAAATGGGATGATAAGATTAAGAGAATGAGACAGGAAATTAACTCTTTTGGATTTCAAAAACAGGATAAGGGCAAATCGAATTCCAATAGTGAAACACCAGAATTGATGTTTGAAAGAGGAAATGGACAATCTCTGGGTGATGTAATGGATGAAAATGATTTACAAGATGACGTTCTCCTCCAGAAACCATCCAAAAACTTTGTTTCCAATTACTTTTCAAGCAAGTTCATGAAAGACAGTAAAAATCCATTCCTTGTCAATAGAACTGTCAATCAGGAACACAAAAAGACACCATTCCTCACAATTGGATTGACCATTGTTCAAATAATAATGTTTGCAGTGAGTGTTGGATTAGGTGGACTTGAGTCCATCTTGGTCAATCCATTAATTGGCCCACCAGAAGCAACTCTTGTGCAATTGGGAGCCAAACAAGGTACTTTGATTATTTCTCCCAATTGGCAAGTCTATAGATTACTCACTCCAATATTTCTTCATGGTGGAATAGTTCACTTGTGCCTCAATATGATGTGGCAAATGTCAGTCATGCTCCCACTTGAACGACATTGGGGATGTATCTTTGTTTGCTTCATTTATCTCATTAGTGGTGTTGGTGGCAATCTATTGAGTGCTCTTTTTCTTCCAGAAATTGTCACAGTTGGAGCCTCAAGTTCTCTATTTGGAATTCTCGGAGGCATTTATGCAGATTTATGGATGAATTGGAGGTACATGCCAAGTCCAAAAAGAGATTTCATTCTAATTACCATTCAAGTTGTCGCTCAGGTAATTGTTGGATTAATTCCTTGGATTGATAATTTTGCTCACGTTGGAGGATTACTTGTTGGTTTCTTATCCACAATGATTTTCATTCCACGAATGAGACATCCAAATCCATATGAAGAACAAGCAGCTCAACAGAAAGATTTGAACAATAAGACACCTCAAAGGAGAAAACTTCTTGGAAATTCTAGTAATGAAGATGGGGAGGAAAACTTGGATTTGGAGAATGGAAAACCCTCCAAGTGGAAGAATTTCTCAAAATCAAAACCTTTCAAACTATTATATGCATGCTCTGCATTCTTTTGCTGTTGCTTCTTTTGTTGTAGTGAAAAAACGAGAAGGGTGGGAAAATTCACATTGTGGGTCAGAATTGTCAGCGCTGGCTTATTGTTCTCCTATTTTGCTATATTTGGAGGGTTGTATTTTACTCAAATGGATTGGACATGTAGGTGGTGTTACTTTATTAATCCTGATTGGGACACTCTTTATGAAATATTTGAGGTTGTCAAGGAAAAGATTCAACAATAAATTATTTGTACTATATGTTAAGAAAATCCAATGATAAGGTTTGGATTAGATATTACCTCACCAATAATAAATAATAAACAACAATTTTGCAAATAGGACTTCAGTAATCAAATAACATAAGTGCCAGAGATTTTGATATGGATTTAACTAATTCCTTGTCAGTTTTTATGAATTGTTTGGAAAAAATTTTGGCAATTTGGAAAGGACATACAATACCTTCAACACTAATATAAAAATCATAATAATGTTCAGTTTTTAATTTAATTATTTCTAAATTAGCTTTATAATTATTATAAATAAAGTCTTCTTTTAATAATATTATGTAGTCTGGAAGGGCATTGATAAAGACAAGCTCAGCATTTATTTCCATTCTTCACTTCCCTCAGAATTAAACATTCACCAATATCTAACTAAATAGAGATAGGTTTTACGTTCTGATATTGTTTGGGAGTTGTTTAAACCAAAATAAATTTAAATTTGGACACGAAAGTAACGGACATTTTGTGATTAGATAAATTTATTGTAAAATTACAAAATTGATTAAAATCATAATAATGAAAATCAATCCAAAAGAAATTTGATGTTGATTTGCTTCGTCTGGTACAATTGGACTTGCATCAACCGAATAAGCATCCAAATCAATTCCTGCCATGTCTCCTTTAGTTGGAATTCCAGCAGCAATCCATGATTTTCTCAAACAAGAATAATGTCTTGAGAAGGCATATCTACATCTAGTAAATAATGAACTATCTTCATCTACATATTGAAGAAAACCCAATCCTCCATAAAAATCACTTCCTAATAATCCTTGATTGTATAGGCAGGTTGTTACATCAATCATTGCTCCTAAACAACTGTCTACACATTTTCCTGGACTATTTGATGAACTCTTACCTCCACATGCACAATAATTATTATAATTACTGTTTTGACAGTAAGCGGATCCAGAACATGGTGTACTTGGTCTTTCTGCACATTTACCAGCAGTAGAGCAGTAGCCAGAATAACATTCGTCATTTGCCTTACAAATTCCATTGATTTCTATTCCGTACCATCTTGTACATTTGTTATTGTAACACCTGACTAGAGCTGATGAACTGTGAGTACAATCAGAATTCAAAACACAACTCTCTCCATAACTAGCGCTCTTTTGACAAGTCATTGTTTTATCACTTGGTGAATTTTGACGACAAATTGTGCCTTCTTCACATACAGATTCTGAATTTGCACAGTTGGCTCCCTTGGGAAGTGTTTCAGTACACAATTGACTTCCATCATTCATTGTTTTACAATACAAGCCACTTTCACAAATCTTGAAAGTTGGAATAATGGAATTGTCTGCAGAAGGATTCGAACAACTTTCACCCTTCTTTGCCTTTACTTTTGGAACACATTTACTCTTGACTGGTTTCCAGGATTCACAACACTTATAACATACATATCCATCTTTGCAATCATACACTGTATTGATGTTGTCATCAACAAAACACTCTTCTCCATCATTTCTCTTCACAACTTTGTACAATTGACACTTATTGTTGATACATTTTGGTCTGACCATATCAACCATGGTTTTTCTATTGGCAGGAACAATATTAAACAAACATTGATTGTCATCGACACAAGAATCACCTGGTAGTCTTAGCATGGGAACACATTTTTGATTGACACAATTCATATAAGCGAAATAACAATCAGATTTTGTTGAACATGTACTACCTTTCTTCTGCTTGTTAATGGTTGTGAAAGATTGGCACTTGTTGTCCAAATTGACAAAAGAAATTGGACAGAAAGCTCTTTCTGGTGGAGATTCGTTTTCTGAAAACAAGAAACTTTCACATGTTTGTTGGAAAGTTTGTGAAGTAAAAAGAAGAAGGAGCACCATCAACAGCAATACCTCTGCCTTTAATGTGAAAAGGGAGAAAATTGGTTTTGCCATTTTTTTCCGAGTGAAATGGAGAGCTCTTTAAAGTGAAAGCACAAAAGGAGTAAAATTTGTTACAACGGTTAACAGTCTCATAAGTTAACAATCTCATTCGTTTCGTACTTCATCAATCATGAACACCATCTATGGTGGAAGACAATTTCATGGTAAGGACATGAAAGGAAAACTAAGCTAGAATCTTACCATTAAACATTCGTTAAAAATTTATTGGATTTCAATGGATGAACAATCCACCAATAAACTAAGAATATTTCGAAAATATTTGTGAGCTTTTGATAGTGGTCTCTTCTCCAATTAGTTTAACTACTCAAAACGCTTTGGATATTGCATTCTATTTTGAAAATAATTCCAAAGTTAAATTATTTTTGATACAATTCAATAATAGAGGATACAATACTGTAAGGTTAGTAGCAGCAATTTTTGTCCCTCGACATACTTTCTTCCAAACTTTTTTTAGCATTTTCAAACTTGGCATCTTTGGACATTTCAAATACTTTGAGATTTCCAAAAGAGTTCAAAGTGAATAATGTTGGAACATGCTTACACAACAGCTCCAAATGTGTTCTCAATTCTTGAACAGAGATTTCCTTAGTATATCGATTTTTCAATTCTTGAACTAGAGTGTTCAAGTCCATTCTGAATTTCTTTTTCATTTTCAAAATACTGAAAAAAATTATAGAGAACTTGAGATATCAATACTACTTACGTAAACATGATTAGTAAAGTTTCTATCACTCGGTCAATTTCAAATTTTTTAGAGAGAATCTTTGCTCTTTCAAATTCTTCTTGCTCTTTTCTGTCATTTTCTTTGAGCATTTCTTCAATAGATTTCTTTGGTTGTTGTGTTTTATCTGTAGAGTTTTCAATTTTTGGTAATGGCTTGGTTGTTGTGATATTCAAGGCTCTGATCTCAATTTGTGGTTCCAAAGATTGTGGTTTTTCTACTGTTACAATTCTCTTCTTCCACATACCAACAATAGTGGCTTTAATCTTTTCAAAGTCATTACTAATATTTACACAAATTTCCTGATTATGATTCAAGTAAATTGTAAACAGTTCAGGAACAATATATTGAATCATCTTTAACGTTTCAACACCAAAAGGTTCTCCACTATTCTTGTATAATTCATTAATTGCAGACAACTTAAAGTCACTGAAACCACGATGAAAATAGGTACCCAAGGTAAACATGAGTTTACCAAAATTTTCATCCAATACTTCCTTCTCCTTCTTGGAAAATTCCTCCTTCTGGGTTATTGGTTTAACAACAGTAACCACAGATGGCACCTCATTTGTAACAATTATGGTTGATGGTTGTACTTCCGTATTGTTGACATTATTTGATTGATCGTTTGTTGTGCTGTTAGTAGTAACTTTACGGACAACTCTCCTCTTTTCTCTTGATCGTACAGGTACTGGTTCAATGACCTCCTCAGACGTTGTTGTACCTGATGGTGGTGATGTTAATTTACTTGTTGAAATGTCGTCTGCTTTTCTTTTGCTCATTTTTTTTAAAATCAATTTTTGAAGAATTATTTAGGCGGGAAAAGTCTAAAGACTAAACTAGTTTAAAACTTTGAACAATTTAATATATTGATGAAATGTTAACAACATAGAATGAAAACATTCTCATCATCAATTCTTTAATTGCATAAAAATTAAAAAACAGATTCCTCCAGGAATCTATTCTTAATTTTGAATAAAAAAATGAGTTCAAATAATCACAATAATAATAATCGTAATAATTATTCTTCGTCATCAAACTCTCGGTATAATAATAATTCATACAACAACAACAATAATTATTCATCATCATCATCGTCATCATCTTCTAGATACAATAATAGAAATGATCGGTATGAAGATAAGAGGTTGTATAGTGATTATGATGTAGGTAATAGTGGTGGTGGAGGATATAAACAACAATCATACAAGCAACGTTCTAATAATTACGCTCCCAAGTTGGATAATTTCTATTTTGCTATGGACAAGACACTTGGTGATTTGGCAAATAATGCGTTCTATCAAGTGCAAATTGTTCCTCTTGAGAATGCTTTCAATGGAAATTATACAAATAGTATTAGCTTGTTTGAATACATTTCCAATTTCCATTTGTACAATTTACACTCTAATTTATTATCTAGGCACGAGGAAATATCTAAAAACTTGAATCCTAAACTTTGTAAATTCTTGGGAATAGTTCCGAGATTGGAGGTTGAATTGGAGAGAAGTCTTTCGATCACATCTCTGAGACAATACCAAAGAGAGTTACTCAAGGAAAAATTAGATATGGATCAAGTTCCAAAACAATCATTCAATAGATGGATGTTGGAGAGAAAAGTTTTGGAAAACAAGGCATTGAGAGAAAATTTCAAATCTGAAACTATTGACTATTTCACTGATCCAATTGTTCCATCCCTCCTTTGTAACAGTGACAAGTATTTAGTTGATCCGAGCAGTGAATCTTTGAGGAGAGAAATACTTGATGACGTACCAATGAAGGCAAACATGTTTCCAAGAAATTTAGAAGAAGCAAGAGTTTCATTGAAATTATACATTGACGCCTCTAGGAAATGTATCAATCAGGACAATATTGGGAAGAGTTTATCTGAGGAGGAGAAATCCAAACTTGTTGAACATTGTTCCAACTATGAAAAGTATCTCAACTCGGCAAATAACATGGACGAAATTATGGAAAAATTGAAAGAAATGAAAGATCTTGTTGGAAAACCATTACAAGAAAAGGTATTCAATGTTGCTGATGATATTTGTAAATTTATTGCCACCAAGAGTAATGAATTGATACACACCTCCATCAAGAATGAATTACTCTTACATTTCAATAGTAGTGAATTAGTATTGGAGAATTTCAATGACTGTAACTCATTGTATGATTTTATTGTAAAATACTTTAACACAAAGAAGGTGAATCAAATTTGTGGAAAAATTAGCAAGAAAGAGGAACCATTCCAAATAATTCTAGAAAATAGAGAAAGGGTGCAAAGATTTTCAAATATACTCACCAGTCACCAATTAAATATGAGCCACTATGAAAAGCTGAAAAAACATTTCCATCACAGATTGAATATCATCTCTGCAAATGATTCAAGAAAAAGAGAAGTTTTACAAGATATTTTCTTCAATAGATCGAACGACTATACAACTTGTGTATTTGACTATTTTGTATATTGCTTACTTTTGAGATATGGAGCCATGTTTGGAGCAGGAGAAAAGAGATTTGAAGGAACAGGTCTGCATGCTGCTTGTCCTGTAGAGGTCTTTGAAACTCTCAATAAGAATATGAATGTAAATTCTGAAAACTTTGCCTCTCCATTGAATTCATACTTTGTAGATTTTTGTTCAGCTTGTGGAGATTTAGATTTTTGGTTTGGTTCGTTGGGAGGATTTTTTGAATTCTTCCCAAAATCTGGATGGTAAGTTTTTTTAAATAATATTAACTCTAATTGAAATAGTTTCGAATCTAATCCTCCATTTAGTGAAGAGTTGATGCAAATGATGGTATCTCATATGGAAAATCTGTTAGCAAACTCTACAGAATCTCTTTCATTCCTAATTGTGGTTCCAAATTGGATGGATGCTCTGAGTTTACAAAGATTGTGCAGTTCTAGTTTCCTCACACATGAACATGTATTGGGAGCTAATGTGCATGCCTATATTACAGGAAGTCAACACAATGAAAAGAATGTCCACAAGAGAAAGTATAATGCTGTGCATGAAACTCACTTTTTTGTTCTGCAAAATGAAAAGGGAAAAACCATCAATCCAATCACATCACAATTTATTGATTACTTCCTCAAATCATTTGCAAGTGATTCATCTCCTCCTCGTTATTCCTCTTATAATAATTCCTCTTCTTATAATAATAGCAAAAATAATAATACCTATTACAATAAAAGATAAAAGGTGTTTGTAACTGATGTTCTGTATGATTGTTTGCTGGAAGAGTATTTTTGCATCAGATCAATCACTTGTTCCAATCAAGTTGACCAAGAGATTATTTCAATATTTTCAAACACGAATTGTAAACATGTTGAAAAACTAATTGTCTTGGTGAGGCCTTGTCACTCTTAATAATTTCCACATGGACACTTGGAATGTTTTGATAATATTCTAGAACTGGCAATAAGTGTTTGTCAGATCTTTCAATTCTTGGCACAAATAATTCTTCAGAATCGCCAATTCTTTGACTCAATTTCAAACCTTTTGAATTTTGCTTGATAAATTCAGCATCCAATGTCATGTGATACGTTTTTCCAGATATTAAATCCACTCGTCTCTTACAAACTCTTTCAATCAAATCCTCCTTTGGGGCATCCAAATAAATATACAAATCAGGTTTAAATTCCAAAAGATTTGCTACATCCACTGATTGAGGCCCTCTGTAGTAAATTATTATATTACTGCACCCTGATGATAATTGATTATTTTCATGAAAATTAATAAATGAATTCAAAAGGTTGGCCATAATCATTGGATTTAAATTGTATTTCAATTTTCCAGAATTTTTAAGTTTTTCAATTTCTTGTTTATGCTCGAGAGGTATGTTGTTGTATTGTGGTGATGATTCGGCAAGAAGGGTGTTTGAATCCAAGAAAATAATATTATCATTCGGAAATGTTTCCCTCAATTTCGTAATTAAATCTGAACAAACACTTGTCTATTATATCATTATTCAATTATTATGATCATGATTAATATTTTACCTTTCCTGTTGCTGGTCTTCCACTTATTGTAATGATTTTACACTTGTTCATTAATGACATTTTTTCTATTTAATTATTATTATTGTACAGTTAATTAAATTATTATTATTTACAAAATTATTGTGTTAGTTTTCCAACTTGATCTATACTAACACCAACAATCTCATCAGTATCAATTCCTAGGTCATCAATAATTTCTGCTGGTTTCTTTTCAGTAGATTCCGAAATCTTATCAATAATTTCTTTAGTTAATCTCTTTCTTAGTCTCCATTCTTTCAGATATCTATCCATACTCTTTAAAGCTTCCTTCTTTTCATCCATTGTACATAGTTTAACTGAACCAGATTGAAGTGATTCTAATTTTTCCTTCTTCTTTTCTAAATCAGCTCTTTCCTTTGCAATTTGAGCAGGTAAATCTTCTGTTTTTGGAGCTTTCAATAACTTAGCTTTCTCGTTTGTAAGTTGTGTGACCTCGGATCTAACTTGTGCTAATTCTTCTTGTAATTCTTTAATTTCTACATCAATTTCCTTTAACTCTTCCTTGCTCAAAACTTCCAACCCTTCTTGATTGATCCACCAAATCTTTGTTTTACCATTTACTTTTACACTCAAATCACCCTTCTTTTCATAATGGTCAACACACTTAGTGGCCATCGCCTTTTTCAATTGACCTTTCGAGTGATCAATAACATTTTGTAAATTGAATGGTCTATTTGTCTTTTTAAATAAATCTAAAACAACTTGTCTTGCTTCCTTTTCATCCTTGATGGTGAGATCCTTCTTTTTAGGTCCAGAAGAGGTTGATGCAGCTTTTTTACCACCTGATGCTTTCTTTTTAGTTTCCTTTGTATCTTTATCTTTTGATTTGGAGGATTTTTTAGTTGATTCCTTCTTGGATGATTTCTTCTTCTTTGAATCTCCTTCATCTTTCTTTTTCTTCTTGGATGATTTTTCTTTAAAATCACCATCATCCTCTTCCGAATCATCAACAAAAGCAGCTACATCATCATCGTCATCATCCGAGTCATCAATTACTTCAACTGGTTCATATTCTTCCTCTTCTTCATCATCAACAACACGTTTACGTTTTGGGGCCATATTTTTTTTGTAGAATTTGATGTTCGAGGAGAGAATTGATTTTATTTTTAAAATTTTTAGAACTGTTGTGTGGAAGTTTAAAATTTCCAGTTTTTACATGATTACTCAGGCACTGAAATGAGGTGTGTTGGATATATCCTCTAATTCATCTTCTTGTGATGATGATATTGGTACTTTTGGAAACAAATCGAGACCTTTCAACTTTTTAGTATAGCCATTTTGGATGCATCCTTCACTTTCTGCATGTTCGTAACAACATGACCAATGTGCTCTAACTTTGGGGATGTGATCTGTACTACTTCCTGAGGGTGCATGTCCACCTCCACATCTCTTACTTCCTGATCCTTTCAATTGGCCAGAATGAAATGAATCCTTATTGAGCCATGTTCTCCTTTTACATTTTCCACCATTCAAAACACATAAAGTACCACAACACGGAAAGACCTTCTGATCATAATAATTTCCAGATCTACTTTTCCATTGAACTGTTATTGGTTCTTCTAAATGATTTCCCTGAATAATTTTTCCATTAATTATGAAATCTAGAGAGTTAGTTTCATTGTGTTTTTCAATAGCTTCTTTGGAACGTTCCATCATGAATTTAGATATATCGCCAAACAATTCCTGACTATTATCCTCATCAATCTTCATTGTAATTTCTTTCATTGAGAAACAATTCTCCACTTTGAGCTGTGGTCCATCATTAATAGAATCAACCATGATGCAAAATTTCACTAATGGTGCCTTGATATATTGTGAACCTTCTCCATCGACCCATTCAATCAAACTATTCACAATTTCAATACACTTCTCTTGTGGAGCAAGATAAAACAACGCTTCAAATACAGTTCCCAAACTGTGGTCATTCAATTGTTCCCTCTTTTCAATGTCATTCTCAAGAATACTGAGATAAATTTCCTCATGCTTGTATTTCAAATAGGAAGCAAGAGTTGAGTTCATGGTGTACCTTTCTCTCTTCATGCTAATATCTCCCAATGGTATTGATTCATCATCAAGTAGTGGTTTTAATTTTTCTGTTATTAAATTGCTCAACTTGGAATCACCAAAGAGAGCAAGCTTTTTGCATTTTGCTTTGGTTGGATCGAGAGCAGTTTTTACATCACAGTTGTGTGCTTTTAATCCGAATATACTTTCCAGCTCTGTGGCAGAAATAGTGGGACCTTTGAGAAGGAGCCTTCTAGAGAACGAAAGCATTTTTTCTAATGATTATTCGAAATAACAATAAAGCAACAATAACATACAGTATTAACAGCATTACTGTAGTGCAATTTCATGATGAGTGTAAATTTTATTGAGTTATTAGAACCTGTATAATATGCACCATCTATTGTTGACATCTTCGATCTTCACTTGAAGCAAACAACCAATTTCTAATTTACAAATCTCTTCCAAATCTTGCATCATATGTTATCTGAAAATCTAATTCCGAGAGTTTAAAGATTGATCTCTCCTGTATAATATGAATACATTCATTACAAAACAAGAGTGTAAGCTTCTTGATTAGCTCTCTGCATGACAAAGGAAGGAGTGTAACCAGCTGCTGCTTCGTATCTTCTCTGTTCTTCGGGAGGTAAAGTTGCATAGATAACTCCTGTTTGAGCAATCATTTTCGGAGCTGGCTGTCTCTTTTGATTCAATCCCATTTGCATTGCCAGTGGTACTTGGAAATTTGTAGTTGCATTCTTTTCTTCTTGTTTCTCTTGCACTGTTACTTCTCTCAAGTGTTTGAGTTGGGATTCCTTATGTTTTCTTTCTTCCTCTACTGCCTCCTTCTTTTCCTTCTCCAAAATTTGTTGTTTGTATTCATTCTCGGCAAGTGCTCTGTTTTTAGCGATAAGAGTCTTGTTATTATGTTTAAAATCATCCATTTCCTTTTGTCTTTTTAATTTAACTTCATTATCATTTGAATAGGCAAGATCAAAGACTATTGTCATGATGATTAACAAATATATATTATTATAAAACACATACTAATATCCTCAACCCTTTCCAAATAATCATTGTATTCTAGTAAAGTTTGAAAATTGTCTCTCCTCAAATTAAATCTATAGATTCCAATTTGTTCATTCCACACAATAATAATGATCATTATTAATATTTGTTGATGATGATGAAATTAATACCTACACTCGCAAAACCTCCTTTCTCACTTTAGTTTCACGGTCCACTTCTGACATTTTTTAAAGCTAAAATTTTTGTTCTTCCAAAATACTACCATTTACTTGCACTGTAAATTCTTCTCTGCAGAGTAAAACTTTCAAATATCACTCGTATTGTTATGAAATATTTTGTGCTGTTCTCTCATCCTTATTAAAATTATTTACTGCAATTAATCCACCCTGCAGAGGCTATATTACGGAACAATATGCTCTACAAATATCCGACTCATCGGAATGAACCTTTTCAAACAAAAAAAATGGCAACTTCCACCCTTTGTACTATACCCAATCATTTATTAAAGAGTATGTACAGTAAAAAAATTATTGATGAGTAATCATCATTTTAATAATCATCGGAAATGTTACATTATTAAATTTTTTATATAAACAAATTATTCCTATTAATTTTTATTATAATAGGAATACACAATGTAATTCCGATTGAAAAACCTATTAAAATAACAGGAGAAGTAATTAAAGGATTTGGAAGAGGAGGAAAATTATTGGGAATTCCAACAGCGAATTTACCAATTGAAAATTGTAAAGAATTATCACAAATCGAAATGGGTGTTTATATAGGATATGCTAAAATAAGAGGAATAACTTGTAAAACAGTTATTAGTATTGGTAACAATCCACATTTTCAAAATGAACAGAAAACTATTGAACCACATTTATTGCATGATTTTAATTCTGATTTTTATGGAGAAAATTTAACTATTTCTATTTGTGGCTTTATTAGATATATGGAAAAATATGACAATTTAGATGATTTAATTAATGCTATTAAAAGTGATATTACAATTGGTAGTAAGGCTTTAGACGAAGAACCTTTTAAAAATGCTTTACATGATTTATAACATTTTTATTAGAAAGTTTAAATAAACTATTGAATAATGTCATATATTGGAACTCTTCTAACCACCAGCATACAAGAGCAAATTAAACAAATCAATAACTTATTAAAGAAAATTTCATCAACTCATCTCAATTTAAAATCATCATGAGTTGTTTCAATCCTCATAGGAAATCATCAATGTAACGAAATTTCCCGCCAAAACAATTTACAAAAAAAATGCTTCAACAACGACAACAGGCACGGATTGTTAGTCGGGAGCAACAACAACAACAACAAATAGGAAATCCTATTCAGCCCTCAGCTGATGATATTAAATTGCGTCAACAACATGAGATGGAATTATTATCTCTTCAACATGAAATTCGGAGTAAAAATACCAAGATTAAACAACTTCAATCTAAATACGATCAGTTGGAAAATAATTTCAAATTTATTTTGGATAATCATAAGGAATTAATTAATCGTTTAGGAGAGTTGGAACGAGATTTAAAGGACGAAAGAGAACGCTCATCAGAGCTCCAAAACAAAATTCAACTTCAACAAATTGAAATTACAAAATTATCAGACAGCGAGGAAAAGAATAAGAAACTAAGACAAGAAATTGAATCACTAAGGAAGGTCAACAAAAACCTTCAAGATACATTGTTGGATACAGAAAAGTTAAAGGAAAAGAAACAAAACAAAAAATATGAAACTTTGATTGAACAATTAAAACAAGAAATCAAACAATGGAATGATAAATTTTCAGAGCAACACGTAAAGTATACAAAAATTGTTGCCAAGTATAAAAATCAAGAAACTCAGCTGGAGACAATGATGGAGAAAAAGGAAAAGAAATCAGTTCCAACCCAAACTAACTCCATATTAACAATATCGGCAGAAGTTCAAACACTCATAGAAAAGAAACCTGCTAGTTATGCTCAATCTGTTCAAGTAAATATTGAACCAGAAGTGAAACGAGAAGTGAAACCTCCACCTCCAATTATGGATTGGAAACCACCTGTTCAAATCTATAAGGAAATTGAACCTTTTGTCGATGTTGTAAAAAGTAATTACAAACCTGAAGTTATCATTATTGAAAAACCAACTCTAAGAAAACCACCAATTATCGAAAAACCTATATATGAAGAGTTGGTACTTCCTAAACAAGAACCACCAAAGGAAAAGCCCCAAACAAAGCCAGAGCCAAAATATATTCCAGAAGATGAAGGAGATAGAATGGTTACAATTTTACACAAAGATTTACCTCAACCTAGAGAAATTAAGGTAAACTTTGTTCAAACCCATTCTGAAAATCAATGTCAATTCAAGTTATTCAACACTAGGCCAAATATGACTCACTTTTCCAAGGAGTGGAGCAATCTTCCATTCTTCTTGTCAGTTGATTTCTTCAAGCATGAAACACAATTATCAGGAATGACATACGGTATAACTAATGAGCTTGCGTTTGAAAAGTTATTCGAATTTGAAAACAACACACTATTTATGTACTATATTGCTAATGGTTATATATTGGTGCAATTAACAATTGCTCACTCAATAGATAATTGCGAAGTTGTTGGGCAAGTTGAGATTCCTTTAGCCGGATTTATAAAGGATGGCAAAAGCAATGTTATTAAGGGAACTGCCAATATAATTGGAAAGGCCAACAAGACAATAATGGCAACAATTGATTATGAAATACGTTTGAAAGATCCAATCGCTAACGTTATTGCGAATTTTAAATCAGAAAATGTGCTATCACTATTCTCAGATCAATATCTTCCATCTCAACCAATTACTGACCACACAAATAATAATAGATACTCACAATACGATACCCAAGCAACTACAATAGAGAGTACAGATTTTGATAATGGACAAACCTCTTACCTTGATGAAGAATTACTAAATCAACAAATGGGAACAGGGGAATCATTTTAATTGTAAATATTGAATCTATTGATTTCAAACAATAAATCTCAAATTGGACTTGTTACTGAGAGAATTGGGCATCTATTTGACAATTTATTCTTCCTTGATTTTCTTTAGATTTGGTGATGATTCTATAATATCATCATCTACCATAATATCTAAAATTGGTTCCATGGCTCGTTCAAAGGAACGCTTTACACTTGGATTCTTTCTTCTGGTCACTCTTAATAGAGTGGTTTGTTCTGCAATTCCTTCCTGTAATGTCGCTGGAGAAGGGTTGACTGCTAGTTCAAGAGTTGAACCTAACTCTTCATCCTCCTCATTAGAATCCTGACTAATACTATCATTCGATTGGTTTGGTCTGGATTTTCTGGAATTTCTCATTTCCTCGAATGATATAACTGGTCCCAATAGTATTTCTTCCCCAATCTGTTCTTCCATTTTCACTTCATTAAGATTTACGTTGAAAAATGTCATGTCATTTGATAAAGATGATACAGGTTGTTGAAGTGTTTCAGGATTTGTGGATTCCAAAATGTTCGTGATAATTTCCTCCTCTAAGTGTTCTTCTTCATTTGCTTGTTGATGATTAAATATTAAATAATAGATAATAAATCCAATCAAGATAATTAGTAACATTTTACATATCCACATTGATAGAAAGGCAAAAGCAGCCATAATTGCTCCAGTATAAAATAATATTGGATCATAAGAGTGAACCCACTCGTATTTCGTTTCATTCTTAATTATGAAATCTCCCAAATAAACTGTATGTTTTTCCTCTCTACATTTACTTGATGAAGAATAGGTTGTTGCGTTAGAGTAAGGAATGAATAATTCAGAAAAATCCTCATGTACACTCTTTGACTGAATGCTTACAAATATTTCAGTTTCTTGTATTGTCCTCCTTGCAACTGCCCATTTATATTCGGGTTTGTACAAATTCTCAATATATGTATGCTCTGTTGGCTCCAACACTTGTCGACGTTCAAAATCTAAAATAGTTTCGTGCTTGGTTCTTTCGGTTGTGTTAAACTTGATTATAAATGAACAATTCATAATTGACTCCTTATTAAAATCCCACCAAATCAATTTGAAATAATCTCCTTTACATTCATTTGAAATACCCTGCTCCAATCTAGTTTTAGTTAATGTCAAATCATGTACAGATTTGATAGAGTTGAGAATTTTGGAGACTGATTTGTAGAGTTTGAAACTCATAGTAGAATTGAATTTCTCCAAGATTTTCATTCTATTGAGAGGAATAATTGTCATGTCCTTTGCAGCCTTTAAATATTCAAACCATTGACTATCAATACTAGCCTTATAATTACAATAATTCATATCATTTGGTATCGAATTGTAAAATAAATCATCTTCATTCACAAGATAGGTATCATTTGTTGGTATTTTGTACCATTTGGCAATTTCTTCAAGTTTATACTCGTGCTGTATCTTGGAAAAAGTAACATTCGTATATATAGTTGGTAGTAAAACCTTAGTCGAATACTCTACATCATGTTTCCACAATTTTTCATCATGCAAATTCAAACTCGAATACTTTTCAAATGGAAATTGTGCAATCACAATGATGAGGAGGGAATATATCACATATCTACAATAATCATTAGTATTTACAAACTTGATAATTAATTGAAGTAATCCAATAGAAATTGCACTCATCAAAAAGAACAAAATCAATCTATAAATCATTGATGATTGAAAAAAGAAACTCTCCTCCGAAGCAAATATTGAAAAGGAAGCAATAGCTAGAACCATCATTGTAACAAGAATATTCTCTTGATTTTTATCGTGCTCATTAGTGGCAGCAAAGGTGCTCATTTGATCATCATCAGCAGCATTCAGTGTGTCATCATTTCTGCTACCGAATAAAAGATGTACGAGGGAGTGTTGTCTCATATTTTTTTTTGGTTATTTAATAAGACACGAATTTTCTTGTTTTTTGAATTGAGGCAGAACAAATTTTTCGAGACAAACACATCTCTTACACTTAAATACTCAACAATTGAAAAGACAAAAATTTACTCTAACAAGGCAGCTTGCAAAGCTTGGAAAGCCTTATATCTGTGACTGATAGTATTCTTTTGTTCCTTAGTCATTTCAGCAAAAGTTTGTGTGAAACCAGTTGGTTGGAAGATTGGATCCCATCCGAAAGCTGGACCTTCAGCAGATCTTGGAAGAACAATGTCACCAGTGGTTTCACCTCTGATAACTTTTGGATTCAAATCCAATTCAACTTCTCCACAACATCCACATCCATCATCACAACAATCATCTTCCCATTCTTCTTCACCTTCCTTACAACATTCATCATTTTCACAACACTTTTCAGCTCCTTCCTTATTTTTACAACATTCCTCTGGGCTCAATCCCTTACAACACTTTTCTTCACCATGTTCATGCTTGTGTTCGTGCTTGTGTTCATGATGATGGTCATGATCACAACAAGATTCACCATGTTCATGTTTATGTTCATGCTTGTGTTCATGATGATCATGTTCGTGATCGTGGTCACAACAACCAGATTCACCATGGTCATGCATATGTTCGTGTCCCTTCATAGTCTTTAATTGTTCTTGCAACCATTTAGGATGGAAATAAGCAAGAGTGCAAACAGCAGAAGCAGTCTTATCTTCAAAACCAACCAACATCTTGTTCAAACCCTCATGTCCACACTTTTCCAAGAACCATTTAATATAAGGACCTGGCATTCCATTCAAAGCATTAAAGCACAATGAAGTGTCTTCAACAACAATGACGTGTTCGGAACCATATTTATAGGCAATCTTTGGATCAGTCAAAACGTTTTGAATGGCAATTCTACATTTTTCCTTTGAAATTTCATCAATTTCTCCTTGAAGTTCTGGTACTATTTAAATTCAATAATACAATTTCCAAAAAACGTTAAAATATAATTTTGATAATTTTGATAATTTCGATAAGTGAAATAATATTTCATTAAAACATTGTAATCATGGTTATGATAATAATTATTGTTAAATTAAAATTTCCATGATGATGATTTAAAAAACCTACAATCAATAGCCAAAGAATCAACTTGGAATTGTTCACCCATAATTTGTTGAACTTCCTTCTTCTTATTTTCGTTACCAGTGACGAAGAGAATTTTAATCTTATTGTCGGCAGCAGTAGCAGCACCTGATTTCTTAGCAGCAAGCATTTTGTTTTCGAAAGTTTTATTGAAGCAATTAAAAAGTCCAATGGAAAAGGCTCGGAAATGGGTTGCGTTGTGAGTCACAGCAAATTGGTGGGTAGTTTTTAGCATGCCCCTCAAAAGTGAATTTTGAACCATTTATTTTCTCTTTTTATAATTCTAATATTTTTACAATGTAAAGTTTCATTATCTAATACAGTTATTATGAAATGGTGAAAATGTGTGTACTAGGTAGAGTTTGCACGAGGTTAAATTTGTCTATGTGGATGAGTTTTGCTGGTCAACCAGAAAAATTACAATGGAACATAATACAGCTCATAAGCTTTACAAATAATTTGAGTGTTTTGAATATCAAGTATTGAAATAATGAATTTCTACTCTCATCCATTCTTAGAGAAGTAACTAATATCAAATTCAACATTCCCTTAATAAATCTTTTCTGAATTGGACTGAATCAACAAAGCTATTTTTTCAGACATCCAAAACCAAGTTTTAAACACCTTATCCTTTTTGAATATACTGACCAATAAACACGAATTAAATTCTTGAAAAAGATTATCGAAATGTTCCATAGAGAAGGTTGGTGTTTCGATTCTCACCAATGCTCACCACTTTTATTTTCCAAATTCAATCAACACTAAAAAATGCACCACAGTGTTTCTCTCACCACCAACTTTGTCAAAAATTTCTTCCCAAACAACGGACTCACACAAGCATCACAACAATCAAGTAGTGTTGAGCCAGAGCCAGCTGTACTCCACCAACAACAACAACCAGAACAACCTGAACAACAACAACTTCCACAACAACCTGAACCAACAATGAATTCATCAATAACCACACAAGTCTCATCACCAATTAATAGAAGTGTTGAAGAATCTGCACCAGTAGAGTCACAGCCTGTTGCTGCTGTTGAAAAGAAGACTGTTTCTATTGAAGATTTTAATTTGGCTAAATTTAAATATGAACAATTGAAGGTAAGCAATAATTATTATTATTAATATTCATCATCATCTGGTTTTTATTTGCTATTATATTATTTACTATTAATAATATTGATGATAAAACTTGGCTAATGATAATCATCATCTACAATCAAATGTGTAAATTATATGTATAATATTATGCGGAATACTCTAATAACAAACATTATGCGGAACATAATAATTCTTGATGATAATATATAGAATCAACAAAATAGACTTTTGGAACATTTACAAGATGCCAGAGTTGAACATTTGGAAGAAGAAATTTCAAAACTCGATAAATTAATTCCACATCATCGTACTATTCAATCCTATGGATGTCCAACACAAAGATCTGATTTGATTAATTGTTTCAAGGCTAACAATACACCATACGGAACTCTTAATTGTTCACACCTGGTGAAGGAGTTCACAAAGTGTGCTCAACAAAAGCGTAGAGAATTTTTAGGTAATCCTGACCTCTAAATCCTGTAATGATGATGATAACATATTCTTCATTAGGTTGAAATAAAGGTATCATGAATTTTCAATTTTATTTGTAAACCTGATAATCAACATTTGATTTCTATATCAATTTACTCAGAATTATTTCAAATTAATACCAATATAATAGTTATTTAATTCAATCCTATTACTCACAACACAAGTTTAGTCAAATTTTTCTTGTGTTTGAGTGATTTTTCTACTTCGTAACTAATTCCACAATCACGAATATCCAACTCGGTCAAGTGTTCCAAATGTTGGCTCAGCAAAATCACTCCTTTATCTTGAATTGATGCATTCCGTCTAAGGAACAGCTTTTTCAAATTTCTTAATTCTTTTATATCATACACAAAATCTCTATCATTAGATCTACATGATGACACATCTAGCTCTGTTAATTCTTTCAATTGACGAATCTTTTCTGGAATCTTAACAAGAAGACCTTCCATTTTAAGTATTCTCAATTGTTTCATTTCTAAAAATGAATCATCCAAGTAGATATTATTTCCAATATCAAGTTCTGTCAATTTTTCTGACACTAGAAATTTTGTAAACTCTTTTGAAATGCTACAATTGAAAACATTTAGTGAAATCAATTGTTTCATTTCACTAATTGACTTGATACCTTCTCCATTAATATTATTTCTACTAATGTTCAATTTTGTTAATTTTTTCAGTTGACTAATTGATTTTACTCCTATTGAAGAAACCTTGGAATTCCAACCACTATTGCTACTAATATCCAATTCAGTCAATTGATACATTTGACCAATTATTTCACATCCCAAATCACCAATTTTACAATGTGAAACATGTAAACTTGTTAATAATTCTTTCATTTCTGAAAGAGATTTCAATCCTTCATCACCAATAGGATTCCAACTCAGGTCAATTCTTGTTAAATGTTTCAATTTTCCCATTAATTTCATTTCGTCACGTGTGATTCCATTTGAAATAATGGAAACATCAGTCAATTGAGACATTTCTAATATTTCTTTCACTCCTTCTTCACCAATATCATTTTTATAAATGTGAAATCTCTTCAAATTATTCATCTTTTTGCAAACTTGCCAGTTGACCATTGTTTTTAATAAATCACTTTCAATCATTACATTCTCTCCAATTTCCAAACTAGTAACTCTATTCAAATACAAACTATTCATCAGGAGCATTCGGGGAAATTGTTTTTTAAATATTAAATAAAGATGTGAATATTCTTTAATTATTCGAAACCATTGTCTACAAACAAGTGAACAAGAAAGAAGGAGATGGAATGTATTATTCGATAAATAGGAAAATATTTCACAACAAATATCATCTGGGAATATTTGATTGGAGCTTTCAAGGTTTAATTCAACAACATTCGAATCTTGTAAATTAATTAATTCTTGCTGATTGGGAAGAGTTTTATGCTTTCTATGTTTTGGCATTTTTTCAATTTACCAAGTCAATTGATTTTACTACTTGGGGTGATTCACCTTTTTGGTGAGTTATCTGTTTGCACTGATTTTTTCAATTTTTTAATAAAACACGTGTTTTGTGTAAATTTTCTGTTTGTTGTGAATTTTCTAGAATTGTGATTATTCTGAAACAAATCCACAAAACACAATAAAACATAAATTTATTGAATATCTGGCTCATTTCACGAATTTTACAAATTCTATCCGATGAACTAGATCCAGATGGGCTTCCATTTCTTAATATGGCTGTTTACATTCTCTACAACAATTCTAATCAAGGCAAGTTTCTTATTAAAATACTTTCGAAGCAAACCCTCATCTCCAATAAATGGAAGACCTTTGTTAATCAATATCAACTGGAAAAAACAAAGAATCAACAATTAGATCTTTACAATATCCAGATGTTTAGATGTCCTTCCTTATTTGCCATTATATACAGATAATGTTGAGTATCTTTCTTTTTCCTCTTAGTTCATGGTTGTATTCTTCCTAATAACCAGTTTATTTACTCATGTTATCACAGAGACGAAAGAGTAATCATTATTGGTGGATTATTTGAAATCTTGGTGGTTATCATATTTGAGAGCGTTTTCTTGTTTTTTTTGATTTCTCCAATTTTAATAGTTTTCATTTAAAACTTAACATTGAAGATATTTCAAATAAAACTGAAAAATCTCGAATTATTCAATTATCATGAAAAAACACGTGTTTAATTTTTTGTGTTTTGTGTGAATTATTTCAATTTGCTTGTTTTCTCTCATTTTTTCATTATGACTTCTGTTTGCGTGAAGCGTCCCAACTGGTGCTTAAATTAGTGGAATAGTATGCCTTTATTCTCCTTGTAAAGAAATATTAAGTATATGACCCATTTGAATCATTCATTTAAAAATTAGAGAAATAGTTCAAAAATATAATGTGTTTTATTTAGATTTCTTCTTATCGGCAGGATGCATTCCTTCATTGTAATTTTGTTTTGGTAAATTAAAATCACCAGTATCAAAATCTGGTTTTGGATCATAGTGAGATCCCATAATTCTATCCCAAATGGTAAAGTATTGACCATAGTTATAATCAAATCTAGTGTGATGAATAAAGTGATGAAGAGAACCATTGACATATTGACTAGCAGAGGATCCAAGTCTACTTCCGACAGCATCAACACCATCATGAATGTTAATTGACCACAATTGAACAACAACAAAGAGTGAAATGTATAATTTGGTATTCATAGGAATCAAATAGACAAAGATGTGATATGGTAAAGCTTGAGCCCAACCATCCAAAGGATGGAAAGCAAATGCAGCAAATGGAGTAACAACCAACCATTTGTGATGTGGTTTGTGGATATACTTGTAAAGCAATGGGAAGGTATGTTCCCAACGATGGATCCAATAAATACACATATCAGTAAACAAGATAAAGGCACTCACTACAACAACATAGTACCACAATGGATCATTTTCAGCTTGCCAATAGAGTTTAGAATGACCTTTCAATTCACCAATAAAGAATGGAATGGTCAAGAAGGATAACCATGGAATAGCAATCATACTCATTTTGGCTTCTAACCATTCTTGTCCCTTGAATGGTTGTGGTTCATGAGGTGGATGGAAATAATCTCTAAAGATACCAAAGAAAATCATATAGGAAATTGAAGTGGCAGCAAAGTATCCAACTGTGGCAGCAATGGTCACAGCAAACCACAAGACAACAAATTGTGATATTAAATCCATTTGATTAGTGGCCAAAACAGCATCATGGATATATTGAACAAGTGAAGGTATACTTTCACAGGTGGCTGCCGATGGCAATGGAATAATTTCCAAAACTCTTAACAAGTCCATATTGTATATAGGGGTATGTGTATGTGTATGTGTGTATGTGTGATTGTGTATGTATATATATTAGAATAAAACTCGAGAGTGACACTATCAAATTATTAATAATTGATTGTGTGAATAAATATAGAGAAAGAGAGTAGAGAGGTAATCACACACTGAGAGTGATTTTGAATATCGGCTAGTTTTTTTTAAAGTTGTGTTGAGTGAATAATATACTGGCCATGATGAATTTGTGATTTTAATTTCAATCCCGACAAGACCACTATGCTGCAGCAGAGAACTCTCTGTCCGATACTCATACACAGATAAGCTCATTCATAGGTGGAGTGGCATTGAATATCATTATCCGTGCTTTGCGGTCATTGAAAAATAACGTGGAAGTGCGTATTACCTGATGTGTAGAGTTTGCATTCTCCATCCCTTTTGCTACTTGAGGTAAGAAGTGGTTATTCGGAGAACGAGAAAGTGTGAGCGAAGTAAGAGTGTTATGGTTTGGTTTGCTGCTTAGAACCACCTTTATCCATTTGCAAAAATTAATAAGGAAGAAAATTGTATCATATTATGTACGGAGAATATTCAATGGATAGGATGTGGACTTGGACAGTGGAATGATGGAAACTTTCAATTTACATTGAATATTCTTTTAAAAGTGAAATGATTTTGCATTTTACTGAACTGTTTCATTATCCAAAATGCTTAATCATCAACGATGATTCCTTCTTGTTCAACAACAGCTTTTTCCAAGTAATTACTGTATGAAACCATATTCTTCCAAATAACTTTCACGCAATTCAATTAACAGTAAACAAGTCAATTTGATTTTTGAATTTTTTAAAAAAAACAAAAAAAAATGTCTGCTGTTAAAAGAATTTCCGTCTCCAAATACAAGACCTTCATGTTTGATATTGAAGGAACAACAACTCCAATTGTTTTTGTTGCTGAAAATTTATTTCCATACATTAGAAAGTCATTGAAAACTCATATTGAAGAAACATGGGAAAGCGAAGAAACCAAAAAGGATGTCCTCTCACTCAAGGAACAAGCAGAACAAGATGCTAATAGCCAATCGGATTTTAAGGATGCTCCACAAATTAACATTGATTCACAACAATCTGTTATTGATAATGTTGTTTATAATATGGACAAGGATAGAAAAATGACTGCTTTGAAACAATTACAAGGTCACATGTGGAGAAGTGGCTATGAAAGTGGTAATATTTTGGGAGAAGTTTATGATGATGCTTTTGACTTTTTTGAAAGAATCAAAAAGCAAGGAAAGAATATTTACATTTATTCAAGTGGAAGTGTACAAGCTCAAAAATTATTATTCCAATATTCAACTCATGGAAATTTATTACCATACTTTGTTGATCATTTCGATACATCAAATATTGGAAACAAATTGGAAAAATCAAGTTATGTTAAAATTTTGGAAAGAACTGGAATCCCAAATAGTGATATCCTCTTCTTGACTGATAATATCGGAGAAGCAATTGCTGCAAGAGAAGCTGGTATTGATTCAGTACTCTCTGTTAGACCAGGTACTATGAAATTACCAGAAGATCATACTTTTGAAGCAGTCACCTCATTCGAACATCTTGAATTTTAAATTTTTCAATAATTATTTTATTAATAATATAATAATACATTATTTCATCATGATGATGATGATGAATAATAATAATACATTAATTTTTGCAAAGTATATCAGAATTGCTTATTTCAACACACTCTATTGAGATGATGATATCAAAATTAAATATATGAAAAATGATGTGAATTTTTTTACAATTTTAATTATTCAACCTTCTTTTCTTGTTTCTTCTTTTGCTTTTCCAACCAGAGACGATAGCCCTTATCAGTTCCGCACATCCAATCCCACCATGTGAAAGTACTAGCATAGTTTCCATTATAAGTTTTGTGATGATGGTCGTGGTGAATAGGTCCACAATAGAAAGGAAGGAAATTACACAAACTCCAAGGGAAATGGAAACCAGTGTGACAATCAATAGCTTCAATTTGACGAACAGTCATCCAAACCCACCATGACATAATATGTGGACAGCCAAAGAGGAATGGTCCAATGAATGATCCAATACCTAAAATTATAAATTCAACACAACTGGCATAAGATGAACAATATCCTATTGGTGTTTGATATTCGTGATGTATTTTGTGAATATAATTGTAACCAAAATCAGTGTGCATAAAACGATGGACCCAATAAAACCAAGCATCTTCAACTACAAGGAAAATCATTGAACGTGCCAACATATCCCACCAAGATGGAAGAGCCAAATCATAACTAACTCCGACCCACTTGAGAACTGGATAACCCATATATAACATTGGAAGAATGAGTAAATGGTTAATAACCAATTGTAAAATGCAACCCCAATCTGTTTGTTTTTCTTCTTCTTTTTGTTGAAGTTTATACTTGTATAGGAAGGATGGTTTAAACACTTTAATAAAATACCATGGTAAACTTAGAATTGTATATAAAAAGAAAATATAAAAGATTGAAACTGTTGTGGTAATTTCAAGTTCAGAGAAATTAGATCTAATCAAGTAATAGAACTGTTGATCTAATCCCATATTATTCAAGTCGACATTGCCAACCCATTCAGGCACACCACTGGTATGGTTATTATTTAGAGCCATCCTGAAGCAATCTTATTGTTCGGAATTAAAAAGCAAATTGGAATCAACTTTGGGTGTGTTGAATTTTTTTTGTTCAATTAAATTGCCAAGTATGTCGGACAAGAAAACTGTTAACACATTCTCACTCCGATCCAACTCGGTCACCACCTCTATGTGTGTAGCTGTTAGTATACGTATGTGAAACGGATATTGAAAAACTGCTTTTATTGGGATTATTGAGGTGATTGTTAGTGGAATGGAGAATTTTTCACACATTAAGGCAATTTTTGTTCACATGATGAAAGAGCGTGAAGTCTTAGAATGAGAGAGTGATAGGTGTTTGAACAAGTTGTTCTTGATCCGTTCCTTTAAAAAACTAAATAGTGTACAAAATTTAAGTCATGGAGATTCATAACAATTTCCACTTGTTAAATATTACATCAAGTTAATCTGATATGATTCTCTGAGATTCTAAGCAATTAAATACAAGTTGGGTTTCAATTAGGTTTCAGCGTTTAACTACCATTCAAATTCGTATCTTTTTTGAACACCCATCATATTTCAACTAGAATCAAAAAGGACAGGAAAACTTGGAATTTATTTTGATTACAAAATATCTTTAAAAAAAAATGCACATGAAGCTTTCACTCACACACCAGCATCATCGGAGGAAATTAAATCCTATCCAACCAATGATCTTTTATTCATTCAGTATACTTTTTATAATAATATATTATTTGCAGAATTTTACGAATATTTTAGGACAATTGTCACCCAGTATTACAATATATATAAATCAAACAACAACAACCATTCCGAGTACTAATAATGGTAGTGGTGGTGGATATTGTGGATTGACATGGGAAACAGCTTGTTTTAGTATTAAACAAAGTTATCCAACAGTGGAATATTTACAAAGCAATCAATCAAATATTGGATTTTTGTTGAATGGTGATGCAATCACGGAGGAACAATGTTCGATTGATTTTTCAAAACTAAATTACAAAACTTCTGTTTTTTATTTTACAGGATATGGTGATTTGGTGCGATTTAATTGTTCAAATTCTATTAATTTTGGAAATGGCAAGATAATTCTGTTGTTTTTGGAAAATATTCATTTTATTGGAAATGCATTTAAAGATAACGTAATATCTTCAATTGGAATAATAGCAAGCAATACCAAGTTTGAAAATATGCAACTTAAAGTCCAACAAGGTAATCCAAATGAGCCCAAAATGTTTTCAATGTCAGGTTTCACTTTCCTAAACTCTAAACTGGAAGTTTATGATAGTGTGTCTATATCATTTTCGAGTGGTAAGATTATTGATTGCTCTTTAACTGCCTCCATTGCAAATACTCAAATGGCGAATCTGGAGGTACATGGCTCAAAAATAAGTTTTACCAAGTATAGAACGATAGATACAAATAGTTTTACACTTTCAAATAGTATTATTAACAAATCTGAATTCATGTTCAGAGAGTTGGATAAAGTGAAATTTATTAACAATAGATTTTATAACTTGGAAAATCCATTACAATTTTCATATACAAGTTTTGTTTCATTCAAGAGTGTAAACGTTTATAATTCTAGCCGATTTATAAAGGCAAACTCTGTTTACAATTTGGAGCTGAATGGTTTGGAAGGTATTAATGATATTAATCTGAATACTGGAACCTATATATCATGGGACTCTGTAGGGACAGCCAAGATTACAGACTCTAATTTCAAGTCAATTCATAGTAGTTATTTCCTAGTTGTTGAAAATTATGTTCACCAACTTTTAATTTCCAACTCTAAATTTTATGATGTCAAATCCATTGATATTCATTGCTCAGTTGCTACTGATTTCGGTTCGTCAAATATTCAAATTTCCAAAACAACTTTTGATTCATTGGAGGCTGTTAGAGGATCTGTGAGTATTCGAACATGTACTAATGTATTGATAGAGAATTCCATTTTTAAAAATAGCAGATCGTATGCTGGAGGTAAGTGAATTGTACTATGATTGCAATTAATTGAACAATTGTTTAGGTGCTCTTTATTGCTCATCTATTCATCAACTTAACATGTACAATCTTCAATTTTCAAATAACAAGGCCATCTTTAGACCAAAGAATATTTTTCAATCATTTGGTTCTGGAGGAGCTGCTTTCATTAATTCAATCAATACTTTAATTGGAAACAATATCACATTTACAAATAATTCTGGTATGTAGTATGACTATATTTCATTTACTGACTATAGTGTGAATATATAGGACTTAGGGGTGGTGCATTGTATTTAGCTCATTTCACCATCAATTCTTACAACTTGGATATTCAGTGTTTTGGAAATAATGCCGAATTTACTGGTGGCTGCTACCATTTGCATTTGGGAAGATTAGTAGAACTTGAAAAGACTAAAAGAAGCAAGATCACTGTCACAAATAGCAGCGATAATAAGGCACTTATCTATGGTAATCAAGCCTCATCTAGTATTAATACAGCTGATTTCAGCTATTGTACTGTTACAAATATTGATAGAAATAGCAATGATCGTTACATCCACAGTGGGTGCATTAATACCATAACATTTAAGAATATCACAAGACTAGATACTATTAGATTGGCATTATATCCTGGACAAGTTATCAATATGACATCAATATTTTATGACATTTTTGGTGCAAATATCCCATTCATCAAAACTACCAGTGTGACAACTAATGATACAGACTTCAATTATCCTAATATTGATTTTAAAAACAAGGGTATTGATCAGTTTAGTCATTCTAATGTAATTCCCTATTTTAGTGTTTTTATCAAGACTAGTTCAATAATGGAAACAAACTTATTGACAAATTCAACAGAATACCATTATTATTTGGATGCTGATAGTGTCGTGTTCAATGTGAGCATTACTTTGCTAGATTGTCCAAGTTTAATGGAGATGAGATATGATGGTAATGGATGGTATATTTGTAAGGACAGGGTTAGATATGATATCATCTTGCCATGCTCTATTATTGGGGGAATTTTCATGTTATTGACTGGCTTCTTGTTGGGATTCCTTTTCATCTACAGTATTGTCTTGATTAATAATAGAGTTGTGAAAAGGTTGAAAAAGCTACAAAAGATTGAACAAGCAGAAAATGAATTGGAAAGAAATATTATAGAAAAGACATTTGATTTTTCACAAAAAGATTACTCTGATTACTATGATACTACATTCAGTATTAATAATATATTTAGTTCGAATAAGAAAGCTGTCTATAAATCAGATTCTAAAACAATTCCACTAATCAATGAGGATGAAGAACAAGAATTATCATCACACGAAAGCAAGGCAATGTACTACTCAACTACTCGAGATCATAATGGTGATTATTTACGATTGGAATCACCAACTTACAAATCAAAATCCAGCATGTTTATTCCAATTGAAAATTTAAGCATTATTTCCAAGATAGGTCAAGGAGCTTCTGGAGTTGTTTACAAATGCTTATTGAAACCTAATACAATGGTTGCAATCAAAACACTTGTCACTTCTTCAAATGATGGGGATGAGGCAGAAAAGATGAATGAGGAATTTGAAACTGAAGTGAGTTTGATGAAGAGTTTGAGACATCCAAACATAGTTAATTTTTATGGTGTTTCTGTATCAAATAATACCAAATACATGGTAATTGAGTATATGGAACATGGTAGTTTGGAGAATGTGTTATATAAGAGTAAGAGTGGAAGGATAACACTTACATTGGAAGAGAAAATTCATATTCTACTTGGAGTTTCGAGAGGAGTCAATTATTTGCACTCTCTAAATCCATGTATCATTCATAGGTAAGTCAATAGAAGCTAACAAACCTTTTTTCAAACACCATAAATAGAGATTTGAAACCTGGAAATATATTACTCGATAGGAATTACAATAGTAAGATTTCAGATTTTGGATTGAGTAGAATATTCCAACAAAAATCTAAAAATCTTACAACAAATATTGGTAAGTATTCATTCAACAACCAATTGTTAAAATGAATATGATACTACTATTAATTTTTATTAGGTACTCTATATTATCTAGCTCCAGAAATGTTTGGTGAAACTTCATGTGCTGTAATTGATAATAGGTTGGATATTTATTCATTCGGAATTATAATGTGGGAAACTTTATTTGAGGATATTCCATATACTGGCGCCAAAACGTCAAAACCTCTCTCAAGTAAAGGTTCACAATATGGCAGTTATTCAAGTAATAGTTCAGCAAGTGGTGATCTTACACCTTTCAATATTCCTCAAAAGGTATTGAGTGGAGTTCGTCCCATGATTCCTTTCAATAATGAACGTGAATTTGATGAATATTACAATGAATATCCTTTCCATTCAAAGCAATATAATTACAAAACCATGAGAGCTATTATTTTTGATTATATCAAGTTGATGAAGAAGTGTTGGGATAAGGATCCAAAAGATAGACCTGAATTCTCTCAAATAATTAAGGAGTTGCAAAATATTAGTTCTAAAGATATTAGAAAGTAATACCGTAGTAAGACAACTAGTTAATTAGACCATAAAAAATTTATCATTGCTCTATGTTCAGATTGGCAAGATTTAAGTGAAGCAACAAAGCCTTACAACAATGTAGGGAAAGTATTTAATTTTCATTGTTAATATTATGTAAAATTGGAATGTTGAATACTATATTATTCATTCTTTTGAAGCTCGTTGATCCGCCTTTTTTAACACTTTCAATTGTTTCATTTCTTTGAGTTTTGCAACACCTTCTTCCGAAATCTCATTCTGTTCAATATCTAATTCAGTTAAATTTTTCATTCCACAAATTGATTCAACTCCTAAATCTTGTACATAGTTTCGTTTGATATTTAGAATTTTCAAATTGGCCATTTCACTCAAATACTTGACTCCTTCGTTGTCTATTTTAGTAAAACGTGCATTGAGATTGGTCAATTGTGGCAATTCTGTAAGATATTTAACTCCTTCATTGAATATTGGGTTATTAGAAATGGTTAGGCTTGTTAATTGTTTCAAATTGGTAATAAACTTGGCTCCTTTTTTATCAATTCCTATATCATTAATTTCTAGACTTGTCAGTTGATCAAGTTCACTTATTAATTTGGCACCTTCATTGCCAAAATCTTCATGATCATTAAGATTTAGTTTTCTTAATTTTTTCAATCGAGGTAGAAACTTCAATCCTAAAGTTGTTAAATAAAATCCACAAACTTTTAAACTGGTCAATTGTGTCATTTTACAAATTTCTTCAAGACCTTCATCATTGGTGTTCAAACTAAGATTTGTCAAATTATTCATTTCACTAATTGCTTTAGCACCCTTCACATCTACATCGACATCAAATCCCATACTAAGAGATGTCAATTGTTTCATGTTTGACAGTGATGTAACATGTTGCACTGTTCCATTAAACTGCAACTTGGTTAAATTTTTCAATCGGGTAGCAATTAAGTTCAATCCCTTGGCATCCATTCCTGTATTGATAACACTGAGCTCCATTAAATTTCCTAATTGAGTAATAAATTGAACTCCTAAATTTCCAATTTTACAATTGTTAACATTTAGCTTTTGTAAATTGGTTAATTGACTAATTGCTTGACAGAATATTATACCTGCTTTAGGAATATCCTTGACATGAAAGTAACTTTCACTAATTTCCCCCAAATCCACATTAGGAATTTCCAATGAAGTCAATTGTGTCATAAACTTGAAAGATTCCAAAATATTTGCCAAAACTTTGGCATTTAGCATTATTGTGCTGATTCTCAATTCCACAATATTTTCTAAAAATTGATTATTCATCATTTTTTCATTTGATTCAATCGGTCTGCAAAAGCGGAGGATAAGTTTCGAATATTTTCGAATAACATTGAAAACTTGTTTTGAAATTAAAGAACAAGTTAAAATTTTGAATTTGTCATCGAGGAAGGAAATTATTTCATGGTAAATTTCGTCTGGAAATAATGATTTCTTATCATTTCCTAAAGATTCGTTTTTTGTTATTTTGTTGGAATGTGAATTTTCATATTCACTAAAATCCTCTCTTGCTCGTTTACTCATTTTTTTTGTTGTTGTGTAAATTGTTTTAGTTCAGGTTAATTTCATATACACAACGTTGAACTGGAATAAAATAAAGATGCAACGATCAAGAAATCCAGAGAAATTGTAAACGAAAGATTCAACCCTTTCCTTCTGTGGTAATTGATCATAGGCTAAGATTGTGATTCAAAGTTAATCTCCGTTTAAGTTACAATTCCTAATGCACAACAAACGATCCAATAATTAAATGCAAGAATAAAAAACTGATGCGAGTGGGATTTGAACCCACGCCCTTGCGGAACACGGAATTTATCACTCCTAAACGTGTCGTCTTAGACCACTCGACCATCGCACCCTCGAAGATAACATTAAAAATTGTTGAGTAATCCTTAAAAAGAGCAACTTTGTGTTTTGTAACAATTTTGTATGTTTTACAGTAAAGATGTATTTATTTTCACACACAAAAATAATGTTCCTTCCTTTTATTGAACAATATTTTTCTTAAACATCTTCTGAAGATGTAGGGGTTTCAATGCCATAAAAATCGGCCAGTGCCAAACACATATTCTTCCCCAAGTTGAAATAGTTCTCTATCGAAAATGGAACATGTTTCGAAGAGGGTTGGACATCTGTACCAGCCGAATACCCAAAGAATGAAACCTCCAAGGTGTAACAATACTTTGCCACATTTAAAACCTGACCAAGAACTCTTCTTGAAGCTCCCATCTTTGAAGGATCTCTGCACCTCTTTGTGTCATTCATTGAAAATTCTCTTGCTCTTGCATTTAACAATTTTGGGAATCTCAATTGATCATCTGGAGATGTTTTCGAGGTGTAATTAACATACATAAAGCCATTATTTGCTCCAGAGTGTGAGTGTAAATCCATGAAAAAGTCCACTTGAAAGTTTGGATCATGTTTCAGTTGAAGCAAGTATTTTCTGACGTGGTAAATAGTTGGGTGCGACCATTCTTGAGGGTTGAGCCAGTGTCTATTGAGATCAAATCCCATACTGCAACATCTATAGTTCCCAATAGCTACCCCATCTGGATTCAACATGGGTACAATTTTGAAAATGAGCATTTCTCTTAATTGAACTGCAATTGGATGATTTGAGCAAATAAAACTGATAAATCCATGACAAACATAACTTGCTGGTGATTCTCCTGGATGAACTCTGCATGTGACAAATACAATCCTCTTTTTAGTTTGACTTTCTAAGGTGAGTTCATTGGTGATTACAATGTTTTTCGCTATGCTTGGTGGTGTTAGAATCGTTGGTGAAATGTCAGTCAATTCGGACATTGTGGATGTACTTGGTGTGTTATGAGGAATGTTTTCAAATATAGAGTTTAAATTTACATTATTGATATAGTGGTGATTTTTACAATTATTAACACTAGTAATAGTGAGACAATCCAATTTTCTATTCTGTGTCGTTCTACACAGCACAGATCTGTGAAAATATTTCAATTGCTTACTCTCAATCACAAATAGATACTTTTGTAAATCAGTATATGTATAAGGAAATGAATAGGAAAAGTAATAATCATCCTGCTCATTATCAAATATAAATACAAATGATAGTAAATTACTATTATTCACAATGGTGTTGTATTTGGCCGTTTTCTTGTAATAGTAAACTTGTTTTTCAGGAATTCTTTCCCATCGAGGTCTACTCGTGCTCGACACTAGAGGTGTCATTCCCTTCCTATAGAGAGATTTATCTTTACATAGATTTGTAACGGTGAATAGTACCTTTTGATTCTTTTTAACATTGGAAACTTTGAAATAGTACCACATTCGTTTTCCTCCACTGAATGTATCACCTCTAATGTAGAGATCATACTCATTCTCATCGACTCGTATCACTCTGTCCAAATTACCAGATTCGAATGAGGCATCAAATAGTAGATTTCCTCGATAATTCTCTGAAATGAATGGAACCTCATTAATTTCTTCTGGTATTGAAGGAGTTGTAGCACTATCACTTGTTTCCAATTCATTATTCTGAACTTGAATTGATTCCTCAGGAGCAAGAATTTCAATTTCCTCCTCTTCTCCATCAGATGACGAGGTAGAAAAGTGATGCTCATCTTCGGAACTAGTCAATAAATCTGAATCATCTTCTGACAATTCCTCACTTTCATTCTCGATAATAGATGTTGCAGAGTTGATAGTTGTGGCTTCCTCCTTTTTTGTTGTGAAAGAGGAGCTGTGTTTGCTTAATTTAAGGGGTACACTCCTATTGACAAGCTCTCTTTTATCATGCAAATTAAGAGCAATGTGAATATGCATAAACTTACCTTTTAGAAACTTCCAATGCTAGTGGTGAATGAAAGGATTGAAATTTTCGATGCTGCTGATTAAACGAAATGGTTGATGAGGAACGTTGTTGATGTGTTTTAACTGGAGAGGCTGATCTTTTCTTTGTTAATTCCGAAAACTCTAATGGAACAAAATGTGTTGGTGATGAGGATTGTGAGGAGAGAGAAACTCTTCTCTGCTTTATGACAGAAACTCGACGAGAGTTGTGAAAGTGCAAATTATGATTCAAATCGGGAAGAATTAAATCCTTTTGATGAATCTTTTGCTTGGAAAATTCCTTTTGCATGAGAAGTAGCTGTTCCTGATTTACAACTAGTTTGTGATCCTCCTTATTGATATTTATCAGTCCCGAAGATGTGGCTCCTCCATTATTAATGTTATTATTATTACAAGAACTAATACCACCAAATCCACTATTTGAATTAACTCCTCCACCTTCATTCATTGCTCATTCAATTTTTTTTCAACTTGACTACAATTCTTTTTACTCTTAATACCTTATTTGTTTTTGAAAATACTCGTTGTTATAAGGGAACTTTAGAAAATTTATCATATGAAGAAGGGTGATAGAGTTAGTTAGTGGTTTTAAAAAATTGTTTTACATGATAATATTGCTTAATGAATCCTCAAGAACAGTTCTCAATCTCTGTGAGAGTGCACAGTGTCGCTACTTTTTCATGACCGAACACTGTGGAGGGATCAACTTTTGTGTCCCTTCTCTTCTTGGCATTATTCAACTCCATATAATACATGTTTCTGGATTTACGGTAGTAAGCAGTATGCCCACATAGCAAACAATTTACTGCCACAGAGAAGAATCAAATTGTCTCTTTGAAAAAATCAAAACCAAGTACTACTATTCATCAGCATTAACCCCCATCTTCATCATTGTTACTCCTCTACTTGAATAACACACTAGCAAATAAAAGTAGACCCGAGCAATAATAATTTATCCCAGTTGCAACTCTAGAAATTGTTGAAAAAATTGTGATCGGCCATTTCTCCTCATCACCAAGAATAACAAGAAACAAAGGAGATGAGTACCAATAATAATTACCACTTGTTGAATACTACTTCTTCGTCCTCCTCATCGACAAGACATTCTACTTCGGGAGTGCCAATATCATCTACCCATACAACAACAACAACACCTAACATTCAAATTGAAAATCCTAACAATCGTAAACGATCAGATAGCCAGCCTGTTTCCTCTCCTCAAGTAATTTCCAATGCACTCTTACAACAAGATATCAAACGATTGACTTCATCAACTAATCAATTAATACCTCCATCATCATCAACAACATCTAACAATCATAATCAACACAACAATGGAGGAGGAGGTGGATTATTTGCTCATCTCATTCCTCCCCTCTTCTTGCCTCGTTCTAATTCTAATAACAATTTAAATAATAATAACAAGGATAATCAATCATCAACATCAATTTTACCTTCACCTTCTAAATTTCTACGAAAGAGAAGACAAACACTTCAACGAAATAATTCCAATTTCATCAATGAAAATCTTGTTGATTGTTATCTGAAAAGTGGAGTCGGAACTAGCAGTTATACTTTGCAAGATTCCACCAGTCCAACAAGTAATATAACATCCTATAGCAGTGCACCAACAATTAATGATAATTATTACAATAATTATGCTCTATCACCAAATGCTGATCAAAATGCAAATCAGCAACAAAGACATACTACTGTTGATATTATTGATATTATATATTGTGATGCTTCAATGAATATTCAAATGCCATATTCTCAATATCAAAATCAATTATCGAAGAATTTAAAACCAAGCACTCCGAATGTTGTTTCTTCTAATCCAATGATTTTCAATACCAACAATAATTATTCTAATAATTTCAACAATTACAATAATAATAACTATAATAACAATTATAACAATTATAATAATTATACAAATACTTACAATAATTCATCTATTCCCATTGAAGAACCATTATCACCCGGAGGAGGTAGAAGGAATAATAATGATGAAATGACAAAGGGTGCACACTTGATATACTTGTTACGAGTTAGAAAGGGAAATAATTTCTCTCGTTCATGGTGCATAGAGAAGAGATACTCTCAATTCAGTAAATTACACAAATCACTCCTGAAAGAGCATAGAACTAAATTGAAAAATTGTGAAATTTCCAAAGACTTGGAACTGCCAAAACTTCCACCAAAAATCTTGATAGGTAATTTTAAACCTGAAAATGTACAAAAAAGAAAAGAGTCACTTCAAACGTATTTGGATTTAATGTGCAAGGGTAATTCTGATCTGGATTCATACCTTACAAATACTGTGAAGGAATCAGATTTTTTATCATTTGATAGTGTGATTGAATTTCTGAAATTGGATTTGGATCAAACCTCAAAGATTTATCAATTACCAAATGATTTATTCTTGAGAATATTTCAATATTGTATTTTTGAAGAAATATTTCCTATATTAGCACTTACATGTAAATGGTGGTACAAGATTATTTATCAGTCATTTAAATCATTAGATATGGTGTATTGTAATGAAAATGTATTCTTCTTGAAAAAGTCAGTGGCTATTGATATTATTGAGGATTTGACAAATTTGATTATCCGTTTTAATAATCTAGTCAACTTGAGATTGCATTCATTTTATGAACTTGATGATCAAAGTTTGAATGTAATTGTTAAGAATTGTAGATTTTTAGAAAATTTAGAAATTGTAGATTGTAATTTAAAGACACCAAGTATTCCTCTTTTCAGATATAGAAATGTTTCTCTATCAGATAATACTACAGTGAAAATTATTGACTTTTCAAATAATAGAAATTTGACACAAATTCATTTCAAGAATGAAATGATAGAGTATGGTAATATGAATAATAATATTTACCTTACGATGGGTCAAAACTTGTGTCACTTGGATTTAACCAATACATGTATTACAGATTCTACACTTGAAGAAATGTTATCTCAACTCTTTGGAGTTTTACAAACACTCAATGTTTCACAATGTAAAAAACTCGTCAAGCCACACATTGAAATGAAACATTTGGAAACTCTAGTGATGAGATACTGTTCAAATGTGACTCATCCAGTTATCAAATGTAGTGGATTATTACATTTAGATTTAAGTTATTCGAGTGTTAATGATGAGGATCTTTGGAATGGCGTTCTGAATCAAGTTACAAGCTTGGAGCTATTGACTCTCAAATTGAATTCATGTAATGAACTTAGAAATTTACATCTTCCAATAGGTACATGTTCTCTACAGAACATTAACCACAGTGGAAACAATAACATGAGCAACCTTAGTAGCCTTATTCAGAAAAGTCAACACAAAGAGGAAGAATATTCAGATTCTCTGGTGCTCTCCAAATTATTCAGATTGGAAATTAGTTCTTGTAAAAATTTAACAAGTATCAATTTTGAATTTGAGCGATCTCAACTTCATTACTTGGATGTAAGATTGACGCCAATTTCAAAAGAGTGTAAATCTCAGGTTTACAATTTCATGACTCATCAAATGGAAGAGTTGAAACAAGATATTCCTCAAAGCTATGAAACCAAACTCATTACAAAGGCCTACGAAGCCTTTGATGTTTTCCAACCTCAGATGGACTTTGCATCTGCATATCCAAACTCAGGTGCCAATTCAAATAATTTGCACTTTTCTTCAAATCATCAAAATAGTCTCAGTAGCTACCATCAAAACATATCAAGAAGAACCTCAAATGCCACTCCCAGATATTCAAATCAGTCACCAGTATTGTATTGTTTTGCATTGTTGGAATAAAATTATTTATTCATTTTTTTCCTATTGCTTAATAACTCTTGGAAAGTTGCGTTTCATCTTCATTTTCTACAAATGTATCAGTTGGACCATCACCTAAATTCCAATATTCAGGAGGTGTGCCAGGAACTGAGTCAAAATTCACAGAAGGTTTGGCAGCAGTGGAAGAAGTTGATTGTTGATGTGGTGTTGATGAGGGTGCTTGGTGAGCTCCAACAATTATTGGAGATTGGTTGAGAGAAGAGGGACTCTTATTGGGGTGATGGTGGCCATGTCTGTGCCTTGAACACTCTCTGATAATTCGATTTCTTTTCTCCTCGTCATCAGGAAAGCATGCTGAATAGAATTCTCTGCAGTCTTCACATTCAATGCCTGGTTTTTTAGATTTTTTCTTTTTCCTAGTTGATTTGAAATACTTTCCATAGGTATCATCTTCCTCACTGCTAGAACTTTCGGACTGGCTTAGTTCACTATCTTTTTGGGGTGGAATATTTACAGCAACATTCTTAGTTGTTTTTTCATTGGAATGATTTGATGAGCTAACCCCACCACCATTATAATTGGCATGAGGTGGTGAGCTTGACTTTTTCTTTTCGGAAGGTTGGATGACATCATTATTAGGCTCATCTTTTTTCACACAACCACTCAGGAGGGAGTAGTAGAGAATGTCGTCTCCAATAGAGTTTTCCTCTTCGACCAAGTTCACTACCTGTTGGTGAATAGTTGGTGACTTGATAACCTCTTCTTCAATTTCCTCTTCTGTTGGTGTTTGCTTTGATTTTGGAGTTGATTCTTGTTCAGCTTTTAATTCAATCTTTTCAACTTGGGGTGGTGTTGAATTATTTGTAATGACGATATATTCCCTATCATCGAATCTATTCATCAAATGTAATTTCTTTTGTTTTTCAATTTCTTGTCTCTTTTTGAGTTTTATGAGTTCCTTAACTGTTTTATCTTGTTTTGGTTTTTTAGGACTCTTGAATAGAGAAAACTTGGCATCTTCGTCATCACTATCATCAATATCCACAATTTCCTTCCTCTTCTTTGATTCAACAATAAGATTAGTCTTATTCTTAGATTTGTTAATGCTTGTTCTTGATGTATTTAGTGAGATTGTAGAAACATTATCATCCATCCTAGATTCATTCAAACTTTGGTTATGCTTGGAGGTATTGTTGGCAGATGGTGTTGTTGTTGCTGTAGGTTTTGATTTGGATGGTGTAGTAACTCTAAAGTTATTGGAATTATTACTGGTTGTGGTAAAGACACTTGTAGCATCATCGTGCTGTTGAGGTGGTATGATATTTGAGGGTGTTTGTTGTTGATTATGTTGTTTCCTAGGTGTATTAGTTGTACTGGCTATTGTTTGTTGAGCAGTGGATGTGGTATTATTAACAGGAGGAGGATGATTCCAATGGTGGGGGTGATTGGTACTAGAAATTTCTCTTTGCTCTACTTGTTCTAATTCTTCTATCTGTGATATCTTATTTGCTGTTGTTGATATAGTTGGAACAGCACTCAATGACTTTGAATTTAAATGTGAAGATGATGATTGATAATTCGAATGGATATGAGGAGGAGGATGTTGATGATTCATATTTACATTATTTGGTATTTGGTGACCATTACTATTACCAGCTGTGCCATTATTATTAATCATAGTATTAGCATTGCTCTGATTACTCGTCATTATATTGTTATTCAATAAGGTTTGAGGTATTGATTTAGGTAGGTAATGGGGAGTGTACATGTCATTATTTACATTATATTCATATTCCATCAATAGAGTTTCCATATCCAATTCATCTTCGTCCTCCTCGTCATCATCATTCATGATTGAATGATTTCCATAGAGCGATTTGAGAAATTCCTTTCGTTTCTCGTTTAGGGTTTTAATTTGAGACTTGAGTTGGGTCACTTCTGAATTTAAGAGTTTGATTTGTTCCAGATCACTTGTAATTTTCCTCCGATGTATTTCAAAGTCTTTTGAATAACTCAATTGGTTTAAATAAATTGTATTTTCATATTGGTTTAGTTTAATACTGTCCATCATTATTGTCTCTGATGATTGTTTTAAATTGATCGATATCGGATGAGGTGATGATAAAGAATTAAATTGATGAGCATGATTCGGAATGGAAGAAGGTGGAGGTGATACATTACGAGGAGAATGATTGACCATCAGTGATGATGTCGGAAGGTCATTGTGAAGAGAAGCCACAGGTTGTGGATTATAAATCATACCAGATGATGATGGAATTGGAATTGGTGGTTGGTGATGAAAACCAAAACCTGCATTATTGTTGGGGTAAAAGTGGTTTGGTTGCATTTTTTTCTTCTAAAAATTGGAATTGATTCTTCTAGAACAACATCTGGAGATCTACCAATTGGTACATATTGAAGATCATATTACAAAAACACATTCTCGTTGTGTTTATTTCAATACTTGCATTAGTACTATTTAAAATTACAAATCCATTAAGAAACAATCCTTCTTTTCGAAACATGTCAACATGAGACGATTTTCATCAACAAATTGAACTCCAACAATCATGGAATCCTTAATTCTATCTCCCTTGACAGCTGAAATCTTGTTATTGTAACTCCAAACAAACACTGAACAATCCTCAGATACAGTAACGAAAACAATTTCACCTCCCTTACTCTTTGATGCAAGAGCAGTGACACTCTTTGAGTGAGCTCCAAGTTCTGCTGTCTTATTTCCAGAAACAAGGTCATAAATTCTAACATGTCCACTTGCAAAGGCTGAGATTAGAACATTTCCAACAATATTCAAGCTTGAACATGGATATTCCAAAGCTTCTACCTTATTCTTGTGACACTTAATAGTTTCACATTTTGAGTTCATAATTAAAACGTCACCATTAGCAGTTCCCACACAAACATGATCTCCATTGAAGACTACAGATGTAATTTCAAAAAGGGAAATATTCTTACAGCTCTCCAACATGATTGAATCTTGAGAATTGAGAGTAAATACCGATAAGTTTCCCTTGGTATCACCTGCATAGAGTTTAGTTCCACTTCCAGCAAGAGCAGTAAAAGTAAATGTAATTTCTCCATCAATTTTGTAGAAATATAAGAGGGAGAATGATTTAGCTTCATAAAACTAAAATGATCATCATTGTATCATATGAAAATATTGAGAACTTGAAGGACATCTACTACCTACCAACACTCCCTTTTCGCAAGTTGCTGCAATACATTTTCCGTCCATACATAGAGCAACATTCTTTACTTCATAATCCGACAAATTTTGAATTACAGTATTATCATCTACCTTTCCGTTTGTAATAAATTCCTTCAAAGGCTTGGCAACAATTTGACCATTTGAAACGTAGGCCATAACATCAGTCTTGGAGTCCACGACAAGATTATTGTATCCAATAGATGGAGTATCGCTAAGGGTCAGCTCTTTCATTTTTTATTATTGCTTTGAGCCTCAATACTCATCATCAGAATACAATTTTAAAGTTCTAAAAGCCAGTGAAAGCACTTTAAATTCTTGCTCTGCGCTCATCAACACTAACCGACAATAATAATTAACCTGAATAAATATTTATATATATTACAATTCTTAGATTTATTTAACCTGATTTGAACAACAAGACGGCAACTTGACCGAGGTAGAAATAGATAAAGTGCTTAGCTATAATATTGAAAGAATTGATTAGAATTGTAATTAACAAAACTACTTACTTTCGTGGGTAACATAGCTTCCGAAATTTCTACCCACAACACAATGCCAAGTTGGGTTGTATTTCTTATCGAATTCCTTCTTAATGTGAGCAGCAATATCCTTTTCAATGTTAAACTTGTCCAAAGCTTGAGCAGCAATATCTACTGCTTCTCTTTGCATGTTTTCTTCCATATCAGCATTTTTAATCACAGCTTTCTTATTTTCAGACATCTTAGAGGCTTTAAGGTTTTAAGGCTATTTTTTTTGTGGTTTTGGAGGGAACCTTTGCTCTTGGGAAGTAATTGTAAAATTTGGCGGTTTTAACATTCGGAACGAACCAAACAGCAAACACTACGATTTGTTGCTGTCATCACAATAAACTTCCTTAGGAGCAATATCTAAATTTATAAAGAGTTTTTATTCTTCTCTCACTAATAATAATTATTGGATTGAATATATTTGTTTAATAGAATTTGGCAGTGAACTGTTCAAGATTTTCAAAGTCCTTTCCAATCTCCAAGCGTGTTGGGAAACCATTACCTTCCAATAATTTGAGGGTACCATTAGCATCTTCAATTTGGTAGAAACCATACAATCCATTTTCATAATCCAAACTGATACCATCATCCAAGTAGAGGTAGTTTTGTTGTGAGGTAACAATACTTCCGAAAGATTTGAAAGTCAAGTCAACCAAATGTAAATCATAAACTGATTGAGCATGAGTTTGTCTCATTGGAATGACTGAACCTCCCTTAACAAAAACTGGTAAATGATCCAAAGGAGCTTCAACAGTGATAACTTGTCCACCTTCATATGAATTGGCTGGATTGAAAAAGTCGTACCACTTTTCTTCTTCAAGTTTAGGCAAGTAGACCTTTCTGGAAGTTTGTTTTTCATGTAAGATTGGAGCCACCATAAGAGCATTACCAATCATACCTTGTGTATCTAACCATTCTTGATTGTAACATTCTTCATCGCTTGAGAAATCATAGAATAGTGGTCTAATCATTGGCATTGATCTCTTACTGTGGAGAACAGAGGCTGTGTACAAGTATGGCATTAATTGATATCTGAGTTTGATAAACTTCTTTGAGATGGCTTCGACTTGTTCACCAAAAGACCATGGTTCTTGTTGAATAGTGAACTTGTCAGTGTGAGATCTACAATAAGGATAAAAGATGGAACCAAATGCAATCCAACGTGCATACAATTCAGGGAAACAATTCCATCTGAATCCACCAATATCAGCACCAACCATGAGTTGACCACAAATTGATTGTCCCATTAATAATCTCAAAGAAATTGCTAAATGTTCAAATGTAGACATATTGTCACCACTCCAAGATCCAGCATGTTTTTGAATACCTGCAAAACAAGCACGGGCAAAGAGGAATGATCTTCTATTGAGTGGTCTTTGGAATTTTTCAATACCCTCTCTACTTGCAATAGCCATGGAACTACCATAAAAGTTGTGAATATCCTTGTGCATTTGTGGACTTGGATAAGGTGCATCCATAACTTGTAAAACATTGTCATCCATGGTACCAGCTTCTATTGGATTGACTTTAACTGATGGACAGTTCATGTCATTCCAGAAACCATCAACACCATCTTCAATGAGTCCCTTATACCAATCAGCCCACCACTTTCTAACTGGTTCAGAAGTATAGGAAGGCATGTGAGTAGCACCAGGCCAAACAACACCTTCATAGAGTTTACCGTTAGGATAGGCACAGAAATGATTTCCTTCAACCCCAGTCTTGTAGACATCATAATTGGAATCAACCTTGACACCTGGGTCTAAAATTGTGACCACTTTGAATTTTCTTTCGTGAAGCCATTTAAGTAATTCTCTTGGATTTGGGAAATCAGTCTTACTCCATGTAAAATCTCTATAACCATCCATATAATCAATGTCCAAATAAATGACATCACAAGGAATGTCACGATCGAGGAATTCTTGAGCAATTTCCTTGACTTGAGTATCTGGATAGTAGGACCATCTACATTGATGATAACCTAAAACCCACAATGGAACCATTGGATTGGCACCAGTCAATTGTTCATAGGTCTTTGAAATATTGAATGGTGTCTTGGCATTATTAGCCATAAAGTAAACATTACATGGGAAGCTTTCAAGATTGGCGGAAAAATGTTCTTCTGAAGTTAAATCCCATTGTTGCATACCATAATTGTCAATAAAGATACCATTAAATCTTCTCTCTGTTTTTCCTTGATCAATTTCAAATTTAGATGAGACAATACCGAAAGGAATGCTTTGATAAAGTGGATCAGTTTCACTCTGATAAGCAAATGAATCCCAATTCCAGAACAAGTATTTTTTACCATTCTTCTTGACAGAGTTGGACTTTTCTCCCAGACCAAACCAATCATTTGAAACACTCTTTACAGTTGAAACATTATATCCAAAGGAAATATTAGTTGCTTGTTCATCCTTTGGTCTGGTTGCAACCTTGATATTACTGAAAGCAGTAGTATATTGGTCATTGGTAAATTGTGTCAGGATATCAATGGAAAGATTCTTCTTGTTGAGTTTGAGTTTGGTCAATGCACTGTCAGCTGGTTTGAATGTAATAAAATCTTCATTCTCCTCATCAACAATAATATTTACAAAATTAAGAGCATCATCGGAAACTACTAGTGATGGACTATAATTTAATTGATTGAATGGATCGTGTTCTCAAATTTAATATTATTTTAACTATCAGTACTTACTATTCAACCGACTCTTTTGGCATGAATGAAACCTTCCAAACAATATTGTCAATACAACGCAAAGTCAAACGAGAATTGTCGAAGCTGTTAAACGTAAGTGACTAATCAAACAAACAAATACGTACGTGATGATCACTTTCTTTTGATCGATCGAGTGAGATTTGATGGCACCATCTTCACTAACAAACTTTTCAACTTGTTTCATCTTCTTTTCGTATTTATATTTTACACGATCCGATTGCTTGGTCATGGTCATGTCGTAAAATCCATTTCCCAAGGTATAAAGCTTATTCATAATCCAGGCTCCTGCAGGCATTTTTTTTGTGGTTGATGGATGATTTGGCTGCTATGTTGCAAAGATTTAATGAGTAGATTTTTTGCAATTATTTAAGGTCTAGAATTTATTAAACGTTTATTTCATATCTGCCAATTCAAAGAGATCCATTCTCTGGAATGATGGAGTACTCAAAACGCTCATGTCACAAATGTTTTCCTTATTAGAAATGCTGTGAGATGGTTGATAAGATTGCTTAGTGCCATGATAAGGAGATGGACTAATCATAGCAAGGTCGTTTAGGGTCTTGGCATATTGAGGTGTTGGAAGAGGCTCATATTGTTTGATAGATTTGTTTGGAGTTTTTTTAACTGGTTGATAAGATAAAACTGATTGAGGTTGTGCAGAATTGGTAATGTTAGCCAATGGTTTTCTGGAAAGTTTGGGAGATTTAGTGAATTGTGAAATGAATTCTGGTTCCCTTGTTATTTCCCTGGACATTACTGGTGGTTCTATTATTGTGGTAGTTATAATTGGCTGAGGAGAATCTTGCTTAGGTGTTGACACAACTGATCTTGGAATGTTTGGTTCTTGTTCGAAAGTGATTGAAGCTTCTGGGTAGTGTTCTTCTGTCGCAATTGGGTTGACCATAGTGTTATTGGTAGAAGAGGTTGGTACTGCCATTACTGCATGACTCTCCAAATAAGAAAGTGTTGTGGATGTGGATGTGTTAAGAGCTGATACTAAACCTCTTTCCTTTCCAACCTTTTGAGCTCGTTCCTCTTGGTTTCTCTTCAATGCCTTAACAAGAATCTTTAACCTATTGTTATCCTTATCAGCCCTCTCGACATACTCTTTCAAGTTGGTAATTTCCTCTTCTTTGAGTTGAATTTCCTTCCTCAAAGATTCTAATTGATGTAAAAGTGTTTTTTGCATAATCTTTTTGTTTTCATCTTGATTGGAAATCTTTTGCTGCAAAGTGTCCAGATATTCTTCTTTTTGCTTTAGTGCCTCTTCCTTTTCCATGCACTTGAATTGAAGTTCTTGTTGTGAAATCAGAATTGCATCCTTTTCACTATTCAGTTTAGTTAATTGAGCAATTCTTTCTTTGAGTCTGTTACATAATTCCTCTTCTGAGTTCTTTCTTTCTTCCTTTAAAATTTTGATAACTTCCTCCAACTCTTTATGCTTCATAATTGCTGTTTCTGACATGTCTTTCAGTCTGTAATTTTCTGATTGAAGTTCATTCACTTGTTTTTGATATTGGAAGTTCATTGCAGCAAACTTATCGAGTTGCTCTTTCAATGATTCATTCTCATTGGTTGTGCTCTCCCTGTACTCCTCAAAATCCATTTCAATCTTTTCTCTTGCCTCCTTCTCTTGTGCATATTCTTTTGAAAAATTTTCCATTTTGGATTTGATTTCTTCCATTTCTTTTCTTGACCTAGTGATTTCAATATCTGCTCTCTTTAGTTGGGTTGATCTTTCCTTCAAATTATCAACACTACTTTTCAGACTTGTCAACTCTTTTCTCTGTGAGTCAATCATGGACATGAGATTTTCCTTTTGTTGTTCTAACAAGTTTACTTGTTCTGTTTTCTCGTCTAGTGATGCCTCTGTATGTTGCTTCTCGTATTTTAATTGTACAATTTCATTATTAGATTTTTGAAGATGTTCCTTCAAGCTTTGTATTTCCAACTGGAAGGCTCCAAAGTTATAGAATTGTTGAGCATCATGACCCTTAGCAAGTTCTAATGCTGTTTCCAATGTTCTTATTTCTTGTTGTTGTTGGGCAATGACGGAATTTAATTGCTGATTGGTACTCTCCAGCAGATCGTTCTTATCTTTGAGCGCAACAACTTTCCTTTCTATCGACTGCTATTTAATACATCATACAAAACAAATGATTCAAAGTTACATTTAATAAACCTACCTTCTTAATGCCCGATGATGAGGTTGTAGTGGTTGCTGATGATTTCATTTTTTTTAGAGATGAAGAATAACGTTACTTAATTCTTAACGATAGGAAATGGCGCCAACAAAAATAAGCACTATTGGGCTCCACCTTAATATGTAACTGTAATGCGACCGTTTCACTATTTAGCTTTCATTATCAGGACAATAATGAATTTAAATATTATGTAAATGAATTTAATCAAGTTAAAATTGATTGAAAAAAAAATGTTAAAACAAAAGCTCCTTACAGTCAATCGGAAATTACAGATAATACATATTCAATCATGTCCACAACTACTTTGCAAACCATCATCAGCATCACTATTTAATCATCATCAAATTAGCAACAACAATTCAAAAACTTCATCATTATGGAATAGAAATTATTTTTCTCTGTTCAAGAAAAAGCCTAAAATTCCCTTCCTCAATGATGAACATCTCGAAACAACCTATCGAGTACACAATGTTGAAATTCGAGATCCCTTCTTTAAATTATCTTCCGATATAGTTGAATGTGATAATTATTTAAAACAGGAAATTGATTATTATGATGAATATTTTGAGCAATACAAGAAGGAAACAAAGAAAATTAAAAAAGAATTGAAGGAAATGCAACAAAATAAGGAGAATTCGTTTTATGTATTTAATGATAAATTATTCTTGACAGATATTGAGACTACCAATACTTATATTTACTTTTCATTCAATTTTGATCAATATATTACTAGAATTCCTATTGGAGATTTGGATACAAAGTCTATTTATTGTGATGAATTTTATCATGGAGTTTGTCAATCATTTGAATCTTTATTTACAAAGAATGTTTCTATTCGATCGAGACTAATGTCATCCATACCTCATGGAAATATGGAAATTATTTACAACAAGCAGGCTATCTATTCAGATGTGGAACATTATGTAAAGAAAAATGTAAAGAGAATTACACAAGATGGTAGTCTCTCATATAATTTAGTGAACCATAAGAATAGTCACTGCTTACAATACTCTGCCACCATAATAGAAATTAACAATTCCAATTATATAGTCCTTAAACACAAGAATAAGGTGGTACATGTTGTGGACGATATTCCTAATATTTCAAATTTAGAGCTCGATATTTTTCCAGATGGAAGCTTGTATCTTCTCTATACTACCACTGATGAAAAGTATAGGACTAATAAGGCATTCTATAGAAAATATTCAGATAGCGAATTCATCTCGTTTAGAGAAAAACTCTTGTTGGAAGAGTTGGATGATAAATTCTTTATAGATATTGGACGAACTAAAGACAATGACCTCAAATACATTTCTATCAATAGCAAGACAACGACAGAAGTTCATGCATTGATTCCAACAAATGATATGGATTTTGAGTTAAAATGCATTCAAAAAAGAAAGGAGGGATCTCAATACTTTTTCGAATACCACAAAGAAACTGAAACATGCTATATTATCACAAACAACGATCCTGAGTCAGATTTGGATATTTTCTCAGTCTCTAGGGAGAACCTTCTGAAAGGAGAAGATGACAAGACGGTCCTTTTTACCCACAAGAAGGGCCAGACAATTCATGAGATTGATATTTTCTCCAATTTTCTCGTCATTTACTTGATAGAGAACAGTATTCCAAAATTACTCAAGTATAACATTTCAACAAGAGAATTTTCATACTTGCCAATACCAGAAAATACTCATTATATTGAAATTGGAGCCAATTTAGATTATAATGGCTCATTTTATAATATCAAATGCCATTCCCTCATTCGCAGAAATCCAATCCTTGTAAAATTTGATTTGAAGGACGATTCAGCTACCACTCTCTTTAATTCCCATATCATTGCAAATGATAATCTAGTAACCGAGTCGATAGTAATTGAGAATAATATTCCTATTACCATTCTTTACGATAAGACCACTGTTACAGACCATAGCAAGTGTTTTTTAATTGGGTATGGAGCATACGGAACTCACCTAATGGAAGATTTACAAATTGCTGATAATACCCTATTCTATGCCTATAGAGAATACTTTTTAAAGAGAGGATACATTTTCGTCTATGCTCACGTGAGAGGTGGAAAGGAGAATGGAATTCAATGGTACAAGGGAGGAGTGAAAGAATTAAAATCAAATAGTATGAAGGATTTGAAATCGGTAACCAATTACTTGGTCAACGAGAAGAAACTCACTAGGAATGGACTATTTATTGGACGTGGAATCAGTGCAGGTGGATTATTAATGATGAGCACTTCTCTAATGTACAGAAATGAGAATATTTTCAATACACTTGTATTGAAAGTACCATTCTTGGATGTTTTGACAACCATGTTGGATGAATCATTACCACTCACAGAACACGAGTTTGATGAATATGGAAGTCCAAAAGAGAGCAAGGAAATTGCCCATCTCATGATGTCTTACTCTCCATATCATTTAATCATGCAAGGAAAAGATGATTTCAACACCAATCTTTATGTTACAGGAAGCATTGATGATTTTAAATGTCCTCTTTGGAATATTGCAAAAACAATGGCCATTATTAGAAAACGAAATCTCACTCAACCAACAAACAAACATCAAGTACTCAAAGTGCACAAGCATGGTCATATGGATGAAGTATGCACACAAACATTCTATGATGATGTTTCGAGGGAAATTTTGTTTATTGAAAAGTCCTTCGAATAAACTTGTCCACAATTTAAACTCTTGGTAAATATGTCTTAATATTAATATTTACTTGAATACAAATAGAGAAACATTTAATCAAACAATCTCTATTTGTATTCAAGTAAATTATCAAATACCCATCTAACAATGATGTTTTTAATCTTGGGACATTCAATTCCAAGAGGCTGTGAAAAGGCATGACTAATCTTTGCTTCTTTATCACCATTAAAACTAATCAAAGCATCAACAATATAATACAAGTCACGCCCTTTCAACTTGAGGTTTTGGAACTCTTCTTCATCCAATCCAACACCCAACTCAGTATCTAATAAAACCACCTTTACTTGCTCAGGGCTCCAACTTTTTGGATTGCTTTTGTTTAACACAAGATTACCAATAATTAATGATCCCTCTATTCTTTCCAGATTCTTTTTTGCTGAAATAGGTTCATCTAATTCATGATGTTTCTTGCTTTTTTTCAACTTCTTTTTTTCAATAATTTCAGATGCTTGTTTTAAGCTGTCTAAAAATTGTAGTTTTCCAATTTCTTGATTTTCACTTTCTGATATGTTTTCACTACTTTCAGAAATAGCAGTCAGTAGTGTACATTTTTCAACAAATACTTTAACTAGATTCCAAGTTATCGCCTCATCTTTAGAAAATTGAACACTTATTTTGGGAATTTTTGAGTCATCATTAAAACCTATTCCTATAACTACTTAATTCTACATTAGTGTTTGCTTTGATAATATCGAATGATGTTAAATACTTTTTTTCTTCAAAGTAAAAATCGACAAGATTAAATTGTTTAAATTTAAAATATAATTCTGAAGTAAAGAGACCTAAATTGATATGGTGATTGCTCTCAAAAACAATTTTTACTTGGTAGACATTAATTCTTTGTACTGTTCCCTTGATATCAAAATATTTTGCTATTGATTTGATAATCGTTTTTGCTTGTTTGCCTCTAGGGACATTAATAAGCATCACCACAGATGCTTGCTTGGGTGTTTTTTCCATTATTTAAAATAATTCCATACTATAAATGGCGGGGTTTTACTAAGCAATCCTTTTTTTACTTCTTCATCAATAATCCATTCACATGTGAATGGAAAGAATTTCCTTTTCTGCTTGATTAGAAACCATAAAATTAACCATCCCAAAAATCATCAACTTTAAGTAATCCGCTTATGGATATAGAAATTTCAATGTTGGGGCTATCACTAGACAAATTAGAGTAACAACTCTAACACTAGATAAAAGGGAAGGAGCAAGAGAGTCTCTTAATGAAATTCCAACAGTGTCCGCAATGACAGTATTATGTCTTGTGATATCCATATGAAGAGACTGCTCAGTATATTTTAGCTCCACAATTCTTCTCACAGAATTCCAAGAAAAGCCCAAGTTTAACATTATAAATGAAAGAAAATAGCCAACCAATGAAAAGCTCACTAAAAATCCAAGCAACATTTTTTGTCTTCCAATTAACCCTATCAAAGTTGGTGCTAAAAAAATGATACTAGTAATCATAATGACGCCTCTGATAGATTTCACACCCTGTAATCGGTTCATATTCTCATAATTAGGTTTACTATTTAGTCTACCTTCTAACAGGCCATCAATTTCTCTCAATTGACCTTTACATTCATTAATCATTTGCATGGAGCAATAATTAATTGTGCTCCACAATAGTCCAACAATAATAAATGGCAGTACCAATCCAACAATCAAGCCAATCAAGGTAGAAAGATCTATCATGTTTACAACACCCAAGCCACTCTTGACCATCAAAAATTGCAAACCACTCAAACAGAAAAATAGAGTAATACTTAAAAGACAACCTCTATTCACACCACCATTTGTTAAAAAGTAAGTGTGAAGAGTTGGATTCAATTTGGTTTCTTTCTGATCCAAGTGTCTAATATTCATATTTGGAACAATAGTATCCAGTACTAGGAAGAAAATTATATTTGCAGACATGCCAATACCAGAAATTGTCAACCCAAATAATGATCCAAATGCTCTACCACCTGTCATGAAAGTAGAAAGAGCACTACAAAGAATGATATTGACAATAATGGAAAGTATTGGAATAATGAGGGATAGAACTGAATGAGAAAATCCACTTGAAACATAGTGATACCAACTTGTAGAATTGAGAGCCAGGTATTGAACTGGACGATATCTGTGGAAAGTATAATATCTGAATAAGAATTGAATTAAAACTCCACCATTCAAGAATCCAATCAGGTAGCAACCGAATATAGCCCATCCCTGTGTGATAACATCAAAGAGAGTGAATGTGAGTGCCAGAACAAGTACCATATTAATTGTTCCACTAATTGCTACAGACTTGACTATCAATTTTGATATTTTCTTTTCAACCTCTTGATTATTTTCATTGTTGGTTTGCAGTGATGGATATATTATATTAGAAAGTGCAGCCACAACTATTCCAATAATAGAAGTCAAAATGTTTATAATAACCAAGTAGAGAGGCAGAGAAACTCCATTCGTTCCAAAGTATTGACTTCCAATAATTGAGGAGAGAACAACAATTGCTACAAACGAGTGAATAACATCAGTAGAGTGAGCTACTATTCCACCAATATGTTCTCCCACAATTTTGGCAATAACAATTGGATTTCTCTTATGGTCAGATGTTAAATTTTCTTCTTGACCTGTCGTACTACTATTAATATATTGCCCCAATAAATTCATGGTTACATCAGCTGACTTTTGAAAAACAGATCCACTCAATTGACTAATCAATGAAATGGAACTACATCCCAACACAAAGGACAGTACAGCATTAAAATTTGAAAAGAGTAAAAAGCAAGCAATTAACATGATCAATGAAATACCAAGTGTTAAAAATCCAATCACACTTCCAAACCTAATAGATAAGCCAATTATCTCCCCTCCACTATATATACTTGAATTGCTATTCGAAATTAAACCATTAACATAGGTTGCCAAAATGACTGCAAAACATCCCAAAATAAAACAAATGGAATTCGTAACAAATAAATTCGTCTGATCGAATCCAATTAACAATGAACCAACAATGATAATGAATGGAATTAAATACTTGATTTCCCTCTTGAAAAATTGTCTAGTAAATGTCAAAACCATTGCATCAACCTCCAATTTATCTTTCAATTGTTTCAATTCTTCCTTTCCTTCTTGTTGATCATTATTAATGGCTCTCCTTTTCAATCCAATCCACATGAATATCATAAAGGCAATACAAATACATCCAATTGATAGGACCATCATGAATGCTTCCACAGGTAAATCAATAACTATTTGATTATTACTTGTAATGAATCGATTGGAAGTGTTGGTCCGATCAGGGAATGAAAAATCAATAAAAGCCAACACCAAGCCTATCAAAGAGGATAATATAAAGACTATTAATAATATATAGAGGAGGATATTTTGAATTCGGGATGATGATTTGATTATTGGATTGGTCTTTGATTGTTTAACTGTTGTCATCATCATTCAAAATTGATCAAAACAATAGGAGAGAATGTGTACGTACAGTGATCTTCTTCATCTTGTTGAATTGTCATGGAAGGTGAGTACATTTCTTCTTCCATCATGATTGACTCATCTTTGGACATTTTTTTAATTTCGAATTATTAAAAAAAGAAATCATCAGAAACGATTCATCTTTATCCTTAAATTAACAAATTTATTAAATCAAATCATCAACTGGAATAATACCACAGTCTGTAATTTTAATTGAATCTAATGGTTTGTCACGTGTGGAAGTTCTGACTTTTTGTAATTGGTCAACAATTTCCATACCTTGTAAAACTTTACCAAAGACTACATGTTTACCATCCAAATGAGGAGTATTAACAGTTGTAATAAAGAATTGAGAACCATTTGTGTTTGGACCTCTGTTGGCCATACATAACAAGTATGGTTCAGAGTGTGTCAATTCAAAGTTTTCATCCTTGAATTGAACAACATTTCCCAAAGCATCCCTAATAACTAATTCATTAATTTGATTTTGTAAATCTGCCTTAGCTTCATGGTTTCCAATAAATGGGACACTTGACATGCCTGTTCCTTGTTTAGTGTCACCTCCTTGTAACATGAATTTGTTAATAACTCTGTGGAAAATAGTATTTTGTAATAATTTTTGTTGACACATCATGGCAAAATTGTAACTTGTAACAGGAACAACCTTATCATACAATCCAATAATTATACGTCCCTTAATTACATTATTTTCAAAACGAGAATCTTGATGTTCAATATCTAAATATGTGAATGTTCTCATACGGGATGGATCAATACGTTCAATCAATACTTTGTGTGGATCTGGCTTGTCAGCAATAGTATTTTGAGAATCATCCTCACTACCACCATTCATTTGAGCAAGTTCTTCACTAGTCATTGTAGTGGATTTCTTTGGTCCGTTAATCATTTGATAAATACCAGAACCAATTGAGTGACTTCCTGAGAATTTATCATAACCATAGAATCCAACAAACAAAATGACTAAAAGTAAAAGGAATTTACTTCTATTCATATTCTTGATAAATTGAAATTCTACAAAGTATCTGACAACCTTTTCAGGAGCATCCTTCCACAACTTTTCTTGAGCAGCCATTCTTTCACGATGTTGTTTTTCCCAATTAGTTTCACGATCGGAGACTCTATTTACTTGATTAGTATGATACTGTTTAGTTGATGATGAAACAACATTGTTATGTGATGATGCTCTGAGAATACTAGATTGCAAAACGTTTCTAACAACTGTTGGATTACGTTGTGAGTATTTGATGAATTGTTGAACGAGGAGTTGATTTTTAAACATTTTTTTAAAGTTAATAGATTGAATGGTCCGATTAATTGGATAAAATAGGCGAATTTTAGAAGTGAAGGCTTTGTTTAGTAGTAAATTGTTTATTATTTTGTGCAATTGTTGTATTTAAAATTAATCATTATTCTTTAATATCAACAATTAATTTTAATAATAATAATTAAAGCAATAATAAATTAAAATATTATTTTATTCATTACCATCTTCATTATCTTCAAAAGGGTTTTCAATTTCTTCTGTACCATCGACAGGACACAAATGCATCAGTGAGGTACCTCTACAAATTACAATTCCTAGCTTTCTTACATATTGTTTGTTATTTTCATCGGTTTGTCTATTGTGATGATCTTGTAAATCTCTAATAAATTCATAGCAATCTTCCAAAACCAAATTAATCATATTATCAAATCCTCTCAGTGTACCATAAACTTCTCTACCTCCGATAAATTTAACCAAAACTTGTTTAGAAATATATTGATTCAAGTCTAAAATATTTTCTCTAGGTTTTCTTGGATTATTACCACCACTGGTCGATGATGTTGTTGATTGATTATTTGAGGATGGAGCATTTATTGATGATGTCGATGTATTTACATTGGTGTTTGATTGTTTCTTCATTTTTTAATATTTTGTTGGTGAAATAAATTATTCACATTGGCTTGGTAAATTATGACACGAAAGATATCTAATTAATTGTTTTAGTGAATTGGAATCTTGCTATTCTTCATTTCTAAATTTTATGTACTTGTAGAAACATTAGAATGAATAATCCGTAGCCCGTCTAGCTCAGTCGGTAGAGCGCAAGGCTCTTAACCTTGTGGTCGTGGGTTCGACCCCCACGGTGGGCGGTTTGTTTTTGCATTGGATTAAACATATTATTTCTTTTCGATTCTTTGTTAAAAAAGTTATTATTTGCATTATTACTTGCTGCACAGTTTGAATTGTTAAATTTTTTCACATTTCTTCTCTTTACCCAATCAAAATTATTTTTAATATTTAATAAAATAACAAGAATTGATTGAGTCTCCGATAAAAAAAATGTCTTCCGATACTTCATCATCCACTCAAGAACATCATCAACAACAACAGCCAAAAAGTGGTGTTGATTTCCTGAGAAATTTACGTACCTATACAACACAACAACAAGCCCTTCCAGCAGAATATCACTTTGACCAAAACACTCCTCCTCCAGAATATTTAGAACTTGATGAACAAGACAACAATAGAATTTTGGAAAAGTCTATGAATCTTGTCGGTAGAGTATATATAGGATGTTTGGGATTGGGTGCAGTACAAGGAGCTTATCATGGTCTTAGATTTGGTCAAGGAGGTTCTTTAAAAGTTCGTTTTAATGCCGTTCTTAACCATTCATTGGCAAGAAGTTTAAAACTTGCCAATAGTGTTGCTGCTGCCATGCTTTTTTATAACTTTGTTGATATCGGAATGAATTATTTGGGTAAAGTACCAGAAAATGATGAAGATAAGAAGAATCGTGAAGAGAAGGAAGCACAAGATAATATTTCAAATCTTTCTACTTTTAATTTTAATGAAAACGGAGAACTTGCTAATGAAGAGGAAGGTGTTGAAGTTTATGATGAAATGAAAAATCCACCAATTAATGCCTTGTTTGCTGGTATGTTAGCAGGTATGCTCTATAGAACACCTTCTCCTTTCAAAAAGATTGTTAGAAGTGGTTTTATTGGTGCTTCTATTGCTGTTGCACACTCAATACATGTTGGTCGTTTTGATCCATTCACACCTTTGGAAAATAGTACTTGGATGAGAGATTGGGTAATGCCAATATATGACCGAGTTGCTCCAGAAAGATTTACCACTTTATTTAGAGAAATTAAGAGTCCTAATGGAACTAATTTGTACCCTAAGATTGAAACACTGATATCCTCTTTTAACAAATTCTCTGAAAGAGCTACCCCAACTTTGGATTTGACTTCAACAACAACAACAGAACAAGTCAATGAAAATCAAGAAAAATAAATAAGAGAGAGAATTACTAATTTACAAGAATTGAGAAATGAGTTTAGACATTTAAATCATGAACCTTTTTATTCGTGAATTATTAGTGAATTGAGATTGTTTTCAGTATTACTTACTGAATAAACTTTCCAAATTAATACAAGTACAAGTTAGGAAATAATGATTGAGAAAATCTTTACAGAATCATGATAACTTAACAGAAAACGGCCACAAAAACAGGTTAGGAGGTAAATTTGAAAAAAATGGGCTCACAACAATCATCAGTACGTAACAGATTTTTTCTGTGTGGAGTAGTGGCTTACCTTAATTATTAAAATCCTGCACTCATATCAACGAACAATGCAGGAAATAAGCAGAGTGTGTAAGGCCTTAAATTTGGATAAGGAAGAAGTGCGGAAATTATTTCAATCATTGGCACAACGTTTTCCTTATGGTTCAATTCCGAGAGAACAGTTGGCCAAGATTGTTAATTTGGCAAATCCAACCACACCTATGGTAGATTCTTTATATTTGTAAGTTGTGTGTCTTTCAAGTGTAATATTGAACAACCAATGGCCAAATCGAAAATACTATTAATGTTGAACCTTAGTCTTTTTGATATGGATAATGATGGAATAGTATCTATAGCGGAATATGTTGTGACCATGACATTATATACGAGAGCAACAGCTGAGGAGAAGGTCTTATTGTGAGTATTTGATCATTGAATATATATCAATAATGGAAAATCAAATTGTAAAGTGCATTTGAAGTTTACGATACAGATAGAGTAGGTTTTAATGAAATTGAATAATATATTAAGCTAAGTAAAAGACTGGAAAAATTACCAAGGATGAAGTGGAGAGAATGATTTTTCAACTTTACAGAAGTTTCCCAAAGGAATTTCAAAAATGTGGAAAGACAGTAGAAGAATTCTCAAATGAATTTTTTGCCAAATTGGATGCAGATAAGGACGGCTCAATTTCAAGAGACGAATTTGTCAAGGTTGCCCTAGACAATGATTTAGTTTCAATGGCACTTCAGAATACTTTGAATACAACCATGTGAAAACAGATCGGTATGTGCACATTATTAGTAAAACCAGCCTCTCGTGATTTCAAGGTTGCGACACAATGTAAATAGTGAATTAATCAAAGTCTGGAGTGCACATATCAATCAGCGGCCAGACTGCTCATTGTAAAGTATCAGTAAAGTCAAAAATCTTTTATTCCTTCTTGACTCCTTCCAAAAGTTTTTGCTTTTGTTCTGAGAGTTGAACAAGGTGTTCCTTCTTTGCTTTGGCTTCTTCAACAAAGTTGATAGTTTCTCTCAAACCTCCCTTCTTTCGTGAATCTTCGAATTTTTGTAATTCCTTTTCGGTATCTTCATCAAATTGTTCCATAGCTCCATAAATCAGATAGAAGAATAATGATGAAAGAATTGTGGCAACAAGGACGATGGTGATTGGCACCTTGAGTGAAGTGAACCAGTTTGGAGCCAAACCACGACTTGTCATTACAGCATCATAATATGACAAGATTGAAAATGTACCAGCCAATAATAATGAGGATTTAACAACTGGAAGTGCCAAACAAGAGAAGGCAACCAATTGACAAAACGAGAAGAGAACAAATCTCATAACAGTATGGGCTGTTTTTCTCTTTTCCAATTCCTTGCTAATATCCACTTCCTCTTGTTTTGCTGCTGTTGTTGGATCAAAATTAGTATTTTGTGACATGATGTAAGACTTGAATTTTGCTGGATGCACATAATCAGCAAACAAAAATCCCAAATGTGAAGCACCCAACAATGTTAACAATGTAGAAGAATAATTGAGTTGATATCCAAACAAAACATAGGCAGGAAGTGATGAAAAATAGAAGGATGCAGCACCAACCATAACTGGTAAAATAGCAACACCTGTAGCAATAAGTGCTCCTGTAGGAACTTCCTTCATACTCACAGAAATCATTTCACGAATTGGTCCAAGATATTCCTCTTGTTCATTATCCCTCTTGAGAAATGGTGATTTAAAAAACGATGAAAGTGTCTCTCTTGGTGGTTGATTTACTATTGTTGCCTCCTTCTTTGATGATGGAAAATCCTTTTGTAAAATTTTATCAATGGAAGGCTTATTTTGTTGTTCCAATTGTAAATTTCTTGTTGAAAAACATCTAATGGATTGTTGTGATATTGTTGTTTTAAAAAGTTGTTGACATGATGAAAAATTCTTTCCGAAAATTAATTTTGGTTTAATAAAGAGTTGTGATGTTTTCATTTTTTTTAATTTTTCCGTCTCAAAAAAAATGTCGTACCACCCAGTAACTACACTGTTGACCCTGAGACCACAGTGTGTTGCCGCAATACTTACGTCGGGTTAAGTCACCGTACCCTATACTACCCGGGGTTCCAGCATAGGGTGTTCAAGCCAAGTATTTGTGTCCACAGAGTTACAAGAAATGAACAAAGCAATCCCAACAAGAAAGAATTTATTATTTAATATTCGTAATATCATCAAGACGAACCCGTCGGGTTCATACGATTAATAAACGTTTAAATTTTTTTTAATTTTTCAATAATTTTTTTCTGATAAGAATTTAAATAATTGTCTGCAGAGAGAATTAATTTTATTTAACATATTTATCATAATGTTGAACAAAAGCTGATAATTCTTCTGATTTACCAGACAAGGCATTAACAGCCTTTTGGTAAACTGATGAAATATTCTTCAAACGATTTTGTTTCTTTAAATATTGCATATATTGAATGTAAACTTTCCAATCATGTCTATTTTCAACCATTTGTTGTTCATATAAATATCCTAACAGTGAGTGATAATTGCCACAACTTGCTGATTCCAAACCAGTCAAATGTTTGGTAATGTAAGTAATCATCATTTGATAAACTTGATGGGAATTTGGTGGTAGGGAGAGAATTAATTTCACATACTTGTCCAATTTTTGATAATCGCCTTGTGCCACATTATCAATAATATGTTTAAAGTATAACTTTTTGATTTCGTGTGAGTTTCCTGTATTCTTAATACCATCCAAATATAAATGTTGGAGTTGTTCTTGTGATACTGATTTAGAAATATTGGTAAATAATTGTTCATAGAATTGAATCTTGAATTCATTGTCAGCACTCTTTTCATTTACCAATTTCACAGAATAATCAATAGAGTCTCTGCTATATTTAGTCAAATCTAAAAGTAAGAGTAAGCACTTGAAAAAGTCACTAGAGTGATTAGAGTTAATCAAGTGTAATTGCTTCAAAACTTTGACAACTTGTTGAGAGTTATCTTCAATAGATAATAAAATGTTAGAATAAATTAAAATTGTCCTAAAGGTCAACAAGTTGAAAGTATTCATCTTTCCAAAGACTGAGTGAATTCTATTAATGTATTCAACCTTCTTTGTAATATTAAAAATATCAATTAATAATAACATGTAATAGTGATACATTTTGCTGGTATGACAAATTCTATCGCAAATATTCTCCATATTGGAGATTAACTCTTCATAATCAGTATTATTATTGAAATAGGTCAGTTTGAACTTGAAAATTTCGTACAAGCACTTTTCATCATTTCTATAATTCTTCAATAATACCTTTTCAAGAATGAATTCAATCATTTCAGTGAAGAATTCATGTTTTTCAGTTGAAGTTGGTTCTTCATCATCGCTCATATCATCTTGTTCTTCATCATTCTTGGTCAATTCTTCTCTATAATAGAACATTAATAATTTAATAATTTCAAAAAAGTATCCATATTCTACATTATTTAAATTTTCTAATACACTATTGAAAAGCATTCTAAATTCAGCATATTCCGCTTTAATCAAGTATAATTTCAATAATTCCAAGTGTAAGTATTGACTAGTATGTGGAATTGCCTTGATACCATTCTTTAAAATTTGAATACCACTATCAATAGCTTGATTATATTCAAATTCAAATTTAGAGTATAATAACCACAATTGTTCTTGATTAGAGTGTTTTGATAAAACTTGGTCAAAAGCAGAGTTTGGTTTCAATTGATATTGCATACAGAAGTCAATATAAGATTTCATAAGATAAATTTGTGTACTAAATTTAGCAATACCAATCTTGTATTGATTATATGGAAATTGTAAGTGAATATTAAAATCATTATTCTTCTTCTTATTCAATTTGAGTCTAGTTTTAATTAATTGTAATAAATTCAATTCGAATAGCATGTGTGATAAATATGGATGTAATAAATCTTCCTTAGGAAGTGATGAAGCCAACAAGTACAAGTAATCTGTACGTTTTTGAACAATCTTGGCAATTTCTTCATTAGCAAAGACTTTTTTATATTTCAACTCGTTCAAAGAATCAACTTGAAGTTCCAATTGTTCCGAAATAAATATTTGTTGTTCATTCATTTTGTTAGTAAAATCGAATTCTTTCCGTGATGATAGAGGCTCCTAGCAAATGTTCAAATTTTTTTTAGATTCAAAAATTATCAAACTTTTGTTGAAGCACAGAATTTTATGAAATAACAATTCAGAAAGAAAGAACACTTTATTGATGGAATTGAATCAAAATGATGATGGCAAGTCGTTTAAAGATGATGTTCTTGCTCATGATGAAACCGTCATCTTGCAATTAAAATGAAAAAAATAATAAGAAACAGTACACCACTGTACTCTTCTAGGACGGGAAAAACTTGTTTGCTTCCTCTCCATTCACATTCAGCGTTGTTGCAATACCAAAAACAGAAAAAACCAATATCCTATTCTTATAATTTTAGAAAAATACTCGACTCGATTGATGATAAATCTAAATTATTGATTAGGAAATTAGATGAATACAAATATGAGTTTAAGAATATATTTTTCAATTCTTGGGATGATGCAGAATATAAAAATAATTATTTGAGATCAAAGTCAGATCAATTGGCGGAAGCAAGGAGTGCAACAGATTTGATTAATATTAGAGATTTTGAACCATTATTTGAAAAGGATTTATTCTTGTTTTTTGTTTTTAAAAATCATTTACTTGTAAAATATTTGGAAATCGTAAAGAATAGGGATTTAATTGACGAGTATGGCATATTGCTTCCAGAGAATTGTAAAAATGATTTGAAATCAATAGAGTTAACATACCCAAAAGTGGAAACCATTCAATCAATAGACATTCTAAACATGTCATTTTCATATGTGGATGGATATATGAAAATTATTATGGATATTGAAATGTATTTCTATTGCAATGAGGGCTCATATTATAATACTGTATTTAAAATTGAAAAACATTTCACTCAAATGAAATCGAAAGAAAATAACAACACTCAACAAGAATATACAAATGAAATGGAATTACTGGAACAAATGATCACTGGTTGGAGGATAAAATTGATACCTCCCTTATTAATAAAAATTGAATAATATTTTCAAAATCAAATGACAGTAAAATGATTTAAATTTTTTATATGAAGACTCCTCCAAATGACATATAATCAATCATACATTGGTTATACTTGTTCATATCATCGAGAGATTTGAAAGAATTGGTGTTTGCAGATGAAAGTCTATCCACAAATTGTCTGATTTGATCGTCATCTCTAATGGCATCCACAAGGATCTCGGCATGTATTTGCAAGAATAAATTAATCATGGCTTGAATCAAATCAAATTCTGTATACTCTACTTCCAAATAGTGCAAGAAAAAGTCGAGTATCAACTTGTACTCTTCGTATTGGTTAAAGGCAGAGAGTGTTCTTACAGCCAAATCAACATGTTTAACATTAGACTCCTTGATATATTTCAAGGTATTGATATAACTATTTGAGCTAGAATCCTTATCCTTCTTAATGTTGGCAATGAGTGGATTTGTTAACATGGCCTTTCTATTCATCTTGTTAGATGAGTTTTGTAAAATCTTGCTCTCGGTTGACTTCTCGGCAAATTTAATATTCTTACCAAAGGTTGGTTCAGTTGGAATGAAGAATGGTGCAACTCCTGAAACATCTAATTCTTCCAAATCAAGAGTACCCTTCTTACCATCAAGTTTGTTTCTCTTTCTTAATTCGTCCAAATGTGTAAGAGAATGCCATTTGTACTTTGGCAAACCAGAAAGTTTGATAAAGTTGGCTGGTTCTTGAATTGAAATAGAAGTTTGATCATTGTTAGCCTTCTTTACATTGTTAACATCCTCTTCTTCTTCGTCACTATCTTCAGATAAACTATCATCACTATCACTTCCATCCTGTTTCATCCAATCGTCGACTTTGGACAAAATCTTCATGGCTCTCTTTCTCTTCTTCTTTGAATTTTCAGTGGAATTTTCAAGAAGTTTGACATCAACTGTTGATCGCTCAGTAACAAACATACTATCACCACTGAATGGCAAAGCAATAGGTTTTGGAGCATTAACAGATTGTAACAAGGCATTACCGAAAATTGCCTTATTAGCCCAGATACAAACACCTACTGATCCGACGTGTGTTGTTACCAAGTATAAGCCTTCAGGATGGAAATCTAAACTGGTTGCTGGTTTTGGAAGAAGCAACCAATCAATTAATTGACCTGTTAAAATATCGTAAATGAGTATGTAACCATCAATACCACATGAAACCAAATAACGATTATCATGAGTAAAGCACATGTCATTAACCTTATTGACATGATGACCGTGGAATGTACGAATTAATTTGCAAGTATTTAAATCGAACACATGGATCTTAAAGTTTTCAGTTGCAACAGATACAAAATTTGCAGAGGCAGAGTTCTTACTCTTGACCATCTTTAAAATTGGTGATTTCAAATCAAAACTAGCAATTAATTGGTCCTTGACATTTTCAACCTTTTCGGCATCAAATCTCCAAATCTTGAGAAGTCCATCATGTCCACCACTGCATACCTTAGTGTTAGTATTATCAATGATAACAGAGTTGATGGAAGAGTTGTGAGCAACATTTTCCAACTTGGTAACATAATTTTTCAACTTCTTTTGTCTTCCCTTGAAATCATAAACCTTTCTAATTTCAACTTCAGACTCCTTCTTGATATCATTTGTTGTATACAAGTGTTTCATATTCTTAGATTGGACAATCCACTTTTCCAAATATCCCTTGTTTGTACCAACTACTGAAAAATTACCACAAATAGAGAGTGCCACTGATTGAGGAATACCAAATTTGAGTTCAGGCTTGTAGAGAGTTTGGTTATCAGATCTGAGATATTTAATGTTCCACAACGTCACACGGTTCAAGTTGGAATGACAACAAGCAAGATTGTTCCAGTCGTCTTGTCTCAAATAACAAATATCCATATCTGTTACTGCAGGCATAATATCGATTTGAGATTGGTTCTTATTGGCTTGTTTCCACAAGTGAGAATTTTCAGCTTGTGAAATTTGTCTTGTTTCTTTTGGATCAATAAGGGAAGTTACTCTGATTTGACCATCAACACCACCAGTAACAATGTAATTACCCATTGGATCGTAGAATCTGATAATCTTTGGTGCCTTTTTGTGTCCCATTCTACAGACAACTTCACGAGGTTTGTCAACACGATCAAAAACAACTGTACACATTACATTGTCAGCGGAAGCAGTGATCATGAATGGTTCTCCTGGTAAGAATTCACAACAAGTGATTGGACCTGTATGTCTGTCATTCTTCTTAATTCTGTGAATGAGTTGATTATTATTCAAATCAAAGATTGAAATTTCACCAGTGTGATTACCTGTTGCCAGTGAATCTTCAGAATTGACTGTTTGACTGAAGAGTTGTTCTTCTCTGACTGTTGGAGAGGTTGTTCTGAATGAAATGGCACTAACAGGTCCAGTTTGTTTAAAAACATTAATGATGTGATCATATTTAACATGATACAACATTGTGTGACCTGATGACAATCCTACAGCAATAACATCCAAAGCAGGAGATGCCTTGATGCATGTAACACTAACATTTACAGTATCATCCTTTGAATCAGTATTTTGTGTATTTAACAATGAGTGTAATAAATCTTCTTCCTCATTAATCTTCTTTTTTTCCTTCAAAAAGGTATTTAAATGTTTCGAAAAACGATAAATTTCCTTTCCAACTCTAAAATTGTACAAAATGAAATGACCTTCTTTTGTTCCTATTATTAATTTATCCAAATATGTTTGCAAGTGAATAGCACAAGTCAATGTACTATCCTTTGGCAATTCACATAAAGTAACAAAAGGATCTTCAATTTGGAATGTATCATAAATTGCAATAGCATGTTCAAAGCATACTAATAAATATTGTCCAATTTTAAGTAATTGTATTATTTTACCACTCTTAATTGTCATATCCTTTGATGTATCAATAATGGTTATCAATTCCCTAGCACCACGTAAAACATAAATCTTTGAGTGTTCTTCACAAGCAACAAAGAGAATATCACGTTGAGTTGGATGAGAGGTACTATGTGTTGTTAGTGTAGATTGTCTTTCAACGAGCATATTACAAATTGGTGCTGGTAATTGTGGACCAATATCAATATGAATAAGTGATTTTACCTATTAAATTTCATCATTAAAAATTCATCATTAAATTCCGAAAATCAAAGATATTACAATTTGTTAAATGCTATTGTTCAATATTGTTATTATTACTAAAAACATACCCCGTATGCATAAAATGTATTTCCAATAGCAGAATAAATTAAAGCATCATCTATTAAATCCGAATCAATAGCAGAACCGTTTGATGACTGAAAGCTAATAGCTGGTACAACATGATTCGTAACCAGACCAATGACTTTGAATGGTTCCAACAAGTGAGATGAATTCTTTGAATTGTTGTTCATTTTTTTACTTTCATTAAAATTTGCATTCACAAATGAAAAAATGAGAGTATTCAATAAAAGTGTTGATTTTTAACAAGTTATATGTTTATCAACTATTTAATATAATACTTGTATAATACTATCGAGTAGATCGGGAATGCTTCCAACATGCTAGCAAACAGATGTATAAAGTTGTCGAATTTTCTCTCTTTTGATCTTTAATTAGGGCATAATTATTTTCTAAAATTCAACAATGACATTGGCTGATTTTGGTTTGCAAACTGATATCCTTCAACAGCAAGATACATAATTGTTCTTCTCGTTATAATGTTACGATATTATTGACGTCAATAATCATCATCAACAATAATTATAAAAATGTCTCAACAACAACAATCCCTCTTGAGAGATCATAACGATGACGATGATGATCAATACATTAAAACAGTTCCGAATGATGATTCAACCTCTCATCACTCCAATCACTACAATATGCCTTCATCCAATCCTACAACATCAACAACTCCATCAAGCATCTCCAACATGATGGAAAATAGCATTCTATCCATTCTCTTAGCCCTGTTCTTCCTCTTTATGGGAGCCTTGAACATCATTCAGTATATAATTTTCTTTGCTCGAACAACCATCCTCCTCAATACTCTCGATGAGCAACTCTACTTGGCATACAGCATTACGGATATGGTTTTCTATGCTACCATGGTCGTCATGTCTCTCTTTCTATTGGTTAGTGTTGCGGCTGCCTCTAAAGGGAGATGGAAGCTCCACTTGTTTTCAATTCTGATTTATACCATCTTGTTTGTGATGGCCATGATATTATCGATTGGAAGCATGACACTCTCTATTGTAGTTATTGCCAGGAAGGGAGATGTTGGATTTGCAATTGTGAGAACAATCATGTTGGCTGTGATGTTTTTATTGTTTTGTGCTGTTGTCAATTGTTTATTCTTACCTGCAAAATTTAGACAATCCACGAGAGGTGCTAGTAGAGTTCATGGGGATTATTCAATGTTGTAAATTATTAATTAGTAAATATTATTTGTAAATTATTAAAATATTAATTAAATATTATTTTGAAAAGAAAAAAATTATGAAGCAACGTTTAACAACTGGATTATTATCATCATGGCTGAAGATTTGAATTTATTAAATTTCTACTGGGAACGATATTGGAAAGTAAAATTCATTCATGATCGTGAATCAAAATATCAAATTGAAGAATGGTGTGCATTGTATTTGAAAAATCATTCTTGTATACTGTTGACTAATAATGAACAAGATAAGGTGGTGGAAAACAATTTATTACTTTCGGAGGTGATTCAAATTTGTAAGAATTGGATATTACATGATTGTTTGAAGGAAATTATCAATGATTTGGAAGAGAAGAATATTGATTTTCTGAAAGTAATGTGTTTTGGTGAGTGGTGGGATTTAATGTTGGAAGAATATGTGAAATATCGATGGAGGGAGGAGTTAAAGCATAGAGATGAGAAGAATAACGACACTGAGAAGAAGGAAGAGGAAAGTGAAGATTTATTGGTAAATAAATCAGTGATTGAATCGATAAGGAAGGGTATACCACAAATTAGAGATGTAGATCATGAATTGACAAGAATCACCCAACAGTATTACAAAAAGTCAATTAGGAAGGAAATTTTGAAAGAATTGAATGATTATGTTACTTTAAATGATCATGAATTAATAACTCTATGGCAAACGTTTCCTGATATTTACACAATTAACACTGAAGATAGTATTGTAAAAAATCAAAAACAATTATTGAAAGTATTATTGGATAAAACTTTGAAATATATTGTGGATAAGAATGGATTCTCAGAGGAGGATAATCAATTTTTAAAGCAATTTAATGAATCAAGTGATGCTCTGTGCTTGGAAAGAGCAGAGATTTATAACAAGTTACAAAAATTGTGTACCTTTACTAGAAATTTACAAAAACAAACCTATAGAATTGACTTGAGGTCATTTCTATGGACAGGATCTAACGAGGAGGTGGAATTGTCTATCGAAAAACAAAATAGGTTGTCCCAAATCCGATTTTCAAACGTAGAGAGTGTAAACTTAGCGGTTGACTATTCAAAAATAGATGAAGAACTTGTGAGAAATGAGTTTTTACAAACTATAGAATCAATGTACAAGTATGTATTAGTAGGAATTTTAGAAAAATATTAAATATAATTAGTGACATTCTAGAAAATGATCCTCAAATTAAGGAATTAATTGAAAAACCTGAGGAAGAATTTGATACAGACCAAATCAAAAAATTCAGATTCAAGACAGAGTTTTACAATATTTATTTTCATATTATTTATACAGAGTGTATTCCTTTAATCGAGAAAAACACAACTAGGAATGCCCAAAAATTACTTCTTGAAACCAAAGCCAGACACATGAAGCATGTTTCTAGATTTATTGAGATGTACAACAAGAGAGCTCACATTTATCTGAGCCTACTTTATAATTTGAAAAAAGAGAAAAAACTACTCAAATTCATCTCTTATCTTTTAGATATTTCCATGTTTAAAAAGGAGCTGCTACAGTCAATAGAGCAATATAGAAAAGAAATTATAGAAGAATATCCTGAATTTAATACTATTTTTGAGATGGTGAAGCTGGCTATGGATGCCTACCTTGACCTGTTAAATCAGGAAAATTATAAGAAACTACTCATGACTCACTTGATTGATAGCAAGTATGGAGCTATCATACCAATAGAAAAAGGAATTGAAAAACATGATACTAATCCAGTCAACTCTAAGCTTTACACTCTTTTCCAAATTCTAAAAGAGCAATAGTATAATACAATAATACTATTGCAATGCTGAAAAACCACTATAATGCCTATCTTGTCAAGAAAATATCAAAAGGACCATGAGAGGACAGAATTGATGAATGAGTACTGTTTGGAAGGAATAGAAATACTTGTGCAAATAACTGATAACTTCCTAAATCCATATATTTGGTATTCAGATTCAAAGTTTGTAAAGGTTTTACAATCTCGAATGGTGAATCTTCATTGAATTTGAAAATTTTCTTTGTTTGAGTCAATGTTCTAGAGGTATCAGCATGGGTTAGGGTAATTACAAGCTGAATGGTGAGTGTATCTAAAGCTTTTGATTCTGTATTTTCCTGAGACACCATAAAGTCATAGGATATTGGATCTCCTTGAACTAGAAAATTATTATTGAGCTCGAAATGTGTTTTTAAACCATTGATCGCTGATTGAATAATATCATCCTTGGCAGGTGACGGTAAACTTCCTTTCCATTGTTTTGGTGCCAAAACTCTCAAAGATGGATCTTCCAAAGCAAGAGGATTAAAAGCATCATGTTTAAAATTTTCTTTTGAAGTCAATCTCAAATTTTCCACCGCCTTATTACTATCCTTATTGAATTTAATAAATCCCACTTGCTTTAATCCTTTTTGTCTGAGCTCTGCTCTCAATTCTGGTAAGGCTCTTGCATACAGATCAAAAACATTTTCAGCACTTGATGTTGAAACATTGAGAGTAGATTTGGCTCTTCTTGTGGTAAGTACATTTTCTTCGCTAGGATCTACTAGAAATTCATCCAATAATCCCTTTCCTTTCTTTCCACTTGCTTTTTCCTCCAAATTGACTATATTGCTATTGGCAATTTCCGAAATCCTCTGATTGAATGATTCTTGTTTTTTAATTTCATTATCAAGAGCTGAATTTCTCTTCCATTGTTGTTGTTGATTAATATCATCATTAGTGGACATAATTTCCCTATCAAATTCTTGTCCATTATTGCCTTTACTTGACGAGGAATAGATTGATGATTTTTGTGCTTCCAAATCGTGTTTAATTATTTGCAAAGTTTCAGGATCAAGTCTATCAAACATTTCTCTATCACTCCCAATGACTCTCCGAATGGCATCCGATGAATTATTCTTCAATCCACTAATTACTGTTAAATTGTCAATCACTCGTGGAAACATCTGAAATGGTTGTGTTAACCATAATTCTTGTTGGTAATGTACATACAATGTTCATCACGGTGGATAGAAAGGTTCTGTTTTCATTCATTTTTTTAATATTTACAAAATACGAGATTAAATAATTATTAATATTTTTATAATATTAAAATTAATAAGGAAATTAAGCGGGAACAAAGAACAAAAAAATGAGTCAACATCCTAGCGGTGCCGGAATTACACGATCAAACTCTGATTATTTGAATACAAAAACATCGCCATCGGCATTTAAAAAGAAATCCTCATCAAACTTGCAAAAGGATAATACAACACAGCCAAAACCTCAATTCTTTCATCATGATGGTGATGACTATTTGAAGAGATTTCAAATGAATTTTTATTTGAATGATGTACTTTCTCAACTGATATTTGCGAGGGATGATGATCCCTTACAATTTCTGGCTAATTAGTAGGTTTGAATAGTAATGATGGAAATTTCTAAATTCTAATAATGTACCTAAAGTTTTAAACAAGTGATTAGTGGATTACATATCATTCATAAACCTTATTCCTATATTCATTCAACACCAAGAAATAGATTGAGTTTTACAGATTATTTTGAACAGATCTATTCCAAGATCAGTAACGAACAGAGTAAGTAGTATTTAAGTAGAATTTTTGCCATCATCACAACTTAGAAATGAATTTTTCTGAATATTACCAATTAATTTTATTGCTATGTGAGGATTTCCCAGAGAGTATAATGCATAGTTTGTATAATAGTATTGTAATGTACAGCACAATAATTAAGAATAAGGAAATATATGAACAATTACCGGAAATGTTATTTGATGTGCAAGGAAGTGAGGAAAAGAAACTGATTGAATTACCAGCATTTCAATCATTTATTCTATGTTTTAGAACATTTCTGTTTTACTTTGAATTCTTTGAATTGATTTTTGATTCAATATTTCACAAATCATTCTTCATTCCTGTGCCAACTAACATTGTAACCAAATCAATAACTCACATTTTGGGACAACAAGAGTTTTCAAAGCCAAATGTTGAAAATATGCAAACGATATTGGAGAAGGCAGTTCAAATGAGATTGAAATACATTAATGAAAATGATGGGAAACTAGCATTTGCAGAATTTTGTGAATCATTTTATCAACATGTTGTAAATGTTGGATATAGTAGGAATTCAACTCAAAATCAACCAGCAACTCCTCAAGCAGATGTGCTCTCCATAATGGATACACACGATGTGCCCATCTCTGTAATTGGAGCTGAGAGACAGAAATTGAGGTTGCGAAAGGAAATTCTGAAATTATATTCTGTAAAAGATAGCAAGTAGTAACCAATGTTATTGAATAAACAATTTATTCATAGCCATACCTGAATTTGTGATTCTTAATGAACTTTTTAGCATGCAGATCAGTTCTATTAAATAAAACCTTGTAGACAACATTTTTAGAAAATGGAGTTTTTGGTGTGATACTTGCTGAGAGAGTTTCAAAAGCTGGATTTTGGTTTGATCCATTGATTAAATATTCTGAAGCTTTGTCCATTACATTCGCAATCACATTCTTCAAGAAACCAGTTGTCTGAATAATAAAATTCCAATCCGAAATACCTTCTCCATCACTATAAAAGAATTTCTCAATCAAACTCAAATCAGAAAGGAAATATTTTGTATCGGAAGCACTGTATTGCCTCTTATTCAAATGGAACTCATTTTGAGAAATGTATCCATCAATAATGATAAACTGTAAGGATTTGATTAAATGTCTAAACATGGACATAATAATCCACTCTACACAGTTTGGATCATCTGTCATTTCTACTAGAGACTCCAAGCATGGTTCAAAGTAGTCCTCAATCATTTTGGAAAGAGTCATATCCTTAACAGTTGGCAAATAAAGTTCTCCAAATAAATTATTATAAAGTTCGTGATAGATATTTCTACATCCTATTATTTCAGTTAGTTGTTTGATGAAATCTTTCAAAAGTTCTGATGTACCTTCCAAGTTGGAATAAAAATCAATAGGGAGTAACGTTGCTGGAAGAGATGTACTATTGGTATTCGTCTTACCAACAAAGAGTAAGCGGTAATTATCTGATTTTTCAATGAGTTCCTTCACAACCTTGATATATTGTCTTCTAGTGTTGACCAAATTGGCCAATCTCACAAACAATTCTTCGTAACTAATACCATTTGATTCAAATCTTGGTGTTATAAATCCATTGGTGTTGTCAGCAGTTTCTCCTGATGACATTAGCTTTTTGAGAACACCATTACCTGAAGTGTTTACTGTAATTGAAGAAAATGGTTGTATCTTTTTTGGAATAAAATCTTCAACTTTTGGCAAGTTATGAACCATATGGACACAATACCTTTGCATGAGTCCAGACAGGCATTGATTAAAATGTCTGAAATATTCCATAGCATTCGGCATGCACAACTTGTACAGAGTTGGTAAACCCTGTCTGACGAATGTGAAAAGGTCAACATGTGAAGAGGAATACATAACCTCCTGACTGATAGGTTCAAACTTTTCCAATTTTACAGAATTTTCCAGATATTTAAAGTATTGATTTTGAATGTTATTCATCCAATTATTCATTGGTACTCTGAGTATTGAAATGTTTGGTTCGAACAGTTTTGACATTTTGAATGGATATTCTTTTCTTATATTTTCCAAATCAGTCAACTCTAACTCTTCATCATTGAACAAGTATTCATTGAATATTTTCAAAAATGATTCAAATATTTCGAATATTTCAAAAACTCCTCCAGAAACTTCTGTTTTAACATACTTTGAAAATACTGTCTGAACATCCTTCAAATAATTTGACAAATTCAAGTACAGGGAATCGATAAAGGCATTTGGATAATAATCTTTAGAGCCCAAGTAAGTAAAGAAGGTTGATTGTTGGTAGGATAATTCTTCAAGGATATCTTTACCAAACTTGACCAGTTCATCCAATACAACACTGTCATCAATTATGTTATTACTTCCTGCTTGTTCTGAAGCAGAATGCATATTACTAGATTTGATTCTTTCATATTGCTTTCTCATTGAAAGCTTGGTGATATAGTCAAATACTGTACTCAAGTTGGTCAAATTATTTTCATTCTTTTGCATAATGTAATAGACATATTTAAAGAGTTTGAGATGGGAGGAAAATACTTCATGATCGATAGTATAACTAGATGTGAAATCCATGAGTGAATTACCCAAAATGTGTCTCATATTATTAAATACATTATTGTACAATGAGAGTTCCTCTTTTGAATAATTTGAAAATTTGGTATGTTTGATATAGTATTGTAAAAGGCATAAAAGGTAACGATCACACAGTAAAAGTAGATCTGTATCTGTTTGACAATTTTGTTCCATTCTGAACACAGAATCAATATAGCACATAATGTCCATCGTTTCAGAAATGTTCAATACTTTACGGTGCAACTTTAAACTCTTGGTTACTTCTTCATCTTCAATAAGATCAATAAAGATGTCGCTCAAATCAATTTCATCATTCATAACATCATCAATATCGTATGGTATCTCAATTTCACCACTCTTGGCCAGCTTTAAAAGGCTCAACACTCTAGTATCTGACAAGTAAGAGTAGAGCTTGATATTCAAAGGATACAAGTAGGGAATTAAATCACCTGTAGAAGGTATTTGTTTGATTAGCGGAGTTACAATGTCAGAATTCAATTTTGTGTAAATTTGAATGATGTCATTAATAGAATCGCTGTCATCAAAATTTGTAAACTCCTCATTCAAAAATTCTTCCAGTTTTTGCATGTCGGTAAATGTAATGTTATTCAGTTTGAAATTAATATTTGTTTGTTGTTTCAAAAATAGTAACAAGTTGTTATAGAAAACTTGTGAATATTGTTTGATGATATCTAAATTTTCATTCTTCAAAACTAATCCAATGAGTTTCCATAATTGGAGAGAAGTTTTGGAATCTGTACTTGGTTGTAATTTAATTTTTGAAATAGTTTGATAATATTCGACACTATCTATTGTATTTAGAGAATTGGTAAATGAAGCAGAATTGGTAACTCGTTTAACCATCTCAAAATGTTCATTCTTTGAAACTCCACAATATTTTCTAACAGTATTCAAAATTGCATCCAAATTTTCTCTATTTCCACTGAAATCTACCAGACCATTAGAATTTAATAATAAAATTTCATAACTGAGCGATTTGAGCTCATTATAACTATCAAGTTTCCAAAATTGATCAGTATTTTCCTTTGTACTTCCCATAATGGTTGTGTACATGATTTCTTTAGTATCTAATAGGGCTGGCTTTGGAAGAGGTTTAATTCTCTTCTCGGCAATTGGAGAGGAAACTTCATTAACAGGAGTAGTAATACTTGGGTACAATGTGCCACTTTCATTAACAGAAGTTGTAATACTTGTTGGTGTTGATAGTATTGGTTCGGTAAATGTATTAATTTTAGTTGGTGAAGGAATAGAAGAAGTATTGATAATACTAACTGGATTATTGTCCAATGAATTAATAGTAGAATCAAATTGTTGTTGTTGTGAATTAATTGCGAAAGCATTTTGTGGTGTGAGTGGTAATGGTTTTTTAATACCTGGAGATTTTCCCAAGTTTTGTTGTGTTGTTGATGGAGGATGATGAATCATTTGTGTGTCTTGAATTAATTCCTTCTTCTTATTCAAATCAAATTTTGTCAAATCAATAGAAAGTTTTCTAGTTAAATGATTCATAACGTAATGAATATCTGTAATATTACTCAATTCATTAACATGATCAATATCATCACTTTTAATATTCTTAATATATTCCCTATCACTCTGATTCAACAATTCCGAATGTTGTTGCAACATGAATAATAATAATACATTCCGCTCATATTCATATACTGAATTTTTCAATATTTGATCATTAATTAATAATTGATCCGATTTGTGGCCATCTTGTGTTTGCCGACTGAATCGTGTTTTGGCATTGGAGATGGCTTTCATTTATTTTTTTAATTTTGAAAGATCTTTTTTATTCCAATAATTTTGAAATTACCTTATCACTTTCCATTTGTAATTGAAGATAGATAAGAATGTCGTTTTGAATTTCCCTCTCTTGTGGGTTCATTAGTGTCATCTTTTTAACATGATCGTGTAATTTGAAAATGACGTGCTTGATTTCCCTTGATAAACTTGATATTAATTCCCTTCGATCGTTCATCATTGTTAGAGGTGAGAGAAGGAGTATAACATTTTCAGATTTTAGGGTTTGTTGAATTTTCTCAATCACTAACATGACAGTTTCATTGGTATCTGCATATAGATTACATATTAATGAACTTTCATTTTCAACAACTTGTTCACTATAATATTGGACTCGATAGTAGAGGGATGAACTGTAACCCTTAGAGAGTGTGTTAAATTCAAAATTGGTAGTCGGTATTGTTGGCGAGTCAGTTTTTGAAGGATTTTCTGAAATATTCATACCTAGCTCATTGGAGAGGCACTCTTTTAGTATTTGCTCTATTGAAGTGCCAGAATGTGATTTGTTGTTCCTCATCAAAATGAATTGTACATGTTGGATATCAGGTTGTTCAATTTCTATGGGGGATGGCTTGATTCCAAATAGTTTATCCGTGCTTGAAGGTTGAATACTTCCAAGATATTCGAATTGAGTTTGATTTGGGTTGGTGGTATCTCTCTTGATAACCATACACTTTACAGAGAGATTTGGATCTGAATAGTGTTGGGGAGTTTTCATTTTCAGGACGAGATCAGATGTTTCAGAGTTTTCAGATTTGAATATTTCACTCTCCATATTAACAGTGTTTGAAATTGGTACTATTAATAAATCCAAGTTGGGATTACACTTATTGAACATCGTTCTTATTGTCCACTGATTAATATTAAAGGATTGAGAAGCATACTGAATGGTGATATCTGATGTATCCTTGTTATTTTTTCCTTCTATTCTTTTATCATAGAATAAAGTATTTCCAAAATTAATTGAATTATTTTTGAATAAAATCCTAGTGCCAATTTCCAACTCTTCATTTTCATCCAAAGCCTCGATTTCGGTAGAGCTAGAGTTGATACCTTTCAAAATATCCAGAGTGACCTCTTGTTGATGTTGAATTAATTGAGATTTGAAAAAGGTATTGCTCTCAATTTTGGTTAAATCATGGTGACATTGTTCAATTCGTGATGCAAGAGATCTCAGAACGGAATACAAGTGCTTTCCCTTAATATTCTTCTCTTTAATGGTAATGTTTCCATCAGTAATGGATTCGTTCATATTAGGTATAAGTGTGTATGATACTTTCCCAAAACTCAATTCAGTATGAAAACAAATTAATTGTTGAGAACCTGAATACATAAAATCCCCAATATGATATTCTAAAACACCTTGGATTTCTAGAGTAGATTAAAGATTAATAGTCTATTTTGAAACACATACCTTGTTGAATAGAGTAGTCGAGAAGTGAAACTATACTCACTCGTCTATCGGATGTGTGTACAATCAGATATTCTTCCTTTACTGGATGGCTATTAATTGTCAATACATTAATTTTAACGGGAATAGACTTGATTTCTATACACTTATTAATTAAATTATCTTTGAATATTAATATCTGTTTCTCCACACTTCCAATAAATGTAGAATCGTTGTGAAATGCTAAACAGGAACTATGTGTTGAAAAAGTTGCTTGAGGTAGTTTAAATTGATCATTAATCTTGTCACACCACTCAATGAATGAACACTCATTACGAGAACAACAAACTGGTACATTAAATAAACTGTACTGATTCTTATTCGATGCCAATACAATATTAACAAAATCTCTATCACCACCAATGTAATCACAATAAATAATTTTAAATTTCACGTCACTCGATTCTTCTTCATTTAAATTCGTAAATAATACCTCATTATTAGAATTAATATAAAACAAGTGTGAATCCTGTTTCATAATAAAATTAGGCCCATCCAATCCATATATTTCCAATTTAGATTTTTCATTAAATTGATCACTTGTATCCATTTCAAAACACTTTAACCAATTATTATTCATTTGTCCACACAATTTTACATGAATCATCATGGTTTGATAATTATTTAATAGTGATACCATGTATATTTGTGATCTATGAATTATATTAAAATCACATAATTCGTTAAATTCTACCTACATTCCGATAGTTGTATTAAATATTTCAAACAATTCTACTTGATTGATAGGAGGATGTGATGTAAATAATTGCAATATGGAGGATTTCTTTAATGCTAAATCATTACCATTCCACTCAAACCATTCCTCTATCAATTCATTATTATTCCGATCAAAATGTAATGCAATAAAATGTCCATCTTTAACCCCTCTTACAATGAAAGACATTTTTTAAACTTGGATTTAATGAAGGGTATTTTATTTGAAATTTTTTTCAAACCTAAAACAGAAACGAACTAATTATCTTATTTAATACACAAGATCCATTTTTGAGATATTGTATTTTAAATAACCATGATATGAAATAAAGTTTATTTCATAAATTGAAATGTAATTTCTAGCCTGAATTTGTTGTCAAATTATATTCTATTAGACAGTTATTACAAAAATGCCGACACATCAAACACATTTTTTAATTCATCAGGAAAACCAAATTGATTCTTTTATTATTCTGTATTCAATAAATAACAAAACCCTAACATCTTTTAAATATAACAACTACAAAGTTATTTCATGTTGGTTGATTGTTGATTTGGTGATTTATTTAATGATAAAATCAACAATTCAAAAACAACATGAACAGATGATTAATTAGGGCAATCAAGTATTCGAACACTTAGTTCGTTTCTTAAATATAAGTATTTCCTGTAAAATGAGTTGTAAATAGCCTTCATAATAATTTTCTATTTCTCTACATTTAAATTGAGAATATGATTTATCAAATTATTTATAAAAAAAAATTCATTCCAAAATGCTCCAAATTATTCATTATATTCTCTTAAAATACCTACTCAACCAATTGGTTGAATCAAATAACGTCTTAAGGATGCTTATAAAATTCTTTTTAAGGTACAATAAAATTGCATGTTTGTGTTTTTAAAATGAACTTCAATAATCCCTCCTTGATTTTCTTTGTGAATCTTGTGATAAATATATTCTTCCTATGTTCTTTTCTTAACATCAATAAACTCATTCAATCGTACAAGATTTATATTTATAAAAGCAGGTCTCAAAAATAAAACACCGATTGTTTCAGCTTTAAATAACTAGGTTTGAAAGACTCGAAATGTTTAAGGAATTATGTTTTGAAGGAAGATGATGTATATTATTTTCTAATAAACAATTGGTTCTTTAATTTTATTAGAAAATTCTAAATTACCTTGTTTCTTGATTTGAATTACCAAAAACTGCTTTTGATGAACCAAAAACTACTACAGCTTCAACTTTTTTCAAAACTTCAAATTGACTAACCAAACAAATGAAAAAACCAAAAAAGATCATAATATCTCAGTGTAACAATGGTAAACTTAGTAGTACCGTTTAGGTAGTTTAGTCTAAATTCAAGTTTTCACAAAATTTGTTTTTGAGTTGAATTGATTTTTTGTGTTTTATTTTTTCGCAGTAAGCGTTAAGCTTATGTAGGTTTATTAACAACAATAAAATAAGTGTCAACTAGCAAATTTCAAAAACAATTTTAAAAATTTACAAGAATGGCATCATCATTAAAAGATTTACTTGCCACTTTCACACCACAAGTGGCTAAAGAATTCCCACCACCCCACCCTAACACAAAATAATTTCAATAGAAATTTCAGATCTAGTAAGTCAATAATTTTTTAATAATTTATTATTTTATTGGATTTCATTTGATCATATCCAATTTGGTGACAGATAATTTGATCAAATGACATTTTCATTTGGATAGCCAATTATCTAAAGCAATAGCTTTTGTAGTATTGCTTGGTAGTTGATATCAAGTGGATATCACTATCAGGAACAAGACAGGATCATTTGTTGACCTGGTTCCTTAATCAACTTAGTAGCACCGTTTCAGTTTTACCTAGTTGTAATAAACACCGGAAATTTATTTATGTTTTTAACAATAAAAGCTGAAAGTAGTCAAATGATGATATTTGAAATATATATATATATATATATATATATATTTTAATTGATGTTAGATATTAGTTGGACCATTTATTTTTAAACTTATCACTCCATCAACCTCCATGAATCTAGTTGTCTATTTCTTGTTGTAAGAGTTTTTCTTTGTTTTAATAAACAACTATCACTCTACTTTTACTACTTCTAATAACAGTGTTTTTGTAATATTTTTACAAAGTTTGTTCTTTCTTTGAATTCATTTTCTTTGGATTTACCATAAAGATTATTACTTCCAATCAATAATCTTCATAATGATAATACCAACTTTAGAAGATTTTTAAAAATTAATGGTTTTTTATATTACTTTGTTAAGCTTTTCTAAATTTCAAATCGATAAATTTTTGAAAATTTATTTTAGCTTCTTAATTTTCAATTAATTTCATTATCTTTATATCTAAATCACTTTTAAATGATTTTTCAGATAAACCAATTTAACCATCTAATAAACCAACTTTCAACAAAAATTTTTTCGGATGTATTTATATATATATATAAATGCATGCGAAAATTTTTATTTTATTTTTATTAAATATCTAATATGACAAACATATCCCACCAACGCATGTATGAAAATTCGTATTTTTCATTGAAATACTAATAAATTTCTAGTTTTTATCGAAATTTTTTTGAAAAAAACATTTTTTAAAAAAATACCAAAACTCAACATTTTTTCCATTTTTTAATTTACATATTTTTACTACTCGATATTAAATGGGAAACATGGGATCTCTAATAAAAAGAAAGTACTTTTAATAGCTTTTCATTTAGATTATTGCAATCAAATTAAATTGTAACTGTTTATATATATATATTTATTCTCAAAGTCATTTACAACTAATAAAGTGAAAATATACAACACTTGACTTACCAAGGTAACCAAATTACTAGATTCTAAAGGAAATACAATATATATTCATAAAGGTATTACTCATCATACTCTAGTTTCTATTACCTTAAAATTTAATTACGGCCAATTCAAACAGGCAACAAAAGACACACATTATCAGACATTGTAATCCACATTTGGTTCTGTTGAAACAATAGTTATTGGAGGATGAATATTCGTTAATTGATCTCCGTTACTCTTATTTCTTTTAAGATATGCAAAGATAGTACAACTTGGAACACAAAGCAAACAGTATAATATTATAAAGCTTGCAAAAACATACATGGCACTAAAAGCATCCATGTTATAGGTATTCTTTGTGGCAAACTCTGATGGTCTCATAGGATTATAGAAACATTGTCCAGTCTGATTCACTTTCCACAAATCAAAATACATGTCAATGCAAGAAAATTCGTTTCTGCAATCCTTAACCATTAGTGAACCAATTGTCTTGTTTTCCACGGTCAAATATTCCATTGTAATTTCTCCCCTCCAATATTCAAAACAATCCATTCTACATTTTTGATGACTGATACTGTGACAGCATCGACAGTGGCGATCTTTTTCATCACAATCACACTCACTGCAACATATGTAACCTCCACAACAATAGGCAGATGAGTTATAGGTTAAATAAGAATCAGCATTATTGCAAGAAGGCAATTTAGAATATTCACACTCGTTACAACCAAAGCAACTAGTTTCACAGTGTTTGTATGAGAGAACTTCTCTTTTAATTACCTTTTTGTTGATTCAGGATTTTAAGAGGGTCTTAATAGACACTACTAACCTTACAAGTTGTCGGAAGGAAAGTTTCCTTAACTCTAATTTCTACAGTACAAAATTTCATACTAAAATTCCAATCATACCATATTAACTTACCATAGAAATTGCTTCCAAAAAACACTCCCAACCATACTATAAAACAAATCACAAAACAACAAGCTGACCCAAATGCAAATTGAGAGAGGAAGAATATTTTACGTGGTGGTAGCTCTTCCCCCATGGTTATTATTCTCAAACTATTTTTTTTACTAATAGAGTTAAAAAAAACGGTGGGCCAATAAGGTGGTAGTAGCACGCTAAACGATGATGAGTATTATTAGTAAGGTATAAATAATTTATTTCTAATAGGATGGTATCATGGATTGGAATCTCATCAAACCATCAAAACAAGCCAATTTTTTAGCTTTGAAATTGTCTTTGGCGTTGGCATCACCAATTACATTTTGTTTGACATAGATGGTGCATTTGTGACAATTATTGGCCTTTACATACTCTTCAATGAATTTGATGGATGCATAATATTGAGAGGAGGCTAAATCATTCAGTACCATTTGTGGTTCGTCGAGCAATAATAACTTTTTGTAAACTACTGCTGGTCTTTCCTTTATAATCTCTTCTTCAATAAATTCTCTAGCAACTTGTAATCCACATTTACTGTAAATAGTACCAATGATAGCATTGACTGTATTGGATAAAATTTCAACTTGTGATTTGAATGACATTTCATTCCATCCAACAACACGTAATGTATAATGCTCGTTATCTACTTCAATTATATTATCATTCAAGTCTGTAATATTATATTTGGTACAAATTTGATTCAATGATTTGTTCAATTTAGTATCATTTTCAACTGTCTTATTGTTGTATTGATTTGACAAATTCCAATATTGATTAGCCACAATAAAGGCCAAAAATGATCTATTATTGTAGATGGATTTGATAAGATTGACAGTGTTAAAATTCTCGCGTCCACAATTATTTTGATTAACCATATACTTTTGAGAAATTATTTCTGTTAAAACCATATTCAATACAAATGATCCAATAAAACTCAATCGTTCTTGACTCCTAACTTTACCAGTTCCATAAGATGCATGAGTGACACTTCTCAGTAATAATGTTTGTAAATGAGCATCTGTATCGTTATCCAATTTGGTGTCCTTATTTTCAGGTGTTCCACTTTTTGCTAACTCTCTGTTAATGATTCTGGATTTTTCCAAGAATTTTTGTAATCCAGGTGTTAAATTCGTTTCAGTATAAATCTTCCCGCTCTTGGATATTTGGATTTTCGTGGAACTATTTAAAATTGGTGTTTGCTGAATATCAATTTGTTGTTGAGAGTGATTGTTTGTTATTGTAGTGTTGGTGTTGGCTGTAGTAGTTTTAGTAACTACTGTCGCATAGCATCGTCTCGAGAGGCAATTCCATCGTGATGAAAACAAGCCAAATGTTGAAACGGAAGTGTGATGAGTCGCAAGGGTAACATTTAAAACTTTACGCAATGAATTATTGTTGAACATTTTTTTTGATTGAATTTTTTCATGTTGGGTGAACAGAAAACTCAAAGGTTTCTTGGAGCATTGATATATTGTATAATTCAATAAGAAAATTAATAGAAATTTTTATGATATTAAAAACTACAAATTTCATCTATTGTTTACTATTGTTTACATTAGGTTATTATTCAAAATTTAAAAAAATGCAAAATACACCAACACTCAGAAAGAGAAATCAAATTGAAGATCTTCACTCTTCGGAGGAACATCACCACGATCATCATCACCACCACCAAGAACATTCCGATAGGAAATTAATTCAAAGAGCTCAACGAGAAGGGCCATCCTTTCTCATTTCTTGTTGTACAAATTTAAGCTATGTGATTGTATTAGTTAGCGTCTTGTTGGGATTATTTATTACTAATGAAGAATTTTCTTTTATTAAAGAGGAAACTAGAAAGTTGGATTTTACTAGAGTTTATAATGAAAAATTACCCAGTAATCAGGGTTATAATTTATTATTTGTGCATGGGGCCTTTGGAGGAAAGGAAGAATGGCTTGTTAATTATTTCCCATATTTTCAAAAGATTGAAAATCCAAATATTAAATCACTTGGTGCCTTTTCCATGACTGGACATGGTCAATCGAGTCATTCCGAATATATTAAGTGGCTGAGATTGCATGATTATGTAAAAGATTTGAAAACAATTATTGACAACAATTACAAGGGTGAAAAGGTAATTCTTGTTTGTCACTCTTTAGGTGGCTTGGTTTGTCAGAAATATTTGGAATCTCTCGCCTCGAAAAATGATCAGAGTGTTATCATTAGATCTGTAATCTTGTTAGGATCCATTCCTCCAATCCACAGATTTGACAATATTTTACCTTCTCTTTTATATGACCCTAGTATTGCCTTGGATATGGTTCTCACTCAAAGATTGGATCCACTTGTCACCAAAACAACCAAACATACCAAACATTTCCTCTACCATGAAAAGACAAGTGAGTCTCAAATTGAAGAAATCTCCAAACAAGTTCCACTCTACCCAGAGAGTATCATTTATTATCTTGATGCCCTTACTTGTTCATTGAATCCTACACCAATCATGGAATATTTTAGCAAGAGAAGATTTAATATTATGGTGTTAGGTATTGAAAAGGATACCTTCTTTTCAGTTGGTCAGTTTGAAAAGATTGTGGAATTTTGGAAATTAATTTTGGACTCTAAACCACATCATCAAGTTCACTCTGTTTTAATTCCAAACAGCGTTCAAGTAGGTCACAATATGGTTTTGGATGTTGAGTGGAAATTTGTTGCAAACAAATTGAATGATTTCATTTTGGAATTGCATGAATAAACCTTGTATGAATTGCCCTTTGCTTGTTCACAATCAATTAATTCCTCAATGTTATTTGGAATCTAACGACGTTTACAGAGCACAAAATCCAACATCAGAAAAAGGAAAGCAATTTCTAAATGGTATTGCCTAGACATAGTTATCCGGGGCTGTATTTGTGGTATCTTTTCATGATGACCTTATTGATCAAATTCAATTTAAAACTGGTGAACCTTTAATGTTGTAAGATTGTTCATCTCTATGGCGTACAATGTCCTTGATTAAAAATAGATGTTTTTCACTATTTTGTAGATAATAGGGGAATTGGTGTTTGTTTAAAACAACACTCCAAGTTTACGCCTTAACAACGATAAACATTGTACAAAAAAAACACCTCAATCAACACGTACGATGCCAGATCACACTAACGGTTTGAATAATTCTTCAGCATTATTGCCACCTTCTTCTAATTCCTCGTTTCGATACAAATCGCCTAGTAAAAGAGACATGTCCCAAGCACTTGAACAATTAAGATCGATAGATCACAAGTCGACAAATCAATTGATGGAACAAATGTTTTATGTGAAGAAGATTGTTGATCTTTGAGGCCATTCTTGTACTCCTTACCCATGTACATATCACCACCTCTCATTGTAACCTTATCTCAAATTTGAAACATCTGATTGAAAGAATTTCAATAGATATCGATAGATCCATTCTGTTTTCTGAAAGAGGAAATGAAACTAATTACAATAAAAGTTTATTCTTTCTGTTTCCTCTCTTTCCCATTAGATGTTAATCCACAAGCATTAACAGATTTAACCATAATTCAAGAGCTTTTATTGGAAGGAATCAGGTGTATCTCTATTTCAAAACTATTATGTTGAATTGCAGCTGCTTCAACACAGGGAAAAGTAGAAGATTATCCATATGAGGAATACTTTCAAATTATTGACCTAAGTGATATACATGGAGCATTTGTGAGTTTAAAACTCAATGAGCATTAAGAGTACTTATCGCAAGTCCTCATAGCACTTTGTCTTGCTGCATCCGAAATTATTCGCTGTGCGAAAAACTATAAAACAAAGCTCCTCTTTTGTTTTTTGGAGTGAAATTATAAAAAATGACTGCAAGCAAACCAACCACAAAAGTTACTTCTTCACAAATAGCCGAGTCCTTCCCATCTGTGTCTGTCTGGAAGAGACCTTTCGATATTATTATCATTGCTTTTTATTTGACCTTTATTGCTTCTACAGCTTTCTTTGATTATCACAATGTTTTGGCTCCTGCTCTTGGTGTTACAGTCCGAGATTTAATTGATAAGGATATTAAGAGACCATTGGATTGGCCACCTGCACAATTCACTAAAACTGCTTTTAGAATTTGGGGTGAACAAATTGACCCAGTCATGATCACCAATCCACACTTTTGGCAAATCATGGAATGGATTAATGTTGTTTTTATGACTTTTGGTAATGCTGCTATGGCATTGGCTTTCACTTTTGGATGGAGATCATTTAGAACTCTCGGAATTGTTCATGCCACCTCTTTATTGTATAGTTTAGTTGTCTGTATTGGTATCGGAATGTATGGTGGTGAAGGTTATGAATGTAAGTGATTTTTCCCATATGATTATTTTATTTACACAATGAATGAACAGCTGTTAACAAGTTCCAATTTTTGGTTGCCTACTCACTCTATGTCACTTTCCCAATTGTTATCATTGGTAGATTGTGGTATGAAACTCCAAATGTTTTCTGTAGAGATTATGTTTCTAACAAACCATTCATGCAACATGTTCTCGAAGGTTTCTGTGTCATTCACATTTTCTTCTTTATTTTCTTCTTCTATCACTGGATTTTGGTTAATACTCCTTATGTTTTCCCAGGTTCTCCTCCTCCAGTTCCAGTTCTTGGTCCTTACTTGATGGAACTCTCCAAGTTAAACCTCTAAGCTACCACATTAAGTTATTAAGAATGTCAACAACATTCAAATAAAAAATTGTTATTTTAATTGTACAAACAGTTTTTACAATAAATATATTATTATTAGATTCTCGAATTCCAATTAATGATTTAATTACAACATCCTCCTTTTTGTTTTCGTTCTGGTGGTTGGTCGCCTGGTTTAGGAATGATGGCTGGAGTAAGATCTGAATTTACATTATTATTATTATCAGTTTCCTTTGAAGGTAATTTACGTGCAATGGCTACAAAGAGTTCATTAACATTAGTGGCTGCCTTCGCAGATGTTTCCATAAATAATAATCCATTATCTTCGGCATAAGATTTAGCTTCTGCTGATTCCACTTGACGTTTATCTTCAAGATCTACTTTGTTACCAGCAAGAGCAATCACAATATTTGTTGTTCCTTGTCTTTGAAGTTCTTTAACCCAATTCTTAGCACGTTGGAAAGAATCAGCACTAGTTATATCGTACACAACAATTGCTGCAGCAGCTCCTCTATAGTACATTGGTGCTAAAGATTTGTAACGTTCTTGTCCGGCACTAATTGATCCAAATAATTGTTCAGTTTCGAGAATAGTTGTTGTTGTTGTAAAATTAATATATGATGCAGATTTCAAGTATTATAATCATGATGGTAATAAGATGGATTATTACTATTAAAAATTCGTAATTTAAACCTACGTATCCCAAATTTCGAACTTGACAATAGTGTCGCCCAAAGGGACTGTTTGAGTCAAAAAAGCAGCACCAATCGTACTTTCTTGATATTCAAAGAATTGTCCTCTTACAAATCTGAGAACGAGGGATGATTTACCTGTTTACCACAAATGATGATCACTAAATACTTATGAAAAATAACTACTAACGTACCAACAGAACTTTCCCCAAGTAAAACGAGTTTGAAAGGAACCGACTTGGCATTAGGATTTACACTGTCGCTAGACATTTTATAATAGTGGTTAATTTAATTTTAGATTTTTTACAGTTGAATAGAGGAATATAATAATAGGCGACGATTCAATGACGACCAATTTACTATTTCGAAAGGAGGAGGGATGGGTTAAATGATGAAGAAGAAAATAATCAATGCCAATCCTGAGACGATTTTTCACTATGAAACTCGCAGAGGTAGTAGCGGTTTGATGATATTTTTTTAAATTGTCTTGTCGTTGACTGAGAAACTCCTCTCTAACGTACCAATCTCCAATAGAAACCTTCATCGATGGTGATGTTACTAAATGTTCCTTCCTAAATTCAACCTCAACTTATCATTAATTGTAACTTGTTATAATGATGACAAGGAGTTCATCTGACAATAATTACTTTAAAATTGGAGAGAATTTTTATCGGGTAAGGTGTTTTTTGGATTGTGGCGCCAAAAGTTGGTTGTAGACTACAATTTAAAAAAAATGGAACCAACAACAGATGAGGATACACATATTTCAGCCAACGAAGATCCAGAAGAAACTTTGATGGTGGACAATTCCGCAGAGGAGGAAATGACAGAGGAAAATGAGAATGAAAATAGGGATCATGGAACTCCTTTGATTGAGGAAGATGAGAACCAAGAAGGAGAAGAGGCTGATGATGAAGAAAATCAACAATATGGAGAAGAGGAGGATAATCAGGAGGTTCATGAAGAGGAAGATCCAGAAAATGACGGTGAGGAAAATGATGAAGAAAATCTACATCACCACGTTCAGGAACACGAAGTAAATGAAAATGATGAATCAAAGGTTGAGATGGATGAACATTCAGATGCTGGAGATGAATATGATAATCGAGATATTCGAAGAAATAATGAGGACAATGAAGGAGAGGATAGCTTTTATGATCAATCAGAGAATGTAGATGAGGATTCCACTCTCGATTTGAAATGGATTTTTGGAATGAATAAGGACATTTTGGGAGGCATGCACAATTTATGTGACGATTACAGAAAGGAGGTATTTTATGTTGCAGGAAATGTTGGAATAATTTTCAGATACGAGTCAAAGGAACAAATATTACTTCAAGGTCATGTAAGTTTTTGTAAGGAATACGAATTGATTGAAAATGAATGTAAAATTATTATTCAATTAAAAATAGACAAACATGATAACATGCTGTGCAGTCAGTAGGGACAAGAAATGGATTGTAACTGCAGATAGTGGAAAGGAAAATATGATTGTCATTTGGGATAGTTATAAGGGTATTCCAGTCAAAACAATTTTTGACCCTCATCCGGTTGGAATTGAGTCAGTGGACATTTCTTGCGACTCTATGTTAATTTACAGCGTTAGTAGACCTAATGAGGAAGGGGAGCAACAGGTTTCAGTTTGGGAATGGACTGAAGATTTAGAAGGTGCCAAAGTTTCCTCCTTGGTCCCTAATAATGAGCTTCAGACTTCTCTAACTTGCCATTTTGCCAATCCAACAATTTTTTTGACTAGCGGTCCAAAATCTGTTGTGTTTTGGGAAAATCATGAAGACAACAATTCCTTAGAATATTTTTGTCCTAGCACAGCAAAAAGCGACTTTAGGCAGGCATCAAGTGAATTTATTCAAACAACTTTTGTAGATAATACAACTATGGCAGCCTCAGGAACTTCTGATGGTGAAATTGTTCTTTGGGAGAGGAAGATTTTCCCAGACAGAGAAGCAAAGGAAATTGAAAAGGAAGCAATGAAAGTGGTCAAGTAAGTAATTAATAACATTTTCTTATTAAGGATCGATAGAATTCATACAGGGTACAGTGTTAACTACATTACATGTTCTGGACCTTTCATTGTAAGTGGAGGCAGTGATGGATTTGTTAAATTTTTAGATCACAAACTGCGATTAGAGGCATGGTTTGAGGACTTTAATCTTGGATCTATCATTTCCATTTCGTTTGATAAAGCAACAAAGGAAAAGAGCACTATTGAATCAACGGATGGTCCTATCAAGAGGGATTTCTACAGTCCAGACTTTATGATTCAAACCAAGTCTGGTTTTATTGCAAAGGCTAAATCATCTTCCTTTCACGATTATGATGTTGATGGTATGAAGGGTCGAATTATTGTTACTAGTCAAAATGAATCAATTCAAACATTAGCTGTGCATCCAACAAAACCATACATTGCAATATCTGGCCTTTCAGGCTATGTACACATTTGGGATTATCAACTGAAGGAGGTTCTTAAAGTTCTGGTTCTAAAAGGATTATATATTTCAAGTTTGGCATTTGACAATAGAGGTGAATATTTGGCTGTTGGATGTTCGAATGGTTATGTAAAATTTTTCGATGCAGTACTTTTTACTGAAATAGTTCATTTTGGTTATAGACCATCCAAAGCATGTATCCAATCCCTAAAATTTTCTCACGATTCCTTGTTTTTAGCATTTTATGATACTGATTAGTAAGTCATTTATCTAACAATATTCTTTGATAATCAAACAATCAGCTGTGTTGGTATTTTCAAGTTCATGCCAAATCCACAAAAGAAAGGTATGGGAAAGGATGAATGGATGTATTTGGGTAGATATAAATCTCATAAGAGAGCAATTACAGGATTGGAGTTTGGAATTGAACCATATGGTGACATTCCTAGATTAATGTCGGTGTCAGAAGACAGAAGACTGATTGAGTACGATTTAGAAAGCAGCTCAATTCAAGGAGGCATTAAAGTCAAAACAATCCACAGAATCAGTCAAGATGCAGTTCCAACAGCATTTTTATGGTCAAGAGATGAAAACGTAATTGAAACTTATCCAAATGAGAAGAAGTATTTCGATGGTATTCTATTTGCCAATGACCAATACAAGATAACTTCCTTCATAACACCTTATGGCCACAGAGACACCAGGTGTAATAGAACAATTCTCAGCCCAACATATGGAGGACCTCTCAATAGACTAATGATAGTTCCAAATTATGTTAAGGAATCCTCTTCCTTGTTGCCAGAACTTCGACCACCAAAATACATGTGCTACTCTACACATGAAAAAGTAATTGGATTAATTGCATTACCTTTAGATGGCAATCCAAAGCATCATATGGGGTTGGTTGCTCATGCTGGAGAAATCACAGCCTCAGTTGTGTCTCCAGATGGTAAATACTTGTTCACTGCTGGAGGATCGGATTGTATGGTCAACCAATGGAAGATTATTGGTACGCCACTCGATAGAAACAGGCAAGTTGATGAGGGTATTGCACCATATGTGAGTTTGATTGAAGGAGGAGAAGAAGGTGAATTTTTCCAAGAGGTTCAACAATATTTCTACTATGCCCAGATTAGAAGTCAAGGCGAGATTACTACCAGTGAAAGAAAAATCACAGGCAGTGTACCAATTAATCAAATGCCAGATCTAGTTCGTTCTTTAGGATTTTATGCAACCCAATGGGAAATTCAAAATATGATTTATGAATTGAGAGTCATTAAGGGTGTTGGGGACCCAGCTGAGAACAGTTCTTCCAACCTTGAGAAAAAATCAAAGAAGGAACCCGAAATTTTCATCGATTTCAATGCATTTGTGAAAATTTATGTAAATCACAGACCAGTATTTGGAATTCAGAGAAAGGATATTGAGGAAGCATTTATCAAGCTAGGCAGTGAACCAATCACTGGTTTCATCAACAAAACTGATTTGTTCCAAAAACTTAAAACGATGGGCGAAAGAATGAGTGAAAATGAACTCAATGATTGCCTCTGTAAATTACTCAAAGACACTGTGACGGTTGCTTCTTTGGAAGAGCGATTTACCTCAGTTGAGTTTGCAGAAAAATTACTAGGATTTTCAGATGAAACAGCAGAAGAAGTGCATTAGTTTGACAATGATATAAAAAGTCTTTATTCTTCAAGTTTTTCATCATCCATCTCATAGAGCTTTGCAATAGCTTCTTTAATGAGAGGATTTTCTTTAGAGCCATCTAAATCGAGAGCAATATTAAACTCATACAAAGCCAGGTCTTTCTGCTTTCTGGAGGCATAAATTTTACCACATGTAAAGTAAATTTGAGATTCTTTTGGAACCATATGCTTCAGTTCTTTCAATTCTTCCAGTGCTTCGTTATACTTTTGGAGTGATATGAGGGCATTAGCTTTCTTAAATTTGGGCATTGGGTTTTGTGGATGAATCTTGATGGCACAAGTGAACATTTTAATTGCTGACTCAAAGTGATTACAGGCAGCTTCTGCCATACCCGCATAACAATAGAGTACTGAACTCTTAGAATTAATACTGATGGCTTTGGAGAAATGATACATAGCCAATTGATACTTTTCCTGTCTAAAGTAAACTGTGCCAATACCATACCATGCATTATAATGTCTGTCATCTATTCTAATTGCATGTCTATAGCATTGTAATGCACCATCCAAATCATCATTTGCAGCTCTTTCATGGCCAGCTAATGTATAGGCATAGGTGAAAAGATTATTAACTTTTGTAGCTCGTTCGAAGAATTTTAAGGCTGTCTCATGGTCCTTTTGTTGACTGAAACAGTTACCGATGGCACACAATGTTTGTGGTGCCATTTTATCAATTTCACTCATATGTTGAGCAAGATAACTGAGCTTCTTATCTTTTTTCAAGTGCCACAATATGGTGCTGTATATTTCCAATCCTTCCAATCTGTATGGCTCATTCATTTGTATCTTTTCGAATGCAGTTTCTGCATCTTCATATTGAGCCATCTCGAAATGAGATCTTCCCACATGTTGTAACGTCCACCCACTTTGATAATGTTTTGGAGGAAGTCTTTCGAAAGCCTCTATGGCTTCCTTTCCTTTGTATTGGGAAAAGAATTTGTATGGTATGGCATGTGCATAAAGGAGGGAGAGTATTGCCCTTACATCATTTACAGTAACTTTCTTATAATTAAATGAAAATGTTGACTGCCATGTGCTGAAGGAAGGGAATGATACAGAACTTGGATCCAAAGGAATTGATGGAAGAGGTGTTGTTGCACTCAAAATTAATTCTGGTTGATTAGGCAGAGAATCTCTTTGGTATGGTCTTTGTGGAGATGCTCTGTAATTTTTAGAGAAGGAATGAGATGTTTGGGTTGGATAGAGAAGGAATGGAGATTCTTCTGACTCGCTACTCGAGCTTGTAATACTTGATCTTCCTAGCTTTTTATCGGCAGAGTCGAATGATATTTTCTTTGTTGTGACTCCAGTGATGGTTTGGCTCTTTCTTGGAGGTTTTGGTTTTTGAGCTAACACTGGTGGGTGATTAATAATTGAGGAAGGAGACTGTTGAGGAGAAGGAGTTCTATAGAAGAATGAATTTGGAGTTTGTTGTGTTGAAGTGCTATTGAGTAGATCATTTCCTAAACTACTTCTTGAAGCACTTCCTATACTAGTTCTAGTTTTGCTTTTAGTTGATGAGATGTTTGGTGTTTTAGCAGTGGATGTATTGATTATATTGGAGCTTATCAAGTCATTTCCTGATCTAAAATCATAATATTCTTACAATTAAATAAAATTCGAAACTTACTTTGATTTGCTTGGGGTAGATGAAATTCCTGCATGATCATTTGAAAGTTGAATAAATGGCTGATCCATAATTGTGTCACGATCAATAAGTGGATTAGAATTAAATTCAGTGCCTGTGTTTTGCATTGGAGTAAAATTAAAATTGGGCATCAAAGGAATATTGGTAAGACTATTTGGTTGGTTTCCAGTTAAATTAGAATACATTTGAGAAAATCTTTCAAAAAGTGAAGTGGCCTTGTTGGAATCAAACAATCCATCCGATTCTACTTTGTCATATCCTAGTTGGGTTAGTTGTTCGTAGGCAGTCCATAACATTGGACAAAGAGTGACACTTCTATGGAAGTGATAAATTGCCAACTCTTTTCTACAAGTCAACTTGTAGACTATTCCAAGCCAATAATTAATAATAGCGTTATTTTCATTATGTTCGTGACATTTCCTCAAATATCTTTCAGCATCACTGTAGTGTTCCAATTTAATACAACATAAAGAAAATAAATAAAAGATACTTTCTTGTGGATCCATAAAATCAAAGAAACTTTTTGACAATTCTGGATCCGATGATAAAGTGTTGGTTCTAAAGGGAACATCCCATTTTGAAGAATGAAATTTTAGCAAGTGATAAGCAACACTATATTGTCCCGACTCAAAATATGTTTGGGCCATCAATAACAGGTGAGGGATTGATGGGCTTTCCGCAAACAATCTTTCACATAGAAAAATTGCATTTTCATGAAGATGGAAGGACAAGGATTGATGAACAAAATGCCTGATGAATGTTTCCATTTTTTTTAATTTTAAAAATCAATAAAATTTTGGCGCCAAACTTTGCCACCAAGTTTTTATTAGTGGAAAGTAATCAACTTTAAACCCTCTCTTCATTGATGCAAAGAGAGATTTCTTTTTATTTGTTTTTGTTTGTCAATAAAAACTAACTTCAATAGGTATCATGATAGAGATTGAACAATCACCCTTTCAATCAAATATAACACAGGAGTTTTCAAGAATCTACTGCGAAAAATTGCCTTAATTTGACCGTATCCAACAACACCACTCTACTCGACAATATAATATTATCATCATCATCATGATACCAAGTTTGAATCTTGTAGAGAAGGGTTTTGGCTCTTCTGGAAATATTGGTAGTCTAAGGGAAAATGGACATCTTGAGGATGATGAATACTTTGAAGAAAATCAGGAAAATGTAGTAGAAATTAATTCATCAATGACGGAAAAAACATCTGATAGTAATACAAATGAGGATGAATATTGTGATATTCCATTGGCACAATTATATGCCCAGAGAGAACAGGAAATGATAAAAGCAGTGGAATTTGGACAAAAACTATTGAAAAGAGTGAGGTACTTGGAAAATCAGTTAGCATTGGAGAGGACGGAGAAGGATGAATATCAAAAAGCAAAAGGATATTTAGAGGAGGATAATGATGCACTGAAACATAGAATTGAAAACTTGGAGGAGGTATGGAGTTTATTATTTTATCATTTATTGACTTGGATAAGATAATTGATGATTCTCGAAAGGAAAGAAACAAGTTACAGTATACTTGTAAAGAATTGGGACAAGAAATCGAAAAGTAAGTTCCTACTGATTAAAAATATTCTAACTCTGTAAAGACTTCAACAAGAAGCACACGAAAAAGAATGCTTATTGGAGAAATTTTCCCAAATCAAAGAACAGTCAATTGAGTACAAATATAAAATAGAGGATATGAAAGATGAAATTTCAAAACTTAAAACCATTATACAGAGTTTTGAAGAAAAGGAAAGGAACGAGGAGAAGAAAGCAGATCTTTTGAGAAAAAATTCAGAAAAAAGTGAGAAAACAGAAGTCGAATTTTTAAAGAAACAAATCAATGATTTACAACAAAAGATGGAAAAATATCAAGCAGAACGAGATATGGCTCATGTACAAGCCAGAGTTAGAATTAACGAGGTTTGTATTTTCACAGTGTTTGAATTTCAATTTACTTTAAAAGTTGAAACAAAATATGGATGAATTACAGGAAAACGAAAAGAAGTTAAAAGAAATGCTTGAGAAAAAACAACCACCCAGCAAGATTAAAAAGGCACACAACGACGCCACAGAATGCAATAGAGAGTTGAGAAACTTTAGGACTCAATTTCTTAAAGATTCGGCATCGATATCCAATTGTTTTGACGAGTTGTCTTCAGTTTTGAGTGGTATGACAGGTCTTGTTTCTCAAACCTCTTTGAATAATTCTGAAAATGATTCCTCATCTATGGAAATGAGCTATGCAATCTTGCAAAAGAAAATTATTAACGAGCTGGGTTTGGATGATTTTTTCGCAACAGGTGGAAAGAAGCGAGCTCATGTTACCAAAAAGGGATGGTTAAGGATAACCACTAGTTACTTTGATAATAAGGATAAATGGGTTAAAATTTCAAACTCTGGAATTTGTATATTTACCGATGAAGGCGAAAAGAGTATGATTTCGTGTTTCAGTCTAGCTTGTGCCACTCTCAAGATTAGTTCTAAAAACACTTCCATTTTTGAGATTGTATGTGAGATTGGAAAGGAGAGGAAAAAGTCAATCAATGTTACTGCTAAGAATGAAAATGAAAGAAATGAATGGTGTGCGTTTATTTCTAGAATTTTGGAAATATCATAATATAGAATAATATATTTCAAATGTTGTCCTAAAATAAATATTTCCAATTTATTCTGTAAACTGTTGGTGTTGACTTTCTACATCAAAATCTTTTTCTGGTGGTTTGTCAAACATTCTTTCATACAGTATTTTGATGACTCTTTCTTTTGAAAGAAGTAACTCTATCACTCTCATTCTATCCCTTTTATGGAATTCATTATCTCCCTTTTCTCCCTTCATTCTTCGCACTTCTTCTTTTACATCTTCAATACAACTCTTTAAGAATATTTCTAATTCTGTTCTTTCCTCTAATATTCTTATATTTTGAGCTCTAATTTGCCTAATGTTTCTCCTTTCTTGATCAAGAAGTTTCTTTAGTTTGTTATTTGCCTCTAAAAATCTTCTTTCCTTTTCTTCTGGTTCCAAAATTGATAAGTGATTCACTGTGTAGATTGAAGAAGAGTCCCTATCTCTAGGACTGGTTATTGAAGATTTGTTATTTGCAAAAGATGGAGTTGTAGGGCTCATTGGTTTTAAAAGTTGCATTTCCTTAATTATATTATTGCATCTTTGAAGTTCTTCCTGAAGTCTTTTGGTTTCCTCTTTTAGCTTTTCATTGTCTCTTTTAGTTTTTGCAATATGTTTTGCTAGATAGTTTCTGTCATCTTCTTGGGCTGCAAATTGAATTTTTAATTTTTGGTTTTCCTTCATCAGCTCATGATTGAGTTGGTCAACCTTAATGACTTGAGCAGTTGAATTATCCAACTCTTTCTTCAAAGATTTACTCTTTTCCCTCCACTCTCGTTCTCCTGACGTATTAATTTTCTTTTCATCAGCAAGATCTCTGTCGAATCTCCTAATCATTTCCTCTATTTTTCTTCCAAATTCTTTTTCTTTTCCATCCAAAAGTCTTTGAGTTTCCAATCTCATTAGAGTTACTCCTTCTTGAATTTTTTCTTTCATTAATACTAAATGTTGCATATGATCCCCAGCAGCTCCCCTAGCAATCATGGATTCTCTCATTTTCTCATGTAGCTCAGTTTCTATTTCCTTAGATTGTTGCTCTCGTTTCAAAAATGTATCGTGCCTCAATTTGAATACTTCTTGTTGTCTTAGATTTTCAGCAAGTAGCGTCTGATATTTTTCTCTTAAATTATTATACAATTCCATATAACTGGTTTCACTAGCCCCTGTTGGATTATACAGAGCACTTCCTTTCTTTTTCTTTTTTTGTTTCAACTTAGTTTCTGGCCTTGATGTAGCAACATTGCCAGTGATTGAATCCGAATTCATAAACGATGTTTGTTGTTTTACAACATTCTCAACATTTTGTAATATTTGATCATACTTTTTTTGACTGGGTATTTCTGACTTTAAATCCTCTTCGGTTGGTGGAGTTTCCAGTCTCAATTTGCTGTTAAGGGCTGTTTCATATGAATCAAACTTTTTCTGCATTTTATAAGGTGATCCAAGGTTTCCCGATGATGGACTAACAGGAGAAGAAAAATTGTTTGAAGATCCTTGGTTTTGAACGCTTATTCGTAAAGGCCCTCCGTTGTTGTTATTTAATGATGTTGTTTTTGAATTGTTTGATGTGCTGTGATTTGCTCGTCCAGGTGAATCCATTTTTTTGATGTTAACTACGATACATCTCGGCGGGAGATTTTAACATTGCTTAATTATTGATATTATGTTGGTCCAATGTGGTTTTAATGATGCCACTAACAACATTCAGGTTCAAATAATAAAGAAAATAAAAATCAATTTAATATTAAAAAAAATGTCATCAAATAATAACTCCTCTGTTCCTTCATCGGAGCACTTGAATCAATCGATTTTAAACAAGATGAAACAACAAATTTCGCAATCAATACAACTGAATACAAAAGTACAAAAATCTCTATTCGATATGACACCACAAGATTTGATGAAGGATGCTATCCCTGGTACATTGTATGGTATTGTCAAGTTACCAAGCTTTAATAACAACATGGAACGAATTGTCAATAGGAATGATAATGCCAATATTGTTAACAAGAATAATCTAGGAGTTTCAGCACAACAAATTAATACATCGGGTGCTGGCTTGTTTTTAGGTTCATCAGGAATTAGTTTAACAGATCCACAATATAAACAACTTCGTAAAATTTATGTTGGAGGTATACCCGATAATTCAAGTGAAAGGGATATTATAGAATTCTTTACTATTCAATTAAGAAAAGCTGGAATGGACTATACGAATCATAAATACAATCCTCAACCAGCAAATTCATTGGAGTTGTTGATCATGTCTACAGGTGCTTCAAATGCAAACAGTGGATACAATTCACAATATCAATTTACTGATGACAATGTCATTCAAATTTCCATGCACAAGGGTTATGCTTTCGTAGATTTTAGAACACCACAAGAGGCAACCTATTGTGTTAATTGTTTAAATGGTACTCAATTCAGAGGATCTATACTAAAGATCAATAGACCAAAGGATTTTGTAGATCCTCAAGTGACAATTTGCTATACTTACAATAGAGCAAATGGAGGAAAATCAAGTGGAAGTGCTATTTCCAATCAAATTGTCAATGATGTACTTATAGATGTTATGCCTAGCAAAAATGGTTTTATTCTCGATTCACCAAATAAGCTCTTTATTGGTAATTTGCCTAAAGAATTGAGTTTGAAACAAATTTGTGGATATTTAGCAAGAAAGAATCAGAATATTTCTGCACTTAAATCCATTCATGTTCCTAAAGGAATATTTGAAACTGACAACCAATATGGTAATGATGGATTTATTTTCTGTGATTTTTATGGTAATACCAATCAAGTAACAGCTGAAATGAACAAGGTAACCCAAAGACAATTATTGGAAGAAATGAAAAGTATGGGGTTAATATCTCAAGAGGACTTTAGTAGAATTTTCCAAAAAATTTCTGATAACACATTTTTACTGGTTCAGAGAGCCCCATGTGAAGCAAAATTTGAATTAACAGAGAGTGACAGAGTTATAGAAATTCAACAACAATATAGACAGCAATTGGATGCCGACCCAAAAAAGGCTGCTATTGGAAGAGTGTTAGATCTCAATGTAAAATATGACATTGCCTTACAGCAGGTGCCACTCCACGAAAATAAGTCAACTCAACACAGTTCAACTGTAGTTTTCCTAAACTGTTTGAACCTTCCAGAAGACGTATCAAGATTTGAAGAAATTAAGAGAGATTTTCAAAATGAGTGCTCTACTTTTGGGAAAGTATTACAAATCACAATACCATTCGATCAATCAGAACCTAATACATATAATTATGGAGAAAATAATGGAAGAATTCTAGTGAAATTTGCAGACACACAATCTGCAGAAGCCGCCCAAAAAGGTTTATCTGGAAAGAAATACAAAGGAAGAACAATCATCTCTCTATCGATATAAGATTAGAGCAATAAAATGATGTTATTCAGAACTTGAGTAAATCTTTCAAAACTTTGGCGCCAAAATCCACCGCCAACACTACAATTTTTCATTTAAAAAAAAATTGATTAATGAAAAACTTAGACAAGGATGGGCAATTTTGTTTCGGCACAATTTAAAAATTTAACTGCATTGGATTTGTCTAATGAACAGCATATTCACGTGTTAGAGTATATCGGAAATGCCTTACATAATTTATTTGTGGATTACCAAAATCAACAACAACAATACCAGAAAGGAATGATACAAAAATCTGCCTTTATGGAGTTGTTTCATTTGATACTTCCGAATGATTTAGTGATTAGATATGAGACATGTCTGTCAAGAGATCAAATGGGAATAGAGTTGGAGAAAAAATCATCTGCAGTGGAGTTTAGAACTATTTATTCCTTTTTAAATCATTTAGAAAACGCAGAAAAGTGGGGTAAATTGTTTCAGGAAATGAAATCATTTTTACAAAACAATAAGAAACTATTATTATTGAGTTCTGGGAAAAATAATCAAAACTTGACAGTGGAGGAAGATATTAGTAAAAATCTTAACGAATTTGAAGACACCATAAAAGATCTGATTGAGCAAGAAAATGCCAAAGTTAAAGAATCAGATTTGTTCCGAAGACTTCAATTTAATAATTTTATAGCTCAATTCGAACTCCACCTCTTTTCAAATTTTATTGCTTTTAGAAGAAGGGAAAGATCAAATAGTTTAGTTAGAAACACAACAATGTCCAGACTCAGATCCCAATCTAGACTGATTGCAGCCAATGAAACTCCAAAGGAATTAACGATGTCAGATAACATAAATTTAGAAGAAAGGAAACGAAGAATGTCCGTAACTTTTAACCAGAATATTCCAACAGATAGATATGAAACACTTAATAATGGGAATAATCTTGATGCATTGAGCAGAATCAGTTCGACCCCGTCTCCAGTTATGATGCCACCAAAGGAATCAAAACCAAAACAAAAGAAAAAGAAGGAAATCTTCACTTACTCCTTTCTCTTGGAACAGAAAGGAATATCTACTGACCCAAGATTTTTAAAAAAGGACAATCTAACCAAAAGCAAGGTAAAGGAGCTTGAGAAAAGCACCATGTTTACAAAGACAACTGACTCGAGCGATGAAGAAGAGTCGATAGCTGTTACCTTACCCAAAAATCGTAAGTTTCACCATTTCATTTGTTAATGACCTGCCTTGTCAAGATGATGTCTCACCATTGGTTGCCAGAATCAATAAGATGGTCAAGGTTGTTAGACAGAATACCCCAGAGAGTGATTTTAAAGAAAAGGATACAAAACAGGTGGGTCATCCAACAACCTCTTCAGCCACCACAATCTCAACTACATCTCAAAGAAATATCATTTTGGCAATTTCATTTTTCCAAGATTTAGATATGGGGGATGGTAAGTTCTTCAGTTTAGATTAATCTAATCATTTTTTCATTAGTGAGTAACCAATACGCAATTGTGGAATGTGGAGGTATACCCACATTTATTAAATTATTCGAATATAATGGAGATGAAAGAATTCGTGTGGGAGCAGCCAATATTTTATCTCACTTATCAAATAATTGTATGTATTGAACCTGTATTGATGAGATGTTGTTAACAAACAATTAAAATAGCAAGGATTCAACTTACTATTGCTGAAAACATTCCCTCTCTATTAAGAGCATTGAATATGGGTAGCTCCGAACTAACCAGACAATCGAGAGTGAAGATAGACAAACATGCACAAATATCTTTCCAAAAACTAGTTTGTGAGGTAATTGCTAATTGTTGTGAGAGATTAGCTGTTAGAAAAATAATAACCAAATCAAAAGGAATTAAGAAAATGTTCCAATTCCTTTACAATTGTAAAGGGTTCTTTGATGGATCATCTAATTCACCTGTAAATATATTTGAACATTTTAGAAACAAGTCAATGGCCATTTCCAGGCCGTTTAGTGTTGCCTCACAGGCTTTACAAAATTCAACTCCTTCTGAAGCACTTTCTATAATTTACAATTCTTTACGAGTTATCTGGACTGCATCTAAAAGAAGTAAGTTTCAACACTTTTCTCACTGCAACCAACATTGAAGAGTCTAATCAAGAGGATATTCTAAATGTGAAAATTGGAGGTGATATTGGAATTTCAATACTAGATATATATCTCGATCATTTGTTCACCTATTTGAAGGATTTTGGAAATGAGGCTGATTCGTCAGTTATTGGACCTTACAAGCTTTTAGTTCCAGTGATCGGGTCATTCATGCACTGTGCTGAAAATGGTAAGTTTGATTATACTCTCCCCTAAAAAGTGATTTCTCTTAGAAAATATTCGAACTCAAATGAGAAACTCAAACATGATTAAGAAGCTTTTACTAGTGGTGGCGTCGATTAATAACATAATGACTAAATCCAATACGTACCATATAGATTTACTAATTGTAATGGCTGGACTATTATTCAATCTAACAGTTGAGAGTAAGTATTTACTGTTGTGCCTCATTTTTCTCAATAACAAAAACAGAATATGTCAGAGAACAGATCAATACAATCCTTGAAATTATGGGAAGTTGGATAAAGAGGTGTGAGAAACAATCGAAAAATGATCCAGAGAGATCTCTAATTTTATTGGAATACATTACTGGTGCCATGTACAATGCGTCATTCTCTATGGAAAACTCTGAGAAGATTTTCGAGCTAGGATTATTACCCTCACTGACTGGCTTTCTGGATATTAATTTCATTCCTAAAAAGAAAGTAAAGCCGCCACCAGTTCCAAAAGTTAATGTTTCTGCAAGTCTTTCTCCATCCAGAAGACGAAGAAAATCCGAAATACATGAACCTGAGGAAGTCATTGTTGATTCCAACTATATCAGTAGCCTTCTCAAAACAAAATCTGTAGAAAAATCAGATGAATTAATCAAGTTTAGGTGTGCTGGAATTATTGCCAATTGTGCAAAACTCCCTTGGACCAAATTGCTGATTTTCAAATCTGGAATAGTGGATTACATCTCACCTCTCTTGGTTTCGTCATCCAAAACGGATTTAATTGTTCACTGTCTAGATATACTAGGAAGAATTTGTAACTGTAACTCTGTCCTTGACAGCATGCTGAAACAGGGTGCTATGAAGGCAATGTGGTCAATGTTGAGAAATGAAAAACCAGAAATTCAGGCTGCAGCTGCTATGGCCATTTCAAATTGCATCCACAATGCTGATATTGCTGCCAGAATTGGTGAGACATATGTTAGTGGAATTGGTGTTCTGGTGAGAGTTTTGGAATCCTCTAAAGATATTTTTGTTCTAGCCAATATTTGCCTTGCCATTGCTAAAATGAGTCAGAACCCAATTAACAGAGCCATTTTCACTGAGGAAGGTGCCTGTACTCACATCGCAAACATGTTGAAAAATACTCAAAAGTGGATTGACGAATTAATGATTCAGATGGCAACAAAGCCAAAAACAAATGATTTTTCCATGTGTACGTATGAAACTGAAAGTGGGGAGAAGAAAAAGTTGGTCTACGATAATCCAAATTACAACCAGAGACTCGATGAAAATCTCTACTTACGTTCAATGGCTGCTTTGGCAATTGCAGAATTGGGAAAACATCAACATAATTCCCTTTCTTTCTTTGAAAAGGGAGTAGTAGATCCTCTCATTGAGAATATCAAATTCCAAAGAATGCTGCAAAAGCACTATGATTCTAATCATAGAAAGCATTATGAAAATACAGCAATGGTTGAAATTTTATCTATTGCAAACCCAAACAAATCAACAACTGAAAACCAATTGACAAAAAGTGCTAGTTTTACTTTTGGTCATTCCTCAATTCAACAAAACGGACAACAACCATTACAAGAAAAAAGCTTTAAAAAGTCTCAATCAAAAATTTCCCCTTTCGTTTGTCACAGCCTGGTTTGTGCTCCATACCTTAACCTCACAAACGCGCTTACAAGTTTGTCAATACTGGAATCAAGTTCATCAACACCAAACAAAGATGGAGAAGCAACTGATGAGCTTTATGAGAATTTACCAACCAATGGTGTTACACCATCTGATATCGATTGCCACTATCATCACATTTTCAGAAACACTTCATACGCATTAAGTGTTCTTTCAGAGAATGAAATTGTCTCTAAAACGTTGCGAATTTGTAATACCGTAAACTTGTTGGTTAGACTGTTGAGTGCCAAAAATGATGCTCTACAATTGAGTGCAGCCAACGCCATTGCCAACGTCAGAAAATATCATGTTTCCTCTAAAATTAATAGCCAAACAACATCAAACCAGTTTTAATAAATTCTCGTCATCCACTTTTTGCTGTTGAACGGCTTCCAATTAGCGTCAAATTGAAACTATCTGAATTTTCAAAATTCAAAAGGCACTAAATTATCTATACATCTTTATTTAAACGACTAACAAAACATATTTAGAGACAAAAAAATATCATCTCCAACTCCCCTTTCCTAACAACAACGCACGCCAGCAACGCGTTTTCTTGTCAGTTATTTTCAAAAATCACTACAAGAACACTTAGTCGGGTACGAAACATCTTCACCTCCAACTAGATACCATTTAGTATTACAACCAAACAATTTTGTATATATATATCATCACAATGTCCTCTTTACACAACGAAACCATCACTTGTACTTTCCTCTACAATGAAGTTCTCGATATGACTTCATTGGCCCCTTGCCAAAGTCCTAAGCTTACTTTTGCTCTTGTAGATCTTCGCTCTAGTGATTTGTATGAAAAGAGCCATTTACTGGCGGCTACGAATGTAGATATCGAAGCAATCACTAGACAAATTGATGAAGGTACCACAGAATGGGAGGATTTGCTTGAGAAGAATCCAGGTTTGGAGGGATTCCAACAAAGTCTCTTCAGAAAGGCCAACTACTCGAATCAAATGTTTGTAATTTATGGCCAATCATCACTATCGCAACAAGTTGTCGATCAGTTCATCCAAAAAGTTATTCCTCTCTTCCCAAGAAACATTGTCATTAAGAGTTTGAAATCTCTCGAAGGCGGATTAGATGAAATGAACAGAAAGTACTCTAATTCAATTTGTTCCGATTTTGAATATCCAGAAACCATGGAAAGAGACTCAACACTCCTTCCAAATGAAATTATACCAGATTTCCTCTTCCTTGGAGCTTACCTTCACGCCTATGTTCCAAAGTTGTTAGAATCGTTAGGTATTAAGAAAATTGTTAACGTTACACCTGAACCTCATGAAAATCAAGTCTTGGAAAAGTATGGCGATTTTCAAATTCAAATTGTGGACCATCAAACCATGGACATTAAACAACACTTCTCGCAAGCAATTGAATACATTAAGGAGTGTAAGAAGAATGGTGAAAAGGTTTTCGTCCACTGTCAAAAAGGTATTTCCAGATCAGCATCTATTGTGTTAGCCTATTTGATTGCCGAAGAAGGATTGACACTGCAAGAAGCTTATAACATTACTAAACAAGCCAGAAAATTTGTCAAACCAAACAAGGGATTTTCGAATCAATTGGGTCAATTTGAAATGGAACTGAATCCAAATCTTAAAAAGCCAACCTATAGAGACGAAACATCTTCTTGCTTGGAAAGATCTCGTAGAAGACAATATCTTTATTGATGATCAATAAATTATTGTTGAAAAGCAATCACCAACATCTTTTGGTAAGAATTGAGGGCGACTCAAACAAGACCAAGATAAACGTTATGCAATTACTATCTACCCGCCACTTTTTGGAGAAATGAGATCATAAAAGGACTGGTAAATGCTTTTGTTAAAGAGTTCAGCTGCGAGACAAACGTTGTGTTGAAAAATTTGAAAGAAAAAAATATTATTATTTTTACAGGCTGACACACACTGCTACAATACAGGCCAACATTCGGCATTCAATCAAACACTCAATATCATCATCCTATCTATTATCCATAAAAAAACAACATTGGATTTTATATCAAAGTGATTCATAAAATGATAAAAAAACATTTAAAAAGACAATTCCATTTTCAAAACAATTTGTTGGAATTAAACAATACATCTTCTAGTGTTGCTACTGCTGACAACAATGTATCATCAGATGCTGCGGAATATAATTTAGACTTGTCTAAGGAGGACGGAAAAGGTTCAGATTTCTTCTACACTGTAAAGGATAAGAAATTTAGATTTATTTCACTAAGAGATTACTTTTCTCTTGCTTTAATTACTAAAATTTATAATGAAATTATGATGGTAAATTTTCCTATTGAATCCGAATTAGATCCTTTAGAAGTTTGGGTTAACAATTTGACTCACAAGGGTAATCGTGTTTTTGTTCCACTTATGCACATTATGGTTGCATATGAAGTTAATGGAAAGGACGATAAGGAGATGAGATATGAAAATATTGCAGGCATTTCTGTTTTTGAGTATTATGAAATGTCTCAATGTGCTTTATTCACATACTTTGTCGTTTGTGAAAAATATAGAAACTATGGTTTGGGAAAAACTCTTGTTTATCAAGCTTATGAATATTGCAAATATGAATTATATGCAAAAAGAAAGCCGAACAGATGGGAAGCACTTAATAATGCTTTAATGCATGTAAGAAATTGGAATGTTGGTGATGAAACTATTCTTCAATTAACCAAAACTCAAAAAGGTCAACTTCAATTTGCTCAACAATATATTGAATTGTGTTTGGATGATGCTCGCGTTAAAGCAAGCGATTCTAATTTGAAGAAGGTTCTTGAAAAAGAAGATGACGAATTTTACTTTTTTGCTGAAACAAATGCTATTGGAGTTGATGATGGTGTCATGAAATCGGAAGACAGACACAAGATTATGAGAAATATTGGTTTTTGTGTTGTTGATTACGAATATATTCAACCACCTGTTTGTACTGATGAGGATGCCATGTACTGTGACGATTTACTTTTACTTTCATTGGAAGTTGAAGATGATAGATGTAAAATCAAGTCTACAGAACCAATAAGACATGTTCCAAGATTTAAACTGAAATGTTGGACAATGGAATTATTATTCTCAGTTTTTAGAGAAATTTATCCTCCAATTACAGCTGACTTTTTCCAATATCAATGGCAAGATTTGGATGCTCGTGGTCCAAGAATACCCATCTATACTGACTTGGAAAAGTGGAAGAGAAGAACTGAATTATCAAAATACAAACGTGATGAATCTAGGTTGTCTAAATTGTAAAATAAATTTAGTTTATTGATTAATAACCTTAAACGATCTACCTCCTTCTCCTTCAACTCTTAATCCATGAATCTCTCCCTTTTCAATAGCCTTTCTTATTACTCTCCAAGAAGTATGAGAACTGTCAATGTGAAAGGTTGGATCTTTTTGTCTCATGGCAGTACTGAAGAATTGTAATAACCTTTTAGCTGAAAGGACAGCTTGATGTTTTGAAAAGTCAAAGTTCCTGTATTCTCCAACCCACCAATTTCTAAATACACCAGCTGCATCAAGTTTGTCATTCTCTAGGTCAATAACTGGTATTTCATTTGGTTTACTGGTTTGTTGTTCTCTAGGTGGTGAAGTAATGGTAGCAGTATCAGAATTGGTTGCTGCTGATGAGGCTGCTGATGAAGAAGTAGTAGTTACTGTAGCTGTAATTGGTTTTGTTTGTTGTGGAAGAGTTGGGGTTGAAATCGTTGCTGCTGCTGTTGCTGGTTCAACACTTGGAGGTTGTTGTTTTACATTTTCTGATGATGAGCTTCCATTCTTAGTGTTAGATGCTGCTACACTAGGACTTTCTTTAGAAGGTGTCGAGACTTGTTGATGAGGGATCATCACAGTCTTTTCTTTTGGTTGTTCGCTAATGGTGGTGGTGGTTGGTTCTACCTCTGTAACATCTTGTTCCTTTCTACCATAGTTAGAGAATTTTGTTTTGATATGTGTGCCCCTTATTGGTTTTATAAGTGAAGTCTCTCTTGCCTTGATAAACTCATTAAAAAATAGAATAGATTTCTCCAAGTTGAGTATTGAAATAGGGAGCGAAGTAAAGGAGGTTTTGGTATTGATTGGATATAAAACCTTTACAATCTCCATATCATCTATAATTCTTGCTTTTTTCAGTAAAAAGGCTCCAAGTTGAGATTTCTTATCCTCCTCAGATTGTAAAAAGTGGAAGAAAAAGTTAGCAGACAGTATCTTTTCATTAATCATATGAATACCATCAACTTTCTCCATACTAGCTTCTTCCATTGTGGACAGAACATCAGTTAAATTATTGTACAATTTGCTCATATCCTGGCTTCCAGAAGTTTTCCCAGGAATATGTCTCAACTTTTTTCTAATGACATGAATAGCTTTCGCATAGAAATTAGAATCTCTAGATATTTGCTCTAATGTTTCATTAAAGTTTGATGGAATTTCATTTGGATTTCTCGAGTTGTATCTAGTTGTATAACAATCCACCATATCATGATAAAAAGTAACCCAAGTTTGATATGACAATTGCCAATACAATCTAGTGTCATTATTCTCAAAATCGAGTAATGTATATTTAGTATCATTGTAATTAGATGATTTTCCCTTTTTTTTGAAATATGTTTGTAAATTACCAATTTCATCTTCAGTTATTTGTGAAAATCCTAGACTTAAAAGAGCAATACAATCCGCTTCACGAATTGTACTATAACTAATATTATGTAATTTGTTGAAAATAAAGAACTTTTCAATTATTGTCATTTGTCTAAAACTTCGAAGAACCACTTTAAATTTAATTCCTAATGGTAAATTCTCATAATTAGAATAATTATCAAGTATAATTGAATCAGACAAAATAGAATTAAAAGCATTCATAAAAGCCGAACCAGTACTATGTCTTTGCTTTTTTGGTTCTTCATAATAATCTTCATCGGAATCAGAATCCGAGTCATCGTTCACTTGATGCTTTCTCTTCATTGGAACAATAAATTATTTACAGAGTTGCTAAAATGTCTACTCGTACGAGTCGTAATAGTGTGATGATCACAAATTTGATAACGGAATGGTGGGTACCCAATTAACGTTAGACAATTTTTTTTAAATTTAATTAAAATAAAAAAATACAGAAACAATGCTTGATCAATTACCGATTGAAATGTTAGAGAATGTTGCCTCATTTATGCAGGAGAGAGATGTTGTGAGGATTGGATATTGTTTTAAATCTTGGTTTTTTATTGTTCGTGAGAGAATGTTGTCCAATAATGAAGAGTTGGAGAGACAGATAAGAATGGAACCTCCAAACTCGAGGAGAAAAAGATTGTTTCTTCGTCATCGGAGGAAACTGCCAAGACATGTTACTATTTATTATCCTAGAGCGAGTATTGAGTTTTTTAAAGATTTGAACCTCAAATTATTGGATACTACATGTGAAAATCTTTTTAATGAGGAGGAGATATTGAAAGTGTTGATTGAAAAATATTTGAGAAATTGTGATTTAATGAGGTTATCCTTTTTACAAGCTCAAGTGAAATTGTATGGAATGAAATATAGAGATTTGGAAAATACTTGTATTTATTTGAAGGAATTTGTCAGTTTGTTGATGGAGAAAAGAGTTAATGTAGAAGCGAGATGGCACAAATTTATAATGAACCGAGCCTTAATTTATATTCTGGATTCATTGGCATATTATAATGGAAGAACTTCAATTCCTCTTGAAAGAAAATCTCGTTTCTTTGAACGCTTTACAGAAATGATGGTTGAAATATGGCCATATGTCAAGACCTCTCCATACAGGATCTACCTGATGAATTCTCATAAAACAACACTTGAAACAATTTTCTGCTCTCAATGGAAGATTTTACCACCTCTATATGAAGGATATCAAGTTGTAGCACAATTTAATGAACTAGTACTCAATGCAACAGACATGGAGTTGAAAATGCTCAAGTATTTAGCAGAAACAATTATTCCACAATCCTCTCCTTCCCACTTTAACAGTTTTCAAGAGGCCAACCACTTTTTCTCCATTACTAATTCTGTCCATATCAAACAAAACACAACTCAACAGACAGAGAAGAAACAGGAATACATTAAGAAAATTAGTACTTGGATTAAGGACAATCCAATGTTGTCAGCCGAGGAGATATCAGCACTGGAGGTATTGCTTGTTGAATTGTAAATAAGTGATTCGCAATTGATTTCTCAACTCCTTACCATAGTAGAAGTTAATGTAATGAACTTCATTTGTTTCAAATTATTTGAATCTCTATTCAAGATATTTACAAATTTATTTTTTATGTTTCTTTTTCTTATTTTGAGTGGAGCTAATTCCAATAGGTAATTTAATATTATCATCCTTCTTTCTTTTCAGTGCACTACTTGGATCTATTTCTGTTGTGATTGCAATTTCCTCTTGTTTATAAGTTCCGAATTTAAGTCTTCCTCCTCTTACATAATCCGAAGTTGTTTCCTCTGTTGGTTCTCCTTCCAAATGTCTATAGAAATTTAAAGAATAAATTGATTCATTGTCTTCTTGACAGGCATAAGAGTTTGAGGATAACAGAGTATCTTGATTTGTACTCAGTGAATAGTTTGACAAGGTATTATTGATGACTTGATCTAGTTTTCCTTCTTGTGCATAACTCCACTGTTCTGCTTTGTGATTCTTTGGTGTTGCTGTATTTTGAATTGATGAAGATGCTACACTTGGTGAAGCAGATTGTTGGGGAGGAACAGGAGTGGCACTACTACTATTGTTTTTATTCGATAATGAAGAATTGGATGATGATTTTACTACACGAGAAGTTGCTGATTTGAAAGAAAGAGCAGGAGAAGGTAATTGATTTGTTGAATCGGAATTTGTTGCTGGCTTATTCCGATTCATAAACCTGAGGGAAGCTATCGACGATGAGAGTTGCTTCTTTGGTTTATCATCTTCTGTTGTTGATGAGGGTGTAGATACCTTGTTTGAACTTTTTTTCATTTTTAATGTTGAATTTTGAAGTTATTGAAAAAATTGTTTATTTAAAGGTTTTGATTTGGAGAAGGTGGAGCAATGGAATTACTGAGTGTTGAATCAATACCTAACACTACTAATTGACCAGAATCAAGACCAGCAAAGAGCAATTGTTCATCCTTGGAAATTTCAATAGTTCTTATTGGAGACATGTATTCACTGAGTGTGAATTTGTGGATTACTTTGAGTGAATGTAAATCTCTAACAACTATGGAGTGATCTCCTCCATAAATCACATATTTTGAATCAAATATCATCATACAATGTAAAACTCCATTAGTTTCAGCTTTGGCCAATAATTGACCATTAGCACTGTACAAGTATAGAATCATATCATCATTACTATACACACAAATTCTACCAAGAACCTCAATATCTTGGCTAATCTTACACTCTCTTGCAACTGCAATAGAGTTAATACAACCTCCATTTGGATGCTTGATTGTTCTAATGTATTTTCCTCTTCTTAATGAGTGAATAATGATAGTTCCATCTCTGCTTCCACTAATAACATTATCCAAGTCATTACAAACTACCACACAAGTAACTTCATCATCGTGTCCATATAAAATTGTTGATGGCTGTTGAGAAGTGAAAAAGTCATTGGTCAAAATATCCCAAACCATTACTGTTGTATCTCTACTTCCAGTCACTAAATATTTATCCTCTTCACAAATTGAACAACAAGTGACCAAATCCTTGTGTCTCCAAATGGCATTTTGTTGACAGAGTGTAATCTTTGTTTGGAGTGGTTGTGTGTATGGTTTTGAAATTCTGAAAGAGTTATCATGATGTCTACATGAAATGAGTGTGATATCTTTAACCGAGTTTGGATTTGTTGAACTTGGAATTGCAAATGCAGTCTTACAGGCAGATACATTACTTCTGATACCTGATAATTGTTTTGGAAGTGAGGCAAGTGATCTTCTTTGCTTTGTACTATTGTTGCTATTAACTGGAACAAAATTATTAGATTCAGTAGAGGACGAAAGTAAACCAACAGGATCATCCAATGGGAAACCAATAGTCTTGCAATTATTGAATAAAGTATACTCTGAGAGAATGGTTTGTAGGGTAATATTTGTCATTTTGGTTGTATAGATAAAACCATCCTCATTCACAACACATAATCTTGTAATATTATTCTCTGAATGGAATAACTTGATTAAAACAATTGGAGAAACCTTGGAAGTATTGATTTGTTTTGAGCATTGAACAGTTAAGGAGAGAAGTGTTTCGTGTTTGTCTTTTCTGGTTATTGACTTCTTTGGGTGAGATGATTGGAATAATTGGGATGGAGTTTGACCAAAACTATCAATGGTAGCCATATTTTGATAAAATTCTTGAGGATCAAATGAAATATTTCCTTCATAGGTAAGCTTTGGGAAAACGTTATATGCCTTTATGGCTTCAGGACCTCTTTGTTTATAACCAAAAATCAGGTCAATCCATTCATTTAAATGTTGTGAAACATATTCGGATTCAAGGGCTTCTCTGTGAATTCTAATGAAATCCTCAGGTGTTTTTGCCCATGCAGGTAAAACAACATCACTAATATGGACTCCATTCTGTTTTTCACCAAGTTCTAAATCTTGAGGTTTTCTTAAAAATTCTGGCATGTAGAAAAATTCTGGTATAAGTTCTTTGTGATCTCCTTCACCATTCAAACAGTGATCAAATGTTTGAGTTATTGACTCAAACATTCTATCGGCATGATCGAATTTACCACCTTGAACAACTCTGGCATGTGTTGTGTAAGGTTCTAAACGAATTAAGTAGTAGGTAACATATGCTGATGTAGAGTAGTGAGAACCATAGTGGTATGGAGTTGTGTAAGTATCGCTGGCAAGTGTCTGGTACTTTTCTTCCACAATTCTGACCTTATCTGGGTTGAGCACACCCATTGGCTTTGAGAGGTCTCTAAAGGTAGATTCCTTTGAAAAATCAAGTACTGGACTGGTGTAGTCAGCAATAACCCAAGGGAAAATAGGATATTGTGAGAGATCATTGAATGTCCTTCCTGCGTACATGTTTAGAATCATCAAATAATCAAAATTGGATATCTTTCCAAGCTGCCACTTTTTAGTCCATGGAGATCTTTGTATGTTTTCCATTGGAGAGAAGGACTTTTCAACATTTCTCAAGTTTGGACACTTTTGAGAAATAATCTTGTTGAATATTTTGTTTCTCTCATTTACATTAAAATTATACAATACGGAAGATTCATCAACAAAAATAAATTCAAGTGCTGTTTTTCTCAGTCTGTATCTCATAATTCTAATTTCTACAATAGAGTCAAGTGTGAATGTCTTTTCTGTTGGTTTTTTAATCAACTTGGAAACTCTCTCACTATCAAGACCAAAATTCAAAGCATGATTTTCCTTATCTGGTGTCCAGGTTATTCTCTTACTTGTAATTTCCATTTTTCCTGAGAAACCAGCCATTGGACTTATCAGGTCACATTCAACATCTTTGAGAATAGTTTTTTCTCTTTCAACTGGTTTTTGGTTGATTTGTATATCTTCAGAAATATTGGTGGTGGATGGTTGTTGTGTTGAAATAGTGGCGGCAGTAATCTCACTTGTACCATCTTCAGAAGCATCTTCAGTTTCATTGTTAATAATTGAAAGTTTTGGAATAAAGAAACTTCCTTTTTCCTTAATTTCCAATAATCTATTGGTAATAGTATTTTCAACAATTACAGATTTGTCAGTCTTTTTGATGGTAGCATCCTTGTGGTCTATTTCTGAGAAATTTCTTACCAATCTTGTTCTAATAAATTTACTGTTTTGGCACTTATCTAATTTCCATTTCACTGAATCTTTTTGACCACCCCAAATACCTCTTTCGTCAGCCACATTTCTCATGGTTTGCTTCCAATAATGAGAGGCTAGTAAGTCAAACTCCTCATAGGAACTTCTTTCTTTTTTGATTCTCTCTCTTTCAGCTCTTCTTATATTTTCCAAAGTAGATCTGATTTCTGAATCCATTTTCTTATCCAAGTCAGACATTGCTGATTCTACCTCCCTTATTTGATCATAAAGCCTGTGTAGAGTGAATTTTCTTCTTACAATAATTTCTTCCAGGAATGCAGATTCAAGTTTCTCTGTTAGTCTCACTGCTGGAACGAAAAATCTTGTCCAAGCAAATTTCCAGCTCTTTGAATGAATAACTTGAAGATAGTCAGATAAATCAGCCTTCTTCTTTGTGGAAAATACAGGATCATCAGTCAAAATAGATTTATCATCATCGGTGGTGAGCGCTTGTTCCAAATACTCTTTTCTTGTCATGAAAATTTCTCTTATTGTTATAAAAACAAATAGAGCTTCCTTTTCTTGTTTCTTTTCCAAAAGTCTACTTAAAATATCAAACAAGAAGGCCAAAATAAACATTAAACGAGTATGGAAGTCATCATTATTCTCAATATCGCCAGTAACAGCCCAAAGTTCAGAAAATCTTAAAATTTCCTTCTCACTCTCCACATCTCTCTGGTTGATTCGCTTTATACAGTCTAAAAGAGATGAGTCTAATGAAGGAGACTCTCTCAAACAATATCTAATGAGTCTGAGCGTTATTCTAAGAGTACCTCCATCTCTCAATCTTTTTCCTCCTTGAACAACACTTCTAAGAGAACTATAGTTGGATACTGTATTGAGTTTCCAAGCACTGAGTATTGTTATAAGCTTTTCAGCTATTGGAAGATCAATCCAATTATTATTTTCATCTCTTCTAGTATTGATTTCATCTTCAACATTATATGTCAGTGGATTTGAAGCAGTAGATGGACTATTGGATGATAACTGATCACCTCTCTTACTTTCAGGAGTTGAAGGAATAATTTCTGAATGAGAACCTACAGACACAGAACTAGTATCAATTACAACGAAATCTTCTTGATTTTGTTGAGCTGCTTGTGATAATGGCATAATTCCAGGCTCTTGTGGAGCTCGATTTGTGTTAGCACCCACAACAATACTCCTCAGTGTGCCAAGAACTCCTGTACCAGATTCTGTTGTCTTTCTCATCCATGTACCAGAGACACTTTGATAAATAGCATCAAAATAAAACATATATTCCTCAATGAATGTAGCTAAGTGAACAAAATTGTCAAGTATTGGAGAATTTCTATCATTATAGTTTGCAATAATTCTCTCTCCTTGAATGTCAGAAATGTATTCATCAAGAATTCTCTTATAAATACTTCCCAATATTTCTTCTATACCTTCAATATCCTCTCTATCTTTCAAAAGAATAACTTGACAAATTGTATCTTCTATATCTCTCCATCCCTTTTTGACAGTTTTTAAAGAGTGATAAAGCAAAATAGCAATAAGTTCAATAACAATATCTTTGCAAAGTTCAAACTGAGCAGACTGACCAACATCAGAAGGAATAGAGGCATCAGAAATACCTGAAACACAAATAATATTTAACAACCACTCTTGCCATCCGACTTGTTGTAGCAAACAGTCCTTGGCTCTATTAGACTTGAGAACAATTTTAAAATTTTGAAGAATATGATGCTTGACATTTGGTTGGGTATTAACAAGTAATCTGAATATTGGTTGGAGCACTGCTTGTACTTTGTAGCTTTGTTCTGTTTGTTCAAAACCATCAAATTCAAGGATATCCCTTTGATTCAAAGAAATACATCCAAGGAAAATATCCCTCAAAACTCCGTAGGTCTGAATGGTAATATTGAAAATGGTAAGAATATTGGTAATAGTAGAAAAACCATAAGAAGTCTCTGCAAAAACTCTTTGTCTTAGTTTTGGATTGAGTATTAACATTTGGCCGATGCATTTCAGAATGTTGAGTCTTGTTGGTTCGTGATGAGTATAGAGTAATTGAACAAAAACTTGGTAGGCTTTCATATTCGCTAACATGTCTGCAATTACAACTCCATCAGGAGAAAGTAAAAGCTCCAAAACAAAGATAACTACATCTGAATATTGCATATTATCATTACAATCAGCCAATAAGTTAATGATGGCTTCTAGTTCTGGATATGAAATAGAGGTTGCTGTAGTGAGTACAGTACCTGTTGTGGTTGTTAGTCTTTCATCATTATTTACAATAACAATTTCTGCTGATTTTGATGTCAGACATTTCAAAAGTTTTGTAAGCTTTTGTCTGATTTCATAGATATTTTCTTGACTTGGTCTTTGACCTAAAACAGCTCCTGTGGCTGGATTACAAATTTTTTCTGTTCCCAACTGGTATTCACTTTCTGTAGAATTAGATTTGGCTCTTTCATACCAATAAAACCATCTCATAAGGTCTAACAATTTTTGAACACCCAAAATTTCCCTAATTTTAGTGAAATTATCCTTCTTTTCATTAGAAATATCCAATAATTGTTGGAATAATAGTTTTTGAACTTCAACGTCAGTATAAATCCACAATCTAAAATTAAATACAAGGTAGTTCACAATATCAGAATACAACACTGAGTGATCTTTAGCACAAGAGAGAAGTGAAGGTATCAATGCAACAGTATTACGTGTTAAATGTTGAGGAGATATTTGTTTCAACAAGAAACTAATAACTAAAAAACCTCTGCAACGTGCCATATCTTCCAAGTTGTCATTGTGAGCACTCAATAAATCTATTATCAATGAAAATAAGGTATTAACAAGGAATGGGTCGGCTTTTTCGCTAATAACTTGATCTGTATGGGAAAGACGATCCATTTGTAAAAATAGAGGGAACAAGACTTTGATACCTCCCAAACAACCAATAATATCTTTTGCATTGTGTGTTACACAAAGTTGAGTACCATTCAAAATTCTCGAGTTGAGCATGGCTTGATGGATATCTGACTTGATTTGTGGAACATTTTCAACACCTGATACCAAACCATTATGTAATTGAAGTTGATAGAATGCTTCAGGAGTATTGTTAAGGCATATCTTATTATAGTTTGCTCTGGCCTTTGGACTATAACACAATATGATCTTTTGTGTAATAGATCCATCAAATAATTGAAGGTATTCTTGTGATTGTTTAGCTAGAACAGAATCTGTAGGTTGGAAGCAATTCATATAATTGTAACCCAAGTTATAAATTAATTGAATAATGTTTGGAAGTAAGGTCTCATCAAATACACAAATAGTACCCATTTGTCCATTAAAGTTTGGATTTTCAGAATTAGAGCTACTTGCTTGTCGCTTATGTGTTGGTGTGCTTCCTTGTTGTAAGCTCTCATTAACCAGATAGCTAGAACCAATCATACATTTATCCAAAGGCTTGTGAAGACTTGGATATTTGAGTTGGATTTTAGGCTCAACACACAAGCCATTAATATACAGTCTCAACTCATTCTTAGAGAACGAAAAAGGTCCTTTTCCATAACTGTGAGTTAATACAATATGATACCACACCTTTTCCTCGAATTTGTAATTTAACTTCTCGATGTACTGCTTCTTTTGGGAATGTTGAACAACAATATTCATAGAATTTTCCTCAAAATATACTTCAAATCCTTGACCTTCAGAATTATAGAAGCTGATCAATCTTGGTTTGTATGTAGTTGAACGTGGAATGAATTGGAAGGATTCCTTTCTTTGTAGATCTGTAGTGAACGATAAACTCTTTACAGAGGAAATAGGAGTCATTGGATTAGAATTAGGAGCGGATGGTCTAGACTCTACAAAACTTTCAACTCTCACCCACATAGAAACAGAATATCCCTTAGTGTTAGGCCATACTCTGTTATCAATAGTTGGTAAGACAAGTCCTGAGTTGGTGCCATTGAAATCGAAAAAGGCATCAGGAGAGCTTTGAGTCATATTTTTAAGGGCTTTCAAGAGTAGTGCCAGAAAGTCTGATTGATCTCTATCTGATTGTCTCTTAATAAGACCGAGGAACCCTTTCAATTCCTTGACAGTAATTGAATGTCTTCCAATAGTTTCAATAAGATTTACGATATCGCTCACTGTCTTTTCTTCAGAGAATGATTCCTTTTCAAATCTTGTCAATAAGTCTAATAGAGAGCTAATTAACCCTACAGAACAACAAATATTTCTATTGTTTGTAGATTTCTGAACAAGACAAGAAAATTTGGCCACCAATGAAGAAATATAGCTCAGTTCACAGTGCATTGATAGATGGAAAATTAAACGGGCTACATCTGGATTTTGAATTGCATATTTTGTCTCGCTATCAAATTCGCCATCTGCCAACATGTCAAAAAGTACATTGAAAATTTCTGGTGATGGATTATTTTGCTCACAATGTAAAATCAAATTCTTGAAAGTGTCATAGCCTAAAATGCTTTTAAAGTGGTGCTTTGATTTAGAGTTATCGGAAATGAGTGTAGTAAGTGTTCTTATTACCTCCATAGCTAAACAGTGCCTTGTGATAAATTCTGTATTATTTGGTGGAATAATTGTTGGAATGTCCAAGTTGAGCAAGTGCATAAACTTGTCAAGCTTGTCCCTGAATTGTGTTTGTAATAATTTCTTGTTTGAAGCACATAAACCCTTCTGCACAGCTGCTAACATTTCCATTAGCAGTTGTAAATTTTGTTGGGTTGGATTATCCATAATAATTGGAAAAACTTCAGTAAAATAGGTAAGTAAAATTTCAAACTCGTGAGAATGTTCGATATTCTTTGTGTTCATCAGTTGACGTACGTGAACCAATACAAAATTCTTCAATGTTGGATCTAGAATAACTTTGAAAAGTGTCTCTAGGGTATTATGGTTCTGTAATGCTAAAGTTAAAGAGTTTTCAAAAGTTAAGGTAAAATCTAAAATATTAAGCATGATGTTTCTGGCTTCGATTGCTCTCAAATGGTCCTCGGTATATTCAACTTGGTAAAATTGGGATTGTTGATTGTCTGTTTCAAATTTTCTAATGATAGCATGTTGCTTTCCAACGACATGAGAAAGTACAGACATGGCCTTGATGGAAAACAAGCTCTCTTGTGTAATGTCATGATTTTGTCTAATGATATCCAACAGACATAACCCAACCTCTGAAATTACTAAGGAGTTTTCCTTGTATAATTGCATAATATCTATCAACCTTCTGCATTCTTCAACATTGTTTCTTCCTCGAATAGTTGCTGTATATTTCAAAAAATCAATAACACTAGATCTCAATACAGCAGATGTACATTCTACAAGTGAAGAAATTTCACTTTTTGAAAATATAAACTTTTCTTCCTCACTTGTTTTTTGAAGGTCAGTCTGGGAATATTTTTCAAATCTATTAAGTTGATTGAGTGCTCCACCATATAGATAGAAATATTCAGAAAATAAAACATCATATAACCCATTTGAAACCATAACATCGAGAGCTGTCTGAGATTCAGAAACCAATCTGTTGATACTATCCATAAAGTAAAGTGGAAAATCACTAATCATTTTTAACTTTCTGAGTGATTTGTCCGTCATTTGATCCTTTTCATTTTCATCTATGAAAAATGAAAAAAGTAACCTGGATAGTTTTCTTTGTAAATGTTGATCTTGTTCTGTGTTGTTGAGATGCGTTGTGAATGTAGTATCAGGGAATGCAAAATTATTGGAAGGTGTTCCTGGTGTTGAGCTATGGACAGTTTTTGGGAATGAAATTATTGTTGAAAGTTTGACCAATTTCCGTAAACAGTCAAAAAATTGCATCACTCTCTCATTCATAGTTTTAGAGATAAAACCAGGACATGGGAAAGATTTAATGCCTAAACCACTCGAATTGGATATTGGAGTTGGAGGAAATCTAAAGTTTGCCAGATCAAGAGATCCACTCCTAGATCTAACAACTGACCCCAACTGAGGCAATGGATTATTTCTAAGGGTCTGAGTTTGATTATCATAATCCTTGTTTAATGTGAAGAAAAATGAAATCCATAACCCAGTTTCTCTTATTCTTGCAAAACCTTGTTTTCCAAAGAGTCTTAAATAAGAGTAATTATACTCGATTAGTTTTGTAATAATTTTCATAGTTAAATATTGAATTTGAAAATAATGATTAAGTCTGTCATTGTCCAGAGATAATATATCAATTTCATACCATTCAACATCTTGAAGAATAGAGACGTGTTCAATAGGCCACCCAAGATATTTTACAAGAACGTCACAACCACCACGTGACAGAAATAAATCTCTAAATTGATACTCTGCAAGTTGACCAGCATACTTTAGTTTATCAGTACATACAACAGATCTAACTATTTGCATTGTTGCCTCTTGAAAATTGAATAAAAAACTCCAATTATCATAGTAATGTTCACTATGGAAATGTCCATCATATTGTTTTGAAATTGAATCTCTAAAAGTTGTAAGCATATCAATAATAATATTCATAAAATCAACATCTTCTCTAGATGTAATATAGGTCAATATTTTTTGTTTTCTATAATTCTTATTATTTTGTGACCAAGTATTAGGAGAATTTTTAATACCCTCTGATGATGTTATTGTTAATCTTGATGTACTAATAGTAAGAGTATCCGAATTGTTGTTTGATGAAGTATTAGTTGCATTATTGGTACTTGTTGATGCTTGTGAATTTCCAACAATACTGCCAGCCTCACAAAAATGTGAAAATATTTGGATACAATTTGATAGAATATATATTACAAAATCCAATGTTGTCCTCATTTCCAATTCCACTTCAGCAGCTAATTCCAATGAAAGAGTTGATATTTCCTTATCACTAAATCTCTTATCTGCAATAGTAAGTTGAAGTTTAAGTAATGCCACCTTTAGTAAACTTGATACAAAAGGAAGAACATTAAAATCTTTCATCAATAATCTATTATGGTGAGATCTGGTTAAAATTTCAATCACTTCCAATAAGTAGAGTGATTTGGGATTATATTTGTTTGTCTTTTGGAAATCAAATTCTCCTCTTCCTATTATTATTATTATTATTTAATATTATTGTACATTATCTAGAATGTTAAATACCTACCATTCAATACATGTTGTACTTGTTGTTGGAAATATGAACAAATTATCGATAACACATCGATAGGATGTCCAATTACACCAGAAAATCCTGTAATTTTGACAATAGAATGATTTGTCGAATCAAAGACAGATCCTGATTGTAGTGAATGTAAAATTTCATCTGAATTTGATAATGATGTTGTTGTCACGACTCTACTTCTTGGTCTTGATGATGTTAACTGTTGTTGTGTATTGGTAATCTCTAGAATATGTTGTGGTGGATACCAATCATAATACTTGTCTTTAAATAATTGAATAAATGTCTCAAATGATGAGATCTTTGACTATAAAATTATTAAATCGGAAAAGTAAATTATATAAATACTAACGTCTTCGAGTGAAATCAGTAAAGTCTCTTTTGAAAGATTTACTGTAAAATTATTCCAAGCTTTAACTAAATCTTCACTTTCAAAATTAATTTCTATAAGTGTTGAGAAGGGATGAAGAAAAACTTCCTCGTATCGCTTATATTCATCTTCGTCCTTTTTATCTATTGGTGAATTAAATCCTGTTGTTGATAATGGAGAATCCAAACCTCCAAAGTTTGATGATTTTGTTGGTGTGTTTGGAGTTGGAGATGTGTTTAGTCTACCCAGTCCAAGTTTATTGAAGAGGTAAGATTTCATCACAATTTGCAATACCTCTTATTTATTAATTTTTTTAAAATAATCTGGATGGGTACATTTGATGAGATTCATGATCAAATTCATGCATGACTTTAGAAAATTTTCACTAAAAATCTCATGAGTTGAGAAAAAGCTAATTCATTCGGCAGGTCTTTTGAAAGAATCACCAACAATATCATACAAGAATGATCTTTTAATTATTGTTTGGAAACCAACAACATTAAAGCACTATCAAATTAAATCGATAATCTTCTCCTTTGTTGACCCAGAAAAAAGTCATTTCATTCCTCTCTGATGGTCCAATATTGTCAATACAAAATAATAATATTACTTCTTCTTGTTAGTCTTCTTTTTTGTTGATTTTTTTGGCTTGGTTGTTGCTGGAGTTTCATCGGCCTTGCCAGCCAAAACATGCAATGGTTTTCCGTCCTTTTTCATTTTGGCAACCATCTCGCTTTCAATGACGGCGCTCATAGATGTAACACATTGCTTTTTAATTTCTCTCTTGAGGGCTTCTTGCTTGGTTTTACACTTCTTGACAATACCCCGCTTGGTTGGAGCGTTCTTGGTCTTTTGTGTTTTGCTCTTAATTTGGCCAGGCTTTTTAGATCCTTGCATTTTTTATTGAATCAATAAAAATTTATTTTTAAATTTCAATACAATTATTGAGCTCTTTTTTAAGAATAATCTAATAATATCATATTCTAAAAACTTTATTTAATAATTTATTTAAGGATTATCAAAAATGTTAATAAAAATTAACATCAACATCTACACCACACGAAGGACCATGATCATTATATTGTTTAATACTTGGTTTTGTCCACCCATTAAATGAATAGGCCCATGTATCAGAAAAGTTACTTTCTCCGTCATAATGAGCATACCATAATTGCAAATTACTTGAATTTTCGATTATTTAATTTCAATTCATGCTTAATACTTACTTTAATTTTCTGGATAGATCATTCGTTTCAACAGTAATTTTCCATTCGTAAACTGATGAGTAGATACCAACTTTACGATTTTTACCTTCTTTACTGAAAAATTCTTGAGCTGCTTTTGAGGCATTGTAAAGATAATTTGTATTCATATTTAGGTCACTATACCAACAATTGGTACATTGTTCCACATCAATCCATAAACCACCATAGGTGGCATTCATCTTGTGTAATGAATACAACATTCTTTCAATGGCTTCACCAGCATTATTGTTACCTCGACAATTAGGGCAGAGGAAAGCATAAACGTCAACATGGAGGAATCCAGCCAGTTTTGCATCATCAATACATTTTTTAATATTGTCATTAAATTGATATCCTCCATTCCATACTTCAATGATTGCTTTACAAAATTAATAATACTGAAATTCAACAATCAACCTACCAAAATCAAATCCACTTCTTTTCAAACACTTCCAATGTTCAAGAGTTGCTGTTTGACATTGTTGCAAACTCATGTCTACCCCGAGAGTTGCATTTACATGATCTCCAAATGGAATGACAAGAGCCAAGACCAACAATACCACACAAATCAATGTTATGATTTGCATTGTTTTTTTTGATTTAACCAATTATTCATCCAAAAAGATTGGGAAAATAATGGGTTCAAAAATTCAAAGAGATTATAACAATTTTGAAACATCTTGATCAGGTTAATTCTGAACGCTCTTTGGATTTAAAAAGAAATTATGAATTGTCCTTTTATCATGCACCTTCATGTTGTAAAATATTTTAAGTTTTAATAATAAAGAAAAAATGAAACAATGATGAATAATGAAGCCCCACATCATTCAAATATTTCAAGCCGAAGATCCAGTTGGACCCAAGAGGATGATGAATTATTCGAACAATTAATACAGGATTTGACTATTGGAGATTTAGAAAATGATGAAAATCAACAAAAGGGTAATCAATCACTATCGGGAGTTGATTTTGGAAAAATTAGAGAGGAATTAAATTCAAAATTCCTCGAAGAATTATCAAACAAGGGCAATGTTGCTGAACAAAATCAGCCATTACAAAAAGAAGAATTGGTATCGGAAAAGATTAATGATACGTTAACAAATCAAAATAATAACTCATCACTTGTAAACTTAGAAAATAATGAAGAAAAAATAGAAAAGAAGGAGGGTATAATTTATGATTCCTTTAGAGAGTGGTTGGAGGCTAATAGAAAAATAATTGATTTAGAAAAGGAAGAGGATGAATTAGTTTTACTTGAGCTTTTTATTGCTCACAAAGAAAGAGAATTGCTAAAGAAGATTGTATCATTTTCGGATTGTGATGGATCTAAAGAGAAAAAATTGTTTTTTAGAAAGAATGATGGTAAGTTACTGTCACAAATTAATTCACATTTAAAGAAAAGTAGAAGAGACAAAATTCAAGTATGACCGTGTAGTAAATCGGCTCCTACTATATTTCTTGAACTGTATTGTACCAGCAGCATCTATCAACAAGATTCAAAACAAGGAAAGTTTAGTTTCTGAATTTTCCAATGATTCCTATTTACTCAACAACAATGGAGACTCTTCAGATGAGGAAGATAATTCCAAATCTTTCAACCCCTACATAAAAGATGTATTGATTTGCAATTACACATCTGGCACCACCAATGGAACTACTGCTTCAACAGACAAGCAAAAAATAATAACTAAATCTCATAGAGTGTACTCTACCTCAAAACATATAGATAAGTATCATGAGGGAACTAATTTTTATGAACACTTGAAAGATATAATAGTTGGTGGGGACTTGGAAAATGGAGGCTCTTTAAGGGCTGTTTCCCAAATATCCAATACAAAACAAAAAATAGAGACATTCTTTGGTATTGACATGTCAGAAGAGAGTTGGATCCATTTTAAAAATTACATTAGGAAAATCATTCTTGATAAGAATAATCTTGAGCTCAAAACAGATACTGGAAAAAATCTTACAGATAGCTCTGAAGCGGATTATTTGAAAGAATTGTACCCAATAAGTAATGAAAAGAACTCTGCGAAAGTTAGATGGGCAGAAGGCAACAAGTCAAACATTTCTAATACCAACATTCCAGGAAACAAGAAGAGAAATGCTCTTGCCAAACTAAAGGCTTTAAAGCTATTATATGGAACTACAGGTTATGCGGAAAGCTTACTAGTTGACCATTTTTCTCCTATTTACCTGCTAGAGTCTGGTCTCTTTATGGATGCAACTCTAGAGGAAAGAAAAACAGCAATAGAAAACGAAATGAGGAATCTCGAAATCAAACTTGTTAATGCCACCAATAAGGAGGAGTTCAAGTGGATAGAAAATCTTGTCAACTATTTGAAAGATTCTTCCAAAAAAATGGAACCCCAAAACATATTAGAAGATCTGAGTGAAGATCAGTGGAAAGAATTAGAAGAATTAGTTGGGGATATTGGGAAAAGATTAGAGGTGTATAATACTCACTCAGAGACTCCAAGAGTACTTGAAATACCAAGTGATCAGTTCAATATACCTAAACCTCAGCTTGTTGAAGAGCCTGTTTCAAAAGATATCCTCTTAGAGAATACATATGAAAATGCAAACATTACTGTAAATTCTTGGAAGAATGGTTTATCTAATACGTTAGATTTTGGAAATAATAAGAACGCTTATGAAGAAATGAAAGATGTCAAAAAGCAGATTGAAGAAAAGGGATTTTCTGTGAAAAATAGTACTCCCAAAATTGAAAATCGAGAATTATCTTCATTGGGAGCTCTCCAAAAAGTAACCAAGTCTGATACCAAGTGGAGTAATTTGGACGAATTAACAAGTCTTCCAATCACAAGATTAGACTCTTCTTTATTCAAGCTGAAATTACCTATTTTCGCACCACTTACGGATAAGTATAAGCACTTGAAGAATGGCATTCTAAAGTCGACTATTGGATTTAAATTTTTTGGTGTGTCCCCAAGTGATGGAAACAAATATGATTGGACCCTTGGTACCAAACTAAACGAAGATGAGAATGCAGAAGTTTCTCCCTACTCTTTCAAACTTGGTGAATTATATTCTTATCTTGTAGAGAAGAGTCATATTTCCACCAAATATGCACTAATGGAAACGCGCAAAATAGCAAACCTATTTTTCAAGACTAATTCCAGCACCTCAACTGAAAAATCTCCTAAATCCTTCTCGAAAAAAGACCACAAACAATATTACCATGAATTAGTTAGGGAGGATTCTAAACATTCAGCACTGGAAGAAAATACATTCAATAATAGTTTTTCATTTATTAATGAAGGGAAAAAATCCCTTCAACAGAAATCAGAGCAAAATCAGAAGGAAAATACTTTGATTCAGACACATGTGAGTGAAAATATTATGGAGAATAACAATTCTACAACATCAACTCATTACCTCTCCAATACTTTTTCCGTTGATGAGAATGTTTGGAAAGAGGGAGAGTTAATTCAACTCTCTAAAGGATTGGATGTTGCGAAGGAGATTAACTCTATAAGAAATGATTGCCTAAACCAGTCATTTAATGAATTCTCTAAACTTGCCAATATGCCTGATAATTTTAATGCTAACAAGTTGTTTTATCCAACAATGAAAACCATAGAGATTCAAAAAAACATACTACCTAGAGTTAGTGAAATACAAGAGCAACGCTTTGATAAAATATCCTTACTTCATCTAGAACAGACAGTTGTACAAATAGAAAGTAATATTGCCACCAAATCTCTGTCAGGCATCGAGCCAAGTGAAGAAGAGAAAAAGTCTCTTCAAACTTTAAAGCAGAAACTGGAAGAGGAGAGAAAGCGCCTCGAAAATGTAATTTATACCGACACAATATCACCACTCGAACAATCTAAATTGGAAAGTTTAGGAATTTTTCAACAATCTGTCAAATTGCTCAATATACCAGCAAAACAAAACAAGGAGAATACCCAAGATTTGCTAGAATTGGAAAGAGATTTAATCATTGACAGAGAGTTCAGAATACTTGATCAATTACTCGACCAAATGAATAGGGAACAAAGGAGAGAAGTTCTTTCCTACAAGCCAAATGGTACTGAAAATTCTATCATACAATTGCACCAGGATGCTATCAAAAACTATTCAAAACTAAGGTCCTACTATAATCAAATGGTAAGAAAGGATTCATCAATGAAGGAGTGGCAATCATTGACTCTAAAAGAAAAAATATCATTCGAGAAGGAGTTTAGAAAACAATCCAAAATCGAATCGTATGAAAACGTTGTCAACTCTGTGTTAAGAATGATGCAAAGTGCCCAGTTCGCAGAAACCTTCTCTTTCATCTCTACAGCCCTTTCCAAAAAGTCAATAGAATCAAAAAATTACAACACTGAGCTAGCTAAACTTTTATTGGAATCTTACCAAAAAGAAAACAATCAAATTCGAGTTATAACAAGAGCATTCATTCAAAAGAATGGAATTGATCAAAGATACAAGACCAAACTCCTATCAAAGCATAGAAAGCTTGATGCTAATGAAAAAAAACTTAGAGAGGTATATAATTACGAAAACTATACTCAATCCATTATGGTAAATCAACTAGACAACTCGGATCCAGCTCTACAGGATAAACTGCTACATGATATTTTTAAGAATGAGCTCACAAAAGATGAAGTCTATTCAATAGTATCTCACCAACATGATATTCAAAAATTATTCAAGAAGGAGAGGTTGGCTATAGTGAAAAAATTCTCCAAAAAATCAGCAGACAATACTAATAATATTATTACTGTGGAGGAGAGTAAGGAAGATCCGTTGTTTGGAATTATACAAAAATCTCCATTAGATTACTTTACCTTTGGCCAATTAACATATTTCCAAAGACTATTCGAAGAATCAATGACTAAAAGGCTTAAAGAATGGAGAGAAAAGTCAGAGCAATCAGCTACATTACTAGTCTCACCTCACTACTTGAAGGACGATAATGCCTTACAACTTGATACAACAGCAAATGAAAAGGGAGAGTATGAAAAGTTGACATTGAAAGTATTCGATATCAATCGATCACAGTTAGAATCCGACAATATGGTTAACCATCCTTCTACTCCAGTGTTTCCTGAAGTACCATGGAACGGAAGTTTCAAAGATTTACAATTACTCTACCTCAAGATGCAACTCGATAGATCAAATAATCCTCACTATACCAGGTCTGTTTTAGAGTTCAATAATAGTCCTGAGAGATTTCTACAAAGAAGTTTCTGGAAAGGTGTATGGATGCTTCCGGAATCACTCTCTAATTTTGTCTATACTTCTGATCCTTTTCCTATCATTAAGATGTTACCTCCAAGTCAACCAAAACAAGTTGAAAAGAAACATCCACCGGTTTTTACTCCAAGTCAACCTCCTCCAATCGTTACTCCAATTATTCCAACGATTCCTATCCCAACTGTTCAAACTCCTCCTCCCCCTATAACACAAAATATCCTACCTCCACAAATGCCATCCATTCCTAGGATTCAAATACCAATTCAAAGACCCACCGTTCAACCACCAACACTTCCAATCATTCAACCACCATCTCAACCTTCTATCATTCCTCAACGTTCACCAGTTCTTGTAAATGGCACCCCCATCTATCCAAGATACTTGTTGGAAAATCTTAATAGAAGACTATTCCAATAAATTAATAGATGATGTTGTGCGCTGTTAAAGTACTGTTACCTGATTCTGTGGTCACCCAACTATACAATAGAGATGCAAAGAAAGCACAAAACTGTTTATCTTAATGGAAGGTTTGGCTTGTGTATAAATTTTATTTTTAAAACGATTTAACACTAGGGATGCTTCAGCTGGATGCTCTCACGATACTTGGACTGTAGTGGACAGTTCATCCTTAAAAAAAAATGCAATCAAAGTTGTTAAAAAGCAAGCTTGCCCAACTAACAACCCTTGTTGTTTTGGTCATCTTTTTAATGACCCAAACTCTCGCTCAAGGAAGCAGCGATAAGGCCCTAGGTTGCACTCTCAATAGAAATGGTGACTGTAGTGTTGTGTCTTATCTTGATGAGTTGGCCCTTTCCTATGATCCCAAGGAAATACCAAAATATCGTTCTTCAACAGGCAGCAAGTCCATCAAGTGTAGCACAGTTTCTGGCTATTACTCTAACCCATTGTGTAAGGAGAGATGGTACAGAAAGATGCAATACAGAAGAGTTGTTTTGGAACAAGGAGAGACTAGTAAGCCAACCACTACTACAACTCCCTCAACAACCAACACTCCTCTTGCGACCACTCCAACCAGTACAACACAAGGTAGTACTGCCTCCACAACAACCTCTACTCAAACACCAACAACTACTCCAAGCAGTCAAACAACCACTCCAACTCAAACCGCTCCAGTTGTTGTTACCGGTACTAATTCTGTTCCAACAATGAATACTCAGTCTACTGATAAAAAAACGATTCTTGACTCAAATACTGGAAAGGAACAACCAAAGACTGATAGTGCCAACACTATTACAACAAAGGAAGTTGAAAAGAAGGCTGGCGTTGCAGTTGTTACTCCATCTGATAAGAAAACTGCAGTTGAACTTCCAAATCAAAAGCCAATTAGTTCTGGTAATGTTTTGAAGTGCAAGCTCAATGTAGATGGTGATTGCAATGTTTTGAATGTCAAATCTCTCAGCTATGGTCCAAACGAACAACAAAAGTATGCCATTAATTCAAAGCTCAGCTCTGGAAGAGATCATGTATGTGGATCTTTGGATAGTTATTACACTCATCCTTTGTGCAAAGAACAATGGTATAGAAAGATGGATATCCCTTCCAAGAGTGACACCAAGACTGAAGTCAAGCCATCATCCACTGCAAATGACAGCAAGGCTTCTACAGCTGATTCCAAGACTGATATTAAACCAGCAATCTCTAATGTTTCAAATGAATCCAAGAAACAATCTGCAAAGGTTGACAATGGTGTTGAAAAAACAATGATGTCTAGTTCAAGTGCTCAAAATGCTAATGGTATTGAAATTGTTACCCAGACTCAAACCTCAAATAAGCAAGCTATTGGCAAGAAATCTGAAGACAATATTACTCCAAAGACAGACATCCAAACTGCAGTCCCAAATACTGGAGATGAGAAGACTGAATCAAAGACAGAACAACCAAAGAAGTCAGAAGAAAAGAAAACTGAATCAAAGAAAGAAAAGTCTGACAACAAGGAAAAGAAATCAGATACCAAATCTGATAAGAAGGATAACAAATCCGACAATAGGGGAAAGAAATCAGAAAACAAGAAGGATCTCAAGAAAGACACCAAATATGATAAGAAGGCTAACAAGGGAAAGAAGTCAGATACTAAGAAGGATAAGACCAAGTCTGCTAAGAAGGATACCAAGAAATCACACAAGAAGAACGACCTCAAGAAGGGTACCAAATCTGATAAGAAGGACAACAAGAAGGATAACAAGAACGTCAAACCAATTAATAAGCAAACCAATAAGGATATCAAGAAGGACAACAAATCTGATAAGAAGGGTTCCAAATCTGACAACAAGGGAAAGAAATCAGATACCAAGAAAGACAGCCAAAAAGATCTGACAATACAGACATTAAGGGAAAGAAGTCAGATAACAAGAAGGATCTCAAGAAAGACACCAAATCCGATAAGAAGGTTAACAAGAAGGATAACAAGAACGTCAAACCAATTAATAAGCAAACCAATAAGGATATCAAGAAGGACAACAAATCAGATAAGAAGGATACCAAATCTGACAACAAGGACAACAAGGACAACAAGGGAAAGAAATCAGATACCAAGAAAGACACCAAATCTGACAATAAGGGAAAGAAATCAGACATCAAGAAAGACACCAAATCTGATAAGAAGGATAAAAAATCCGACAATAAGGGAAAGAAATCAGTTAACAAGAAGGATCTCAAGAAGGACACCAAATCTGATAAGAATGTTAACAAGAAGGAAAACAAGCCAATCAAACCAATTAACAAGCAAACCAATAATGATAAAAAGTCTAAAGACAACAAGGGTACCAATGCTAATAATTCTCAATCAGTCAAACCAATCAAGAAGGATCTCAAGAAAGACACCAAGTCTGATAAGAAGGATAAAAAATCCGACAATAAGGGAAAGAAATCAGATAACAAGAAAGATCTCAAGAAAGACACCAAATCTGATAAGAAGGCTAACAAGGGAAAGAAGTCAGATACTAAGAAGGACAAAAAGCAAGTCAATAAGGACACTAAATCAGTCGATCCAGTTAAGCCAGTCCAAATTAAATCTGATAGTGTGGCAAAGGTAACAAAGTGCTCTACTTTGGAAGAACTTCTTGCCAATCCATACTGTACTGAATTCACTGACGCTAAAGAAGGAAAGGAAGTTGAACCATTAACTTCCGCTGAATATGGAGAATTGGCTGAAGCTATTGTAAGTGCAGATCCAATGTTGGCTGAAGAAAGCGATCTTGAGAGATTGGATTCAATTATGGGAGAAATTGGTGTACCAAGAAGCTCATGTTCTACACCTGAAGATGAATCTCTTAATCCATTGTGTGGAGAGGAATGGTACAGAAAAATTGTTGAACAAATCGCCAATGCAAACTCTAATGTTGTTAATAAGGAACAATCAACCCCTCCAACAGCACAACCAGCACAACCAACTGTGCAACCACCTGTGCAACCAAATCCTCAACCAGGACAAGCTGCAATCCAAACAAGCACTAACGTTTCTGGTAATATTGGAGTTGTTAACATTGAAACAAGAATTACAACTGGTTCTAAGAAAGATAAGAAGCATCACAAAAAGCCAAAGAAGGTAAAGAGAGGTAAGAAGAAATGCACATATTGCAAGCTCAGAAAGCTTATCAAGAGCATTTCCAAGTCTCAAAAGAAGAAACCACACAAGAAACACCAAAAGAAGCAATCCAAGTGTAGAAAAAATTCTGGTATTGTTGGTGCCCAACTTGTTGTTGGTTCTCCAGTTCTTAGCTCTCCAATGCAACCATTCTTTATGGAAGAGGAAAGAAGAAGAATGGAATATATTCTCAGAGAAAAGCTCATGAGAGAAGAAATGGACAAGAAAAAGAACCAAATAAGAGAAAAGTTTTTGGAATTCTTGACAAAGGGAAATTCAGCAAAGCAAGAAACACCAGCCGATGTTGCCAACCAAAAGGATTTGAACTTACAAAAGACTCCAAAGCAATCTATTCAATCCAATGCTATTGTTTCAAACAATTCTGTTGTAGTTGAAGACAAGAAAGTAATAGCAGCCAAAAACTCCCTTGAAAGAGCAACAAAAAGAGAAAAGGAAATCAAACAAAATTTAGAAAAGGCTAGAAATAGATTTGATCAATCAAAGAAGATTGTTTCCTCAAAGAGAGAAGAATTAGAATTGGCCAAGCAAAGAAAATCCTCTAGCGTTAAAGACCTTGTAACCAAGAAGAGTATTATTGAAACAACAATGGAAAGTTTAAAGACAATACCACAACAATAAAGAATTGTATTAGAATTTAAAAACGTAATCAAAAAGTTTGGAAAAGAAAGAATTCGAAGACTCTGGCTTTCTCTTCTTTTCTAGTGGTAGTTCCAATTTATGACGATATGAGATTCCACCATTAAATTGAATATCATCATCATTGGATATAGACGAGATATTTCTTTTTTTGCTTGATTTTTCTTCAACCAATCGCTTTTCCTTCTCGTATTGTCTCAAAATTTCAGTATCTAAACATTCTACTACACCCACCATTAAAACTCCATCGAAGACTTTTCCATTTTTGCTTAGAGCTTTATCAGCTTGAATTCTGGCTTTGTATTGAATATGCATAAAGTTTCCATTCATAATCTTGTGATTAATAATCATTCCATAATTTGAAAATTGTCTGAGAATGTAAGAGGCCTTACTTGGAGGGAATCCAAATACTGTCACCCAAGTTGTTTCCTTTACAATATCATTAATATTACTTTTAAGCTTGTCATCATCAACTTCAAAGAATGGATCAGTTCGCAATGGTGATGTAAAGACTCCTCTCTTTAGTACAGATTGTTCCAATGTACCTGGTGTTGAGAAATTTCTCTTCCTGTCCAAGTTTTTGATTGATAGTGGTGTCATCATAAAATCTGTAATTATTCCTTCATCTCTAGGCTTGCCACCGAAAATAAAAGAAGAATGAGCAGCAAGACTTTTTGTCAATCTTGTTGGTTCGCCATCATCCAAAATACTTTCTGCTGGTGGTACTTCTGTATCAATAATATTATTTTGCTCGCTCGGAATTAAATCGCTTTTTCTATATAATGATGATGACAATAATCGTTCATTGATTCTTTCTTCCTTTCCAAAAGTTTGATCAGAATAAGAAGTACTTGTTTGATGTGTCAGTGAAACTGGCAATAATTTAGACTTATTCATAGAGAATCCTCCTGTTGTTGTTGACGATGATGGTATTGTTGGCAGCATGGAAGAATTTCCCGCCAAACTTGTAACGGAACGATGTTTGAGTGGTTGGTTTTGATCAAACCTATTGTTGAGCATTTTTTTTTCTTCAAAGACAAGTCTTGGCTTTAATTCCAATAGCAACAATTAAGTTCAAGGATGAAAATCAATTAAAAAAAAATGTTAAAGAGAACAATCAGATCCACTTTGTTTGTTAACAATCCTAAGAGAGGATGCTGTTGTTTAGAGTCCGAGTATTCATCAAACACTACTACTAGTAAAGGGGTTGTTGGTCTCCTTCAAATGTTTCATTCATTGAGTAATAATTTCACTACTCCGATCATTCGATACTATTCATCCATCAACACTTCAACCAATCATAACAAGACAAATGGAAAACCAAGTATTGGTATTATTGGAGGTGGACCAGGAGGTTTGTCTAGTGCTCTCATTTTGGCATCAAAGGGTTTTCCAGTGACTGTTTTTGAAAAAGGAAGCAAGATTGGTGGTAGAAATGCTCCACTCCAAGTTGGAGAAAGTACACTTGATACAGGACCAACCTTGTTAATAATGAAATTTATATTGGAAGCTGTTTTTAGAGATGCTGGAAGGAATGTTGATGATTATTTGAAATTTATTCGATTGGATCCCATGTATAGACTTGTTTTTCATGATGGGACTCACATTGATTGTCACGATTTGGACCATCGACAAGCATTGGAGAGTGAAATTGATAGAGTTTTTGGAAAGGATGCTGTGAAGGGATTTCATGAGTGGCTTAAATTTGAAGAAAAGAGGTATCCCTATACTATGAAATTATTGGAAAAGATTTATTCTTCACATTTGGATATTATTAATTGGGATGCTATCAAAGCACTTCCGTATGTTGGTTTACATAAATCAATGGCAACCATGTTGAGAAGGTATTTTAAAAATCCAATGAATCAAATAATCCTTTCATATCAGGCTAAATATTTAGGAATGAGTCCATGGCAGGCTCCATCTGTTTATGGTCTCATACCCTATGCTGAGTATCAATTTGGCATATACCATGTCGAGGGGTAAGTAATATAGTTTTGTCTGATGTGTCATAATTTGACAAAAAATTAGTGGACTTTCTAAAATTTCAGAACAAATGGCCAACATTCTAACCAATGAATTTGGTGCAAAGATTCATCTCGATTCAACTGTAGAAAAGCTCAATATTGAGAAGGGTTCACGTTTAATTAATAGCATTGAAGTGAGACATGGAAATTCACAACAAACAACAAGATATGAATTTGACGAAATTATTTGCAACGCTGATATACCCTATGTAATAAGGAATAATATTCCAAATGCTGATCAAATATTTTCTACATGGAAACCATCTACGTTTGACAAGAAGAAATTTAGTTGTAGTGGATTTAATATGTATCTTTCTTTGGATAAATTATATGATAATGTGACAACACATGTAATTTCATTCCCTAAAGATATTAAGAAGAGTTACAAATTAATGGAGGATGGAGATTGGAATTCTGATATTTGTGTTTATGTAAGAAATTCATGTACTGTCGATAAAACTGTATCAAAGGAAGGCAAATCAGGTTTATTTGTAATGGTATTTGTTCCAAATTTACAGGTTGGCAAAATTGACTGGACAGATCAACAAACTATTGAAAAGACCAAGCAACTTGCCTTTGATATTTTGGAACAAAAATGTGGATTTACCAATTTGAGAAATCATATTGAGGATTGTAAACTTTCAACACCATTAACATGGAAGAGTGAGAAGAATATAGAATTTGGAGCAGTATTTGCAATGAGTAATACTCTATTCCAGAGTTTATCTTTTAGACCTAGAAACAAATTCGACGAACTCGATAATCTCTATTTATCTGGAGGTCATACGCACCCAGGTTCAGGACTTCCTACTATCATGGAATCTGCCAGAATTGTAACAAGTCTCCTGTGTGAAAAGTATAAAGTTCCATACACTTTGAAAATGCCTTCCTTTTACCCAACTCAATAAACCATTTGAACTAGTCGTTCCTTAATCTAATATTTTCTCTCTGAGCACCATCATGATACACAATCCAATTTGCCATATTTAAAATTCAAATATTTATTTGTTCTGGAAATTTGAAAAAAAAAATGTCAAACGAACAAGAAACCAAACAATGTTTAAACAGTGAAGAAACCATTGACAAGACGACATCCGATAGTAATCTTGTATCATCTGAAGAATCACAATTACCATCATCAGCATCATCATCAATATCTGATGCAACAAATCCATCAATAACTAACTCTTCCTCAACAACTAGTAAAAAACCTTCAAGTAAAAAGAAGTCATCCTCCGATGCGACTGCTTCGGGTACCCACTCTGATGCATTCATTGCTCAACAGTTAATGAAAAGAATCAAGGAAAAAAAAGGAGGAGTTAAAGTTGTAAACAAAAAGACCAATGCTACTGCTTCCAGTAGTGTTCATCAACCTTCACCTGCATCTTCAACACATGAAGATAAGGATTATTCTGACACTGAAAATGAGCCAAAAAGTGAATATAAAAAAGGAGGATATCATCCAGTAAATTTAGGAGATCGAATTGGTAATGATAGATATATTATTATTCATAAATTGGGATGGGGATATTTTAGTACTGTATGGTTGTGTTATGATTATGTTGAAAAGGTCTTTAGAGCTATCAAGATTCAAAAGAGTTCTAAAGATTTTACTGATGCTGCACAGGATGAAATCAAGTTATTGAATCATGTTATGGTGAAATATAGAGAACTCAATCAAGTGGATGGTAATGTTAATTATAGCAATTTAAGGATTGTTGGCATGTTTGATAATTTTGTAGTGAGAGGAAATAATGGAACACATATGAGTATGGGATTTGAAGTGATGGGTTCTAACTTGTTAAAATTGAGCGAACAATTTGATTTTAAGGGAATTCCACTTGATATTGTCAAGACTATTATGAGAGATGTTTTAAAAGGATTGGATTTCTTACATACTCAATGTAAAATTATTCACACAGATATTAAACCTGAAAATATTCTCATTGAAGAATGTAATACCAAGATTAAATATATAATGGGCAAGTAATTTATTGAGTACATTAATTGACAAAATTGTTTAGAACATTATCAACCACCTGATTTGGATAAACCATTGGAAGAACGCGATGTTTCAACACTCAATAGAAAACAAATTAAGAAACTGAAACAAAAACTCAAAAATGATGGAAAATTGGAAGCATTACAAGAATTGGAAGAAAAAGTCTCAATCCTTGAAAAGGAAGGTAAAATCTCTGAAGATGGTTGTAATGCTCCAAAGTTTGAGAATTTACCAAAGAATGAACAAATTGATTTGACTAATGTTCGAGTTAAAATTGCTGACTTTGGTAATTCTTGTTTTACAGATCTTAAAATTACTGATGAAATTCAAACTAGACAATACAGAGCTCCTGAAGTTATTATTGGTGCCAAATATTTCACAGCAGCTGACATTTGGAGTGCTGGATGCATGGCTTATGAATTAGCAACTGGAGTCTTTTTATTCGATCCACAACCAGGTAAGAAGTATACCAGAGAGGACGATCACTTGGCTCTCATTATGGAAACTCTTGGAGCATTCCCTCATGAATTCATTTCGAGAGGTTCTCGTTCCACTAAATTCTTCTCCTCTAAGGGTGATTTGATTCGTATCAAGAAACTCAAACAACGATCCATTCAACAGAATCTCTCGGAAAAGTATGGCCTCACAGATCAGGCCGCTAAGGATTTTACTGATTTCCTTCTTCCCATGTTGGAAATTGCACCAGAGAAGAGAGCCACTGCTCAACAAATGCTTAAACATCCATTCTTGAAAGAAGAGATATAATAAATATTTATTAAATTGTTTCAAATACCAAGTTATTGATGAATAACCCATTGTTGTTACAGTTGTTGTGTTACATCATAGATGATGAAGTCATGCATTATCATCAAATTTAAATTAATTTTATTATTAAAAAATGATCGAATTTGTTCTTCTTGTAAATAAACAAGGCCAAACCAGGCTTGCCCAATATACTAGATTTAAAACAATTAATGAAAGAACTGCTTTGGAAGGAGAAATTGTTAGAAAGTGTTTGAGTAGAAATGAAGATCAGGTAGGTACTGTTCCGATCATGTGGAGTTGTTAAAAAAGAATTAATAATAACGGAAATTAGTGTTCCTTCATTGAACATATGGGGTATAAATTAATTTACAGAAGATATGCCTCTCTATTCTTTATTGTTGGAGTTGATAGTCATGAAAATGAGCTTGCAATTTTGGAATTTATTCACTGCCTCGTAGAAACTTTTGATAAATATTTTGAAAATGTGGTATGTATGACGATAATAACTGAAATGTTAATTAAATTAATTGTGTGACTAAATAACAGTGTGAATTGGATGTAATGTTCAATCTTGAAAAGGCCCACTTTATTGTTGAAGAAATGGTTGCTAATGGATGTATTACTGAAACCAATAGAACAAACATTTTGGAAACTGTGCAAATGATGGATAAGCACACTCAATAAAACTAACTACTTGTACTTTATAATAAGATTACCCTTAATTTTTCAAACTAAAGGTCAGAACATTTGAAAGTTTCCAAAGCTAAAATGAAAATAATTGAGATAGTATTTAAATAAATTATCAAGGTATTATTTAATAGTACAAGGTGTTATAATATTCACAATTTAGTTCTTAGTAACTTCGTGCATGGCCTTAGCAACAGTAGCAACATTGTTAGTGTTCAAACCACTAATACTAATTCTACCGTCCTTAGTCATGTAGATGTGGTATTCTTCCTTCAATTTGGTAACTTGTTGTTCATTCAAACCACTGAAGGCGAACATACCAATTTGGTTGGTAATGTGTGACCAGTCACGAGTGCTTCCGACCTTCTTCAATTCTTCAACCAATTTAGCTCTCATCAATTTAATTCTGTCAGCCAATTCCTTAACATCCTTTTCCCATTGAGCCTTCAATTCTGGTGTATTCAAAACAGTTGTGACCAATCTAGCACCGTGCAAAGGTGGATTACTGTATTGAGTACGAATGATAATACCAAGTTGACTTTCAACATTCTTCTTTTCTTCAGCATTTTCAGTCACAACATTGAAAGCACCAATACGTTGTCCGTACAAACCAAAGTTCTTGGCATATGATTGACAGAGCATGATTTGATGACCTTCCTTAACGAACAAACGGAATGATTGAGCATCAGTGTTAGCATCACCAGAAGCAAAAGCTTGATAAGCAGAATCGAACAAAACATAGTGTTGCTTTTCCTTACAGATATCGGAAATCTTCTTCCAAGTATCCATTGTTGGATCAACACCAGTTGGGTTGTGAGCACAAGCGTGCAAGAGAATGACTGACTTGGCTGGAGCATTCTTAATGTCTTCTAAAGCACCTTGAACATCCATACCATTAGTCTTCTTGTCAAAATATCTATAAGTTGGGATACGATCATCAGTGAATCCTTGAGCACGGAAAATGTTAAAGTGATTGACCCAAGTTGGATTTGGGAAGTAAACTTTAGTGTCGGCTGGGAGGAATTTCTTAATATAACAAGCTGCCAAACACAAGCTACCAGTACCAGAAATGGATTGAACAGTTGCAATTCTATCACTGTTTTCACCAAAGGCGAATTTTTGAGTTGCCTTGCAGAAATCAACAACTCCTGTAACTGGTGGATATTCGTGATCGAGACCCTTTTCAAAGATGATCTTTTCAGCTTCTCTAACGGAAGGGAGTGTCTTTGGCTTACCTTCATTGGTACGATAGACACCTTCACCCAAGAGAATCTTGTTTGGTGCAGTGTCTTGATTAAAACTAATTGTCAATTGTTTAATAGCATCGAGAGGAGCATAATTAACTCCTGCCCAAATACCTTGTTGCATTTGGCAAGTAGAGAATGATCTACATGATGGCTTGAAGGAATTCTTCAAAACAAGTCTGGCAGTATTCTTCATGTTGTTGTATTAGTGTGTTGATGATGGGAGATTTTCTTCAATCCAGTAACAGCTAACTTTCGTTGTGGTGTTTGGAGAATTTTTTTTTTAGGTTTTTTTCCAATGCAAGCCTGGGACTTTAAGCTGCTGTTGACATGACCGATGTGAAACAAAGAATACAACCAAGAGGAAGAATTGCAAGTCAATTGTCCCAAGGCAAATTTTCCTATCATGTACGAAACAGGATCCCCATCCTCTTTTTTTCCTATCTAACATCCAGTCAATTGTGGATTATAGTTTTCTGTAGATGAGTTACATATTGTAATGTTGTAAATTTATTGCTTCAATTTAATTCGATTTAAATTGATTGGGAGTTAAGGAATGAAGTTTTGAGGACAGGGCGATTTTAAGACAAACTTCTTTATTTGAAGAATTTTACAGAAGTGGATGAAATTACTTTTTCAGCAATTTTTTGCATGACAATAAGTTTATTTACAAAAAATTGTTTTTAATTTAATTTACGATACGTAGCTGGAATGACACCTATGAAAATCTTTAGGAAATTGTTCAAATCGAAACATGACTCAATCTTTTTAAAACTCAATCTCTATTAACCATAACATCTACTGAAAATAGCATCATGATGCTCGTCATATTCCTGTCTTGTTATCCACAAGTTTTGAACCGTTGGTAGAGAGGCAAGTATTGAGCCACCAATCCATGATCCAAAAACTCTGTCATTTTCTGCTCGGACATTCTTATCGGTAATTCTTGAGCTTCCTGTCTTTTCGGTGAGTATTCTTGAGAATTCAGCAATTAAGCGTTCCTTAAATCCAGTAAACATAGTTGAACCTCCAGCCAGAACTATATTGTCCATCAGTATTTGTTTGATGTAATCATCCGATTTGTCATAGACATGGAAAAGAGCCTCATGAACACCAAACATGTTTGTTTTTCCAGCCAGTTTTGGGTAAAAGAGAGCTTCAGGGCATTTGTAAGCTTCATGAGTTATTTGAATAACCTTTCTATCTGGAAGAACATATTCAGAGAGGCCTACGTTGTACTGCTCCTCGGCAATGTTTTGTGAAATGTAACATAGTTTTTCTTTCATTTCTGTTAAAATCTTATATCCAGCAATAGTATTGTAATTGATCAGCTCTTCATATCGCTTATTCTTCTCGAGCAATTGTCTCAAATAGTTGGTAATGTCAAGACCACCAAATTCTGATTTGACAATAGCGTGGTAGAGTGGGAATCCTTCAAAGATTGGCACTGTTTGAGAAACTCCATGTCCAATCTCCACAACAAGTCCACTTGATTTACCAGTTGAGTAGAGCGAAAGTACTGGTTGAGATGCAATATATATTGATGGAACCTTATATTTTTCAAAGAGTATTTCGGCCATGTGGTATCTATTTTCTTTTGGGTTTTCACAAGCTTCTGAAATGAGTAGAGGTTGGTTTTCTGGGGCTGTATTAATTTTCTGATTCACATAAATAGACTCATAAATTCTTTCCATCATATCCCAATCATCCACAACACCTCTCTCCATTGGAAAATGAAGACTGCTCAACATTCTCATGTCCCTTTTTTCATTGAAATTCTTGAAATTGTTAGAGTTGTAAGAAAAATATTTTGCTGATCTAGATATGGCTCCAGATGAACGATCCACTCCAATAGCATCGTCACCAATCAAGTAGTTTACATCCTCCTCACTTGTGGCGACATTGACTTCTGGCGTTTTTTCTTGCCCTCCTTTTTTAGCATCTGGATTATTGGTTGTTGAGGTTGCTTGAGATCCCTTTTGGCCTACAAACTTGCTGTGATGAGGATCGGAATGAAGCTCATCAGGTGCCATTACCGTTGGCAGCAACAATAGTGGCATATCATCACCTGCAAATCCAACCTTTGTCATTCCTGTTCCTTGGTCAATAACAAGTGGTCTAAATTCCATTGTATTGGAAAGCATCATTAAATCCTGATCCACAAAAACATTTCGCTTCCTCATTTCCGACAATTATAAAATTAATATATATAGCTGTTCCTACTATGATTCCTTCAATACTAAGGTTTCTTCCTAATAGTGCAAGATAATGTATTGAAATACAAAAACTGGCAAACGACTTGTTTTTTTAATTTTTAAAAAACCTAAAAATATTCTTGTAAATTTTTAATAAAAATGAGCGGTTCCCCTGAAGTCGATACCCCTAAAGTCAATAACCAATACGAAGAATCAGCACCAAATTATCAATTTTTGAATGCCGATAAGTGGAGAACTGGTAATAAACCACTCCGTCTCAGAAAGAATCCATTGGAAGTTTCACCATGTTTAAAGTAAGTGTTGAAAATTTAGGAGGATATATTCTGTGTGGATGATGTGATGATAATGAATAATAATTGCTGGATTAATTTAAATAATTATGATGATGACAAATTGTTGTGGAATTTATGTGGATTTTATGATGGCGATTTATTTCTTTGTCAATAATAATAATTATAAAACAACAGGGGAGAATGTACAAGCGCTAACCAACTCATTGAATTCAAGACTTGGGTTGCCAGAGAATGGACTGTCTACACTGCTGAAGTTGAACTTTTGCGAAAGGATGTCGAAGATTGTTGGTATAAACACGGTGTTGATGTCATCAGACAATGCAAAGACAAGGTCCAAAAGTATACACACGCTGTTGATGAAAAGACCATCAGAGAAGTCAGAGCGTAAGTATTAATGATTTTCAAAGTTTAGCTAATATTTTCTGCATCAATATTTTCATGCATGAATGGAACAAATAGTAAATTGATGAGAGGAGAAAGAGCTGTCGAATAAGCAAACACACAATTTAAAAACTTAAAATTATTTATGTAAAAACATCCATATAGTCACTGTGGGATTGATCCAATAAAACTCGGAGTGAAAAATCACTAAATCTAAATCTTAAAAGAACAACAAATTATTGTTTATTAGCATAGTATGGAAGTTTGAAAAGAATGACTGGTCCACTTTGACAACCCAATGAGAGGAAACTCGATGATGAACTCAAAGTTATTGAATTGAAAGAATATTGTTTCTTCATACTAATTTCACCAGGGAAATTGGAATAGACATAGAGGGAGGAAATGTGAGCAAAACGGAATGCATTCGATTTTTCAGTGGAAGCAAAAAGCAACAATTGAGAATCAGAGGTAAACCTTAAATAATTGGCAGTGGTTGTCAAATTCATAAATGTTCCAAGAGGTTTTGGAGCTTGTCCATTGAAAACATCTGCCCAACGATAGAGATTCACAGCACCAGATGTTGATCCGGTGGCAATATATTGCATATCAGGAGAAACAGCAACAGAATGAGTATGAATGGAACCATGATCAGCGAAAATATGTTTGATCTTTTCACTTTCTACATCATAGACATATACCTTACCACCCTTACCCACAACAAACAAAGTCTTGGAATCTTCACTGAATGTAACACCAGAAACTTGTGTCATGTTGGATGTGAATGTATGTTTGATATTGAGAGTCTTTCGAGAAATGAGCAAGACACTACCAATATCATCAGCGACTGCTATAAGTTTGTTATCATTTGAAACATCAAAGGCATTGTGTAAGAGGAATTTACCACCTTCCTTCTCATCACCACGTCTCCTTCGTGAGAATAGCTTTTGAGTTCTTCTTGTTTTACCACTGTCCATATCTGTCATGAGGAAGTAGGCTGATTTATCCAAGAATGAAATAATTGATTTACCATCCTTTGTGAAGGCAATACTCTTCAAGTCATTATCACCTTGGTTGGTTATTTGCAGTCTGTCCAAAATTGGGTTGAGTTCACCATCAACAGTGAAAATTCTAATCTTCTTATCAGAGTTCAAAACGGCAGCAATATTAAGATTTGGATGGAATGCAATGCTGAAAACTTGTCCAACACGTTCTTGTCCATTGATATCATTAAGCTTTTGATAGGCAAGTTTAAACCTATCAAGATTATTCAATGATTCTACAATGGTCTTTTCTGAGGATTTTTGTAAAATTTCGTCTGCAGTTTGATTCAAATTATTTTCATCAATGATTTCTTCTCTAATTGATACAGTTCCATCTTGATTTTCATTTTCATATTGTTTAACTTTGAGTTTTGCCCAGTGAGGAGTTGGGAATAAGTGTGTATAAATCTTTCTCATCTTCTTTTCATATTCTGAACCTAATAAAATTGAAGAATTTTGTCCATCTCTCTTTCTCTTTAAAAATCCTTGAACAAGACTTTGAGTAATTCCATCTTGGTCAATTTCCTCAATTTCTTCTTCGTCATCATCATTGGCAATACGTAATTCCTTTGTATAAACATCTTCCCAAGCAGGTTTTAATTTAATAAGCTTCATCTTCTTTTTAGAAACTTCACCTTCATCCAACATTTCATCATTTTGATGAATAGAAGGCTTTTCAACATAGAATAAATCAGAATCATCTTGTTGCTCAATGTCAGATTTCAATTCATTGAAGGTAGAAACCTTAGCTTTTGTTTCACCAAATATTAATTCATCATCAGTCATTATCTTTTGAAGATTGAGCTCATCTGATGAATTAAATAAATTAATTGAAAGATCCTTTGCTGCTGATTTATATCCACCAAAGAGAATACTTGTCAAACTATCATTAACTTTCTTGTGATGACTTGGTTGTTGTTTCTGTTTTGTTGTTTCTTCAGAAGCAACATTTTCATCATCCGAAATCATCATATCTTCATCAGGAACAATTTCTTCTTTTTGTGGTGTAATCTTTTCAATCTTCTTTTTTGGAGTGGTAGAACCAGAGGAATTCTTCTTGTTATTTTCGGTTTTACTAGTACCACCATTGCTAGTGACTGTTGTTGGTCCTTTTTTGATGAACATTTTTTTTTCAACTCTTTATTTGAATGCTTTCACATTCTTATTGTCGATTACATGATGCGTGTAATATGAAGGAATTAAAGAACGGATTTCATAATAATAATATTGGAAATTTATATGCTAGTAGTTTGTTAATACTATAGAAATGAAATTGTATTTTCGAAAATTACATCATCATATGATGAATAACAAGAAGAGAAAATATTAAAAAAATGTTCCAACCATCATCAACACCCAACTATTCATATGGTGGAAATCCTAATGATGGTCTTAGAAGACGACCTGGAACATCCGATAGCTATTCATCATCAAACTATGCTAGCGAAATTAAATCCAAAACGGAAATGAAGAGTAAAATTATGAAAAGTATACGATCATTTGATTTGTATTCAAAAACAGATTCCATAGCAACAAAGAAAACTTCATTGGGTGGTGTTGGTAAGTTAAAATATACTATACAGTAATAGTGATGATCGTAATAGTTTCTATTCTGGCTCTCATTATTATAATTTTTCTTGTTGGATCAGCCTTGATCCGATATCTTAGTATTAACAGACGGGATACACTCTCTGTTGATATTCAAGTTGAGGATAGAGTTGTTATTTTCTTTAATATTTCATTCCCTGATTTAAAATGTTACGATCTTCATGTGGATTCTGTTGATGCTAGTGGAGATGCTGCCATTGATGTTGCTCACCACATTCATAAAGTTCCAGTCGATTCATCAGGAAGAATTACTCATTTGGAATCACCAAAACATAAAACAAAACTCGGAACTGAAATGCCACAAGATAAGTACGATCCAACAAAAGATCCACATAGTATTATGTATTGTGGCACCTGTTATGTTGAGCAAAGAAGAGGGGAATGTTGTAATACTTGCCAAGATGTTATGGAAGTTTATAAGAGAAATGGATTGCCAGCTCCACGAGTTGAGGATGTTGAACAATGTTTATTTGATGCTTCTAAGAATCATCCTGGATGTAACATTTATGGTACATTGGATGTACAAAAGGTGAATGGTAATTTCCACTTCCTTCCTGGACGTTCATTCTCTCAAGAATATGAAACCAGAGTTCATCACATTCACGAATTTAATCCAATTCTCGTTGATAGATACAATAGTACTCATATTATTCACTCACTTTCATTTGGTTTGAGAATTCCACATGTTACTTATCCACTCGATGAAACTGTTGGTATCATTCCAAAGATTGAGGAAAGTGATGCTCAAGCTCCAAAGACAGCTCTTTTCAAATATTTCATTAAGGCTGTTCCAACAACATACATTGGTTCCTCATACTTCTCCAGTACTATTAATACCTATCAATTCTCCTTCACAAAACACGTCATGCCATTTGATAGTTCCAAGATGATGATGCTTCCAGGTGTCTTTTTTGTTTACAATTTTGAACCTATCAGAATTACCTATGAAGAAAATGGTATGCCATTCACTCATTTCATTGTTGACTTGATGGCTGTATGTGCTGGTATTTTTGTTGTATTGAACTATATTGATGCATTACTCGAAGGTGTTGTTCATAAATTAAGGAAACAAGATTAAATAAACTAATAATTATTTCTTTTATCATTTAAAAATGATTTTCAATATTTCTTTATCATTATTAAAAAATGCCTGAAATTGAAAGTGATTGGCATAAACGTTTTCGTGCTGCTAAAATGCACGTTCACAGATACTATATTTTCTATACAATTTCTGCTCCGATTGTTGTTTGGTTGACATCCAACTATTTTGTGAGAGGAGGAGCCAATTCGGAAAAGGTTATCAATTCTCAAAGTTTATACTCGTGGAAGAGAGAATGCGAGAAGGGAGGAAAAGCAAAAATTGAAAAATTAAATTTGGATTTAAAGACTGAAATGCAAAAGAATGTTCCATTGAGGGATACTGTAGTTTCTCTCTATCCATTAAATCATCAACAATCAAATGTTGCATCATTTTCCATGACCAAGGAGGAGCAAGTTAAATTTTTGGAAGAATTATTCCCTGATTTGGTTCAAAAATTCAAGTCACAAAGAGGTATCTTGTAAACAAATATTTTGTGTGGAATGTTGGAAGTTTGAATTTATTTCAAATTATTTAATTAATAGAATTTTTCTTCTTTAGAAATATAGAGTATAACCCAATTGATATGGATAAGCTATTATTTGTACATTAAATTAATACGAATATAATTTATTTTCGTTTTCTGAAAAGACGAACTTGACCTTTTGAGTTTTTGTTTGGAAGTGCACTTCTGTTTTCCAAAGCTTTCATCATACCCTTTCTTTGAAGTGAACCTAAAACGGAAGCAGCACCATGTTTCTTCATCATGAACTTGACCTTGTTGTGTTGTTGTTGTTTCTTCTTATCATTTCTAATCTTGGCCAATTGAGCTTCTGTCTTGACTTCATCTTTACCACCCTTACCTTCCTTAATTGCACTCTTACGTTTCTTGGAAGATTTTTGCTCGTCTTTTTCTTCCCAAGGAGCCTTTTTCCTCTTCTTGTTATTGGTAAGTGTAATTTCTTCTCCTTCATCTCTGTATGATTCAAATCCAAAACCACCATTTTCATCATCGTCTTGACTTCTAGCTTTGACAAAGTCTTGTTTTTCTTCCAATTCACCAACACCTTGAATTCTACCGTGAGTTTTTCTCTTCCACTTGGCATAGGCATCAGTTGTCTTGAGAGTATCCTTCTTCTTATTATCATCTCTTCTGACCTTACCATCAATACCCATTGTACCAACAACATATTTACCCTTCTTTCTATCCCAAATCATACCTTGCTTCTTTCTTTGATTATTCAATTCTTCTCTAGTTTCACCTCCAATATCCATAACTGCATCGCTGATACTTTGTTGTGGAATTTCATTAAATTCACTTGAGACGACACTTGTCAATTGTTTCTTCTTTGAGGAGGCACCGTTAAGAGCATAGTGATCCTCTGATGGATCTTGAACTTGATCTTCCTTTGTATATTCCATGAAAAAGTTTGGATCCTTAAATTCCTTCTTCTTCTTTGGAGCTACAACATTCGTCAGTTTGGAAAATCTGTCTTGTTTAGAATCTTCACTTAAGAGTCTTTCAGCAAGTGACTTTGGTTTTGGTTTTTCCTTGGTGGCATTTGCATCATTTTCTTCATCACTTTCAACTCCTGATTGAATGGAATAATCTCTTACTTGTTTCAAAACTTGAGCTTGTTTCAAATATTGTCTTCTCTTTTTCATAATTTCAGCTTCAGCACTCTTTTCCTTTTCTTTAAATTCAAAGATTGTTTGACCAGGTCTGTAATCCTTCATTTGTGCAATAATATCATGTTGTTCCTCTTCTTCATCTGTTATGACCTCTAAAACCTTAATCATTGGGTGAATAGCAAGAGTGTGCAATTCCTTAGATCTTCCAATAGAAGCACCACTTGGATCACCTCTAGTTCTATTATAAAGTGTTAAAGCTCTATCACAAACTTCCTTTTCATTCAAAAGGCCACCATCAATCCTTTCCAAATGTGCCAAGTGTTCAATTTCTCTATCAAGAATTGATTGAGGAATAATTCCAATATATCCATCAATAAATTCTCTCCAATTTCTACCAGATAAATCAGCAGGAACTTGCCTAGAATCTTCATCCTCATAAATTGTTTCCATAACAACATTTCTTGATTTTCTTCCCAAGAATAATTCAAGATCAAGGAAAAATGGAACTTCATCAGGAGCTATCAGTGAGTATGCAGTACCAACTTTACCAGCACGACCAACACGACCAACTCTGTGGACGAATAACTTTGGTTTACCTGGGAAATTGTAATTAATGACATTGTTCACATCAGGAATATCGATACCACGAGCAGCAACATCTGTTACAAGTAAAATATTAGCTTCTCCATTTCTGAACTTGTCAAGATTTTCCATACGAGCTTGTTGATCCATACTACCATAAACAACTGTTGCTTCAATCTTGTAATGAGTAAATAATGTAAGGAAATATTCGGCGTGGTGTCTAGTTGGAATGAAAATTATAGTTGTCTCACGATGAGAAATTACACTATTTAACAAGTAAAGAAGGGCAGCAACTTTTTCATTCGATCTAACAAAAAGTCCACTCAATCTAATATTATCACTCACTTTAACTTCTGAATCCAATCTAATCAATTCAGGTGAAGTCAATCCTGCTTTAGAAAATTCAGCTACAGCTGATGGAAGTGTTGCAGAGAATAAAAGTGTTTGTCTAGTTGTTGGTAATTTGGCAATAATTTGATATAATTGTTCTGAAAGACCCATTTCGAATAAACGATCAGCTTCATCGAAAACTACATATTCCACTCTCTTTAAACTCAAACCAGTTTCTAAAATAATGTGCAACAAACGACCAGGTGTTGCAATAATTCTGAAAGAAATGAATAAAAAACATATAGAATTTCATCATCTACTTACATATCTGGATTGGCACTCAATCTTTCAAATTGACCTTCCATTGATTTACCACCAAAAAGCATACATGTTTTCAAATCAGATGTTTTACCAATAAAATCATAAATAACCTTATTCACTTGCAATACAAGTTCTCTAGTTGGGACAATAATGACAGCTCTAGCTCCAACAATTGAAGAGTGTTTATAATCCAATCTCTCAAAAAGAGGGAAAAGGTAAGAAACAGTTTTACCTGAACCAGTTCTAGCCATAGCAATCACATCTCTTCCTTGTGTAATAACAGGTATCGAACTTTGCTGAATTGGTGTTGGATTGAAAAATCCACATCTTTTAATTTGTTTTAATAAGAGTTGAGAAAGTCCGAATTTTGCAAAGGCTGTTTCCTTTCTCTTTTTTCTTTCCTCTTCCTTTTTTCTATACTTTTCCTCTTCAGCACCCATATCATAGGCGTTACCCTTTAAACGTTGAACAAAATTGTCAAATCCTTCCATTTTCCAAATTATTTGTTAAATTGATCGGATGTTCTTGTTGTTGTTAATTGTTGTTCTTGTCTTTTTGCCAATAAAAAATTCCGAATATTAAAATTGAAAATGTTCAACAAGGATTTTTTTTATGCTGGTTTTTTTTTGATTTTGATGTTCAATTAATTTTAATCTTCAATAAAATTGTTTACTGGAAAGCATATTCGCTTCTTCTTGGTCGAAAGAGAGAGTGGGTTTAAGTGAAAATTTTGTTTTTATTGTGTGTGGCACAGATTACAATGTAACATCAGCCTTTCCGTAATATCTATTAACATAGGCAACCTTGAATGATGACAAATCTGGTTTGGTATTCTTTGGATAGAATTTGTAGACCTTCATTTCATTCAAAGATTTTCTTTGCTCTTCGCTCAATTTGCTGATTTCCTCTTCCTTGGCTTCGACTTTCTTTTGGACAGTTTCCTTGTGTTTCTTGACTTCATCCTTAATGAAGGTCTTTAATTTTGCACTGTAAACATCAGCATCCAAATCATTGTCTTCACAAACTTCTTCAATAATTGTATCAATGTCATCTTCTTTTGGATCAAAACTGAATTGAACACTACCAGACTTGTCAAGAACGTATAAGAGTTCAATAGCTCCTTCATTATCTTTCTTGATTTCTTCAACTACACGATTTGGTCTGAAACAATATGGCAGACAGTATTCATACTTTCTGACATCTTCTTCCTTCATCTTGGAAAGCAAATTTCTTCTCAAGTTGCAATGCAAAGCAAAGACTTTTGGAATATTGGATTGTCCAATATTTTGACTCTTATCTTCTCTTGGAATGAATGGAACCCAAGACATTTTAAGCTTCTTCATATCCACAATTTCTTCATTTACCATTTGAACGGATTTAATACCGATAGTGGTTGGTGGAGCAAGATCACTAACAACGGCAACAAGAGCTGGAATGTAGACCATTTCATTATCAATAAGTTGTGGTTCAGTACATCCAAAGACAAAACATTGTTTTCCTTTTGGAAGAACATGTTCTGGTGGTTTTTGTTCTTCCTCTCCTTCTCCACTAATTGTTGCACTATCCTCATCATAGAATAAAAAATCATGAAGATGTTCAAAATCCCAATCCACATTATAAACTAAATCATAACAATTCCACTCAGTACCAACGAGGAAAACTTCCTTCCATCCTTGCCATAAATTTTCAATTTCAACAACACTGTGCTTCTTCTTTACGGTCTTTTCAACCTTTCTCTTCTTTCTGGCTTCTACTGATTCTTTGCGTGCCTTGATTTCCTTTTCCTTCTTTTCTTCGGAAGAGAGAGGAGCAACAGCCTTACGGATGCCCTTTCTAGAACCAGTACTTGTCTTCTTTTTGTACACTTCTACTTCTTCTTCTTCCTCCTTGGTTTCAGTAGGAGTTGTCTTTTCTTCTTCTTCGGCCTTTCTCTTTGAAGCAGTGTTTCTCTTCTTTGTCATTTTTTTTCGTTGAGCAGCTCTTGATTTTAATTCTTGTGTGATTACAAGAAGAAATGTTTGGCGCCTTTGAAGGAATTCCTTCTTGAGGTTAATTGTGTGAGATGCAATGGTTTATTAATAGTGAGCTTTGACAAATTTTTTAGTTTATTTTCAGTTATTCAAGTAATTTGACAATGTGTTCTACTTGGTTGATCATGAAATCTTGATAAGCAAATCTAGAATCAGATTTAATAAATTTGGTTAAGCATTCCAAGTCAACTGATTCAGATTGATCGACTATTTGAAACTAGCAGCAACATTAAATGTCATTTCTCAGACACCACAAACACAAGCTTAAATTGTATTGTGATTCAAAGGTTTGGCGCCAAAAAAGATAAAAAAAAATGTTGCACGAAATTCTATTGGCACTCTCTGGATTTTCAGGTGATATCATTGTGTATCGATCAATGGAGGTTGGAAAGAAGGAGGGTTTTTATTTGGATGATCAGTTACCCTTTCTTCATGAATCGGAAAAACAAATCATACAACAAGTGTGTAATATTGGATTTTATTATAAAAAGCTTTCCGATTTCTTGGAGAGAACCAATAGTAAATCGTTATATATCATGGCTTTTAAACAGGGATTGCAGGAAATTTTGGAAGGATATCTGAGGATTTTGACAAAAGCTGAACAAGAGTTTTGTGTATTTGAAGATGATTCTGAAAGTGAGACAATACAAAATATAATGCCACTCACCTATTTAAAACAATTACTAAGAGATTATGAAATTATTTTCCCTAAATTACTAGATATCATTCAACAAGTTGAAAGTGAAAATTTAATTGGAGCCAGATTGTTAGATTTTTTACATAATTCTACATTTTCTGGAATACCTATTATTGAGGCTACTATAACTAAATTACTTTTTCACTGCAATGTAGTATTGATGAAACAAATATCAGCATGGATGATTTATGGAATAATATCTAATCAAAGCGAGTTTTTTATTTATGAAGATAATCAATCTAATTTGAATAATTCTAATTTGGATGAAAGTATTTCATCCTCTCATGCTAACAGAGATAATTGGAATAAGCAATTCGTTCTCAATACTGATGAAATTCCATCATATATTTCACTTCGAGTTGCCCATAAAATTTTATTCATAGGGAAGGCCATAAAGGTACTGCAAACATTTAACACCATATCAAATACACATAATCAATACAAGCTACCAAATGACGAGCTGGTAGAATTTAAACAAGCCATGAACATACATGAGACTAAAAAGAGATACAATTCATTTAATTTCGAGTTTACGATTGACAAGATACGCATGACTGTTGGTGGTCATTTGTGGAATCTGGTAGTGTCGGATTGTGATTTGCTGGGCCATATCAAGTCAATTAGGGACTACTTTTTCTTGGGAATGGGAGACTTTTTCCTCTATTTGATCGAGGATTTAGAAAAGATATTCTCACAACACTATACACCACAACATTTACAAAAGGATTTGAAAAATATTTTCAAACAAGCTTCATCAAAGAGCTCAGCTGAGGGTGAAAAGTTTTTGAACATCTTTACTCCAAGCTATGAAAAGATAATTCTTAAGGAGGATTCTACCAAATTTGACCTTCTCAAATCCAAACATTGGCCTAATGAAATTTCTCTGCAATTCAGAGTTGGTTGGCCGCTCAATCTCTTCTTTACAGAAGATATTATTGAGCTTTACAATGATATTTTCCAATTCATGTTAACTTGTAAAAGAATGGAATTGAAACTCTCCAACTCGTGGCTACCCCTTACTAGAAGTAGATCTTCAAAACCATTCCCAGAGCTTTCTTGGACACTAGTGTTGAGGTCTAAAATGTCAAATTTCATGTACAATTTACAATTTTATTTACATACAGAAGTTACTGATAGCGAATTTATGGCTATGGAAAAGTCAATTTCCACAGAAACCAAAGACTTTGAGACAGCTAGAAAAATACATACCAATGCCATCCTAAAGATACATCAAAGATGTTTCCTCAATAAGAAGCAAATCATGATACCAATCTATACTATTTTTGATCAATGCACTCAATTGTGTGAAATTATTTATCTACTCAGTCAAGAGCTAACACAAGCAAACTTTCAAAAATCAGCATCCCGTTTGGAACAAGTTGAAAAGGAGTTTGAAAGAAATAGGAATCTTCTTGTACAAATAGCACCATTTCTCTTTTCAATCATTGAAAATAAAGATGATGTTTAATTGTAGGATGATGTTATGCACTAATTCATATAATCACCTCACAATTTCGCAAGGTTCTTTATTAGCTTGTGTGAACTAATTTGAAATGTATCTGAAAATCACCACCACTTAAAATCATCATGGTAAAACTCCCAACAGGCACTCACACCATCTGAGCCGAAGAATCCACTTGTTGCATTTCAATTTCTCTTTGTTCCTTATTTTCCTCATCCACAACTGGTAATTCTTGCCTCAATCTCTTCAAAAACCACATCTTCAACTTGGCATACATCTTTTCAATTAAATTGAACACAATTCTAGGATGATTACTTCTAAAATCATGAACATAGTAGAAGAAGCAACCAACCACAATGGATCCTCCAATAATATTACCAATCGTTGATGGTAACAAGTTATCAATTAGGAATTGATAGGCCGTAACATCAGCACCATACATCATTGCCAATGGAATGAAGAATGTATTAGCAATGGAGTGCTCAAAACCTGTAGCAGCAAACGCCATGATAGGTAGCCAGGCACCAATGATCTTACCTTCAACTGTTGTGGCTGCATTGGTAATAAACACGGCCAGAGTGACCATCATGTTACAAACAATTGCCAACAAGACAATCTGACCAAATGACTTGGCAACTTTAGCCACAGCAATATTCTTCACTGTTGTAACCCAATGTGCATCACTAGTTGGTTGAACAAGATAGACAAACAAGTAGGCAAATAATGCAGCTCCCAACACATTGAATACGAATGAGATGAGTAAGTTCTTAGAGACTTGTAGATAGTGAAGACCTATCTTTTTGTTTCTCCACTTTCTTGAGAAGAAACCAATTAGAAGAACAAGATTATTTCCAGTGAATAATTCAGTACCCAACATGATTACCAATATCAAACCAATAGGGAAGACTCTAAAATTTCATTCAACACTTGACAATTTAAAGAATGATTTAAACTTACGCTCCAAAAAAGAATTTGTTTAAACCTGGATTATCAATTTCCATTGTTTTACAATTGCCAGCAGTAAACAATGCAAAAGTTCCTGCGAATCCAATAAATAATCCAGACATGACTGAAAGAATTATTAATTGGTCAATTGTTAATTTTGATTTTCTAATACCATCATTCTTCATCTTGTTCAAAACCATGGCAGGTGAGAGAAATGTAGGTTGTGGAGGATGTGGTTTCAAAGCTTGAATAATTGTATTAAAATCAGAATGTTGTTGTTTGTAATGCAAGAGTTCACTTTTCAATTTTTCAATTTCCTTTTCTTTTGTGAAATAGTTTTGAGATGATGTTTGAGATGTTGTTGTAGATGCATGAATCATCATCTCTTTTTCCACATTTATTTCGGATTGAGGTGGTACACAACAAACGTCATCAGCACCACACTGACAATCATTGTTCGAATCATCAGTACTTGTGGTGGTCATTGGTTAGTTTTTTTGATGATTAAGTGCACACACTCGAAATATTCTTTAAATTCATACGAATAAACAGTAGAGAGAGGAATTAGTTTATTGAGGATCATCAGAAAAATTAACCTTGGTGAAATGATTTTATCACCATAAAACAGCCATTGGCTGTTGCTCCTAGCCATCCCAATCGTGGTTGACTAGCAGAATAGGAGGAACAGGATAGATTCCATTTTTATTAATGTTCTGGTGGTGTCGCACAATTTTTATCAAACCACTGTGTAAAGATTTTGTAAATAATTACAGTAGTTTCAAATGTTATTAAATAACCTTTCACCACTTCAACACACTAATATAATGACAATATTATAAATATTGGTATTAATTAACCTCTAAATAATAAATATTTCTTCAATTGCTAATGGAATTGGTAATGATTGCAATAGCGTTAAACCTAATATTTCTTTCTCCACTTTCAACACATCTTTATTAATTCATTGTGGATAACAGTGTACACAAGAAAGTACGGAAGAGAGCAAAGGTAGTATTATGTCAAGACAACTTGTTAATTCTTTGCCTTACCATTTCTCTTGGCACTTTTGGTTTTTTTTTGAGCAGTTTCGGTGGATTTAGTTTTTACTTGCTTTCCACGTGCTGACTTTTTGCCTGCTGATTTTGGAGAAAGATCCTTTTTTCCAGATGACTTCTTCTTTCCACCAGATGACTTTCTTGTGAATTTCTTCTTTCCATTCTTCTTATTTTTCAATAGATTTAATAAATTATTTTGTACTGGTTTGGCATAATCCTTTTTGCCTCGTCTCTTTTGAACTGATTTCTTGGTAGGTTTTCTGATTTCCTTCTTTGATTTTCTTGGTGTTTGGCCAGATTCAGTTGTTGGAGAAGAATATTTGACAATTTCATCTTCTTGTTCTTCAAAAGGCCATACAGCCCCTGAGACTTTTTTCTTCCCAAAACCTGTTTCTGGAATAGATGGTTCTGGAATGGAAGGTTCTTCAGGCATTGGAGGTTCATCAAACCCTGGGAAGTCTTCTCCAAATGAAAGTGTTGAGACTGGTGGTTTGAAAATTTGTTCAATTTCTTCCTCTTGTTGCTTTCTATCAATGAAATCATCCTTTTTCATTGCTGGTGGAGCACTTCTCTTGCGATGAGGTCTATCTCCATCAAGTGGAATAGGACCAATAGTCATTGTAGCCATTGGTACTGATGAAACAACTTGTTGACCTAGAACAGCAGGTTGTGGAGCCGTGACAGTTGGAGGTACAGCAGGTGCCAATTGAACAGTTTGCTTTGGTTCCTCCTTTGGCTTGACAGCATTACACTTCTTTTCCTCACACAAGAACATTAAAGACGCAACTTCATTTTGAAGGACACGTTTAACAGCAGCGATTTCATTCAATTTTTCCAAACGTTGTTTGTATAATAAATTATTACTTCCGTACTTCCTGATGGCTTCCTCAACGGCAAGAAGGGAAACTTCAGTCTTTCTGAGAGTTTCCAAATTCTTCCTCTTTTCATCATAGACCTTCTTAATTTCCTCGGCGGTTAAGGATGAATCACTGCCACCACTTGTTGAGGTTTGTTGCTTAATGGCACTCAACAGGGATGAAATATCTTGAGCAGTCGAACCCAAAACGCACAAGGACAATACCAACAATACAGTAAGGATCAAGGCCTTTCCCATACTCATCGACATTATGTTGGCACGACGAGACAACATCTCTGGTTGCAGGTTATTATTTGAATTTTTTTAAGGATGAAGATTCACAGCTGTGCATACATCACTCTCTCTCCCAGTAGAAGTACAGTACTGCAACAGCAACTGAGTTTTTGTGCTCCAGTATCATAAATTGTGATACAAAGTTAGCAATATCTTCTTACGTACTATTATTACACATTGTTATCTTTGTTCATAGAATGATGTTTAATGTGGGATAGAATTATTGAAATTACAAAATATCAAGAAAGATTACAACAAGTGAATGAATTTAATAGTAAAAATAATTATCAAAAGAGAGGATTATCTTTAATCCAACTAAATTTGCCTATCACTATGAAAAGAAAAAGAACAATAAAAAAAAGATTAATTATTATGTTGATGAATTAAATATTTAAAAAATGAAACAAGCCATCAAGACGACTTGTGGAAGAGGAATTTCTTCCTTCAACAGAAAAAATAGAGTCACCACAACTATTAATCAAATTGCTCAAGGAAGATTATTTCATAATAGTTTTGGAGTTTTGAAATCTATAGTGACCAATAACGAGAGAAGGGAATTTAAATTTGCTAGGAAAAGACTCATCATTTCTAAAATTCAACGATTATTGAGTGAGGATACTACATCACGGAGGTGTTTATTTCTTGTTGGACCAGATGGATGTGGAAAGACACAAACCATGCTGCAAGTTATGGAAAAGATTGTAACACAAAATGTTGGAGTTCCTATTTATTTGGATTTTGAAACATATTTTCTAAAAACAAGGGAGGAAATTAATAATACACAACTTCCGATAGATTTTGATCATTTTGCAGAGTATTGTCTGGATCAGATTTGCATTCAAGAATTGATAAAGTGTGTAAAGAGGGCAAGTAATGATTTTGGAGTATCAGACCTGATGAAAATATTAACAGAACGAAATAATATAAATTATTACTTTTTAGAAAAGTTCATCTCAACAAGAGATGAGATTAAATCTATAGTGGAATCGAGTGTGGAAATCAAAAAATTATATGAAAAATTGAGTAGTGATCATTCACAAGAGGTCATTTTACTGTTGATTGAGAAAATTAGTGAAAAACTTCCCTATTATGATTGTAAAATTTCGAATGCAGTTAGATTTTCAATAGATTTATTAGCGTTCATGTAAGTTTCAAGTTTTTAAATAATATTAATTTTAGTTAAACATTTAGAGAGTTGGGGAGTGGTAAAAAACAAAGAACTGGAATTGAGGTACTCTCATTCTTATTCTCTACATTGGAATATTTTGCATACAAACCACATTTTGGTGTCAAACCAAAACTATTTATTAATGGATTTAACCTGTTGGATGTATTTTCAAAATCTGTGGCACTATTGTCAAGAAGTGATATTCGTCAATACCAATCTGACATTCCTGAAGATGTATTTTCAAGTGATGAAAGGGGAGCCAACTTACATGATATGGTTCTTTTGAGAATTACTGCCATGTACTTGGATGCTTTTGTTCCAACAATTATTGAAGTGGCTGGTAATTATTATAATTATCAAATGATACCCGAGTTGAAAATGGACACTGAACAGGTGAAATTCATTGAAATAATTGAGGATGAAATGTTTGAGTCAAAGCTTCAATATGGTAACCTATTTGAAGATTGTAGTTTTGAGACTATTCATGACATTGTTGGAGGAAACCCATCCAAGATTGGAACATTTTATGAAAAATATTTCACGCCAGAATTAATGAAACATCAATTATCACTTGTAGAAAATCAATCAACAAAAAAACAAGAACTTGATAGAATTGCGAATCAATCCTTGTTGAATTACTTGGATGGAGAAAAAGATCATTACGAAAGAAAACTCCATATGGCTTGTCTGTTAGCAGCCAGATATATTGCACTTCAGAAAGCTGAAAAGAAAAATCTCAAAACCATACAAGAACTCTCCATTGATGACTATCAGGTTCAATTCACCATTCATGATGCTATTGAAAAGATAATGAGTTTGAAAGGAAAGGCCTACCATTTCAATGAAGAATTTGATCCTTTCATTCAAACTATTGGAGGATCCATTCTCCTCAATTCTGAACTCATGTACTATCAAATTCATGATAATGTATTGAGACCATACGATCAATGCTACTACTCTTATTTTGCCAAAACTTTGGAAGATTTGGAATCTAGTTGGTCATTAATACAATATTGGTACTATCGCTTGGTTTGGCAACCTTTGAATGGTATTAAACATGTGGATAGAACTCTTGGTAAGCATGGAAATATTATGGAGAGAACTGATGAAAGTAGACATACACCTATAGTTCAACCATAATCCACAAATTTATGTCAAAGAGTCTTTGCAACAATAAAATATTAATTTTAATTTATTATTTTTTGTATTTCATTTTTAGGCTTGTTTTTGTTTTCTACCTGGCGCTGGAAATTTTTACTTCTTCTAGTGGGTGGAAAGTCCAGGAGGCTTTATTTTAAGACACAAAAAACCAACAAAAAAAAACACCCACTCGTGTTCTCTCTCTCTGTGATTTCGTCACACACAATCTAGATTTAAAAAAGCCTTTTTGAAAAACCCAAGTCATCATCATGAAGAGAAAGGAACATCCATCCAATGGTAACGCCGAACAAAAGAAGGTTAAACAATCATACTATGAGGAAGAGTTAACATTTTCACCACCTCATGGATCCTTCGGAGATGCAGGAAATGTATCATCTATAGGCTTTGATGAGTCAACTACCCTCTCACAAAATCTTGATAATAGTATGGTTGATGAAAGTGGTGAAGTTGTTCTTGATTCAACCAATTTAGATGATAGTGGTTTTGCTAGTCAGACATTGACCAATCCTGCAACTACAAGTAGTAATTATGCTCCAGAACTAAGTTCACAAGAATTTGAAGGCTTTAGTGTACCATCATCTCCTGTAAAACATTCATCACCAACTAAAACACCATCATCAACTGATTCTAGAAAATCAACTAGTAATTCTAATCAAACATCTAACTCTGCACAAAAAAAGCCTTCCGTAAAATCAACAATTGACAAGCAAAAACTCAAAGAAAAAGTAGAAAAGGAAAGACAATTACTGACATCAATACTTCAAGGAAATTCTAAAGAGAATAAGTTACTTTATGAAGCCTTTAATAATTTACAAACTGTTGCAAATGAACACAAACTTAAGTTTGAAGCACCAGAATTAGTAGTTGTTGGAATGCAATCTGATGGTAAATCAAGTTTTGTAGAAGCACTTCTAGGATTTCAATTCAATACTGTTGATACACAAATTGGTACAAGAAGACCACTCATTTTACAAATGGTAAATGATCCTTCATCTGAAAAACCATTATGTCACTTTTTCAAAGAAGCATCACCTTCTGATATTGAAGAAGAAGCAACACCTGTACCATTATTAGAAAAAGAAATTAGAAGAAGAACAGATGAAGTTTGTGGAAAAGGTGGTGTTAGTTCTAGACCTATTGTACTTCGTGTAAAATATAAGTATTGTGCTAATTTAACAATTTATGATACACCAGGGTTTAGAAAAGGTGATACTGATCCTCTTGGTGAAAGAATTCACAAAACAGTTATGGGATTAATCAAACCACAAAATAGAATTATTGTAGCATTAGAACAATCAACTGTTGAATGGTGTAATACTCAAGTAAGACCTATCATTAAGAAGGCAGATCCAAATTTTGAAAGAACAATTTTTGTTATAACTAAATTTAATAATAGAAATAATCAATTTAGAGATGGTAAAGAAGCAAATGATTATATTTCAACTGATGGAAATATTCAAGATTTATCTAAAGTTTTTTATATTTCATTACCTTCTGGTCATGGTACAAGAAATATAGCAGAAGAAGAATTTAAGAATGAAATTGTTAATACCTATCTCAAAGATTTTAAAAAGTTAACAAAGGTTGGGTTTGATGAACAAAAGTATAAGTCTCAATTAGGTTTTTATAATTTAAAGAGATATTTAGAAAAACTTTTGAATGAGAAATATGTTGAAAATATTTCACCTGTTTTAACTTCACTTGAAAATTTATTGAGTAAGAGAAAAATTCAACTTGAAAAAATTACTTCAGAATTAGATGAAATTGAAAAGGAAAATATTGAATCTCAAATTACACATATGATTGGTGCCTATGTAAATAATGTAACAAAAGCTTTGAATGGTACAAATCAATTTGATACTCTTAAAAATGGTTTAACTCTTGAAGAAGAAAGAGGTCAGAGTGGTAATGAAAATTGGCCTGGATTTCCACAACAATTACAAGACAAATTACCAATTAGAAATCGTAACTTTAAATTATATGGTGGTGCTCAATTAGAAAGATTACTTTCAGAATTTGAAGTTGTTTCTCATGCACAAGAATTTCCACAAACAACTAATGATGAAGTTGCTGTATCTATTGGTGTAAATCCAATTCATACTTCACCTGATTATATTAGAGGTGTTACAGATTTAGCTCAAAAGAAATGTAGAATGGTATTTAAACCTCTTATTGAATGCCTACTTCAAAGAAGCAAGTTTGTTATGAAATTACTTTTCAAATTGGTTATTCAATATATGGTTAAGAATAATTCTCTATCTTCACGATATAAGGCATTCTCAAATGAACTTTTCAAAGTTTGTGAAGAATTTATTGATTCAGTACTAAAGGATGTAAGAACAAAAACCTCAGATGAATTTGAAACATTTGTTAAAATTATGGATTGGGATTTAATTTCTGCACAAGCACCAAGGAAACATTTAGAATATGACTTACTCCATCCAAAAGAAGAGGAAACTATTGAAAGAGTTAAACAAACTGTTGATGATTCCAATGATTCACTCTATATTGCATTTGAACAATTTAAAGGAAGAGAATTAACTGAGGAAAAATGTGAAAAGATTAAGAAGGTAGCAGCTCAACTTTTTGCAGGAGTAAGAGCAATGTTTGTCAAGTATATTAGAGCTAAATTTAATGCATTCTTCTTGGATCCAATCTTTACAAATATGGATAATTATATTAGAGTTCATTTCTTGAATATGGGTTCTGATAAGTTGAGAGAATTAATGGGTCATAGAGTTTTACAATTGAAACAAGCTAAGGATGCCTTTACAGATCAAGTTAAGAAACTCTCTCAACATAAGGAAATGTTTACTTCCCTTGCTGAAAAATTCCAATCATCATCCCCACCATCTATCAAGTCAAAGAAGAGTCAAGGTGAATCAACAAGTAATAATGGACATTCATCAGACAAGATATCCACAAATGGCCATTCTTCAGCATCATTTGCTACACCAACAAAAAAGAGCTCAACAGCCACTCCTCAATCCAAGAGTAAACAACAATAAGTTATACCAACAATTTTATTACAAGTGGAATAAAATGCATTTCATCAACCACAATTTCATTATCATAATTTCCAATATGGCAACAAGAAATCACTATTAATACCACCGTATGTGCTTTCTTTAATTAGCATTAGAATATGAACTTCATGTGTTATGTACCGCTTCAAACATCATCTTAATAAAAAAAAAACATCAAACATGTCATCAGAGATGACAAATACTGCCCATGCATTAATTCCCATCACAACCTTCACCATCATACCATCACCACCATATATTTTAGATGAAATATTTTCCTCACTTCAAGCCAGTAATCAATCCACCTCAACAAGAAATCAAACAGTTGCCTTCAATCCATATGGAGATAGTATTGCAAATCTTGTTGTTGATGGAGTTTCCATTACTATCATGTGTTTAGTTCTAATGCCATGTTTAATTGTTTATTTCAAGAGAAGGTCATTTAAAATTGTAAAGAACATGGTGGAAAATTTAAAGAAATGTTGTGGAAATGAATCAACACAACAAACTTCAAAAGGTTTCTTTTACATTCTTATTCATTCTACCATTGCATTTGTTATCTTTCGGATAGGTGTGGAAGCAGAAACAATTTTACAACACACTTTTGATTTGATGAATAGATATGATGAATTTATAATTTGTCTTCAGGTTAGAAGAATATTGGATTATATTGGAATGTATTGGTTTTTATTGAACTATTCACTCATGATTCCAATTTGGTTAAAAGTTTGCATTATTTGGTTTGAAAATAAGAAGAAGAGACTCATTCTTACATGGATTGTCTACGTATTGTTGATTGTGTGTAATATTTTGGCAATATTAGGTTTAATTCCTGTCATTGTTGTTGCAATTGTTGCAATGGTAATTGAAAAGAATCCAAATGTTACATTCGACAGTGAAAGATACAGAAGTTTATTCTCGTATGCAATTACAACTCCCTTGTTAGGATCATCGACTGCCATTGTCTTTTTCATGAGTATTATTGCTGTGGCTATTATTGTGAGTGCATTGAAGAGAGCTAATAGATTACATCCAGAAGATTCTGAAGTTTACAAAATGCAAAAACAAACAATTATCAAATTAACAAGTGGAGTTGCAATTATAGGTGTGGGTGTTGTCATTGAGTCTATTGGTGTGGCTATTAGTACTGTAGCACCTAACTGGATTATGTATCCTCTTGCCAAATTAATTCCTTATAGTACTTTGGCAGTATGTGTGAGTTTGATATTTTGGCCTTACAAATTGCCAATTATTAATTCTGAACCTTTACAATTTGTAATACAAGAATTGAAATTCAAAGCAAAGGAAATGGTTGGTCTCCATCCTAACCACTCTGTTCAATTGAAGGATGACGAAAGTCAAATAGTTGAATTACCAGAAAATTCGACTCAACCACAAATGTTGACTATTGACTCTAATCTTTCCATTGTTGAATTGAATTCGTTAACACCAACAACTAATGTTGATACTTCTGAACATCAAGCTAGTAGCAGTATATAAATATTTTTTTTGAATTAATAAATAAGAGACTAGCAATTTATTGCATCTTTGGATTGGAATGTGGAAGAGCATTATTTACAGAGCTACCACTAACATTGTTATTAGGAGTAGTAGTAGTAGTATTATTATTATAGTAGAGATATCTATTTTCGATAGCATCAAAAATATCTCCATAAACTTTTCTCACAGAGGAGAATCTCTTATCAAGACTGTGAAGAGATAATAAACAAGCTCTCACACTATTTGGATCAAAGTATGAGTCGGTGTGCTTAAGAATAATTCTACATGCCAACACCACTGGCTCTACAATGAGTGCTGAAGCATCTTCAAATGATACAGAGGATGTAAGACTGAGAATATAGTCAGCCAACTGTTTCTGCCTCTCATCATAATTAGGAGAGAATGTTAATATGGCCTTAATTTCCAATCCTAGTCTTAAAAAGTCAAAATGAGTATTGATAATGTCAAATCTATTTTGAAGAACAGATTCATATCCTTCAGGTATATCAAAATTCTTTGGTTGCATAATACCTTTTTGCTTATCATGAAGAATTTGCAAGATATCCAAGCAAGAATCAAGTGTTTGGAATTGAGAACTATGAATGAAATTCAAATTTCCCTTCACGTGCTTATTTACAATAATTGAAAAACACTTGATTTGATCCCTAGTCTCGTTAAAAAGCATCAATTCGCAAAAACCGTAGTATGCAATCAAAAAACCTCGCTCAGATTCTCCCAACAAATTCACTTGTTGAATAAAGCTCATACCAATATTGTAATAGACAGATGCCTTCCTAAAGTCACCATTACCAACTGAGTATATACATAGCAAGGAAAGAATCATACACAATTCAAAATTCAAACCAACCTTATTAGCATTGCCTGGCCCATCTTCTTCTTCATAGAAGAGTAATCTTGAGCTGATTTGATTAGCTCTGGAATAAAAGGTATGAGCAATACCCTTCTTTCCAACTCGTTGGAATACCAGCATACACACACAATAGAATGAACAAATATAGTATTCATCCTTTTCGTCTGAAATTGGAGGAATTCTAGAATTTCTGGACAATCGTCTTGAAATGATACTCTCCAAATCTTCTCTTTTAATGAGAGGATAACCCATAATGTATCTGTTAAAGTAGAGGTCAATAACATGATGAGCATGCATATCAATGTCGAATGCTTCAAAAGAATTGATATTTCTCAGCGTGGACAAACTTGTTGCCAATTCTCTCTTTGAAATATAACGATCTTGCATTGGTGGAGAAGAGGAAGTTGCTTGATTTGTATTCATTGTATTCATTGCATTCATTGGTGGTGGTGGTGGAGTTTGTTGGGTGGATGGATAAGGGTTATATCTGTAATTGTGAGATGGTGATGCAGAATCGGCATAAGGATGTCTAGAATGTCTAGTGTTAGATTCGATTGAATGTGGATAGTTGCTGTTATTATTATTACCATAAGAGTTGTTATTACCATAAGAGTTGGAAGGATAGTGATGTTGTGGAGGAGTTTGTTGAGGAGGATGATAATGATTACTTGAGGATGCTTGTGGTGCATGTGTTTGATGCATTGGTTGATTCGAATAATTATTATTTAGAGAAGGAGGAGGAACATCATAATTGACTGGTTCATTAATGGATGAAAATTGGGTATGAATCACTTGTTGTGGATGTGCATTCTTTCTTGATGGAGAATTCTTTCGTAGATTGCTGACACCATTTGCGCCAATAGAAATACTGTTCATATTTGTTGGGATTGAACAAGTGGGAGGTATTTTAGTGAGTGGAGGTGTGGTAGTAATATTGATATTGGCATTCTTTGGTCCTCTCTTCTTTGGTTGTTGATAGGCACACTTATCAGAAAGTCCCCTACAATTACATTCACTACAGACAGGATACACTCTGTCACATTTACGATGAGCCTTTCTATAAAGATGTCATCAACTTGTTATGAAATAATATCAATTATTTACTTACCTGCATAAAAGACAAGCAATTGTTGAGTATGTCTTGCCCGATTGCTGTGCTCCTTGATGTTGTGCATGTGTTTGTTGTGATTGAAGGATTGGTGCATCAGTGATTTCATTGGAATCTGTACTGGATGAGTTTGTAGATCCAGAAGTTATTGTTTGAAGGATTGGTTGTGATTGAGAGGGTGGTGTTGGTGTATTCATTATATTAATTTGAATTTTCTGTTCAGTATTATTGTTGTTATTGTTATTACTGTTTGGGTCAGCTGAATTCATCTTGATAATTTTGATTGTCTTTCGGATTACCTTGTTTTTCTCAGAGAGAGAATATTCTCTTCTTTTTGTATGAGGATGATGAGAGGAGTATTATTTCAATAGCTCTCTTGGTAGTGCTAACAGGATAATCAATTCACCCAAGAAAGATGGTGGCCTGGCGTTTAATGCTGAAAATGATTATTATTACTATTATTACTACTATTTATTTTGAAGAGTACTCTTCCTTGTGTTGGTTGTGTTGTTGTTTTTTTGAATTGCTAACAATTGTTTCGATAGAGGAATGCGTTCCTCCTCTCTTTGTGTTGCTGCGTGGAGTATTGGAAGAAAGTTGTACCATGGTGAAATTAAAATATTCATTTTAACCGTCCTTACCAGATTGAGCTTGATGAATAATTTGTTTGGAAATTGGCTGTTTCGCCGATTCTTGGCCATGAAAAAAGCTCTCTTAGCATCGCTAAGGAAGGCAATTTTGAATGCTTTTCTATCGATGAACACAAATAGTTTGTATGCATAAAATTTGCCCGAGTTTGATTTGGGTTTGAGGAGGAGAGGAGGGACTACTATAAAAGTTCAGACGCTAACAGAGCGAGAGATGGAAGCAAGTTCATGTTTTTAAAACATTCTTGCCCGTTCCAATTTAAATTCCTATCGTTTTGATACAAACGTTGTTTAGTTCTTCTTGAGAAAATGCAACAGATAAAGATGGAATTTGAGATAATAAAAATCTGGTATACTATTACAACGAGGAATACTTACAATGGATTGATGATCAATTATTAATACTTCCGATGCAATAGAAAGGTATTTGAAAAAAAAAATGTCTAGTATCAATTTTGATGCATCCCCAGGTTTTTCCTCTCCACAAATTCCTAGTGTTGGGACGAGTTATGGTGCCGATTCTTCTAATCGAATTATGAGAATTAATTTCCGAGAGGATTCACAAACAATTAAATTTTGGAGTGGAGGAGTAATTGATCATCAGGAATTTAATACTCTAGAAAATAATTCACCATTCTCCAATCGGATGCAGTCGATAATTATCAAGGAGGATAATATGGAAAGAGTAATCACTTCTATTCATTCGTCTGATTCGATAATTCACATCTTGGTAAATTATGAATTGAAACAAATTATTTTATGTAAGCCTAATCTGTCAATTTCATGTCATCATATTTATTTGAGAAAAAAGAAAAAGATTTCAATAGTGATTAGTTGTTCTGATAAAAATGTATATTTATTCGAAATATTAAAAAAAGAAAAGAAGAGAAAATCGAAAAAGGAATTTAACAAACCAAACCAAACTAATGCTAAAATACCTTCTAAATTTACAAAAGTTTCAAAGGATAAAATTAAATCAATCGAATTGGATTGGAAAGATGAAATTGTAAATAGTCATGGAATTATTGTGAAAGAGTTGGGAGATGGTGATATTTTAACGAGTGTGTCCAATGTTGGGGTGGTATCTCAAATTCAATCAGTTGAATCAGAGACACTCAAGACACTCATCAATGACGAATCTAAAAAATCCAACTCTGGTAAACATATACTTTTGCTGTCAGGGGACCGTGTATTCAAATTATATCAGGAAGAGGATTCTGAGGATTTAACAATTATTCCACATGCCAAACTCCCAAGCTTCGCTTCTTGTAGAATGACTGCACTATACTATTGTGAAGAGAAGAGTGATTCAATAGTTTTCGATCAGAATAGCTTTATTGCAGATGAAGAACTATTCAAATGCCTATTTGGAAGAGATTTTGTATTTTTAACTTCCTCAGTGTGTGTTATTGGATGTAATGATGGCTCAGTTTGCTGTTTTCCCTCAAATCATAATGTAATTCAGAGATTCACCCAAAGCACTTGTCATAGAAAAATCACTCAACTTAGAGATCCTGTACAAAACATTATTCCAATAATTATTTCCACCGATTCCTCCGTGAAAAAGTTTAACTCTTTACTGTTGATTGGGTATGTTTTAAATTGATATTTTTTGATATAATAATTTTTAGACGATTTGGACATATTGTATTATTATATCACGACTCTGAGAGAATAATTCATCGATCTTGGTACATTGACCAACAAATTGTCTCCTCAATCGTACATAAGGATCAATTAATTTTCAGTAATCAGATTGGTTCAATGTTTTCATTAAATATATTCTCCAAGATTGCAACAGGTGATAATCCATTCTCATTCTCAAAGAACTCTAGACAACTAATCATTCCAGAAAATATTCATCTCAGAGAAATTTCCTCCAACACTGACATTTTATTTATTCAGGAATTGAAAAATCAGAAACTTTACCAAAATCCAAACATCAATCTTGATGTATCACTCTCCCAGTTGAGTTTTGCATCTGATCAGAGACAGCCAACCATACCTTCCAAGCCAAAAGGTTTTTGTACAGTGTTTACAAGAGAGGGTCAATTGCAACACTTGTCAATACCTTCTCATGAAAGTGTTGATGAATCTATGAGTAGGACAGCCATCCTCAATAGATTGCAAACAGGTATCAGAGATATGATTGTTAAATTGGATGAAAATCAAACCAAACTACAAACCTTAACTGAGAGAGAAATGCAACTGAATCAAGAAATTTATTCTCTCAATATTGCTATGCATTTGCTACACGAGTGGAAGGATCAAGGAAAGAAAATCACCTCTACTTTGGAAATGCAAAGCCAATAAGGAAAATTTGGAAATGTTATTGGAATGCACACTTTTCAATGGATCCCAATTCGTCATTACCAACCAGTGGACTATTATTATTGTTCTGGAGCAAGAATATTCACCATTTAAATCATTCTCTTATCCAATCATGTATTTAGAACCTGGAGATACATGGAAGAGAAGTATTTCCCTAATCAACTCTATCAATAATCTCAATAGCCCATTCAAAGTTACCTTCTTATTGACTTTTAGTCATGCGGAGAGTCAATTTTCTTTGGAAATTAAGAGACAAGAATTTAATTTGATCGATCTTATTCAACCATCCACTCCTCAGTTTGTGAATATGAAAAAGAATTTGGGATTGATACGAGTAGAGAGTTCAAAACAACGACTAAAATCTCTAATGAATAAGGGATTGACAAATTATGCCACTCTCTCCAATTTTATGCCATCCATGACTCATGGGTTCAAACTTCGATTCAATCCATTGGAGGAAGATTTCACCAACAATTGGCAATCCATTCTTCAAATTCCACTCCGCCAAGATTTACCCAAAAATGTGTTGAATAGAGAGTTGGTTTCTCTCACTTCCAATAATTTCTCATCGTCCACCTCTCTCATTACTCCCTATGGTCATGAATTGAAATTGAGAATATCTCCCTCTTCACGTACTCTACACTCTTTCGATGTCCTACTTCAGGGTAGTGATTTTCATTCTCTTCTTCTTGCTCGATATTCCATTCTCTCCAAGTTCCAACACTTTCTACACTATAGAAATGAGTTACTTGGTTCAGAGACCTATCCAAGACTCTCCTCTAAAGAGGAATTGATTGAACTCATCAAGACAATGCAGAACTTTGGAGATGAAATTCAACACCTCCACACTACACTTGAACAACTTGAACACAACACCTCAACACTTCTATGCCAGCAAACCAATACTAGTAGCAGTGAGCCCCTCTCTCAGCTAGTCTCCAAAATTGTTTCATTCGATAGGAAGGCTATTGAATTATACAGAGAAATGAGACAAGCCAAGTGTGGTATTTAATAACTATCTGAGTTTCCCATTAAAATTCTTCCTCTTATTTATAAAATATTATTTAGAAATAAAAAATGAAAAGAAAGAGGTGAGTTATTTTGAAATAAATTGATTTAAAAGTGAAATATTGTGAATTGTAGAGAACGTGGTAAAAAACTAGTTGAAGAATTTACAGATGATGAAGTGGTAAAATTCGATATACCTGAAGACATACCTCCAGCAACAATATCGGAACCAACAATAATTGAACATCAAAAACCTAAAAATCCGATCAAAGACTCACTAATCAAACAACTGGATCCAATTCATCATATTGAAAATTATTTACCACCACTCTTACAACAACCAAGCCAATCCTTGTCATCTTTCTTGGCTCATGCTTTTACAACATTTTCGAATGACTCGGTAATGATTATTGGACCTGGTGGATCAGGGAAAAAACATTTAATACGATATACATTGAATGAGTTGAGAAAATCATCTAAATATTCATTCAAATCTGTTTATATTGATGGCTCAAATGTGTCAACTGATGCCCACTTGTTAGGAAGTGTACTTCAAGAATTGGAAAAATGTAAATCAGATGATGAAGAATCATCACCATCAACAACTAATGAATCATATTTCGAGGAGGATGACGATTTTGATGAGCAAGCAAAAAGTGTGGAATTTTTAAAAGCTCTCAAAAACTTTCCGAATCAAAGTTTAGTATTTGTATTGGATGGATTTGAAAATCTATGTAAATATTCAGGGAAAATGTTATACACCATCACTGATACTTGTCATGAATCCAAATTGAGTGTTATTATTATTGGAATTTCGAAAAGCTCTTCAATTGCCCTATCTATGGATAGAAGAGTAAGGAGTAGATTTTCTTCCAGGAAGATTTATACCTTCCTCCCAAGAAATGCAGCACAAGTTTCACAAGTGATGGAATTTTATTTAGGGATTACAGACAACTCGGAAGATGCATCGATCGAGTTCTACAATAATAGTCTAAAAAATATGTTACTGAATCCTGATGTGGTACAAATATTGGAAGAGTGTGTCTTACATCCAAATTGCTCATTTTACTTTAATTTGGCATCAAGGATTTTTGACCTAGTATTGGAAAAAATTCAAAAATACCCAATTGTGGACTCGACCATGGAGATTTTCACACCAGAAATTTTTATTCAATCCTTCTTGTCTCTTGTAAATAATAGGCACAATGAAAGATTATCCTCCATTCCTAGACTCAATCAATGTCAATTGATTTTATTGTGTGCAGTAAAGAAGATTGAATCTCTTTACAATGCAAAGAATTCTTCCATTGATATTACTTTTGACACACTCTTTAATTTATATATGAAGTTTGCATCTGGAGGAGCTCAATCATCCAATATTAGACAAGAACACTTGTTTTCAGAGGGAAGAACATTGATTGAGACAGATAATCAGGTAGTTTTCCAAAATTTTATTTCACTCCTCGAATTGAGATTGATTCGTTTTACAACCAAAGATTTTCCCTCTACAAGAAAGGAACAAGCTTCAACCAAGGTCAGACTAAGCAATATTCATCCATCTCAAATCGAACATGAAATTGAGAGGCTATATCATGATAGCAAATTATCAACCATGACACCAGAATTGTATGAATGGAATAAAGCAGCCTCTCTTTAATAAATTCCATCATGTTGTTGTTTAGATGAAATGTTTTGTTCTCTTGTGTTGTTTGATAATACTTCCGACTAGTGCGCTGTTGACAAGAGATATTGTTAAATCTTGGGCGGTTTCTCATGTTCCGTGTTAAAAAAAAATGAGTACAACAGCTAAAGAGGCCACCGTTAATCGCAAAGATAACGGCGAAGATGTTGATGAAGGAAGAGAATTTGGTGGACCATGGGGATGTTTGGCCATAATTATTTTCTCTCATATAATCCCATACTATTATTGGTATTGTTTGGAATTCAACAATTCTAAATTAGTTTGGTTCTGGGATGTTGATTGGCAATCTGCTTGGGCTATTGCCAAGCCAAATTGGACTGCTTTTAATATTTATATGGGATTTATTACTTTTGAAGGATTGTTGGCTTGGTTGATTCCAGGTCACTTCCATGATGGTCTCCCACTCAAGCATGAAGGAAATAAGCGTCTTGTTTACAATTGTAATGCTATTCAATCTTGGTATATTCTTTTGATTACTGTTGCTGTCTTGTACGTTACTGGTATTGCTCCAATTTCCATGTTGTTGGATAATTATGCTTCAGTTTTAACAGTTGCCATGATTTTCAGTAATCTTGTTGCTGCTTTCACTTATTTCTATACTATTGCTATTGGAAGACAACATCGTATGTCTGGTAATTTTATTTATGATTACTTTATGGGTGCCATTTTGAACCCTAGATTGGGTCCTTTGGATTTGAAGATGTTTACCGAAGCCAGAATTTCTTGGGTTTTATTATTCATGTTGACAATTTCTGCTGCTGCCAAACAATTTGAACAATTGGGTTATATTACAGGACCAATGATCTTTATGATTACTGCCCATTTCTTGTATTGTAATGCTATTATGAAGGGTGAAGAATGTATTGTTTCAACTTGGGACATTTTCTATGAAAAGTGGGGTTGGTTATTGATTTTCTGGAATTTAGCTGGTGTTCCTTTCGTTTATTGTTATTCCTCTATTTATATTTTGAAGAAGGGTACTGAAATTGATCACCCAATTTGGTACATTGCAATTCTATTTGCTGCTTTATTGTTTGCTTACTACATTTGGGATGTTTCTCAAAGTCAACGTAACAGATTCCGTATGAAGAAGGCTGGTACTTTCCAAGTTAGAAATACCTTCCCACAATTACCATGGGGAACCTTGCCAGACAATGCCAAGGCATTGAAGACTAAAGCTGGAAGTGAATTGTTGGTTGATGGTGTTTGGGCCTATGCTAGAAAGCCACACTACTCTGCCGATATTATTATGGCCTTGTCATGGGGCCTTATCTGTGGATTTGGAAGTTTCATTCCATACTTTTATTTCTGTTTCTTTACTGGTATGATTATTCACAGAGCTCACAGAGATATGGAGAGATGTAGAAGAAAGTATAAGGAAGATTGGGACACATATTGCAACACTGTCAAGTATATCTATATTCCAGGTATCATCTAAGTTACTCATAAAATTTCTAGTTTTTAATGCTTTCCTTCCTTCATATATATTGGAGAGAACGATTAAGTTAGTTATACATAGTTATGGAGAAATATTTTGACTGTTATTATTCGCCTTAGAATCTTTGTTCACATTTCCCACCCAAAAAATAAAAAATGGATACATCAGTTAAGGTAAGGAATTTTTTTACTAGCCAAGTTATACTGACTTGAAATTCTTGACGCTTAGGTTGTTGTTGTCGGTGATGGAGCAGTTGGTAAAACTTGTATGTTATTTGAAATTATCATCATTAAATTAAATGAATTTTAGGCATGCTCTATTGTTATGCTAATAACCAATTTCCGGAAGGTGAGTGGATTCAAATTGTTCTATTTGCTTATTTAAGAAAATTCATATAGAATACATGCCTACTGTCTTTGATAACTACAATGCCAACACCCTCTATGAAAACAGAACTGTGAGTCTTGGTTTGTGGGATACTGTATGTAGAATTATAATAGTTTTAATTTATATTAATCAAATTCAAAAAGGCTGGTCAAGAAGACTATGACTCATTGTAAGTTTTATTAATTCTTCCTTCTATTTAATACTTATTCAACAATATTAAACAATACATAACATTAAGGCGTCCATTGAGTTATTCTGAGACCGATGTGTTCTTAGTTTGTTTCTCAATGATATCTAAAACTAGTTTAAACAATGTAAGAGAAAAGTGGATACCCGAAATCAAGGAACATTGTAAGAAGCAAACTCCAATAATATTAATTGGACTCAAGAAGGATTTGATTACCGATCCAAAGACTATAAGATCAGTTAAGGAAGCAGGAGATTCATTGGTCGAAGGAAAGGAAGGAGAAGACATGGCTAAACAAACTGGATGTGTCACTTATTGCGAATGTAGTGCCAAGACAAGAGAGGGTTTGGATGATGTATTTATTAATGCTATTGCATCAGTATTGAACCCAGAGAAATTCAAAGATAAACCAGCTAAGGAGTCTCCGAACGGGCGTAAGAAGAAGTTTTGCTTGATTTTGTAAGAAAAAGTTCGAACACAGTACTGTAAATATAAAAAGTTGATTGAGATTAGATCTTAATAAATTTAACAACAAATTAATACTCACAAGAGATCGATGTGTTATAGAAGAATGTTAATAAATTGATTAGGTGACATTAGCCATCAACTTTCATAAAAAAAAATGTTCGGAAGCAAACCAAAGACGATTAAACTAAAAATCAACGAACAACAAATAGAAGAGGTTACACTCAACCCAAAAGATGATCTCTCCGAAATGTTGGGAAAAATTGCTTCCCAAAACCAAACCATTGCTCCAAGTACAGGTAAATATATATTTACACAACAATATAACAATATAACTTTGGAATGTACATAAACTTTGTTATAATCAGATGAGCATGTAATATTTGTGATGGGAAACCCATCTCTTCTCGTTCCATGGGCAACTCTATGTAAAAATTTATTAAAGGAACAATTAAACTTGGAAATGAAACCCTATTGGATTCCAAACAAGAGTAAATTTAATGCCATGCTAAAACCTAAAGTAAGAACTGAAAAATCTGATGTGACAGATAGAGTTTTTGGTGGTAGATTGGAACAACATTACTATTTGGATGATGATAATAATACTAAACGTTATTTAAAGTTACCACCAATTATATTCAAGTTATTTGAATTTTTGACAAGTGATAGAGCAGTTAGAAGTGTTGGTTTATTTAGAATTCTAGGATCAGTTGGTCAAACTCAGCAATTAGTTCAACAATTCAACGCCAAACAAAAAGCTAATGAAAATTTCAATTCCATTGTATTTGATAATACAACAGATCCAAATATAGTTGCTAATTTATTGAAGGAATATTTGAAAGAGTTACAACTTCCACTCCTTCATCCAACTTCAACATTTTTAGAAATTGCAAGATTGAGTGATGCAAACAAGAGACAAGAAGAATTTATGAAAGCTTTTAAAAATCTTGAACATAACATTTATAGAAGAGTTTTTCGTGAACTTATTGAAGTATTGAATGAATTTCTCCATTATTCTCATTTGAACAAATTGAATAGTAGAGTATTGAGCTTATCAATAGGTCCATATCTCTTCCAACAACATAAGGATCAATCCATCACTGCAAAATCAACCAATGCAGAATTGTACTATAATATTATTGGTATGTGTATGGAAAACTTTGAACAAATCTTCTTGCAAGGTTATGATTTCAATGCTTTGGAAGGTGGTTTCACAGCCGATGATTCTCAAGAGAAGAGGAGTGGTAATACATTGGCCTCATTCTTGGAAAAGATGAGAGATAAGGGAGGTGCCTCCACTGCTTCCAACTCATTCCTCAATAACACTGTAGCTGACTTGGCAGGTGTTGAGAGGAAGGAAGTTGATACAAATAGTGCAACTTCCTCCTCATCATCAACTGTTGCCACAACAAGTAGTGAGCATAATGTGAAGGATGATGCTACCGATATTCAAGATCGTTGGAGAGAATATGTGGAAAGTTGGAAACAAAAGTATAAACAAGAAAAGGAGGAATATGATAAGGCCCAACAAGAATTGGAAGAAATTGTCAAGGCATGGCAACAAGAAAAGAAGGAACTTGAAGAGGAGATGCAAAAGCTCAAACTTTCAATCTCCAGCTCTGACATTACTGAAGATGATGAAATTAAGCAATTGGACGACGAAAAGAGAAAACTCCTTAAGGATATCGATCGTGAAAGAGACCGATTCAAATTTGAAAGAGAATCTCACGATGAAAAGATGAAAAAGATCAAGAGAAGACAATTATTGGCTCTCAAAAAGATGGGTATTGAGAGTTTGGACGAAACCAACACCAAACTCTCTCCAGAATTCTTCAAATTGAAGAGACAACAGGAAAATAGAAAGCAAACAGCAAGAGGAATCGACACAAGTCCAACACCAAATGAACAATCAAACGATAATTCTCAATCTACTGTAGATCCTCTCATTGAAGAGGAGGAAAATATTGGATCAGCCTCATCACTTGCAGGTAGAACAACTGTTGGTGGTGGAAAGATTCAAGTCAATGATAGATTTAAAAAGAAGAAATAAATATTAAATTCGTTCATTTGAGCAATATAAGAAATTTAACATTGTTATTTTGAAGTGGACACAGACAATAAATAATGCACAACAAAACAATGAACCGTATTTGTAAGCTCATCTCCAAATACAAAAATCAGAACTTGGCACTAGAATCCAAACAAGCCAGATTTTCAGTTATAAGGCCCAGATAAGGAAATATCAAACGCCTTTGTATGGGTATTTCATTTCTCCTTAATATTGTATGGAGGAGGTAGGGCCGCTCTATTTTCTTGGAAAGGTACACAACACACCCAGATATGTAAAGCCACCACACAATTAATATTTACACCATTATATAACCTTATTAGCAGGTCATGATTTCCTTACACGTATCTGTACCAAATTTTCATCACATCCTATACAAGCTATTCTTTCTTTATTGGGTCATCTCTCTCTTTGCAAAAAAGAAGGTCACGCCTCAAATGAATCACTCCACATTCTTTTGATATGAAGAGAAGAACATGTGACTCTTGTTGGATGAAGTACTTCCTTGTGTGGATTGCGTGATGCACTCATTCCAAAAAAACAACACTACATTGACTATTTTAATAATACTTTGTTATTTAGCATATCATTAAGGTCCTTTGAGCAAAGAAGCAAGAACTAGCTTTCAATATACATTTAACAAACTAGTATAGTCAAGTTTTTATATATGAAAATGAATCACCTTAATAATAATAATAATATTATTAATCAGCAAACAACAAGTATCTACAGTTACAGTCATAGATCTTCTCCTCAGAATAGCACTACAAAGTTCTCGACGTCGAGCAGCAATAATGCTTCAGTACTAACACGACAAACTTCTTTTTCATCACAAGCCTCACAAGGAGCCACTTCGTTCCACTGTGTGTCTCCAACCAATACATTCCAATCCACTCATAACAATCCTCAACAACATTCCAGTGCTATTAATACTCCTCCATCATCATCCTCCTGGTCAAACCATGCTGTCAATAATCCACCATGCTCTGCTAATCATTCCTCCACACATGTAAATCAATCCCAATTCTACCACCACCAACAACATTCATTCCACAACCTTAATACTTCCTCTCCACCTCAAGTCCATATGTTCAATAATGGCAATAGCGAACCTTCTTCAGGAGATCTCCACTCACCAAATTCAAATACAAGTCAGGCTCACTCCATACATTTGAATAGTCAACATAACCTTCTCCACCATTCCAGTCCACCTCGCCAATACCCTCAACATAATAATTGTCAATTTAATAACTCCCCATCCTCAAGCTCGACATGTCGTTTTGGTCCATCCCTTAATAATAGCTCAT